GCAACCTGTCCCCAGCCATAACCTGTCCTCAGCACAACCTGTCCCCGGACACAACCTGTCCCCAGCCATAACCTGTCCTCAGCACAACCTGTCCCAGATGCAACCAGCAATCCAGCATGATCAGTGATTGGTTAGGACAGACGTCCATCCCAATAGTTCTGTCTACAGCCTGCAGGTAGAACAATGTTTTCTGAGCTCACTTGAAAAAAGGACGATCCTGCCTGGGTTAAATTACGGAACTTCTTTCTACCCAAAGGTTTGTGACGATAATCTTCGAAATCCTCTACAGCTAAATTTTTAACCCTACGAACGCCACCTATCTCTGATAGCTGCTCGAAGCACCAACAATCCTAGTCCTGAAGGAGAGAGTTGTTTGTGTTGGTGTGACGAAAGCTTCTATATGGGGAAAGAAATAAACGGTGTGTCAAAAGGATGAATGACTGCCGATTGAGATAACAGGATAGTGAGGCAGGGAGAAGGAAACTGAGGCGGCATCGCCAATACCGCTGAGTCTGCCATTGTCGAAAATCTTCCAGTTACGAGGTTGACTTTCTCTCACAATTTGGAATACCCAAGTCCGGCCCTGTTATTGCGCAACCTGAGATGTTTTACCTCTTAAGGCCACATAGCATCATTTTTGGTACCAACGCTTTGAAAATCCTTACTTCTTTTTATTGATATCTAGAGATCCATTCCGAGACTCTGTTCTAGCTTAGCGGGTAGAGAACGAATATGCAATGATCGCCGCCCTCCCTCTCAAGTTCACCGTTTCTACTATCTAAGCATTAATGGGGACTTTCAAACTAAATATTTACGATTACACGGTTTGCACTATATCTCCGTTTTTGCTAGGAGTGATAACCTTTCTTCTCTGGATCACATCTCAGCATGCTCCGAAACCAGGTTCTTTGAGGCTACGCAGAATCTTCATTTAATACGATTCGAAACCTGCATAATCATTGACAGGTCAGATCAACTGACAACTATTCTTCGCGCCGCGGACCGAATACAACGAAACGAGTGTGTATTAGCTCCTCGACCCCTTCACCTCTTTTTCCCTCTCCTTTCCTTCTCATATTCCCTCTCTCTGACCTTCAGGGTTGCAAAATTGGCCACTTCCTATTGGCAGCATTCCCTGCCTGAAATTTTCCTCGTGGTGTTCTACCTCACTGGCTGTGGAATCGGCCCTACTTTGATCCTTTTACGGTTGTCTTTAATAGCGCATCGAGTTCTTTAAATACTTCGGCAGCTTCCACCTTCTGTCCACCCAGACGAGCTTTCTTAGAAGAACTCCCTGTTTGTCCGTCTAGAAATAGTTAGTCTAGCGCTGTGAGCGATCCAGCCGCAAACTTACCGTCACTAGAGTCTTCCATCATATTTCGAGTACGCTTTTTGGTCGTGTTCATTCGCACCTTTTTCGAAGGCTTTGAATTATCCTCGCCTAGAGCGAAGTTAGTTTTGAGAATGTAGGCCCACCGAACTGTCTATACCTTCACTGTCGGTGTTATTCCTTCGTGCACGTTTCTTGTTGACAGCCACGTCTGGGATTTTCGAGGTTAGGGTTGCACCGCCGCCTGAGAGTAATCAGCTTCCGAGCATGGATGTTCGCGGTGAGCACTTACTGTCGCTGTCACCGTCGCTGAGAGTAATCACCTCATCTTGGGGACGCTTCGAGGTATGCTTGCCTTGGAGTTTATGGCAATACCGTACCAAGGCTAATCCGTAGTTCACGGCATCCCAGAGCATATCCTCGCATTCTTCAAAGTCTTTCGGACCCTTGCGAAGCGCACGAGAGATTCTGCTAAATTCTTGACCGCAATTGTCGACGTCCTCCGCGGTTTCAATTTCAAACTGAATCATGACTCGTAGTTGATTGATCCAATGCACAGAAGAGGAGAAACTTAATCTTCCAACAGAGTTCTGGGGAGATTGGTTTGAGTTGAATCTGACGAGTGGCCAAGATTCTGCATCGTTTACTCGCGGTCTTATATTCTCACAGTCCCTATGTAAGTACCACTTTGGAGCCGGAAGAGGCATCCAGCAGGAGCCTGAATTGGCATCTGCACCAGATTATCGAGATGGTCCCGTAGAGGAGCAGTTAGGAGGGGAGAGTCACGGGTGGCAATGGTACTTCGAGGCTTTCGGTTAGTCCTGCTGCCTTGAGCTGCACTTCTATGCGATAGGCTCTTCTATGAACTTTTAACCTACTGCCATATTCAATATCTCCAACCAGTGACAAACTCTCGCTCTTCGTTCCTAAATTTCTACATCTCTTGGTCAGTATCGGACAATTCATGCCGGGATTTATGATACGATTTAGCTAGCAGATTTCATGTTCCCCTTTCTCCAGAAATCTACTTAACGCTTCGTCTCGTCGTGAGTGTTGGCACGTTTAGCCTCCTTCAACTACCTACGAACTCGAATTAACCTTCTACCACAAGCTTCTCCTCCTCTGTATTTAACCATAAGAACCGGAGACGATATTTTGCGGGGGAGTAACGTCTATGTACCCCTTATCATTGGCCGTAATTGTGATTTGGAACCCATCGATACCTATGAATGTACATAGTGCTGTTCCTGACGTGACATCAATCTGAGAGACACTAATATCGTTGCAGTTGCCGATGGAGTACGAAGGAAGTGCGAGACATTCGATGGAGCCCAAGTCGTGCGTCTGTCCATCTCGTGGGAGCTCAAAGCCAAGTGTCTGCGTGCTAGCGGTAAATACGACATCTAATGGCCAGTCTTCACTCCTCCGCTGAGACTCAAGACCTATTTGGGTATTACTCGATACCAACCCGTGGATGTCGGGGTAGGGTGGGATAGCTCGTCCAACGGACATTCAACCAAAGAAGAACTACGACAGTCTTGCCAATAGAGTTAGAGAACACCATGTCCATAAAAGAAGAAATTTTCGTAGAGAAGAGATCCGTAGGGGAGAGCTTGGGTGAGACACGAGGGACTTTCGGTTTAGACGAAATTCTTCCTAACCAAAAGATGAATGATGATTTACCTAGGGGTTCGGACATCGGAGTTGAGATGCTGACCTTTAACGTAAACAGTCAAGGAGGTAGAAAAAGGGTTCTTGGAGCTCAATTCGGTCCCAGAGGTCGAAAAAGGACGAAAAGGCTTAATGTCACACGAGGGAGCCAGATCAGGACCCTTTGGTTAAATAAATACTCATCCTACAAATTGCGTTGCATCCAGCATCGAGTGTCCCCTCATGGCGAGGACGAAACAGACCGCACGTATGATTAACCTCTTTCATTCATTGTCCCTAATTTATATTGATGGTGACGTACAGGGAAGAGCACCGGAGGTGTCGCCCCGAGGAAAGACTTGAGAAGCCTTGCAAAAGGCCAGCTCTCAGGGAAACGCCTCCCTGACTCCACGGGCAGTGTAAAGAAACCGCATCGATACAAACCAGGTAGGCTTCTGCTGCTCTCCTCTATTATCTCTTTTTTGAGTGGGTGAAGTTATGATTAACGGTGACTAGGAACGGTTGCTCTAAGAGAGATTCGTCGCTATCAGAAATCCACAGAGTTACTCATTCGCAAGCGTCCCTTTCAACGGCTTGTCCGTGAAATTGCAGAAGATGTGAGAATTGGCCAATTGAAATGGCAAGGGGATGGTCTTCGGTTCCAGTCGACGGCAATTGAAGCTCTGCAAGAAGCTCTCGAGTTATATCTTGCGAGCCTATTCGAAGATTCTAATCTCTGCGCTATCCACGCAAAACGAGTTACTATTCGTGAGCCAGTTTCTACTTCCTACGAGAGGACATTCTTGATTAACGTCTTTAGAATCAAAAGATATACAGCTCGCACGACGTTTGCGTGGAGAAAGAAACCCCGTTTGAGGAAAGACTCAAGAGCTTGGGTGGCTTCAGATGCAAATAGTTGTCTATGAAATATCTTCCTTGGTTTCAAGGGCATCTCCAGTATGTATTCAACGATAGCTGAAGCAGGACGACGTATGAGCTAATGGGATGAGTTTTCTGGGGTCTTACAAAAGATTTCACACTTGGGAAGACTGTTGTATTCAATACTGTGAAGAATGATTTTTTGATCTATTTGTTCGGAGCTACGGGATCTGAAGGCTATTCTCCCCTAAATAATTAAGATGCCTTGAGCAGTTCGACCATCTATACGCCAGGTACGTTTCAACTTTTCGAAACATGTCATAGTCCAAAAGTAGCCTCCGTCCTCCACCGTGCAGCATCGCTTTTAGATAATGAAGATTTCGAGCACATTATCCCAGTCGTGATGACGCCTCTATTCCGCGCTCATTACCTATCTGAGTATCGTGGTCCTTTTTGACTTTATACAATAACCAGTTATTGTAGACCAGAAATAAAATCAAGCTGATCCCTGCACACACACTCGTTATTGTGACCGTAATGGCTGCAGTCACAGACCAGTTCCCGTCCTTTGCGGTGTACACATTGATCAATGAGTTGACGAGACCAAGAATGGCATTTAGCAAAGTTGGCCTGGAATCAAAATGTCAGTATCCGCTTTCAGCTGCAGGCCAAGTCCTCATTACAAGAATATTCGATTTACCAACCAAATGTAGTTCCTCTTCCATCTTTTCCAGAGCAAAGCGATGCCAACGACCCCGAAGAGACAGCAAGCTCCTGCTATCCAGAGGAGCGAGGCATTCTGAACGGTGTCTAGAATAATTTCTCCTGCATGAGTCTTGCTTGCCGCTTCTTGCACCGAATTGGAGCTTTTGAGAGAGGTAAACGTGCCCGGGAATACAATGTATCCAGCCAGGATCAACCACGTAAACAGGCTGGCATAGAAGTTGTAGCGACGTGGAATCTCATCTAGCTCCAAGAGCATCGCCACATATCGAGATTGTGAGTGTAACGGATTCGTAGAAAGTGGCCTGGGAAGACGAGCTTCATTGCTCTGAGAGGAACGCTGTGGGAGAGGGGGCTTTGGAAACTTGGACTCCGGATGGAGGATTGTCACATATCTTCTTTGGGAATATGCTGTTTGTTGTATATGCTCTTGGGATACAGCATTCCGTTTGATCTCGGCAGCGGGAGTTGGAGATGGAGATTGTTTAGGAAAGTCCATAAGCGGCGGCTACAGTGTTGAGGAATGCTTTGCTTTCTTTGTTTGATTTGGACAGCCATCGAGATTGAAACAAGGCCTATATATTTTCAAGTTTCAGAGACTTAATGTGAAAAGGGATCCAGATCCGGCCCCTGAAATGCCGGATCCGGCTCTTTACATTTTTGGGAGCCGCATTTGGACTTGGAATTTGATTATTCAGGCGAAATCGGTGCTATTGTATAGTAATAATTAGCGACTGAACCTGTAATTCCAAACTGAGAAATGTCATGGGAAGATTTCTAAGCGAGAAAGCAAAGCAAGCACATTACGAGATGCTGTACCCTCTATTTGCATTATCGAAAGCTGCTAGGGAAGGCATATCTAATTAGATACTGTATACTTCCTCTTCGTCCCTATTGATAGTGGCATAGAAAACTTATCTACATTATCTACCTAGGTGATATCTTCTTAACGCCGATAAATTAGAAGTAGGCTTTCAATGCTTGCGCTGGAGATATCCGCTATCAATTCCATGCAAAATACAACCTTTAAAACTATCCGTCAATACTTGCGGTAAGCTCGCCGGCGGAGTCTGTTGTCTGCGTCAGTAGGACCCCAACGGTCACCGAATTCCCTGTAGTTATGGTCACCACAGTAGTCTCTATCGTTTCTGTGGAGACTGATGTGAGAGTGGTTGTCCCCGTTATTGTAGTTGCTATTGGCCCGATCACCGTCGTCAGTGTAGTTGGAATAACTCCTCCGAACGGTAATGAGAGCGTTTTAGGCTCGACAGTAGTTTCCGAGCTTATAGTCTCTATGGTCGTAAACAAGGAGGTTTGTAAGTTTGTAAATGTTACGGTCTCTGGGGGCCCTTCTGAGCCTGTAGCCACCGCAGTCGTAGGAGAGCCATCCGAGCTTGTAGTTGCCACAGTTATAGGAGAGCTTTCGGAATCTGTGGCTATCGCGGTCGTGGGTATAGATTCTGAGTTTATAGTCGGTATAGCCGTTGGAGGACTTTCTGAGACGCTGGTGACGGTTTGAGGAGGACACAATGTCAGAGTCAAGTCGACCGACACATCACAGTTTTGTATGGCAAAGTTATCGTTTGGTTGATTGAAAGCGTTTGGGCAGATGGCCACACCGGGGTCGCAGGTGATGTTAGAGCAGTCTCCAGAAGATGGTGAGAGATAGAGGCCCCAAGTTTCGAATGGATACCCATTAATATTCGAGATGTCGTAATAGACTCTCGGATTGTCAGGGTGGTAGGTATACTCGAACTGGGTAATGAAGAGGTCATCGGGGACTGTGGCAATTTTTAATGAGATGCCTCCGAGGGGGTCCGGGTTCATTCGATAAGTCTCATAGTAGTAACCACCATTTGGCTCCAGATAATTAATTGTGTCGTTAGGGACGTTTGCGACACTCCAAACAAAGACGTCGACATCACACTGGTTGTCGATGAAAGCAGTCCCCAGACAAGCAACGGAAGAGATGCAGAACAGTGCCACGGCAAAGATGAGTCGTGTCAAACCAGCCATGTTGAAGGCTGTGGTTTGCCTGAGAGCCTGTTGGTAAAGGCGGAGTCTGTTTGATGGAGACGCGGTGCTGTAGTGTCTTTTAACACAGAAGAAGTGGAATGTCGAGTAAGACAACCGGCCTTCGGTGATCAGGTGAGATCATTGAGGGCGACAGCGTCCAGAAACAGCCCCTGAGTAATGGAGTATGCGGAAGATCCAAATCAAGTAGGGAGCCCAAAATGGTCCCTTTTTCAAGTCGCTGAGCTTACAGAGAGTGATCACCCCGACCTGTTGCGTGGGCTACTAGGACGATGCAAACGTGGGCTTTGCAGATTATCACTTGGAACGCAACGAGGTCCCCAACCCATGGATTTTAAGGTTCGAAATAGGGCAAAATATCTGAAGCTGCTGAATTTCCATATTGTAGGACTCGGTTCAAGGCCAAAGGGCTTCGACTGAATAAGTTAATACAATTCCCAAGATACGTCATAATCTCCTTGAAGCCCGTACAGATACACCTTTTTCCCCTTTACCATTGCCTCGCTTGCTACATCTTTACCTATGGTTACAGATGTTTTCAATTGCGGCTTCCCTTTTGCAGACACACTCAATTGTTTAGGCTCCATACTTCATTAGTAGGCTAGGCAAAATACGTTCAAGCGTTACTTCAAATTAGGCCAATCGGCGTGAACTTCAACTCGACCGAATACATGCACTTACAAAATAATACACATGACGTTTACTGTACCCTTTGAAAATGTGGAAACTTGAAAGCGGCACTGAATAACTCCTGACCAATCAGGAGAAACTGGCTTATGGGTGTTAGGCGGCCGAGGGGCGAATGTCGGAGCGCTACGCTTCGCCATCCAGTTGGCCCGTCAGGACGTGGTCGGCCACGTCATCTCACCAGGCTGAAACCTTACACCACGGCCGCCTAATTCTACATCTCGACCTCACGCTCGGACATCGAACGATTCTGTGGATGTGACCATATCTGTCCGTACACTATTTACCCTCCAAGCTCCCAGACTCCAGTATCTCGTGGGGAGAGGTACAAATTTTCCCGTAAACAGCACGGTCACTCCGAGTGAAGTAGTTCAACCCCGGCGGTCAACAAAGTCTCAAACCCAGCGCTCAATGGAGAAAGGTACGGATGCTACGCCAGAGGAGACACATTCACTCCTACTAGAGCGGTTTCGAATTTTCGGCCCAGAAGATCTTGAATTTCGGCGTCTCGTGGAGGAAGGCGCGGGGTTTTCGCGAAAGGAAGCACACTCGCTCCTGGTGCACTATTTCGAAATGTCCGGCCCGGAAGAGCCTAGATTTCAATACCTCGCGGGGATGGGTATAGGTTTTACGTCAGCGGAGGCGCACTCACTCCTAGTGAACTTTTTCCGAAGTCTGGGTCCGGAAGATCTCAGATTTCGACATCTTGCGGAGAAAGGTGTAGACTTTACGCCAGGGGAGCACTATGCGTTATCACTGTACTTTCTTCTAAAAGGAGGACCGGGAAGTGTCAGGTTTCAATACCTTGCTGGCCGATTTAATCACGACAAGCCGCTCCTCATACAACACCTCGATCCGAATCTCAACTATAGTGCCACTCGGAAAGATATTTTACAGCATATCAAGAAGCGATCTCCAGTATTTGTCATCGAACGAGGGGACGGCCCTCGCTTCCTCGGATCCCAAGCTTTATTTCAGGTTCAGTCCGAGCATTTCCGCCTCCTACTCTCCCCGAAGTTTGGATTCAAACGCAAGGTCCTTGACCCCGCCGACAACGATTTCCCCGGCTGTGACCCGGACCTGATGGCTGCTATGAAATGCATGAAAGAATCAAATATCGATGTCCCCGTCTTCAGCGACCTAGATTATGACGACTTCACAAACACCCTTGTCCTCAACTTTTGCCAAGGTGTCTCGGATCACTTCAGTTTCGTTGAACCGGCAGGGAAAACTCGGTTGGATTGTTTGTTGACCATTCTCAAAGCATCTAGCGTTTACAGCATCTTTCTCCTTCATCAGGGCGTCCAGGATGAAATCATCTTAGAACTCTCAAGACTCGAGCGTCAGGGAGATATTTCCGAGTTAGTGGAGATGATTAAAGAGGATGCGCCGCCTGATGCGAATATTCTACATCGATGGGTTCAAGGCATTGCTTAGGAGCTTAGTATAGGGTAATCTGGCAGTACCTTTAATACTTCAGCCACTGAGTTAAAGGCTTAACCGTAGTGTGTTGGGCTTAGTCTCCTTTGGGATTTTGTATAGCTTACGTACTTCGGGTCCTTTTAACTTGAGATTCGCGGTGCCAGTGGTAGAGGTCCTAGTGGATGTAAGCGGTGAAAAGAGATGACTCTAACTAGTGGCAGATAATCTGGCGCGGTAGAGGCGGGAAGGGAGATGGAGAGAGAAGCAGCGGACGCTCATCCATCCCTCCCAAACAATCGTAGGTCATCCAATATTCATCTTTAACCAGTGCCTCGATGCATTCTCGTGATGCCATATCAGCCATGGAGCGATTCGCAGTTTATTGCGCTATATTTCGATGTTTTCTTCGTTCCTGAGCCTGGGTACAGCCCTCGAAGGGTGGGCCAATAAGCTGTTGGAGCGAAATCTGACACTCACATAGCAATGATGCGGATTTTTATTTGGCTGAAGCGATTGGAACTGAATGGCTCGACGCGATGCAGCACTAGCGTAGGCTGATAAATTGTCAAGCAGTTTGATTAATTAGAAGATCAATAGAGTTGCCGCTTTCAAATTTTTACACCTTCAAGTTCAAAAGTCAGAAGCCATCCGTATTGTCATGTAAATTCAAGTATCTAGTGGAGACAAAGCTTAAACTACGCTTGGTCTTATTCAGACTAGACCAAATGAACCAGATGGGGCTTTCATAACTGAGAGTGTGTCTACAAATGTGAAGCCGCAACTGCAAACGACTGTACAGCATTGCACAATACGTAGTCAGTTGTGCGAGTCTCGTGTAGGGGATATATGTTTTATTCGGATTACATTGCGCGACTTGTAGCACTAGTCCAGACCGCGATAATCACCTCCGCCTTCAATTAACAGACAAGCAACTTGGAGTCTGGTGTTAGTTGAGTCTATTTAATGGCTTCCTTCTCCCACGATGGCGCGGAAGCTCTACTAGCCTTCCCAAGATAATTGCCGCGACATCAAACTTCGTGGGTCTTCCTCCTCAAGTCTATTAACAAGAGCCCGCTTCATTCCACCCGCCTACAAGTGTCGGAGAACTGTGTACGGATGAGATGGCTTTAATGAAGCTTATGTACAATACCTCCAAGGCCAGCACTCTCATGAAGAATTTCGCGCGCCTTCCCACCGTCCACTCCCATATCTTCCTCTATCAACTTGGCTGCTAGCTCCGGAACCAAAACCTTGCTGACGAAGTCCGTGAACCCCGTGCGGCGCAAGGCCTGGTTTCGACGTCTTTGTCTCGGAAATTGAGACTCGAATTTTCGAATGATCTGGGTTCTCCTGGATAGTGTTAGCGAATCGTCGACCGCGTGGCTCAAATAAGTCAGGGTAATTCGGCTAGACGCATCTCTTGAATCGAATTCAGCATTCACTTACATGATTTGCGATCCCCGGGGCCCATAATAGCCAGCTTCACCGTTTCCGTTGCCATTTGTTCGAGGGACCTTTCGTTCTCTGTCCAACTTCACTCGAGAGAGAAACGGTGACGAGATCTCTCCGTCCAATATGCCGCCAAGAGCTGGAAGAAATTTGCGAATGCGCGCATCTAGTCTCCGCCAACCGATGCGAGGATATCCACGCCTGACCCACTCCAGTTCCGCTGCATGCTGCAGCTCGGCTTGGTGCTTGTGTATCTCGGAGAAAGCATTTTGGTGCAGTATATTCCAACCCTCGAGCCGCCGTCGCGGCGGCAAAGATGCCTTGGCTTTGCGGTGGGGTCGTTGACACGACGTATTGACGCATCGTTCCAAGGTTGTAGTGGCTTCTGAATCACTGTCTGATACGAGAATAGGTCCATGCGGACTATGGTAAATTGGCAGCTCCACCTTTGGCTCCAAGACTTTAGGGTCCAGACATTGAACGTCAGGACTGAGGTCCGATGATTCTTGTACAGAAAAGGGAACATTGGGACCTGACCGATCAGCCTGGTCTGAGGTTAAAAGAGAATGCTCGCCCGAGCATTCTTGAGCTATTCTAGTGCGAAGGTTAGAGTGTGGCGTCGAACTCACAATCTTGGGCGATGTGAGTATTCGTAGTGTAACTGCATCAAACTCTTCAGTGGAGTCTCGAGTGACTTCGGTGTCCTTTGAATGCGATAGGGTCGGCGAGCTGGACAAGGATCTTACCGGCGTGACGGGAGCTGACTCCACGGGAGCCGCAACGACCTCGGGACAGACCTTATTTGAGATCATTGGCAGCGCGATATCATCTTTGACATATGTCGGACAGTTGGTAAGAGGCGGCAGAGAAACCACAGAGAGAATGAGGGAACTTGGCTGCTTAGTAGACCTCTGCTTCCTCCGCAGCTTTCCTATTGCGCGCGGACGGACCGCAGTCGAGTTTGCCGGTTTGCCGGTTTCCGGTGTCTCATCGATAAATTGATATTTCTCGGTAGGGATCGAAGGGTCGATAGGGCCGGCGGTGAGTTCGTTATTGAGAGTCTGACGGCCGCGTTTACAGGAGGGTACGCTGTCGATATCTTCTGCCATCACATCCTGAGACGATCGCTTGAATCCCTTGTTGAACTGCGCGCAGTGGACGTCCTGGAGGTGATATCGCCGCCTCAGGGCATTCTCGCATGGGATATCACACCAAGGAATTGAGCAACCTACTGCGCTTCTCCGATCCAGCTCTTCGGTGCATTTGGTCACATGAGATATCCAATAATCCAGTCTTGAGAATTGTTGCATTCGATCTCTCGCCGACAGCTCCGTGTTGCCTAGGCAGATCGGGCAATAACCGAAAGCGCCTAGGGTACCGCCATAAATGAGCGGATCGCACTGGACGGGGATTGTCTGAGGCGCGACGAGGTGGCTTTGACAATGCTGCTCCCATGCATCCAACCCGACGATCCAGCGGTTACAGAGGGAGCACAACTCTGCAAAGCCGTTCGTTCCCGAAAGGTATTGCTTGTGACACGTATAGATGTGCTTCCAGCTCGGTGTGGCCGAATTGGGAGGCGAAGACAAAGCCACCCCTAAGCCAGCTTTACTTGGCCAACGTCGAAACGCCCTGTGGGGGCCAGGTCTCTTGGGGGTGGCACACGCAGCTAGCTCCACGCTTAACTCAGTCGGGTGGCAATGACACTTGTCGGGCTCCAACCCCAGTCTGACGGTCACCTCCTTCTCCTGTTTGCAGAGGGCGATCATGTCTTGAAGGACCTGACGACCTTCGGAGCTTCTCAGACAGCCAACCTCGAACATGCTCGTCGCCAGGCGGCTTCGTTCGGGCATTAGGTGGCGGATACGCTGGAAGCGGGACCGGTAGCCCCCGATGGATCGGATTTCAGCCCTGGCTTCCCAGGGTCGTTCACATGGTTGAGTCTTCTGCGCGTGACGAAGTCCCTTTTTTCTCATTTTCTGCCTATTCCTGTAGATCTCACGGCGGCGTCGGTCGCGGTCCTGTGATGGAGGCTGCGTTTTCAAGAGTTTGAGTTCGTTGTCCATCGAGGTAAATTCGGGGCTCGCTTCCAACTCCGCCTTCTGCTCCGCCGGTAGACAGTGAAAGAGATCGGGATTGCGAGCTACCGTCATGCCACGAAACAGGTCAGCTACAATAGTCCGAATCTTCCCTCTGAGGTATGCATCTTGGCCATCGGTGCCAGGGTTATTAGGCTGGTAATGCTGGCGGTGAGTGCGTTCGTTCCATTGCCCCCCGTGGCCCATTCTCTGTGCTGCTGAATAAAGGGAATCTAGGTGTTTCATTAGAAGTGGTCACAATAACGCTAATATGGTTCATATCGCAGCCCGGGAAAGGGGACCCACCGATGAGATGAAGCCCTTCAGCTCGAAAGTCATGGATCGTGGGTGGCTTCATATAGTCCGCACGGCGACCTAAATCGTTCAGTCGCGTACTATACGAGTTTGCCTTCTCAATCTCGGTTGTAGCGCCTTCATAGAAAGGACAGTTGCAAATGCCGGGTTCCCAGAAAAGTTGATAGACTTCCTTTTCGGGTGGCGCCGGAATATTGAAGACGTCGTCTATCGTTTTATAGTCTCGAAAGGCACCTCGCGCTAGACACATTGCTAGTTTCGGGAGAATCGGGTTTAAGAGGAAAGGTCGTGGCTCCGAGCCTTCGTGGATCGCCTGTTCTGGCCTGTTTTGACGGTCCATGGTGTCAATCAAGACCCTAGTAGGACCATAGGGAGCCTTGGATCCTAGATGACTAGGAAACTTACCTTTTGTCTGGTGTCCACGTCATGCCCTTTGCGTCCCGCGTAAGCTGGGCAGCGAACTCGGGCTTTCCATGCTCGTTCCGGAAGACGATGAAGATAATATCCTAAGTATATGTTATAGTTAAGATATTGCAAATCTTACCAGAGGGGACGGGGCACGAGATGTCAAAACGCGCTCTAGAACAACTCACCCGATGGTATAGACCACGCCCGGAATTGGCACGGGCAGTTGACTCGAGATACTCCCCCACCCGTGCAGAGGTAAAGCCGTAATCGAGGGTCTCAGACCATGTCGATACCCGGATCCCAGGACGCTTATATTCAAACCAATCGCGCTCCCAGAGCTGGGTCCCCAGATGAACCAAGTGGTTATCCGACGCGTAACGGCGAAGCCGCTTCGAAGCAGGCAGACCACGTTTCTTGATTTGCTCTTTGATCCACTACACTTCATGAGTACTGCCCAGGTTGAGAGAGAATGAGGGAGAGAATGAGGGAGAGAACTTGTCTGGCGGGACATACGTTCGTAACAGAAAGCGTCGTATTGCGAGGAATGGGGTCATTCTGCCGGCGGAACTGGGCCGTAAAGTCTTTCCACACTTGTCTGACGGATTTTGCCGAGGGAAGATCATCTTCTCCCTCACAGCCATCGAGTCCCCAGACGATTCCCTTAGTAAAGTGTTTGAGAGTTTTTAGATCGTAAGCATCTTTAACGGGGTCTTTGTGGTTTTTAGTACAATAGCTGTGTATTCGTGGCGCGTACAGTTAGCATACGTAGAAGAATGAGCCCAGCAGAGCGGTGGTGAAAGGTGACACCGGAAGATCATACTCAGCCCATATGTTCATAGCATCTCTGTATCGTCTCTTTGTTCCGTCTTCAAGAGACTTGTGGACAGGTTTGCCATCGATCCCTGTCTTATCCAACTCCGAACCTCGTTGTTCTGCTCGGTCGAAGAAGCCCTTCCGACCTTTCGCCATCGAGAGTGAAAGCAGTACGGCCGAGAGCAGAGGGAAACCCGTTAGGGAAAGCACGCTGAGGAAGGAGAACAATCGATGAGAGCCTTAAACCAGAGATACACAGGGCGTGAATGCTATAGTGACGGCTGCAAACCACGTTCTGGGCAAGGTTTCTAGCCTCAACTACCAAGTATAGCGAGGGAGGGGCGGCATACTTATAACCCAGAGGACCAACACAAGGCCGGCCTTCCACCAGGCGTCCGAATGAAGGGGGTAGAGATCCATCACTGCCACGCAAGAGAGCAGCACAGGAGGCGCCCAACTAAGCAGCTCGAGCACATTAGAGCGGGCGACGGAATGGGATCCCCTGGCATCTCGAACGGGCCCCGTCGTCTAAAGTTGACGAAAGTTGGTGTTGTGAATGAAAAGGAAGGACGAAGGACCAAGTGCTCAGGCAGTCCTCAGGGAGCGCTCAGGGAGCGGCAGGTGAGCCGAGGGTGAGCAAAGCGGCGAGCGGCTAATCAAAAAGAGAAGACGGACGACAGGTTTTTCGCCCGCGACTACCTATGTAGCCAAGTAGCGTTCACGCAAGGGGCAAGCGGAAGCGCGGGCGCACAGCAGCAACCCAGAAGTTCCTCCTCGCCGCCAACGAGTTTCGCGACGGGCATGGACAGGGAGGCGTCGCTATAGGCAGCTTGGTCGGGTGTCGGTGAGTAAGCTGGATACCTCCGTACGTAAGTTTCGGCCCTGCTCCCCTGGAAAATCGGGATTTGAGGGCGAGAACGTTGAGAGGGATACATGGACAAAAGATTCATTCCGACATGATCGTGTGTTGTGTCTAGATTCTAGAACCACGATCATCGCCGATCTTGTCCCAACGATATCGAGATCTCGAAGGTCGGAGAGGGAGAGAGCAAAGGAAAACCTAGCCCAGATAGAGTCGAGCCCATATGTCCCAGGCATTGCCTCTCCACTGTAGGCCAGATGGTTTAGCCTAGAGGGACATGCTCTAGCGGGGCGTGGGTTGTGGAGAGTATCTATCTACTAGGTAATAGGTATTCTATATGAAGCTGCCCTCGCGTGTTATATCCCATGCAGCCTCGTCAGAGCGGTTCGTTCTTCCCGTTGCCCAGATCGCCTTCGACGTCTAAAGCCTTCCGTGCCATATATGTGCTCGCTGAATTCGTCCCTCGCTATCAAACACTTGACAAAGCTGGTGTGGCTGGCCGGCCCCCGTCAGATGGGCCTCCTTTAGTTGTCCGCGGCGATGCTCCGCCAGCTAAACTCCAACGAGGCCTTATTAACGAGCCTCGCATATCTGAGCTACCGGGGCTGCATGGCCCCTAGCTTGGTTCAGAGCCTACAGGAACCCTGTCGACGTGTGCAGAGGACCCGTTCGACTCGGTGGCTCCGGGTCTCGATTCGGCGGAAAGGAAAGTCGTGGTTGTCTAGAACAATGCATATATCCGTTTTACCAGGAGCCGTGATCGTTTTTCGTGCCTCTCGTTCTCCTCCGTTCACAGCCTCATCCCGCATCTCGCGCTGTCGTCCACATCTCCCATCAACGCTTCGATTCACAGCCAAACTGCTGTCGCTGCTCCCGCACCGTTGGGGAGCTTCGTCCTCGCAACCTCTTTGAATTCCTCGCCATCCCAGCCCAACACAAACACAAATCCTTCCTCGCTATCCGTCATGGCAAGATACTCGACTCCATCAACGGTTGGACCGGGTTGGATTGCATTCGCCCAGCCGCCACTCGTAGGTGTCTCCCACAAATACTGCAAGCCACGGAAGAACGGCTTCCATCCGCAGTCCGAGTCCTTGGTGGGGTGTCGGATTGGTATTCTCCAGGTGGAATGAGGTGGGAATGAATCGTCGATCACACCTTCATCGGTCAACTTATAAACTGCGACATATCCCTTGTCCCCCTTGTTCAGTGCTCGTGTACTGGCGTACAAATACTTCGGTTTGTCCCCTGAGGAGAGACTCGTCCGTACTTCGTCAGCCCAGTATCCTATGCTTCCAGTCCCAGCAGGAACGATGTTAACACCATCTTCATGCACTAGATTCACGCCGTGGTTCGTGGCAGAGAAGATATCCACCCTGAAACTGTGTTCTTGCAAGCAATAAACGATTTTCCCATTCGGGTGAGGCCAGGCGTGTCTCGGTCCATCGTGAGGGTCAGGCGAGATGTGTTTCTCTCCCAGCGCTAGTTTTCCCGTCTTAGGGTCAACCGAGAATGTCCAGATACAGTTTCGCCCAATGTCGGCAACGTAAAGAGCTCGGCCATCGGGCGAGAGATCTGCGGAGTGGGCGCCGTGGCGAAGTCCTCCAAAGTCCATGACACTGCCATCATCACGCTGTCCCTCTTCGTCCACAAAACTAAGAAGTTGCAGTGGTTGGATCTCGGAGGGATTCCCGCCCCGAACGCCATTCACTCGAACATGTTCGGACTTCACTTGAGCGTCCTCAGACTTTAGAGGGGCGATAATGTTCCCGGTTTTCGGATCCAGGCTAAACACTTCTCCTGTGCCTCCACCGGCCGAATACAGAGCTATGTCGCTCGCCGTGACGTAACCACTGCGAGATCGAGTCTGGGCACTCCCTAGGAGCTGGATGTCTGTCGGGGACTTGACGACATAAGCGGCCACGGCGGGGGGCTCTGTCCACGCCGTGGCGTAGAGATTCCGCGTCCCGTCCTCTTTGGGTGGGGAGAGATGAAGCCACGAGTGCGACCCGATGGCAGGGGTGCGGTGCAGTATTTCGAGTTTGCCCGCCCCTTCACGGTCTTCCAAACGTCCGGGAGAGGTGAATCTCAGTGTGTAGAGCTCAGGAGTGTCGAACGTGCCGACGAGGAAGTCGAAAGTCTGGGGCATGTTTCGGGGTTTCGGGTTTTTGTATTGTTTGGTCAGATGTCCGATGAATCTGGGGGTATTGTTGTTTGTTTGGAGGTATCAGGGAGGCTTCGCACGGTTTTCTTAGCTTTCGATCTCCCGCCTCCCTTTTCCTGCACGCCGAAGCGCTCGGGTCCGCTTGGGCGGGATTGTTGGAAGTCAGCTTTTATGGATATTTGTCAATCGGATCAAGCCCTATTCGCGAGTGGGAGCCGCAACCGGGAGGTGGGCTACCTTGACTTCCGGCCGTCGGGATGAGTCTCTGTTGGCCGACGACAAGGACGAGCTTCCATCCCTTGGATCTATCGACCTAGGCCGCAGCTTTGGAGAGATGACAAGAGATAGAGATCCAAGTTGATGCCCCTATAAGAAGGTCAACGACGTCCAGAAGGTAATGAGCTGGCCATGGAACGTCCTGCGCAGTTACACATTCGGATCGGGACCGGGTGCCGGACTTTAGTTTCTCCGAGACGCCTATCCGATGGTCTCCCCGCATTCCGACATTGTCAGCCTCGCGTGCCTCGTCAGCGGCGGGGGAACTTGAGGTATTTCATCTCTACTTAATACCGCTCGAACTACAATCATGCTAGGCATTAGGTTGGAGAAGAGGTGATAACCAGAGAATGAACAGCCAGGCGTAGCCTGGATATTGCTTGTGGAGTCTGTTTGTCGCGATGCCCGCCAAGGTCATGCCGACTCACCTAGCAACTCGTCAGCCTCGCCAATGTCCCTAGCACTTCCCTCAGCAGAATCGACACATAGCGGCAGAATTTGCAGCGCTATCAGGCCAAGGCGAGTGAATCGCATCCCACAATTGACCACTTTTTATCACACACACAGAGATCAACAAAGACGCTAAAGAACGCTAAAAAGAACCCAGAGCAAGAAAGAAAAGGACAAAGCCCAAAAAACTTCCTCGCCGAGCCCGACAATCTCACTTACCAAGTGATGATCGAGGTTCAGAGCGAACAAGCGAAAACTCCTCCCGTTTCACCACCTACCCCCTATATCGATAGGGGGAGATTGTGCAATGGGACTGGCTTTACTTCTTCACATATCCGTTGATGGAATCGTTTGGGGAACGCCGCAGGCCACTTACAGGTGGATTCTACCCTCCTCCTCCTCCTCCTCCTCCTCCTCCTCCTGCCATCCCGCCATGGGCGGTGTTGGCCTGAGGGAGAGAGTGGAGGGAGCAACTATCCAACGCCGGATTGTAGGGAAAGAATGCGCGATGGAAAATGATGTAAATAAATTACACGGTGGGGAGGGCGAGGGGAAGAAAACAAGCATGTGATGATGATGTGAGTAGGTAGTGATTGTGGAGGAGAGTGAAGTAGCAGGGACACACAACTACAATCATACAAAGCTCGTGATATGCCACTTTCTTTACTTGAAATAGAATAGAAGAGCTCCTTGGTGACCCCGCTTATGGTGGCTTTCCTGGTCCACGGAGTCCATGTGGCGAGACTTCAATTGTCCACAGATTGTCTGCGGCACTCTGCCCCAAATCGCCAGGGATGCAACGCCCCTATAATGGTGGCAGGACGAGTGAGAGGAAGTGTTCTCGGTCAAAAGTGGGTAAATCATTCGAGGTGACAAGAGCAAACGAGAGAAACTGGGCAACATCAGAATGCGACACAATCCACTCCTCAACGCGCGATGATAGACATGAGATGCTTCTCGTGTTACCGCAAATATGGGGTGTTTCAGCCAAGCAGAGGTAAGCAAAGTCGTCGTTATACGAAGGTGTAGTCGTACGAAGTCGTGGTGGAAGTCTCTGTCCGGAGGCATCCCGACACAAATGCAATTCATGTTAGCGCAAATCAGTGTTGATGGGCCATACGTTTTCTGCAAAACCATTGAATTGCGGTCACTTCTCTAGGTTTACAACGCTCTTCCTGTACAGACTCCAGACACCCATCAAGCCGAATGGCGAGGCGTCTCAACCTCGAACGACGGCCATAATCCATTACTTGGCTCCGTGGACAAACACTCGTTCCTCGAGCGGCTTGAAAGTCTTGGGGTAGGGTTCGGCAGCGGGTTTGCCAAAGACCAGCTGTGCTTTCAAGCTCCAGTTGTTGGGCACGTTCCAGGTCGCCGCAATCTTTTCGTCAATCAGGGGGTTATAGTGCTGCAGGTTTGCGCCAAAGCCTTCCTTCTCCAAAGCTGTCCACACTGTTTCCCACTTAGTCAGCCCAGAACGACGAAAGAGGGAGTGTCAGACGATGTAAGGGGGTTGCTTACAAACATATTGATGCATGGCATTCGTATGCTCACTCCATTGAGGGAACTTGTCGGCATAGAGGGGGAAGGATTCCTGCAGCTTGGCGACATCCTTGGGCTCCTCGTAGAACAGAATGGTGCCATAGCCGGCCTTGAAGCCCTCGAGCTTCTTTTCCGAAGCAGGCCACGCCTCGGCTGGAGCGACCGACTTGACGACGGGGATAACAATATCCCCCCACAGTTTCTTGTGCTCCTCGTTCAGCAGGACAACCACACGGGTGGACTGCGAGTTGAAAGAGCTGGGCACGTGCGTGACGGCTGCATTGACAAGTTCGTGGATCTTGGAGTCGGGAATTGGAGACTCGCTCGAGAGAGCGTAGTAGGTGCGGCGGGACTTGACAGCGTCAAAGAAAGCGTCTGATGACATTTTGCTGGTCGTTGAGGTGAATGGGCGAGCCTGTGACGATGAGTTTGGGAGACGTGTAGCAATTGAAGGACCGTTGTTGAGGGAGTGTTTGTGAAGTGGAAGAAGGACGGATGCCGCGCGCAGTGGCCTGACTCTTAAATATCTGCAAGTCTGAGATGGCGCTGTAAGACGCATGCTGCTCTTTCTGGTCTTGTCTTTCCGATCTTTACGGATTGTACCGATCCTGACACAATCCAGGTCCACGAGATGGAGCCAAACGCAGGGCGAAGGACAGGTGCTTTAAAAAGTGGAGGGGTTCGCTGAAGGGACAGATTGGATCGGATACGAAGTGATGGAAGATTCGATGGCCACCTAAGTTAGTTAGCCAGTGGCATGCACAGTGGGTGATTCAATGGCTCCGTGGCTCCGTGGCTCCGTGGGCCCGTAGCAGCTTCTTGCAAGGCTGGAAGTCATTCCGCGCTTTGTCAGTTCTGGTTGGTGATGATGCCGTAAGCGGCGAGAATTGCGTCAAGATGAATCGGGCGACGGTGGATGGAGAGGATGGCGATGCTGGCGAGGAGGCAGAAGCTGTGATTCGTGACTGCGCCCAAGATGGGAGAAATTTTGATTGACTCGAGAGCCACAATGTGGAGCTGTGCGTCGGTCGACGAGAGTGAGCGTTCGGCAGTTCAACCCTCCGCTGCTTGATTAACCGCCTGTTGTCAGCGAACTTGTTCTTTTCGTCAAGAGATGGTGTTTCTTCGTTTCATACGGCTGCGGTGAAGCTGCCTGGTCCAGCTGGTGTCCAGTCGCCAATGCTTCCCTACTCGGAGCGAGGAATTGGTCGCGACCGTCTAGGCATACCGATTCCTTGTATCAACTCCAATGCGTTGATGGGCCATGTCGATTGTTCGACTAGACCTGAGGAAACAGACAAATGCAAGACCCTATATAGCTTCAAATCAGCCACACCCGTCTGCCCTCGGACTCTCGGGCCATGATTTTGGGCGAAATTCGTCCGACGCTTTCCCTGAACATGCCAGATATCCACGATCTGCTACGGTGCCCCAGAGAGCAAGCGACATATCAGAGAACAATCTGCTATTTTGGAATCATATATAGTGCCAATAATGCCTCTCGCGATACCAATCGCGGGCATTCCACTTTCCGCTCTCTAAGGAGTCCCTTTTCGACGGCGCACCGAAGACTCCACCCAAAGATAAAGATTCCTTTTTCATCCGTAGCTCAGGTTTGGTCTTGCTGAAGCAGTGGCGTCCTATGCACTCTTCTCTGGATCACCAGCACCCGTGGTAGTCGTCACTAGACTACCGTTCGTGCGAGTTCTCCTCGACCGCACCTCCAAATCGTGGTGCGCACGACTGCGAGTAGCATGCAGAGCGGCCATGTTCGTTTCCTGTTCATCCTCTTCGCCGCTACTCTCTTCGTCCACGGGTTTCCGAATCGCCATGGTCGGTGCAAATTTGGATCTTTGGCGGAGCTTCTTGCCAAAGAAGTAGAAGCACACGGGGATCGGGACGCAGAGAGCAGCTATGCAACCAAGAAGCGTGCCGGCCCACTCAATACCGAGGTTGTCGAACATTTGGCGCGCGAAAAGCGGAAATCCTGCTGCGAGACACGATCGCAGAAAGGTATTCGCCGCAATGGCAGAGGCAGCACTTAATATGGTCAGTGCGATCCGGAACAAGGAGACAATGGGGAACTTCAAACTTACAACATGAGGTACGAGTCGATAATGTAGTTGAAACAACAGATGAAAATAGCCAACAGACCAAACCCGGTGAACAGTCCAGACAGGGTCGGAACAATCCAATGGATCGATGCCTTGTAGCCTGTCCAGCCAAACCAGAAAAGACCAGCGGCGAACAGCACTCCACCGATCATGACCGGTGGTAGGCGCCACTCTGGGACTGGAATTCCGCCATTGGCCGCAAGCTTCTTGTTATAGGCCTTGGAATCCCAAATGATATAACCTGCGACAATAAAGATTCCACAGACCATTCCAAAAAATGGTAAGCCCGCCACACCAGGAGTGATGTGGTGGACGCCCTGGAAAACTAGAGGGTAGGCCGTCAGGAAGCAGTACAACAGGCCATAAATGAATGACATGTAGCAGGTGATGGCAAGAATGATGGGCTCCGAGATCAGCAGTCGAATCGGACGAGAAAAATTCTTAGTGATGAGTTCTTTGAAGTCCACCTCAACTTCTTCTTGCTTCGCATGGATGCCCCAATTCTTAGTTCGGCGTCGCAGTTCGGCGGCTTTACCCACCAGGACGACTGGGGCGTAGGACTCGTGGATGAAGAGAAAGACCAGGCATACGGCCGCTGAGCCCATAATACCCGGAATGTAAAGGTTCCAGCGCCATCCGAGGTAAGATTTGTTGATAAAACCTCCAATGAATGGTCCTAGCATTGGTCCCATGAAAACCATCGAGGAGAAGATGACAATCGCGGTGCCTCTTTGCGTGTTGTCAAACATGTCGGCAAATACGGCGGCAACGACAGCCAATGGACACGAACCGAAAAATCCGGTAAAGAACCTGGTGATCATGACCGTCTGGAGATCCTTGGCTGTCGCACAACCAAAGCAAAAGACTGAGAAGCCGAACATTGCGATCAGGATGGGGAGTTTTCGACCTATTCACGCCATGTCAGCTTTGTGGACCGTCTTCTCGCTTCCGACGCCCATTACCTTGCAATTCTGAGAAAGGACCCCATATCAGCGGACCGAACGCGTAACCCAGGACGTAGAGGGATGTGCTAAGGGTAGCCACTTCGGCACTGACTCCGAAATGAGCGGCCACACTGAAGGTGGATGCGGAGAAAATAGAGGAAGTGAAGGTGCTGCACAAGCAGACATAAGCCAGAATTGCGCCCATGTATAACCTGCAAACCACGTTAGCATGAGCATTTCCAGTGATCTCACGTCAAACTGCACTCACTTTCTCCGAAAGGGCCAATTTTGAGGATGGAGAGGATCGTCTTTGCCGTCGAACTCTACGACGTACTCTTCCTGCGCCGGTAGATCGGGAGGATATGGTTTTCCACCGCCGAATTCGGGGAGAGGTTTGGTGTCGGCCTTTGACTTTACACTTGCCCCCACAGTCTGAATTTGCTGCAAACGATGTGTTTCCGTCCTAAGGTCTTCGATGGGGTGTGTCCTCGTTCTTACAGCCCTCGCGGAAGGTACTGTCGCGCTTGAGGCTCCGGCAGTGGCTATTCTGCCCATATCGGGGGCGGTGGATGTGCTGGAACCCGAAGAGCTGGAAATGACCGATTGCTGAGATCTCTGGCTGCGCAATGACCGGCGCTCTTTACTTTCATGAGACCATTGGCGCGTGGCCTGGACCTCAGCCCGCTCCATGTCCCGATCGACGATATCCATGTTGGCAGATGCGCAAGTTGCCCTTCTCACGTGTATTCTTGTGTTCGATGCGTCTGAGGAAGCCTGGCCTATGGGGGCAGGTCCTTATGATCTCTGAGGATGTCTCGGTCTCAACGCACCGTACGCGTTTTGCACGGTATGAGGTCAGAGGTGGCGATGCGGGTGTGGGGAAGAGTCAGCCAGGCATGTCAAATCGGCGCCGGATCGCGACAATGGAAGCACCGATATGTCGGGTATGAATGGATATGAACGGGATATGGGAAGCTCGGTGTCCGGCAAGGGTTCAAAAAGCAGCCAGAGAGCAGCCAGAGAGCAGAAACGAGGGTATGGCAGCCCAGCGTAACGGGTAAATATAATGGAGGGTTAGTCGAGACTGAGGGCGAGAGAGAGAAAGCGAGAACGAAAGAATACACAATTTATCTCAAGACCAAGGCGATCAGGGGGATAATGGGTAGCTCATGCAGACGATGCGACGGATTCGCCAACGGATACAAGCAAGAAGGATTGTGTGTGCTAAGTGAAGGTTGCAGTAGTTGGGGGAAAATCGAATTCAATAATGGCGATGATGATGGTGGTGGTGGTGGTTGTTGTTACAGTGGAGTGGGCACCTGTGGGCACCAAGGGTAATGATGACACAGCTGCAGGCGTCTGGCGACTGGCCACGGGCGCCCATTGGGGCTTCGCCTGCGCAACAGGACCTGCGCCTCTTTTCTCCCCCGCGACAACCCTTTTTCCTTCCTCGGCACCTCGATTTGAGTTCCCTTGTAGCGACCACCACCACCTCTGCAGCTCCCGGCTTAGCTTTGAACATCCAGGTGAGATCTATGCTCTTCGAGGAATAGCCCGCCGAACTGTTGACCATGAATTGCGGCCGCAACAAGCGCACATCAAAAGAGCGAGAGGCCGGTGGGAGGCCCGAAGCCACCATCCTCACCAGGTCCTCCCCTGTGCTCCTGGCGATCCCCTGCCACCGCCCGCACATACAGCCGAGTTATCGCGCATGAAGCTCTCTCGCAAGGGATCCCAAGCTCCCACCCTGGTGTCAGGGTGGTGTCATGAATCGGTGGGCTTGCTGATTAAGAGCCGTCAACACCGATTAGACTGCGCGCCGGCGCCGACTTAATCTCTCCCTTCCTCAGACGCCTCAATCGAGTCAATCCTTCCCATCCCCATCCGCTGACAAAGTGACATGTGGAACACTGCGAGAAAGAGACTACCTCGAACTCTAAAAATGCCTCTAAGTATCGCCTGTACGCGGCCTCTACCATCGGATTGAAATTACTCAGCGTGCAGCTACCAGCTTTGCCTTTGTACAAGTCTTCGCCGAAGCGAGTTGGGTCTTGACCCATCATCAGCGTTATGGCACGCCGAGTATCCTACTGGAGGCACCTATTTCTGTTATCTCCGAGTGGTGATAATCACAAGGATTGAAAACGTCGGTGATGGTAGGTCTAGGTCTTTGTACCGAGTACAAATCTCAGTCAATGGCTATAGCTCACGCGCCCTAGGTTGAGTAGTCAATCGATTTCGTCGTCGAATCTCCGACCATCGAGTGTATTCGCCTGCCTCCAGGATATTGATCTTGCGTGTTAATCCGCTTGGCTCGCCTAGAATCACCGGGTCCCATACTTCTTCCCCTTCTCCCACTCCACGCTCCTGCCGACCTGGGATCATCTGGACATTCTTCCGTCTGAAGAGAACCACAGTGAGAAGTAGAGTCAGTGCCATGAGCACACCGGCAACGATGCCAGCTGCTTGCATACCGCCATACCTTCGCTCAACTCGACCTCCAATGCCCGTGGCCACGGCGCCGAACACAAACTTCAGGAACTGGGTAACGGCCATGCCAGCACTAACTCGTGGATAGCAGGAGAAATTTGTGCGCAGTTTGCCTGTTCGCCCCGTCACTGATCTCCGCACTGGGCGTCCAGTCATTCCTGGTTGCAAGTCCGACGTGTCAAAGGTTAGCATCATTTGAGCATAACACTCTGCGATCGCCAAGTTCGAGCCACACCCAACGAACGCTGCAAACACACATGGCACAGCGACAGGGAAAGGAGGTTTTCTCGATGACAGGGCGTATCCAATAGCTGCCAGCGGAAGAAACACCATGAACAATGTCCGCCGAACCGTATGTGACCGCCAGACCATGGCTCTTTGGAAGGTCATGCTGTCTGTACGAGGAGGATGATACCGCGCACGACTGAGCCAAGATGCTTTCTGAAAAGGTATTGCCAGGGCCGATCCAAGGGCCAGGGAAAGAACGCATAGTCCAACTTGATCTGGACGGTAACGATATTCAGTCGAGGCCAAAGCTCCGAGCAACTGTTGGTGTTAGCCCAATCCGGCCAACGACAGTCAATGACTCACCATCAACACCAAGGTAAATTGTGCGTACACCCAAGCAGCATAGATGGACAGCACCAGCAAGCCTGGCTGCTTGGCCATCCGCCAGCTTAGCCGCAGAGCTGCCATGATCTCTTCACCCCACCAGTACGGCCCATTCCCGGTAAGATGAAGTTTGACTTCCCCACGAGCAACCCTGCTGAAGCTCCCACCCTCGCCAATGATTTCCGCCACTGTTCGTCGGAATGCCGATCGACGCACTTCTGGCGCAATGAGGTTGAGCAGGATGACGACCAACAGCAGGAGCGACGAAATCCAAAAGCCCCAGTCGACCGAATTGTTGATTATGATGAGTGTTCCAACCAGGAATCCGATGCTGATCGAGGCAACAGTGCACCACGACCAGATTGCCAACCAAACTCCCATTCCGCCTCCATGCCGGCGGACGTCGTACGGGTCAGGAAGCTCATGCGAATCACTGCTCTGTAGCGATGCACCGAAGATATCCAACAGCGTCGCGAGGTTGTTGATGTCAACAAATCCAAGAACAAAACCTGATAGACCGCGAGACAGGAGCAGAATGGTCCGGTATCTCCCTAGATCTGGGGACCTGAAAGTTGTAACCATCAGGCCCTGAGGTATCTGCAAACACAACGCCAATGTGAGTGCTGCAAGAGTGTAGGGCTTCCGTCCGTGCAGCAGAGGGAGAGGCCAAAATACCAAAGTCGGGATAGCCAGTCCAAGATAAAGGAACAGATTTCCGAGAATAACCTGGCGGTTAAAGTCGACAATGACGTACTGGATGGCCGGGACCTCTCCTGCGTATATCCCGAGAAGCAAACCTAGACAGGCGACATTGATGCAGCTCACCACCGCCGCGAATCGTTTTCGAGAGGCCGGCCAGTTGCGAGCTACGGGTGCATGATGACAAGTGGTATGAACGTCCACATCCTCTGCTCGCGCTGGGAGGTCGATATGCTGTACGCCATTGAGGTCGACAGTGTAGGAAGGGCAGGGCGACGGATGTGCCATGTTGATACTCACATGTCGGGAAGGAATTCCAAACATCTGACTGAAATGCCTCTCATGACCCGGCCGAGGGGTACCCAACAAGGGCTCCTTATCTTCGTCAAAATGCACAGCTTGATCCCCACTATTCAGTGTCAGGATAGGGGTTGGTCTCGAAGCGGAAGATCTGCTTCCGGCGATGCCTTTGGAAGATGCGATGCGAGGGCCAATTTGAGGAGGGGCTAGGAACCGGGCTGGTCGGCTTTCACGGTTCACAGGGAGTGTTGATCTATCTCTTGACAACTTTTTCTTCCTCTCCTCTAGAGAGTCAGCGACTGGTTCTGGGAGGAGAATTTGTAGGTCGTCGGCACTGCATGCGCCTCGGCAGCGAGGAATGATATCCCCCCTCTCAGTCTCATCCCTCTGGGAAGTCAATTCTCCTGCAGATGCTGCCGACCTGAGGGACTGGCCACTTTTTGGAGAGGGTGCGAAGTCATTCGTCTTCGAGGAGACTTCATCCAGGTATTTGCTGATCTTCTTTGCAAGGCCTAGCGGCGGCCGATGTGGTGGATCGAGTGCACTTCCGAGCCGTTGCTCCAGCTCGTGGCCGTCATGTTGCCGCGACTCGCCACCTTCGGCAAGCCTGACGGCCTCTTCGACCAGTCGTTCTAGTTTTTGGATAGTCTGGGTCATTGACGTTGACAATTCCTCCCCTGGATAGCCATCATCTTCACTCCGAGCTTCGTCGATGCTATCCTCGTGTGATATCTTTGGAGAGCCCCCATCTTTTGTAGGGCGACGTCCTGGGTCCTTGCCTGCTCGGCTTCTTTCTGCTCCCATGCGCCGATCATTCCCAGGTTGAGATTAGGATGGGAGTATTCAAGAGGCAACCCCAGCCCCAGCGCGCTTTGCGAGGTGGAATGGTCACGCTGGCAGAGTGAGGAATAACGGAAAAGGATAACTGAGGGACGATACAAGATATCAAAGAAGGTGAGGGAAGCGAAAGAATAATAGCAAGCTTGATTGAGGAGTACGGTATCTGGGACATTGCGACGCTGGCGAACACGCGGGACGCAGGCCCTCTGCGGTCATTCTTGCAGGTGTTGAGCGCGATTCCAATCATTGAGATGGAAGGGTCGACCGCGGGCAATGCACATCATGGCTCGATGGGTGATGGGATAGAGCCACCCTCGCCCATCCTCCGCGACCCAACCAAGCTTTTGCTGGGCGAAGCTTGTGCATGAGCTTGGCTCTGCTAAGATGGCACAAATAGGCAGGAGCGGCGGGCAGGCGGGGTACCTGGGAGCTGTGCTTCGGGGCGAGCCGATCGACTGATCCCTGGTGAATGCAACCATCTGGTCAGGTCCATGTTCTGCATGATTGTGCAGGCGAGGAATTCTAAGAAATGATGATGGCATTAAGCGCTATGTAGGTAGGGGACACAGGATTGAACGGACACAGGAAGAATGAAGGTTTGATGGGCGTGCAGTGGCTCGTCTTCGAGATTGGCCCTCCTGCCCCTCCCCTCCAATGCTGGCCCCTCCATCAGTAGCTGTCTGCCCGTCACCCCATGGTTTCAGGAATTCGATGGACCTGTCAGCGCTCGTTTCGTGCCGACGCCACGCGATCGTGTCATGCTCCCCTAGTTAGCACTGGTGGCACTGACACGGTCATCCTGTGTTTGTTTCCCCCTTGCCTCTCAGCTCAACTTTCCCTCACCACCACCACCCTCAACGCCTTGCCTTTCTGCTCTCCTCGACCTTACCTGCTTCTCCCTTGAAACCTGGTTACTCTCAGCGCCCAGTCCGACACCTTCACGACCAAGCACACTCGCAACCCCGCCATGTCTTACTACAACGACCAACCCCAGGGCTCCTACGGCCGGGATCCTTACAACCAACCTCCATCGTACGGCGGTCCCCCTCAAGTGCCCCATCCATGGGTTGCCGAGTGGGACGAACGGGACGGCCGCTGGTTCTTCGTCAACCGCGAGACCGGCGAACGCACCTTCCAACACCCGCAACCGTCCTATGGCGGCGGCGGCGGCGGCGGCTACGAAGAGCGAGGCTACGGGTCCGGTTACGGGGGACAGGAGCAGAGGGGAGGAGGCTACGAGCAAGAGCCGCAGAAGAAATCTCACACTGGTCGCAATGTTGCACTGGGTGCTGCTGCAGGACTCCTGGGGGGTGCTCTCTTGATGCACGAGGGAGAAAAAGTCGGTGAGTGATTGGAGTCGGGAGTCTGTGACCGGCATGCGAATATCCCGTGGGGCTGACACCTCACCAGAGGAGAAATGGGACGATGCCAAGTACGATGTCGAGAACGACGTGCGTGACGGCGTGCAAGACGTTGAGAACTTCCCGGACAATGCAGCACGCTGGACGGGAGAGAAAGTTCAAGAGGTCGAGGACATCCCGCAAGACGTTGACCGCAAATGGGACAATGCGGTGCAGGACGTTGAAGACGTGCCCGACGACGTTGCCGGCTGGGCGGGCCGAAAGGTCGGGGACGTTGAGAGTAAGCGTCCCTTCGAGCCTGTCTTGCTGGAATTTCACCCTGCTCTGTCCTCGCCTCAAGACATCGGGTTGGTGCTAACGACGACCTAGGATTCGACGACAACATCGACAACGCCTACGACCAAGGCCGTGATAATGCCCGATACGATGACAACTACTAGGCTGCGTCGAGGTTCTCGACACTCCACTGCTCCGAGGGTTTCAGGGGCTTACACAGAGACGAGCGAATGGACGGAGCTCCGCCTCTTAGAACGTGATAGCGTTTCCATGGTTGATGCTTATGACCCCTGCTCTGCATCATGGCTTTGAAGCCACGGCACAGTTGCTCTGACCGGCAATAGGCCTCTCTCGCGATAGACAACGAGTCGGCTGAGACACTCGATCAATGAAAGATGACTATTAGTCTTGTGGATTTTCTTCCTTTACACTGTATCCACAACCTCGCCGAAGCCGTCTGTTGAACCCATGTCAAGCGTACGTGAGAGGTCGCCCTGCCCACTCGAGATCCAGCGTAAAGGTGCGCGGGGCTAGTCTATCCCTTGTATACAGTCTTGAGGCGGATTCTCGATTGCGCAAACACGGCTAGCCTAAACGTACGGGTTTGGTGTCGGCTTCGCAATCGACGTTTCTACGGACTTGCCGAGTCTAATCGGGACAGTTGCACTGGGCACGTCCAGCTCCTCCGTGGCACAGTGATGATTCTCGGCGAGCTGCTTCCTGGCGGCCGTGTGCCCGACGAGCATGTGCTGACTCTCTTTCCACGCCAAAGCGACAGCGTGCCTCGCCTTCTCGGCGCCCATTTTCATTTCTCACTGTCGACTTTCCTCCCCACACTTTTTGCGCCGGCGAGAATTCAATGCCTTTTCCTCCGGAGAAACGAGGGAGAGATACGCGCATTTGCTGCGTCTCTGGCGATGAGCAATCGATGCAAAATAGAGCCGGACTCGACGGGGACCTGCTTGTCCTGGACCATGTAGCAGATCATGCTTTTGTCATTGGGTACGAAGCGTATTGAAGGGGTTTTCGAACGAGACGATATTTCGAAAAGATTGAACGTCTGAACAAATCATGGCCGTTTTGATTCGAGATTGGGGGGCGAATCTCTAGCCAAGTAGCCGTTTTATCTTGCTGTGCGATGGTCCAAACGTGGTCGACTCCCTTTAACAACCCGCCCCCGTTATTGATCGTAAAAAGGGGGCGTGAAAGTCGATTATCTTGAGTCTTAGTATCTAAATTGATTCGATCTGCTTTTGTCCAAATTGTGCTGGATGGCCCTGCTTTAGGCCAGGACTCGCGGTAGCTTATTCTTGCGCGTGCAGAATTAATTACATGATGGTTCAATCCTGTCCTCTGTGCTGTCCGGATCCCCAGAGACACCCTCTCACAAAATGATAGTTGGTCTTAATTGTGCAGCTGAGTTCAGTTGCTGCCCTAACGCAAGACCTGTTCTCATTGCGAGCACCACCAGAGAATAGTCTCCTGCCGAGTGAAATTCCCCGAGAAACAATACATACCGACACGAACATCCACCAAACTTGTCGTCGAGCACTGATATATGACCTGTTGTCACTGGATCAACCACAACCACAGCTCCCTTCCGGACGGTACTATATCTTGGGTAAAGAATGTTGACCCGAAATCCTCTCTGCTTCGGTCCGCTTTCTGTACCTCGTACGCTCAATTTCCAGGTTGGCGCTAGTGCTGGCAAGATATTGTATAGTCCCATGTAGTTGCTGCAGAACAACATTCGGCCCCGACGTCGTCAAGGAATTGTGCATGCTGAGGAAGTTGACTCGAGCGCCGTGCAAGGACTGTTGATGCACCCAAAGGCTGTCCCGTGCTCTTCGAAGATGCTCCAGGATTTCCGGAAGTGGAAAGACAAACGCCGTAAGTGACTCTCTCATCTGGTGCTGCGGGCTGTTGACGTAAAACAGGTCAAACAGGATCCCCTTTTTGTCGATCTCGGCCTGCACGTATTGCCGCGCATCCCTGATCTGCTTCCCATACGTTGCACCATCCCGTTCGACCAGTTCGAATGTATCCCGGCACTGCTCAATTAATTGGATCAACTCCACCAACCGAGCGTCCAAGTCTGTAAGTAGCTGGCTAAGCATCCTTGTGACTTGATATGTTGTATGCCATGACCGAAGTGAGTAGGTCTTGATCGAATGATCTCCAGAAACATATTTCAACCGGCGTTCGGCTTCGTTCAGATGAGCAAGCATCATAAACAAAATAAATTCCGTGTTGATGATGGTAGTGAAAATCTGCCTTCCCGCCATGAGGATTCCTTTGCCGTATGCCGTCATTGTTTGGTCGAGCGCATCTTTTTCCGGAAAAGCCATGGGGTTCAACTTGATGTACAGCTGTTGCTTTGCAAGCGCGAGATCGGCATTCCTGAGGTAAGTGGAATGGGGCAGGATCAGACTTGAGACGTTGGCCCATTGACCAATCTCAATGGCGGTCTTGTTCAGCGTGTCGAAAATATCTTGTTCGGGACTCATTGGTTCGCAAGAGTAACCAAGCCACTGCACTGTCGTCTCACCGTCTGGATATGAACAAAGGATACTTTTGCTGACCATGCCTGCTACACTCACTGCGCCCGCTAAATAGTGGGCTCCGTCGAGTGTGCGGTGCTTTGCCCAAGCGAGGTAACGGTTTCCCACTGCTGCGCTACCCACGGTGATTGAGTATGCTCCATGCGCAAGCCCTTTCCCCACTGCGTAACTGTCTTGGACACCACTCACGAGGACGAAAATCGTTGCCAGAACCACCATGCAGATCAGTAAGATCAGGAACAGTACAACGGTAAATCCAAACCACGGGCTTGTTGTAACATTTCGAGAAGCTGCGAGGCAGATATTAACAAAGTTGCCCAGTGTTTCGAGACCGATGCTAGCCCAGGTGCAAAGTCTCTCGAGGAAAGCAGCGTGAGGCGAAGATTTCTGGAGCAAGGTGGAACGGTTTCTGCGCCTCGCATGATCGGCGTGGGTCGAGGGCACTGCTGCACCAGAAGAGTTGAAGGACTTTTTCCTCTTGCGTGAAGCAAAAGGTTCCGGCGCATCTAGTTGTTGATCTGACTGGTGCTCTTGAGGGCGTATCTGGAGGGGTTTCCTCTTTCTGGACGTTGACCTGCGCCGTTGCGGTTTCCTCGAGAGAGGAGGCATCTCATCTGAAACAGAAGCATTCAGTGCGTCATGGCTGCCGCCGCCAAAAGAGGCACCAGAGGCACCAGGATTTCCTGGATCTGTGTCAGACTGAGTACGCTGCGGCCTGCTTCGTTCTTCGTTTATTCCGTTGCGTTGCTCTCGGAGAATCCGTTGCCCCTGGCGTGGCGGCAGCATCTTGAATGGTTATTTAGATATTATCAGGTCTGTGGGACAACGGCTTGAGTTGAGAGGACGGAAAAGATGGACGCAGACTGCATTTCTGTGGAATTTAAGTTGGTGTGTAATGTAGGCGGTAGGGGATGAGTTCCCTAATTTCGGATTTTTGTGTCTTGGTTCTGTACCCAATCCTTCCCGAGAAATGTCTTAGGATCTGGAATAGTTTAGAGCATTCCTGGTGGTTGCCAGCGTGACAGGATACATCAGGGAGCGTGCACGGACATGATTGCCAAAAGTTCATTCCTGATTTCTGTGGTCAGTGTCTTAGTACTCCTGGAATGAGGGTTGGCCTCAGAGTTCCTGCGTTTAGTCTGCGGCGACGTTCGACCGTGGAAAAGAAAAGGTCCCAATGCCCAATTTGTATGCATTTCATTGGATTGATGTCAATACTTATAAGACAGGACGACACGCAGGTCAAACCCAGGATTTGGCAGTCATTTGGTCTTCTCATGGCCATAGCTATACCATGGTTTGCCCTAGGGGAAATTACTTTCGTTCAGTTGTGCGCGTCTGCGACAGGGTCGTTTAAAATTCGGCAGGATGTCCCAGACATTGGATCAAAGGGAGATGAAGAGTCAACTAGGACTGCTCCAACGATCAGGAGGGGACGAATGTTGACCCTTTCACTAGCAAGGTTTGAAAGGGAGATCTCGTTCCTGACTGAATATGTAGCAACCCGCAGGGAGGAGAAAAGAGAGGTGGCCGCAATGGCAGAGGTGTGGCTTTGGCCGTTGAGTTCATTGTGTTTGTCTATATATAAGAGCGAGTCTGTGACGTGAAATAAAAGAGTGGCAGGCAGGAGATCTGGCTAGCCCTGATCTGGCTTAGCTCTATATGTGACACTGGCCTGGCTAGAAGGCCCTTCGTCAATTCTTGTCACTCGATGGAAGAACATGATGAATTCTACCGGGTCCCCCATTGAGCCACAAGAATCGAGACCATTTCATTCTGTATCGCATATCAAGAACGTTACCTAACAGCTATATATCCTCACGGCAGCACCTTATAGAGCAACGACGCACCAGGCGTCCGTGCAACTCGCTGGGCTAAGGATGACCATCAGTGGGAGCGATGGCCCTGTGTCCTTGTTCAAAAGGCTCTATTAGAATGAGGCTAACCTTTTTCATGTGATATCGGAGGGAGCATTGTGGAGATATGAGACTTGTGCTATTGACGACTATATACCGATTTCCGAGGGCTCAAGGAAATAATAAGTCATAGGAATGTCTCCGTTCGAAATGACCAATGAACTAATTAATATTAATTAACTATAAAGCCCAAAACCCTTCTTAGCAATATCTCCTAGAACCCGCGAGTCAACTCGTCTCCTCCAACGCATCCGGCCAGAGACTAGTAACTGCACAACACAATTCTATACGGGTCTCCCTCTTACTTCTTTGTCCACTTCTGTTGGGAGGCAAGGCCTGAGTGGTGACAGGAATCCCGGGGGGGGGGGGGGGGGCAGGCTTTGTTCTCACGCACCAGCTTTGAGCAACGCAGCGTAAAGCAAGCATCTCGTCCATTCACCTTTATCACTTGTTCTGTCCTCTTCCAGAGGCCTGCACAAGGGGAGTGCTTTTGTTCCTTACAAGAAAAAGCAAGCGCTTCCTCAAAGCATTGATCGCTTTATGTCGCCTCAGTCCATTTTCCCACGAGGACCGAGGATCGCTCATTCTCTTTGTCTGGCTCAGACAGTTGGACAAGAATGTCTTGTCTCGTCGCTGCGTCTGTCTCAGGCTGCAAAAGGCCGCTGCCTCTCCATCACGCAGTGCTGCCCAGGGGCACGATCGCCAACGTAGCTGGGTGTGTCTGTTATATAATGGCCTCACTTGCACGTCTCTCCTTCAGCTTTGCCCAAGTTCATCCGCCATTGCCACTTTTCGAGGAGATAATAGCTAACCCACACAGAAGAAAAAACTCACTCATTGGCGCTGCTAACATCTCTAGGACACTACTCGACCGCAACTCTTGTCACTAGCAAGGAGGGACTTACCTTGGAGACTGCTCTACCCATCGAAAGAATGTCCATCCCATATCGTCCCGTGGGTGCCAGGCGTCCCCTCGCGGAACTGTACAGCTCAGGAGACGATCTTCCAGTCTCGTCGCGTGCTCGAAACCCGGGCGACGTGCTCATGGGCGGGCTAGACGCCGACGGCGATGACAGGAACAACACTTCTTCCGTCTGGGAAGGTGCTGCGCCTCCGACTTCCTCCCCCGAAGGTGAGAACAGTGATGATCAAGGCTACGAGTGGTTCCGACACCAACTCTACTTCGCCCAACAGGCTCGCCTGATCAACTTCGACAACGCTGCCGCTGGTCCCAGCTCGCTCCCTGCTAACCCCTCTGGAATGGATGATGACGATGACGCTGACGCTGGTGACAGTGACCCCGATGATAGTGATGAAGACTGGTTCTACAACGACGACAACGACGACGAGCTTGACGCCGAGGATGACGACGACGAAGAAGAACAGGTTGGACAAGAAGCTGAGAACCCCCCCGAAATCACGCCTCTCCCGCCCAGAGCAACTGGCCGCCGCCGCCGTCGCCGCCAAGTCCGCAATTGCAGACAGATCGCCCACGCGCACGACGGCGGCGCCCCGATGCTGGCGCTCGCGCTCAGCAACTGGCGCGTGAAGCGCGACGGGATGATCGCCGACAAGGTGAGAGCCGACAAGGTGAGAGCCGACAAGGTGAGAGCCGACAAGGTGAGAGCCGACAAGGTCGAGCAGGAAGAACGCCTGGAGAACCGCGTCCTGGCCCTCAGCGCCGCCGTGAAGATGGGGCTGCCCCTGCGCAAGGACGAGAACAACCAGCTCTTCAACGGCGACGAGGCGGTGCTGAGGGACAAATTTGATTACCGCAAGCTTGCCACCGCCGGGGCGCGGAGGGCGAGAACTCGGGCAGCCGAGGGCGGCGTGAAGAAGGAGTAAGTATCGACTCGCGAGGAGCGGGAGAGCTTCAAGCGTGGGTGACGAGTGTGAAGAGTCATTGGATCCTTCAGTAGACCAGACGCGGAGGTTGAGGGAGGTTGAGGGGAGGCTCATTCTGTTTATCACGGACTCTCATGGGTCGGTGGGATCTGGGATCGAATGGAATGGTTAATAGAGACGCCACCATGGCGCATCGGACTTTGGGATGCCTTCAGGTAAAGGCCTAATAAATGAGCTTGTCAACTCTTATCCGTTCGTTCGTTCGTTCATTGGTTCCCTTTGCTCCTCTGGAGCTATATTGGTCTTTCAAACCCTTCCACTTGTGTATCTCTCCATTCGCCAAAAAGAGTAAGCCGAGTATCAGGAACAGTGCCCCGATGCCTTGCTCTTCAGCAAAAAGGAGGCAATGTCTTGCGCAATTACTGGCCAATATTAGGCACTAGAGTGGATCTATAAAGATAGCCTTGTCGGGGGGTGCTTCTAACAAGGACGCTTTTTCTCCTCGGTTGAATTTGGACCTCTTCCCTTCTTCGGTGTTCAAGACCGGTTCATCTTGGAAAGGGATATGTGCTCTCTTCGGACGACGAGACGCATTGCCCCTTTTCATCTACCATATACCTACGGCTATCTCGCCAGGACGTGTTACGGGGAACAGCAGCAGCAGGAAATGCTGCCTATATTTGCATGACGTTGCGCCCATCATGAGTCCTCCCACAATAGGTATTGTCCATCAACCTGCATTCCCAGCTGCCACAGGCTAGGCAGTTGCTTCCTTCCCAATGCCCTCCTCATGGACGGCCACGCTGACGTTCCCGTGCGCCTGGGCCTTTTCGTCCACGTGCTCGATCTTGACATGTTCCCCGGCTTCGTCCAGCGTCTCGGCGACCTAGAGAGAGAACGTCCATCAGCAAGGCTCTGGTTCGGCGTACCAAGAACTCCCAGAAGATGAAGTCAAAGACAATAATGAAGTGCATCATGAGAATCCAGCAAGGACTTTACTCACCTTGTCACCAAAGACGGCCTCGATCTCTTCCAACGTCTTGTTTCTTGTCTCTGGGTAGAACAGGACGAAGACAATCGCGAAGACGAAGCTTGAGCACACGAATATCAGGAAGAACTTCCACGAGATAGTCTCGATCGCTTGTGGGGTGAATTGCACGAGGATGATGATCAGGACATGCTGCGTCATGTAGCTCACGGCTACACCGACGGGGCGGACAGATGTGGGCATGATTTCGGCGGGATACTAAAGTGTCGACACAAGTCAGTTTAAACACGATTCTCTCTTGTCGGAACCAAAACAAGGGAATAGGTACGAACCGTGGCTAGGAAAGCGTTGGCAGGCCCGCCGTAGCCGAGCCCAACGAAGAACATGGCTGCGATGATGCCCTTCGCGAGGGAGCGGTTGGTGCTTCCGCCATTCTCGTAGACTGCCCACGTTATGCATGTCGTGAGCGTCCCGGCAACGATGAGGAAATATGATATAAACTGTCATTGGTCAGAAGCAGACTTCATTCCCATAGGAAGGCACAACACTGACCATCGTTGGGCGCCGCCCCATGAGGTCGAAGCATAAAGCGGCGTATACTGCAGAGAGTGTTCCAACGCAGCCCCAAACACCGGTCAGGATGAGGGACATGACATTGCTGAACCCGACATTCGTGTAAAGAATGACTTGGTAGTTCTGGATGACAATGACGCCAGAGAGCCTGCGACAATGTATCAGTCACATCTGCTCGAGTCGCCATGCAATTCCGGGATGTACTTACATGCATGCAATGGCGTACCAAAATACCAGCAAGAACCGTTTTCGGTATGAAGGCTTTTGCCAGATTGCTTTGAGACCCAAGCGCTCCTCTCTGTCGAGCTCGATTTGGGCCTTGATCTGGTGGAACTCGCGGATGTAAAAGGTGTCGTCATGTGTAGAGCCGTGCATTTTCTTGAGGACCGCCAAAGCCTCGTCGTAGCGCCCGACATACGCAAGGTAACGCGGTGATTCTGGCATCATGAAGGAGAAAGCAAACATGAGAACGCCGGGGATAAGTTGGCAGCCTAGCAGGAGACGCCAGGAGACATCGCCCTTGATGAAGTAGAATCCCAAGCCACTTGGATCTTGAATTCAGCATGCATCCACTCTCAAGCACAAATAGAAGTAGACTTACATCCATTCAGTGAAACAATAAGCGCCATTAACACTGACTCTGCGGAAATGTCAGCCCGAACCCCGATAGATTTGCTGGAGTCCTTACGAATAGAGACCGCCAATTCGGCCTCGCATCTTGGGAGGTGCAATTTCAGAGGCCATGGCCGGGCACACGACAAACATCAAGCCACTGGCCATTCCACCGATGACTCGACCAGCCACGAAGACGCCGTAGCTGTGGGCTCCTGTCTGCATGGATGCAGCGAGGAGAGACGCCACGCAGCCAATCTGAATGGTCCGAATACGTCCGTATTTGTTGGGCAGATACCAATTCGAAGCCATGCCGACAACGGCTCCAGCATAGTATGCCGATCCCATGGCGCCAATGGTGGTAGAGTCGAGGTTGAAGTATTCAAGAAACGACGTATAACCAAGCACGGATGTTGTACAAGCTTTGCCAAGGGTCAGTTCGCATTGAAGGCAGCGTCGACGAGGAATATGCTTACCAGAGTCATAGCCATAAAAGACTGCCCCGAAGGTCACGTACAGCACGCAGAGCCAGTTGTATCGATTCATCTTGGCAATATCCCCGACAATGGTCGAGGTTCGTCTTCTCGATCAGAGCTGCGGAGAAGGAAGAGAGCATGCAGAATCTGTGTTCTGTAAATCCGCAAAGACGGGGGCTGGTTGATGCATATAGGAAATACGGCCGGGGCATCCTCGGTCGCCTCTAAAAGGGGCCCAGTGGCGACCGATCAACGACTGCGCAAGGGTAAATCCTGAGTAGGATGTTTCTGACTCCGAAGGGTCCGGTTGACACCAGGAAAGCATAGGACAGAAGACCGTGGCTCGTGGCGGCCATGCTAGAGATTGCGGAGTCCCCGCAGAACAACTCAGCCTTGTCTCGAACAGGACATCCTCGGTCTAAGCGTTGACCAGTCGCCCGCGGGGAGGCGTGGGCTTCTCCACCTGTGCTTCTAGGACCGGCCGTGCGGGCGACCTGAAAGTCACTCGGATGGCCAATCTTGGATATTGGGGAGCTCAGGCGGTGTGGAGCGGGATGAAAGAATCCATGCCCTGGCCGCACGCCCACTTGACTTGGGGTGTCGTGGGTGTCTGGTAACCGCACACCCTTGACTCCCTGGGGAGAGAGCGGGCCCAAGCGAAGAGATGGCCAGGGTTGATGCAAACGTGTCGCGACATTGTGCCTCGCTTCTTATCTGTGAAGTTCTAGGTATGAGCTATGCAAAATCAGCACAAGCACTCAAAGAGCCCCTATTACCAATATCCGAGACGCACGTCATAACTGCTTTCTGTAGCTTCTTTTCTTCCACGACCAATCCTGAATGCTCACCGAGCTTCCGTGTCTTCGCAACCCTAGCTTGCGCAGTCTTCATGAGCCACGTGTGAAGACGCGAGATCATTAGTCTCTGTTGCCCAGTAGGAAACTTTGTGGGCCAAACCTCGTTGCGGCATTGACAAGTTAGCATTCCGCAATGTCGACGGATTCGTGCGTGATTCCGTCTTCGCTGAGGGTGACAGAAACTCCTGCTGCTGCTGTGAGCGGCGCAAACTCAATGTATGAGCCATGTGGTACGCAAGTGTCCTTCTGTGGCTCCTTTCCTAACAGCCAGACAGCTGTTGCTTATTCTTTCCATTGCTCCCGTGAGACGGACGCTCAGCCGAGGCCAAAGAGGCCTTCCACCCAGAGGACTCGTTGCGAAGAAGACCATAGGTTTCCCTTTGCTCCTGGCCATGGGCCGCACAGTCTGGCTTCTCCCGTCGTGGGCGAGCGCTCTTCAAAGATCTCGACCTCGATCGACCGTCGTGTCATTGGGTAATAGGCTTGTGCATGTTTCAAACTGGAAGTGCAAGTTCAGTCCTGCCACGCTAATGCACTGTCTGTAGAGCAATGCCCACCTCTTCAATCGTGTCATTCGGTCGAATCTGATCAAGCGAACCTCCTCCACTCCACGGTTTCTTCTAACAATCATCTCTTATGTTCCATTGGCCCACGACCGTCCGGCAAAACAAGTCCAATTGTTCCGCGGAATGTGAGGTTTCGCCGGCTCGAAGGATGGTCGAGCCGTAGAGACATGATATCACGGAAAGGAAGAGAGAGGGGAAGTCACTTCATAAATCCATCCAGGGAGCTTCTTCAATGATATGAAGTGAGATGAGTAGAGAGATATTGACCTTACTCCTTCGGTGGCGGAAGTCGAAGGTGCCGAGTTCTGGCTTGGCACGCCATCCCCGACGAGGCTGTCTACCAACTGCTGCTCACAGCTTCGCCTGCCCAGCAGGCCTTATCACGAACCCGGTACGGGGAAAGTGGATTCTCACCTCTCCCACAGCTGGGCCAGTGCCCTCGGTTGTCTTTTGAGGTGTGATGACCGCCTCTTCTGGCGTGAGGGCCACCAAAGTCCCTACCGTGGGACTATCCCTTCCAGTATCATCAGGAGCGATGGTCACGTCCGCCCCTGCAACAAGACCATTGCGTCCATCGAGGTCGTAGTGCGGACCAGCTGGAGTTGCAAGCAGAGGGACTTCCTCCAACAATAGTGTCTGCTTGAGTTGCTGCATCACCCTCGTGACGCCCTCTGCATTATCCCTCTCGATCTTTGTCTCCACGCTCGGAAGCCCTGCAACGTATGCTTTGAAACGCTCAAACCAAGCAATGATTCCAGGATAGCGGTCTTTGTTGAACACAGCCCCCATTCCCTCTCCGTCGCCATCATTCGTTCCTCCGCCTGTCAGATTCCCAATCCCTTCTCCGCGACTGATCTTCTCGCCCCAATCGAGCTGATACCACAGTGCCAGGTCCGCAACGCTTGGCACATCGCCCCCGAAGATCCATGCTTTGGATTGCTGATCGGAGAGCAGTGGCTCCAACAAGCTCAACTGCAAATCCAATCCGCTGAGATTCTGAGGGACTTTCCTCCCCAGTTTCTCCGCGTCTAGTTTATGCCCGATCAGATTCGACCGGTCGACGCCAAAATGCGTGCGCCAGACACTCGAGGGTATCAGACCTGTGGTTACGCGGAAAAGGGGGCGATCGGTCCAGTATGACGCAAAGCCACGGACGAGTGGTCGGAAGGAGGCCGAAGAGGATGGGTACAGTGTTCCGTAACCTTGTGCGGAAGGAAATTGGCTTTCGAGTGCTTCGAGAATCAGCGATGTGTCGATGTAGATCTGTCGCAGTAGTGCTTTTCTTTAGTTTGAACCTGGAAATGCGACCTGGGGGATACAATGCCGAGGAGAGAGAATGGTGATTATAACTTCTCACTCCACGTTGGGCGGACACATTTGCTTACCTCTCGTCCAATAGCCAGAACCGGAATCTTTCTATAAGTGACGTTGAAATTGTCCTTTAGGACCGGGCGTGGCATCATCGAAGGCACAACCACAAAAACTATCCAAGCAAACACCATAGCGTCAGCCCATGACAAGGGCCACAGAACAGTTCAAACGAGGTCTGATTTATTGCCGGGATGAACATATGGCGTCGGCCGACATACTGTATGGGATTTGTTTCAACCTGAGAGCCAACTTGACCTTGGTGGTGAATGGCGACGCTGGATTGACTCCAAGTTAGCTTGATATCCACAGTCTATAGGTATCGACCAGGCTGTATCTCACAGTCATATCCGAAAAGAACCACCGGAGGCCTTGCTGATGAGGCGTCTCCGGTCCCCATGTTTGCGAGGCTTAGGCGGAGAGAAACAGGCTTTCAATGGTAGCCGTGCTAGTAAGCTGGGAACCAGTGGCCGGAGGGATGGCAGTAGATGGACATGCAATTTCAACCTTTTCAATACTTCTGGAAGGCTTCCATTTGATCAGCGAAAGGCGTACAGGTACCTTGACATGAGAAAGGACCGTTTTGTCTATACGCGTCCACGAATAGTAGCAGTGAGAGCCGCAGTCAAAGTCGGGTGAATGGGTGATTCGGTGCATGAGCCTCGGTTCGGTCAGATCTCGTCATTTGATCCCCACGAGGCTGATTCAGCCTTGCACTCAGACTCTCCCCTTAGCAAATATGTCACTGCCCATTATTCTCATCTACACAAGCTGGATCTTGGTTGCGTTGTTCAATAGCCTGTACAGTGAGTAAGGTTTAACCTACATATAAACACCACCCTGGCACGATGCTCCTCTCCAAAGCGGGTTCTCCGTAAAAGTACAAATGGTTCACTGCCACAGAAAAGGTATCCGTCCAGTCAATCCGCGAGTCCCATACATACGTCTGAACTGTCCCATTTTGAGTGTTGAAGATGACAATGGAGTCAGTTTCAATGCTTTCAACATAACAATGCCGTTCGAATCACTCTCTAACCCATCGCTGACGCGTTTCTGGCCAAGGTCCATAACCGACACTGGAGCAACGAGTTCAGACGAGACACTTCTGTCCCGCAGCCGAGAAGGAGACACATCATACAAATGACGTCCCGAAACCACTGGGAAGTACAAAGTATCCCCGTCCGTTGGATAGAGCGATTCCGTCTGCACCAAAGTCGGCATCCCGGCTCCACTATTCATGTACACAGAGTCGCCCCACACGTTACTGTAAAAGCCCGGTTCAGGGCGGAGCTGTGGGATGTTTTCGAGATGACGCCATCCTTCACAGGTTCCAAGATCCACGACAATGATCCCGTTCCGTCCTTGGCTAGAGAAACCCGTGATTTAAGCAATACCTTAGCCTGAAGATGCGACAAAAGCGTGCGAACATCGTTCGGATAAGAGTTCGAGTAGACGACTGCTGGTGGGAAGAGGATGTTCTGGAAGATAGTATTGTTCGTCAAGTCGATGCCTATGGGACTGCCAAAGTTTGATGTCGTTAGTGTGCCGTTGCTGAGAAGGGCACGTGCAACGATCTTTAGGATCGACGACCACTCTTTGGATTGAAATCAGGTAGGCCGATAGACCTTTTGTCGTGGGAGGATATGTTGAATAATTGACTGCTCTTCCCCGGAGCCAATTAATCTGTGCGCTAGGAAACGGGATCTCGGTATTGTTCGAGCAAGCTCGGCAACCTGATATCTCGTATTTGTGCAATTGAGACCCAAGAGACAGCACGAAAATATGCGCCCTAATGCAGAGACAGCGACTCCTGGGGACATTTGTGAGTTTATTCAGATCTCCACGAAAAGCGACATTCCGCCTACCTGTCGGCCATTCATCAAAACAGAGGTGCATCAGCTCAAGTGCCGGATCCTTGCTCACTGGATCACGAGCAGGTAGTTGAGCAGTGACAGCTGCGAGTGGGACGGAAGCTAGGTGAAGACTTGTGGTGTCCAGCTTCATATTGATCAAGTCCGTGCAGTGACTCTCTATAAAGATTGAATTCCGCAAGCAACTGTCGCGGAACCAGGTGATCGTGGCCAAAACTGCCTGCAGGAAGCTATATAGGTGTCCTCGGGATCTGCCAAACCTCGACATCTGGTGGGCTTTTGCGCCTGGATGACGAGATCACAGCGGAGACTGCATCCGTATTTTGATGAATATGGCAATCCACATGGTGCAATTGGCCGACGTGAGATCGAAAATAGAGGATGAAGACGAGCAAGTTGGTGTATCTCATCCCTGCCGCTTGTCAACTCCTGAAATTGGCGTATTGCATGGAGCAACAAGTCGTGTGATCGACGTCATGGTGACAAGCGAGACTTTCGACAAATGTGACGAGACTGAATGATAGTCTTGCAGCATTGAGCTGGCGTTCGTTCCAGAACTTGGGTTCAGAGGATGCGGAGTCCACAACAATCAATTGATGCCGGCCGCACCGATGCTTGCCTTGTCCACCAGAGCTTCGTAAGCTCCTCCACAAATCTTTTGTCCGATGTGCTCCAGCTGTCTAGTCCCATCTCCAGCATGTCTTCATGATTGATCTCGATATCAGTCTGCTTGGTCTGCTCAACCAGCAAAGGCCGGCTGTCCTCTTGACCCGTTTGGTCATTAGAGCTTGCATCATCATCTTCATCGTCGTCGTGAAAACTCCCCTCAACCTCATCGCTGCCGTCTGCTCTTGCAATAGAGGCTGTGACAGTGTGAAAAATGGTCGCTGTCAGGCGGTGGAAGTAAGCTACCACAGCCACTTCACGAGTCTGCTCCTCCTCATCTTCCCCGTACAGCAAGAGCGAGTCTCGTTCTACTTCGTGTTCTTCTCCCTCGGCGAATCCTTCGCGCCGATCTCCAGCAGAAGCCCACCAGACGAAGGAGGTGTATGCCATTCTGGACCATGATGGAGGCTCCACTACCGCTTTATTCGTCGAGTTCGAGGATGAAAGTGAAGAAACCGACGAGGCTGCATCATCCTCTACAGCCGTTTCGCTGGGATCTAGCCTCCGGAGACCACGAATGAGGTGTGCGAACCGACGAAAGTCTCGTTGGGTGGCTCTGACGGCAACTTTGGGGAAAGCCTTGGTTAATTCTGGGCTTGAAACAATAATCCGAGGAAACACCTTCATTGAGGCATCCCGTGAGTGCGGTTTTGGCATGAGCACAAGGACGTCGTAGAGGTTGGGTTTTGAGGTGAGCACATCGTCCGTTGTGCAAGCAATAAAACCGTGGTTGGAGCTGGCAGCTCCGGCCTGCTCGAGCTGGGGGATGTCCATAACACCAACAGTGAACAGCGGGCGCAACCGAGTACTAGGAGTATCGACACCATGTGGCAGCGGCAGTAGTGACTTTGAGACAGACGAGAGGATGGACAGGTTATATACTGCAAGAGGTTGTCAGTGTCTGACTAGTTTGCAGGGCATTTGTCTCCTCACCAAGATTGCAGCAGAATTCGACAGGGGCCTCTGTGACGATCAAGATCCGTCTGCGAAGCAAGGCTGCTCGATACAATGGAAATATCAGGGGCCCAAACAGCTTGATTGAATCTATTAGTGTCAATGCAGGATGGTGTGGTGTCAAGGCATGATGCGGAGAAATAAAGGTTGTTGCCGTAGACATTGTCCTGAACTTGACATAGCCATTGGGCTTGTGTGTCGCGTCCTCTTCAGTTGAGTCAAGCGGCGTCTGTAATGCGGGCTCCTCAGGCCGTAACTTGAACTTCTCCCAATACTCTTCCAGGGCAGTAACATTGCCCGGGTTGTCGACTTGCGCCCTTCTCATGTTAATGACTGCAACTAAGAGCATTTTATAATGAGGCCCTACCTAGCGAGCTCCATTAGGGATTCTGCATGGCGCCAGATGCGACCCATGCGACCGTGTTCCAAGGAAACCAGTGCGCCGACCGCCAGCATCCGCGCAGCACGGTCTGCTTGGTCGTCTGCCTTGTTGACGAAGGCGCTGAGTCCAGCATAATCATCGTGGATGAAGTATCTTCCCCCACCATTCAGCAAGTAGACTAGCTCTTGTGTATGTCACTCACACCAAATCCTCTTCAACGTTGTGCAGGCCGGATGGGAGGGACTTGAACTCGACAACGCCCTCGACGGGGACTGCAGATGCGAATCAACGCGAGCGCGACATATAAAAGAGAGTGTGAGGTATACCGTCGTCAAGAGATCTATGCCATCCTAAAGTGTATCTGCAGGGTTGTCAGCATGCGCCAGTGGCCTGAGTTGAACAGGCATACCCTTTGCGATGATCAAAGTTGACCAGAAAGATGGCGAGAATTGGGGGGGAGGGAGGCTCGTTGGTCGTGTCAATCCTTAAGGAGTTTGAGGCTTGGTCCGCCATTCATGGAAATGCTTTTGCATAACGACAACAGGGACTCTCGTGCCTCTGGACATGTGGTCGTGGGGAGCAGGTTCAATGGACGTCGCAGATCGTCAAATGCGAGGAGAGCAGCTCCCGAAATGAAATGACGTGCCTGACGTCTCTATTCGCAATTCAAATGACAAGATGTGACAATTGCTGCATTCGACGACATGCTGCCCAGCACCGTTTGGGGTTTGTCAACAGAGGCTTGTGCTAATCCAGGGCTCGTCCAAGCTGAACGTAGACTGCGGGGGAAAAGTGAATTGGCAAATGTACAGCTGGATAGAGTAATATCGCAGCTAGGATGGCTATGGGATCGGCGAGAAAGGAGGCTTTGCTATAATTCTGCCCACGTACAGTGATTGACATGCTATCACTTGCTGTATTGCTCTGCCGAGACCGCATACTTGTCCATAAACACGGAAATAGGCAATTGTGATTGAATGAGTGATTTAGTATTCATCCTACAGCTCAAATGCGTATTTCGCCAGTGCATCGTTTGTGGTCGCCTGCGTGGATTTTATGATCCCCCTGAACTTCCACTGCCGCGCCCCTTGTTATATGCCACTTGGCTATACATGTGGAATGAAATCTGTCCATTGTATGTTGAGGTAGGCTGTCCCTGGCACATCTCTCAACTCTGCAAACGCCTCTGCAATCAAATAGAACCGGGCCACCCCGTATATGATCGCCAACGGCGTGATCGTTGCAAATTCCCAGGGTAATGGTAATTGGTTGGACCGTCTCTTCATTGTGGTTGATCTTTGGGACATGCGAATCCTGTGCTCCGCCAATGCTTTTCGGTTGAAGATGAATAAATATATCGTCCTCCATCGGCCCAAGCGAGTCCATGATGCCGCGGTTTCAAAGACCCAGAATGCAGCAGTGATACCGAAAAGCAAGAGCGAGCAAGTGCGCCAGAGAAGCCGCTCGGTGCGGCTCGGAAAATCAAAACTCCAGCCGGCGACATGAATAGCTGTGAAAAGCAAAGTAGCAAAGCATAAAAAGTATTCTTGTATGCCGTATGGATTCGTTGGGAATCTGTCGTTGGGAATTCGTTGAATCGGCCGCGCTGCAGGAATGACCGGCATCTTCATGAAAGGTTGTACATTGACAGAATATCCAGGGCCATTTTCATCGACGAAGTCTAGAGGCGTTAGGCTCCATTCACGGTCGAGCGTGATCTCGGCAAGTGAGAGGGAGGAGTGGATGTGGACGGGTGTCTGGATGTCCGCGGGCTTATGAAGCCAGAAACAAGATGTCATGAGTGAGCAGACGACGATGGCGAGTGCATTCAGCTCCAAGGTCGTAATTGCCAGGCCCTGGATAGCACGAGCAATACACTGGATAATCAGATAGCCAATCTGGAATGCCGTGACGACCTTGGTGAATGTGTCTTGCTTAGATTTGTCCCAGATTTCTTTGCGGGTAATGGCCGGATATTCGACCATTTTGTTGACGACAAGCCAATGAAGCTGGGTTGCGTTGAGTGGGAAGGGTTCGCCGTCGCGAGCGTGGAAAATGAAACCACCCATGTCCGCAAAAAACGCCTGCCGCATATGCCAGTCCGTGTAACTGTACTTCTTGAAGGACTTGACGGATTGTTTCGCTCGACTCCATTGGCCCGCAGCATATGTGAGAGGAAACTCCGGGCCCAAGATACCGAGAGCCATCCACAAGAGACGGCGACCGAATCGGGTTCTAAAGCTGTCTTTGGGAGCAGGCACATTGAGGCACAACATGCTATACGTGCTGATAAATATCGTCACAATTGATGTCCAGAGAATATCAAATGTCCCGCGGTAGTTGGGCTGGTTCACCCAATGTTTGACACTTGATGATGACGAGAAATTGCTCTGTAAATCGGCACCTTGAGCACAACTTGAAGGAGCCGGCTCAGTCGCATTCGATTTGTTTTCGTGGGCATGGCATATAATGGGAAACAGTGATAAGCCCAAGAGAATTTGAACCTGCCACCTTCCCACCCTTTGTTTCCCGTAGTATCTGTTTGTGAGAGTAATGCTGCGCATGGATGGCTGTGAGGAATGGTTAGAGACCGCTTGATCCTGATATTGGAGTGGACAATAAGAGAGGCTCGGCCTCTACAGCTCCATTTAAGGGATATGCGACTGGAAGAAGCGCCGAGCATCGACCACTGCTGTTATCTTCGACCTTGACCTGAGACAGCTGCCGTCTCTTCCCTGGGCAGATGGGCTGAGTCGGGCGGCGTGCATGGCTGCAACATCGACCAGGATCGAATTCTCGCCAGGGGCACGACATCCTAGTCAGTCTGCAAAAGTACTCAGTACCATGTAGCACAAGGTAACGCTGGCAGCATCCCGCGAGATCGCTCCCTTATCGTGGACGACCTGAAGTCGAGTCAAGTATATCTTCAAACGTTGGTGATTAACGACGGCTCGGGTCGCACCTGTTCGCCAGGAATTCAAGTTCCAACCCACAACCTGCAGTGAAGCCTTAGACATGAGACGCTTCCAGGTGCATGGTGGAGATTGGTGTTTCAAAAGCCGCCTGCTGATTGTTCCCAGTCCCCAGGATAGAATGCGATGGAGTTGGGGGCTTCTTGCTAGGCGCCTGGTTGGTGATATGGAGTGGCAGAGGACGAATCGAAACGCGCGATGAGGGATGCGCCCGCGTACTTATCATCTGTCGAAACCGCCCTCTTGCAGGGTTGATGGCAGACTGACTCCATATCTTGTTGTCCTGCTCTTCTGTGCAGTTGATGGCGGCCTTTCCTCAGCACCGAAGAGCTTCCTGCCCGAGTTTCTGCGCCGTGGTTCAGAAGCTGCGATGATGACATTTTTCTCGGCGATCGTTCGACCTCTCCTCATCAGTGTCGCAGCCGGAGTTGGCATCTACTTTGCCTTCCTCGGCCTCCTCACCATCCCTTCGCTCCAAGATCATGCTATCTACCTACACCGCATAACCTTGACCTGGTTCCAAGATGTCAATGTGCCAGAGCACTGGGGCTTTCTCCGGAACCAGGTCACCCCCTTCCTCCTTCACACCCCAGATGGCGAAACCCTCCATGCGTGGCACGTCCTACCTCTCGAGACATATCGAAAGAATGAAAAAGCGCTGAGAGAAGAGCCTACGGGACTGTGTCACAATATTAAAGAGAGATTAAGTTTCAAGCTGCTGAGAGACGATCCAACTGCCAGGCTGGTAATATATCTACATGGAGCAGCGGGAACACTGGGATCAGGCTGGCGACCGCAGAGCTATCGTGCTCTGTCTGCCGCCGCGCCCAACGTCCATATTCTGGCCATTGACTACCGCGGGTTCGGCTCTAGCACTGGGTGGCCGTCAGAGGCCGGTCTCCTCACCGACGCACTCACTCTGGCCGAGTTTGCGATGAAAACCGCTGGCATCCCGCCCGAGCGCATCGTCGTCTTTGGACAGTCGCTAGGCACCGCAGTCAGCATATCTCTCACCCACTATCTAGGTCTTCAATCGCCACCAATCCTTTTTGCGGGGATCGTGCTCATCGCACCTTTCGCAAATGTCGAGCTTTTGACCCAGACATATAGCATTGCTGGCACTATCCCTCTTCTGGCGCCCGTGGCCCATTGGTCCAGAGCGTTGGCCTGGTTCAACAGCTTCATCACTACCAAATGGCCATCAAAGGATAAATTGGCCGAACTTATCCGTCGGTTGGAAGCACTCAAGCTTTCAGAGCGGAAGACAAGATACGACATCACAATCATCCACGCACAAGACGACTACGACATCCCCTGGACACACTCTGACATTGTATTTTGGCATGCCGTCAACGCAACGAGACAGCCTGAAACGAGCCTGAGTTTTGAAGATTTGGAGGACGAGAAGGCCAGACGGAAATCAGACCTCGGAGCTGGGGGATGGGAGGTTGAGTGGAGGGGCGAGGCTGGTGTGGTGCGAGAACAGATTGTGAAGCATGGGCTTCATGATCGCATCATGAGCTATCCGGTGGTGAGTCTCGCCGTTGCACGAGCATTTCACAGCCTGGATGCGGAATAGACGGCTGTCTGCGACAGGATCTTGCCTTGTCTTCGAAAGCGCGAGTGGACAAACTCGCCCATCTACCAATGCCTCTCGGCCGTCTTCTCCGCAACATAGCCCCTGAGAATCCATTTTGCACTTGTTCTTACCACAAGGTGAGAACGGCTAATGGCGTCTCGCGACTCCGCGGTCCGGACAACGTCGAAGGCTTTCAGACGCGGGCTCTGACTACATTTCTATATACTCCAGTCAATCCTGCCGTGGGCAATAGGATTGTATAGCTGCAGGCGAAGCGACCATATGGTTGAGCCTGAGCAATCAGGCCATTGCTGGACGCCGTTGACCTCCAATCCCGAAGTATCTCCCTTATGGGTGCATTGGTTTGCCACACCTCGAGCCGGTTCGCTAAGGCCCTTCAAGCTAATGTAGTTGCTCCGTTAATTACTAAACTGTTGCTTGCTCGGTATTCGCTGCTCCGACAAGACATTTACTGATCTATACTTGCCCTCGGGCCTAACTAATCGAGTCTCAGTGATCGCTTTTCCCGTATGTGGTTGCTGCTCATCTCCATTCCCTCAGCATCTCTTCCTGTTTATTGATTCAGCGGCTGAAACAATTGGCGCCTAACCTCGAGACCATCAGAGTTTGAATTTGTAAGATATACATTCTCCATACAGACAATCTTGCCGAACTCAAAGCATGGCCTGTTCCAAAGGACCATCTGTTGGCAAGGGACAAGAAGCCACGGCGCAAGCCACGAATCGCATCTACGCAGATGGTTCAGCCTATTGCGGCACTGCTCTATATGTCGTCTTACAAACCAGGTCTCGCAGACTCTGAGCACTACTGCATCGAGCCTAGGCTCTCATGAAGGGTGGGTGTTTACTCTGCCTCGCTGGGGCTTGGGAATGTCAACACCCTCTAGTGCGGGCCACGCCGTCGCTCGAGGGGGATTTGTCTTTGCCTGCAGCATGCCGTCAACGCGCTTTGTCAGCCCATGGGTGTGTGGTGGCTTTGCAGCAGCGAGGTTCGTGCAGGCAGCACACAGAGCACGAGGCCACGGGAAGTCTGTTTATAAGAGAGACGCTGGGCCAGGTAGGTGAAGTCCTCCAACAAACATCCAACACACCCTCCAGCCCCTCCATCAAGTCTCTCTCTACAGCTGCTCCACGGCAACATGGCCCAAACATTCGTCATGCGAGGGGTCGAAGGCAAGGTGAAGAAGACGCCGGCCGACATCCCCGAGCTCAAGCCCAACGAGGTGCTCGTCAAGATCACCCACAGCGGCCTCTGCGGCACGGACTTGTTCTACATCGACCCGGGCTGTGCTCTGGGCCACGAAGGGGTCGGGACGGTCGAGAAGGTGGGCAGCGCGGTGACGGCGCACAAGATTGGGGATCGCGTAGGCGGAGGATATCTGAGAAGTGTATGTTTTGATTCCATCGTCCACGAGCCCGCCACCAGAGTCTTGGCCCATTCGACTCGGCCGCAGGAGAATTCCCTCACTGACAATCTCCCGACTCCCCAGAGCTGTGGCCAGTGCAAGTACTGCCTGACGGGCCAGGACATCATGTGCTACAACCGCGACATCTACGGCTTCGCGGGCTTCAGCAACGGCACCTTCGCGACCTACTACGTCGCGACCGAGGGCTACATCTACGCCATCCCGGCCTCGATGCCCTCGGAGGTCGCGGCGCCGCTGCAGTGCGCCGGCGCGACCGTCTACGCCGCGCTCAAGGCGTACTACCGGACGGGCATGCGCGTGGGCGTCCTGGGCATCGGCGGGCTGGGCCACCTGGCGATCCAGTTCGCCGCCAAGATGGGCGCGCCGACGACGGTCTTCAGCACGAGCCCAGACAAGGAGAATGAGGCGCGCGGGTTCGGCGCGTCCAGCTTCGTCGTGCTCGGGCACGAGGACAAGCTGGACGAGCCGGTCGACTTGCTCCTCGTCACCGCGCACAAGGCGCCGGATTGGTCGACGTGAGTTCACCCGTTGGCTCGACGAATCTCGCCTTCTAGCTGACACGCGGAATGATCAACAGGTTCATGAGCGAAAAGGTGGTCGCACGAGGCGCCCCGATCGTGATCCTGGGCGCGCTGGGCATGACCCTGGAGTTCCCGTACGCCAACCTTTCCTTACGCCCTCCAGACCCTCCTTTTCCTTGCTCACCTCCCCCCTTCCCTTCTTGACACGCGTAAACTAACCCCCTCCCCCCTCCCACCTCGGGCTTCCCTACAGATTCCTCCCCTACTTCTTCAACTGCTACAACCTGGTGACCAACCTGGTGGCCTCGCGGGCCACGCACGCCGAGATGCTCGCCTTCGCCGCGCACCACGACATCAAGCCGCTGATCGAGGAGTTCCCCATGGACGAGGCCGGCATGGCCGAGGCCGTGGCGCGGCTGCAGCAGGGCAAGATCCGGTACCGTGCGGTCTTGAAGGCGTGAATCGCGTAAGAGCCTGAGGGGTTGGGATTCGGGGACTGTGCTATGTGGATACGGTTCGACGATTCACCGTTGGTGGAAATTCTCCCTCGCGGGCGACGTTTGACGGTCGATGGTCAATGGTCGACGGGGTAGCATGATAGGCACGAGCGGGTCGAGTATGAGGTACAAGGTACAGACTACAGGAACAACGGGGCGCTTCTTATCACACGGTCGCAAAGATCGAAACGCGGTTGCTTGATGGCTCTTGGGACCCCCTTCCTTGCTTTCTACCAAATGTCACCGGTTCAATCTAACCCGCTCGACTCAATCATGCTACAGTATTCACAGAGAGAGAGGTGGAGGGAAACAGTGAAAGAGGGCTCTGTGCCGTCTGTGTATAGGGTAGCCGATGGCAACGATACATAGGTATAGACACAAGCCATTCCCCGCGCCGTCTCGTGCTTGAGTTTCCAGTGCTGTACGCACACAGCCTGTCTTTTGGCGCTCGTTTGAATTCCATTACATTAAGTGCCAGTACATGCTATCCCCTGCATAGCTCTCTCGCGGCGGCCGATACCCGTGAATGTATATACCTCGTCTGATGGTATGTGCAAGGAGGCAGTGTATCCGTCTCTCCGCGCCAGGTTATAATATTACAAATCAACAAATAATTCAAAGAGAAAGAGGCAAAATAGGCCCTGAAGTCTTGTCATTTATCCCCCTACGTCGCCTGCGGACACTCCGGGTTGTCGCTCGGACACTCGTAGGCCTGACAGTCGAAATTGCCGCAGGTGCCTTCGATGAAAATGGCGCTGTCGAAGCCCGGGGCCGGGGTCAAGGCCACCTCGTCCGAGTAGAGGAACTGGTGGCACTCGCCGGTGGCCTCTGTGTAGGTGAATCCGTCGCAGAAACCGTTGTTGTCGCACTCCGTCAGGCACGCCTCGTAGCTGGGCTGCGGGACGATGTCCCAGTTCGGGTTCGAGTCGAGCGCCGTCAGTTGTTGGCCGCAGTACACCGTCCACTGACACCCGCCGCAGCCTGGGCCGGAAACCACGGGCTCGTCGGTCGGGCACGCCGTAAATCCAGTAGTTGTGGTAGTGGTCGTTGTTGTTGTGGTGGTGGTGGTAGTAGTAGTAGTAGTAGTAGTAGTAGTAGTAGTAGTAGTAGTAGTGGTAGTGGTTGTGGGTGTGGTTGTTGTGGTTGACGATGTAGAAGTTGTTGTTGTTGTCGTCGTCGTTGTTGTAGGAATAGTTGTAGAAGTAGTCGTCGTCGTCGTCGTCGTGGTGGACGTACTGGTAGGAAGGGCGCTTGTAGTGGTAGGAGAAGCCGTCGTAGTCCGTATAGTACTGATGGTGGTTGTTACTGTTGTGGTAGGGACCGTAGAAGCGCTTGTAGTAACACCGGTTGAAGTCTTAGTCTTCCATGTGGGTTCAACTGTTACCTGATAAAAGCGATTAGACACGCAAAGACAAGATATCGAAGGTGCTTACCGTGATGGTTTGAGGAACCTCAATGCATGAACAGGCGGTCTGCTGTTCATGCGCTGGTAGCTGCTCCAGCTGTTGCAGCAGCGAGTTGAGCGGATTCGGCGGTGCCCACGAACGTTTGTGAAACCAGCCGTGAAAATGGCCAGACGCCGTGACAGTCACAGTAACTGCTGGCTCGGGGAAACGGCCAGCACAGTATTGCTCCGCTGGCCCATAACCTGCCAAATCAGCATACTGCGCGTAGATACCCGCGTCGCAGACCCAGTCCGATCCAAACCAACCGGCCCAGGCTGGACTGGAAAGCCCAAGGAGAGTTAGACCGAGCTGTTGGCACCGCATCTTGGAGGGTTGAAAAGAAGTGTTGAAAGGCCGCTATAGGATGAGTACACCATACAGTCGGGGCACCGCTTATACAAATACATTCCCTCGAAGGAAGGTCAGGCCTAGTGATCAACACAACGGGAGCAGGCTTGAGACCTCCTTGCAACCCTGGAGTGTGATTAGCCATCTTGAGAGGCGCACTTGCGAGATGGACTGTAGACCGTTGTCCATAAGTAGACACGAAGCCAGACAAGGCAAGCCATGGCGTCCACCCCCGGGAAGATCATAGCGGGAACACCGTTTTGGTTTACCTGAACAGAGCGCAAGGCTGAAAGTGGCTTGCGCCCGTGCCCGGTTTGGAAACAATGGGTGTCCTTGGGCATACAGCCTAGGCTCTTTTGGAACTGGCCAGGGGCACAAAGACGCCGGATCCAAAATCAATCTCGCATCGGAAGATTCCCATATTGGCTGTCGAGTCGAGCATTCTGCATCCGAGGGGCGACAACATTCCTTTTTGCCAGACACATGGCCTCTTCTGAGCATGATTTCAACGGTATACGGGTATAGCCACAGCCATAAGTTATCGCCATGTTCCAATGGCTTCCGTCCGAGCACCGTACTCTTTCAGTGGTCGTAGACTGCATTTTGCCAGTGTCGTTGCCGTTGCCGGTGCAGCGTGCTTCTGGTGGGAACGCTCAATCTAGTGGTAGGTGATCCCAGCACCTCGAGGGGGTGAATCCTGTCTCAGCGTAGGCGCTGGAGGCTTCGCGTAGCCTGTTCGCCGGACTGTTATGCATGGCTCAATAACCGAGAACATGCTGACGTTGAGCTGGCCTAGCCAAAACTTGAGCAGCACAGATAGCCGCACTTGATCCGCAGTGAACTTCTTCATATCTCCTGGTTGTCACCACATGTATCCTTCATGTTCTCTATCTTCGTATTTTCATGGCGACCTCGTCTCTAATGTGAAGCCGTCCGAGCCATGTTGTGAAGCCTAAATTCGTTATCGACGTCTGACACGTGAGCCATCCTTTCCTTAGAGACACTGGCTGCCTTTGATCTTCTTGAATATATACGAAACCCCACCGCCCCCTATCATGTCCGGGTCAAGAGTGACTACATGTCCCAGACATTCATCATCGATTGCCGACATGATCTGCCCTTTCAGCTCCGAATTTCCATCTTTCTGGGTCAGAATCGAAGTGTCCACATGCCTGTACTGCATCAATTGGTGCTTCTCTGCCTCAAGTTCCGTCGGGATAGGTGCCGTATCTGTGCTCAGAGCGTCCTTTGCTGTAGTCCACGAGCGTGCCGAACATTTCCTCGACGATAGACCTTTTGGCTTCAGAGGGGGAACTTCGAGGTCCTCGTTGTCAGATTCAGGCTTGTCGTTCTCCCCCAAAAAGAGGGCGACATCGGTCTCGTCCTTGCAATCACCGTCCCATCCCGCACCCTCACAGCCACAGTCGATCAGGTCATGCGTTCGTAATCCGTCACCTTCATCTAGACGGAAAAGGTCTTTCAATTCCTCTTGGCTGAAACTTGAAGTACCACCTTGAGTCTTGGCTGTCGCCTCGTGCGACCCTCCTTGCATGATACTGTCCGCTAACGCTCTCTTAACAACTTGCCGTTGCCAGATGCGCTCTTCCAGACCACCTTTGATCATAAACCTGTAGATTCTACAGTGTCTCTTCTGCCCTTGTCGGTAAATGCGCGCAACTGCTTGATCGTCCGTCGCAGGATTCCAATCCACGTCGAAAAGAACCAGACGGCTTGCCCCAATTAAGTTCAATCCAACTCCACCCGCCTTAGCACTCAGAAGAAAGAGGAAGCACTGGGCGGCTGTTGAATGGTTAAACTTGTCCACCAGGGCTTGTCTCTTTTTCGCCGCGACTGAGCCATCAAGGCGGAGAAAAGACAAGTTGGAGTTTGCTGCCAACTGCTGGATCAAGTTGAGCGTGGAGGTGTAATTGGAAATGACCACGACCTTTTCATCAGTAGTCGTACGAATTTGCTGAAGGAGTTGATCAAGAAGACGGATCTTGCAAGACACTGAGTTTTGGTACAGCCTCGACAATCCATCGGGAAGCATTTCGTTCAATGTGATGAGCGACGATGAAGGGGTCGATTCATCGTTGCCGTAGTTAGGGTCCATCAACGCTGGGCTGTTGCAGAGTTTCTTCAAAATGGTGATTAACTGAAACGCTGTCTCCTGGCTGCGCAGTGCATTGTGGAACATCGGCGAACGAACAACGCTCCGATAGATCTTTGCCTGGGCTGGTGTTGGTTTGCAGAATAGGACATATTCCGTTTTGGGAGGCAGGAAGTCTGCCAGAATGTCCGCCGTTCTTCGTAGGATGAAGGCCGACGTCGTACGAGTCAATTCCTCGCTGGCATCTTGACCACGCTCCACCTCGGCCGGTAGCGCATCCGGTTGACGACTTCTCATGATGGGCTTCTCAAAGTCGCGGCTAAAGCCCTTTTGAGATCCCAGACACCCATCGTTCACAAAATTGACCATAGCAAAGAACTCGCCCAGATCATTCTGGATTGGAGTCCCCGACAGAATGATCCTCCGCTTCGTGTTTAGCGACTCAATAGCCTGCGCCGCTTTGTTCTTCATGGTCTTTAGACGATGACCCTCGTCACAGATGACAATGTCAATAGGTTGTCCTTTGGCAAGATCATCAGCCACTATCCTCAATCTTTCATAGCCAATGATCATGACCTGATAGACTCTCCCGTCGAAACTGCTCAAACGAGTCTGTTGATCCTCGAACTCGAGCACCCCCAACCTGTCGGAGCCGAGCCATTTCCTAAATTCTCGCTTCCAATTCCGAATGAGGGACACCGGACACACAATGAGAGCTTTTCGGATCACAGGTGTCTCCCTGAAGATTGGGTTTTGTCGCAAGAGTGTCCATAGGAGAGCGATCGTGGTCAGCGTCTTCCCGAGACCCATGTCGTCTGCCAGAATGCACCCTCGGCCGTCGAAATCACGCAGCCCCATAACGCATTCGTAGAGGAATTTGACTCCCTCTTGCTGATGTGGTCGTAATTTCTTGCCAATCAGGGGGTCTAAAACCACGTCCACAATCTGTCGGCCTCCCGGCGGACTCCTGGGTCTCTTGAAGACAATTGCCCCTTCCGCGTTAGGGTCATGTCGCGGAGTTGGCGACTCACCCATGCTTTTTGGAAGTATAGTCGACTCCTTCAACGGCTGCTTGAACACGCCGACACGACTGACCTGCGAAAGGTGTTGTTTCTCAACCTGAGCCTTCTCTTTTTGTATCTGAGCTTTCATCTGGCTCTGTATGCTTGGCTTTGATGGCTGGACGTCAGAAGGTTTTGCGGATGGAGCCTTGGGTACGGCTTTATGTTCGCTACTCGGAGGCTTGGACTTGGAACCGATAATTTCCAGGAAGGCATTCTTGCTGATCTGGGAATCGACCTCGACTTCCTTTCCACTAATGGTCAGGTTTGACTCGGGCAGCAAAGGCGCCGAGAAGGCAGTGCGGCCAATGCTCTTCCCGGACTTTGTATACAACGTTGCGAAACCATCTCTGACGGCGAGTACACCGTCGTCCGTCCAAGTCTTGTTCTTCTTGTTCGTTGGCACACGCCTAGAGAGAGGTCATGAGTCAGTGGTATTTCTCGACTCCGTAGATTACATACCACAGAATCGAAAAATAGCTCTCGATGCCTTCTGATGCATTGTCACTCAGTTTTAGAACAGGGCTCGGAGGGTTGACGATCGACTTGAGGGGTTGTCTTTCGCCCTCGTTGGATTGAGGCTTCGCTGCTCGAGGATGGAGATCAGGGCTGAGCTTCCTCCGCTTGGCGGGAGGTACTCCATGATCAAGAGTTTCGCCGGTGGCGACGGGTTTGCGGATAGTAAGAGGCTTGAAAGGCTTGGAAAACATCATCCGTCGCTATACTCACAAGGTTGTGTCAATAGACTGCAAGTCGCGATAAAATAGATCAAACGCGCAGCGCGTTGATTAACAACACGCAGTCACGTGGCTGTCGAGCTGTTTCAAATGACAAGGAGTTCGTCACCAGCAAAACACCACCAGCCCCTTGAATCTCCGAGTACAGACTACCCGAAATTGTGAGGTGCACAGAACAGCAAATCTTAAGATGAGAGCGTGTCAGATTGGAGACAATTGATATCGTATTTCTATATCGCATTGAACCTAGCAACGCAAGTGTGCACTCATTTGTAGCCTCTGAACCAAGTGTAAAATCAAAGTCGATATCCAGTCTCTCCTTTGAAGCTCAATCTGCCTTGCTGCCCATCGCACAAGAAAGTCATCGGCAAAACACGAAAAGGAAATTGTCTGCTGCAACAATGCTTATAGTTTTCCATACTCGAAGCTCAGCTTCCACCTCCTAACTCATCTCACCATCTCGCTGAACCTGCGCCTCCTGAGAGAGAGGACATCATCCACCAGCGTATCCACGAGATCTGCCGAAGAGCTCGAAGAGCTAGATGTAGTGCTACTGGTTGTTGTGCTCTTGTGCGAGCTCGTCGAAGTCGAGGTCGTGGCAATTGCCGGAGCACCGAGCGCAATGCCCGAGGTTGTGGTGATGCTGTGAGTCGAGCTTGTCGATCGCGAAGTAGATGTGTGAGATGAAGATGTGTGAGACGAAGATGTAGTTGGCACTGCCACATTTTCGAGAGCCAACAGACTCGTCGACGTCGAGAAAGTTGTAAAACGTGACGACGTGGTGGTAGAACCCGCCGGATCGCCCGACTTCGACGAAGTTGTAGTTCTCTGCGTCGAAGTAGTCGAAGAGGCTGCGGCCGCCGAAGAGGTGGTAGTTTCGAGTGCAACATCCACAACTACCAGGAGAGAGCCGGTCGTTGTGGAGCTTGTGAGTCTGGACGACGTTGTGAAGGTTGGGTCTGCAAAAGTTGTAGTTGTGCTCAACGTGGATTTCGAACTGGTTGTGGAGGTGGCACCATCAGCCAAGTCTAGGAGGTCACTTACTGATGTAGTAGTGAGTGCCCGCGTGCTCGAGCTAGTGGTCGAGAGTGTCGAACCACTAGTTGTAGTGGAAGCAATATCAACCACAGGGTCGGCAATGGAGGAGGTAGTGGTCGCGGAGGAGGATGAGGTAGTCAGAGTAGAGAAGGAAGAAGTAGTAACATCAGCCAAGATAACCGGGTCCACAGAGGTGCTCGTGGACACCGATGTGGTAGTAGGATCCGCAGAGGTCGAGAAGCTGGAAGAAGTGGTCGTGACCGTTGTAGACGACGAATCCACATCCAAAATTCCTAACGTGAGGGTGGTCGTGACTGGGTCCGAGGAAGTAGTCGACGTTGTTGAGGTGGCGCTCGATGAAGTGCTGGAGGTTGAGGTAGTAGCCTCATCACCAAAAAGCGAGTCAGAAGTAGTTGTGGTCAGGGTTGAGGAAGCCGAGCTGGAGCTTGTCGTGCTGGTCAAGCTGCTGGTTGTTGAAGGCAAGACGGCATTGATGTTTGTGTTGACAAGTTCGACGGGAGTGCATTCATCAGGGATAATGAGATCCCAGAAAGCGAAGAGTGTTGCATTGGCGGAGATACAAAATTGGGCACTCCCAAAATCAACGACACCTGTGGTGGTGTCCACATTCCACCCAACATAGACGGCCGGGTTATATGTGCCATCGGCGCTAGTCTTGCGAACCGGCTCGGTCAGTGTGTCGCTGTCAAAGCCCATGTAGCCGAACTGTCCGCTGAACCCAAGGACCTGGGTCAGATCATCGAAAACTAAGGCCCAGGCGTCGTTGATGTCGGTCACAGCGATAGCCACAGTCCCTGAGAAACCGAGATAGCTCGTCGTGCTTTGGCGTCTGAGCTTCGATCCCACAACTGGGGAGAGAGCAAGCAAGAAGCTACCGTCACCAGATACCTGGCTTGGGGCTGTGTCTGTTGTGACTGCGGTGACGGTGGTCGAAGAGGCTGACGTTGTTGATGATGACACCGAAGCCGCAGAAGTGGTAAAAGACAATGGATCATCTAAGAGCACAGTTGTTGAGGAGGCCGCTGTAGTGAAAGAGCCCGAGGTCGTTGAAGTTGTATGCGTAGAGGTGACAACGAAATCTCCATCCACGAGAATCGCTAGCGATGACGAAGAGCTGGTTGTCGCCGACGTTGTTGACCCGGGATAAGCAACACTGAAGGTTGTGCTTCCGTTAAATAGGTTCTGTTTTGATGTTGTAGAGCTCGTTGAGATCGGGTCTGCGGCAGCCAAGATAACTCCGAGTGATGAAGCTGTTTGCGATGTCGTAGACTTGGAGGTGGTCAAACTGTCTGCGATCGGGTCCAATGTTGCGGTAGACGACACCGGGGCCAGGGTTGGCGTCGCAGTGACAGTGACAGTGGTGTTTTTCCAGTCTGCCCACACGCCACCAGGGTTTTTCGGCAAGCCTGTAGCAGTTGCTGCATTCCACCCGGACACATTTGGGCCGCTAGGATCTGCCTGCCAGCCTGCCCAGCCACCAGCAGATGGTCCTGCATTTGGATCGTCCAGGTTCGCCCAGTCTTGATCAGCCTCGTCACAAACGGGGAGTCCGGTAGGGTAGGGGCAGAAAGTAATCGTCCGAGTCTCCTTAACTGTCACCGTGGTGTCGGCTGTGGCCCAAGCAGCGGCGACGCCAAAGGAGGCGAGAAGAAGGGATGGAGTCAACATATTGCAAAAGGAGTGACTAGAAGTATGGAAAGGAGTGGACGGCACTTGGTGCCAAAAGCGGGATGCTACACAAAGAGAGAGAGAGAGCGAGGAGATGGGCCGAATTGACAATGATGGACGGAGCACCACCATGAGCGACCTTGAGATGAGGATATATAGAAAATGCAAGACTCACGTAGTTGGAATACCTCCATCGCGTTCTATGAGACTCAATTTCTCCGCGTCTGCCAAATCTAAGTGTGCATCTGGGTGGCTTTGTGGCAGAAAGCCTCATTCACCTGATGCGCAAAGTACATGGTCGATATTCAACCTCGATATTCTGAATCCAGGATAGTGGCTAATATCAAAATCTCTTTCCAGCTGCGTCGATATCTTTATGCTTCGAACGGCCTCGGCCATTTTCAAGGCTGGCGGGGGCGAGCAAGGCTTGAAAGGGAAATTTGACGATGAGCGACGTCAAGCCTGATTCAGGGGCCAGAGACGATAGAGCCGTATTTATACCGTAACAGGTTAGTGCTGCAACATAGGCGCTATGGTGGCGTCTAGCCTCCTCTGATCGAGTATAAATGTGGCGTTTGGCTTCGCAGCGCGCCTGAGCCCTTCGTCTTATCCGGTAGATCCCGACGATCCTCGCTCCCGCGTATCGCACAAGAGTCCTTGTAGAGGACACCACCTGCAGGCACTTCCGAAAACAGAGTTCACCACTTTCACACACTATCGACATGGGCTGGTGATGCTCAATCCTGTGGCACCAGACTAACTCAACCTTTCGCCTGGATCTTGATACCGCCTCAAATCTTTTGCCGACGTCGGTGGGGAAGCGAGCCAAGATACGTTTTTCCCATAAACTTTACCTCTCCATGCTACGTCAGCCCAGGAATCATGCCACGGCCCTCGAGCATAATGGCGAGTTCACCAGCGAGCGCGTCTGAACGAAACATGACGGCAGAGAAACAAGCTGCAGAGAAGTTCCTGATAGCACCCAAAGATCTCGAAAACCCAGCGTTGTCGATAGTCGTCAAAGATCTTCGGCGTGCCCCGAGGCAGTGGATCAAACGAACCGCTGGTGATGATCGGCGCATCCAGTGGGTCAACGATCCTCGTGTCTATCGAAACGCGAGCAACACGCGTGAGAAATGAGGATAAATCGCGTTTTACTGATGAAGCCGCGAAGCTCAAAGGCCAACTTCTTTCATGATGACCCTGAATCCCCGACTGAGTATCTACACGACATACAAGTACAAGATCTGCCGCGGGGGAATCGATAGACCTGTAGATCCCCCAATCTAACCTGCATCCACAAATGAGCGCTCTCCACCTTGCCAACCCACCCTGTCAGACGAACGCGCTTCCTGGTGCTTGCACTAGATAAAACGTCACCTCGAATATGTCATGTGATAGAAGAACCGAGACGAGTACGAACAAGAGCAGGGTCCAAGGCAATGACATCCGCAAGGTCAGGAGGCTCGACGCAATTTGGGTCAACGGTGGGTGGATGAGTGGGAAAATGCTCCGTTCGAGGTGACTTCTCAAATCCCCTGAATTTCCGGTTGTCGTAGTGCTTGGGATGTCCTCACACGGTTCGTCGGGTATCAACTCCTCCATCTTCCTGCCCAACTCGAGTTGATTGTTCTTCGACTCGAGCTCACTCTGCAATGTTTGCACCATAGCCCTCAGTTCTTGGATTTCATCCATGGCCAAATCCACTCTCTTCTGTAAAACGAGCATCGGGGATTTTGCGGAGTTGGGAGCTTCTGGCGGAGGAGTGCACGGAGAAAGGGTAGCCCGCCGACACGGAGAGACGGGAATATCAGATCGAAGTTTCAATGGCGAAAGAGGGTGTCTTCGGGCAGTAGGAGATCTGCTGGACCAGTCGGGCCTCATCCGCCACACGGAGAATGGCGTGGTGGGCCCAGAGGCACTCAGTAGGTCACCTGGTGAGGTGGGCGATAGCGCCAGGGTCCTTATTTTCCGGGCGCCTAGTGGCGTGCCACAATGTGCGATGCTGCTGTTCAATGGGGTTTCGCATTCCCCTTCACATTTCCATTTGATGGCGTCAAATGTGGAGCGGAGGACCTTCATCAAGACCTCCTCGCTTCCCGCAGCCGTATCAATTGACAACGTGAGTGATGGCATGGGTGATATTGGTGGAGTCCCATGGCTCTTGAGGAGCTGTCTCAAAGCAATCTTAATGACGGGCAGAAGGTACGTCGATCCCCAATCCTCAATTGCTTCAATCCATCCCTGAAATTCTTTGAAAGAAGTTGTGTCATCGAGATTGAACCTGGAGAGTTCCGACATACAGTACCGTCCGTCAGCGTCAACGTAGTGGTAGTAGATAAGGGCGGTGGCATTGTTGAGGGCACAGGAGAATGATATTGGCTTTTCAAACACCGGGCGAGGACTAGTGCATTTCCTGAACAAAAGCTGCAAGGCGCGAACGCAGTGAGCACCCGCGACTGCACACTGGTTCTTGGCGGACTGGACGGCGTCTTCGGACGTAGTGTTCACTCGTTCAAAGACAAGGAATGGGCAGTAGGTAGTAGTCCCAGGGGACACGGTGCCCGAGTCGAAATCAACAATCGTCCCTGTTGCTGATGTGCAGTTTGGCAAAGCCGACAACTCCTTCTCATTGAATGCTTGCGTGGTGAAACCAGTAAGGAGGCCGGGTCGAGGGGCAGGTAACTCGAAGAAACTCTCTTGAGCCTTGACAGCTCGCGGTGGAAGTGCCTCTCGGTTGAGCTTTGGAGCCAGAGATCGATGAAGAACCAGGTTGACACCGGTCGTTGGAAGGACGTTGGGAGGGAACACCAACGACGAGCCGAACCCTTTGTTACTCGCAACTTGTTTTCGCCATTCGGCCTCTTGATTGTCAAATCGGTCAAGCTTCTGCAAGCACGGCTTCAATCGATCGGAGAAAGGTCGTGACAGTTCAGACAACTGGAGATTATCGGTGAAGATGATCCGAAATGCACTGAGGACAATCGTTCGAAAGTCGGACCATCTAAGGTGACTACCGTCAATAGCTCTCAGAAGGGATACTGGCGTATCCGGCAATGGACTCGAGGTCTCCATGGCTGAGGACGAAGGGTGTAAAGGTTGCAGTCTTGGTTAACAGGACCAGGTAAAGGTCTACAGTCGATCCTTGACTGGCAGGCCTATTCTGGAGATACTGTGCACGGTCGACCTGGAAGAGGATGAAAGCATTCTTGGGACATCCTGCTACATAATATGTCAACAGCACGTGTATGGCGCTTCTCTTTGTGACAACATTTCGGCGCCTATGCAGAGGGTGTATCAGTTCTCAAACAGTCCTAACAGTTAGCTAGTGCCAGTGACACTTCGCCAGTTGCCCAAACAGAGGATCCTGAAGAACGCCAAACAGTCTCCCGCTTTGCTATCCCTAACAGAGACGCGGGATAGTATGGCATACATCAGGAGCTTTAGAGCTTTGACCAGAGCCACGAAGACCATCGGGCGCGTAGGCAGCCTCTCATGGCATGAAAGCTGACCAAACAGCTAGAATTAAGGGGTTATGAGAAGGCAAGCGACGGGAGGGGGTCCGCCTCATGCTGGTGTGCGATTTGTTGGGTTGGATCGTGCATGCTGTGGCGGGCGGCTAGAAAAGGGTGGGCGGCTACGAGGCTCTCTGAAGCTTCACCATCCCCAGCGGCAGCAGTTTCAAGGACGGCCTCGCGAGTGACATGACTTGTCGCCAATAGGAAAGATCGGTGATTCTTCATGTCCACAGGGTCCGTCTAGGAAGTGACAAGAACATCATCTCAACAACAGATAATTGATGTGCCAGCCAGGACAAAAAGTCTAATATAAACCATTGGGGGCGAGGAGGAGGGGAATTTGGGGGCGAGAGAGTCGCGCAGTTGGAATGGCCAATCAGAGCGCATTCCACGTATCTGGCATCTTTGCCGAGATTTTCCGCGCTAGTCCTAAGACGGTATCATCTCGACGCGGTCTTACATGATACTCGCAGTCTGCGTCCCCTCTTTCACTCTTCACATTATTCTATCCACCCGACGTGAATTGCTGATGATACCTCCTTGGCCTTCGTGTGAGATCCTAACATAATGGTAACGTCGAATACGGACCGCCGCCCCCGCGATGACGTCGTCTTTGTGGCGGCTTGGTCTCTCCAGCCTCCGCGTCTGCACTCACATGTGTGAATCCGTCCATTTGAAAATCTCGAATCTGTTCGTGTCAGCTTTTACTTGAACACGAGCTTATCGTTACGAGACCCCTCCATGAAATCCTGGTGTATTATGAACGAGGCTTGACGGCCTAATCTTCTTCCAAACATAAGATTTGGAAAAGAGACATGGAGGGACGCATGCCAGCATGCTACAAAAGCCCTCGCGCCTCCAGTCGCCAATGCAGCGATCAGCAGAATACTTCTTGACATATTTTTCTTTCAGCCTCTGACCTGTATTTTCTGTTGCCTCATCATGGGAGACGCTGGGGAAGCAAGAGGCCCTCTGCGGATAGCCATCATCGGAGGAGGCATAGGTGGACTAAGTCTTTTATTAGGGATCTTGAGACACTGCGACCGACGCGCTATCGAACCACACCTTTACGAAGCTGCCCATGCGTTTTCTGAGATCGGTGCTGGCGTTGGCTTTCTCCCCAATGCGGTGCGAGCCATGCGTGTGATCGACCCTAGAATCTACGAATCCTACAGCCGAATCGCAGACACGGCGCCCCCGGTAAAAGTCAATGGCCGAGAAATGTCGGTCTTCTCCAGTGTTTATATGGGCATGGACGGAAAAGGAGGGACCAACACGGCCAAGGCCTTGGAAGAGATTTGTACAATCCACAACGACAATAGGTTCCGCAATATCCACCGGGCAGTTTTCTTGGACGCGATGGTGAACCTCTTGCCTGGTGGTTTCCAGGGAGGTTTGGTCAGTTTCAACAAAAGGTGCACCGACGTCCAAGAAGATGGAGAACGGGTCAATGTTCACTTTGCGGATGGCACCTCGCAAACCTTCGATGCTGTTGTTGGTTGCGACGGTGTCAAGTCGCGGGTGCGGAACATCCTTCATGGAGAACAGGAAAAGTACGAACCGCAGTTCACGGGCAAGTATGCCTATCGAGGACTCATCCCAATCCACGATGCTATCAATGCTCTAGGAGAGGAGATGGCAATGACCCAAGCTCTACTTTTCGGCTACGGGGGTCATCTCGTCACGTTTCCAATCGATCAAGGCAAGACGCTCAATGTTGTCGCCTTTAGAGGTGCCTCGGAATGGAACCATGGCACAAACTGGGTTGTTCCCGCCACCGTTCAAGACGCGCTCGAAGATTTCAAAGAATGGAGCGAACCGGTGAAAAAGCTGCTCTCTTTGCTGAAAAGACCGGACAAATGGGGACTCTTCGATCTCCCTCCTGCAAAGTCATTCGTCAAAGGCGGCAAAATTTCTCTGCTGGGTGATTGCGCCCATGCTTCCACGCCCCACCTCGGCGCAGGGGCCGGTATGGCTATAGAGGATGCGGCTGTTCTAAGTCGACTTCTTGGGGAAATCAAACGACCCGAGGCAATTCAACTTGTGAAGGCCTTTGCCGCATACGATGTGGCTCGGAGAGGGCGTGATCAACAGCTTGTGACTGCAAGCAGGGATGCTGGTGTGCTTTATGAATTTGAAAGACCTGGAGTCGAGGATGACATTGAGCAAATCCGGCATATTTTGAGAAATCAGTGGGACTGGGTTTGGAACTTGGACATTGAAATTCATTGTGAAGAGGCTATCGGACTGATGCACCGTCCAGACATGCTGGATGGCTCAGTCTGAGGTACAGTAACCCTAAGAGGGTCATGGCTGTGTCGCGCCATACTTGACCCGATCATCATCTCCCACCACGATTGAAATGCTGTGTGCACATCCAATAGTCTTTACTTCTTCCCACTACCCAAGTTCTCCTGGATCGCGCCTACAAGTGCTTGTTAGCCTACCGGAACACCGATGATCTCGCACTGGAGATAGCTCTTGAAAGTCACTTTCTAAGAAGGGGAACCCACCTCCCACTGCCCCTTGTTCTGTGAACTGTTTCCCGATAGCTCCCTTGGATGAGAAGGGGCCGCCGACCGCCTGTTGGAGGTAAAACGTCAGAGCGACCTCGTACAATATACAGCGTACACCATCCTTGATTTGCAGATCGATATATCTGGTTGTCGTGACGGAGCGGATCGAACTCACCTCGCCGACGCTGCCGATGGCTCCCTCAGCTGCATGGTGTTATATTAAGTGCTGTCTGGTCTTACTTCTCCTGACTCACATGTGAATTGTTTGCCAACTGCGCCGTCCTTATCAAAGACCGGTTTCTTGTCTCCCTGCATTTGTTCGGCGGCTGGGGATTGTGAGAAGCTTGGTCAGAGGAACGTGCTCAGGATGTGACATACCTGATTGTACAGTGCCACCTGCAAATGACCTGCTGTCAGTGACGAATCTCAATTGACACCTTCAAGTATCTCACTCACCAATTGATCCCTCGGGCGTGAAATTCTTTCCCACTGCACCTTCGCTGCTCAGCGGACCACCGGCCTTTTCTCCCAGTTGTCCAATAGCTGCCACCCGTGGTTAGTCTGAGCCAAACCTCAAAGGGCTTCGTGAGGGGGATTCGTCGAGAAACAGGTCAGTCTCACATCCTTCCGGCTTAAACTGAGAGCCGACGGAGCCTTTGTTGGCGTCGAGCGCGGACTTGTCTTGATCAGACATTCCTGTACTATCGTGAGCGAAGGCTAATCTATCTATTTAAACCTGGACTGACTTGCTAGATATACCGAAAACGGCCTGGATTGCTGCAAATCGATTAGTCGTTGAGCTTTCCTGGTCTGGCAGGCAAGACGATTCATAGTTGGATCGGTGAATTGAATGAGGATTGCGGGCAGTCGATATCAGACTCGGGCTAGATGGGTATGCTTGACGTACCTGGCGAAATGTCAGTTGGCAGTTCACAGCATCACGGTTTGAGTTCCCCTCGCATCATCTTGACGTCAACAAGCCTCATGGTGCCGTACCTTGCTCTCAGGATGTTCTCAGGTTATGAATTGATCATATGGTGAGCTGACTCCGTACACAGGTGAGTGCTGGTGACTCAAGACACGGACAATAAGAGGGTATTCGGATGTATTTTGTACCAGCAACCACCAGTTCGATCTGCAAGCACCCCTCCAATGCCTCACCATCGACATCGACGTCATTGACCCATGGATGTTGATAGGCAGTGGTGATGATTCGATCCACAACCTTTCCCTCCCAAGGTTAAGGCTTGTGAGCACCGAGGAGTCTTCCACCCAATTGGTGCATGGAATTGAAATCTAGATGATTGTCCTCCGCTGCACCGTGTCAGGGAGACCACGGCTCGAGGTAGCCACGAGCAATCAATGACGACGATGGCCAAGTTGGAAATACGAGGTGCGGGGGAATGACTGGCCATTCTGAGAAGATCTTGGTGGATGCGTGCAAAACTGACAAACATGGCAAAGTTGACAAACACTGTCATGTTCCCATCCGCCTCGCCGCTATCTCAACTTGAGTTGCAGTACTGTATGATTAGAAGTAGAGCACCTACACTCTTCAATATGGCTGGCATTAAAGACTGCCGGCAAGGCCTACCGGACACTATTGCAAAATGTTCTCGCCCAAGGAGATTCCTGAACGCACTTCCTCCTGCCCAGAAGTGATTATGCCAATCTCCCAACGTGGATGGCGGCTGCCCCTCTCACAAGATGTTGGTCTCGTTGACAATGCAGGAAGCTACATGGCAACCTGCATCCCGTCGATCTCACCTCTCACCTCCTTCGTCTCTCCGTTCTGCTCCATTGCACATCACTCACAAGGCCTAGCCTGACGAGTGTCCGAGGGTCTGCCTTTCGTTGGGAGTTTTTTTTGGATCTCGATTGGAATGCCCCATTGTTAATACTCTTGTCTTGGGCTCTGGAGTGATTTTGACCTCTTCGGCATATTACATGGAGGCTGTGAATTCACCCTTTCCATCCGTATCTTCCAATGATTGTCTCAGCATAAGAACGTCCACTTGAGACAAGAAAGGCACTGGGATTCGTTGTCGTCGGATTGGCAACCAAGTGTCAATGACATCCACACCATCCTCTACCAGCCGCATCAATGCGACGGCCATCGAGAACGCATTTCCTACTCCTCCGACAGGCGAAAATGTGCCAGAGAATGCATTCCACCTCAAAGGCCGCATGTCTCCAGCCCCCCACAAATTTCCGCTGATGCAACGCGCTCAATCGACTCCTCCAGATCTGACGCGCCCAAGTCAATTTGCTATAGGCGCAAAGAGCTCACAAGGGCAGCCTTCGGATGTCGCCAGCTTGGAGCAGTCGTGGAGCAGGCTGCGCTTGTCTAAGAAGAGGAGCCAATATTACGACGATGCTTTTGCATACCGCGAGTCAAACAATACAGCAAAGGAACGGGTCGCAAAAGACTGGGTGATCCTAGCCGAAATCAAGTTGAATTGCTGCGTAGGAATGGACACCCCCATTCTCATGCTGCGACTGACCGTGAATCCAGCTCGAGTCCGAGAAAGAATTCCTCATCGACCTGTCGTTTCGGTTGTCAGAGATTTATCAGCGTCCTGCGTCTTGTATCATGGCCATGGTTACTACTGACATTCCAATCCTTCTTGGCGGCAATTCCGAACCAGCATACCATCTTACCATCACAGCTTTACCATCAGAAATAGCAGCCACCAAAAACAAGAGAAGTACACATTTGATTCAGGATTTTATTCATGATACGCTTCAGATTCCTCCAAAGCGGGGCGTTGTGCGATTTGATGCAGTCTCGGAAGAGAACCTGGCAACAAATGGAATGACTGCGCTGCAGGAAATTGAGCAGCTGGAAAGACAGTCTAACGACGAAGATGGCATGATGAGGGCGCTCAGCCGGCAAAGAAGTCGACGGAGCAAGAAATCCACGGCGCCAACTTTCGCAGAGAGATTTCGCGTCGGTCTGCCATCTATCAGATCAACGACTCCTTCAACTCAATTTTTCAATACCGTCGAAACTACAGAGTTCAAGACGACTTTGGCGAGTGGTCCCGGCAAGAAACGCGTCAAGAAGAGGCAAAGTATTCTAGGTTTCTTCAGGAAATGACCAGGACCAGTTAGATTACATTTTATTCACCACTGAGATCATTGAAACGGGAGATTTCATGAGTAACGCAGTGACAGCCCTGGTATAATAAAGAGGAAGCGTTGGCTACTGTGCATACAATAGGACATAAAACAAATCCATGTACTCGGTTTTCAGTTTCTTTGAGGTGCCTATGAAACTCTTGCTCTGTGGCAGCGATTATTCACTTCTGCCTCATTTCACTCCAACTGCGCTCGTAGTTCCATAACTGCCGCTTCCTACCCTGATCTGCCCATTATCTGGAAGGCGGAACTCATAGAACATCGATGTCCTCTCTCGCCTTCCAAATCACCGACAGATACATACCAGTGACTATCTAACAAGGCCAGAAACGTCAGGACTTACACTTCTTCTTCCTCCCTTATCCTCGCCCACCGCCATCAATAGCGAGCATGGATCTTACCGACCCCATCAAGTACTACAGAATCCTCGGCCTACCGAGGAATGCATCATTAGAAGAGCTGGACACGAAATACTTCGAACTTACAGAGTACTGGACCATGAGAGCTGAAAACAACAATAACATCGAGCCAAAGCTGGAATTGCATCTTATCGACGAAGCTTACAAGGCCCTTCTGTCAAAATTCTTAGGAGAGAGGAAAGAGACGCCTCGGCCGGCACCACGAACATGGACAATAAGGGACATTATTCAGGGCCAGGATCGAATAACAAGATCTTGCCTCGACAACGGTGAGATGTGGAGCCCGCCACCTGAAGAGAGGTCTCCCTCACTCGAGTTTGAAGATATTTCGGAGAGGCTCAAAGCCGAAGTCGCCCTAGAAGAGCAGGAGAGATGCTTTGGAATTGCACCAGGTTTTTCGATCAGTGAGCTCGCAGGAGAACTTCACGATGCGCCGGATCGAGCGGCCATCGTCCGTACGTGACCAGAGGAGCTTCATGATTTTCGCTAACCACTTGCGCTCCAGATGCTGTGAACTGTCAGGGAGTCTGGGGATATGGAGTTGCGCTGTATCTTAAGAAGCAGGTATGAATGCACCATTTCAGCCTATTCGCTGTCGCTGACACAATCAAGTATCCAGAGGCTTTCAAGATCTATAAGGCGCACTGCGAGACAGCAAATCGACCGTACGATCTCATTGGAACGTGCTTGCTTATCCCTCCGCAGCCTTTAGACTACGAGCAAGAGATCATGATAAAGATCAAGGGTACCGACAAAAGCATTTCTACAGGCGAATCACTCTTCAGACCGCAACGTTGGATCGCTTGCCTCTTCACGAGCATCGGCTACGGCAAACCAAATATGAAAACCAACAACCCAGGCAAAGACCCTGCAACCAAGATTGTCACCAATACAAGAATGGCACTCGAAGATTTCAGAGTCCAGCTGGAGGCTTTTGGTCCCTCCAATTTCAACCCTAGAACCGCGTGGAAAACCGACAGTGATAAACCAGGCGAAATCTGGAGCCCGAAATTTAATAGCGGCGCATTCGGCGTGGATTGGGAGGATACTCGCATGTTGATCAGCGAAGAGTTTAAAGGATTCGAGCGGCCTTGGACTGTTGTGGATAATTCTAACAAAAGCGAACATGAATCTCTTGGTAGCGAGGACCAGAACGACGTTGCTGAACAGGGAGTCAAAAGGGCCCGCTAGGAGCCCCTGGGGCAGTGCAAATCTTGACATCGAGGGAGCACATGTTGAAGGAATATCGACCGAGGTGTGCACTCAAGGCGCGGATCTTGGTTCGATCTCTCATGGCCTGCCGGGCACAGAACATGGGATGCTAGCGATGGCTTCACGCAGGAGGCAGTGGATGTTGCAGGCAGAGGCAATACAAGGCGTCAAAGAAAAGGGGACGCGCTATCCTGCACTCGGCTTAGCTGCATTTTTCTCTTGGCATCAGAGAAATCTCAAAACTTGATCTTTTGCTCATGAGTGCCTCACATTACCTCCTCCATCAACTAGGGAAACCCTTTGGTGCTCCTCTCGGAACAACAATGGAAGGGCCGGATTCTGACTTCCGACCGCCAAAAAGAGTCAAACTCGACGCAGTCCAGACAGATGGCGCGTGCGACAACGACGACTCCTCAAAAGCCCTGTCTCCTCGGCCAGCTGGCGTTCTGCCCACCGTAACCAAGAGTCTAGTCATGGACGATAGCGCAAAAGAACGCGAGGTAGGTATCACTGCTTTTGTCGACGGATCTAGAAGCGTCTTTCGAGGGATTCTCAAGAAGAGATATACAGATTTCTTAGTCAACGAGATCTTACCTGGCGGAACGGTGTTGCATCTCCGATCAATGAGTGCGAAAGGCCTGCAATCAAATGCTTTGCACAGCATTGGTTTAGAAGGTACAGCGCAAGGTGCTTCGGAACATGTTGGGCATGGGACAACAGCATTGGAGCCATCATTGGAGCCATCTGTGGCAGAACATGAGACTTCACAAGCGACAGAGGCCACGGCAGATGCCGGAGCTTCAGATGCTCCGCAGGAGGACGGCTCTGGCGCCCAGAATCCTGAGGTAATCTTCCGTCAGCTGGAGAAACCGTCAAGACTGACGCAATACAGGTTTCAGACAATGACCGCGCCAAACTCGTAGAATATTTCAGTGAGGAAACAGTGGTACAGATAATCTCCCTCTTTGAATCGATCTTGCGCAATCCAGGAAAGAAATCTCGAGAATATTCCACAGTTCGGACACCGTTCACTTCGGACCGCAGCATTCGGTCAAAAATCCATCAGGATATCCGCCGCATCTTCCACAGCAAGATTGACTCCACGACAGACAATGAAGGCATACTAGTCCTCACAGCAACACCACCATCAGCGAACAGCAATCGCAATCGTGGCTGGTCAAAACCTAATGAGAAATCCTCGCGACCGGGAAAGCTGAGTTGGTTGGAACGGGGTGGAGAATATGTCCATTTTACTCTCTACAAAGAAAACAAGGATACGCTTGAAGTCATCTCATACCTGACAAAGCAACTCAAGACGAACAACAAGACATGTCAGTTTGCGGGCACGAAAGACCGGCGTGCCGTGACCGTGCAGAGAGTCAGCGCTTACCGTGTCGAAGCAGAGCGCTTGGCAGCGCTGAACCGTTCTCTGAGATATGCTGCGGTGGGAGATTTCGAGTACCAGAAGCATGGGCTGGAACTCGGTGATTTGGCTGGGAACGAGTTTGTGGTCACCTTGAGAGACTGCCACCTCGTCGAGTTGGGTGCCGAACAGAGCACTGCGGCAAGGAAGGCTGCTCTTCAGTCATATCTGTCGCAGGCGCTCCGTCAGCTTCATGAGTATGGTTTCTTGAATTACTATGGACTGCAACGATTCGGGACCTTCGCTACGCGCACCGATGTCGTAGGTCTGAAGGTCCTGAAGGGAGACTTTGAGGGCGCGTGCGACGCAATCCTCGAATTTTCGCCCGTCGCGCTGAACAGCTCTAAATCCCAAGAATCAGGCGTCCTTGTCGGCCAAGACGACCGTTCTCGTGCCGAAGGGATCAACATATGGCGAACAACTGGCAGGATCAACGATGCTCTCGACAAGGTCCCGCGCAAATTCTCTGCCGAGACAGCCTTGATTCGACACTTGGGCAAGCGGCCGCAGGACTACTTGGGTGCTCTTCTTGGAATCCAGCGCAACCTGAGACTCATGTATGTCCATGCGTATCAGTCGTTCGTGTGGAATCTCGCGGTGGGAGAACGATGGCGGCTGTTCGGTGGCAAGGTCGTGGAGGGCGACCTCGTGCTGGTCCACGAGCACAAAGACAAGCAAACAGACGAGGGACCGCAGAAGCAGACGGTGGATGCAGATGGGGAAATCGTCATCGAACCGTCGGGGGATGACCGCGCCTATGACGCCGACGACATGTTCGAGCGTGCCCGCGCTCTCACCGCCGCCGAAGCCGAGAGCGGCCAGTACTCCATCTTCGACATTGTCCTTCCCCTCCCGGGCTTCGATGTCGTCTACCCCGCCAACGCGAGCGGCGAGTGGTACAAGACGTTCATGGCCAGCGAGGCTGGCGGCGAGCTTGATCCGTACAACATGCGCCGGAGGCAAAAGGACTTTAGTCTGAGCGGTTCGTATCGCAAGGTGGTGGCGAGGATCGGTGCGGTCTTCGAAGTCGGCGTCCACGAGTACGGCGACAGCGAGGGGGACCGGCAGTTCGTCGAGACGGACATGGAGCGGATCAAGCGGGAAAAGGCCAATGCGGCTCAGGCACCAATTGAGGCTGCTGCCAATGAGGATTCATCCTCGAAGGATCTTATCGGCACCGCGCAGCGGCAGCAGTCACCACTGGACGAAGCGAACGCGAATGCGACTGCGAATGCGAATGGGGATGGGGATGGGGATGGCAATGGAAGTGACGCCGAAAGGGCGAATGTACCGCAGCGCACGAAACTCGCGGCAGTGCTCAAGTTCCAGCTCGGCTCAAGTCAGTACGCTACCATGGCGTTGAGGGAGCTATCCAAGGGAGGCATTCAAGCTTACAAAGCCGAGTTCACGGGCGGAAGGTGACGAAGCCATAATCTGACGAAAATGCTATGCCACTCGATGAAAGAAGACGTGGATAGAGATCAGACGTGTAATAGATCATCACCAAGAAGGACGAAAGTGTGAGCCCGGCAGGATAGCTATATAGATGAAATTGCTCTGGCTGTTATGGACCAGCAAAATGAGTGCAGCTTGATAGTGCTGCCCACGAGATTTTTGCCGACCAAAAAGCTCATCAACTGCATCTGACATACAGCCGAGTTCCCTGTAACCCTGATACTTCTTTGATTGAGCGAGGGCAGATATCGCGAGTTCCCTTTCCTCTCCTCCCGATTCAACTGATTCCCCAGCACACAAACGGTCGCGCAGATCAGGCATGCAGACTCCACACTTTCTCAGCTGTCCTTCGGTAACTTTGGGGAATTCCGTGTAGGAAAGAATCCACCGTAAAGCAGATTGACGCCCAGGTTGGCAACAGCACCACCATTCCGTCGCCTGGAGAAAATCACGTCATTGTCAAATCCACCTCGTAGCCTTCGAGCATCACCAGAGCAGGGGATACTAAGACCGGTGGTGCGGTGTTTTCTAGCCGATTTTGAGCGAACACAGCTGGACGCAGACACAGGTAGACATGGTCATCCCGCGCGAATCCTTCGTTTTCTGGATGTGCCGGTTCCATCCAATCCCCATCAAACAGGCATCCGACAGCCGGAAGCCGGAAGCCGTACACCAGCGAGCACTTCGCCATGGTGGTCCTCATATCTAGCAGATCGAGGAGCGCGGCTTCCACGTGCTCTTGCCACTGGCGCAGTTTCTGGTCTTGAAGCTCAAACCCTTTGTTCTCCGGTTTGCCAACCCTTGCCGAGGGGATGGAAATGCTGATGAGAACCTTGTAGAGCTTCTCTTGGATTTCTGACGCTCGTCTCGGCAGCGCTGGTCTGATGACTTTGTCGATGTACTGGTTTGCTCTCTTGACACTCACATTGCGGGCGATGTAGTGGTTGTCTATCATATATGTCAGTCAGTCTCAGTCAGATTTCATCGTCTCATGGCAGATACGTACACTGCTCGCAGATGTTGAAAATCGTGCATTGCTCACAATTGGGCGAGGGGATATGTCTGAGGTTGTCGTCAAATGGTTTAAGTACCCATTCGTATATTGCCGCAGCGGTGTAAGCACGGAATAGAATCTGGTCGCACATGTGGGGTCCGGCGATCAGGGCCTTCAGACGTCGGTCCGTCGGTCCGTCTCTAGGCGAATCAACCAACAGACAACTTAGTTCGAGCGCCTCTCCCGTCAGTCCTGAGGAAGTCGGCATCACTGTTCTGGTTCCCAGCGCGAAGTGAGAGAAGCTTTCGTCGATTAGTTTCATGGTTTTCTGCAGGATATTTTGAATGTGTTGTTTAGGAAGAGGAGCCATGTAACCTGTGTCACCACGGTGCTCTCGAAGATAGTTGAGGAAGTTGAACTCCCATTCTTCAAGAGCCATAGAATAACGGCGGAAAGGGAAATCTGTGTCCAGCTCGCTGTCTGGAAGGTGGAAATGGTCGAGGTCGGAAAGGGGACTGGTTGTTGGGGCGATTGGCGACCCTGGAGGAGGGCTTTCTCTGACTTCATCTGCAGGAGCAACAGTGACCCTGTCGTCGTCTTTGCTTTGGGAAGTATCGCTTCCAGTAATCGACTTTGCCACTGTTTTCAGCCTGCGTTTTTTCGGTGTGGATGTTTGCCCCCTTCGCTCGAATCCCTCGCGCACTTGGGATCTATAGTCTTCCCAGTTTCGGAGAAGTTGTTCTGGTTTGATCCCGAGTTTGCGAGAAATTCCATTGACCTTGTTCTGTATCTGCGTAGTGGTGCGGGCAGATACCCCCGATTTACCGTTGTTTTCAAGAAAGTGCGAATGAGCTTCTGCGACGACCTGAACGACGGTAGAGAAAGGCTTTTTGGCAAGGTAGTCCAGAGCGTCGAATAAAAGCAACTCCTCTACAAGGGTCCAGTGAGGATACATCGTGGAGGAGGGTTGTGACATTGGTCAGGCTCTGAACTTGAAGTTCAATAAGGGGATACGGGTTGTTGTCGGGCCCCTGGTTGGGCGAGAAGTGGAATAGGAGCGATGTGGAAGTAAGGGAAGGTGATCATCCGCAGTCGGCACACTGTGTATCTCCACGGCATGCCACTGTCAGTTTCAGCTGGATCAGGTCGGCGCCGAGATGCAGGTAACCGTGCGGTGTGTATTTTGGCGAGAAGGCTGTGGAGATCTGGTCTCGAAACAAATAAGCAATAAAAGCTGTTTGAAATACCCATCTAGTAACCCTGCAGTCCCCCGCTGCCCAGAGTTTGTAGCTGCGAGAAAGGCACAAAGGAAGTGAAGATAGTTTGGAGGTGTTCATCTGTATCTTGAGCGTCAGGCAGACGCACCTGTCTTCCTTCCTTATTAGAGCTTGAGAGATTTCTGAGAAGCGCTCCTTCGATCTGTCGCCCGCTTGGTAGTGGCAAAGGTCCCTTACCTCACCTCACCTCTATCTCACTTTTACCTCACTCACCTCACTTACCTCACCTCGCTATTAATATGCCAGCCTGTCATAGCTGCTCCATTTTTCACGTGAGTTCCTCTTAATCAAGCTCTTATTATCCCACCACTGACTGATCCAGACGCGTTGTTCCTTGACAAACTCGACTCAGTCAGGCCCTTGCTCTGCCTGCGTGAACAAGGGTTTAGTGTGTGAGCCTCACTCATCCAATATGCCTCGAAAACGCGCGCGGCGCACTATTCCCGACTCACCGCCGAGTGAGAGAAGCCAGAATGAGCCTCACTCCTCCAATATCCCTCCAAAGCGAGCGCGGCGCACTATTACCGACTCACCGCCGAGTGTGAGAGGCCAGAGTGGACGCCCCAGCCCGGAGCTCGGGAACACATTCGACAATGTTCGATACCCTCCATTGCTTCAATCACTTCGTGAAGTACACATTGCGCTAGACACCGGCACCGAACGGACAAAGGCGTCGATCGTCCTGCAATATACGGATAAGAGAACCCATGGAGCATCGATGGTCTTACCGGCAGCGGTTATCTGGCCCAACTGCTCTGACTCGGTCCTGACCCAGGTCGCATTTGGGGATGAGAGGCGAATGTTTTGGGGGGACGGAGTCGAACAAGAGCTGAAGAAGCGAGGCATAACCGAATCTCAGGTTATTCGGCGCCTCAAACCTTCGTTATTTGACGCGCACGCGCTTGCTCATCAACCTTTTCAGAAAGGTCTGCTAGTCGCCGAGGACCGGAAAGTCGAGCTCACGGAGAGTTTGAAGTCCTGTGGTGAGGATGCTGACGACTATCGAATGGAAAACCTATCCGTGTTTTCAGACTACATGGGCATCGTTTATCGCTATGTCCTCCAATTCATTGCAAAAACTCATGGTAGCCTTGGCTGGCCAGTACTCAAGAACCTAGAGGAGTACAAAAACTGGAGCCCTCCTGGAAACCCGAAGATCCACGTTTCGCTCCCAGTACCTGTCGGATCGAGTCCCGACGAAGTGCAGCTGGTAGTGGCTGCTGCAAAAGCAGCGGGGATCCCCAATCCATACCCTGTCGCCGAACCTGCGTCGGCTTTAATCCATCATCTCTGCAAAGCTCGCGACCAATCAATCAAGGAAAAGACTTTCCTGATTCTCGACATCGGAGCTGGGTCGGTGGACCAACAAGTCTGGACGGTGGTGAATGAAAATCCTCTCCAAGTCCGTGAACATATCATTCCCGAGCATGTCAGGACGGCATGGTGTGGGGGCGCCTACACAAACCAAGAGGCCGTAAAACTGATTATGAACGGCATTCGCGACAGGGACCTTGTTCTCAGGGCACTGCAGAGGCACGGTAGCCGAATCAATAACCAAGAGTCACTCGAACGCAAGTTGGACAAGAAATTCGAGAAAGAAAAGCAGCGCTTTGAAGGGTGGGAAACACTATTGCTACGCATCCCTGGCCTTCCTGATATACCAGAGTTCAGACTCGGCGGTGGCGGTATAGTGGTCCTCGAGCCCAAGGATGTGAAGAGCGCTTTTGCACCATGTCTTAACCAAATCATCGCTATGCTCGATACCGCCATCCAAAGCGTTTTCGAAAGCCGGACCTTACGCGGAATGGTAGAGCGACGAGTACACGAGATTATCGTTGTCGGGGGCTGCAGCCAAAACCGATACTTACTCGATCAGATCCGCAATCGATATTCTGGCGGTCTGCAAAGTCCTTTTCCCTATCTTATGCCAGTCACTCTTCCACCCGACGCGGCGACAGGGTCTCTCACGGTCGCACACGGTGCCGTGCTACTGTCGGCGGAAAAGGAACTAATCAAAGAGAGATATGTGCGCCGGAGCTTCTGCGTGGAGTGTCATGAAGAAGTCAACGCGCACTTGTACCCGCCCCAGAGCAGATACAGGAGTCCCCATGACCATCAGATACGCGTCCCTGTCACCCGTTTTCTTCTCCGCCAAGGTCTGCATCCTCAATGCTATTCCTCTGAGCCTTTACAAGGCTGGCGCGGGTTGTTTCCTCATGAGAGGTTCGCAGACGGCACCTGGCTGATTGAAGAAACTCTGTACTATTCAGACACTGTTTCCCAGGATAAGCTCTGGATACACGATCATGTGCTCGGTATCCGCGCCATGCCGGGTACCCTCAACTTCCACATCTCTACAGAAGAAGCGCAACGCTTTCCTCAGGAACAAAGCCCAACGGATGGACCTTATTATTACCTTGACTACGAGTTGATCCTAACTCTAGATGGGCATATCATGACGTTCAAGTTCATCATCCCCCGAACAGGCCGATGGCCCACCCATGGTGACCGGTACGCAAATGTCATGTACAGGACGGGTCAGTACGACACCGCTGGAGTCTCTCAGCTGTTCAGTTCCGCCTAGAATCTGTCACCTAGTGAGATTTCTGGGAAATCTTGCTTTAGCATCCGCCTCTACTCGGCTGGCATATCGTATTCACCAAGCTCTAACTCATGCCCGCACTTTTTGAAAGAGACAGAACGAACATTGGCGACTATTTCACCCGGCGACAGGGCAGAATAGCCGATTTCTGCGATGGGAATCGCGAAGACCATCGCTGTGGGATGTGCAGCGCATATTCGGAAACCCCCTTGGACTGGTCACCGTGGTCCATCGTACGGCACTGTTGGGATATCATATATCAGGCGACGGCACCGCCATGCAGGCTGGGACGTGCCAAGGAGGCGGGATCTCTTCCTGCAGGCTGAGCGCTTCGGCTTCGAGGTTGATGCAGCAGATCCACGCAGTGTAAGAGGTTAGCACGGTCTAAGGACAGGGCAGTTCTAAGTAGGTACATGGCCACGAGGTGGTCAGAAAATGCCATTCTTGCGACTCTGGGTTCCTTGGTGACGAGGCGAGCGAACAGAATGCTTGTCAGTACGCTTCTGAGGCCAGAGCCGTTTTATCCCTGCCCAACTTCTTTAACTCTCGCCTGGGGATTGACGAGAGATCTAGATTTGTACCGCCAGCCCCCTTCTCTAATAACATGCCTGGAACAGGAGGAGGCTGAGAATAGCGAAGAGAATGGCGGTCTGCCCTGTCTGCCCCGTCTATCCCTTTCGCAAATTCGTAGCCTAGTATTCCCGACGGACAGGCAACAGTAGATCAAGGTACAGGTTCTGGTCGATCTCATTATCTTGTATACACACCCTACGAGCGAAGCCGGACAGAGCAGGTCCTCTTCGTCCCAGGAAGTGATCTAGACACCTATCGTCCCTCTCCCTCCCCCCCCCCCTTCCTCCTCCTCCTGACTTATCAAGGCTCGACTCTACTCTTCCAAGCCGGTGCCTCCATTCCGTCCCGGGCATCACTTGTTTGCTTTCTCGAGCGCCAGCATGTTCTCCCGGATCTCACTCTCACTGGGCAAGCTGACGACGGTCAGATACAGGATGTTCTTGTGCAAGACACGGCGGATCAGCCCCTGATGTCTCCTCGGCAGCCTTCCCATCTCCGCGTTGCGCACGTCCGCCTCGCTCAGCTCGTAGCCTCTCCACCGCGCGTGCCGCTGGGCTTTGCGACCCCGCCTTTTGGCCTTCGGGTCGAAGTGCCCGCCGGTCAGCAGGCCGAGGATGGTGCCGGAGTTGGCCGGGTGGTTGGGGTCGGAGAACCTCGAGGCAAATTTCTTCTCCGGCGGAGGCATCACCAGTCTGCTGTCCGGGTGCATGCCCGCGTAGGACGCCTGGGCCCGGCGGTCGAGATAGCTCGCGAGAAACCCGGACGAGGAATGCAGCTTGTCCTTTGTGCTCTGTGGGAGAGCGCTTTGCGCGGCGCCCGAGGTCCCTCCTGCGCTGTCGAGCGCTGCCTGGGCGGCGGCATCGAGCGCCGGGTAGACGAGCGGTGCGGATTCGGGGAGTGAGAGCTCGCCCCGACTGACGCCGGAGGTGAGACGAATCTTGGCGAGCTTTTGTTTCAGCTCCGAGTCGGGGATTGAGGTGGCCTTGACAAGGGCCTGGTCGGTTGAGCTGAGGCCCAAGTTCGTCAGGTCCATGCCGAGGATTGGATCGTGCGGGTTGTCGGGCTTGAAGGTCATGATCATGCAGTACAGACCGCGCGGTTTAAAGAGCGACTCGTTGATTTGATCGAGGTAGGTGTTGCGGCGGTAGCGGGACTGGAGCTCTTTGCCCGTGCCGCTGGCGACTTGGATCGCAATGCTGACGGCCATGGTGATCGGATTAGGCACCAGGCCCACGGCGAAGCACGCCAGATTGATCACGTCAAAGACAGGGCTGGCTTTCGAGGCTCTATCCAGGTCGTTGATGAAATCAATGAAGGTCTTTTGATCTATGCCAGCACACTCGCCCAGTAGAGGGGCATAGGCTCGAACGAATCCTCGGGTTTTGTCCTTCGGTCGACGTTGGGGGAGAATCACTGGACATGGGAGCGGTTTGAATGTCTCAGAGGGAATCGGGGCGACCTTGTGTTGGTGCAGAAAGGCCCTTGCAACCTCTTCGTCTGATGCAGGGCTCGTTGCAGCCGCTTGCTCATACGTAGGAGGTGGTTGTTCAAGCTCCTCGGCCGCCTCATCCAGTGCCCATTCCGCCGTGTCATTGTCCAAGTCTGAACTGCTCACGCTCGAGGAATCGTCGTTGTCGTTGTCGTCGTGTGCGTGAGACTTCTTGTCTTCTGACTGACTGGTGTGGGCGCCAGGTTCAACTCTAGACCTTGAGCTTTCACCCGTCTCGCCTTCGCCTAGAGGATTAGGGGAAACCGCGCGCTCTCTGGCAGCCTTCTTTTCCTTGTGGTCGGCGATGGCCTCCGATGCCGCTCCAATGCCTGCGCCGATACCTTTGACGAGCCTGCTAATGATAGGCATAATTGCAAAAGCCTGCAACGACAGCGGGGCTCACTCCACACTTCGAATAATAAATGTTGCTTTGCAGTGACGATAAGGGTGAGGAGGACCTGGAATGATCTCCTTGTTGTGTTGCAGCGGGTTCTGTTCCCTTGAATTTGAGACATCTGATGTTATATAGGTATATATCTATCCAATTCTGGATATCCAGCTGAAGAGAAGCGCACAGGCAGCAAGAAAACCGATACCATTCGTGGCTAGAGGCGCGAAGCACAAGCTGGGAGCATTCAACACTGCCCCGCTCCAGAGTCAACCATCCATCGCGACATGATCCAGGAGGGGTAAGTCCAATCGTTCAGGAGGGAGAATTGGTGAAGCGGAGCAACGAAAGCTTAGCCCTCGAGGCTAGTTAGTAATTGCGGAATAAGCCCTAATAATGGGCGAGAGGGCGGGCGAGAGGCAGGCGAGATGCAGGCGATAGGGCCTCCCTCAGTCCTAGTAAAGAGACTCTGCGAGCTGGGCGAGTCAGAGTTTCAGACACACAATCGCCCCTTCGCCTGGGTTGCCTGATTCGATCCACGCATCGGAGAACGCGGCCTTGTCAGCCGGCGCGCTCTCCAGCATAACGGGCGTATGAATTGAACGAGAGAGCTTCACCTTCGCGGTGTTACCTTGTATTGGAAGCACCAATTCGAACAAGATGGGTTTCGGGACATGAAACACTGAGATGCCGCTAATCTGGACCATGCTTCTGTTTGTTGTTGACCTCGGCGTGAAAAGCTACACAAACCATCCATCTGGTGCCTTTTTCTCGGGAACGGGTGCGCAGTGTGACGGTCTCATGGTGAGCCTGCCGTGCCGTTCTGAACGCGGTACAGCAGGAGGGCATGCCGGCCTAGTCGGGTTCCAAACCAGGTCTGTACAACACATCCAGTGAGCCTGAATGCCCGAACAAGCGGTCTGTCGATTTCAGGAACCTCTTCTCGAGAGATCGTTTCCAGTGTACTCTTCGACACGCAAGATCCGTCTGCGTTCAGCATGTAATGTTGCAAGAGGCCTGATCAACTGGCAGGCTTGGCTCAGAGCTGAACACGTTGCAGTCACTGCCGCAAAGATGATGATCACCTGCCATCAAGTCGCACAGCAGAACAAGTCTAGCATTCTGAAGTGTTCATCGGACTCCCAGCGCCAGTCGCGACGAAGTATCCTGAGTTGCCTTGGGAACTGGTAAGTTCATGAGCAAAGCTTGTTAATAACATGTGGAAATGCGGTGAAGTTGCAGGACCGACTTAATCTGGACTTGCTCATCTCTGACTGATAACGTTCTGGGACACTGTGGAGTAGAGGGTTGGACTTCGAGATCGTCAAATTGCATGATCCCTGCTCTTGTCGGGAACGATCGAATTCCTGGGGGAATCTTACCAACCGACCTGTAAGATCTTACCTCCCTCGCTCTGGCCATTGCTTCAGGGAGACCTTTGTGTACATTGCCCTGCTTCATACATTGACAATAGTCCACCAGTCATCCACAGTGTTGCACCAAGAAAACCTGATCTCGGTGTGAGGTCGTCAGTCGGAGCTCAACTTTGGATCATATGACATTGGAGGGCCAGGCAAGGTTCGCGGAGAAGCAGATCACCTACTCCGTACCCTTTGGTTAGAAACCTTGCCCTTGTTGCCAGGGATCGCAGGGTTTTCACACTAGCATCGTCTATGCCAGAGCTGGATCGGAGTGATTGAGATTGGTTAGATCCGAATGCTGGGGTATTCCCCCAGCATCACCCTGGATCGTTGTCCCCTCCGTTTGCAGCAGTGACATGCAGAAGAACAGAGTCCCCAACCTCCAGCAACATCACACCATCGGTCCTTAGGATTACCCGGACGAAATGGTGGCTGTCGCCCGGTGCGAAGTTGGCTGATCATGTCTTCTCTTGGGCATTCAACACGGGCATCGCATATGCTCCGGCGCACACCGCTCAATAGAGCCACAAAGCTTCCAGGGAACCCCAGCCAGCGCCCCGCAGTGGTTTGCAGGGGCGCTTTGTACAGCGAAGAGCGGTTTTCAAGTCCTAATCGACATCCCCAGGGATAAAACAGACGCAGTTGATAAAGTGTTCTGTCTGGAAAGGGGAGGGAGGGTATGATCTCGTGGCTCCAGATTCATAGAACTCGATAATTAACTCATCTCGGGGAGTAGTCGTGTGTTGTGCCAAAGCGACAATGACGCAGCATCTTTACCCCTTGAGCTCTATCCCCGCGTCGTGAAAGGCATTTTCTCGCAGGGTCAATCGAAGCCACTTCACGAAGTGCGGAAAGATTTCGAGCCAATGAGCGAAGCAAAATTGTTGAGGATCCGTATCCAGACAATGACCGGTCTCGCCTCCAAGAAATCCCCTCCTTCCTAGGAGAGTATCGTTGAAAGACATGTGCGGACAAATCGGCTGGCCAGGAGCCATCTGTGCCTGGTTGTTGCATGAAGAAGACCGCGGTGATGGCAGGGGTCCTTAGGCAGCCTAACGGCTCGTGGTCTAAGGGGATCATCACGGGTCCTCCTTTTCCACAATCTTCACCAGAGGCTCATCAAGAAAATTGCTCAGATGTGAGGAGGTTATCCATCCATGTTGGACAAGCAAGAAAATGACCCGAAAGGACCACAATGTCGGCGAAACAGACACATGGTGGAAGAGCAGGCCGTTAAGAATCAAAGTTTGAGTCATGCGGAGACCTGCCATGTCAGAGCACGGCATAGGGATTCTTTTCGTCGCACCCCTGAGCAGCTGATTTGCTAGTGTGGTGGACATGAAACATGCGTTCGGAAGGCTTCTTTGGCGGGAGAATGCATGCATCGTGGCTCGATGCCGATGTGTTGCATGTGCGAGGAGAATACATAGTCCGCTCCCATGTGCATGTAGCCTGGTGTCATCGATGTGCCTAGAACAGGCGATATGAGTGGCCAACTACATTATCAAGGCACTTACTTTGTCATGTTCGTATTGTCTTCTTTGCTCGGTTTGGAAAGCCGTGCTGTTGCAGAATGGACCCGCTGGGCCGTCTTCACGAGGTGATTGCACATGTGTACGAGTATTCGTTGTAATGTACCTAAGGTGACTGCGGACGGATGGTGTTGGGTCTCGAGATCCATACGGAATACCTCGAGGGAATTTCTCCTACCAATGACTTGAGGACTCCGGAAAAGAAACGACCCCAGAGAACCAACCAGCGATATTTCCACGCCTAGCCTGAGTGACGCAACATCAAAACGGATCTAGTCTTGGAGGGACACGGGCTTGCTTGGATTTCATGTGCGTTCGGATCCATTCTCTGGGGCCGTGTGAGGCGACATTACTCCGTACAGGGGGGTTTAAAGCATCCAAGGGAGAACGGTGACGGGCATCATCGTACAAGTTTCTCCGTATCTGGGCTCGTATGACCCTAAAGCTGTCAGGAATGCGTTCGACGGGTCCCTGCACGTTGTAGCAACTGCATGCCTGTTTGGCACAAGTGTGATTTCTTCTTGATTGCCCTAGTGATCCTGAGTGTCCATCCCATCTCTTTTCAAAGAGCAATCTGGAGGGTGAGGCAGCGAAGGGGCGGGAGCGATCTGTAGGAGTGATAGCTGCGGGGCTCTGCTTAACCCGAGAGAGTCTGGCGGGCGCCTCTAAAGGTGATCAGCATCGAACTTGTTTCGGTTGTTCGGTTACTCAGCCTATGGATGAGTGCCCAGGAACTTCCCCATATGCACGCCATGGACGGAGAACAGGTACTCCGTAGACGGTAACAACTGATCGAAGGGTCCCTGGGTCGAAGGGTCGAAGACTGAGATTTGGAACCAAAAAAAAGAGAGGTGAAAATGGCTGCAAGGGACTTGAATGTTTATTGAACCTTGGGTGGTGAGGTTGGGCAAAATTGGTATTCGAGGCTCTCTCTCTCTCTCTTGCTGGAATTGTCCGGATCGAATCGAGCGTCAGTCTTACCACTTTGACCCTCCATCTTCCGGCGTTTGTCCATATTGGAACTGTGGAGAGGGAGATTGGAATTTGTGCGGTCTGTGTGTCTGCGTCATGCTAACAGAGAAATACGAGGCCGTGGGTCCAGGCATCTCCGCGTGATCGCTAAGGACAGTGCAGTAGCTAAGCAGGGCGATATATTTAATAACAGTCCAGTGCTCCGTCCAGCCAGGGTGGTCAGTCGATGGGAGTCCGTGGCTTGTTGGACGGTTCGTGGCCGCCAGTCAGAGTAATGGACGGAGGTGGGAGTCCTGCGATGGGTGTCAGCATTATGTATTATTGTACGAGTGCGAGTGCGCGTTGAGCGCGCTCATGCCTTTCTCTAGGGAGCGAACCCTAATCCGAAACACATGAATGCAGGGCATCAGAGTCATTGGACAGAGTAAAGGGGGTAGTGGTTGTCAACATGTGCCAATGGGTAGAGAGGGTCGAGGTTTGCTGTATTATTTGTGCATACGAGCAGGACACACTGTTAGGCGCAAGATCCGCAGTTAAGAGAAGAGGGTGCATTCCAGGGAAGCAGCCGGACCGCGGGCGGGCCAGACTCATGACAGCTGCGGACGCCAGGCGCAATGGGTGCCCTGAAGGCTTGCACATTGCTAGTTAGGTGCCTAGCACGTCACTCCCTAGGTAACCTTAACTGCACCAGGGCACCCGCAGGCCTCAAGCATCAGGCACCACAGGCATCAACTACCTGGGCCAGCACGCACCAACACGTAGCACGCACCAAGCATGAGAACGCGTATCCCACTCCCCTTGGTGCTCCCTTAGTAGTGCCCTGGACACAATCGGGAACTAGCCAACTGCTAGGTGTCCACCTAAAAAGAAACTCCCGCTTTTGGCTTGTCTCCTGAATGGTGCTTGGGCCATTCCGTGTCAATTGTCAACCACTGGCTGCCAGACTGCGGTCGAACCTCTCCTTCCCTCTTTTATCATCCATTTCCAATTCATCACCAACACCACCACGGCCATCCATTCCCCCCTCTTCTATATCCATCCAATCGACACAATCTCTTCGTTATTGTCGTCGTCGTTATCACTTGCCCCTTCGTCTTCCCCTCCCATTTGCGTTTCCTCTCTTCCACGGCCGCCTTCACCAAATACTTTTGTCCACGCGCCGCGGCTGTCAACCTTCGTTTCTTGAGCTGCTGGGTTTCGCCTCTGAAGCTTCCTGTCCCCTGTGAAGACGAGTTTCTTCCAGCCCTTCGCTTCTTCTTCGACGTTCGACTCTTATCGTCACGTACATAATCCCACCTTCGTTGAATTCCATTCAGTCTCGGGTCCATTCTTGACCATACCAGACCCCTACCGTCGACGAGCTTCACCATTTGGTCTCAACCCATTCACGATCTGACCCTGTCATGTCGAGACGTGGTGCCATATTCTAGAGAGAAATAGAAATAGTCATATCCCGAAGGTATGTACCGCCGTTCGAACAGGATACTTTGTCGAGTTCAGGAAATCCGATCTTGACTCAAATGAAATACTGACTTGGGGTGCCCGCAGTCGAATTTCTCGAGGAAAGACTCTCCTTTATCCGGCCCCCAAAATTGAAACAAGATTACCCAAACACGACCTGGCCCGTACCAGGCACCTTTTGCTGAAACATAGTCAAAGGAGAAGATGGCTGCTTTGGTCCAAACACTGCCTCCCCAAACAACGACGGTTACAATGCTGGGTCGCCCCTCGTCTTCGGGGGGCTATCCTTCACAGGGCTCACAGGGACAGATCAGAAACCACCCGCCAAGTCGATATAACATGTCTGCCACTGGGTACAGAGGCATGCCAGCTAGTGGTCCCATTGCCCCTTACGCCTTCACATCCACGCCGCAGTTGGCCACCAGCAATGTCAATGCCAATCCCAATGCACGCCCATTCGCTCTGAACACTGGGCGGTCAATTTCTTCTCCAAAAGCCCCTCAACCGGGTGCCTCTCCTTCCTCGCAACCCTCCTCCCCGAATAGTCCTTCACATGTCGATGCTGGCAATCGTCCTCTGTCGTTAGGACTCCCACCCATACCCTCGGGCTCTTTCATGGGTCCCCAATCGACACCTACTGCCCCTAAACCATCTCCAGATCGTTACCGAAGAAACGTGCGACGAAGCGATGGAGAGAGCGGTTCCAATCGTGGCCCTGCAGGTCCCACTCTCCCTTCGGGCTCTGGGATGGCGGCAGTCGGTTCCCTTTACAACCATCCTGCTCAATCCAACAGTACGCCGTCCTTGCATTCTCAGCAATCCTACCGGAGCTCATCGCAAGGCAACAATCTTCAGCCCAAGAGCTCTAGTGCAGACGATCTCCAACTGGTTCGACCTCAGCCTGCGGAGCTGGCTGCAAGGTATCGGAGGCGCAGTTTCGGCAGCATTGAGACGGCAGGTCTGAATCATTCCTCTGATACCCAAGAAACCGTTTCTCCTCACCCAAAGGCGTTCCTCGATTCACCATCGAGTCAAGGAGATGTTCTACTTCCGCCTCAGCGACCTACTCATCACAGACACACCTCGAGTTCCGACAGTGTGACGTCGTCGAAATCTGCCCGATCTTCCCGCCCTGGTTCAGTAAGTGTACCCTGGGATGCCGTCAGAAATGCCTACTTACTTCTCTGCAGTCTCGGACAGAACAACCTTCCACGGCCACCGCTTCTGGCCCACTTTCTTCCCCTAAGCAAGAGCCGAGACTTGCTGCACCGCCTCGTCTTGGGGATTCGAGCATTCGCCATCCGTCCCCTTTGTCCCGACCCGTCAACATTCTCCCTGACAATGTAGACGAAGCGCGTCCGTCGGCATCAACCCCGACTGCTCCGCAGACGTCCGCTCCGCCAAGCCTTGCTGCTGAACAGCTTACTGCGGTGAGCAAGAAAGAATTAAAGAAGCCCAAATCGAAACTGCGGCGAGCATTCTCTTTCGGAAGCGCAGCAGAACTTAGAAAGGCTACTGCACAACATAATCTGGAAAAGAGTGTGGCCAACAACCAGATAACGACCAAGAGGAATTCAAAATACGAGGATGAACTGGAGCCTGAGCAAGCGCGCATTGCTGAAAAGCAAGAGGCCGCAGGATTGGGTGAAAGCATTTATTCTGGCCAGGGCAACTTCTTCACTGGGTCGACCGACAATTTATCCATCTCTTCGACTGCGTCCTCGGCTTCGGTTATGCTCCGTAAAATGGGCAAGGGAGTCAAGAAGGGCACTCGATCTCTCGTTGGCTTGTTTCGGCCGAAGTCTGTGGTTGGTGTACCTGCTGCCGATGCGCCGGTGAACTCGGCAACTATCGCAGAGGTCTCAATGGTCACTGTCGAGGCAGAAAGAGAGAATGTCAACGTAAATGTCAACCCTCACGAGCAGGCTGGAGGTGGTACTGGATTCCCAAAATTGGAGCGCAACTCCATCGACACTAAACTCTCATTCGACAGTGGCACCGTTTCCAGTGATACACGATCACGACGCAGCATCGTTGGCGGGGAGAAGGAGCGTGCCGAGGTCCTTGCCGCTGTAAAGAAAGGCATCCTCAAGCGGACGGATTCAAATCAACCCTCGCCCAAGGTCAAACCGTACGACTTCAAGGCGCCCGATTTCAACTTGCCTCAAATTCCTCACATGATCGACTCGCCCAAATCGAGTGCCCCCAGCACACCTGCCGACGAACCACCTCGATCTGGCCATCGCCGAACCGACTCGATCACCATTGAAAGCAACGATCATGACGATTATTTTACTTCCATGACTAGACTTGGCAGCTTAGACTCGAAGAATACACCGGTGACCCCGCAGGGTCTAATTCGCAACATTTCATTCAGCCCACGAATTCAGTTTTATGATACCTGGCCCAGTGGAGAGTACGATCGACGGGGTGAGATAGCAACTTGCAATCGGTTGACTCCGATGCTAGCACAGCAAATCAAAGAGGAGCTCAACACCTTCAAAATGGTACGCGGCATGACTTGTTCTGCATGGGAAACTGCTAACCCGTCACAGGAAATGGAGGTTCACGAGTCATCCAAAGTCTATACGCATTTCTTTTAGTGCGGACGGATCAGATCAATGGGCGATCCTAGAAACATCTCTCTGTTCACCGAGTTGACGCTTGAGCCAATAGTGATCACTGGCACGCGAATCATCAAGAACACTCACGATTTCTACGACCCTTGCAGTACATTTGCAGCAAAGCATTGTTTTCGTCGCTAGTTGACAGCACGAAACTGTTCGTTGGGGCCTCCTTTCGACCGCGGGCCCTGTGTACATTTAAAAAAAAGCTCATTCGTGTTGCATTTCACCTCGATCATGAAATTAAGGTTCAAAGTAAGGTGTCTGGCGCAGGGCAACAATTACCCAAGGATGGTTATTAAGGCGGCATCAAGGGAGAATACATGTTGATCTTGGGTTTCAGTCTGGAGGAAGGAGGACATTTCATCGTTGGACCTTTCAGCCTACCCTTTTTCTAATCGAGGACAACTTGGTTTGGGCACCTGACTAAACTTTGTCATTGGAGTGATGGGCATCACAAATTGGTTTCTATTGGAACCGGCTTGGATGTTATTTAGCCTAGTACAAGTAAGAGACCAGAGGGTCAGTGGGTATGTCTCAAACCCCTTTGGTCTAAGGTTAGAGGGAGAAGAAGAGAGTATGCCGCTCTTTCTCGTGGAGGAAACTAATTGGTTCTATGGTCTTGTTGACGCATTGCCTGAACCCTCTTTACACCCTTGATGCCCGATTCTGCTTGCAAGGCTGAATTTGGGGGCAGACACTGAAAAGAGGAAGGTGTGCCGCGATCGCTGGGTGTGTTTTCGGAATAGTCGATTCTCGTGCAAGTTGAGCCGGTCACGTGGAAGGCTGGCCCCTTTTGTGCCGCTTTTAAACCCCGCAGGCTCGAGAGTCTCTGACTTTCTACCTTCGCTGCATTGGCTATAATTCCGATATAAATGCTGTTGAAAGACATTGGGATCTGAGGCTGGCTGCATTGCTTGCTGTTCTCACTAAGCCAGGCAGCGAAAGGAAGGTCAAGAGAGACAGGGGCTCGAGATACTCTGCATGTCTCGAGGTCTGTGACGAGCGACAACGTGGATCAGAATCAGTCTTTGTAGGATTTCACAGGACGACATGCCATCATCTGTCTATCTCAGGACCTCAAGTATACCACGTCGGCTCGGGCACCTCGTCCAGCAGGTAAAAAGCCCCCAGCTCTCGCTCCTTATACGCCACAGGGTCGTGCAACGTGTGCGTCCTCACATCTCTCCAAAACCGATCCAGCCCGACCTTTCTCGCAGTAGAGCTCGCACCAGTCACTTCAAACACGCCACTTGTGACGCTGAGACTGGTGTCGGAGGCCACGATCTTGATGCTCGCCACCCATTCTGCCACCTCGCCCCGCCGCCGCGCACTCACGTCTCTCTTCTCGCCGTGGTCGGTGTAAACATCCCGGATTTGCTCGCCAGCGCGATCCGCCAACGCTTCGGCTGCTCTCAGATGGGCGTGGAAGTTCCCGTAGCGCGCCAGGATGTAATGCTCATCTGTCGCCTTTTCTTTATTGTCCCCGCCGTAGGGCCACGCGCGGGTTTTGGACGTGGTCCATTTCTTGGCTTCGTCCAGCGCGCCTAGGGCGATGCCCACGTAGAAATTGGAGAAGACCAGTTGGATGGTCGGCAGCAGTAGAGACGCGAAGGGGACCTTCAGCACCTCGGCGATGGGCCTCTTGGTCTTGCTGTCCCAGCCGAAGGCATCGCTCCACGGGACACGCACATTCTCGATCTTGACGCTGCCAGACTCGGTCAGCCGCATCCCGATATTGTCCCAATCATGGCCAAACTGGATCCCGGGCTGCTTTGTAGGTACAATGGTGAAGATGTGGTCCTCGGTGCCGTCCAATACGCCCTCGAGGATGGTGGCGTCGGACACGACGCCGCCAGTATTGAAGAACTTAAAACCATTGAAGACGATCTCCTCGCCATCGCTGGTGATTTTGAGGTCGGCGTTGCGCGGATTCACAGCGCCGCCGAGAAACCAATCGTTGTCCAGGATCAGCTTCTGTACGCGGTGCTTCTGCTCGTCGGTGCCGACGACGTTGGCCGTGGTGGACCACAGGAGATGATAGCCCAGCAACATGCCGATGGAGCCATCGCCCTTTGCGACCTCGCGGATGGCCTTGTATGCGAGAGCCCAATCCTGCCCGGCGCCGCCGTATTCCTTCGGTCCCAGAAGCTTGGTTAGCCCGGACGCTTTGAGCAGCCGAATCTCGTCGGATGGTGACTTGTTCTGGATATCACGCTGCGGGGCGTCCACGGCAAGAATCTGAGCGACATCCCTCGCGCGCACTATCCACTCTTCAGGAGTACTGGGCTGTCCTGCGTGTGAAAACTTGATGTGCCGGTCGGTCTCAACTGCAGTCTTGGGTGTTTCAACAGAACCCATGGTCACTGACTGGAAATTTCCAGCTGGGACGTCCGAGACCTTGATTTCCAAGGGGTTAAGAACAACTGCCGTCGAGGTTGTGCCAGGGGGAGAAATGGGTAGACCATAGCTGACAGTGCCTGAGACGGCGCTTTATATGCAAAAGGGGGCGGCAGTGTTATCGGACCACGTGTCGAGCGCCTCGATTCATTGCGAGAGACAGCCGGATTCCACGCTGTACAAGCCAATGGAAAGATGCAGTCGTGGAACCCGCGTTTTCTTGTCTTCCATCTCTTCAACTGACGTGCTTGAATGGCTGAAGCACGAATTTTGCACAGCTTTTCGCACATGATCCTGCGACGCGGAAATGCACCCGGATTAAATGCTGCCCTCCAGCGTTCAGCGACTTTGAAAAGCTCCGAGGTGGTCTGATGTCTGGAGAGTTCATACTGATCCGAAGGAGAGAGTGTCCAGCTGGTTGAAGACTATCGGCAACCGGATAGGCCTGGACAGGGACAGGGACAGTCGTTCCCAGCGGTGGAGGAAGCTCCCTTGTTGAACGATAATACGACGGCAGGCTGGGCTCCATACAGAACATTTCAAAGCACTGGCTGCGTGGAGACGACATTTCTCGAGGACTTGTCGCTATTCTTCTCTTGTGCTGATTCTCGTCCTAGAACCAATCAACAACCAGCCGTGCGATGACGAGCATCGGGCCTCGACTTGCAGCATCGCGGATTCTCTTGGCCGCCGCATGTCGACTTCAAGTTCCACTCTCGACTTCGGTTCAACACCAATGGCGGGTCACTTTGACGACGCAATCTGGAAGATATATTCCATCATATCTCCGACTCAAGAGCGTCTGTCGTCTTTCTCTGTGGGGTTATTGAAACCCACGCCATCATGATTTTCGTCGGCCCGACTCTTGCCCCTAAGAACAATTCTTCGATTGGCGAACGTCCCTAACTTATGAACGGAATTGAACCGTTCATTGCTGGGGCACTTGAATATCTCGAGAGCCAAGTTGTTCCATTTGTCCGTTAGGCGATCATGTCTCGAGCCAAAGGTCGGGGTCGAGAAATTTTTCAGACAAACGAGTAGAGACAAAGCCCGTGGAATCTCAACATTCTTCAATGTGAGAAGTCGAGCGAAGAGATCTATACTCACTTCCCTGCGCGGCACGACACAGTCGAAGAGAAAGATCGAAGCATTACGGGCGCTGCCGGTGTTCCCCTGAATACTAGTCGACTAACATCTACTCAGCAAGGCTGCGTAATGGGTTCCAACATCGTCGTTCCCACCAGCCAGGCCGGCACCAACTCAGCTCCAGATCGGATTAAGTTTGCGTAAGTTGGCTTCTTCCCATGTTGACGTGCTCCTAAGCTCGCCATCAGGTACTGGGTTCCCAATGTGTCAGGAGGGCTTGTCATATCCAAGATCCCGCAGCGTACTAAATGGGACCTCGAATCGAATGTCAAGTACGCCCAAACAGCAGAGAGCGTCGGCTTCGAGTATGCTCTCTCCCAGATCCGATTCACGGCCGGCTACGGCGCGGAGTATCAGCATGAGCCTGTCTCCTTCTCCCAAGCGCTGCTTCACCAAACCAAAACACTCAACCTCATCGCTGCCCTCCTCCCTGGCCCGTGGAATCCCGCCGTGGCAGCGAAGCAGATTGCAAGCATCGACCACTATTCCAATGGCAGGGTCGCCGTCAATGTCGTGTCAGGATGGTTCAAAGCAGAGTTTACCAGCATCGGCCAATGGTGGCTCGATCATGCTGAACGTTATCGACGGTCGAGGGAGTTTATCACTTGTCTCAAGGGCATCTGGACGGAAGACAAGTTCACATTCCGAGGCGACTTCTATCAGTTTCACGACTACACCCTTCAGCCCAAACCCTTGAAGTGGGAAGGCAGGGACCATCCTGAGATCTTTCAGGGTGGTAACTCGATTGATGCGCGGGAAAACGCCGCGACAGTGTCCTCGTACTATTTCATGAACGGAAACAGTGAGACGTGATCCCTTCAAACAGTGTCGTAGAGAATACTTCGCTGACTGTGACAACCCGGTAGCCCTCGAAGGTTTCCAAACGCAGATCGCCGATGTCAAAGAGCGCGCTCGTCGCGAAGGTCGCGAAGATCAAGTCAAATTCGCGGTCAACGGGTTCGTCATCGCGCGTGAGACTGAGGAAGAGGCCATCCGTGTTCTGCAGGAGATCCAAGGGAAGGCGGACAAAGAAGCCGTCGAGGCATTCGGCGACCAAGTCAAGAACGCAGGTGCATCGACCGCCAACAAGACCGGCATGTGGGCGAACAGCAAGTTCGAGGATCTGGTGCAATACAACGACGGATTCAAGACGAAACTCATCGGGACGCCTCAGCAGATTGCCGATCGCATACTTCTCCTGAAGAGCCTGGGTGTTAGTATATTGCTCACTGCATTCCTCCATTACGATGAGGAGATTGAGCAGTTTGGAAAGGAGATCATTCCTTTGGTGCGGAAGCTGGAGGCAGAAGGCAGAGGGAAGGACGCAGACTACGAGATCAAATTGACAGGCGATGTATACAAGGCTAGGGAGATTGAGGAGGTCAAGACCTCGTAAGAGCGTCATCGAACGCAACCCCTCTGTTAGCAAGAAGGATGGGAGTATCGGCTTCTGGGCACCTGTCCGGCTAACTACTCAAAAGCTAGTACACAAACTACATGGCAAATACATATGACCCATCTAGTAAATCCATAACTTGCACATAGAGGCACCCTACTCATAGGCTGTACGAAGGCTGACAGTCAACACATCATCTACCAGAGGCGCAAGGCTGCGTGGTAAAGGCGGCCTCATCATCCTTCCCGAACAGGGCAAGCCGCCGGGCTTGGCATTCAGACCTGGCGGAGCGAGAAGAGTGACTGAAGTGGGCTGCGACGTCAGCGACCGAATCCACTTCTTGTACCCTCTGTTCACCTGCTCCCAAGTACCAGATGCGGCATTTCCCCAGTGTTTAGGCACAGGAGAACCAACCTCATATCCTCTACACGTCCTGCCCGCGGGTCGTTCGACTGATAACGAAACATCACTCCCAGCGGAGCAGATTCCGTCGCTCGTCCCTCCCTGGTCCTGCTTTTCAAAGCACACGACCTCCCCCTCCGATCTTGCCCAAGATGAGTGGCCTCAGGTCCGTGATGAAAGATGGATGGCATCCCAAGGGTCGGGATGGAGGGAAGGAATCATGGAGGGGTGATTTCAAGGGGATAAATCAAGTGGTCAGTCATTGATTTCTGGGATCGCGCTGAGGTGGCGGCAAGCACTGACCAGTGGAACAGGCTGGCTGGATGGGAAAAGGGCGAGATCCCAACAAGAAAGACGGGGACGAGCATATGTCGCGGCCACTTTCCACCCTCAAAGATCCGGCCTCGTTTGGCCCTCCGCCCAAAAATGTCAACTATCACGGCGGCGCTGCCTTACCCAACGAGATTACACCACAGACGGGAGGATGGGGTGCTCCCTTGACCCAAGAGCAGATTTCAAGCGCAAGTCGGGCTGTCAGGACTCCTGAGGAAGAGGAGGAGGAAGAGCAGAAAAATACAGGGCCCCCTTTACCCTATCGTGCGGATAGAACTGGACTCAAGACAGATCACCTACCGCCGCCTCCCATCCATCGTGACTTGAACCGGTCACTCGATGTGGTGGAAACGGCGCCGGCAAAACCAAAGCCAGGTCTACCCCCAAGGCTGCCTTCCCGACAGAACACGGGGAGCACACCCACTCCGCCGCCCGTCGTGAATTCACCTCTTCCGACCACCGCTCCGCCGGCCTACGATGCTGTCCCTGCACCTGCCCCTAGTGCACAAGGAAGCGCGAGTTACGGAATCAATCAAGCTGCCGTCAACAGGTTGGGAAATGCAGGTATTTCAGTGCCAGCTCTAGGTATTGGGTCTGATCAGAATTCAAATCCCTGGCACAACGAGCCAAGCCAAGCAAACGTCCCAAAGAGCCCACCTGTAGCCTCTCCACCACCCGTAAACCAGCTATCAGAACTTCAAGCCCGCTTCGCCCGAATGAATTCGAACTCCAGCGCCGGACAGCAGTCAAACACCACACCTCCATTCGTCACGCCCGCTCAATCTCCCCCACCTGTCACCGCCAATGCACCGCCCGTCCAACAATCTCACGCACTACAGCCGCAGCCGCAACCGCAAAGCCAGGCACAAGGGACGACTTGGGCCGAGAAGCAAGCGGCCATGCGTACAGCGCAAAATGCGTACAAGGATCCAGCATCCGTTTCTGCTGCGGACGCCGGATCCGCTGTGCGCACGGCCAACACCTTCCGAGAGCGGCATCAAGACAGCATCAGTGCAGCAGGCCTCAAAGCAAACCAGTGGAACAAGAAATATAACGTGACAGGGCGCCTCAACTCTTTTCTCGAGAAGCACAGTTCATCGTCACCGACCCCGGAGGATGCCCAATCGCCTAATGGTACCAATGCAGGCGGAAATGCTCCCCTGCAGGCCTCTCCGCCGAACCAGACTGCAGAGATGGCCGCGTCGATATCGCGCAAGCCCCCGCCGCCTCCCCCGCCGAAGAAGCCGGCAAATATGCATGGTAGCGTTGGATCGATGGGAGTGGCTCCGCCGCCGGTGCCACTGGGGACGAAGCCGAGTTACTCATGATTTGGGGAATGAGGTGAGGTGCCCCCGGTGTTATGAGTTCCAGCGTGTAGATTTCGTAGCACAGATAAGGGGCGATCACATATTTACGTAGCAGATTAATAATGGATCTTCCAGAATAAACTAGATGTATGGATTGGACTTTAATACATACAGGAGTGAGTCCGTGGCCGCGGTTGGCATTGGTTGGTTACTGTCAGATCTATACTACGGATACAAGAATGGGAGCAAGTAGGGAGGACGGCCAGCCATGTGGGCGGCGCCCATGGATCAAGCTATCTAGCCATCCAGCCAGCCAGCCAGTGGGTGCAAACCGGTCCAGGGCGAGAATGAATTTCGCCTTCTCTTTTGCCATCTCCTCCTCTTTGCTTCCTCGTGGTACTCGTGCAATGACCTGCTTTTGTCGCGGTGCCTTTTGATCGCCCGTGCCGAGGAGTCGTTCTACTATCCATCCATCCACCCACCCACCTTAGGTACCTTCCCAGTGTTCAAAGAAGCCTTGTTAAGGTTCAAATAGATGTATTTACCTGTGAGATTAGCTCGTGCCTCACACCTCGCGCCTCATGGCTGTACCGGCAGCAGGTATGTCCGACGGGAATTGGCCTGTTCTTGAAAGTACCAGCCATGAATCCCGAAGCGATGGATTTCCCGGTCGCTGGGCTGCTGCTGTACACCTTATTCCCCCTTGATGTTTCTTCCATTCTTTTCATTGGTGGTCGGGGAATGGACGGTCAGGGAGAAGAGAGAAAGGGGGTGCCGAATTCAGGGAGATAGGTAGCTTGCGTGTTCGCTGCGGTCACTTGGGAAAGTCGGACGCGAGACACGACGAAAGACCACCTACATATAATTAGTTGTGTTAGGGCGTGTCGTGATGGTTACCAGGCCCTGCTTGGGACGAAGTGTAGACATATGGCCGCTTAGATGTAAATTAGGATCTGCCCATCGTGTCTGTATGATCGGCTCCAACGGAGACGAGTTTATATATCTCTCTGGAGCGGGGGACGTCGAAGCAAAAGGAGTCATCCCATCGTTGAGAAATGTCAACTTCCAGCTGCAACTGATTGTTCGGCTTGCTCCCACACGTGAGGCTCAGAGCCCGTGCTTGTCAATTGTCGGTGATCAAGGGAGGACTTGACCTCGAGTTCGTTCGTACAAATGACTTCGTGTTGGATAGAGAATAAGAGCAACGGAGGTACTCCGTCCAACCGAGTCCAAATTGGACTCTGCCCAGAAGCATGTACAGAGTACTCCGTAGCGTTGTTGATATCACTCACTCCAGGCCGTACTTCTGACTCGTTGGGGTCTTCCCTGCTCGTCCTGCTTTGTATCATGACAGATACCTGTAACGCTGAGCGAGGGTGTTCTCAATCCGAGGCGCTGGCAGCCAGAAGGGGCCAGACGTGGGTTGAGGTTGGTGTAAGGGGGGCTGGGAGCGGGTCAAGAGAGATGCTGTTACTCACAGCGGAGCATAAGAATAGTATTTCCCCAGTGACGCAACGGCAATTAGCCGGAATCTTGAATGCAGCATTAAGGTAAACCGTACCGTTTGATAGTCGTTTTGATACTGCATCGGCCTAGATCCACACACATGGCTAGACCTGTGGAAATTTGTGATGCCTCGTAATTCTGCAGGAGACATCATGGTGGCCAGCAATGGACGAGAGTTGTCCGAGGTCAACGTCCGAAATCGCGAGGATGTGGAGAGAGTTTCGCACGCACCCACGGAGTTGGCCAGCCGCATGGACTGGACAAGCCTCCTCAATAAGCCGCCACCATCGACTGAATGACCTGGAGTCAACGCCCGTGTGCGGAAGATGACCAGCGACCCAAATAAACCCATGCGGCTGAGGCTGCTCCTACAGTAGTAAATGGGATTTCTGCACGGGAAGGCGCAGATGCAGGCGCCTCGAACCGCAGCTTGCACATAAGTGGCATGCCGACGCCGTACGACGTGACCTCCTACAGGGACCGAAAAAAGCCACGGGGCCAATGGTTATAGCCGTTGGGTGAAGTTCTGGGTAGCACACCTTGGGACGAATTTCTGATGCCATCCCATTACTCCAAGGCTGAGGCTGGAGTGGTTGCCGTGTGCCCTGATAGGCAACTCCGCTGCATGCAGCCCTTCCTGCCACGCAATATTCTTTCAACGGCTGAACTGAAAACGGAGAGTGTCGGAGTGGGGGCTTCTGCTCGTGGACAAGGCGTTTTAATTGTTATTGGGCGTTGCCCTGCCACTCTTTTTGACCTCCAGTTGCTTTCACGTGGATTCGAGTTCTGAATAAATGCCCAATGAATCTACAGGGAAGACAGCAAGCTTGGGTGTCGCCGTCTCAGAGCGCTGATCGTCTCGTAAAAGTTTCGTATCCAGAAGCAGCTGGAAAAATCAAGGACATGGAGGCGGCTAGGACGTCATGGTTTCGGCCAAAGCCAGACCAGGGAATGAGGGGGCGCACCCAACCGCACAGCAGAACGGCCAGAACGAGTTGTCTTCCTGAGTCAAGACGGCTGCATTGGGTTAACGTGGGATTCAAAGAACAGACAGGTGTTGGTGGTTGTTGCAGCTTGTCTCAGCCGGCACTCCCTGGCCATGTCGGAGGTCGGCAAGTCGCAGTCTACAAGTTCCGTGTCATGTGACCTCGCGCCAATCATGGGCCTCACATGTGTTTTCGGGTGGGGCTTCGGACATCTAGATTTGACGCCATCTGCAGCTTTTAATAGACACTGTATCGCGGCATTGCAATGGTTCGCCAGAAGGCTGGCCATGGCACCGTGCAGATAGGTAGGTATGCCAGTTGCAGCTCCCAGTTTTAGAGGGCGACCGTCCAAGTGCAGGGTCGTGGTCCGACTTATCAAGCCCCGTGGATAGCACCCTGGAGACGGAGGAAGCGCGCACGGAGTTCCTGCTCAGGAGATATGGCCATGGAGATGCATCACTACTATGAAACTCTCAGCACCACAGTATCACAGAGATTGACGTACCCGAAATGACCTCCAAGAAAAGGGACGTCTGTGGCTGTCGGGGCCAGGGCTAGTTTATAATAGATGGAGGCTGCAGTCAGAGTACCAGGACTGGTAGCAGAATACTCGGTTCCCACGGTACAGCCCAGGCTGAGTCGGCAGTCGGGGCTTGGGGCTGAATGTTCGGTCACTGGCATGAGTCGATAGGCGAGACTGTGGTCTTGGAAGGGAGGAAGAATGAGGTCAAGGGGAGCAAAATAAGATGGCGTTCGGATGTCCGTTGGCCTGAGAAGGAATAGTGAAGCGTGCAAGCTGAGGGAGCCAACTGGGAAGCTAATCTGCACGCCTTGGCCAAATGGGTGCTGGATGGGATGCGGTTAGAGCCCCTAAAACTCACAAAGGGATTAGCGCACGTGGTCTAATCGCCGGAGAGCCAATCCTCCTCTCCTTCGTTCCCGCGCCAAGGACTAAGGGGTTGTTAGGCTGCGGAGCGTTTATCCTGGTGGGCGTCAAGAGGGGAGAGAAGGGGCCCGCCGGGCGGGCATGGCACTGGCGGTTCTGGTTAAGCCCCAGCTTGGCCGACAGCGCCTAGAGCCCCAGGGAGTGCCGCTAGCCCTAGTACCTGCGTGAGGGCGGGCGTCCATGGACCCCCCCATTAGCCCTTTTCATCCACTCCCTGCCTGGGCCGCCCTGCTTTGGCCTCGTTAAAAGAAATCCCAGGCCATCCTTCGCTTTTCCGCCTGGCCCTGGTGCTGGCGAGCTGCCATCTTTTTTCTTGTGCGAGACCCGATAACTGCGCCTCGCTGATCCCGGACTTTTCGTATTCATCATTCCCATCCTCGTCACCGGCCAGCTCCTGGCAATTATAATCCTCACGAGCTACTGGCCGCTGCTACGGATTCCTCTCGTCTCTCTCTGTGCTGACGCTGAGCCTGCGACGAGCCTGAAAATACACTTTTCGCCAATTCTCCCCTTGCCTGGCTCGCTCCTCCACCACCACTCCCCAGCCCGGCTTCCAGACCGCAGATTGGGCCTGACAGTCTGCTGACCCGCGACAATCCTGGGCGCTGTCCTGCCCCCTTTGCCCCCGATCCTCTCTCCCTTTACATGTCGTACTCCTACCCTCTCGCGGGGTCGATATCACTCTGGATCTTGCAACAGTCTTCCGTCTCTTCCTCACGGGGCCTCGTGTAGCCCGTCGAGACTTGCCAGCACTCTCGTCGCCCTCACCTTCGTTTACCCCGTCGCTCTCTCAATCGTTCACCCCGACCTTTTCTCCGTCCTTCAGCATGCCTTTCTCAGAAAGCCCAACTCCTCAGAACGCCGGCTTCACAGGCGCCGGCACGCAAGACATCAACACTTCCTCTCTTGCCAGCGTTGCCTCGTCTCTAGCGAGCGAGTTCTCGCAGACCACCAACACTCATTTCACACGCACCAGCAGCGGTGCATCTCAGACAGGGGCGGCCAGCTCAGACAGCTCGAGCGCCAGCAACTCTGCTCCCGCAAGCGCCTCCCAGACAGCTTCCACGACCTTTGCTACATCCGTCACCGGCTCCGGCGGAGCTTCACAGTCCCCGAACTCCAGCGTGGGCAGCTATGCTACCTCCGCAACCAATGCCGCAAGCAGCACCACAGGCGGCGCGGTGACCGTCTCGGAAAAATCCTCATGCAACAGTCTTTCATGTTCGTCTGCTCTCAAAGCAGCCGTCGCTGTTCCCATTGTCGTTGCGGCAATTGCGGGTATTCTTCTGTTTTTCTTTTGTGCGAGGAGGAGGAAGAGACGCGGTGGTGCTGTCATGTCGGAGAAGGCACCTAAAAAGAAGGGCAAGAAATGGACACGACACCTACGAGCCTTTTCCTTTGACGCCGAACTGCTCATGGGCGGGCGATTCTCCAGTTCCAATAGCATCCGCAGCCGAGACCCCAGCGTTCGAAGTGGCCCGGGTACGCTGTCTCGTGGAAGCGCCCACAGCGGGGAGCCCAGTTTGCACAGCATTGAAGAAGTGGCTCCTCCCTACCGAGATGCTGTGACCCATGTGACACCACCAAGTCCAGCTCGCTCCATCCCTCACGTCACCACGATCGCGGCCGATCCTATTCCTCGGCCGTCCTCGACAGCCACAGCACCACCTCCATACCGATCCATCGTTGGTGGCACAGGTGCAGAACCGTCTTCTCCTGCCACGGTTCGAAACCCGTTTGCAGACTCGGCCCCAGTTAGTCCTATTGAAGGCTCACCGTTCAATGACCCTCCTGAAGGCGAGGAAGCGTCTGGTGCGCTGCGACCTACCTTGAGCCGTGGTTCATCCATGTATCGCAGCGTGATGACAGACGATGACGCTACCCCCACCGCGTCAGAAGCTGGAAGCATACGGCAAGCCATGGTGGGCAGACGGGTGTCAGTGAGGAATGGCGAGGGAACCAGTGGCAGCGGTGGCAGTAGCTAATAATGTGTGATTTTCTTATGTTCTTTAATTCATGGCGTGGCGTTTGGGGACTGGTGACACCGAAAACTGCTGGACGGCTCTAGAATCACCTAGAGCCTTTGTTTTGGTGGGATGTTGACGCAGAATGTTTTGAGATGTCCGACATATACTGTACATGAGCGAAGCCAATGCCGAGAAGCAAAAATTCACTTAGATTGACGGAAAATCTGACACGTCCAACATGGTCTGGGAACTCGTGTGATCACGAAGAGGTCTGGGGGGTTTATATCATGCTAAACATTCACTGCGCCTTGTTTTCTTTTGTCCTCTCTTTCGCTTCTTCTCCATGCCACCGTCGCACAATGCAGGAACGGACGATTCGCCGAACGTGGTGTTCTTGTATTCCCTGCTGCTACCAAACATTTTGAGCTCTCCAAAGCCCGGCCACAGGGGCGCCGGCCTGATTCTTTGGTGTACAGGTGCAACAACACAGCCAGCCGAGCAGCAATTCGAGCTGCATACTGTAGCAGCCATCATGTTGTTCAAGTGGTTAGTGTGACCAGCTCTGCTTTCATCCTTTTCTCACGACAGACAATAGAGCATTCCGCAACAACCTGCCCATTGATCGACGCCCCGCAGGACAGAGAAGATCAAGCTCGAGATCGACTGGCGCTCATGTCTTCTGGTTTCTACCGTCCCTGTGTCCGAGTCTTTTGCCTAATCTGCAACCGATATGGCGAGCTCTGGGTTGGAGTAACACTGAGTGGGTGAGAGCTGCAGGTCGATTGAGTGAATGAGACCACCAGAGCCTTTTCGCGGTCTCGGGAGGTTCGGTCTCAGGTCGAGAGTCGGTCGAGAGGACAGCAACGGCTAGCACTTTACGAGAGTCAGACAAGGCTATCGTGCTCAACGCGAGCGAGCCAGTGAGAGAGAGCCAGTCAGTGAGAGGCTTGATCGGAATCTTTGCATCGAGTCGAAGCTTCCCTTGGCTTCATGCATCTCGCCACGAAAGAAGAAAAAAAGAACAAGCAAGGAAACACGTTTTGCAATTGATGCAACGTTGAGCTGCACACTTCGTCTCAGCGATCGTCTTCTGCAAGGTCGACTTTCACCCTCTCCGTCCACACAAATTCCGCTTCCGCCACCTCAGTCTGAAGCTGTTATCGTGGCCAATCCCCCCGGCCGTGGGGTGCCGGTCATCCCCCCATGCTCCTCTGTGTGCGAGGAATATCCGGAGACGGAGAGAGCCACCCAGATCGCCGCAGTTTTAAGCAATCTACCCGCCTCGTATTTAGCCGGGCAGGTCCTTATTGGCGATTATGGATCTTCGGTGGACACTCTGGAACGACTCGAGAATTTCACTTCATCCACATGTCCGTGGGAAATATGGAGAAGAGGGCGACTTTGACGTCGTTTGAGGCCCTTTGCAGTGGAGTGCTGGAGTTACATGAGGATGTCGCTGCTCAACGTGATCTCAACGCGGTGGCCATGTGGATTCTGGCCACATGAAAGGTGAGGAAATGTATAAGGGGGCTTCTATCCTGCCTGCTCCGCATGCGCCCTCGTCTTGCCCTTGTCGTTCGCCCGGCACAAAAGTTGAGATACAAGACCTCGCCGTGAACTCTCATCATTCTCACCGCCGGTGGCCTCCAAAATGGCTGCTCACGAGGTCCCTCAGGACTACATCCACGACTCTGACCAGAGTTCTTCGATCGGTGTCAAGGTCGACGCTACAGAATTTCAAGAAGACATTGGAAATGCCAGGACCTTGAGACGGGAGCCACCTCCGTACGTGAAGTCGCTCAGTCCAGAGGAGCGAAACATCGCAGAGCGGGCCCTGGTTCGAAAGATTGACTTACGACTGATTCCTATGATTGTGATCATGTTCGTCCATCAACTCACCCTATTGTTAAGAGTGCTCGCAAGACTGACAGACATTCAGGTATATTCTCAACTACCTCGATCGCAACAACATTGCTGCAGCTAGACTGGCTGGTCTCGAGGATGAGTTGAACCTTCATGGCACTCAATACCAGACAGCTGGTAAGTCTCGCCGCCCAAGACGAATTCCCACTTACTGACAATCTTATTCTTTTAGTTAGTATTCTGTTCGTCGGCTATCTCCTTATGCAAATTCCGTCCAACTTGTTCCTCAACAAAATCGGTAAACCACGTCTCTATCTGCCCACAGCCATGATTATCTGGGGTACTATTTCCGCCGCCACAGCTGCAGTCCAATCCTTTGGAGGTCTAATTGCCGTTCGATTCTTTCTTGGTTTCGTCGAGGCGTGCTACTTTCCTGGCTGTTTATACTTTCTCAGTGCGTGGTATACTAGAAAGGAGCTAGGTTTTAGGACCGCGATGTTATATTCAGGATCCCTTATCTCTGGTGCCTTCTCTGGACTCATCGCAGCAGGGATCACGAAGAACATGGATGGCACCGCGGGCTTAAGAGCCTGGAGATGGCTGTTTATCATTGAAGGCTGCGTCACCATTGTGGTTGCATTCGTGGCAATCTTTATCCTGCCAAACTTTCCTCGAACAACGCCTTGGCTGAATGCACAAGAGAAGGAGCTGGCTGTGTGGCGTCTTGAGGAGGATATTGGGGAGGACGATTGGGTCGGTGTCGAAGAGCAGACCTTCTGGCATGGATTCAAGCTTGCGGTCAAAGATATCAAGATGTGGATCATGGTGAGTTATCCTGTGTGTCCCCCTGTGTCTGATCGGATCCTCTAACTCGGTTGTTCAGATGCTCATGCTCTTCTGCATTGTGGCGTCCGGCTCCGTGACAAACTTCTTCCCGACTGTTGTCCAGACGCTCGGATACGGCGACATCGCCTCCCTGCTGCTCACCGCACCACCCTACGTCCTCTGCGTCATCACGGCGTTTTTCAACGCCTGGCACGCCGACCGCACGGGCGAGCGCTTCTTCCACGTCACGTTGCCGCTCTATGTGGCCGTCGGGTCGTTCATCCTCGCCGCCGCAACGACCGCAACCGCTCCGCGCTATCTTGCCATGATGCTCATGGTCCCCGGCGTGTATACGGGCTACGTCGTGGCGCTGGGCTGGATCAGCAACACGATGCCTCGACCGCCGGCCAAGCGCGCGGCCGCCCTCGCGGCGATCAATGCCGTCAGCAACACCTCGTCCATCTACGCGAGCTACATGTTCCCCAAGAGCGACGGGCCGCGGTACGTGCTGGCCATGAGCGTCTGCTCCGCGACGGCCTTCATCGCCATCTGCGCCGCGACCGTGCTGAGGCTCATCCTGGCCCGGCTGAACCGCAAGCTGGACCGCGGCGAGTGGGTCGAGGGCGCCATCAATTCTCCCGCCGCCGCCAGGGATGGCAAAGCCGTGGGCAACAATGTGCTCGTCCAGGAAGGGGCGGTGCCGGCGGAGGCGGCCGCCAGAGGGTTCCGGTTCTTGTTGTAGGCCTTGTATGAACTCTCTCTGGTGCTGTCCTAGTGCCCGGTTCATGGACTGGGTTCGGAATCATGACCTATTGCGGATAGAATGACAGACGGCACGAGCCATCTAGACATAGACATAGTGGACTATCACAATGATCGACGAACGTTTCAACTATGATCGCAATGACGATAGCGGTGACCCATGTCAAAGGTGCCAGGCCGGCCGTAGCAAGACGGTCTAACCACACAGAAAAGTCAACAACGTTCCATGCACGCCCTGTCTCTCTGTACAGCGTTCTTATATATCGCCGCCATAGTGGGATAAGAGATGGCGGATTACCATAATATCCCTGCTTGGTATGGCAGCTTGATCTCAATAGCAGAGCTAGCTCTGATCTTGACCTTGACGTTGGCGTTGACTTTGGGTACAAGTGTGAATACGGCCACAGCCGCAGTTAGTGAGAAAGAGAGTGTTCGTGAGAGTCGCTGGCTTAGATATGCCGTGCAAGTTACTACTGTATACACGTACACAGTATCCATGTCCTCGGCCTCGTCTGTCGGGGCGGAGCGGGGAGCGGAAACAAGTCAAAAAGGGGAGCGCCCCGGAGCGGAGGATTATTCTTCCAGGTTTCCCGCTCTCTGTCTTCCCTCGCCGCCTCCATCAGCAACAGGCATGAACGTCCGAGTGTAGATACTTGGTATGTACTTGGCCCATGCTCTCTTTCTTGTACGTACAAGTACGTGCGTGTGTTGCGAAGCCCACAAGAAGGACCGCTCGGAGAGCCCGAGTAGGATTCGCGAAAATCGCGACAAGGTCGTGAATCACTCTGAACGTCCTTTCTTTCTCCCGCGGACAGCTCCGTACTCCGTGCGTAGCGGCAGCGGAAGTCCTCGATGTAACATCGCGAACTTTGCTTCACACATGAGAACAGAGCGCAAGCCTTGTGCACTCACGCAATCGCTCTGGAAGGTTTCCTGAAACAGTGGTACTTCCGTGTCATCCATCTGTTTGTCTGATGTCGCCTACCTTCTGGTTCCCTAACGGTAGTCGCCGCGTCCCTATCTGGCCGCTTGCTTTGCGCCCTCTCGCCCATGTAACTGTCTCTCCCACAAAATAGCTCAGTGTGGCGTGACGTACCCGACTTGGGAACAAGACTGAGACATGTGTTCCAGGAGAGACCTTGGAGTGGGCACAGCAGTTCAAGACAGTGCGAGGCGTGACAGACTGCGATAAGATACGTGCACGACACTTCGAATACGTTTTCGGTGGTCGGAGTTCTCCTTCGATACCCCCTTGCAAGGACTTCTGTCAAGATCGTTACATCGGATGGAGGCAACCGGCGGAAGTCCAGTGGATTTAACGTCAGCCACCTAAGCTGTGGCATCTCGTGATTGTGTGATCGGCCATCTCTGGGTCGAGAGTGATCTCCGCTTGGTTGATTTCCACGACCGCGAAAAGACGTTTTGCCTTGGCGCCAAAAAGTAACAGTTTCACTGTATGATCGACTTGAATCCATTATAGGCTTGCTCCATGTCGAACGCCAAATCCCTCGCCTGCTCCTCGCTTAACTCCTCGGATGTCTTCATCTGATTGAGCGTGATCAGCCATTGGATGATCTTACCGCGATGGTCAAAATCCTGGTCGGTGACCTTGTTTACCGATTGGATTACGTCTGACAGAAGTGGATGCAAAGCGCTTTTGGAGACCATGTTCAATCGTAAGGCATCAAGGAACGTGATGAAATTCTCGGTCGCGACCAAGATCAAGCTGCCCGAAAGATTGCCTTGCGGTGCTGCAGACCCAGGAGTAGCTTTTGCCACGGTGATGGTTTCCACACTGGATAGGCCGACTTTTAGACGTTCTTTGGCGCGGGGACACTCAATATCCCATTTCTGTGTGAATGTATCCAGGTCTCCAAACTCTCGTGCAACGTTCTCATCGTTCAATATCGATCGATACTGCTTCAGCAGTTTCGAACACATGTCCGAGTACTCCGTTTCTGGTAGCGCATCCTTTATGTATGCTTTTTCCAGTCCATCGAGGGTGCGGATGATGCTGTAGATCTCGGCGAGAGAGTCGATCAGATCACGTTCGGCGGAGGAGTCGGCGAGTTTGACCTCTTCGTCAAGGTTGATCCGGGCGGAGAGAATGTTTGTTGCTGGGTATGCATAGGGAGTGGGTGCATAAGCTAAATTTCGGCTCGGGGGATTGCTGTACATCGTTGATGTCGCTCTAGTAGTAAAGTAACGACGCAGATAACATGAACACGGATGAAGACGACAAGGCTGAGTTTAGGATGCGACTTGACATCAAAGAGGCTGTGAGGGGGGCTCGGGGGATTGGCGCGTGCGGGGAAACACCGGGAAAACTTCGGCTTGGCTTAATTTTTTCTCGACTTTGCAATTCCTCTGCCGATTTTGAAGGCCTCACCCTTGCGCCGGACTGCCTAAGCTTCTGCCCAACATTGTGCCTATAGCCGACACCATGGGCAAACAGACGAAAGCCACGAAAAAGTTCGAGAAGAACCGCCTCAAAGATACGATCGAACGGCGGAAAGAGTTTGCCAAGGTCAAGCAGCGACACCAGCTGAAAGCGAAAAAGAAACAAAGAGCGGCACAGAGATCAAAAGAGGAGGATGATGATGCTCAGTCAGACGAGGAGGCTGATGACAATGGAGCCGAAGCTATGAATCAGGACGAGTTCTTTCGGGACGCTGTGGATATACCAGGGCCTGAGACGAAGACACTGAAGAACAAGAGCGTGAAGCGAAAGAGGGAGGAGAATGTCGCTGATCAACCAGAGGATGCTGAGAGTAATGGTTCAGAAGATGAAATCGAGGGCCACAAGACTCAATTGGCAGCATTGGCCGAGAAGGACCCTGAATTCTACAAGTACCTACAGGAAAACGACGCGGAGCTGCTAGAATTCGACGAAGACGACGATCTCGCAGCAGTTGACGACTTGAGTGAGGAGGAACCTCCTCCAAAGAAACAAAAGACAAGGGATGCGCAAAAGGATGACCCTGAGACACCCGATGACGTTACGCTCTCAATGGTAAAGAAGTGGAAGACCTCCTTGACCGAACAATTCTCCATACGAGCTCTTAGACAAGTGGTGCTGGCTTTCCGCGCTGCAGCACATGCGGATGACGAAGAGGACAAGGTCTTCAAGTACAACATTGCAAGTCCAGAGGTCTACCACGAGGTTCTCATAACAGCACTCAAACAGGTACCTCTGGTGCTGTCGCATCATCTTCCAGTCAAGGAGTCGGCCGGCGGCAAACTGCGCATACCGACAGATTCACCCAAGTTCAAGACTCTGGCACCGTTGATCAAATCGCACGCCTCCTCTTTACATTACTTGCTCAAGCATTTGGCCGATACGAAGACACTGAGGTTGACACTCGAGTCCTTCGAGCCGTTACTTCCGTATCTGCTTCAGTTTCGCAAGTTTCTGAAAGTCCTGACGAAAGCTGTTGCGTCCGTATGGTCTGACAATTCTTCCGACGAAGCAACGAGGATCACTGCTTTCTTGGTCATTCGCCGACTAATGGTTATTGGTGATGCTGGAATCCGCGAAGCTGTCCTGAAGGCGACATATGAGGGCGTTGTCAAGGGTAGCCGAAACACGACAGTCCATACTCTTGCAGGGATCAACCTAATGAAAAACTCAGCAGCAGAGATCTGGGGCATTGATCAAAACGTCAGCTACACAGCAGGCTTCACATTCATCCGCCAACTTGCCATTCACCTCCGTGGCAACATCACCAAACCGACCAAAGATTCATACAAGACGGTGTACAATTGGCAGTTTGTTCACTCCCTTGACTTCTGGTCTCGCGTGTTGTCTAGTCACTGCAACTCGCTCCTGGAAGTACAGAACGGCAAGCCTTCACAGCTACGTCCGCTCATCTACCCCGTCGTACAAGTCACAATTGGCGCAATGAGGCTGATCCCAACATCGACATACTTCCCTCTTCGTTTTCAACTGATGCGGTCCCTTTTGCGTATTTCGCAAGCAACTGAGACATATATACCTCTGTCAGCCGCACTGTTGGAGGTGTTGAACTCGGCTGAGATGAAGAAGCCTGCGAAGGCGTCAACACTGCGGCCTTTGGATTTCGCTTCGAATATCAGAGCCCCTTCATCATATCTGAAAACAAAAGTCTACCAAGATGGTGTCGGCGAACAGGTAGTAGAATTATTTTCTGAGTTCTTTGTGCTGTGGACGAAGAGCATCGCGTATCCGGAGCTTCAACTACCGGTTGTCATCATGCTGAAGCGGTGGTTGAAGACAGCGTCCAAGACGACCGGAAACAAGAATGGCAAGCTCAATCAAGCCCTTCTTGTGCTCGTGCAAAAGTCGGAAGCCAATGCTAAATGGATCGAGGAAAGGAGGAACAGTATCAACTTTTCACCCAAGGACCGGACCGAGGTCGAAGCATTCCTCAAAGATGTGCAGTGGCAAGACACTCCTCTCGGGGCATTTGTTGTCTCGCAAAGAAGGTTGCGGGAAGAAAGGAGGAAAGTGCTGGAGCAAGGCAGAAAGGAGCAAGAACGACGAAAGGCCGCGGAAGAAGATGCTGAGAGTGATATTGAGATTGCTTGATCGGCACAAGGCGAACAGGCTGCAAGAGGGGATATAGGTATGGGGGACACGAGATTCATATCGGCGCTGATCGCTAGCTATCAGCAATGTCACAGAATGAAATCCTCGAAGATGAGCAAGGCTCTCCCTTTGATACAGGGCTTTGGCGTCGAGATCGGTGGGTTATGCTCTTCAACGCATGATGAGCTGAAGCTTTCCGATCGTGCAGCATGTAGACTGTCATTCGGAGACTCGAGTGTATGGCGTAGACAAGGCCCGACGGATACTTTTGTATGTTTACGACTGACTCTCATTTGTTCAATCACTCTGGCAGTCCTCACTTATCTGCAGGATCCAAGGGCTTCTGTTCTTGCTTGTCAACCTCATGTCTCTTCTGCTCTGCAGGCTTATTGCGGTCTCTCTTGACGGGATCGGAACCTTGGACTTTGTCTTGAGCACCTTCTGTACTGCAGACTAGGGGTTGTCCTTTGCTACGTTCGAGGCATTGGGGGCATCGCCTTTTCATTGTAGTAGCGGATCGAGTCAGTGTAGGGGGTTGTATTGAGCATGGGCGTCGGGCGTCGAATGAGCAGCTCAACTCTCCAACGACAGTCGCAGTTTCAAGTAACGGCACTCGCTGACATTGTTGAACCAAGAATCGGAGCCTTCATGTTAGCGACTGAATAGAAGTAACTTGTGTGCGAGCAATACCAACGACTTGACCTCAGGTAGTCCCAGCAAGATTGCATGCTGAGCTGCGCTTTTCTTACAAGCCAAGATGAAGAGGTCCTGTCGTCACATGTACCCATGGAGCTGCCACAATGCATCCATGCTCCGGTATTGGCTGCATGCTGTATCCAGATGAGATCATGAAGCGCCAGGCACGGGAGATTAGTAGTAGATCCGGGGAGGCGACGAAGTTGAGCGGAGCACAAGAGCCGAATACGATTGGGACGTTTGAGCAGGCGCCTCGTCGATCCTTGTGACCGACTGCACCGCCTTGGTAGTCTGCTGTCGTTGAATGTTGTTGGCCGAGGCGCACCACGCTGAGGCAGCATGCTTGACCTGTAGGCATCATCTCAGCAAACACGAGCTCTCCACGTAGGCGACACGAGCTCTAAGCCTGAGCTGCCAGCTCCCAGCAGCGCCCCCTTTGACCAAAGCGGAAATGAGTTGGGCCTGCGCCGTTGAAACATCAGGTGATGGTTACCGACCACGGCCATTTTTCTCGCATAAGCTCGCCTCGCCCGCTTGGAAAGTCTCAGGTGCATTGCCGAGGGCGGGTGACAAGGATCCCGTCCGTATCTCGCAGCTCACAACCCAGTGGCTCATCCAGTGGCTGATCCTGGTGGTGACTGGCTCATGACTTTGATGCGACGTCACTGCCAGCCGTCGACGCTTCGTTGTTCCTTTTTTTCTCATTTTCGCTCACAGTCCAGCACCAGTCGAGACATAGTGTTGACGATTCGTTGCTTCACCGTAACCCAACAACTGGATATAAACCGAGACCATGCCCCGTGGCTGATTGTGTCTCTACCAAACCATCACAGAACAAACAACGACACCCCCCCCATAAGCAGGCTCCTACACCATGGGCGATCCAGGCAGGAGCTTTAGCACCCAGGTTCACCACGAGTTCCAAGGCAAATGGGCCCTCAACCGCCGCCGGACCCGATCACTGAGCATCAAACTCCCTGACCGCTTCGACATTGGAACCACCCTCAGTGTAAGTCCATTCCTAACATCGACAGAAACCCCCGTGAAAGACGTCCTACGTCCATTTGCTGTGGATCTCGGCTCGCTGGTCCATTACTCAAAACCGCTTTTAACTTTGCCTTCTCACTCACAGGAGTACTGGGCTGGCCTTGCCATCGAAGAAGAAAGCGACAGAGCACTCAAGATTGGGATTGCGATCCATGATGGAACGTATGGCATTGACTTCGCGGTTCATCGCATCTCCCTGGACGAAGAGGAAGAGCGCGAGAGGAGTGGAGATGGCGACTGGGTGGCAGACCACATCATTGAGGAGCTGTCCCACTACAGGAGGCAACATGTGTGCAAGATTCTCGGTGCCGGAGTCATTGCGAGCGTTCACGAAAAGAGCCCAAACTTATGCTCGAGGCTTTGGTCCGAGCTGGACATTGTACCTATGTTGGTCACGTCCAACCCGCTTGTACAGGCTGGCAGCAGAGGAGTGAGATCTCAACGGGTGGATGAAATTGCCGATTCAGCAGCCAGGAAGTGTCTCGCGTAAGTTGTGACCCTACCCAATACCCGCGACTTAGTTGTAACTTTTGTCAGCCTATATGCTCCTACGAAGCAACCGCGTTTGTCGATCAGCTTCCAGAACCAAGTCGAAGTCGATTTGGGAGGTACTATTCAGCTGACCACCATCGACGACTACAAGGCATCCGTCCGAGAGCCAACCTGGCGGGCGGTGCAGAAACACATCCAAGACGTTGTCGACCGCAAGCTCAGAGTTGTCTTTTTCAGCGCAACACCCCAGGGAGGCGGAGTGGCTCTGATGCGACACGCTCTGCTTCGATTCCTGCGACTCTACAACGTGAACGTCGAGTGGTATGTCTAGTTTCTTTCTGATCGACATGCCTCGTACTTATCTTTCATGTTCTCTAGGTTTGTGCCCAAACCCAGACCCGACGTTTTCCGAATCACCAAAACAAATCACAATATCTTGCAGGGAGCCGTTCCTCCCGAAATTCGAGCATCAGACGAGCAGCTAGGCAAAATCAAAGAGTGGATTGTCGACAATGCCGATCGGTACTGGCTCGGCGAGGGAGGGCCACTTCTTGCTCCCGAGGACGGCGGTGCCGACGTCATCATCATCGACGACCCTCAGATGCCAGAGCTCATTCCCATTGCGAAGAAGCTGGCACCAGAGCGGCCGATCATTTTCCGATGCCATATTGAAGTCCGCGACGACCTGGTCCTCGAGGACGGCAGCGCCGCTCAGCATGTTTGGCGCAATATGTGGTCTAGCATCAAACAGGCCGACATCTTCCTCAGCCATCCGGTGCGGTCCTTCGTCCCACCTGATGTTCGCAAGGAGACTCTAGGCTGGCTTCCAGCAACCACCGACTGGTAAGTTCATAAGCAGAACCGAGCGTTGTGAGGGGTCTGACTGAACGTGTAGGCTTGACGGTCTTAACAAGACCATGGATGACTGGGATCTGCAGTATTACTTGCATATTCTCAGGCAGGTTTGTCAGGCGCAAAGTCTCCCGCAGCTTGCATACCCGGACCGCGGCTACTTCACACAAATCGCGCGGTTTGATCCCTCAAAGGGGATTCCCGACGTTATCAGGAGCTACGCCAAGTTCCGAGAGATGGTGAAAGACAAACCCAAGGAGAAGATCCACCAGTTGGTGCTCTGTGGGCACGGGTCGGTGGACGATCCTGATGCGACGCTGATCTATGAAGAGACCATGAGTTTGATTCTAACAGAGTTCCCCGACTTGGTCGAGGACATCATTGTCGTTCGACTGGGCCCGAGCGATCAGATCTTGAACGCCATCATGTCGCTTTGCACCGTCGCTCTGCAGCTATCAACACGAGAGGGATTCGAAGTCAAGGTCTCGGAAGCTTTGCATAAGGTAAATGTAGGTTATATTCCATTTTGATGAGTCGTTGCTAAGAGTTTACTAGGGCAAACCAATCATTGCGACCCTCGCCGGTGGTATTCCGCTTCAGGTGGAGGACGGCAAGAGCGGTTACCTTGTCCAACGTGGCGATCACGAGACTGTTGCGAAGCATCTATACAACCTGGTCAACGACAAGGACCTGTACACCCGCATGAGCGAATATGCAAGGACACATGTCAGTGACGAAGTGCACACCGTTGGGAACGCCCTCAGTTGGATGTACCTTGCCTCCAGCGTGGCAGGCGGAAAGTCACTGAAACCGAACGAGAGATGGATCAACGACCTGGCCCGAGAGGCTGCCGGAGAACCATATAAAGATGACGAGCCACGGTTACCGCGGCACCTCTCCACTTGATGGACGTCTTGTAACTCTATGTGTGGGCGTTGCGGGCGAAACGGCTTCAACCTTTATTCTCCTACTCACTCATTCAAACTTCAGGCATCTACAACAGACTGCAACACATGGGTCAACAATTTCCTAATTCCCGCCGACCGGGCTGTGGCTGGAGGCGACTAGACTGGGAATACTGGATCCCTCAGAAGAGGGATAGAGAGAACAAACAACAAGAGAAAGAGTAGAAGCAAGAGCAAGAGAACACGAGGACTTGGGAGCGGCGGCAGACTTGTTGATATACATGCCGCATGCAAGCCAGTCTCCGACTCTGTACATCCGAGTCAACATGGCGGATGGATGGGCCACGGCGGTTTCGTTTTCTTCACAAACTCGAGTAACGGCCAATGACACAATCATGTACAAACACGTGGCTATTGTTGTAATTGCTCAGAAATCAGATGCGCGGCCCATGCTGACTGTGGAGGTGCATGTGAGGCTGTATCTTGGGTGAAATCGTCCCTCTGCTTCCCGGCACTGCCGAGCCTTGATATGCTCCGCGCCTTCGCCTGATGGACCAACATGCCCCGCGTTTCCTCCGTTTCGTTGTGTCTCGCGCACTGAACTTGCTCCGTCCGCAGACCATACGCTACCATATCGACTAAGTCTTGGGCCTGTAGCGTAGAATCCTCCCAGAGCAACATGTATCGCAAGCGCAACGGTTCCCTTGGCTTCTCCTTCACCCGCTTCGCGCATGCCGCCGTCCCAAACTTCTTCGCCGACGAAACCCCCTCCCGCACACTCGACCTGACGGGCTACCGCCGGGACATGTGCTACATGCATCAAATCGCCTCCGCCGACCCCTATACACTTGACGAGCGATCGTTCTATGTCGCGGGCGTTGTCGACTCGGAGGGCGTGAGCAAGAGGGTCTACGCAAAGCTGAAAAAGAACGAGATATTAAGAGAAGACGGATTGGTGGACACGCACAAAATCGGGCCCAGGTTCCCCCATCAGCTGGCCCTGCTGAACATCTATCGGCAGAAGGAGCTGGTCGGGATGCTGTTCTGGTGGGAGGAAGAGTGCCAGCGCCTGCGCAAGTTGGGCGCCGAGGAGAAAGACCTCGACGCGTTGATCGCCGAGTCGGACACCAAGCTCACCCAGACCGACGAGGATGGCGCGGAGAGACAGGCTGTCAAGGAAACACTGGACCAGCTGAAGTTCGCCAGGGAGCGGGTACGGATGAAGAGGAGACAGAGACCCAGCCAGCGGGATCCAGATGTCGAAGCGGACAAGGATGATATCATGATGGCGTTCCACGGACGGAGTAAGAGCGTACCTAATGTGGGTGCCAGTGGAGTGGCAGTTGGTCCGGATAGACCGATGCAACAGGGGCAGCCGCCACAGTACTTTCCAGCTGCGTGAAGACGGCATCGAAGAGACCGACTATGACATCCTTTAGACTGGTGCGGCACGCCTTCACTTCACCTGTACGGAGAGGAAGGGTTATGGAATTGCAACCGGATCCAACCCTCACCCCGATCGATGCTTCAGCATTGGATATAGATCTAGGAAGCTGAAGGGATCCTACAAGCTCATTGGACTACCTGTTCCTGAGCTGCACATCAACTAATCTTGAGTTCAACAGTGAAGCCGCCGACTTTCTGGAAGTGGTTCCTCACGAGCCCGCCATGATCGAGCTCCCTTTGAAGATATCAGGAAACCAACACTGGACACGATTGGTGTGCTTCAATCCTGATTCTGATGGTGGCAGGAGGCGGGTGGCTTCGCGGCTGGACGACCAAAATCCAGCACATGCTTCTACGACTACTTTCACGCTTCAATCCACTCAGTCGCCAAAAGGCGGAGTGGCGTGATGGTCAGCAGCTACCCAAGATTGATGTTGTCGCGCATGGCTTTTAGTTTGGGTGCAAGAATCTCAACAGACGACCGTCTCCAGCACGCAGAAGTATCGTGGTGGCGTTCATTATGTGCGTCGACTTGGCGTGAAGCGACCGATCTCACTCGGGGTCGATGGCACCAAAGGCGTGCGATGCGACTGGGTCTCTATCGCTGTCTCCGACCATCTTGAATCTCGACGCATGTCCGAGTCCAAAATTTGTTCACAGACTCCTTCAAGCTTGCCAACCTCTTCTCGCCTCCATCCATGGTTGTCACTCGCACACGAATTCAGGCAGCAATCAGCACACCATTACCAGTGAATCCGCTGGACACGCTCTGATTTTCTCACACCTCTTGCCCTTGACGTACCGCAGATGACTACAACCCTGTCGGACGTCTAGGGCCTTCGAGGTAGGAGATGAAACAAGAGCCCGGGCTACGTCAAGATAGTGCATCCCACCTACGTCAATCCTCGATCCTATGTGCTGGGCAGCACGGAGCGACGAAGAGCGTAATACAACAGTATTTCTTTCCCTTCCCTGTTGTTTCTCTGACTCTCGCGCTCCACTGGACTGTGCCTACGCTTTGCCTGGGGCTGCCACTAAGGTAAAGTAAACAACTGGGTGGGAACCGCAGCCAAACATCCTCAACTACATGGCATAGCACATGGACTTCTGATGGAAAGAAGCGTCAGAATTGAAGCAAGGAAAGAGCCCTCCCATCGAGACCCCGTGGCTTGAACTGTCAATGTGTTATTCTGCAAATGTGCCCGTCGTGACAAAGATAGGGTCCGCACAAACGAACAGAGACTCTGATGGAGGAAGAGCACGAATCGCTGGCCACGACAGTTGTGCCTTTTTTCTGCTAGGCTTTCCCCAAGTGCAAGCAGCGTTTATCAAGTCGCTGCATTGCTCCTCGCGAAAACTTCCCTGTACAGCAGCGGAGCTGCTTATCGACTCTAAGGCGAACAAGACTCCACCCAAGGAGCGTCAGAACTTCCATGGCAAAAGCGAGATCGAGGATAGACGAATCAAAATTTTGTAGAGAGACACTGCTATTGCAAACACGGACGACAATATCAGATCTATCCGCCTCTATGACTATGTGAGACACCCTTCCCCTTGCCTTGACCGCGAGCTCTAGGGTGGCAACTTCGTGGTGGGATTGAGATACGGTCCGAGATAGATATGGTCGTCGGCCCAATCCATCAACTTGTCCCAGTCGCCGCAGACGTGGGTGTTGTTGGCGCTGAAGGGCCCCAGGATGCCCTCGAAGCGCCTCTCCAGCGTCGGGTCCGCGTAGCACATGACCGACTGGCGCAGGTACTCGGTGCAGTGGAACATGTGGTCGGCGGTCAACTCGTCGGGCACGATGCCGCGGACCGAGTAGTCGACGGCCCACTGGAGGAGCCACTGTGTATCACCGCGTTAGCAAACGGCCAGGAACAAAAGACAAGATTCTGGAAAGGAAGAAAAGCAACATACCACGCAGTGCAGCTGATGGTATCCGGCAACGCCGTAGAACTCGCCGGGCATGCTGTCAAATGCCACGCGGCCGTGGCGTGCACGATGCAGGATTTCGTGCCATGCAGGGTACGCCTTGTCCTTGAAGCCCATGAACGACTCGTTACGTTGGAAGAGCACCGTCTTTTTCGTGACTGGTCGGTTTGGCAAGTGTCAGCTCAAGCACATGTACACGCCCACAGTTGTGTCAAAAGCACCGAGGGAAGCAGGGAAAGATGGATGGATGGAGTGGTCGATCGACAACATACATTCGGGCCCCAGGATCGGGGGCATCACGCCGGGCGTGTGGATCACTTCAGCCCTGGCCTCGGGGACGTGGCGGAAGACGTCGTTGGGCGTGACGCTGAGTTTCACCACGGCGACGGTGAGCGCCGCGCACAGGATCGAGAGCACCCCGATGCACCCGAGCAGCAGCTTCTGGATCCGGTGGGCGCGCGGGTCGCGCATCAGGTACCCTGCGCCGGCGTCCTCGTCATCTTCGTCCGGGTCCCTGCGCCGGAGCAGGTTAGCCAAGGTCGAAGACGCAGGGTGGAGACGGAGGCCGTGGCGGCGTGGCTTCTCGTCAGTGGGCGAAGTGGAAGACTGCGATGAGGAGGGGGAGTGGTGCCTGACGAGGGTGTCGTCTGAGGATCTGGGCGAGGACTCCGAAGAGGACATCTGGATTGACGATTGACGACAGCGCGAAAGAAAATCAGGAAAGCGGCTCGTCGGCTACGAAGGGGAAGAGAGAGAAGGAACAGGAAAGATGGACTCTCGCTCTAGAGAGAAATATATGTATGTGTGTGTGTATGTGTGCTGACACAACGTGGCGGGCGAGGGACAAGTGGGGGAACACAGAACGCCCCGGGGCAAGGAAGTCGACCTGGATCTATACGAATCACTCAATGTCTGACGTGGACGGAATGGCTGGCCGGTATAGTCTGGGTGGGATGATGCGCGTCGAACGGGCGAGCCTTGGATGCCCATCTACGATCCAAGGAGAATGGGTGGGACGAAACTAGAATGGCTTCTATAGCTACTACGTCGCCTGGTGCTTCTCCTCCTCCTCCTCCTCCTCCTCCTCCCTTACGGATTACGAGCTCAAACCCGACTTAGGGGGCGGCAATTAGCTACAGAATGCCACGTCTTGATGCTACCAGAAGGTCACTCTACGCCGGTTTATTAGAGGAGACTTAGAGACATGGTCTTCCACCATATGCTAGAGACTCTCCAAAGAGTGCCTCGAACTCTACCACCGAAGAAGATTCTTCTACTTTTTTTTTCTGGGTTCGTTTGAAGGCTCGCGAGAGTGCTGAATAGCATCTATTGGGCAACTTCCATCCCGCCGCCGAGGGGCGACGTCCGTGTTAAGCTCTTGCTGGAAAATTCCCCTTCCCCCCTTCCGTCCTCCCAAAGATGTAATAGTGAACGACTGACACTCGTCCCCGTTTCTCACGCCTAGCTGCGGAAAAGTGCCTTTTTTTTTTCTTGGTCAGCAGAGGAATCTGGATGGAGTATGGATAGATGGCATAGCGCAAACTCACTCGGTACTTCCCCCGTACTTGTTAGTCCGTAGATCAGGGCGTTGTCTAGCGCTTGATCGTAGCGTGGTAGATGTCGGTCTCTGGAGAGCGTTTGGCAGTTGCATGATAGATGTCGGTCTCTGGGGAACGCTTGATTGTAGCATGGTAGATATCGGTCTCAGGCTCGGGCGAGCGCTTGATCGTGGCGTGGTAGATGTCGGTCTCGGGAGAGCGCTTCGCTGTCGCGTGGTAGATGTCGGTCTCTGGAGAACGCTTGATCGTAGCGTGGTAGATGTCCGTTTCACGCTTCGCGGCTCCCATCAACGCCGCAGTGCGAGCCTCTGATACTGTCGTCAGCATGGTCATCCGCCATCAGCTTCCAAAACACTCACTCAAAGCGTCGATCGCAGGGGCGGTCGGCAAGGCTGAGGCCGATGCCGCAAGCAGCGTAAGGAGAGAAGTCACTTGCAAGAACTTCATGTTTGCTGACGATGTGGTTCCAAACGCGACCGGTGAGATTGAAAGGAGAAGATTAAAAGTCAGGAGGCATCGAAGAGAGATTCGTCGTATATATACTCTCAGCACCCGCCACCGTTGACGGAAAGCCTGACGGGCTTGGTGTCTTTCAGAGAGGACCATCGTCGATGGTTCGTCAGATCCACTCCGTCAGCCTGGAGAGCGCCTGGGCTGTAGGCTATGACGAAGTTCATCCTTTGAATGCTCCCCTGCCCATGGCAGAGTGTCATCGCGCCGTACATTCGGGCGACAGCATTAGCTCGACGGTGTAAGTCCAGGTGGGCCGACCAAGCTGAGTTCTTTGTGACACCCATCCGCGAGAGGGCTGCATATGCTCTGGAGAGAGCCGGATCATGGATGCTGAGCAGAGTGCGAAGAGATTCCGAGGCAAACGTCGACTTCATGCGTCCATGCCTGGGAGCAGCACCGAGTGCTTGCCGATTGCGGTCAAGTTGAATCCAAGAGGCCATGTCGTCTGAGGTTGAAAACGTACGGCCGAAGTCAAAAGGGCTCTTTGCGCCAATGAAACCCGCGGTTTCACGCTCTATTCCATAACCATCAGCCAGGGAGTGGGACGTTCTGGAATAGCGCCACTGCGCAAGTACTCGGATGACATGGCATTGGGTGACCTCGGCAATCTAGCAGGTATGATCAGCAGAAACGAACGTCGCTAAGGTCGGTCGCACAGGGCTTGCTTCTCCACACAGAATGTAAGCAAAGAGGCTGCCTCCCCCTGGTGGATGGCACAAAAAGACCGGAGTCGCTCCAAGTCGATCACAGAATGGCGGGCGCAAAGGTCTATCCAAGATAGGCTAGCTGGATGCACTCTGGCGCTATGGTCTGTACATTGCATCAGCTCACGCAGTTGAGAAGACCTGTTGTCTGTCGGATGTGGACCTCGTTCACGATTCTAGACCTCTAACGCTGTGTCACCTCGGTTGAGCTCCAAGTTGGCGCCACCGAGACTCAGTACACGGTCTGCGTGGGACTTGAGGTGGCGACGAGCTCGACAAGGTCTCGATGAGGGCACACAGCCTAGTTTCCTCTATATTCACAGTCAAGGTCGGCTCACAGTTTTGAAGATTCGAGTATCCTGTGATGCCGTTTGTAACCCATTCTGCCCCCAATGCGTCTCCACCAAAAGGATTCAAGGCAGCTCCAACGAAATCAAGGCCATTGGGCCAAGCTCAGACAACAGCTTATGCATCGAATCAACCATGACGGATCAAAGAAGCCACTAGGCAAGCGAGAAAATGTATTGGATGTGGTATTATGTAGAAGTATCTGCGAATATAGCTCTATGTCGTGTGAGAAAAGGGGCCACAGCCCTTTCCGTGACACGCTAGGCCGCGCTGGGAAGGACCAGAGGCGTCGGGCCCCCGGCCACTCCCGAGGTCTTGTCCACCGGGTATATACGGGGATGTGACTGTATTAGGAAAAAGGGCACGCGAAAGCCGAGCGAGCAGGGCGGTGTAAGGCGTCGTCGAGATGTTCTTTCGACTGCCGACGTAGTCTGTTGTCGCTCAGAGCTCCTTTGGGGGTGTGGTTATGCAGCGATATCTCGTCCTACCTCGCTATCTCGCTCCTGAAAGCCCTTGTGAACAGCCTGGTGGTTGCAGAGAAGACCTCCTCGGCGCGGATACCCGCATTGAGGGCCTGAAAACGCCTCCACAAAGGATTCTTGGGGCCGTGAGCATTCCAAAACGGCGAGGATGTGCGAAGCTGACCTGTCACCGGCGCGCCGACGAGATCCATAGCGGTGGAGACGCAGGACAGCAAGCAGCAATGCGGGAATCCGGTTCAGCAGGTCGACTCGTACATATGGACTCCTCGCCCAATATTAGCTTATCACCCATTCCCTCAGAACCATGGTCGCTACCAGCTGACCGATCATGAGCAGACATTCCCGGATCGTGCTCTTCCTCGCCCTGGTCCTGGTCGACTTCATTTGCTGCTCAGCAAGCCCCACCTCCCGATGCTGGCTTGACTACTCCCAGATTCCTTACACCGCACTCCCGCGCGACCTGGAGTTGGACTATGGGACTACAGCGAGAGAACTTGGTTCTGGCACATCGGGCTCTGTGCTTCTGCTTCTGCGGCACGCCGACAATGCGACGGTAGCGGTCAAGCGGTTCCACAACGCCGCCGAAGATGAAGATCGACATGACCTTTTGACTCAAAGAATCAAGCTTGAGTATCATCTCGGAACTCTCCTGAACGGCCATCCTGGCATCTCAGAGTCTTTTGACCTCCTCCTGGAAGAAGGTTCCTTGACCTGGTTTCTGGTGACGGAGTTCTGTCCCCGGAGCCTGGCAAAGGAGCATCGATCAATCGGCGCGCAGTCGCTCACAGAGATATTCCGCAGCGTTGTCGAAGCCGTCGAGCATATGCATGCTCTGGGCATCGCACATGGAGATCTCAAGCTAGAGAACGTCCTTTTGACGGCCGACGGACGACCCAAGCTGATCGACTTTGGTGCCGCCACCTTCTCCGGCTGTCCCACAGAAACCCCAGGCTCGGCAGACGCGGTCAACGTCGTCCCTGGAGACTACGGCACCACGGCTTACATGCCGCCTGACGTCTTCACGCAGCTCGAGTTCGACAAGGCGAAAGCCGATGTGTGGGCCCTCGGGGTTTTGTTCTTTGCCATGATGACGGGATCGGTTCCATGGTCGTCTGCTTCAATCGACGACCCCCGCTACCAAGCCTACGTGACACCGCAGCCCCTCGATGACGGGTTCAGCTCACACCATTGTCCTAACTGGGACAAATCAACGGTTCGATTTCACACTTGTTCCACTGGAGCCATGCACCTCCTACAACGACTGCCGGCTAACGCAAGGGACATGGTTGCCTCGATGCTAGTGCCTGAACCACAGGATCGGCCGTCTGTCCAGACTTTATTGGCGTCTTTGTCCCAGAGATAAAGATCTTTGGGTTGCACTCGGCAACCGTGGACACGAGGACGTTGAACTACGGGTGTAGTAACGGTGAAGTAGCAATGGCATATTTGTCAAGTACTGGTCCAAAAACCGTCCACATGAGCGAAACGGTGCTTATGGCATCTCAAGGGACTGATAGTAGCACACGCTGCATAATGATTCGCTCCTATATCCGACACAGAGCCACCCGCCCATTCGTTCTCGGACGCGGTGGCAACAAGCATTTTGGGCCACTACAAGCATTTTCTAGACTGCGGAGGCAGGACCCGCAGTGAGAGTCAAGGTCTATGCCCTGGTACGGTAGCAAAAGAGCCATGGCTGGATACATGTGGAGTCCTCGCGTGATTCCCTTTCCAGAGGCAGAGTTTGGATACAGCCGGATGGCCGAGGAGGGAGGCTGTAATGCATTCAGCAGTTCATGTTGAGGCATTTGGACCTGCTTTTGAGGACTTGTTTCTAGTTCTCCGACTCTTTCGTGCTGCCTCAACATTTACGGATCACTCTCAAGCGAACCGAAAACCAAGGCTTGAATATTCTTGAATCTTAGCATATTGACGCTGCCCCCTCCCCCGAAAAATTTACCATTTCATCTGAGTGTGTCTGACCTTCTGACCATCCTTCACTTGAGACACGTCTTCTGGGGCTGACTAGAAATCGCCAGAGCCACAGCTTCCCAGATTGCCATCCCTGCCTGCACGCGAGTATGTTTTGCCTGCTTAGGAGCGGCATCCACCGACCCTTCTCGTACCGATCAGAATTGAAATACCTTCTCTAGAGCGGTCCAGTCCATGGCTTTCTCTTCCTCGAATTTCAGATCGTCGAATGCTTCCTGCTCCGGAGAGGGATGTACTGTGCAGCCTCCTTCCAGCATCAACCAAGCGTCTGCGTCTTTGAGCTCCATTCCGGGAACGCTGTCGGACTTGTCGGCACCGCCAATGTTCGCAATGTAAACGGTATGTTGGTTGATCAAGTACCATGGTCTCGGATCAGACCGACCCCCGACGGTGATGCGGTGAGCATGCAGATGTCGGATCCCGGCCGCAATTTGCTCTTTCCACTTCTCTTTATACTCCGAGAGGTCGGTTGTCTGCTCCGGGTGGTTGAAGAGCTTCGTCACATCTGCCAGGGACTTCGCACCTGACACATAGGTCAAGACGATCCCCGCGCAACGCGGCTGGTCGTCTGCTTGCCTGGCTTGTCCATCGCCTGACGCCGAAGGCAGAGAACTTTCTCCTGGCTCTGCATTGGCGTGGCTGATGACAATGCCCCGTAGCTTTGGAATATTAACTGCTTCGGCTGACCCAGCGGGCAAGACCTCAGTCGACTCCGAATGCAACCGTGAGTACGCGTTGATGATGTCGAGGGAGTTGTTGGTGATCCGCCCGGTGTTGACATGCCTCGCCGCGTTATTGCAAGGCCGGAAGTAAAAGACATCCCCGTTCGGCGCGCGGACATTGTGTGGCGGGCGGCGCCAGTTCTTTTCTTGGCCGAGGACGAGAAGTTCTTCTGCCTGGTACTGGGGGACATTCGTAGGCAGTAAGCTGATTTCCGAGAACTTGAACAGACTGTGTTCGTAGGACGGCCGATCCACCGGTCCACTGGTGATTTCCGGCACGACCTCCGCCGTCTGGTCGTCGGCGACCAGCTTCAACTCATAGCTCGGCGTGTGCAGGTAGTCGTGCAAGGTGACCCATTGATGGGAGCTGGGGGCCAAGGTTGCCAGCAAGGGCAAGCAGGGCGTGATGACACAATCACACAACGACTCCCATCGGCGAACCCAACTCTTGGTTCTATCGTGCACATCCACCGGCTTGATCAGCTCGAGCCACGTCTCGGAGAAAGAGGTCCCGGAGACATCTTCGCTCGAGACGTGGACTTTGAAGCGGACGCCGTTGCGGTAGAAGAGCGTCCACGACTTGCCCGTTTTGTCGTCGTGCATGCCATAGCGCACAATGTGGGGGATGGAGTCGAAGTAGCGGACGGTCGACATGGCGAAATGTCCAGATAGATAAGAGATACGCGTTCTGGGTGTTGGCGCCGCGTACCTGAAAAGGACGACAACCAGAAGGGAATAATAGAAAACACAAGTATATACGAGGAAAAGCGGGACGACGCTGCCACGAATACTCGCTACAAAATTAGGCACCAGCGCGTCTCCACATGACAACCATGGCGCAGCTCCACCACATCCGTCGATATGGAACATTGCCGCTTTTATAGGGCAATGAGGGTTATGAGGTCAATAGGAGGGGGATCCTCAATCGATTCCGGGTACCTTTTTGACGTAGACCTCGACTATTTGATCATCGTCTGAATCATCTGGAGGCCCGTTCGACTGTGTCTTCGTCGCCTTGGTCATCGCACCAGGTGAACATGATTTGTTTCATTTAACCATTCTGGTGTCTTAGCTGTACGGCATACGATTCTCCGCACTGTATGTGTGTCGCCTGGAGTACAGCAGTCTTATCTTTGGCATCGTCGTGGCATGCGACATGGTCAAGATTATTGTGATCATACTGGCTTTGAAAGGGAGGTGGCTTTTGTGACAGCTTTCCATATTTCGTGCTGTTGACCGGCGCGGCAGCACCTTCCACCTGTAACTTCTGCCAGGAATGGCACTACAGAACAAGGCGCACTTTTAACTTGTCACCCTCCTCTATCTCTTTCTGCCTCGAAAGCAGCTCCTCCATGTCCCACGTACAGCTTAGATACCTCCCGGCGAGCCATTCCCGTCTTTCGCAAGTGAGAAAGGCGATAGTGTCCCCGGCCAATGACGGACTGTCCGTAAAAGCTGAAACGAGGTCAACATCCCAAATGATCTTGCAATACTGGTTGTGGGCGACTCACTCGCGTGTGTTTGTTTAGGCATTGCTTCGGCCAGCTGCGTCATGACCCCGCCAGGATGCACCGAGAAAGCGATCAGTCCCTGTTTCCTCTGTTCCACCAGTAGAAACTCGGTGAACTTCAAGGCGGCGAATTTGGAGGTCCCATATGCACTCGCCTCGGGGCGGAGGTTGTGCGCTGCCACAGAGTTGACATTGACAAGTGTCTTCAGGCCGTCCGGCGTCGAAGTCAAGAGGGGTGTAAAATATTTGCACATGAGGAAGATTCCTCTTAAATTGACTTCAAACGTCTTCCACCACGAATCGTTGTTGGCTTCCACTATGGGCAGTGCCGGTGTCATGAACCCGGCGTTGTTCACCAAGACGTCCAGCCTGGGTGAAGACTCGTGCACTTTGGCGGCTGCGGCTGCAACTGACGCATCATCCGTCACGTCCAAATGGAGCAGGAGAACTGTGGGAGGAGGTCTTCCGTATTTCTTCGCGGCATTTTCGATCTCAATGTTGACAGGAGGATCCCCAAAGCCGTCAGGACATCCTAGCCCAATGAAAGACGCCCCAGATTGAGCAAATGATATGGCAATCGCTTTCCCGATCCCACGATTGCCTCCAGAAACGAAAACAGCCCTTCCCGTATGATTCGATTTGGCTCTGGAATCAATGAAAGGGTACGTGTCGTTGTGGATCGTCTGAGTGAAGTTTGCACCTATTCGTGGTCACCAGTCTATTCGTCGCCGACGGCATCTTATCTTGCAAAGGACCTGTGGCCAACTCACCATTTGGAGGCGCGAAAGGTGGGTACGCTGCCATATCGGGGAGGAAGAGCAACTGCAGGGATACTGATACACTTCGACGAAGCGATGTGGTTGGATCCAATTAGCTCCAGGGTAGACCAGATGCGATCGAATACTGGCTCCTGCAAGGGCCTTTATTGTTCTTATCCCTCTTCGGATTTTCCCAGCTGGCAAATAAACCCCGTTGACTAGTTACATGCCGAGCACGGGAGTGTCGTAAATACGATTATCTCAGGCTGTTTAAGTTTGGAACCAAGAGGCAGAATCACGAGATTGCCGAAGTGCCGGTGGAAAGTGACTGAAGCCCCAAGAAAACGGCGGGATAAGTATCAATCAAACCATAGGATATATTACTTTGTCCCATAGCTGGTCAAACACTGCGTCCAGAGGCCTGCCCGGCAGGGCTGAGATTCGAAAGCTGCCGTAATGCTTGATAGCGCTACCTAGGGCTTTTTCTTGAGAGATGGAGACATGGCCAGCAGTTGCATTGGACCGAACTCGCGCCATACGTTGTCATAAGACCAGAAATCGAAGCCTCGAGGGGAATAGTGTGTCTGTTGAAGTCCTTTTCGATTCAACGCTGAGGAGAACAGGAGCTTAGGATGATAGACAATGGCTGGAGCCTAGAACGCGGCCGATGGAGCCATCGTCTATCATCCTGGGCTAGCCATAGGCGAGCAATTGGGCGAGATCGACACCAATTATACGTGGCGCCGTTCTTGCGGAAGCATGTTCCATGGATCTTGGGGAATGCCCCGGCACGCCTGGAACCAGCGGAAGACCTCCGGTCATCTTACGCCTAATAAGTACAAACCGACAGCGTGTCCAACTGCCACCGTCCATAACAATTCGAAAGATTTCTGCGAAAAGCAATGGTTGGCATCCCAGGGAAGTCACAAGGTTGTAATACCTGCAGACGAAGGAAGGTCAGAGTAAGTACGAGCTCGCTCTGTCGCCTGCAGCCTTCTAAACCGATTAGTGTGACCTCCAAAAGCCGCTGTGTCGAAGATGTATCTCATCGCACAGACAGTGCGAAGGCTATGAAAGATACCCGGTCTTCATCAACCGGGGCCAGACAGGCCTCCAGAGACGACGACGCCTAGAGGAAGCCAGGTCCACGCCGCCACAGCCTGCCCTACAGAATCAAAACACTATTGTCTTCTCCACGCCCTCCCCTTCGCAGGTCAACGAAGATCAACTTATATCCTCTTTCTGGGAAGGTTACTCCACTGTTTCACCTCAGTACTCTAGAACGAGGGAACCCGCTTGGCTGTATCATTCGATCAATATCTCAGCATCTATAACTCCGTTGAGACTAGCTCTTCTTTCTCTCGCATATACCCGAACGGGCAGACTCCAAAACAACCAAACACTGATTCGGAAAGGGCAAGAAATCTACGGTCGAGTTCTTCGATTGACGCAAAATGCTCTGTACGATCCACAGCTGATGCGTCATGATGAACTACTTGCAGCGGCTCGATGCATGGTCCTGTATGAAGCTTTTGAGTCGACGTCCGAGGACATGGCTGCCTGGCAAAGCCATATCATTGGTATAGCCCGAATTATGCAGCTTCGAGGCCCTGACCACCACCGTGACCCTTTGCCCAAATCCATCCTCGAATCTATGCGTTACAACGCCATGATAGTCTGTCTCGTCAAGAGGGAATCGTCCTTTTTCGGCAACCCGGATTGGTTGATGCAGCCCTGGGCCGACACATCCAAAGATCTTGATCAAAGGCTTTACGACTATGGCTTTACGCTATCTAATCTCTTCCAGAGGGGTGAAGCGGCTTACCATCGTTCGGATCGAACAGAGATCCTTCGCATCCTGGAACGGATCAGAAATAGCTATCTGGGCATGACAACTCTCAACGAGGAACTGCTGGCCGTGCAAACAGAAGACTACCCCGTGAACGAGCATGCCCTGAATGAACTACACGTCGGAGAAACGACTTTTGCCATTACTTCAGCAATTCTCCTTGCCCTCGATCTGTCATTTTCCATTTATGCGGCGGCACTGATTGCGAAGTGTCCGGACGACTTTTTCACCGAACACCAGGATCTGCTTGCAGAAATTTCTTCGCACACGGACGAGTCACGCAGACGGGACTTGTCAAAGCAGGTCCTCTGGCTTCTTCAACATTCTCTACAGACCCGATTCGAGTATTCGCGACCCAGAATCATCTTCCCACTGAACGTGGTGAGGTGGGAGCTAAGGGCAATCCCTGAGTACAAGGTCCAAGTACAAGCGCTGTTTGAAACCATTGCTTCGGGAAATCAGGTTCGCATTGCCCGCAGTGTGCAGAATGCTGGCTGCTCGACCATGCCTAGCATTATCTCGAAGGAGAGTGAAAGCTGAGCGCTAGCTTTTTACTCGTTGTTCGCCTATGGAAACCTCGACGAAAAGGCAACAGAGAGACTACGGGCACACCAAGCCATGATCGATTTGCTCTTCAGCAAGCTCTGTAAATCGATAGTCTGAAAATATAGTTGCTGAGTCCGACCTTGTTTATTTATTCAGCATTACCAATCAAAGCAGCAACTATTTCCATGGTGCTTGTTCGTGCATCCACGATGCTTACTCTTTGCCCTCTAAATAAGTCATGCAGACGATCAATTTTCTTCGAGAACCCTTCTCACTTCGCCCGTAAAAACTGAAAAGGCAGATACGCCCGAAATCTATACGGAACCCTTCGAAACTAGTCGTGTCATGTAGAGATATGGTCAAGCATAACCTCCCTCACTTGCCCGGGACCTTCCCATTCCTGCCAAAAATACAAATAGATCCTGAATCGCTGGTTCATCTAGTCCGCGAGCGCCGCTCGCCTTCCGAAGTGCCAGACATCATGGTGGGAAGCCCTGCTGCGGCAAGCTTACAGGGCGCCACGTTCTCTTCACCACACACTCGCATATGAACCACTAGCCCTTTTTTTTTTCTCTTCTTTTGAACACGCTCTTCACAACCTCTCAACGGATTCCGGCGAACGGCTGGCCGACCGGACTTTGGAAGAGATGCCTTTCTCGGTGATCGACGGGTCTGAGACCAAATGCTCGTCACCCGTCTTGAAGACGAAGCCCGGATGGGCGGGTATCAGGCAGAAGGAGGCCAGGATGACCATCCTGCAGAGACGGACGTCAGCAATCGTCGCACCCTGGGTAGAGCCGGACCGGGATCACGGGGAGTTGGGGGGGAGGGGGGGATCAGAAATACTCACACCGACTCGAAGACAATGAAGAGCGTCTGGTCCCTCAGCGCGTCGCTGGTGCGCGAGTATCCGCCGCTCAGCTCGTAGACGCGGTAGCAGCACCGGACCAGGATCAGGAGCGTGGCCGCGAACAGGAAGCCGCTGAAGACGACGAAGCGGGTGGGCAGCCGGACTGCCATCCACACCACGCGGCTGCGGCGGGCGTAGTCGAGAGCCAGGGCCACGAAGGCGGCGAGCGTGAAGACCTGGAAGCTCAGGCCGGCGAGGGCGACGTCGACGCCGGCCTTGGAGCCGCCGTTGGACGACGACGACATGGCCCCGCCGGCGGCCTGGAGGACCAGGCTGACGATGTCGCAGGGGATGAAGAGGTAGTAGAAGTACTGGGGCGCGAAGCGCGACGACGCGACGGAGATGTACTTGACGCTTAGGACGAGTCAGCCGGGGTATACAGAGGGGCTTAGATGGGGATACCACGACTTACATCTGGGCGAGCAGCACGTAGATGGCGGCGGAGAAGAAGACAGGCCCGATGGTGATCAAGACTGCGTTTTTCGTTAGTGAGAGAACCCAGCGACGCTGCCTGGGTACGGCGGTGTTTTCGGGAAACTGCTCGTACCAATCTGCATGATGAACCCGGGTTGCGCCCATGGATCTTGCCAATACAAGATGCGGCCCACGTAGCCGATGATCTCGTCCACGCAGCCCAGCAGCATCAGGCTCATGAAGCCCCAGGCCCTGTACCGGAACCCCAGGATCACCTGGGCGACGATGCAGAGGCCGTAGAGGGCGATCAGGGCGCCGCTCGCGGCCAGAGACGGGCGGTATCCGTAGACGCTCATCTCGATCGGGCAGACCGAGACGGTGCAGTTGGCGTTGCTGCCGCCGCCGATGTAGACGGTGCCATTGGGGGTGACGAAGATGGGGACGTTCGAGTTCGTCATTGTGGGAGGAGTACTAAGTAAGGGATGTGTTGATTCTTTCTGTGCTGTGCAAGAATGCTAGAACTAGGGCTTGAGTTGGGTTGTTGGAGAGAGTGGGAGTGGTTTGGATATGCTCTGAAAAGCTGGCTTGACCGATCTGTTGGTGCACCTGGGTCGACTTTGGGATCTTCCCTGGTGAGGTTCCTGTGGCGAATATATAGACCAGCAGATTACAAGCCCAGTTCTGACGGAGGATGCATTGTGATTGACATGGCTGTGGAGTTCAGTCTCGATGGTTGGCATGATGCTCTGCCGTGCTGCGCACTGTATCAGTGTCACCATGACCATGCCGACCATCCTGAAGCCTATCCTGCTTGCGATAAGGCCGTAGGGTTTAGGCTGTTGACTGGAAACCAATGGACAAGGCACAGAGCCTTCCCAAACAGGGCCCGAATACGTCGAGCGAGCAGCTCTCCGAATGGCTCAAAAAAGGTGCCTGGCCTGCACCCAGGGTTGGATGAGCAAAAATGGCATGCCGTGCGGAGTCGTGTTCCATACCAGTTCAAGGTGTTTTGTATGATGCCTAGATAGGAGCTAAACTTGCCAGCTGGAGCGGTACCTGGCGAATCATGGGGCTGGTGTGTGTGTGTCCCCCCGTTGCACACGCGCAGCTGGGGCCCATGGAAGCGAAGCTCCGCAGATTTTATTATTATGGGATTTCCAACGTGCGTATCTCACGAGGAATAGCTGATGCACGAACAAAACCCAGTGAAATGGCGGATGTTTAGGAGGACGTTTCGTGGAAATGGGGTACCTGGGCAATACTTCGAAAAGGGGGCTCATATCAAGCTGGACGCCAGATCCCCGCCGAAACGTCCGTAAGGCGCTCGCCAGCTCCGTCTCCCGTCGTGTCAGTGTTGCCAGCACCCAATCATCGCTGCTCAGCCATCCTCCATCGCAAGATGAATCCTGGAAAGGGAAAAGCGCCAGCCTCCGACCTGCTTAAGCGAGAACAACACGTCATGAGCGGGTGATGAGCCTCCGACCCGGAGATCGAGGAGCTTGACTGCCTGAGATCGCAGAATGAATACTTGAAACGCTATAGCGAGTTCCATAAAATGGCAGGCTGTGTGCAGTCTTTTCCACGATAGACAAAACCTCCTGCGGCAGCAATGAGTTTCCCATGCACATAATACGGCTCGAATGTCATCACGTACTCCTGGATCAGGCCGCCAACTCCCAAAGTTGCTTGAACTCCTTTGGCCCTTTGCTCATCTCCTGCAGTCAGTCATTGGGATCATAACAACCCGACGACAGCCAATAATGGCCATGCTCCGGAGAATGCTTGCCATTGGGTACTCATAAGCACTCGTCGAAAAGTCATGAGGTCACGCGAAACTGTGCGAGACCCGACCACGAGCGGACCAACGCTAGGCCAGAGCGACTTCTGTGAGGGCAGCTTGTGTACGAGTATGTCGACAACAAGGAACATATGAAGAGATTGAGCAAGCACCATCCGTCTCGGGTTTGAGCATGTAGGCAAAGGCAGCCGTGATGACGGCTTGACGGAATCGAGAATTGAACCGAAACACCGACCGTCCGACCGTCCGCCTTCGTATTCGCATTGGAGCGTGGTGAAGTATATCAAGCACATATCCGGCGAAAGAGGTTGAAGCATTGCTGTACACCAGCCTGAACTCATTGCGGATTCAGGGAGTCATCTGCAACATGTCACCACCGGCTGTAATGAGAGCATGGCAGTATTCAAGCACCAAGGGTAGTCTAGAGAAGAACCTCCGCCTCAACACATCTGCTCCGGTCCCCCAGCCTTCTCCCAACCTGCATCTGGTACAGGTGCTGGCAACAGCACTCAATCCTGTTGACTACAAGCCTGCTGAGATTCGGCTTCTGAGTCACTTCGCTATTCCCAAGCCAGCAACTCCTGGTATTGATGTAAGTCCTCCTTTGACCCTGATTTACCCTTGAAAGTGGCGCGGCATGCTAACGGATACCCTCAGTTCGCGGGATATCTGGTCACCCCTGCCACTGGATCGGTCCTGAAACCTGGTCAACTTGTCTTCGGCGCGTCGGGAACGTCGTACTTGGCCGGAGGTGCCTTGGCCGAATACGCGGTCACGAAAGAAGATCAAATCGTTGCTATTCCAGACGGCTTGGATCCAATTTCGGCATCGACAATCTGTGTGGCGGGACTAACAGCTCACCAATCGATCGTACCATACGTCAAGGCGGGAGATAAGATATTCATCAACGGCGGCTCAGGCGGGACAGGAGTCTTTGGCATCCAGATTGCGAAAGCCGTCGGGTGCAATGTCACGACCACATGTTCTAGCGTCAACATTGAACTCTGCAAAAGCCTGGGCGCGGACTCCGTTATCGACTACAAGAAGCAGAACGTGCTCGAAGCGTTGAAGGCCAGCGGACACCAGTTTGATCACGTCGTCGACAACATCGGCGCGAACTTTGAGCTCTACTGGAAATGCCACGAATACACGCGACCTGGGGCCTTGTTCATGGTCGTCGGGGCGCCGATCTCGCGAGCCTTCGTCGTGGACGCCATCCTGAGGAAGTTATGGCCTGCCTTTCTCGGAGGCGGAAAGCGGCAAGCGGTCAGTTTTTTCCCCAAGGCGAAGCCTGCAGATATAGAAAGCATCGCCCGCTGGATGAAAGAAGGGAAGGTGAGGCCCGTGATTGACGAGCAGTTCACCTTTGAGCACGCTCCTCAGGCGATTGAGAAACTAAAAACGGGCCGAGCAAGGGGGAAGATTGTGGTTGAGGTGTCCTCGTCTGGTTCAAAATGAGATTCCAGGACTCCTTTTGGCACAAATATATGGCCTCTATCCGTTTTTGCAACCCGTTCTTTGACGGTAGAAGTTTCGTTGCCTTCTGTGCATGAGGTGGAATGGTGTTCGAGATCGTTTGGATGGTATCCGTCATTGTCCTGATTCTCTCCTTGAACGAGCGTATATAGGCCGGCGTACAAAAACGCCATGTCGTCTTTCCAGCTTCGACGCCTCCTCCTTTGCTCAGATGTCCATGGTGTAGACCAAGGGATTTTCCCGCTCACCCCGCGGCAAGTTCGCTGGTGGCTGATCTCCCGCCTACCGAGTAATCGCACGCGAGCTTATGGTGAGCATAGGGCGGCATCGCCCTCGTCCTAGTTCGGGATGACCCGCGACCAGCTTTTATCACTGGAGAGGAAACTTGATTGAAACTCATCTTCTCGTCCTGACCACTGCCACTTCCAAAGCTATCCACTGCAAAGCCACCACACGAATACAAAAGAGCAAAGCGGGAAGACAATGTATGATATTGTTGGCGCCTTCTAATTCGCTGCACGCCCCGACTTCATGATGTCCGCAGAACTTCAAGCAGATGTCCAGTTCCGGCTCTGCCTCCCTTCAAAATGAGCGCAGGTCAGCTTCCCCTCCACCTTCAGATTCCACGCTTGCGCGAGATCCTTTCATCCAACCCCACTCTTGTGGGTGTGCTCTTTCGCGCGGCGGCCCTCAATTTACCGAATTGGTATCTCGCGGGTGGCGCTTTATCGCAGACCATCTGGAACAACGTCTCAGAGCTTCCACCTGAAACCGGGATCCGCGACTACGATCTCGTCTATTATGATGCTTCGGACTTGTCGTACGAGGCGGAAGACATAGTCATTCAGGTTGGTAAGCATCATTTTGCTGATGTTCCCGTGGAGGTGGAGATCAGAAACCAGGCACGCGTTCATTTGTGGTATGAAGAGAAGTATGGTGTGCCATGTCAACCACATGCCAGCGTCGAGGCTGGGATTGACACATGGATATCCACCAGTGCCATGCTAGGTGTGAGGATAGACGAGATGGGGGAGTGGATCGTGTACGCCCCTCGAGGGTTGTCTGACTTTTTCAATATGGTGGTGAGGCCTAATCCGGTTTTGGGGAAAAGAGAGGCGTATGATAAGAAGGTCAAGCGGTGGCAAGCAATCTGGCCAAACCTTATAGCCGAACCCTGGCCCCCAGCAGAGGTGTGGCAAACACCCTAGGGACACTGGACGATCGAAGGCACCGCAGAGGACTGGCCCAGGCCGAACCCATCGGATCAGCGTGGGCAAAGGAAGGGCAGGGGAGAGTTAGGCGCCTGGAAAAGATCACAACAGGTACATCATGGACACCTCGATGATAGTGGCGTCGGCTCTCGTTGGAGTGTTGACGGGTGAAGAAAGAATGGGGTCTATCAACCCTGGAGGCATCTTCAGCCGATGAACCACTATGCACTCTCAACCCAACCAACACCACGTCTTGCTACTGGACCGGAAGAGCTCGGGTGATACCTGGCAGAGGAGCGTTGACTTGCAAAATGGGAAAACCAGTCCGAAACACAGAATGTCCGGAGTGGAAGATAGCGCGAGGGGTGGCGATGGTTTACGGGGAAATACCGAAGATGAGAAGTCTGGCGAATGTGCCCCGGTTGGTGTAGAGGGCCAACCATGGGCGAGGTCGACAAAGCAGATCATGACCTTTGGAGGCTGGACACAAGGGTCTGAGCATGCTGCGGCAGAGGCGGATACCCCTTCCCTCAGAAAAGGAGGAATTGGCGACTTGGGGAATGATCGATCGACCGATTGGTACACCGCTTGATGGTCCAGCACTATGGTACAAGCCCAGACCAGGCACGTCCGCGGAGTCCCAGTCTCGACGTCTACACAATATGGAGACAGTTGCCCTTGTGGTGTGATAGCCATTGGGCATTGTTTCATGGTAGGAAGAGCAGGTTCGTCAGTTGAACACCCTAAAGCCATAACGAGGTATCAAAGACTTGTCATATTGAGCCTGCGAGGGAGGGAATGTGCATTCTGGACAAGTTCACGATATTGCTACGCCCCAAAGCACAGACAAAGAGATCGGTACGTCGTCGCCTCTCAGGACCAGAGGCGGATTTATAGGTTACCGAGGGTAATTACCGCTTTGGGAGTGAGGATCTTGGTCGCCAGCTTCCCCAATACTCTTGCCAACCCCTTTCCCACTCGGTTACTCCACTGCAAATTCGTTATCAAGGACTGCCTTCAGCGCGAGGCGGTGCCTGGAGAATCAGACCAACCGGGAGTTAGGGGTGTGCACTATATAGGGGCAACTATCCAACGGGACATGTCCATCAAGGCCCAGGCTCAGACCTCGCTTGTTCAATGTGTGTCCAGACTGGGTCTACCGAGTATCACCGGCCGGCAGCGTCTCGAGGCAACAACTGGATACCCCCGGCCTCCTGCGGCATCCTCCCCACAGTCTCCCTTCTCTCCAGCTTTTACCCCGCGAACCTTGTGGCGTCCAATCAACCTTGGTGGTAACCGAGGGAGTCCCATAACCTCGGGCTCGTGGGGAAGCACGGAAGTCAGGTAGGAAATATAACTACCAATATATGTACCGTTTTGGAGAACCCTGCAGGTGCTTTGCTTTCTGCTCCCCAAGCTCGTCTTTCATATCTTGAAGCAAGTCCGTCGACCTGGTTGAGACAGAGACTGCGTGGTGCAAGATGACACACTTCAACAAGTAAGTGGTGCTCTTGCTGGCCCTCCCTATGAACCAAACTGACCATAAGACAGGCTTAATATATACTCCATCCTCATCCTCTCGTTTGGGGCTTTCTTCTACGGCTATGACTCCGGCCTCACCACCTCCATCCTGGGATATCCCCAGTTCATATCCTATTTCAACTTCAACTCCAATACCATCGGGGCCCTGGGATCATGCTACTACGCGGGTAGCTTCTTCGGTTCGGGCCTGAACTTTTGGCTCCCAGATCGATATGGCCGAAAGCCGACCATCTACATCGCCTGTGTTGTGTTAGAAACCCGAGTCTCCGTCTGGTGGGCATAGATCACTAACATCCTACAGTGCTATCGTGGGTGCTATCCTCCAGACTGCCGCTCAGAACATCGAGATGCTTTTCGTCGGTCGTGTCATCGGTGGTATCGCTTCTGGTATCGTCTTTGGTGTCTGCCCGATGTTCATGTCAGAAATCTCTCCACCCGAATTCCGTGGCAGAGTTGGTGGGCTTTACAACTTGAACATCAATCTGGGTTATACATGTGGGTTCTTTCGCGATTTCCATTCTCAACTCTGCGTGGACTAATACATTTGTGCCAGTGACCGAATGGATGGGCCTCGGATTCAGTTATATCAGCTCTGATGTCGCCTGGCGATTGTTCTTGGGCCTGCAACACGTTCCACCGCTTCTGATGGCCGCCTGCACCCCCTTCCTCCCTGAATCGCCCCGATTCCTCATCATGAGAGGCCGCTACGACGAGGCCCTGGAAGTCATTACGAAACTTCACGGTGGCGCCCCGGGTCAGGACGACGACTTCTACATCCGTGAATTCAACCAGATCAAGGCCCAGCACGAGCTCGAGGTCCGCGAACGCGTGGGCCTCCGCACCATCCTGCGCCGGCCGTCCTACCGAAAGCGAATGTTCATCGTCGTCTTCCAGTTCGCGTTTGCCATGTTCACCGGTATCATCCCGCTCCAGAACTATCAGTTCATCTTGTACACCTACCTCGGTGTCACCAACAAGATCGCCCTTGTCATGGTCGGCGTGTGGGGCACTTGCGGCGTCATCTTCTGCACCATCGGTGCCCTGCTATTCGACAAGCTTGGTCGCAGAGTGTCTCTGCTGATCTCTCTTTGGGTCCAATTCCTGGCGTCCATCGCTATGGTCATCTGTAAGTCCTCACCCGCTGGCCCAGATGTCCATCTGAGCTGCATCACTAACGGGTTATTAGTCTGGGCACGATTCCAACTTTCAAGCAACACCAACCTGCTACTCGGTCGCTTTACTGTTGGTTTCATGTTCGTCTACCTGATTGGCTACGCCTTCATCATGAACTCATTTGGTATGTATTATCCCGTTTCATCCTCGATAGTTTGATCTGTTCAGTTCCACTAATATCCGCTGTAGGATACACCTACCCGTCGGAAATCATGCCCACGCCAATTCGAGCAGCCGGCAACGCGGTGGCCTTCTGCACGTTCAACGCCATCACCATCATGTTGGTCCAGGTCACACCGATCGCCATCGAGAAGATTGCGTGGAGGTACTTCCTCATCTTCATCATCTGCGACGCCATCTTCATCGTCGTGGTGTACCTGGTCTACCCCGAGACGGTGGGCAAGACCTTGGAGGAAATCGCCGCCCTGTTCGGCGACGAGGTCGCCGTCGACATCCAGCAGGCACACGATTATCCGGACACCGTCGGGATCAGGGACGAGAAGGTCGCCACCGAGGTCACCGAGGCTGAGCGAGTCGAGGACGTGGATGGGAAGGGCCACCACGCCCACGCCCTGTAGAATCGGTGTAATACCTGCCGGCTTAATATCACCTCTGTGTCGCCCGCAACTGTGCTCTAAATCCCACTGCTCCGCCGGGGACGCCCCCTCAAAAAAACGACGTAGCAAAAAGCAAATTCTGAGAGGGTTCGCTCCGCCACTCTACCAGAAGTCGAACGAATACCTTCCGTCTGCTGCATTTTAATTCCAGAGCTCCGACGTGCCCGGAAAAGTGCTGAAGAAACTATGTTTCCACATCGTTTTCCACTATCGTTCGCGTTGAAACTGGTGAGATTCGAGCGGCAGAAAGCCCTGTCTACACGTTCAGACAGGTCTATTTGACTGCCTTGACAACACAAAACCGAACAAAACTTCAACGAGCACGTTCGCAACAAAAGCCGCTGCGCCCAGCACAAGGTTTTCGAGACACATTAGTGCAGAACCGAGTTTCGGTCCCCTCTCCTCCTCCCAAAGACCTCGCAACAGCGAGCCTTTGCGCGGGAATTTGATCCCCCACGTGTTGTTGATGTTGTTGGAAGTCCCACTCAAAGCCCCCAACACCACGAGATTCACACCGCTCCGAATTCGACGCCCTTGTCTCAACATCCGTGGCATCGCATCCACGTGCTACTCGGGTAGCCTGAAGTAGAGATGTGTCGGGTATCAATTTTGGTACCCGAGAGTTAAGCAATGACACTGTCGAATTTTACCGAGGGTGTCTGCCCAGAACAGATAAGCGAATGCATTGGCTTGCTTGAAGATGTAGGGCTGGTCAGTCGGTACTGACCACAGTAGCGAAGATGCAGTTGCGATTCCTCACATGCAGAGTATTGGCGATCGGATTCGGACGGTTTGTGGCTGGCTCCCGCCTGGACTGTCAGGGGTAAGGTACTATTCGTCTAGTAGTTGAGCCTTCAAGCCTCTGGTTGTGAGGAGAGGTCTCATGTTCCAGTAACCCCGGGGCGAACACATGAGCACTCATAGCCCGCTCCCTGTGTCTCGAGATCCCACCAGTGTGCTGGGCTTGGGGGCTGTCGTCCACATAGAATTTCTCTCGCTGAAGGGTACTGTCTAGCCATGCACAGTGATTGCCGACAGCAAACGATATTCTGACCCGAATACCCGACCGCCTGGGAGAAGCATGCTCCTTGAGCCTCTGGACACGAAAGTCGGCTCTTTGTGCTGCTCTCCACTTCGATCGCTCGACACTGGGATCTGTCACGCCCACGGTGGCCGGACGGCAACAGTACTGGCAAGCTGGAGCCCATGCCCGCGATACCCTTCCCAAGATACGGCGGGCCAGTCATGCGATGAAGCAGCGAACACTGCCAGGAACATTCATTTTGCCGAGCGTGTTGAGAGAACATCAAGCTACGGGTGGCTGGAGACCCGCGAGACGAAGGTACATATATATAGCCCGAGCCGAAATCTCGGAGCTCACTGTGCTCGGGAAGTGCATGAGGCATGACCAAAAGAGGCAGTTCTTGGTGGAATCGAGAGAGACTCTCTTTTCCACCGCCCCCAGAGCTAATCGGCGGTTGGACGTCCTCTCAACTTAACGGTTATCGAGTACAGAGGTTTGCTTCCCGGTGCAGTGTCAAAGGTCGATGCTTGCCGCGAGCAACGGCTCAATCGAGACTTTGGACTGGCCAGTGCGATGGTCAGGCACGGAATAGAAACGCACTCAAGAAAATCTATAGGTCGGCGATCGGAGATTAACAGGATTTCAACAGGGATATCGTACTAAATTAAAAAAATACTGCGAACGACAGCATAACTAGAACACCTTTCCAACCAGTAGCTAGCCCTGAGCCGCCGCTGCGGCCACTTTCGGCTCGACGCTAGCGCCCGGGACACTGGCATGCAGCGCCTCGTCATCGATCGGATCGATGTCCTTGTGTATAACCTTGGGCTCGGAGAGGCCGTAGACGGTGATGAAGGCCATGCCGAGAAAGGCGCTGATGCACGAAAACACCAGGGCCACGATGCCGCGCGCGGTGAAGCCGCTCGGCAGGGCCGGCTCCTGCTTGTTCTGGCCGTCGAGGTCGAGCGGGTCGGCGTCGTCCGCGGCCGCGTTGCCCTGGATGGGCACGCCGGCGGCGTGGCACACGTCGTAGTGCTGCTGCGGGATGTGGTGCGTCTTCTGGATCTCCAGCGGCGCCTCAATCAGCACCATCGCCAGGCCCTGCGACAAGTGCCAGTCGATGTGGCAGTGGAACATCCACACGCCCGGGTTGTCCGCGACGAAGCGGATCACGTAGTATCCCTGCGGGGGCAGGACGAAGGTGTCGCGGCGCGCCGGGAAGGCCGGGAAGGCCGAGTGGTTGTTGGGGTCGTAGGGCACCGGGTCGCCGGCGAGGTAGTCGTAGAAATGCGCGCCGTAGCCAGGCGCGCGGTCGATGACCTGGAAGTTGTGGCCGTGCAGGTGGAAGGGGTGCGAGCCGCTGTCGGCGTTGTTGAGCACCAGCTGGACCACGTCGTCCTTCTTGAGCACCATGGGGTGCGTGTATTCGCCGTAGATCTCCTCGTTGGTGGCCAGTCCGCCCGAGGACAGGACCGTGTAGAGCGTGGGAACCTTCGGGGCCGTGTAGGTGATGTCGTTCAGGAAGGCGTAGCCGAACCCGTTCCGCAGATTGTCCATGATGACCGTCACGTTGATCTCGAAGTCGGGATCGGGCAGCAGCGCCATGTGGTCGTACGGCACGAGAGTGATGTCGTCGAAGGGGACGAGCTCCGACGAGGCATCCACTGTCATGACGGCTTGCGGGTGGGCGGCCTGGGCGTTGTACTGCAGCCAGTTCGTGTTGTTCAGTTGGAGGTCGGGCAAGATCACGTCGAGTAAGTCGGAGTCGGCCACCGTCACGATGGGATAGTTCTTGTCCGTGGTGTTCTTGGTCGTGAGGAGGATGGTGTACCGCTGGGCCACGGCGATGTACAGTGTCTCGGCCTCGGTGGGCTCGGTGTAGACACCGTCGATCTCGACGATCTTGAAGGTGTGGTCTTCGATGTAGAAGAACTGTCCCACAAAGGCCCCGATGTTGATCAGCCTGATGAGATACGTCGTGTCGGGCTTGACGGGGAGACTGGAGTTCTGGGTGTCATTGAACAGGAAGGACTTGGGGACGGGTTCGGCACCCGTGGGGTTGTAAAGCGACAGAAACCGGATATCCTCCACAAAGTCATGATACCAGTCGCTAATGGTGATGGTGAATTCTTCGTCGTAGTCTTCGTTGAAGAACGCATCCTTGTCGTGGACGATCAAGGCCTGGCGGTAGCCGTCCGGATAGCAGAAGTCGGTGTGGCAGTGATACCAGTAGGTGCCGTTCTGGTCCACGGTAAAGTTGTAAGTAAAGCTGTACCCGGGAGGAATGGGACACTGGGTCACCATCGACGGGCCGTCCATGTTGCTGGTGTTTGTTTGGAACATGCCGTGGAAGTGGATGCTGGTGTTCTTGTCGCCGAGGCCATTGAACATGTTGACCACCAGCCGGTCGCCTTTGTCGACCTCGATGACGGGCAGCGGCCACTGCCCATTGATGCCAATGACTTTTCTCTCGGCCAGGCCATCTGGATTCGCCGTTACCCAGCTGACATTGAAGTCGTATGTGACCGTTTTGGCCGTGGTCCAGCCGGTGAGCAGCAGAACCGCCAGCGAGACGAACAGAGCCTGGACAAGCTTCGCCATGGCCGTGGGACTCGAAAATCTTGACCGCGACAAGGCGTGCGTGCGGTAAAGCTTGGGCAGAAGCTTGCCAAGGGCTTTTCAGACGACGAGGTCTTGAAGGATGGACGTTGCCCGACGTCCCCAAGGGAGCCCGTTTGGTTTTGAAGGTGGGAGTCCGGTTTTCTACATACCAGTCCGGGTTGATCCTAGGGCTCGTAGCTGAAGAGCCTTTCTGGGGCAGCCCGATGCCGGCGAAGCCCCTCCATGGCTGGGAAGTACCACCCTTGCTGCGCTGCTCCTTTGCGTTTTTGGGCGAGCTCGCCTAGCCTCCGTGGAAGAAGAGTTTTCTCACCCATGTTCCGGCCCAAAGGCCGTAGTGGTCACAACAGAAGAGTGTTTGCCCAATCATATCAGATAGGGAGGAGTGATTAGATCAATTAGCGAGTGGCCCAGACGTGGCATCAAAGTTATCTGATGGCGCCTCAGGAGACTGCCCGCCAATGCTTCGCCGCGCTGCTGCCACCGCCCATCCGAAGCATCCACTACCGTCCAACTGCCATCCACATGCGCCGCTGATGGCCGTTTTTCATGACAGCTGATTATCTTATCTTTTCTCGTTATCAGATGATCAGTTGCCCACCTCGACCAGCTCCGCTAACCCAGGGATCCTCTTTCTTGCTGCAGTCCCAATGCGCCGTCCAGTTCCCCTCCCCGAACTTCGGCCAACTCTGCTGCTCCCACGGCTGTAAAATATCTGTGCCAATGCCCTCCCATTGGGATCGTGTTGGTTGCTTCCTGAGCTCCCCAAGGACATCTTTTTCTTGGTGTGACCTTCCAAGCTCTCCTAAGCTTTTTCTTGTCTCCAGGGTATACATACCGTAGCCACCTTTCGAGACCTCCATTGCCCTTTGCTCTTGCAACCCCCATCCATAGTCTGAGCATTCTCCTGTCATCTCTTTCACCATGACCAACGTCTTCGGCGTCCAGGTCTTCTTCATTGTATTTCGAGAATGTCTCGAAGCCGTCATCATCATCTCGGTGCTGCTTTCCTTCTTGAAGCAGTGCCTGGGCCAACCCTCCCAAGACCCAGTCATCTATAAACGCCTAAAACGACAAGTATGGGCGGGCTCTTTATTGGGAATTCTCATAGCCCTGATCATCGGGGGTGCCTTCATCGGCGTCTTCTACGGCTTGGGCCATGATCTCTGGTCGCAATCCGAGGATCTCTGGGAAGGCATCTTCTACCTCATCGCCAGCATCATCATCACCATCATGGGCCTGGCCATCCTGCGCATCAACAAGACAAAGGAGAAGTGGAGGGTCAAGATTGCACAAGCCCTCGTGGCAAAGACCAAGCACAAAGACGCAGCGTCAAGAATGGGCGAATGGGGCCGAAGATATGCCATGTTCATCCTGCCTTTCATCACCACTCTCCGTGAAGGTCTCGAAGCTGTTGTCTTCGTTGGTGGTGTCTCCCTCGGGTTGCCTGCGACCGCCTTTCCCATCCCGGTCATCACCGGGATCCTTGCTGGCCTTCTTGTCGGCTATCTCATCTACCGCGGCGGCAACTATATGACCATCCAATACTTCCTGATCGCCTCTACCTGCGTGCTCTACCTCATTGCTGCGGGCATGTTCTCCAAGTCCGTCTGGAGCTTGCAATTCCATAAGTTCCAGCAGCAAGTCGGCGGCGATGTTGCCGAAGAGGGGGATGGCCCGGGCTCATACAACATTGACCAGACCGTCTGGCACGTGAACTGCTGCAACCCGGAGCGTGATAATGGCTGGGATGTCTTCAATGCCATTCTCGGCTGGCAAAACACTGCGACCTACGGCTCCGTCATCTCATACAATGTCTACTGGATCTTCATCATGCTGGCCATCTCTTGCATGCTGTATGAGGAGCGCACGGGCGCGCTTCCCCTCGAAAAGGCCTTCCTCCGGTTCCTCTCCAAGATCCCCGGCTTCAGAAGCTTCGCGACACGCCATCTCACCAGGCTCACCGCGCCTAAGCAAGACGCCGAACATGTCATCGCCCAGGTGCAGAGCCACACATTCACGCAGAGCCTCCAGAGACCCTTGAGTGCAAAGTAGAGTGGAGAGAGTGATTGGCCTACCTGTTTGGAATTCACGCGGGTGTGTGGCCGGCAAAGCAACAGAAAACGGTGTCGAAAATGGAAAGAAGTCTTCCATGATAGTGTAGTAATCCCCGGGTCGAAGTTTGGTGGTTTGGTGTGTGTAGCTTAGGTACAGGCTTTTAGTTCGACTTTACCAGACAAAAATGCAAAATCCTGTGCATTCCCAAATCCACAACATGTAGGAGAATAGACACAAAGATCCAACAGACGGAGGAGGAACACATCGCCGAGGCCGTAGAGGTATTTGGTTGGAGAACCACGTGAAGACAGTCCAGCATCTTTGCGCAGGGGATGTTTTCGAGGAGGTCGGTGGAACTCGGCCTGGAAAGGGAAAATTACCAGGGCGCCAGGCGCTCTCCCAAGGGTGAGCGTGAGCGGGAAATTTTGATCGCTGTTCAAACAACAAGGGCAGGGAAGAAGTTTGCGCCCTCACGCCATTCGGTCCAAAGCGTAACTTGAAGCCCCAAGCCATGTGATTTCCACCGTGTCGCCCGTCGCCTGTCGCTGCATCTATCCTGGACACGCTAAGCAGCCATAAGCTCCCGAACCTGTGAATGAATCCGGCACTTCAGGTCGACAGACAGGAGCGGAGTGGGCCAGGTGTGCCATCTCCTGCTTCCCACCCTCCTCGCTTGCGAGACCCCTTCTTTCCCGGCCACATGCTCACGCTGGTGGAACCTTGGACATCTCATCAACCCACCTTGCACCCCATGCATCCCCCTGTCACTCGTCTCAATCACACCCCTTCGAACGGGCCAGACAATCATTATCTTATCTGATCATCGCCCCTTTTCCGCTCAGCCTGCAGGGACTGACTTGGTGGCCAAGGATGCATTGACCACTCAACGGATAGTCTCTAGTGTTGATCGGTCGATGCTCCAGACATGTGTACCCTGGAATCCGCCACCCTTTCGCCCGTTTGGAGCGGGGAGGGTCGTGGCAACATCCTACAGAATGCTCTTTCAGTTGAGTACTGCCGGGACCCCCGCTCTCGAACTGGAAAACCAAGAGCGCCCATTTTGTTTGAGGCGAAACCACTCTCTCGTTCATGGAGATGGCATGCTGGATGAAATGCTTCCTCGAGTCTCAGCCGTCACAGTAGCTAGAGGCGAAGCCTACCTGAGGATTGTGGGTCTTCTCGAGGTCAGAGCTCTTTGACTTCGGGTAACGGCATCAGCTTCTGATAATCGCTTTGGCCGCTAGAAAAAAAAATTGACAATAAAGCGTGGGGTGGTTTCGCGAATGGTCGCGTGTTGGATGAGGCCGGCGTCAGAAATCTAAGGATAGACATCTGTTAGTCCCTTTTTGGTTGTCTATTGCCACTCATAGTCCAACGGTGCCTGAGTCGCCTTCTGCGACGACAAACTCCCTTGAAACCGCTCCGCGCCCAAGTGGCGGACCCTACAACGTTCTGCAAAGCGATTTAGTAAAGCCATTTTTTCCACAGACCGAAATCGGACCATGATGCGCCTGATCATCTCAGGTCTGTCTCATGACTCTTGACTCTTTTGTATACTCGCAGAGCCCCACTCTAGTCATAGAATCGTGGATTCTAGGAAGGGGGTATTAGGCTCTGCTTTTACCATGGTATCTTTTTGCCATGCCGAGCATAGACCGCACGGACCTCTGGGTCTCAGCAACCGCGTCAACGAGTTCTAGCAATCCATGAAAAATCCGGTTCCAAGCTGGTCATTGTGGTTTGTCGCCCTCTCAATAAGACCGAGCGCAGAATTACCGACGTCCAAAGCCTCAGCATGGACCGCCAAGCTCTGGATCAAGTTGCCCTCATCGCAAAATTGGTTATCGATTTACCGTAGCAGTTGCGAACCCCTTCGAATGTATATTTGCGCAAGCTGGGTGCAAGAGAAGACAGTTTGGCGAATCAACATAAGACGCTCGATGTCTCTGCGGCACTTTGTCGCGCATTCGCCTTGGAGGACCTTGATCAAGTAGACAGGGAAACATGATGGGCAGGTTGCCTTCCCACCATTGACAGCGACCACTTGTTCTCAGTTTCCATCACTGCATCCGCGCGGGGGGGACGGCTTAGTTCAGGTGTTTTGTGTGCCATGAGCCTTGGTTTCTGTTGCACCTCCCCTGAGACTGTCCCGGACCATACGAGCGGCCCCTTGATCGGGAGACATCCTTAATCCAGGAAATCCGCACATTCGCTCTCCCAGTTGGCTCAATGAGATAAGTCGTTTGCATCAGGTTGCTCAGATTTATTTGCCTTCGCGCCTGAACCATCGCAGCTGCTGTGACCTACTCATAGTGGCCTTCTGCGCCTAGTCGGTATGCCTCCCCATCTTCTCGAGCCTTGAAGAAGACGCGTGGTTCTTTCACTGAAACGAGGATCTTTTCAGAAGGGCTCCAATCGTAGAAGTCTCTTGTACTTACTCAAACTATCTCGAAGGCCACAAGTCGACTTTCTTGAGGTGGAAATCTGTGCTTCGTTGGTTTCCGCGCCGATTCTGTGCCTTGCAGCGGTTGTAGCCACGCATAGTATTGGGCCAGCAGACCAATATTCGTCAACCAAGGGCCGCGGTCTGCTCAAGAGCATCCTGGCGTTCGTAGACTACCAGGGGTGGATCCAGGCAGATCAATGCTTCTATCTGTAGCCATGTCCTCGCTGATGTCTAGTTGCCATACACGTGTTCTCGCTCCCGGGACAGTTGTAGCTGTGATTTCAAGTGAAGCATCTGGTGAAGAGACGACATGGTGAGTTCATACGCGAAAGCCCCAGCCTGTCCCAATAATGTAGAAACGCCTCGATGCGACTATCCCGCTATATTGTCGGCATACATGGTGGTGCTTAAAACTTAGCACCAAAAAATGCAGCTCGAAGCGGACAGGATGGACTGTTGTGAGAGTGCCCCGGAGAGATACGATGATATGCTACGGCGAAGCAGTCGCCAAAGGCGCGCACAAAAGCACGTGCTCAGGAATGCTAGGAAGTCACGTGCTCGGATACTTACATTTATCCGTCTCCGGAGAGCATTTGTTGTTACACCGTAGCCCCGAACTTCCACCAAACATTTGCGGAAGATGGATTATATCGAAGTGGACCAGCCGAAGGGGCATATGCTCGATACATGAGCTTTGAAGGATGCAAACGCCAGTGAGCGTCCTCCCCCACATCTGATACTGTTTCCGGCTTGATAAGCGTTATCTCAAAAGCGCCTGACAACCTCTCAGTAAGAACGTCTTTTGATTCGGCTGGCCTCTCACGACCTCGATCAGGTAAAAACTTGCTGTCCGCAGCCCTCTGGCCTATACCAACAGTCCAATAACGCTCCTCCGGGAACCTCGATGGTGCCGATGGCCAACCCCTACGCGCCGCGACCTGTGTTAAAAAGAGATGACAGCAATGGAACAAATCGCTCTTGGGAATTTCCGCGAAAAGCCAAGGGAAGGGATGCCCACAAAAGTCTTTGAATACCGAGACGCACAAAGAAGCAGAGGAGTCGAAGCACACAAAGTTAAGTGGGATACCACAGTCATCGGGACCGGATTGCGAAAGCGGAGAAGGTTGGTATTGAGGTAAAACACCTTGGACACCACGAGCGTTGATCGATGTCGTGTCGTCTGGCCCTCCTACCTAAAGCTAAACTTGCTCAATCTCATTCTTGGTGATATCGTCGTCTGCAGTGATCGGTCTCATTTCGAACATGGTTCGTCTCATATATCTCATTTGCTTTTCCATCCATCTCTCAAAGTTCTCGATGTCAACCACGTCTTTCTTGCAATCTCCCGACCTTCCATGGTCGGTCTCCTCAACTACTTTACGATATGCAGCATCAAGCTTTTGGGCTTCGGCCCGGAATCTTTCTGCGAGCAAATGCAGACGGTAGCTGGTCCACTGATAATACATCTCCGACAGTCGAGACTTGTTTCGAACATTCATCAGTGAAGAGTCGTCCAGCAGCACAGGGTCCCGCGGCCTGAATGAAGCCACGATAGTGATTCTCTCAGGCATATTGTCGACTGGAATCGCCATGTGAGACACGTGCCTGCCTTGGAGAACCACCGCGCCGCCCTGATGTGGTCACCGAGTTTTGTCAGTGACAAACACCTCAAATGTTGGAGGACTTTGGAAGTGAACTCACCATCTGTGGTGATCGGACTTTGACTGTTTTGCCATCACCTCTTTGAATCTCGGTCTCGCCACCTTTCATATACCTTGCGTCTGACAACATCACAACACAGACAAATGGATATGAGTCGCGATGCCAAGGGACGATGGATTCCTTGGGAGCCGCTGGAGGCGCTTCAGGCTCTCCCTGAATAGTTGACGTTGTGTCTACCTCAGGAGCCCCGGGGGGAACAATTGGGATGTTTTTGACTCCTGCCAGACCGTCAGGTCCCAGTTGGAGGTTGGTGTGGCAAATTTCAAAGTCCATGACAGGTACCAAGTCGACTCCTGCTAGATCACTGACTATCTTGAGAACTTCCGGAGAGGTCCAGAACTGATGAATGAAAGGGGCGTATCTGGGAGCCATCCCTCGAAGTTGAACCGACTCCGGTCTTGTACTATACATGCAGTTATTGAGAACCCCATCAGACAGCAGCTCCCGGCGGTGCTCGAGAAGAGCCTCCTCGGACAGCAAGGGGAATGGATCGGTCGAGGCAACCTGCGAAATCGGCGAAGGAGGCAGGCAAAGATCTTCCAGCGTATGAATCTTCTTTGGCGGCACATACGCGAGATGTTTCACGGGATCGAACTTCTTGATGGGTTGCTTCGTGATGTGCGGCGTCAGAGACTCTGTTGCCATGTCTGCTGCGCAATATTCCAGAATTCCTGGAGCCATGGTGTCTGTTGTGATATGTCGGCGTGCTTCAAGATCGGAGGAAGTTGGAAAAGTCGAAGAGATAACGGTGAAAGAGATATGGAAGCATATACAACTTGGATTGAGTACAATAACGCCGTGATATATGTACCTTTCTGAGCACCAATACCTGAGTACCGGTACCTCCCTATATGGCCACGATACGGAACCAGTTTGTCCTTTGGACGGCAGCGCCCCTTTGGGAAGTGGAGCTATGCCATTTTGGTGATATACTAGCCGCCGAGAGCCACCAAAGGTATTTGAATCCCTCCCTTGCTTTGTTATACTTTGATTGAGATGCATCTGACCAGCTTAGCCGCCTTGCTATCAGCGTTGCCCTCGCCGTGGTCCAGTTATTGATCACACTGATGCCCTATCAGCCTGGCCCAATGCCCAAAAGGGTTCACCCATCCTCCAAAGATTGAAGATCACGCCCTAGGACGCTGCCTGTCCAGAAAAGGCGAATCCTTGATTGTACGGGACCATATTTCTGGAATCTCTTCATCATTGAAAGGTGAGCAGCTCAGCACAACTGTTTGCGGCCATCTCCACCTTCACAATAACGGCTTTGTCCGAGAACAGAAATATGAGCCGCAGATAAGAACCGCACATCAAGATGAAGGATACCGCTATCGTCTACGTGAAACCAAACATGGTTATACAATACAACAAATCCGGTTCCTCGGCGGTTTGACAGAGGCCGGCCTTTATTTATGGTTCGACCGCAGCGCGAGAGAGGTGCTTGTTTGACGTGTAAGCGGAGGTAGGTGCAGCTGACATGCGATGAACCCGTCCTCGCGTACGTACAACAACTGAACTTTTCTGCAATTGGACAGGAAGAAGAAATGTGATCTGGGAAGACCTTCATGCAAGAATTGCGACCGCCTGAACATTTCATGCGGAGGATATAGGCCACGACTGCTTTGGGAAGATGACCCAGTACGAGAAGGCATACGGCGCCGGGGCCCGGTCTCGTGCCTCCCGGCTTACATATCCCGGAATGTCGGTGCACGCGGTGGGCTCGCCCGCGCGCCGGATATTGAGGAGGAATATCCTGGTATAGGTGGTTTGCCTCGGCAGGAAGACTTCGTGGACCGCACAACATCAACGGTTCCGCAACTGAAGCAATTTCAACGGCCACATGGCTGGCAGGTTCCTGGTACAATACCGTATCTTCCTTGCGCCGCAACCAGGAACTCTTCTCTCGAACGTGTCCTTTGGGACCATTACATCAATTGCTTTGCAAGAACATATCCAACGCACTCGGAAACAGACAATCCGTTCCTGTCATGCCTCGCTCCTGTTGCCGTCGAATATGAACCTGTTCGCTGGATTCTGATGGCTATTGCAGGCCTGCATGCCAGGTCAAGGAATCTGCCTTCTTTGGATCGCGAGGTCTCCCGTCTGCGACTTCGAGCAATGAGACATTGCCACCAGATCTCCAGCCGCACTCCGAGACCTAATCCCTCAGGGTCAGACTTAGAGAACCACGCGATCACGAATGGCAGCTTCTGGTTTCAGATTACAAATGTGGAATCAGATGATCTATGTCTGGTTACCACAGCTGTCTTGATGGCAGTCTTCGGGAAGCTGTCCGGCGAAGTCTACGCCAATATTCGACCCTATCTGGAATTTGCGCAAGAGTTTTTGCGTCACGAAGGTGTTGCCGATCATAACGAAGAACCTGCTAGAACACCGCTCCATCTATTCCTTCACAACCTGGTTTCGTACAATCAACTTTTGGCACTGGTAGCTGACACAAGATTGACCTCAAGGTCCTGTGGTAGCTCTGAGTTTGCATCCACAAATACGTCGCAGGGGACGAGGCCGAACTTTGCGGCTTTACTCTATCGGATCAGCGATAACGTCCAACACGTTTCATCCTCTGACATCGACTGCTGGGATGGGAACTTGGATTTTCTCCCAAGTTTCAGTATGAAAAGAAAAGGTGCGCAGCACGTTCGCGGCTCCGACGTTGGCCTCACGCAAGAATCGCCACCCCGCGAAGCAGGCAGGGGAAACGGTGCCAAGGGGTACGAAAAATTGATTATAGGAGAGATATACCGCATCTCGAGCCGAATTCACTTCTTCAAGCAGCTCAGAGATCGTGATGGACTATCCGATACCACGACAACCCTTGCATTTCCGCCATTCATGGCACACAAACAGATTAAAAAATATTCAAAATGCGCCATACACCTTTTCCGCTTGTTGCCTGACGATTCGCGATTTAATACGGCCATACTCCTGCCTCTTGGAATAATTGCTCCCGAACTAAGTTCTGAACCAGATCAGACGTTTGTCATTGAAAAGCTGAAAATGCTCGAAAAGACGCAGTGCTTTGATGTCTTCCGTATTTTCAGCCAGGATCTTCAACACAGATGGGCTCGTTCCCGCACTACTCATTCAGCTCCTCTCCCAACCGCTTCTTCCGAAAGCCCCGTGAGGTTACTCGGTTGAATCCGCTGCCGAATTCACGAAATTTCAAGCACACCAAACGGTAAATGAGCGATGCAAGAGGGAAACATGTGTTGTTGCTGTGACAAGTGCTCAGAGTTATGCATTGTAGCGGAAGCAGCAGGGTTCGATATCTACCTTCCCGTTATGTAACGAAAGACGAGCAACAGATTCTTACATAACCGTTGGGATCACCATTGTTGATGCGGCCTGCAAAGGAACGATGCTCGCGATAAGAGCTGAGAACAATCCATGGGATACAGCCCTATGTGGCGCATGACAGTCAACTATATTCTCAGTGCTCTCACCGCATCGATACGCCCAGACCTGGTCTTCCTTGCTGCATATGCCGACCGACCTTCTGAACATACTACATGGCTACCCAGAATGAGCCGTTAGGCTCAAAGCGTGCCACGATCAGATCTTTGGCATTTAGCGTCTCCGTGCTGAGTCACGCTCTTGCAAACTGAGGGTGGACACGCAAACGTCCACATAAGCGATCCAATCGCAAGCCGAAGCGTCACAAGTGGTCGATGACAGTTGGCGACGCCTTACTGGTCATCGAATGCCACATGAACACCTGGTCGAGCGTTCATGTTCCTGGTGCTCTAGAATATGAGTGCCTCCTCGATCAGATAATTCATCGGCAAGATCACCGTGTTGTATTATGTCTGTTGTAAGAGCAATTCAGACTGCTAAACCGGGAGATTCAATATGGCAGGACGTACCGGAAGATGCATTCCGTCGAAGGGTCATTGCGCTCTCTGTGGCAACGAAGGGTGTCCCGGGCGACTCGAAACATTCGGGATCACGGTCAAGCAGTACTCAAAACTTGCCTCCATCGACCGAGTCTCGATTATTATCCTTCAGGACCGAGCAGCGCCTTGCAGATGATATTGCATTTATCTTGGCAGCCCATGAAGGTAGTGAAAGTGTCACTGCAGTTTGTGTGGAGGAGATTCCAGAGCCTCCGGGTCTTACCATACGCGTTGGTGCAAATGAAGGATTGCAAGGGAAGGCCAAGACTACATTGCAACAAATATGTGAATCTCTGATGTCTTGTGCAAAGGGCGGTTAGTATAGACCTCACTGGTTGCATCCTTCGTTCTAACGACCTCGCAGATATGAAGCTCGAGGAGTGTGGTTCGACACTGTCAAAACTGGTATTGAGTTTCTCGCAGGAGCGCATTCTGTCTCGCATGCGATTATTCCTTGGGGAGCTTCCTTCATCATCTATTTCAAGCAGGAGGGAATCAACGAGCTCTTCAAGGTCGGGTGCTGAAAAGACGTTACGCCGAATGCAAGCTGCGGCTTGTACACCCGCTGCCAACGATCTTGTCAGAAAATTATCGGAGCTGAGGAGGGTGTTTGAGGACGTCCTGGGCTCAGGCGATTCATCGCGCGGATGGGAGCTGCAGGAAGTTGTCAAGGAGAGCTTCGCCATCACAACTTCCGAAGGACAAGTGCCTTTCCGCGTTAATCTCGAGAACGCTGGTCTGAATGCCCAAGAATGGTTGAACAACAAGTACATTACGCAGATCGACAAGCTTGGCGCGTATCACCGAATTCCACAGACCTTGACCAGAGAAGCTCGCAGGAGGAAAACTAGGCATCTGTTCTCGAATATCAAGCCGGCTTTCATCGACCCGTATGAACCTCGAATGAGTTCTATATCTCTTACCGGAACGAAGGTCCCTTGTTACGTCCACGCGGAAATACAGTTGATTGTACATTATCTTCTTTCAACGACTCCGATACTGCCCCGAGTCATTGGAACCAGTAAGGAGGCATGCTTCCTGTGCCATCTATTCATCAAAAGGCTCGGGAGTTTCGTCATCACGGCTACCCACGGGCGGCTATATGACCAGTGGACCATTCCGGACCTTGCAGAGTACTTGCCAGGACAGGTTATAGCGCTGAGGACGGTTATACGGAGAATGAATCGTGACTGTTCACTCCTGGGAAGGAAAAAACAGCCGCGCCGTGGTCATCATCACCTCACGAGTAGACAGAACCTGTACGAAATGCCGACATTTTCCCCTTTGTCCACGCTGTTGAGCGCAAGATTCGACACGCAGTCAAGTTTGCTGCCAGCCGCAGATGAAAACAGTGAAGGCATTGAGAGCTCTTCCGCTCGGCGTTCAAGGACTTCGGCAGCATCGGCAATCCCAATCTCTAGTAACGAGGGGTCTCCGCCACAATCCGACGGGGGAACAACTACAACTACAGATTCTTGGTGGAACTCGAGTCTAAAGACAGAAACCCGAACCCTCGGCGGCAGCGGCACAGCAACCAAACCAGAGCACCATGATGTAGTCTTGGGCGGTGGTCACTCCGAAAGCACAGTTACCAGCTCTACTCTGACGTCGAACAGCCGCATCCCAACCGGCGTCAGCCCAGACAGACCATATCTTATCAACCTCCCGGACCTAGAAGTTATGGTGGAGGTCCAGCCACCGTGCAATGGGACTATAAGCTTCAGCACAGGCGGCCAAATTGACAAGAGCACGGCAAGTCACCTCGTCAAACTTGAGGATCTCTCGGCAGGAGACGAGGTGGGCTTTCAACGATCTGAGAATGAAACTTCTGTGGTGCTTCGCCTGCAGCAAGGCGGCGGTGATTTGTGCTGCATTACACTGGAGTGGACATGAACAATGCCATGTTCTATCGGCGCATCAATGCATGTGGGACTGGGAGGAAATCGAGCATTTGCCGCATCTGAACGACTTCCTATTCGTACATGAATTTCACCCCCAATTTTGTTGATATTGCTAAGTGTGATGAAGCCAGTCATGAACCAGAACCAGAACGAGAATTTACTTCACCAGCCAAACCTTTTTACCAATAGTACAAGGAACAGATGATCTCGGAGTTTCAGAGTGATCTCGGACACCCCTCAATTGGACCGCGGACAGAGTAGACAGTCAGAATGTTTAAGTTGAGCTTTGCACGCCAAATGCGGTACCAGGAATTACTATGCATCATTCCCTTTTGGTTTCGTTTTGTTCTCTTTCTTGGGCAGCCTCTGAAATCCCATCCCGAAGCTTGTGAGGAATGCGGCAGAGGAGGCGCCGACGGCGAGATACTGAGCCAAAGTCAGTTCGGATCGCATATAGCAAAAGTCGAGAGTTACAACTTACGAAAGTCGACACAATGGCGTGGTTATATGCGCGGAGTACACCCTCCAGCTGACCACGGGGCACGCTTGATCGCACCGCAGCAGCCCCGACATCGATGACTGTCTCAGGGTTAATGCCGGGAGCATAGGTTCTCAGCGATGACCGGAGGGAGTTGGTGAAAATTGTCTCGCTAACGGCAAGGAAGACCGACCCTCCTAGATACTGCCAGAAGAATACCTGGGAGGTGGCGATGGAGACTTCCTTTGGTGGTAAAAGGTTCTGAATGGCCGTGATGGGCTAAGGAATCAAACACTGCTGTCAGTCAAAGCACACTAATTGTCGAGAAGGGACTTACCATTTGGACCACAGAGCCCCTTCCTGTCCCAGCAAGTATCTGGTACCCGATCCAAGGTCCAGCGCCAGTGGAAGGAGTGAATGTGGTCATCAGCCCAGATCCAATGGCGGTTAGGACACAACCGACAAGTGCCCATGGGGTGCAATAGCCAATAACCTGGACTTTACAATACTGAGTAACACTCCACCAGATATGAGATACCGCAACCTACCTAATCTCCCTGCCGCTATGCTCCCAATAGCCTGCGCAATGGCGGTCGGAAGGACCATGACTCCGCTCATCACTGGACTCGCATCCTTGACGACCTGAAACCATACCGGAAGATAGTAGCTGAGTGACAGCAACGCGCCAATCTGAAGGAACGACGTGAAACATCCAAAGATCACAAGTCGGTTCTTGGCAAGAGCGGGAGGAATCATAGCCTTGTCTCCCTTGAAGACCTCCCAACCAGCGAACGTGGCAAAGGCGCCGAAAGCGCCACAGAAAAGACCGATAATGACGGAAGAGTTCCACCGGTACTGGTTGCCCCCCCAGATCAAAGCGAGCAGGAACATGATGCAAGCTGGTGCGAATATGGCGAAACCGACGAGGTCGAGCTCTTTCGTGATAATGGTCTTGAGGTTGCGACGCACTGGTTCCTTCTTGATTTGTTCCGGGATGGGCAACAAGAGCAGCGCGCTTATAACGAGGCCGCTTGGGGGCAGATTGATGTAGAAGCCTGTGAGTGTCAGCACATCCGAGAGAAATGAGCAGCAAGCAATCACTAACACCATCTCCAGGAAACGTTTTGCGTCAGAGCCCCACCGACTAGGGGACCGATTATAGTCCCGATCCTATATTCAGGTCTGAATCAACAGCAGCGCTAGAGGAAGAGGACTGACTCGCTGTGTGCTCCTGCAGATCTTTGAGCATAGTCGCGGCAAGGGTGGCTTACGAAGTCAGGCTAACAGCGATACCTATGAGCACTAAGGGCATTGTTAGTTGCAATAACCTTTTATAGCGATATTGATGGACGTGGGCTTACTTGGCCGATCTTCCTTGGAAGCAGCTGCAGCTATCACTGCAAAAGCGCCGTTGATAACGCCAGCACCACCGCAGCCTTGTACTGCTCTTCCCACAATTAGGGCCTTAGATGACGGAGCTGTGGCACAAACGAGAGCCCCGATCGAAAAGATGGAAGCAAACATGAGATACGTGTGCTGAGACAATGTTTAGCACTGAGAGATTTTGTCGAAGAACTGTTCCTCCCACCTTTGTAGGGAAGTGCGTGTAGACCCTGCCAACAAGAGGCTGCATAGCACACCTATAGACCGAGTAAGACGCGGTGTCCAGGCGAAAGAGCAGGCGGGAGTACTCACGTTGCAACGAGATAAGCACTTCCGTACCAGCCAATGTCTTTGAGAGAGTTGAAATGCGTTGTAATCTTCGGTATTGCCTGCATCAAACCTCTCAGCATACACCCGATCTCGCTCAGTCGACATGGATAAGCCTCACTGTTGCAATGATTGAACCGTTCAGGGCTATGAGGAATGTCGAGACAAAGACTGCGGCGAAGAGGGCATAGACTCGACGACCTAAAAGATTTTTGGACTCGGATATTTTGTCTTGGTTCTCCTCTGAAACGGGCGATTCATTCGTAGTCGAATCGTCCATTTTTGTTGTCCGCTCGGCTATGTTTGTGTCTCGCCCAGGGCTGGCGGACTTGCTCTCTAGATCACCGTCCTTGGACGAGATCTCTGAAGCGGTCATAGATGCCATGTCGGATCTTATCTCATTGATCAATGGGTCTAGAGAGGCAGCGTAAGTCTGCAGTCTGCTTTTATGCTATCGCTGAGTCCATTGGACGACTGCTCCGTGTCCGATGATATCCACAGCCTCGACCCACTGAGAGACTTCTCTGATTGGCTGATGAGACGGCGAGGCTGCAATAGCCACCCCGTCTGACGGCCAACTTCTCCCAGTCTAATTTGGACTGGACTGTCAGACGAATATTATTTTTGTCCAAGGCTGTCGATCGCTCGGCATCGGAATTTCCGTTTCCTACGTTCTACTTGCTCCCGGCTTCTCCTTTTCCTCAATTCTTACCTAGTTTTTATTCAGAATGTAGCGTCGGGGAACATTGATTCCTTCTTTCCTTCCGTGCGCCTTAGATGTCCTTGTTATCACAGATAGCCGAGTACGAGCGCCACGATATGCCCCAATCACCACGTCAGCTAGATGACTCTAACGGCATCCGTGCTCCGAGAGCCTGCGTACCATGTGCCGCCGCTAAAGTACGATGCGAGACTGAAACGGGACAAACCTTTTGCAGGCGGTATGGTTCCAGCTACACTTGCACGGAAAATGGCTCACTGATTATTGGTTGGCTTAGTTGTCTGAGGCTGAAGAAGCCGTGTCGCGCGCAGCCGCCTGGCGCTCACAGGCGCAAGCCCCAACAGAAATCGTGGGTGAAGACTTTACTTGGTGTCATTTGATCCTCCGTTGACGGACTTGCCTCTGCTAGAGATGTCACGCGGCTCGAGCAGAAGCTCGATGGGGTGGCTGCGATTCTGACTGCCTCCGATCTTGGAGCCTCGAAAGTCGCAGGCGCCCCGCTACAGCTCCCCACTCAACCTTTCCTTTCGTTGACTTTGTATATCGATCAATTTATCAAGAGCAGTGACGAGGCACGACTCATGCTAGATGTGTTCCGGAATGAATTCATGCCTCATTTTCCCTTCGTTATCATTCCGCCGCACATGAGTCTCGAGGAGCTCCGGGGAAAGAAGCCCTTCTTCTTCATGGTTGTCATGATGATAGCCTGTCGACATGACGTACCCCGACAGACAGCACTAGGGAAGACGCTCAAAGAAATCATAGGCCAGAAGATGATGACTCATGGTGAGCAGAGCTTGGACTTGCTGCAAGGGCTTCTCGTTTACTTGGCATGGTACCTTTGTCCATCCCATCTAGCAAGGAGGCTGAACTAATGTCATAGGTATCATGTCAATCTCCATCTCGGTGGCCAACTCACGGTCGTTGTCCATCTGGTCATGTCGGTGATGATTGATCTCGGCCTAAACAAACACTATACTCCTCGAAAATACGCGAAGCCTCAAAGGGATTATTTTCACCTGGACCGACACGAGACAGCAGCGCGAACGTTGGAAGACCGCCGAACCTATCTCGGCTGCTTCTACATGACTTCTGTGTATGTATCTCCATGAGAGATTCCGTATGAGAAACTTCATTGCTGATGCTCGAATACCAGGGTATCGATGACCGCCCGAGATTTCGAAGCCATCCGATACACCAAGTACACTGAAGAGTGCTATACAATGATATCAGAAGCACTTGAGTATCCTTCAGACAGTTACCTTGTCCAACTAACCAAGCTGAACTATCTTGGTGACAAAATAAGCCGCACGATAGTCCAGAGAGAGTGGGACTTGTCTTCAGGCATATCCGCACCAATAGGGGCTTACGTAAAGTCACTCGAGGCCGAGCTACGCAAGTTCAAAGTGTCCATGTCTCTTGAGCTCCCCCAAAGTGGTGAGCTTCCCATTTTTATGAACAGCCCAAAGACATGCTAATGATGGGCCAGTGCCACTCCTCATGCACTATTATGCAGTCGAGACATTCCTGTGCGAAATCGCATTGGATGACAACGTTCCTGCTTCACGATATGGGTCTTTCTCCGTTACACGCCTTGACATGCTGTTCGCTTGTCTCACATCCGCAAAACACTTTTTTGACATATTCCATTCTCTGCCTGCTTCAACACATTTTGACCTACCCTACTCCACATTTACCATCGTCAGCCATCTCTACGTGGTCCTGTCGAAACTGTCTCTTTGTATCCACGACGGCTGGGACCAGAACTACGTCGCGTCATATTTAAACTTCCACGACGTATTGGACCGGTTGTCGAAGAAGGCTGAGGAAGCTAGGGAGCTGATTCTGCAGGCTAACCAATTGGCCGATTCCGCGTCTTCTTCAAACACCCTGCTACGCAGTGTGCCGCTGGTCTGGATGACGGTGACCGCCAAGGTTCAAGATATCAAGGCGGTGCACGATGCAAGGAAAGCAGAACAATCGAGGAGGCCTCAGCCGGAGAATCCAACCTCTGATCTCGGAGCCGAACTGCCGGGACTGCCGAGTGAATGCGCAATGCCAGATACGCTCAGCTTCTTTGACTTCCTCGACGAACCATTGTGGCAGAACTGGGCGTGAAAATTGGGACCGGGTACTCCCCGCCTTTTGGCCCAGGGACGACGCTATCGCCTTCACTGTATGTTGGATGTTTCCTGACCCCAATGAAACGTGGACAATGATCGGAAGGCTGGATGCGAAGCCAGAGAACGTCTCCTGAGACGGGGTAAGTCACCTCTCAAAGCGCCAAACCCGCTTGATATCAGCGGATGGAAATCCAGCAGCTGCGGCTCTAGCTGCGTGGAAGACACTCGATGGCATAAATCGCCTATCTACATCAACATACTATTATACTCGTGTCAGTATTAGTGTGAGACAACAACCATGCCATCTTCATTTCTGTCACACGATCAAGCACTCATTCTTGGGCTCTGCAAGTTCACATTGAGCACAGCAATGGTTCTATCCTTTGCGGTTCGAAGTTAGCTCGAGTGGGATCGAACAGTAAAATAGCAACGTCGCATTTCGATCCGATCCCTGAACTCACCAGTCGCACAGCTTAGCGTTTTCGACTCCTCTCAGATCAAATCGGCAATCTAATTCTCATCATACGATTGGGCTGGTGAGGATATCAGAGCGACCAATTGGCTCGAAGATGTACGCAAGGCAACGTGGGATATTGCTTTGTGGGAGTACCTATGAGAAGCTCACGACCGTGTTCGGCCACAACTTAGGCTGGAATATACCCATCGCGACTCGGAAGAAAGCCCATGACGCCCTCCCCAAACCCTTCCCAGCCGTTGAAATCCGTCACGTACTTGGTGGCAGCCTTGAGATAGAAGCCGTCCTTCTCGCCATACGTCTCGGCAAATGCCTTGATGGCTCGCACGACCTTGAAGAAGTGGTCGTCCAACGCCCACCGGTGTTGGAGCGCGCTCTGCGTGATCGAGTCCCAGTCCCGGCCGTTGGTTTCGACGGATTCGAGGCGTTCCAGTCCGAAGGAGAGTCTGTTTTGGAGGATGTAGATCAGGATGGTGAAGAAGGCGTATTGCCGCAGGATCGACACCCTCCTGTCGGCCGGGAAATAGTGGAACAGGATCCGCAGCGCGTGGGCGACGGTCATGATGTGGGCGTAGAAGAAGTCGTACTTCCCAACGCCATAGTCTGAGGGGCTGATCGCCAACACAACCGAGAGGTCGCAACACTGTTCGAACTGCTGGACGGGATCGGCGACTTCCCAGGCGTTCCAATGCTCCATAAACGCCTCGAAGCGGTGCTGCAGCACGATGCCAAAGTTTACCGTGCCGGGGAACTCTACGATTCCGTCGAATCGCCGGTCTTGCTGCACGCGTTTGATGACCTCGGCGAGGCTGCGGGTCTTGTATGGTGGTGGGATTGGCGGGGGGTTGTCAATCAGTCCGTGGCACACGACGTACTCGGTGCACCCGAGACTCAATGCCTGCGTGACGACCTCGGGGATCCGGAACTCGTATCCATACGCCAGATGTATGAAAGGGTGCCCGACTTTGACATAGTTGTTGGTAATGGTGTCTCGTAAATTAAACAGAATAGGAGGAACTTACGACCGCCGCAGAAGCCATTGATGAGGGGCTCATCCCCCGAATAGAGGTACTCTTGGACAACTTTTTCCCAGTCTCCGCCGTTCTTCTGTACCTCCTCGTCGAAGAAGTCGACGTAAGCCACGGTATACCTGCGGACAGAGTTAGTGACCAACACATGCCCGTCGAAACAAGGGGCACAAACTCCTTGTTCCCGAGGAACTGTCTCCAGTTCCCCCTGGTGATCTTGTCACCCCGGACAAAAGTCTCGTCGATCCGGACCAAAGACTTGATGTCGTGTTCGTAGGTCTTGGTCAGCTGCTCGCCATCGGCGCCCAGCACATATGCAGAACCTAGAAGCTGTACAGCGTTAGCTAAATCATGCTCTTGATCGTAGCACCTCTATTTTTGGCAAAGTCCGTACATGTGGCAGATGGCTGTGGAGGATGAGTTGTGGATTCCGCAGCGGTGCCACGGTCGTATGGCCTTTCTCGAGCAATCCTCGCAGCGTCTGTGTGCGGTCGTCGGACAGTTCATAAACATCGTAAATTGGCGCCGGCTCCAGCTCCGTCCTGTCTGTGGGCGACGGAAGGCGCACGGCCTCGCTGTCAGAGACGGTGGTTGTCACTGTGTTCGACATGTTTCGTTGGCGACCAGGCTCGTATCCCTGTTGTGGACTTGTGGAGAATTTCGTTCGAGCGTCAGGAGCAATCCTTATATGCAGCAGCAGACGAACCTGGTGAGGAGGGAGTTTCGGTTCCGTACTTCGTATCTTCCCGAAGGCAGGCCTAATGTCCCTCTTCGCATAGTAGTATTGGACCACCTTCGAGAAGCGGGGGTGGTGAATAGCACCATTTTGCTGACAGTGACAATACCGGAAGCATCGTGACCGGAAGTTGAGCTTGGCCAATCGGAAGCCTGACCGGGTGTACAGCATTGGGTGTGACGATCAGGAGACGCCATATCCTTTGCGCCGGCGTCAAGGTATGCTTGTCTGGCGAAGCGGGCAAAGATAGAAAATGATCAAGCTGTGGGAGGAGATCATCTTTGGTGGCTTGTGCATTTCGGCTGTTTCTAGGACCGGTCCCGTCGCTCTCGTGGGCTGAAGCACCTACCCCGTGTACACTAGAGGTTGTACGAATCCCTCCTCTCTATGGAGTGTCTGGCCTTCATTCTAGCCCCTGATTTCTAGAGCCTTGGTCTCTCCGGCCCGGTCGTCTCCTTCCAACCCCAAACTTATCCCACAGTGTCAGGTTACAAAAGTATACTCTAATGGGCTGGAAAGCCAAAAACGCTGCATACACCATGCACGGCTGGTAATCGAGAACAAATCAACAATGCATGAGATCCTGCCCCTGCCGTTGAAATGTCCGTGCACCCTAATGTGGTTCTAAAGAAAATGATAGATGGAGTCAAGGTGACGAATTACTCACATTCGGAGTCCCCCACCGAAGGCGCCATATCAGCACCGTCTTCGTGCCAGACCACCCCGTTTCGTAGACCTATTATCGACGAGATCGTGAATCGTCTTCAAACCCAACAAATCACTTGTCCCGCGACCTGGCATTTAGCTTGGTCCCGTCTTTTCTTCTTCGCTCCATTGTCTGAACCCCTCCCGCACCGTCCGATCTATCTCATCCTGCGCCAACGCCTTGGGCATGGTCTCCCAGCACTTTCCAAGGCAGGATAGCATTGAACTCTGGGTCTTTTTTCATCCTTAGAAAGCTAGCAAGTGCTTCTTCCCCAAACACTTCACTGCCGGCCTCGTTGGCTCTGTAGGTGACATCAGGCCAACTGAGTATTTTGGTGAGGATATCAACGTGGAGGACTCTATCATGATGGAGAGAGTCAACGTTGCGCTGTCTTCTGAAATGCCCGCCGGAGCGGCTGGGTCTCGTTCCGCTTGAGGCTGGGTCGTTGTGGTCATCGTCTCTCGGTTCAACATTGGTAGGTTATAAAAGGACTTTGCTGGATTCTGAATATTGCGTCAAAGAACACGGTGCCCGTGGGCAGGTGACATTCTGTGTTTGTCGGGTGTAATGCGATTGTTGCACATGTGAAGATGCTTCGTTCCTCCGCCGCGTATCTGAGATAAACAGCAGATATCTACGTGGAGCAAAGTGTCCTGGATCCGGCTCGCGTGCGCATTGGATTCGTGTACATCGCAGCAGTATTACCTCTGGCGCCGAGTGCACCGTCGGTCAGAATGTCGCCTGTAGCCGCTGCGAACGGTCACGACGACAATGTGTTCGCTAGCGCAGTTGCGCCGGGAACAGAGTAACATAAGTAATAAGACCTACAATGATGAAAGCACGACAAACTCGACATCATCCCAGAGGCCATGACCGGACAATCTGCAGTGGACACTCGACCCTCTCACCAGACATGGCGCCAGCGAGTTTTCCCATGCTTTAGTGACCTTTTTTGAAGAAACCCAGCAGATTGCAACAAGCGAAATTTTGACTTGAACGCGTTTGGGAAAAAGGAAATGTTGAATGGGAATTTTGGGATTTGATTGCAGAAGAAGGACAACGCCATCCTGGTGCTGTGCTCGAAAAGGCTAGCAAGGGCGGATTAGGCTGAACTTACAGCATCGCTTACCTGCACTGGGCCTCGTCGTTTTCGTCTCCTCAAGCGCCTGCTTTTGGTGGGGAGCAGAGGCGATGGTGAACCTCACTTGACATTCCACGGCGACCTTTGCTTGACCTTGTGCTAGAGAGTGCCCGTGGCTGATGCCACTCTGGCTCTCCATTTCAGGAGCACTCATCAATGAGGCGTATTCCACGAAGGAGTTCTCTGTGCCCGCTCAGTCACCGGTGTGGCTTGAAATTCAACGGCTGAATCGTCCCTGGCAGCGCACAAACGCAAAAACCATAACCGAAGTAAAGACCTATGAGCGGAGCGGAAGCATTCAGGGGCCTCAGCTCTAGACCGCTGAAGACCACAGCTTCTCCAATCACCGTCTCCTCCAAACAAGGCATCATGGTTTGGCTATTCCAGTTTCGCTCAGGCGGAACATCGGCACATCTGGGGCTGAACACGTGGTGCGTCAACGTCGAGCGGTTATCAAGGCGTCTTCTCGTAAAGGTGGACTAGCTCCTCTTCCACAATCATGCGTCTGTCCCTGTCCATGGCACGAAGCCACTCGAACGGTTACCCTTTACGATGAAGGTCCTGTTTGTCGAATGCGACGGCGAGGGGCGGCCCCGGAAGACAGCCTCTGACGAAGGAGTGACTCGCACCCAACATGCTGCACGCGAATATCACAAAAAGGCCAAACTGCGCAGAGCCAAGGACAAAAGCCAAGTCGCGCATCAGGGTCGCAGGTCGAAAAAGTCCAGCTCGACGACGACTGTGACAGATGACTCAGCTGCCCTGGAGCTGAACGCCACGCGAGAATCGCCTGTCAAGATCCTCCTGGGAGCCAGTCGATCCGACCCATTCCACACGATCGGCGAGGATGGAGGCGTTCCGCTCTACGTGCATGAGATGCTGGATCATGCCATAACATGCCACTGGTCGGAATTGTGTCTGAGCGACGGTGGAGGACACAACGCCTCCCGAGCCGAAATCATGCAGTCCGTCATCCACTGTCCAGTGGCTTGGTACACAATCGTCTTTGCCGGCGCGACTCATAATGCATACCAGTATGGCGCCCGCGGGACAACCAAGCAGAATGAGCAGCTCAGGCTTGCGTATAAGACCAAAGCCATCAGGTCGCTCCTGGAGTACCTCCAAGATCACGGCGACAACGTGTCCGAGGAAACCCTCCTAGGCATAACCACCTTGGCCTCTCACGGGACCGGCGAGAACCTGAGGGGCCATGAGTCGTACAAGCGGCAGACCCTGCCCTTCCTGTCCCATCTACATGACGTTGACTACTACGCTAACATGGACACCGGCATGGAACATCTGAGAGCTGTGTATGCCATCGTGGACCGCCGGGGAGGGCTTGGCAAGTTACGCCGGAGGAGTTTGGCCATTGTAATTCAAGTGTAAGTGAGCCGCCCGGAAAATTGCCAAAGGCCTTGACTGATTGTGGAGGGGAAAAGGTGCGACATTCTAACATCCTGGAGGGACTTGCAGCATCCTCACTTCAATCTCGTGCTGCCGACAACGTTCCACATCAACAAGAGGAGCCATCAACAGGATGCTGCTGCACAAGGCGTGCTTGAAACTCTGACGACGGGCTTTCACGAGTTGATCAGCGATGGCTACACCAGTCTTGACCACCTCGTGGAGATCGCCGACCGCGTGAGCATCTTCTCGGCGGATTTTGACCAGTTGCTCAGGACCTATGATCTCCCGAAAGAGCAACAACCTCTACATACTCCCAACATGGCACTTGTCAGATATATGCGGTGGTGCGTGCTCCATGATATCCTGTCGCTACCCGAGCACGGCACCGACGCCGACACCGACGAGGATGACGATGACGACGAATCGCTGCCCGAGAATGTTGTGTACGAGATCTGCCGGCACATTCTGTTCGCATATGCGGTGTTCGTCGTGGTGCCCATGCCACCGGCGACCAAGCTGCAGGCAAAGATCGCGGAACGGCTTGGACGCCTCCTGATCAAGGCGGTAAAGGTCGGGATTCCCAGCCAGCAGCCCGACCTGTTCCTCTGCGCAGTCGCGTGGGGCTGGATGTGCACGGAACAGGCGGTCGGGTATCGCAAGCTCGAGAAGCTCCTGGGAAGCTTCGCCACGTTGCTGGAGTTCGCCACGGTCCAGAGAAAGCCCGATTCGTGGCCAATAGTAGAGGAGACCATGAGGTCCTTCTTATGGTTCGAGACGTATTGTGAGGAACCAGGGAGGAAGTTCTGGGTGGCCGCGTGTGAGCTGGCGGAGGAGGACATCGGGGCCGAGGAGTTCCCTTGAGATATCACGGCAAAACCAGGCAGCGGTGCTTGCAATTGGCCTGGTGAACTTGGCCAGGTTAGGATGATACGTATTTATGGAGCCATGCCAAAGGAGAGATATCGTACCGTGAAGACATCAGTCTTGCTCATATTGGTAAGAAGAGCCACTCAGGCCCTCCTTCATGGGTTTCTAGTAGTTGCAAACTACTCGCTCGAGGCCAGCCAGAACGGCCGCTTCGCACACTGTCATATCCACATTTCATGACCCAGGTTAAGTGGGGCGTTGCTCAGGTCTTGGAAAAGGGAAATAGCTATGGGAGCCGTTTGTTGTTCGACGCAGTCTTTCGGGAGAAGGAAATGAGCCTCATGCATCTACTATCGTAGAGGGTATGATGACGGGGGATGTTTGGTCTTCTGTCAAGGCCAATCTAGAATATGTGTGCTCTGTTTGAGAGAGAACTACTCGTGGAACACCCTTTTGTCTCAAAATTAGAGCCCGATCAACTTCGGCTTCTTGCAAAAACCTCTTTCAGGCTACCTTCGACAAGATCCATATTTTGACCCAGTTCCTTTCCATCAACCACAGGCTTGTCACAGGGAATGAGCACAAATGCGATCCTCGCCCACTCATTGGCGCTCAAATTCCTCCAGGCATGCATGGTTGCCCTCTGCACGCAGATGTCCCCTCTCTCCATCACTCTCGTGCAATTGTCAAGTATCAGCTCCACTTTCCCTTCAATGACGATCCCATAGTCGATAGTCTGGGTTCTGTGCATCGGAGAAACATCTCCCGGGCTTATGTCCACAACCCGACACACGGAGGACCCGAAAGCCAGACCAGGAGGGTTATATAACAGGTTCCCGTAGCGGTCTGTATCATCTTCCAGCCTCACTGGGGAGTCTTCAGTGGTGTATGCGAGGAACATGGACGCTTTGGGCAAGTGCTGCCAAGGGTCGGCATTCTCGGGGACGGTAGAGGTCAGGGTAGATCTACCCTGTGTGTCGTGGGCTGTAATGAATCTTTTGATCGGTCGAAGAGAGTGGTCGATTTTGGCAGGCGGCGTAGCTGAGTCCGTGCTGGTTAGACAATTTCTCAGCCAGCTTAACAACGCCATACCGATCGCAAAGACTTGAGAGACTTGAGATGGAAGGTGAAGGACAAATGATTCTGGTGCGTAGCCGGCCTTTTTACACCGGGGCAACAACTGCCAGAAATACATCCCGTGGCCTACCTACTATTCTTTTAGAAACGACCCTGACCCTTCTCCCCTCCCTATGGATGATGGATCCGTTGCTCGCTCTGTGCAAGGTTTGCAGTTTCGCCCCATGTCTAGCTGCAGAGTTCGGTCCGTGAGTTCGGCCCGATCGTGCATGAACCCGCTTTCTGACCACCTCTGTCCATCCTCCACGGGGAAGGATTCGTGGAGAATTGGCCTTGGCTATAGTGACTACACTCAATGCGGAGCACAGTGTATTTACTTATAGGTCTTACGTCCCATCAGTAGAGGTCAGTAACAACCCATCAACAACCCTCGCAAAGACGAATCGACATGGCCACCGAAAATCCACAGCCAGACAGCAACTCGCAGCTCAAAGCTCAAGTTGAGTGCATGGAGCTGGCTGATGGCACTGTGAAGTTGCTGGATGAAGGAGGCCATGTACGCAACATCCCGGTGCCAACAGACCATCCTGACGATCCGTTGATATGGTCGCTCAGGTCGCGAGGCCTTGTCTTTCTCGCCATCTGCATCTATGGCATTACTGGATTCGGTGTTGTCCAGTCTGCACCCTTATTCTTTTCCGACATGATCGCGGACTACATGAAGGAAACACGCGGGGTACGCATCTCGTTACGAGGATTGGAATGACATATTACTAACACCAGCTGTAGGAATTCAATCCCTCTCGAATTGGAGACCTAGCATCGTATCCCTCCCTGTGCATGGGCCTTGGAAACTTTCTCTTCGTTCCACTGTCTCTAGTATTCGGAAGGCGGCCGATGCTTATCCTTTGTGCCATTATCATGGTAGCCTCGGTCATCTGGGCAGCCAAGTCTGACACTTTCAATTCTCATCTTGGTGCGAGATGTCTGCAGGGTCTGACGGCTGGAGTATCTGACTGTCTACTACCCCTGATTGTCCTCGACACTACTTTTCTGCACAATCGAGGCTTCTGGATGACTCTCTACTGGTCAGTCACGGCGATTGGATCTTCGCTCATGCTCGTGATTGTGCCCTTTTTGGTCCACTCTCAGCATGACGACTGGCGTATCAACTACTGGTTCTGGCTTGGCTGGGCCGTTCTCACCTTGATCCTGGTTTTGACGTGTCTTCGTGAGACTATGTTTTACCGCGAGCCTGCCCTCCTCAATGGACAGATTGTCATCAGCGATGCGTATGGCCAAGTCCATTTTGAGGCAATAGCAGGCGATCATCAAACTCCAAACACTCGGACGGAATACACGGAAAAGAAGCACCCTGACCCCTACATCAAACAAATGCTACCTATCCGCTACAAGCACCGGGGATCAAAAATGGGTACCTTTATCCGGGCGTACGTCGACATGGCTATCTGCTTCACGCATCCTGCTATCTTCTGGACTTTGTTGCTGAATTCGGTACTCTTCTCGGGCCTTGTTATCTTGTCTCTGACCTACGAGGCCCTCCTGGTCGGACCGCCGTGGAGCTTCAGCCCGCAAGCAGTGGGCACCTCTCAAATTGGATCTGTGATCGGGGCAGCTGTAGCTTTCCTCGTTGTTGGAATGCTTGTCGAGCACAGTGCCGAGCGTCTCACTCGACGTAACGGCGGCATCCGTGAGCCGGAACACCTTCTTCCCAGCTTCGCCGTGCCGGTCATTCTCGGCTTTCTTGGACTCTGCATCTACGGTGTCGTCGGCGGGAGCCCGTTCAAGTATAGCTGGGTGGGCATCCACGCTGCCTTTGCGCTCTACTTCTTCTGCTTCATCGCCATCTCGGCAATCAGCAGTGTCTGGGTTGCAGAGTTGGTGCCGAAAAGGGCTGGTCCCGCCATCGTGTTGATCTGTGGTGGCAGAAACGCTGCAAGCTTTGGAATCAGGTATGTTTCACTGGCCTAGTCTGTGCTTCGCGTGTCCTGGACTAATTCGTGTTTTTCCCTACAGCCACGCGTTTCCCTCCTGGATCCAGGCACTGGGCCTCCAGAACGCTCATATCTCGCTCGGAGGCATCTTTATTGGCATTGCAATTTTCGGGATTCCATTGTATTTTGTTGATAGGCGTATTAGGAAGCTTTGGTCGTCTTACTTCCAATGAAAAGTGAATAGGGAACGAGGCAATGGTGAGGGTCGGTTTGGGAGTTGGGAGAAACATTGCGAGCCTGGTATCGAAAAGACGCGGAGACGTGGAGACGCGGGGTGGGAGATGATGCCAAGCCACTAGCGAACTACCAACGTAACTTGCTTACTTGCCGCTCATCGTTACCGTCGCTGTTTCCAGCTCAACATCGTTGATAAAGTACATTTCATGTCGTAAAACGTCTCTCTAAGTCCTTGTTACTCATCCGAGACCCGTCTGACAAGCCTCGAGGCCTACTACTGCTCAAGTTTAGCCCATTTTGCTTTAGTTTCCGCGTCTCCCTTCGATGACATCTACAGTCTGCACAACTGTCGCATTAGGACCATTCGCAAGGTTCCTTTTGCACTTGCCTCGGTGTTGATTGTGCCCCTAGCGAGAATCTATACTGAACAGGTCTTGGAACTAACGTTGTATACCATTGCGACTCAAAAGGAGTTTGAGTACCAGTTACTTAGGTTCAGCAGGAGCACTGTTTGGCCGACGTTTGCGGATAGCTATTCACCCTCATTACAGCTCCCCCGAATCGTACATCAGGGCTCTCCCAAGCATTTGAGGTTGTCAATTTCCGAAGCTCAAATACTTTGCGGAACTCAGGACACCTTCATGCTCGAAGACTGCCAGCCACACATTCCGCTATGGAACTGGAGTCATTCGCGCGACAAGACCACGGTTCGAGGGCGGCGGTCACGGTTAAGCCATCACTCCACGATGCAGCCTGCGTTCGATGCCGACAGCAAAAGGTCCGTTGCTGCACTCTTTAGGCTCCTGCGAAATCTAATACTCACCTGGAGTCTTACATTTAGCTCAAATGCTCAAAGGAAAAGCCAGCTTGCAAAAGATGCATGAACCTGTCCAGACTGTGCAGCTATCCTTCTCCACCAGATCGGAAACGTCTGATGGCTGAACGGCGAAGCAAGATGAACTTGGAAAATGCGCATCAAGTGCCTGTCGGGGCTCCTAGTAAGTCCCTGTCCACCTGTCCGGTTGCTCTGACTAACATTAAGGCTCTGTCGAAGGACCTCCATTGGACGGCTTTACCAAAGGTTCCGCCAGCGGCTCACCACCGATTGTTCTGACTCCGTCTCAACAACAGCTAAATCATAATGTACATGACGATTTATTCCCAAGCAGCGAGATGGCGATGTTCCTCATTGAGGTTTACTTCTCTCGAGCTTATAACGCCACTCTGCTATATCACAAAGAACGTTTTGTTTCTCACTGGATTAGGCGTCGCCTTCCGAGCTTCATTGCCCTCAGCATATTTGCGACTGCGTCAATCTTCCTGAGAAACGGCCAGTCCTCGAATCCTCCCCTTACACTTGCCGACTCAGCCCATGACTGGGAGAAAGTGGGCGCAGACTGGGCAAACCGAGCCTCTCAGCTAGTCCTGGCGCATGCAGATATTCCCAGTCTGGAGACCGTGCAAGCTTGTCAAACCCTCGTTCTCTATTGGCTCGCTCATGGACAGACTCAACGCGTCAATATACATGCGAACGTCGCCTATCGAGTATGTCGCCTGCTTGGCATTAATCAAGAATCCGCCGCCGATGACCCAATAACAGCTGAGCAGGAAAGACGCTGCCTGTGGGCTTGCTGGATCACTCAATGTATAAGTCAAGACAACGCCACATTCAAGGGTCGCTGCTGGAATGACATTGCGGGCATTCCACTGCCTGCCACTGAGATATCTTACATTAGAAGCGAGCCTTGCCCCTATGAATATCTCACGAGCGATGGAGAGGTGGGGCAGATACCTCAGTCTTCTTTGGAGCATCCAGACACTTGGTCTCCCATGTCAGAGCTGGTGAAACTCGCTGGATACTGGTAAGTTGGATTACGCCTGACATTCTTGCTCCCACGTCTAACGTCCTTTGGTGCTCCACGTATTTATTTTGTCTGCATAAGTCAGTTGAAAGGGCTTGAGAGTCACTGACGTTTCACAGGTGGGAAATTCACGACTTTGTCAAGCAAACATCAAACTGCACCCCTGTCGAAGCCAAACGCCATCTAGCATCTTGGATGAACATTTCATCACGACTGGAGAAGATTCAAGATGCTTTGCCAACACTATACCGGCAAAGACCAGCGCTCTCGCGTCATTCAGATGTCAACATTGAAACGTTGTTCTCGTTACTATGTCTTCAGCATGCCTGTGCCTGTGTGTTGGTGAGAGACCCAGCCCAGTTCGCTAGCCTTATGACTTTCAGTCTCTGACTCACCGGAAGCTGCTACTCCGCAGCAAGCAGCTTCCGATTACTAAATTCTGCCAATATTTTGATTGTTTGACTTCTCATATCTGCTTCCGTCGCCCGAAGGCTGATCTTTTTCGAATTTCAGAATGCATCGATTGTCCCATTATACTCACGTTGGACGATTTCGCTCAATCTGCCAAAGAAGATGATTCTGTCAGCAGCGCAGGAGGTTTTAGATAACGCTTCTGTGATCCTCAACATGGCCAATGAGCTCTGCAGCCTGTCGCCGGATCCAAGCAAAATATCCGCCCTGACTGGATACTGTCTCTATTTCTCTGTATTTGTTCAGCAGAAATACCTGACTACGCAGCCCACTTTCGGGACGCAAGCGACGGAGTCTACCAATGGAGCATTCTCGATTCTGAACACGCTGCAAGACTACTGGTACCCACTCAAAAATTTTGTAGGTTCAACCCATCCGCAATGACCCCTGTGTCACTGACAGAACACGTGAAGATCACAAAGCTCCGGGAACAATTCGAACAATACAGTCAGCGTCAAGACGTGGACGGAGAAATACAAAAAATGAGTCAATTCACGCCAGGGCAAGGCGAGACTCAATCGTCTAAGGGGTTTCCCGACATCGAGCATTACGTGGAGGATGAAGTTAACATTTTGCGAAAGTCTCCTGGAGGTTCGGTGCCTCTAAATCAAACATTCAGCAACCAAGCCAGGGGAGCCCCGAATGCGCAGGTCGTTGGAATGCCACGTCCCACAGTAGGCGCCGCAGAAAAGATGCTCTCGCCGAGGCAAGATGAATCAGGCCGGCCCTGGCCCGTTGTCGAGCACAGTTCATCTCACTTTGTGGACCCCAACTCCTGGCCATGGTGGGATATCGGAGCAGGGTCAAACGATCCAGACGAATTGTCTCTTGCAAACATATGCATGATGGAAAACGGCTACTGAGACACCCGGGGACCACATCCCGAAGCTCGGACCGAACAGGTCACACACCGGCTCCACTTCCAGCTAAGCCTTGTGCTCTCCTGCACTGGTGAGACTGATGAAGAACCGGATGCCATAATACTCAGTATTCCCAGCTTCAATAGTGGAATATTCAACTCGAGGGCTGACAAGATACTACAATCCCGTGGCCAAGTAGGGCTGATCGATGTGTCTTTGTTAACAATCAGCGCCGAGAAGCCACTGGTCCAATATGTTGGTAACATACCCCATCCATGTGGAAGTGGGATCCCCTTTCCCCATCGAAAACATTCCCTTCGGTGTGTTCTCTACGATTGAAAAGGTGAGTGAAACAGATCTTGGGTATCGCTTGTCTCTACATGCTAAGTACTTCTCACAGCCTGTAGCACGCATCGGGACTATCATCGGTGATTTCATTCTTGATTTGAGCGTCTTAGCGTCGAGAGGCATCTTCACATCCCCCAAAGGCAACGGAGCGGCAAAATCATCTTCATGCCGCGATACCGGCTCTGTCTTCTTTGAACAGACCCTGAACGCCTTCGCCGCTCAAGGCCGGGCCTTCCACTCCTCCATACGCATGCAAATCATCCATCTTCTATCCAACCCTAACTCCATCTTGTTCACCGACGATGCGCTCAACGGTCTCGCTTTTCTCCTCGCGAGGAACGCAACCATGCATCTTCCCATGCACATCCACGGCTTCGCTGACTTCCTGTGCTCGGAGGTCCATGCCACAAACGTACGTGCGACGGGCCTTCTCAGCATCGGCGATTGTTATGCTCCATCCGGTGTCTGCGTGCATGTTATATGTGAATGCTGAAATGACATGACTCTAGTGCGCCCGTATTGCAGGCCAATCCCTCCATCCCAGCTTCTACGGGTTTCCCACCGCGTACAACGGTCGCGCCTCCTCCATCGTCCCCAGCGGAACGCCAGTGAAACGGCCTCGTGGCATGCTTAAAGGGCCGCCTGCTGCTGCTCCTATTCTCAACGGCACCAAAGATAACACCGGGTACAGGCTTGGACCGACTGCTCGCCTTGATTTTGAGCTCGAGATCGGCGTTTTCATCTCCAAACCGGTCCCTTACGGCCGAGACGACGTGACTGCGGACGAGGCAGCAGAGGAACACATCTTCGGGTTTGTGCTGCTGAATGACTGGAGTGCGAGGGACGTGCAGTTCGCGGAGATGGTGCCGCTAGGGCCGTTCAACGGTAAGGCGACGGCCACGACGATAAGCCCTTGGGTGATCATGCCTGACGCGCTGGAGAATGTGGCATGTGGAAGCAGCGTGGAGAGGGCAAGGGAGGAGATGGACTTGTGGCCTAGACATCTGCAACATAGCGCCGCGTCTTTCGAGAAGAGCACGTTTGATGTGGAGCTCGAGGTCGCGGTTATTGGGAAGGACGGAGTCAGGGACGTCGTGTGCGAGTCGAATCTGAGACATTTGTACTGGAGCCCGGCGCAGATGGTGGCGCATCAGGCTTCTTCAGGGTGCGGCCTCAAAGAGGGAGACTTGATTGGAACGGGCACGATTTCTGGGCCGAACCACAGCGATCAGACACCGCGCCTGGGGTGTTTGTTTGAGCTGACAGAGGGCGGGAGAAGGAGCGTGAGCTTGAAGTCGGGGAGGAAATTGACCTGGTTGGAGGACGGGGATGAGGTGGTGTTCACCGGGTGGGCGAGGGCGGCTGGGAGAAGCATTGGCTTTGGCGAGGCGAGAGGACTCGTCATGCCGGCTGCTTTGTAGGATTAACTACTCGTTTTGCGAGGGTAGAAGGTTTGCCGCCACCGCTATTGCTGGGTCAGTGAGCATACAATACCCGAGTTACAAGCCTCTAGTGCTCCGGGATCGAGAGAATTCGTCGCTCAAACACGAGATAATGTCCACTTTTTTCAGAGATGTGTAGACTCAAACACCGAAAGCGGAGGATTGACGACACAAGCGAGCGATATCTTGCCATTAAAAATGGGACAGCGGCTAGCGTTCAATGATCGGAGAAGAGTCATGAGCCATAGAGTACATTGAATTCAAGAGTATGCTGCTGCAATCATGTTGCTCCCCATCCATCACGCCAGCATCGCAACGGCGCCCAACACCCCTCCCGCCAACGGCAACAGACTCCGGATGCCGTTCAAAGTGGTCCACTTTGCGATGAGGCCCTCGACCTCCTCGTCGCCCGGCGGCTGCAAGGGGGTGCTTGGACCCTTCGACGCCGCGTCCGAGTGTCGAATCAGCTTGTTGTTCGTCGCGGACATGGCGATGAGGGTGAAGGGCACGATCCCCAGCGTCAGCACCGCCGCCGAGCCGTAGTACAGGGACAGTGGACCCAGTGACGCGACCACCCGCCGGGCCGACCACGCGAGATAGAGATACGCCGCGGCCGTGATGACGGCGATGGGCGGGTTCTGGGCCTTCCCGGCCTCGTAGATGTAGCGCCATTGCCGCGACACGGCGCTGGCCGACACGCCGTCCTCGGCGGTGGAACGGCGCAGAGCAGGCGTGGCCATCAAGGAGAGGGCGGCGATGTTGCCTTTGTTGTCGATGTCAGTATGCGTACGTGTTCCGCTTTCGACTCGGAAAACCCGTGAAGCACTTTACACACGGCGTTCTCAAGCGGGTGTGCACTCACCTCCTAGCCACGCCGCTCCAGTGACACCGATGATTTTCGCGGCGCGCAGATAAATGGAGGACTCCATGGTTCGACGCGGGTGGGGACCGAAGAGGGTACGTACGTTCCCGATGTTTTTCTCTTGGAGATACGGAAAGCAGAGGATTTGTTCGGGCACAGAAGAGGTCCATGATTCAACGTTTATATACCGTGTCGCGCTCCGCGGTCTCCCGGGCAGCTGTGGCGAGACTCGAGACTCGGTCGAAATTGGCTCCGAGGCTGTGGCCGCGTCAACCAATCAGCACAGGGTCCGGAAGGCACAAGGCTGTTCCGACGGAGGCTTGTAGCGGTGGCTGTTATTGGGATCAACGTCATTGAGCGTATCGTTCGGTCCATCAATTGCACCTCAACAAGAGACCTCGAGGATCTTCTTAGAGGCGCATCCCGGCTTATACAGAGCCCTGGACGGCTTTCTGCCCTACTCAACTGTCTCTACGCTTCCGATGTTCTGGACACACCCCACGAAGTTTCCGCTTGATGATTTGACAGGTTGCACATCGAAGATCTGTGGAACGAGCATTGGACATTCCCCCCATACCACAGTGATATTCTAGGTTCATACAGGTATATTACCCACTCACCCGCATCTGGATCGTAGAAGACACATTTAGATCCGGCGACAGGATCTCAACTGTCCAGTGGAATAGTCATAAGCCAGGAAAGATCGTTGGGATCAAACACCGAGTCAAAGTCGAGGAAAGGTTCGTTGGAGAACAAGTAAAGGTCATCTTGTGGAGCGGCCCCCGCCGTGTCAGCCACGGGTACTTCGATGTTGTCCACTGGCTCAGGTGGGCGCCAAGATGACATTGAAGGTGAGCGTTGGCCGATATTCTGAGCAGCGGACGAGGTGTTCGGTTGAGACTGTTGAGAGTTGCCTTTGAAGCGAGAGTACTGTTGGGGAACGGCGTCGGAGAGAAGACGCAGGGTCGTAGTGAGACGCTTAATGGAGGTGCCAAAGGGGCTGTACCAGTCGAGAATTTCCATGGCCTTGCGCCAGCCGTCGAGAATCGATTCCTCCGAGACATCGGCGAAGATGGCAGGGCAGAGGCGAGCAGCAATGAGTACCGTTGCCGACGTATACAAGTAAAGGACGTTGTACCACCATGCTGCTAGACTTCCACTATCCCCGGCGTTGCGCCCTCTTTCTCGATAGATGATGTGGATGGCTTCGAGTGCGACGCGGACACACACAATCGCACACTGAAGAAAGACTCTATGGGAGAGTGCGCTGGCCAAGGGAACAGACCGGTCTCCGTTGTAGAATTCTGTGGTTATGAAACTCGACAGGACAGGTCTCAAGAGCAACAAACGCACATGTAGCTGCCTAAGATTCCATTAGCAACAGCCAGAAGCCACCCCTGAGCGGTTATCATTAGGAAGCGAACCTTTGGTGCAAGATGACGGCTTGGCGATACAGCTGGGCGCCTCTCACTTCAACTTGGGGCCTTGGATCCATCTTCAAATGGTCGGGAATGCTGTTTTCCCATCCGAACAGTCGGTGCTCAATCTCAAATACCGAGGATTGTCCTTCGCTCAAGGAACCGAAATATTTGTCGGCGTCAAGGGGACGAGTCTGTTTGAAGTTGACGGAGTAGAAGTTGAACAACACGTCGTGCAAAATTGTGTACAATTTAAGCGAGTGGACGTAGAATTCGACCGCCGATGATCGCTGCGAACCGGCTGCTTGTTCCTGGGGAGGGCTGCGCATAAGATCTTCCTCCTCGATCGCGAGGGGAAGGGGCACCGTGACCGCCGCCTTCGGACCTATCATGCAAGGCCGACCATATGTCATGCAGATAACTCTATCCATAAGAATACACCCATGCCAGACTTTGCGCAGAAGCTCTCGCGTTCGGATATCAGGGGCACGTTCGCTGGTCTCCGGTAAATGAAGCCCCAGGCTTTGTGCGGTGCGTATCCCAAGTCCAACAAACATCCAACACGGATGGGGTTCATTAGTACTCTGGAAGTATTGTGCAAGAAGCAAAAAAGATTGTACCGAGCGAACTGATCCGCCGTCCACAATATCCAGTAGACCTCGCGCCCTGGTGTAATAGGTGTGGGCAAGCTGCTCTCGCTCTTCGATCGAGGTTGACTCATCCAACTGACTGGCAAGGGCAAACATCGTATTTAATAAGCACAGGTAAGACCGCTCATCATCGATCGGCCCAGCATCCCCTTTCCAGAGCTTCTCGTAATCTTCTTGAACGCGGGGTTTGTCCAGGTATGGGTAAAGGACGTGGACGTATTTCCAATAGACAGACATCAGAATGTCTGCCCTGCGTCGAGAGGGCAGGACATAGTCAAACTGTTTCTGTGTGGTTGAGGCATTGCCGGAGGCAGGTAGATGTTGCAGTTGTGGATTTGGGGTCAAGGACTGTCGCTCCGGTTGTGTGGCGCCACTGACCTTTTGCTGAATCATCCTTTTCACGCTTTGCATAAACGTTCCAGCGCTGGAGCTTCCAAAGAAACCTGCTCCACTGTCTTCTTCCAAAGCGGCGCCGATAATGGCGTGGACGGACTGTTCCGAAGGAGACACATGTTGCGGTCCCAATGCGGCATCCTGGCCTTCGTGTAGTCTTACAGAACTACGCACGCCAGCGTCCCCCGGTTGTATATTAGGCGCAAGAGGTGAGTGAGACGAGGGAGACAGAGTCGATTGATAGATGACGGGCGGTATCTGGTCGGAAGGCGACTCTCGAGGAGCGGAAGCTGCATGTGGCCAGAGACCCTCGAGGGAAGCGGCCGGGTGTGAAAGCGGAGCCCGTCGATCGGCGCTTTGACGTTGTTCTGTACCTGTAGATGAAGTCGGAAGCGAAGCCGCCGTACTGGTTTTCCAGGTACATCTCAGGCCAGTTCCCGCCTTCTTCTGGCAAGGTTGGCACACAGGTCCACGGCCATCACACTTTGTCTTCCGGAGGCGGCACGGTTGGCATGCGAGGCTCACCTTCTGCCTCTTGACTCTTGCGGGTTGCATATGTGAGCGCGCTCTGGATGGATGTAGTTGTTACAAGGGGAATGTTTGACATGCAAAGTCCCTGCGCAGAATTCCGCCTCCAACCTCAGTTAAACGGTGCAGCCACTCCCGCTAAAGTTTGCCGAAGGCTGGGCACGTGCCACGCAGGGGCATCCAACAGTCTACAAGTATACAAGTACCTCGTAGATATCACGGCCCTTCGCAATGTCCAGAAACATCTTGAGCGACAATGTTCCAAGCCTACTCCCGACTTAAATGTCAGTGACTTCTATGCTTTCCATAACTCAAAGAACTCAGTCATGGTTGCCTCATTCAAGGCTCCGCCATCGCCGCCTTTGGTTTCTGATGCCAACTCTATTCTTGGGACTGGGAAAAGGCTGAGAATTCGTATATCCTCACTTTTCTCCCAGTCCTTCCTCCCAAATGTTGAGATAGCATCTCCGTCTCCGAAGGCAATTGTTTCCCAAGTTGCCGAGCGGACAGTTGAAGCTTCAGAAGGCCCCCATCGTGAAAGGGGAACACCGACTCATAAGACCATCTCACCCCTTTGAAGCGGTGCCATTGAGATGTATTTCAAATTGTTCAGCCAATGGTTGAACGCGTTGATGAATCTGGAGTAGGCATGGCCCGCTACCAACAACGGCAGCCTGGTAATATCCTTGTCAAGGCATCGGGAAGAGGGCCTTTCTGTCCGTCCGTATCGAAACATTCGTCCGCTAACCCACCTACCTTGCTGCTGTCTTGGTGTAGATGGTCGCAGGTGGGGATCCTCCTTCAGGCATAGCGATAGCTCAGGAGACGCTATTGCGAAAGGAACAAACACTCCCTTGTAAAGACATCGCCTTAAGGAGCGGTGCAGACTGCCAAGTTGGGCAACAGATCCCTTAGCAACCTGCTCGCTCAGGCTTACGGACTCTTCGTTCTCCCGAGTCGGAAGATCTTGCTTGTCACGACCGACTGCTTTCAAAGATACGAATGGGACCAGTGGTTGATTTGTCTCTGCTCCGGTATACACGGTCTGGGGGAAGCTCTACTGTGGAGGTGGGACAGTCGGACGTCTCTCCGACTGGACATATGCACTTCCCCACAGCCCACGTCTGATCGACAGAGCACCGCGGAAGCACATAACGAACCGGGAACGGGCAATTTTGGGTCCGAGTGAATTGCAATAGTCTCGGTGGGACAATTACAGGTCTCTGAATGCAGGTACCTCTTTCTAGGCAAACAAATAACGAGGAGAGCGGTTTGCATCCCGGTGAGTTGTGGGACTCGGGAAGAACAATGCTGCGGAAGAATGCATATCAACAGATCTTTACTGCTTGGCACACAATGTTGTATCTTCCACTTGCCGGACCCAAAGCCCGCATGATCGGTGACATGAGGCTTGTCCCATGTCCCTAGTCCCAATCTCATCATCGCACAGATACTGAACCCGCGGAGCTTCTTTATCGATGTCCTGATACACAGCACCAAGCCTAAGGCTTGTCGTCTGAATGACAGCGTTTTCTCTGGTGTATATTGCACCGAGAACGCAGTCTTCGATGCTGGACGCGACCAGAGATGTAAGTTACCAGGTCACTTTGAGGAGAGAAAGGGGCCATGTTAGGCGGCATGATGAAGGCACCAGGTCTTGTTGAATACCGCGGTGATAGATGCCCATGCTCGTCCAAGCCTATGTTTCAATATCATATCCGAGAGCTCCACTGTTCTTATAAAGACTCTGATACCCATTGTAATGAAAGATATGACAACCTAAGCCACAGGTATCCTAAAGCAGATTGAGATTTTGCTCGTGGTGGGGACCTATAGGCGCCGTGGACGACATTGTTCGTGTAGCTGGTCAGAGACTGAACCGCTGTGTCTAGAAAAAGGGCTATTAATACGTATAGCCAAGCGCTACAAATAGGTTGCGACTTCAAGTAGAGGAGGCGGGATGGAGTCTTTCGTTTTCTCGACAAGGCGCGCACTGCACCGGTTGCCTGACAAAATGAATACTCAGTAAGATCGGCTCCCGCTCGATACAGCCTCCGGAACCGGAACCGCGAATCATATATTACCTCCTAACGATCCCCTTACCGCCCTATATGTATTGATCAATTTACGTCTTGAACCAAACAACCACGCATGCTCAGATTGGTCCCTTCTTTCCCGAGTGAACAATAGATATAGAGGCAAAGACCATGTCTACCTCTTCCGTGCCAGATATTGAAGGCCTCACGGTCAATGACAAGGGCGAGCCCACACTCCCCAGATCCTACACTCTCAGCTTCGTCGGCGACTGGGGCGGCGCCAACTTCCACCGGATCTGCTCGTGGCTGACCCAAGAGTTCTGCGACCGCGCCGGTCCCGGGAGCCGGACTTCGATCTGGAGCCTACGAGACGGCGGCCTCGACGCGCTGAGGCAACTCCACGAGGGCGCCGCCGACCTGGCCATTGCCACTCCCGCCGCGTTGTTGAAAAGGGCCCTTACCGGAGAAAGCCCATTTACGACAGCGATGCCGCACTTGCGCGCCTTGGGCGTCCTCCCGCAGAACGACCGGATGGTCCTCGCCGTGGACCCGAAGCACAACGTCAAAACGTATGCGGAGCTTCGGGAGCGCAAGCCGGCGCTGCGGATCGCGACCTCGGTCAACGACGGGACGAACTTCATCGGCTACGTGGCCGAGGAGTTTCTGAACGCGCACGGCATCTCGAAGGCAACCGTGGTGGATGAGTGGGGCGGGACCGTCCTGACGGCCCAAAGGCCAGAGCAATGTGTGGCGCTGGTGGAAGAGGGCAAAGCCGACGCTCTCCTTCAAGAAGCCATCATGACGCCGTGGTGGAGCGGGCTGGTCGAGGGGCACAAACTGGTCCCTCTCGCCGCCGAGCCGGATGCCTTGCAGGCCCTACACCGATCTCTCGGCCTGAGGTCGAACTACCTCCCCGCGGGGTTCTGGAAGAACTTGGCCCAGGAGCTGCCGGCGCTGGATTTCTCGGACTTTGTGGTATTGGTCAGAGACGACATGCCCCGGGAGGTAGCGTATCTTCTTGCCTGGTGCCTGGTCGAGACGAGGCACCTGATTGAAGGACAGTACAAACATCTCGCCCCGGAGAAGAGCCCGTTGAGTTATCCACTCGAGCCGAAGAAGATGGCACAACCTCCCTTCCCACTCCACGACGGTGCAAGGGAGTATTACTCCAAGGCTGGGTACATATAGTAATGTAAGGAGGCGGCAAAAGCTTTCCAGGGTAGAAGTGGTTCCAATGCTGGTTTCATTCAAAGCAACTCCAAGGCTCGATGCATGCAAGTCACCGGCTACGAGTACTCTAAGAGTAAAACTGAAATGATGACAGTGGTGACATGGAGGATTCAATTTCGATCACGGTGTGCAACAGAAGCCGCCTCTTCAATAAGGTCTGAGTATTCAGCTACTAGCATACTATCCGAGTAGATACAGCCGTTGCCATAGTACAAATTACACCGCGCAGACATGCGGAGTGGGAGACATATATTATAGTCTCACTCCGCCTTCCGTTTGAATGACAAAGTCGCCACGACCGAAACCACAAATCCATGCATGTACCAAAATCCCGGGACATACGTCGCGCACAGGCCTCTGATAATTCGATATCCGAGGATGGGGCCATATTTTAGACCGTTGTCGCCGTTTCTGCTTGAGACGCCTACCGCCGGCAGGTCATCGAACTCTGTCATGCACGCCAAGTCGACGAAGGCGGCGCCCAGGTCTCCATACGTCACGGTCAGGCTGGCTCGGTCGACGCTGATCTCGTGCCCGCTGGGCTCGTCGTCGATAAGACCGTTGGGTTGGACGAGCAGGACGCTGGCCAGGGATGGGGCGGCGAGGAAGACGGCTTGACCGCGACGCAGATCTGCATAAGGGTGGACGAAGGCGGTTTTGATAGCCCAGTGGACCAGGGCAGGTCGGACAGCGGCCAAGGTGGGATTCCAAGTTGCAGACGACAACAGCAGAACTCGCGGGCGAAGCCAATCTTGCTTTTGGTCCTCTCGCAACGCCTCCAGCGCTGCAATGACGGTCTTTGCGCCGTCCTCGATCACGCTGACGCCGGGAAGATTGTCGTTCTCCCCGAGTGTGAAAATGATCTGTTGTGCGCCGTTCAAGCATTTGCGCATGTTTTCGACGTCCCCAAGCGGCCCCTGAAAGATGGAAACACGAGGGTTCGACGGAAGTGATGGAAAGAGATTGACGAGTTTTGAAGTTGACCGGACATAAATTTGGATGTCCACGTCTTGCCGTGGCAGAAGTCGTTGAAGCACTTCACGACCGGTTTTCCCCGTCGCCCCGAGGACAGCAATTGTCGTAGCCATGAGCTTAGCGACGTGAAGATGACGCTGATTGAGCCAGAATATGATGAATCTGAAAGTGGAAAGACGTGAATTGAGGTGTTAGTATTCCTTCGGCATGCCCATACGAGGCGACACATGGTTTGTATGCCAGCTGCTGCTAGAAATATACACCAGCGGTCACACTGCTCTGGCGCTTTCGAAACCGGCATTGCTCCTCAGTATTCCGACCGATCCCTCTCCAGCACAGAGGGTACATAGCTCACGGAGACACTTCCAAGGTTTCCCCACCGGATCATGAATGACTAAAAAGCTGGGGATACAGACGCCGGGGAGGAGTCAATGCAACCCAAAATGCAAGGGAGCCTATCGGGCAGATCAATGCCGAAGCAAGAGCCATTGGAGGAGACACCCACTGCACTCTGTGTAAGGACACCTCTGGGGATGAAGCGATGACAACCTCAAGACTGGAGAGTGCAGGCTTTGTCCCGCGAAGCATCGAGCTCAACCACGTTCCTCCGGGGTAGTAAGCTGCGACAAATGGGAATCGTTCCGCCCACCCAGTCGGAACGCACCTCGGAAAAACTTGTGTGGTCAGTAGCAAACCTCCGCTTCCGAGCCGTTACTCAAGAAATGTGTGTCATTTGTGTCATTTCAATACTTTGTCACGCAACGAGGACAATCTTGAAACTTACAAGCTTTGCAAGAATCTGCATTCGCCGTTTACTAGCGCCCAATTCATCTTCTTCCCACTGTACAGCATTTCTGCAGCTGGGCCTGGACGACTGGGGGAGGGGACTTGAGTACCACCGATACGTGGATTTATATCGGGTCCGCGTGACCGAAAACCAGCTCAAGTATCTCGCTCTGACGTTCTTGTCCCGCAGAACATCGAGTCCTGGCCTCGGACTGTGCCACGTTCGCCTTTAACTTCTTGGTGGCTCTCTTGGAACATGCACAGGAACAAGGTCTCCTCAGCCCAGACGAGCTTCTTCGCCAGAAGAAACTGTTGACCGAGCACAATCACACGCTGGAAGGATCTCAAGGTGACTCTGAGGCTTCCTCGAGAGCAAACCCGTCTCTTGCCGAGTCCGGTCACTCGGCCTTTGCGTCAGGAATGAATATTGCTGCCCTTAGTCAGGGCCGGAGTCCTCGCTGAAGGGTTGCCGAGATCCAAATAAGAGTCCCTTCTCTCCCACGGGGGCGGCGGCTAGCGAGGTATTATCAATGGGTATCGTGGCAGTGGAGGACTATCTTTCATTTGTTTTATCTGAAATTTCGTTCAATTGTAGACAGATAGGGAGCGTTCAGTGGGAGATCTGTACGCCGCTCCAAGAATGGAAGCCTATGTAGGATTCTGAGAAGTAATCATTGTCACCCGAGCGTTCCCAAAATACTTACAGGACATCAGCGTAGCAAAGTTTGATTGTGAAATATCTTGGAAAAGGAGAGAAGGTGGCAGGCTTGAGGGAACAGCAGACCAGCGGACCGGACAGGAGGCCGCAGAAGCAAATTCTAGAGGGGAAGAGGGAACCCATAGGGCGACGAACTGGGTCCGATTGAATACTGCTAGGAAGATGGACTGACTGACTGACCGACTGTCGCCATCCACGAGCAGGAAGTGTGCAGAAGAACAATCTGAGATCAGACAATGCGAGGACACGGACGGCTTCGAGGTCTGAGTAGTTTCCACTTTCTCTCATGTTGCGGTGGAGATACGGGCGGCGGCCTGGCAGGAGATTCACGGACTACGTGGCTGCCTTCATTTATCTCCTGCCTGCGTGCTCCCCTCGAGCTTTGTATTGTGCGACGTGGGGAATGGGGAATGGGGAAAAAGAGGAAGTGCATCTATCTATATCGAGGACAACAAGGCTGGCCTTGGAGTAAAACAATATCTCTCCGAGTAAAGTTTTGCGCGGGCATATCGAATTACTATCTCTATATTTCCTCACTAGTCTTCGCGTGCCTTCGCTTCAATGGAGACCACGCCACCTGTACACAAATGAAAATAGAAAATCCCTTCAGTGTTGCTTTTCTCGATGTTCCGAATCAATCCACAAAACAAGGCTCACGCTTCGCCGGTGACATCCGCCGCAGTCTTCCTGCTCGCAGCACGCCTTCCAAGCCAAATGGCCGCACCGATGAGAATCACAGCGCAGACAGCCACGACTGCAGCCTGGGTTGCAAAGACCGCAGCCACACCGTCCTTCGCAATCCAACTGGGCTGGAAGTAGCCGACGGCGAATCCACCACAGGTGCGCCACATGTTGATAATGGCTGACACAACGGCAGAGTGGGTGGGATATTTCTCGAGTGCAAAGGCAGTGATGGCAACCATGGTGCCCACCAAGCCGATGTTCACCATGACCCACCCAAATGCAAGTCCAACCCAGCTTTTTCCGTAGTTGAGCGTGAGACCGTACGTCAGCAGGCCACACACCATGCTGCCGATCGGGAACCATACACCGTGCAGTCGGTATTCACTGCGCCAGTGGGCCTTTCGCTTTCCACCAGATCCGTTGTAGATCCATTCATTGAAGAAGTATCCAAAGCAGAAGCCCAGAAGCGCGCCGATGACACCAGCAAAACGGATGGAGGCATCAGAAACATTGCCGAATAGGTAAGGAGGTGCTCGAACAAAGGCGTCAACGGTCGTGGTTATCCCGATGGGCCATGTGAAGTTGATCATGGTGGAAAGACCAACGAGGAGGATGGGGAGCGTGAAGGTGAGCTTGATGATGTTGATAGTCGACTCTGAGAGTGTCTTTGCCTTTGGAAGATTGGTGTTTCCGATCCCCAGAAACGACTTGACCCGGTTGGTTTGCTGGACGCCGGTCGACCTGTTGTAGTATGTCTCGTAGCCGAATGCCAGGATCATCAGCGTGGAGAATCCGTAGAAGCCGGTCAGGACCTTGAAGCAGTCACGCCAGGAGCCGGTACCCTGCAAAATGTATCCCGCTAAGGCAGGGAAGAGGAAAGGCCCGACCAGGAAGGTCGTTCCCCAGATGTTGATGTATCGTGGCCATTCGTGCGGGGCGTACATGTCGTGAATAATCGGCAAGCCAATCACCTGGGGCACGGTTCCGAAGAGACCTTGAAGGGCGCGTAGAGCCGTGAAAACGGACCATGACTGGGCATAAACGCAGCCAAGGACGACAAAGAGGGTGACAATCTGGGGATAGAGCCAGACGGGGAGGCTGCAAGGAGAATCAGCAACGCAAAGCCATGTTCCAGTCTGGAAACAACCGACCGTCCATATGCATCGATGAAGGGGACAGCGAATATGCCGCCAAAGCCCTGTAGCAGGATACCGTAGTTGAGAGAAGTGGCCGAGTGCGTGATGGAGGTGTGCCATTCGATGGCCTGAGGAGCCACGAGAGTTGCGCCCCAGGTCATGCCTCTGTCCAGAATGTCAGCTTCGGCATTTTGACAAGAGGCAAGAGACAAGATACGTACCCGTCGGCCAGTATTGAACTCGACATCAACGCGAGGAACAGAAGCCGCTTCTTCCATGGACTCCAATTCTGCGGACTCTGGCTGTCCTCTGAACCCAGCCCGTCGAGGATGCTGGGCTGGTCATTTTCGTTGCTGAGAGTGACAACCGTGCTCTCCGCGTTGACGTTCTTCTCCGACATGGACGGCTTGTCGACGGCCCCAGATGAAGAGGAAGGAGCACTCATGATTACCGTGAAGTAGAAGGAAATGGTCAAGGCTGTCGCTATTGAAACGTCAAAGTGTGGTACACAGGTTAATGACAAGAGGACGATACAATGAGGAGAAAATTATTCAGGAGTCGAAAATTCCAGACGCTGTTCTCTAGATCTAGGGAGCCACGAGCTCGTCTACAACGTGGTCAGCTAGTTGCTCCATGCGCAGCAGGAGGCGAGGGCAGGTCGAGACTCGAAAAGGGCTCGATCTCATTCCAGAGGCACCAGCTCGGGTCCTCATCTCCCCCACCTCGCGTAGAGAAAAAGACATATTCTGTCTTGCTTAGGGGGCAACAGTGCAGAGCGGCCTTCCCACCCCCCCGGACCATGTGTCGAACAGCCGGCAGCCAAGATTCGATAGGTGCATGAGCCGCCTTGGAGCGATCCCGGGGACATATTCGTTTCAAGGCAAAAATGGTGCAGATCCGGCCGCCGGCCCGTCCTAGAGTCTGGAGCTCGTGCATTTGAATGCAGCTTTAGAGGAAGGGGGAATGCGCCAAAATGCCCCGAGGAGGCTGATAAGACCAGGGGGATACCTGAACCAACAGGGACGAGGTTTGGGGTCTGCAACGCGAGATAAAGCATAGTGCTTTCCAGGCAACATGGATACTCCCAATGAAAAGTCTGCTAGCTCAGCACTTGGGGCGATAGCTTGCTTCTCGCCAAGGGCCTTGCAAGGGTATGCAAAGCCAGACGAGAACGTATCCTAGTCGGCAGTGGAAACCACAGGAGTCCCTTTCGGGGAAATTGGTCGCGGGCTCTTTTGAGCAATCATCCATTCAATCAGTGGCTTGGAGGAAAAGCCATAGTATACACCAGACAGACACCCTTAATAGTTCCCTCGTTGACAGCTACACTGTGTCCCCGTTGTTCTTTTGTGTGGTTAAGGTCGGGGGAGTTCCGGCGCCTTGAAGGATAAGCGAAGAAGATCAGCCCACCGCCCGCCCGTTCCTCCTTCGTGGCAGCAGCTGTCTCCACAGCCCATAGCCCATTTGAAGGGTGGATCTCCCGGAAGCTGCCGACTGTCGCGCGCGGCGGAAGACGTAGCATCTTTCCCCGGGTGGAGGAGATTCACGCAAACGATCAACCTAAAAGCCACGGTACAAGCAGACGGACAGGGCGTCGACGAACCACGGCCGTGATCAACACAAACGAAATTCCGTCACCCAACAGCGAAACATTGCATTGCCCGCTTTGGGAAGCGTGGCGCAGTCGGGCTTGTAAGAAGCCTTGGCCTTTCGATGGCTCCATTGAGAAATTCTAATGCGATCAGGCTCGCTGAATTCGTGTGTTGCTGTTTGTGTCTGGCTCTCTTCTCGATGTCAAAGAAAATGAGCGAGCCAGGGGCGGTTCTGGCGTCTACCGTAACTCCAGTAAGAACACCGAAGTCTGGGAAGGATGCAGAGGCCAAAAATAATAACCATGAGCACAGGTCGCAGCCCTCGGGTTTGTCCCAGTGGCCATTCATTTCAATTTCTTCCCCTTGCTCAACCAGATTGGGCCAATTGCAACAGCCGAAGAGCTGACCAAAGCCTCCGACGCTGAAAGGAGCGATGAGGACAAACAGCTCTCGCCGCTATGTACGCTATCCGCTCCGTGGACGAGGCCTTGCTGACGGTGAACACAGGTTTGCGGTTAACAGGTCTGGATAATGTCGGATTCGAAGGCGTGTCTGACATTTGTAGAGGACACCATGTTCGCGATGGCCGGCCTGGGTCTGGTAGACCTGGTCGATGATAGAACATTTCAGGTCAACCCTCTCACTGCTCACATGGTGGCAGTGCCATCCTCTCTCCACGGCATGTTGCATTTGTAAGTGAAACGGCTCGAGAAACCCATCAAGTACTGAGCCTAGAAGCACCACAGAGCCCCTTTGGTCAGCAGCTTTCTTGATGAGACAACTTCGAGACACAAATTTCGAGTACCCATTCCAGGAAAACAAAACACCCACGCAGTATGGATACAAAATGATTGGCGAGGAGAGATTTGTCAACGAGCACACCTATTCCATAATGCACATGCAAGGACGTATGCCGAGTTTTTCATCCTTCATGGAGGGCAAATTTGGCCGCTTTGGCTCCATGCCAGACCGGGTGAAATCTTTTGGGTATGATCTAGGCTCTGTTTTGAAGAACAAGGCCAACGACATCGCTGTCGTCGACATCGGAGGCGGCCGAGGAGAGATGCTTCTAGAAGTGAAGGAGGCGTACCCGCACCTGAAGAGAGAGAATCTTGTTTTGCAAGAATATCAACCCGATCCAACGAACGCTGACCAACTGACGATTCAACACTGGGACTTCAAGGATGAATCTCCCGAGTCCATCAAAGGGGCTCTGTTGTACAGCCTGACACACATCTACCACAATTTGTCAGACCTCGAGGCGTTGCGGCTGATGAAGAAAGTTTCAGATGCGATGGCGCCCTACTCGCGCATGCTGATCCACGAGTTCGCAAAGAATTCCACCTATGGGAAGATGCACGCCACCATGATTCAACTGTACGCCGGGAGAATCAGGAGCAGCCGCGAGTGGAAGCAGATGGCCGCATTAGTGGGCTTGGAAGTAACTTTCGAGGCATATCCCGTCGCTGGGGAGGGCCTTGTCGAGATGAGAAAGCTGGGATCGTCCGACGCGGCAGCCTAGAGCTCTAGGGTAATAGTTCTGATGAGTCTCGCCCTGGAATGAGCATCGCTTCTGTTTCCAGGAGCTTTCCCCGGTCAGTGGCTGGCACTTTTTCCGAGACGAAGATCGATATTTCCGGGTTTAATCTGACAGAGTCTGACGGTATGAGGTACTCTTCTGCGAGTGCTGTTAATGCCAACATCCTTTGTAACATTGGCCTTATGCCGTTTAGACGTGACAGCCGTGGCTGACATCTCTTTCCCTCTAAGAGGCTACAAGGCTCTATTGTGCGTTTGCTTACCTGGATAGGACCTTCCGCCGGGGAACAACATGTCGAGATTTTCCCCCGACCTCGTGGCCTGACTGAAGCATGGTTACCTAGTAGGGGTGAGAACGTGTCAATGAGCCCTGACCAGCAAGCTTCAACTAGCGGAAAATCTGGCTTGGACAGCTCAGGGTGCGTGCGCCTTTACCTCTTTGTAGCGAGCCGTCTGAGTAGCGGGGCGTGATGGTGAGATCGACGGCCGACGGGGTGAACGGGCCGGGAGTATCCTTGCATGGCTATCAATCTTCGAGCACTAAAGGCGCCTCGTTATAATTAGCGAGTTTGATGTCAAAAGAGCAACTCACTGAGTGGGCTAATACTGACCACTGACGAGCAGCAGAGTCGGCAGCTGCAAACCTAGTGGCAGGTAATCTTCCCGGTATACTCCATGGTAGGCAGGAACTGCTGTACGCTCTGATTGCCCACGCCTTGGTGGCCAAGGAGCGGTAAGTGACCTCGCCCAATCGTGTACACGCACTGATTCCACAGCACAGGCATCAGTAGCAATGTACCTGACGCTCTTATCTCTAGCCTCTTCCACTATTGACCTGCCAGCCGACAGTGGAGGCAGGGTTCATATACCCGAGCACAAAATATTCCTATTCGAGGAATTCCCGCGACCTCTAGGGTCTCAACCATCATTGGAGTCGTCTTTTCAAGAACGCTAAGAGGGACAAAGGGGCTGGCCGATAGGAGCAGTCCTTGGCCATTGTCCGGCGACGAGAGTCTCCAGTAGTACCTAGGTAAGCCAGCCCTGTGTCGCAAGATCCACGCGGCGTGTGTGATCAAGGACTAGGCCCTGTCCTCTCGCGTGTTTGAGGCTCAGTGCTTTCCCCGTCGGAGTCGTGGCCAGCCCCCGAGGTGCGTTGGTCTACCTCGAACAAGGTGGAAGATCAATGCCGCCCTGAGTCTAGGGGGCTTCGTCAAACCTGTGCCGAGAGGTTCGTCCAGTGCGCAAGGAACATGCTCTCGGAAGCTGTCCGTGCATCCTTCTGCTGGTCGAAGAGCATCTGCAAGGGACAGGCGAGACTCCATAGGAGCACGAGTCGACAGTTCCCAGTGGGATAAAACGAGCGGCCCTCTCCCAACCGCACGACTCTTGCTTGCGGTGCAAACTTCAACGAGCCCAAACATGGAAGTCCCAAGACCAGACGGTCCCGATGTGAACAGAGGTATGAAAGTTGTATACCCAAGAGTGCAAGGGAGACTGACGGTGGGCAGGGACGAGTATCTTTATAGGATGCTGGGTGTTGACCGGCTTCGTATTCTTCGTGCTCTTGTTCCGATTCGGCGTCAAATCTTGGATCTCGTGGCTTCTTCCCAGTGTCTCGAGGCCGCAGCGAGTATGGGGTCTGGAGGACTTCTTCTTCGCCCTTGGGTATGCCTTTGATGTCGGGCACATGGCAATGATTTGGAAGAGGCAAGTTATGGACAACTCTGACTATTGTCCTTTCCGGTTTGCTGGCTCTGATACTGACCACTGCATAGTTGGGAATGGGGACTGGGGAGACATTTCTTCTATCTGACACTGGTAGAAAGAAACCGGGCCATGAAATGGGATTTTGTCTCTCAACCCTTAGCCGTCGCTGCTTCGATGTGGTCTCGAACGGGCGTGATCCTTTTCCTATACACTTGCTTTGCTCAGAACCGAAGGAGTCTCCGGATCATCGTCATCGTCTGCCTCGTGGTACAGATCATCGCAAACCTCTTCACCATCTTACAAATCTTCTTGCAATGCGGACCCAACCCCTATCGACTTGTCGACCGGGCCGCCTACTTCCATTACATGTGGGATCCGCTGCCGGCGGACGGGTCAGTTGTGTGCCAGGCACCGACAGTGCAAGCAACCGTGGGATATGTGCAGGGTGGTAAGTGGCTTCGGATTCTGCGTCGAGGACGGTATCTGACCATCACTCAGCCTTCAACTGTGTCATCGACTTCACGCTGACCTACCTTGCCGGTTTCGAGCTCTGGCAATTCATGTTCCGGGGAGCCAAGAACAGCAGCGAAAACTCCTTCCTCACCCGGTTCAGGAGACTGGATCGCGGGATCCGGACGCAACGGCTATGGCAGACGGTGTTGATCTGCGGTCCTTTGTTGTTGTCGGGTGTTGCCTCAATAGTCAAGACATACCTTCTCTCGGCTCTGGGCAGCAGGTTGGACTTCACCTGGAACATAGTCCCGTTCATACTCTGGGTCAAGTAAGCACAGATATACATCCACATTGGCAAAACCATGACAAAAATTGACTAACATGACAATTTTGTCCAGAATCGAAAACTACAGCATCCCCATCGCCACGACGGCGCCGATCCTCCGACTCTTCATCCGCACCTTCATCGACCAACGCGGCACGGACAAGGACTACGGCCTCAGCGGCAGCGGAGGCGGACGCAGCGGCACGGGCGGGCTCCGATCCAAGATGTCTGGGGCGGGTCACACGATGGAACTCAGCAGCACCCTGTCTCACACGCGGTCGCACATCCGGCGCGACAGCAAAGGCTTCGTGCACATGCAAGAGTCGGACGAGGCGGGCAGCGAGACGGCGCGGGGGCCGAGCAGGCAGGGCTCAGAGAACGGGCTGATCATCAACGAGCACGAGATCCGCGTCAAGCACGAGTACGAGGTGCGGGTCGAGGACAAGGGCGATATCCTGCCGTCGGCCGCGGGCGTGAAGAAGCCCCGCGTCCGCAGCGGCGATGCTTGGGCGTGAAAGATGCGCTAGGTACTGTTGGTTCTGTCTACAACACAATACGCGAATGAAGTTGGGAGGGCAGGGAAAGGGAATAAAGGATACGATGATCTGACTTTGCTGGTCAATCATCTCCTTTTGTGTACGAATAGAGAGAGGGGGGGGAAGGGTGGGAGGGAGGGGACTGTGTATTCCAGCCATGTAGGATCCGGCGTCAAGCAAAAGTTTCATGCCTTTTATTCCTCTGTTCACGCTAGCCAACGTCCTACGTTCCAGCGCTTCTCAGGAGACGCACTGCGTCAATCCATTCTTGGTTGAACTCCTCTAGAGTTCTTGCCGCCGTTGACTAGCATTCCTCTTTCCATCTGGCCCATCCTTTCCAGTTCCAGACTGGTGCTGATAAACCCAAGCTCTATCAATCCACCTTCTCTGTCTCTGTCTCTGTCACTTTCCCTTTCCCTTTCCCTTTCCTCCACCCATCTCTGTCCTCTCTGCGGACCTTTTCCTTCTTCCTCTACTGCCTCTGTGCTGCCGCTGCCGCCGCCGCCGCCGCTCTGGTCCTGCTTCTGGTCCAGATGATCTTGTCCATGGCCTCTTTTCTCGCCATGCTTCTGGTCGTGACCCTGCTGGGCGGCGGGGCTGGCCGCGCGGCGGCAGGATGGTTTCTTGTCGGCGGGTTTCTGGCGCCGGCGCCAGCGCCTCTGGCTCTGCCCTTGCCCCTGCCCCTGCCCTTGGCCCCCTTTCTTCCAGCCTTGGTCTTCTTGGTGACCCTGTTAGCCTGCTCTTCTTGAGCTGGCGCACTCTCTGAGGCTGGCGAGGCCTCTGCAGCAGGTTGTGCCGCTGGCGGAGTCTGGTGGGAGGCGGCGGGGGAGGTCTGTTGGGCAACAGGAGTGGCCTGTTGCGGAGGAGTCTGTGGTGGCGGAGGAGGAGGAGGAGGAGTCTGTGGTGGAGGAGGAGGAGTCTGTGATGGCGGCGGAGGAGGAGTCTGGTGCAAAGCCGCGGGGGCTTGCTCTGTCTCTGGCGGCGGCGGGGTCTGCTCTGCCGTAAAGGCCTCTTCCAGCGCCTTTGCCTCTTCCGACGATGTCGGCGACGGTTGTCGTGGCGGCACCGGGCTTGCCGGGGGAGGTGGGAGAGGCGGCTCCGGAGCAGGCAGCGACGGTTGCGGCGCCGGCACGAATACCGGTGCGCGCAGCGTCAACTGGCCCTGCTTCGAGAGCCTCTCTTCGCTCCACTCCGGGTCCACGTCGAAGAGCCGGGCTTGGTTGGGCGTGGGAAAACTGCTCATGGCAGCGGTGGCGATGTTGGCGATGCCAACGCGATCGACATCCGTGGCAACCAGCTGGTTGACCATGAGGTGGTCGTCGTGGTTGAACGCTCGACCGCTAGGGGTCATTGGGCAGTTGTCCTTGACCGACGGCACATGCAGGCCGAAGGTCAGGCCTTCGACGGCCAGGACCCTGAGCGTGCCTGGGGCGACACGCGCAATCTTCCAGGGGCCTGGAACGTCGGTGGAGAGTTGCAGGAGGTGGTGGCGGGTTTGGAAGAGCCGGATCTCCGGCGTCGGCGTATACTGCCAGTCTCTGACAAGTCGGGCTCTCAGGGCAGGGTGGTTGGCAAGGTGTTGGTTGTACCTCGTCCAAGGGAAGGGGGGAATGGGAGAAACCCCAGGAGGGAAGTCGTCTCTGTATCGGTCTTGTCGGGTCCATTGGAAGTCTGGCAGGACGTCGGATGTTTCTCGAGCGCGCTGGGCAATGTCTCTGACAGCTGGTCGATGTGCCACGAATGCATTATAGTCACTCGGGTCGGTCGACATGATTCTGTTTACCCAGGCGCCGTCCCTGAAGGGTGCGTATCTCATGTTGTTGGGATTTTGACCGCGGCCTTGGAGGAGTCTGAACAAGGTGCTGTGAATGGCCTTGACGTCGTCGAGCATGGGCTCAAGCTGCTTGGTGCGGGATGGTGGTTGCGGGGGTAGATCTTGGGGAGCGACGCCGACGTCTCTCATGATCTGGTGCTCTCGTTGAGCCTGCTCATCCTCGTCCTTGATCACGTTGATGTCTCTCAACTGGCGCGTGGGCGGGATTCCTGAAACCTGCCACACGCTCTGATCGACCGGTCTCGCCATACCAAGGTCTCCGATGAAGAATTCCGGGAGCCTGCTCTCCGGGGTCGGAAAATGGAGGTAGATGTTGCCTTCATGCAAATCACCATGGGAGATGGAGGTAGTGCCGCGGTGGAGATGCTCAATGGCTTCGAAGAGGTTGTCGAGAAGGTGCCAGACGAGAACTTCCGGCGCCAGAATACGCTCACGCTCGAGAATGGCGAGAAAGCGCTCGAGGGTTCCGCCATTGCAGTACGAGAAGAGCATTGACGTGGACTTGAAGTCGTGAGCGCGCGGATGGCCGGGAGGAAGGACCTGGAAGTCTTGCGAGTGGACGAGAGCGGGGATTCGAGGATGTGGGCGATAGAGACTGACTTCGGCACAGTAAATGCCTTCCTTGTGGCTTGACGAGGCGGACGTGGCCTTGGTCTTCTTTCTGACATAGTTCTGGTTGTCGACAATCGAACGGACGACCGAGGTGAATCCTTCGGCTCCTTTGCCCAGCGGACCACAGAAGAGATAGCCATCGGCTTCGGGGAAGAAGATTGCGTACCTCTCGGCAGCCATTGTTTCGGTGGTGGTGGTGGTGGTGGTGGTGGTGAGTTTGATGAGTTTCTGGGAAAGAGGAGCGCAAGGACAGGAGACAAGAGAGCTTGAAGCTTTTCGAACTGGTTCGACAAGCAGCAGCAGGGAGAAGAGTTGATGTGCTTGAGCTTGAGCTTGAGCGGGAAAGATGTCAGAAAGGAGAGCTTGGAGCTTGTCGAGTTGGTTTGACTAGAGCCAGCAAGAGCAGAGAGAAGAATGGTGTCGTGGTCTTGAGATTGCGAGCGAGAAAGGAGACTTTCTTTCACAGAGGAAACAAGACGAAGACCGGTCAGATCTACTCAACGGAGGTGCTCGAAGAGAGGAAATGAATCTATATATGATATTTGGAGACTAACTGGTTTTTGGAACTGGGAAATGGACTTTTCTATTGCAGGGAGGAGGAAACTGGTGGACAATAGGTTATTGTCCTAATTTTGGCGCAGAGTCACTTCAATGGGAATAAAGAGGCTGGCGGGTCGGCGCTGCAACAATGAATAATTTCTCCCCCTATTGGGATACCGACACAATCTATTGTCTGGTAGTGAATTGCATCCATTGTCAAGTCATTGTGCAATGCAAATTCACTGTCGTGGCCTATGAATAGCGGTGCCTCTCAATGGGCAAGGCTCGCGGGAAAAGGGGGTGCGGCAGAAAATTGCACGTGACCCCCCTGCGAGATTTGACCCTGTTGGGCGAGTATTGACCCAGTTGAGGGGAAACAGTGACTGACTGCGACGTATCTTTGTGTCGAAAACATATGATTGGTGCCTCATTTACATTGGCTCTGGGCAGCGTCAAACTCATTGTCCAATATTGACGGGTTGCAGAGGCGGGAAAATTGTCGTGAACATTCTCGCTCTCGGGGCACAATGTTGTCAGATATCCCCGTAGTCTCACTTGCGAATTCAACGAGAGAGTTGGATAGATTCACGGTCTCTGTTCTGTTCCGTACGTAGGGTTGAGGAAGTTACATTGAGTAGTTTCTATGGTATGGCGTGCCTAGCCATCGTCGAGACAGCCGACCATGGCAGCGCCAGACATTGGGTATCCTGTGAGAAGCATCGACAACCGATTCTGCCCTCTCAGCTGTCCTTCAGATCGGCGGAAACGCTTGTGCTCTCACCACCGATAACAGCATGCCCACTCGTCCCTTCCTCCTTGAGCCCTTCCTCCCTCAGCGCCGCGGCCTGCTCCTCGGTGAGCTGATTCAGATCGATCGTAATCTGTGGTCCCCGGAACCATTTGCGGGCGTCAATGTAATAGTAGAGCAGCGCCCCTCCCCACACCGCCGAATTGATCACGCAGGTGTAATTCATACTGTCGGCGGTCGGGTTCGGCCCGCCCACAGGGAACATGCACAGCAGAATACCGAACACCAGGAAAGTAACGGCTGCCCAAGCGAGTGGCGTCGAAGCTCTACCGGTGTATATAGGGCCGGGGCTGAACTTCTTTTGACCCCAGACCAGACGGCAGAGGATGGGAATGCCCCATGCAAGATTGTTGCCCGCGACAGCGAGAGAGAACAGAGCTGCGGCGGCAGCGGGGGCGATCAGACAAAGAAGACCGAGCACGGCTGCTAGTGTGGCGCACCCAAGCGTCGTGCGGACGGGAATATAGCCAAACTTCTTGGAAATGTGTCGGAAGAATCTGGATAGGGGCAATGCTCCGTCACGAGAGAACGCCCAAGCTTGCCGAGAAGCGGCAACCAGAATTGAGACTCCCATCTGAGCACGTCAGTCAGACACCATTCTCCTCACCGTGGAAATGGTGGAAATGCTCACCAAGAATTGGACAATCATCAACAGGGCCATGAACCCTAAAGCTCCATTTTTACCGAGGGCATCATAGTAGATCTGAGCCATGGGCTGTCCAAACGGCGAGCCTAAGATACTTTCCGGATCTGGCGACATGCACGCTGCGATAACAATGCAACAGATCCACCCAAACAGCCAGCATGAACCGATGGAGAATAGAATTCCTAGCGGTGCTGCTTTGGTAGCATTCGTGGCCTCTTCGCTGATGTGGACTGCCGAGTCAAACCCACCGATGGTCCAGATGGGACTGAGCCAAGAGAGCATGAAGGTCCAGCCCGAGGGCCACTCGGTCAAGTTCTCGACATGCGTAAAGATGTAGGAGGCGCTATTGCGCTTGCTGGCTCCAATCGGTAAGGCAATGATGGTCGCAAATATCAAGACGAAATTCATCACGACAAACACGGTCTGCAGTCTGCCCATGATCCGGGCCATGGTTGAAGCAATGGCGGCATGGCAAGCTACCGTGGCAATGAAGACTCCGTAGATTGTGCCATTGCTTGGGCTCCAGTTTCCGTCGCGGGCTATAACGATGACTGAGAGAAACATCAGGGAGAATCCGTCTATCGCTAAGTTAGTCCCTAGCCGGGTATGGGGAATGGACACACCAACAATCGATCGAACACAGACCTCCCACCAACCCAAGGGTGTTGCTGTATCCGACCAGGAAGCTTAGTGGATTTCTCCATTTCGGCGATGCATAGTAATGAGTCCAGTAATAAAGCCTAGTAGCATGTCAGTTGTAAGAGCGAAGAGCGCTCGCAAAGAAATCAAGCAGCATGGATGCAACCACCTACCCGCCACTCGTCGGCATCGAGCTTGCCAGATCGCTCATGGCTAGGCCGACAATGAAGATCCAGCCCGAAGCTAGGAACCAGCCCCAAACCAAGCCCACGGGTCCAGCGGGGATCGAATAGGCGAGTGTACTCGCGATGGAAGGAAGCAAGCCCATGATAGCAAAGGCGATCCCGAAGACCTCGAGCATGCTGAAGTTCCGGCGGAGCTCTTGTTTGTATCTGTCAAGCGAGCAATCAGTCTCTATTTGTTGGCGAAGCGAGTCAGAGCGATCCAGAGGTTATAACGAACCCCATCTTTGCTAGAACCGCGGCATCTTCTTCACTTGCGAGCGCGGTATCGACGACAAGAGAGCCGCGCCGCTCGGAAGGAGGGTTGATGTCTGTCGCATTGAGGCTTTGGCCTTTGGTGTCTGAAGGTGCAGCGGCCATGGCTACAGATTCGGCGACGAGATCAGAAGTCGCCCGCTGTTTAGGAAATGTGCAATTTCAGGGATCGAGAAAAGTCTCCCAGTATGCAAAACCAGAATCCGGGAACATGGAGTTATTTAATCCTCTTATGCAATTTTGTCGCATGGCGGGGGAGCCTATGCTCAACCAGGGTCACAAGCCAGCTCTTTCGCCTCCAAATCAACGCCGTGCGATGAAGTAAACAGGAAATCGCATGGTGCCATCTTCCACGAACGAGGAGAGAGATTGAGCCTCGGAGTTTCGCGCGACACGAGTCGATAGACCGTCGAGAGGCCGCCAGTCCAGGGTAGCTGCAGGATCCTCGTATCGTCCTTGAAGCCAAGTGGTTAGAGGAGTCACAGGGGGATCAGTAGCTGCCACTCACAGAGGACGAAGGAGATAAGAACAAAGACGATGTCATGATAAGCATTTCTCGGCCGCCATGAGCTGCTCCGTGGTTCCCCAACGGTGAAGATCAAAGATGCTAAGGGGTGAGGCCAACCATGCCGGAAGGGCGAATGGCTGCGGGTGAGTGGAGCTCCATCCCACCTTGTGGCTACACGGAACCCGTGGTGTCAGTGCTAGAGATGGCTAAAGCAGTAAACATATCCGAAGCAGTTGACTTTTCGGTGTGTCATGGCTGGAGGATAGATATGCAGAGAAGAGAGGATTTGGGCTGGTGGCTGTTTTACGAGTCCGTACAACAAGGCTGGTGAGGCCCGCTCCGTCTTGCGGCCATTGGTGGCCTCAGGCCTCAGCTTGTCACACCAAAAGACCACCGCTCACCTATGAGGCACACTGATAATCACACTGACAAAGAATACAGAAGCCCACAAAACGGGTCAAGAATCAAATCAAAGCAGGGTGACGATCAAGGTCAAGCAAAATGTAGGTCCGGTACGTGCGCCCTGAACCATACCAGTCATATTCTGTATGAGTTAGTCAAATATGACCACAAAGTAGTGATCCCCATCTGTCAATTGCAAGCATATCCAGGCGACCGCAGAGGAGCTGCGACGAGCACGCCGGCAAACAGATCATGCCTCATTTTCCCAGTCAAAGAATGTGTTGAATAGCAACCAAAACCACCCGTCAATGTGAACCAACTCGTCACCCAAGCCCGTCTGTCCCTCCTTTCCCCTAAGAACGTTTAAACGAATGTAGTTGGAGGAGCAGGGCCCCGACACTCTGCCTAATTCCCCCCAATCCCACTCTCAAGATGAACCGTCGTCCTCTTGTATCATCTTAGCAGACGGGATTGGTGCCATCGAGTGGACCACTCGCGGAACTCAGATCACAGGTGGGATAGAAGAAGGCCGCAACAGCAATGATAACATATGCCGCAATGAGCAGCGCTCCCTCCAGGTAATTGCTTCGGCCATCGATCATCAGGAAGCTGACAATAAAGGCACTGGCGAACAAGCTGACGGTTTCGAAAAGGCTGAAATACAGACTCATATCCGTCTTGATGATCCACCCCAGGATGACCATCAGAGGAGTGACAAAGAGCGCGATTTGAATGCTGCTACCCAAGGCAATATTAATGGCCAGGTCCATCTTGTTTTTGGCGGCAACCGTCACGGCTGTCACATGCTCGGCGGCATTGCCCACAATAGGAAGAATGATCAGTCCGATGAATGCTTGACTGACACCGCTATTGGCGATCAAATAATCAATGCTGCCAACCAAGAACTCGGCACATAACGCGACAAGTCCGGTCGAAGCCAGAAGTAGGACAACAGCAGAGGTGCGGGACAGATGCGCCTGAGGCTCCACAACATTCTCCGTTTGGACCTCAGTTGCACTTTCCGGTGACGTTGCGTCATGTTGGGCCGGTGCAGACATCGTAGGTACTAGGCGATTGCTGGACATCGTCGGATGAAGAATGTCCGGCATTGAAGCAGTACGACGGACAGGCCGGGGGGTAGGCCGTGGTTGCGAGATGGGACGAATAGGGATCGCAAGAGGCCGTCCGGTGGCTTGATGATGAGGGAAATTTGCGGATGTAAATGCGGGCTTGACAGCTTCGGAGATGTTGCGAATATTGAACGATCGCTTCACGGTGCCATCGTTCGGGATCTCCTGGATATCTGACGCAAATCCAACTTGTGGTGGTATCGTATCCGCAGTCGACAAGGAGCTCTCATGAGTCACCGTCTCCACAACGGGCTCCTTTTCCTTTTCCGACTCTTTACTCTTCCCCTTGTCTTTGTCCTTCTTGGTACGTTTGGACTTCTTCGACTTTCGGTGGCGTCTCTTGGATTTCTCTGAAGTCTGATCGGTTGGAATGGCGCTTTCGAAGTCGCGAGAGTGAACAGTATGTGAGCGAGAGCGGTGACGAGCTGCCCTTCCTTCGCCGTCGACGTCAGCCTCGTCACCGCTAAAGACGGGTTCTAGCTCCGCCGGAGTCAGAGAAGTAGCCTGGATCATTGAGCCGCCGTGGGCGGTGAGCATGGATGAACTTCTGGTGAATGTCACCACGGAGGCGTTTTCCTTCGTGCTTGAAGTTGACTTACGCCGCTTGCGGCGGAGTGCGCGCTTGATGCGTTTGGTCGTCGTGTTCGAGTTGGAACTTGAATCCGTGTCACTGTCACTGGAACTCGAGGAGTCACTCGAAGAGCTGGACGAGTTGAGGATGTCGGCGAGGACTCCTGGATGCGACTCCTCATCAATTAGATGTTGAGGAGTGCTCTGGTACATAAAGGCGTGGGATTTCAGGGAGAACAAGAGGTAAAGTATGTAGACCAACAAAAGCACCACACTGGTGCCTCGTGAGACCTTCAATACCACATGATCCGCCTTCACAGTGTTCGAGAATGAAGCATGAAACGCTGTCTGCACACACATTAGTTAAGCGTGCCAGAGATACGGGTTTGTTGTCCTTCCCGATACTTACCGGTAAGAGGAGACTGATAACACTCAGACACAATAGGCACGCGCTCATCTGAGACACCGTGGAATTGTATAATTGTTCTCGAAATCGAAGACCGCCGGCAACAAAGCACATGCCCAAGATCAAAAGCAGATTGGACAAGATCGAACCAAGGGCGGCGGCCTGGACCACGCGCACCTCCTTTGCTGCTAGAGCAATGATGAAGATGATCAACTCGACGGCATTCCCAAAGGTGACATTCAGAAGAGCACCAATGGTATCGCCTAGCTTGATGGCGACACTCTCTGTCGCATACGACAAAAGGGAGGCCAGCGGAATGATGGCGACTGCGTTGATGGCAAATACAGCGCTAGGGCTCACAATCCGGCTGTCCATCCAGTCGACAATGATCCCCAGTATGATGCCAACTGGGACAAAGACGAGTAGCCAATTGACCCAACTGGAGAAGAGGATGCGCTTGACATCGCGGAAGAAACGATTGACCAAGGGCGCTTTGTCCTTGGGAGGCGGATTTCCTAGGGTGGAAGATTGCGTTCCATCTCCTTTCTCGTCCACAAGCGGTGGATTTTGTTGCTCTTTATCCGTTCTTCCATCCGTGGAATGGTCTGTTGTTGTTGCAGGACCAGCTGCAGAGGGGCTACTCCCAGCATCTTGTCGGCGGGTGTCTGGACGGTGTCGCGCGGAAGTAGATTGGTCCGAAGGATCAGGGAGAGTTCGATGGGGAGGAGCGGAAGATGGCGCTGAGGGAGTCTTGGTCTTAGCCCATGAGATTAGACGACTTGACAGCGGAGGCTCGTCGGCGGAGTCGACCATCGGCGTATGAGTAGGCGTGGAAGAAAATAATGAACGAGGTGTAACAGACTTGCTGTCAAAGCAGGGTCACCGAAAGGGGAATGGATGTTGGAAGGTATGAGAGGGAAAGGCGCAGGGAGGCGGGCGGGGGAAGGACCTGAGCCTAAAAGGCAGCAATACGCAGGCGTGGTCAGTTGTGGATAAGCGTGGGAGGGACGTCGTGGGATCGGTGGCCAACAGTGGTGACGGGGCAGATTCTAGGCGTGCCAGGCGTGGGTAAGGACGGCCGACAGCCCCGGGAGAGAATCCAAGGAATCCTCCAGTTAAGACTTGGCCAGGGGAGTGGCTGTGTAGGGAGTGGAGTTGGCTGTTTGGCCTCGCAGTTTCGGTTGGTTGCTTCACGGCTTCGGTGCCCGCACCTCGCCCTGTTCTGGATCGCCGTTGGCTGTTCGCTGTTCGCGCTTTAGAGATGGAGATATGTCACTATTGCGTGTTCAACTCGTGGGTGAGGTACGCTGAGTTCTTTGGATTTGAGCCGATAAGAAGGCCGGGACTTGATGGACGTGGCAAATGATGATTTCCAAAGGAGCTTTGCAGGCGCAGCCTTGATATGGGGTATTAGAGGGTGGTATACTGTTTGCTTGATTGCCAGAACAGAGTGTTTGGGGGTTCATAGGATTGATATCACAATGATCGCAGCCTGGCATGGGCACCGGATCGGATCATCTTTATCTGTGGCCGCTAATCCTTTTTGGGCCTTTATCGATGATCCAAAGCTTGGCGGCCACATGCGCTCAGCAACGTGCGGTGCCTAGGCAAAGGGGGGCCAATATACGACCAGCATGCGTTCACGAACATCAGTGGCGCAGTCTGACAGGGACTGGAGACTTTCTGATATGGCCAGAGTGCTCAATAGCAATGATGTGGGTGCCATATCAGATACAGCTAGTACTGTCAAAAAGGATAGGATACCAGTGCTACTCCAGGACCTTTTTCTCTTCAGACCGTGCCACTCATTTGTGAAGTCAGATCGATGATTCCCCCGGCAGGCCGTGACTTATGTATGTCATTTTGCTTTCCAATGGCTTTCAAGCTTCAACTAGGCTTGGAAAATGTTCCCAAACTTTCATAGCGGGAAGCCAAAGAGGCTGTCAGGGACCGAAGTCTGGAGCTAGCCCGTGGAGGACGTGGATGACGGGGAACATCTCCCAGACTGTCGTCTTCTAAGGCCCTCTGACTACTTGCTCTTCTGTATTGTTTGTTATTATCTCAAACTGCAAGTCGAATCGAGGAGGCCAGGTCAATGACCACGGGCTTTCAGAAGATCTGTCCTGGCCACCTCCACGCTGACACTGGTTGACTTCCGTCGTTTGCCTGCCTTGACCTGGCATTAGGGCGATACTGAAGAGACAATCGGATGGGCTTAAAAGTGGTGACGTGTACGGAAACAGGGTCATTCAGGAGGTTTCATGTAGGGGGTTATTTTTGGGTCAAGCGCCGGCGTTAGAAAGGATCAGGAAAAGGCATTTCGTCTCAGGGTGGAGGAGGGTCGCATGATCGGAAAGTGAGAATACCATTTCTTGAAGAAGCAGAAAGTGCTGAAAGACAAGGTGGAAAAGGTTGAGGGTGGACTGATCGTGACGTTGTGCCTGCGTTGCAGTCGACGATCCCCAGATGCGCAGCTGCGCCAGCTGCAATAGTTGCGCAGATACAAACTCACAAGCATCGCAGTAGCACAAGTTCTCCCACAGTCTTGTCCTTTCATACACGAGTTCAGCTCATTGGCAACAGTTGAATCTCCATCGCGATCTCCTTTTGCGGCTGACCAGTCTGATTGGTATATTAACCCATGTTCCACGCCAGTTACTATTACCCGCATATTCATACTGTCTTTCAACCACCTGGCCTCCCCTTTTCCACCATCAATATTGCGAGGAATCCTATCGAGATTCCCATACCAGATGAATACGCTCCTTGGAAGCTACTCTCGGATCATCTTCCCGCCTCCAATACCCCCCAACTGCCTACTGTGGATGGCCTGGAGTCCGCTCTCGAACTAGCCTCCCACTCCAACCAAACACTCGACGTCCTTGGTGACTTTTGTACCACCACCTCCTCAATTCCAGGTCGTCAACCCTGCTGCTTTGCCTTGTCGTTCAAACTTTGCGTCTAGCTCTAACCCGCTTACATTCGTTGGACTGTGGCCAAGATGCATGTGGGCTGGTAGTGGTAACGGCTCCTGTGCTCATGTGTCATTTCTGATCGCTATCTGCCCTGAATCCCATTTCTCAAGCTGCGAACCCTCCCTTGGCTCATTCTCTCGCTCGCCCTCCCCCACCCGGCCACACCTTTTCAGCCTCTGCCTGGAAGATCTGGTTGTAGCCACGATTGGTCCGAGAATGCGCGTTCTGAATGACCCTCCCACCGGATACCCACGACATTCCAACATGTCCTCCTTCCCACGATCCCCTCACCGCTGCCGAAAACGTCACTCCTCCATCATTGAAACGCCCTCATCATACCGCCATCGGTTCCACTTCTTCTGATCAACCGGCCCTAAAGTACGCGAAGCGATCTTTTTCGAATGGGTCAGCACCTTCGAGGCATGGTCACCTGAAAGAGGAGCAGCGTGGCAGACGGGGTGGGCAGGAGGAGGACGAGGACACAAATTCTGCCGGTCTGGACATGCAGCCTTCCTCGGCGGAAAACAACATATCTCTTCTGGAGGCCGCTGCGACAGCGCTCAGTCAAGGAGAACAGGTCTCTTCTTCCAGAATACCAGCGTCGGCGAGAGCGACAGCTGCAAGTTCAATGCCGGTTAGGACGTCGGCTGAGGCTGGCCGTGCGGGAAGTCGACATGGGCGCGGCGCAACTTCAGATCCCAGACGGCCAAACGAAGCACAAGTGTTACATTCGATCCCCGTCGTCGAATATCTGCAGTTAGACGAGCGGCCAACATTTATAGTTGACGTTACCGATGCTGTCAATCTCAACCCTTCTCGCCTCAATTTGATCTTCGCAAATACGGCGCTGAAGAATCGCGTTCCTCTTTTCGACCATGTACAGGGGCGGTCCGAGGACCCTACTCTCTTGCTTGATGTCGGGACTCCGTTCTCTGATTTTAAGGCCTGGGCTCTCAGCTCATTGACGGAACCCGACATTGTTCCTACGTTTCCTTTTGCAGGATGGCTATGGCAAGGCGCCCTACTACGGCAGAAGCTGAAGGTGATCCATGGTCGCCAGCATCCTCTTTCACCTCCATTGATGGCTGATGGTGTTGGTCGGGTTGGCATGCAGCAATATCATGGCCTTGGTTCCGTGTCGACGTCCTCTAGTGGAGGTGCTCGTGGGGACACAACATCGCAAGGCTATTTCGACATTCCCCCGCGCACCAGCGGCGAGCTGCCACGCACGCTGCACCGGTTGGTGACGGAGCCTGTACCAGACGTCTCTCCAAGTAATCTCGACCCCAAATCACCCGTGCCGAGCGGAGATCTGGGGTACTCGGAGCTTTTGTCTGGATCTGCGCCGGTGGGCTCCGAGCAGAGAGCAATCTCCGTCCCCCCTCACGTCAATCTGGACACCGACTTGGTTGCCGTCAACGAGAAAGGCTATTTTGATTGGACACGCTTGCCCATGTCGCCCTCTCTCCCCATGCACATACAATTTGCAAGAGGTATCGACTGGGGTGCTACGAGCCTGGGTCCCATCCAAGACTGGTCTGTCGAACTTCGAGGGATGTGTAACTTGATCATGGCCAGTCCACACCCTTCAGCCATGTACTGGGGGCCAGAACATATAGCGATATACAACGAGGCCTATGTTCTGCTGGCAGGTCAAAAGCATCCGACTCTGATGGGTGCACGTTATCGCGATGCGTGGTCCGAGATCTGGGAGGCCTTGAGGGAAGTCTTCGACAATGCCTTCAAAAACGCTCAGGCGACGATGAAGGATGACGATTGTCTTTTCATTATGCGCAATGGCTTCTTAGAAGAGACCTATTTCTCCTGGTCCATCATTCCGCTCATTGGCGCCGATGGCGGGGTGGTCGGGCTGTACAACCCAGCGTTCGAGAAGACGCGCCGCAAAATTGCCGAGAGACGGATGTTAACACTGCGTGAGATCGGTGAACGGACGGCTGCGGCTCGACAGGTCTCCGAGTTCTGGGGCCTGCTGCTTCAAGGCCTGGAATACAACGAATACGACGCTCCAATGGTTTTGGTGTACTCCCTCAACGAGGATTTGGCGGAAAGCGATGTCGCTTCCTCGGGGTCCAGCGGTGCTGCCTCCAATAAGGTGTGCTATCTGGAAGGCAGCTTGGGTATTCCTGCCGGCCACCGAGCCGCGCCACCTGTTATCGATATGAAGACGGGTACCAAGGGTTTTGCCGCTTCGTTCAGACAGGCACTTACAACGGATAGACCGATCGTTCTACGGGTCGACAATGGCAGTCTCGACCCGTCACTGCTGGAAAACATTGAATGGCGTGGATTTGGCGATCCTTCGAGGATTGTGGTCATATCACCCATCCATCCCACCACTGGCGAATCCACTTTGGGGTTTCTGGTGATGGCTACAAATCCGAGACGTCCGTATGATGAAGATTACGATTTGTTTGTTCAGCTTTTGGGCCGCCAACTTGCCACATCTATTGCATCAGTGGTCCTGTTTGAGGAGGAAATTAAGAGAGGCGAGAGAGCAGCCCAGCTGGCCGCCCAAGACCGCATCGAGCTCAGCAATCAACTTTTGGCCAGGACTCAACAAGCCTTCGAGGCCGAAAACAAGTTCACGAGGATGGCGGAACTTGCCCCAGTCGGCATCTTCATTGGCAACCTCGATGGGAAGATCAATTTCGCCAACGATGCATGGTATAATATCTCTTCGTATCCTCGTGATGTGCCTGTTGACAATGAGTGGATTGAACATGTTCTGGATGAAGACCAAGCCAAAGTTCGAGAGCTGTGGAACACGATGCTGGAGAAGAGATGCGCCATATCCCTGGAATTCCGCTTCAAGACCCCATGGGGAGACAAACTGGGCAACCAAGGGCAAACATGGGTCCTTACCAGTGCTTCACCTGAGCGAGACGATGACGGGAAAATCCGGCAAATTTTCGGCTCAATGACTGATATCAGTGCACAGAAATTCGCTGAAAGTCTACAGACCCGTAGGATGGAGGAAGCGGTCGAACTCAAACGAAAGCAAGAGCGCTACATTGATACTACCTCTCACGAAATGCGCAATCCGTTGTCTGCCATACTCCAATGTGCCGATTCCATTACCGGCTCCCTAAGCGAGATGCGGGATGCGAATGGGTTGACAAAGGCTCAGCAGGAAATTCTCGACCTCACCATTGACTCTGCGCAAACAATAACACTGTGTGCTCAACATCAGAAAAGGATTGTGGATGATGTTTTGACTCTGTCGAAGCTGGATTCGGCCATGATGGCGGTCACTCCGGTCGACACACGACCCATCGCCGTTGTGCATAAGGTGCTCAAAATGTTCGATGCTGAGCTGAAGACGGCGGACATCCGGCTGGACTTGATGATCGACTCATCCTTCACAGCCCTTCAAATCGACTGGGTCCGAATAGACCCGCATCGCCTCTCCCAAGTCCTGATCAACTTGATGACAAATGCGGTCAAGTTCACGGCCACACAAGAAAATCGGGTCATCCGAATGCACATTGCCGCTTCAGGGGAGAAGCCATCTCAAGAGGACAAATGGAGGCTCACGTACATCCCTTCTCGGACTTCTAAGGACAAGGATGTCACTGCCGCAGCAGAATGGGGCTTGGGTGAGATGGTGTATTTGCACTTTGCAGTGCAAGACACCGGACGTGGTCTGGATGAACTTGAGAAGAAGCAGCTCTTCCAGCGGTTCTCTCAAGCTAGTCCCCGCACGCATGTCACGTATGGTGGCTCCGGCCTTGGTCTCTTCATCTCAAGAGAATTGGTCGAACTCCAAGGGGGTGAGATCGGCGTGGCCTCCGAGAGTGGGAAAGGCAGTATATTTGCGTTCTATATCAAAGCTCGCCGCAGCAAGGGCGATGTCAGCAATTTGGACGACAATCCCAGCTCCTCGGCACCACATAGCAGGAAAGGTTCCAAGACAACGCCGCTGACGGGCTTGACCATGCAAATGCACCAGGCACCGTCTGAGGCCTCAGCTACGTCTCCGAACTCACTTGCCTCTCCGAGGACGACGTCCACCAGCTTCACCCCACAAGCTGACCCTGTCCACGTTCTCATCGTCGAAGACAACTTGATCAACCAAAAGGTTCTTGCAGCACAGCTTCGCAAGATCGGCTGTGTCGTCCATGTGGCGAATCATGGGGGCGAAGCCATCGATCAAATCCGCCGGTCCAAATTCTACCGCGACCATGTAACAGATGGGGTAAAGATTGATGTGGTACTGATGGATCTGGAAATGCCCATCATGGATGGACAGACCTGCGCACGCAAACTCCGAGAGATGCAAGATACTGGAGAGCTGGTTGCGCACGTCCCTGTCATAGCGGTGACGGCGAATGCACGAGCCGAACAGATCGAGATGACGCTGCAGAGCGGAATTGACGATGTCGTGAGCAAGCCATTTCGGCTGCCGGAGCTGGTGCCCAAGATGAAGGATGTGCTAGCCAAGTTTAGGAGAGATGGATAAAGAGGGTCAGTCTTGTGAGCAAGCCCATGTCACGAAGGGCGTGGGGCAACTCTATACGTGGTACAGGGCGACGCATTTCTCAGTGACCCTAGCGAAGAAACCTGACATCAGGGATGGTTGAGATCATGTGGAGAACAGGTCATGGCTAGTCGCCGGCAGTCCTCATCTCACCTCGTTTCGATGCATACGCCGGAAAAATGAAAAGAACTGTCTCTACAGTGCTTGATCAGATCCGGATGAAACATGGCAGGAGTGATGAGATTCCCTCCCTTCAAGGAGAGACGACGAGGGATTACATTGGAGACCCGAAACGGTCCTGTCCTGGTGGAATGAAGGAGATGAAGATATGCCTTGACTCGACACTATGCTGCCAACCGTGGAACATGGTGAGCAGAGGGTTCCGTTCTAGCTTCAGGAGCAGGAACAAGAGGTCAGATGCTCGTTTATCGCTGATCTGGCTTTCGACATCTTACTACGAGCAACACCCCAGGACTTCCAAGATAACATTCCAGGGAAGGCTCGCGACGATGGAATGAATGTATATGAAACTGCATAACCTAGACAGTACAATACCCATTTTAATTGCCAATTGCACAAACTCTGCTGCAACGAGGACCGTCACTGAGTATGAATAAGGTGGACATCCTCTTAAGTTCCGGCGGATCATTGAGTGATCAAAGGGGGAGAGTTCTGCTGTTCATTTCCTGCCCAGGTAACCCACCCCTTAATCCGGTCTATATGGATCCCTAGGTAGGCAATGAATAAATACCCCATTAGGCAGTAGGCGATGGGTGCAGGAGTCGGTCCCGTCCGTCGGTCCGTCGTGCGCGTCGTGGGGAGGCTGTGGCTGCGAGCATACCTAGGCACGAGGAGGACCTTGATAGCGAGTAGGGAGTAGGGAGTATGGAGTATGGAGTCGTCGGTCACCAGTGGTCACCAGTGGTCAGCTAATGTCTATAATGGTACTCGGTGCTCTTATGATGGATGGACGGGCTTGTGGCATCACGAGGGCATTCGGCCGACAGAGGATGAGGCAGGGCGAAGCATTCTTCCACTCTTCTCGGCCCTCTACTCCGCTCGTCGGTACCTTGGTAGTGGTAAAATGGTAAAGTGGTACCTTGGGGTATACGTCAAGGGGTCTATGATACGGGTATTGCCACCCACCCACCCGTCTTACAACAGGCGGAGTGGACGCGTGAGCAGAGTGATAGAGTACAAGTTCCACCGGGCCCGGCTATGGGATGGCAACAAGGACAAGGACAAGCTCGAGTTCAAGCTCGAGTTCAAGCCAAGTCAAGTCAAGTCAAATCACATCACAGCTGTGCCTTGCTGGTGTGCGCACGAACCGGCTCGCTGGGCCGTTCTATACACAACGGCATACCAACTTAGATAGGAGATATAACAAGACACATGCTGAATTCCCTCCGAGGAGCTCGTCAGTGCGTGAATGAGAACCATAACTTGTTGATTGATGGACGGCCCCGTGTACTGAGTACTGAGTAAGTACCGAACGGGCCTACGTGTCTCCAACTATCGACACAAGCAAGCACCCAACATGACCTGCCGGCCCACGTCCTGTCCTGTCCTGTCCTGTCGTGTCGTGTGCCCATCCTCCTCTCCGCCGCGTTTTCTCCGCATACGAGTGCCACACCGTATCTGATGGATGCCATCGACGGTCGCCCCCGACTGCCGGGATTGCCGAAAGATGGAGAAACAAAAGGGCGCTAAAACCACGCCCTTCGTGAGTAAGTCTTGCGATGACATCGACTTTTAATTTTGGGGGTGGGCTTTCTGGCTCCTGGCGCTACGGCTGTCGGTCTTGGACTCGAAGGGCCAAGGTAGCGGTGCTGGCAGGGCAAGCACAACAGGTAGTAACGCTGGGGGAGCGACATGGGCGGACGGATGTCGGGGTCCAGATCCGGGCAAGAGGATTTTCGGTGTCTATGGGCGGTGGTGGTATAGCCATACCCCATATATTACATATATGCACAGCCATATACACCGCAGTATGTGCGAGCGTATATATATCCGCGCAGAAATGTTGGTGGTCGAAGCATCTCTTCATCGTCTGGGACGGTGATTCGATCTATGGGCCTCGGGTCTTCTCTCTTTGCTCCAGATACGTGGACGACAACCGGGATCTGCGCGGACCGGAGCAGGATATATCCAGAGGTCCAGGAAGTCAGTACGGGCCGTCCAAACTAGGCGGTCGACGTGCCCCTGAAATATTTCCTCGCCGAGTTGTTGCTGCACCACCTGATCCGACGTGTCCATGGCTTGTCCTCTGTGATTAGTTGTGCCGAAGGAACAACCTTGCTGTCGGGTCTGGGACCGGCCGGTCGAGATCATGACGCCCTCTCTCCCAATCGAGACTGCTGGACAGCGGGGGGATGTGGAAAATCAGCTCGGATGTATGTCTCCCATTTCTGCGTTCATTCGTCTGTCTTCTTGGCCATATGCCCATGCTTGAATATACTGACTTACCAAGGTGAAGTGCCGGTGCCGATCGAAATCGAAGGGGAAAACAAAGCCACTGTTCCAGGATTTCCGTCTCCGAATGCTTCGGGCACCAGAAAACATGACAAAAAACATGCCTCGGCAGGGCAAGGAGCAGGAACGAACTCTGCAACAAAGGAGGCACAAGAGGACTCCTACCAAGAACAAGTCTCGGATGACATTGTTGTTGGTGCTGCGCTGGTTCCACCCCCTGACGTCGGTCTGCAACCGTGGCTGCAAGTCATAGTCGGGCACTTCCTCATGTTCAACAGCTGGGGTCTGGTGGTCTCGTACGGCTCCTTCCAGACATATTACACCACCCAAATCGCCCACAGCAACAGCTTTCCGCTGCAAAGTGCATCCAAGAACGCCTCGGCCATCTCCTGGATCGGATCCATCCAAAACACCCTCTTGCTGGTCGGCGGAGCGTTTGGGGGGAAGTACTTTGACGCCGGGTACTTTCGCCAAATGCTCGGCCTGGGCACGTTTCTCGTCGTCTTCGGCACCCTGATGACCAGTCTGGTCAAGGAGTACTACCAAGCGGTCCTGGCGCAGGGCGTCTGTGTCGGACTGGGCATGGGGATGCTGTTGGTCCCGAGCGTGGCCCTGCCGAGCACCTGGTTCCACAAACGCAGAGGACTGGCCGTTGGGATCGTGAGTTCTGGTGCGTCCTTGGGGGGCATTGTCATCCCCATCGGACTGAGGCACAGTATCTCGTCTGTGGGGTTCGGGTGGGCGGTGCGCATTCTGGCGCTGATGTCGCTTGTTACCCTGCTGGTGAGCAACCTGTTGATCCGGCAACGGCTTCCACCCAGACCGGCTAAGGGGGCGCGGTTCATCGAGTACCAGGCGCTGCGGGAACAGAGAGAGTTTGCCATCTGGGTCGCTGGCCAGTTCATCACGTACTTTGGCTTCTTTGGCTTCTACAACTACGTCGAAGCCTGGGCAGAGTCGATCGGCCTGAACCGCCATGCCTCGGGCGGTGGGTTCCCGCTCGAGTACTTGCTGCCGGTGCTGAATGCGGCGAGCATCCTCGGCCGTCTGATCCCGTGCTTCATCGCAGACTATACCGGGCCGTTGAACATACAGGGCCCCTCGCTCTTTGTCACGGCCCTGCTCGTCTTCGTCTGGATCCCGTGCCGGACGATCGGCAGTTTGCTCGCCATCACCGTCCTGTACGGGTTTTTCTCCGGCGCAGTCATCGCCACGCCGCCCGCGGTGGTGGCCAGCATGACGGAAGACCTGCGCCGGTTTGGAGGGAGGATGGGCGTCATGTTTTTGACCATGGCTTGTTCGTCGCTCGTGGGCCCACCCGTCATGGGTGCAATCATCGAAATGCATGGCGGGTCGTACGATGCCGCAAAAGTGTACGCTGGGTCTATGATCATGGGTGGAGCGGTGCTTGTGTGGGTGTCGAGGGTGTCAAAGACGGGGTTCAGAGTACTCGTTAAAGCATGAATGAAAGAATACAGTATTCACTGCCTTTTCGATATCCCTGTTGCCTTTCAGGAGGCTGAACTCGTCAAGTCAGCGACGGAAGTAAGAACCAGACATTCCATTTCCACGACTATACCTAATGAGAGCGTTGCAGCTCAATATCAACGACCCATGGTTTCTGCGTGAGATATCCATCACTGCCTGCAACAGACGCATTGACGAAGAGAGTTCGCTCGCTGTCGAGGGGATGCTCATCTCCCAAACAGTGGCTGGTCTTGTAAAATGTTGCCTGCTTGTAGCGGTCCAATTTTTCCTGTTTCCGGGCTGCATCGTCCGGGGTATCGAATCTGGACGGGCGCAGAGTTGCCAGCCTTTCGATCACATGGGACCTATTGTTGTCGATGGCGGTGAAATGGGTCGGCCGTTCACCGTGGGTATCCCGCCAGGTAATCAGCCTTGCACCCCAGCCTTCGTGGATATGGCCAAAGCAGTGCACGCGGGGTCGGGCTCGGGCAACACTTGCGAACAAACTCGCACACCCGGCCCTTTCTCGGTTGAGGGTATAGTCCAGAATGCCCTTCGGTGGGCCATGGGTGATGACCACATCAACCCCGTTCTCGATGGCAAAGTCGTGACCGCGGTCTGGATGGTATTGGAAACCCCACGCCCCTAATGCGGGAGTGTAGGGGCTAGCATAGACGGTCAGACGCGCCCCGTTTTGAAGGGTGAAGTGGTGGGTGCCCTCACTCAGGAACACAATACCTACGTCTACAGCGGCTTTGAGCAGCTGTTTTGCCTCTCCTATCGCGCCATATTCCTTCTCGACGAGCTCCGGATCAAGAGCTGCCGTTGCTTCCGCAATCTTGTTCTGAAAGGCGACGTCGTCCAGTGTGAAATCGTGATTTCCTGCGACGACTAGCTTTAGGGGTGCATCGACACTTTGTAAGAGGTTGATAGTAGTTCGGAACTCGTCTAGCTTGGAGCCGTCAGTTAGGTCACCGCAGTGGATCGCAACATCGGCGTGTGGAAGGGGTTTGTTGGCGGCATCGAAGTCCATGCCATGTGTGTCTGACATTATCAAGAGGCGAGTCTTTACTGCGGATGTGTCCATTTTCCTGAGTCTATTGTGGAACAAGGGCCTCGTATCGCGTATGCAAAGCCCCGTTAGGGAGATGGAGCTGGGCTGTATCACTTGGAGGAGATACTGTTCTCGGACGACAGTAGAAAAGACGTGTGTACGCGAGGCGAAGAGTGTCCGGCGCTCGAAAACGGTCAAATATTCTCGTTATTTCAGCTACTTTTGGAACGCGCCCTATCATACTTCTTTGGTAAACTTGGTACACCTGTTATATTCGAGACGAGAGAGACCGTGCCCCTTAGAGTTTGGTATTCGATTGGATGGCCCAGTACCGTCAGGAGGGTGGACCGTATCTCACGGCCTCTGCTAGTCCTCACTGGCGCGCTTCTCAGCCTCCTCTGCCTCATCGTCGAGACGGCACTTGTCGCCAACTACGCCTCGACCGAAGTCCCCTCATCCAACCTCGCTGCGCTTCGGAGGTGCGTCACGATACTCTTTATCTACGTCATTTTCTACGCTTCTTTCTTGGACAGCGTCGTTTGGTTCTATGTGGGCCGAGATGTGTGTGTCCCGGCCCGCGCACCATTTGTCTTTTGCTGCAATGTGGAAGTCTCAAGCTAATCCGATGTCTGTAACCAGTCCCAACCCATCTCCTGGCCCATGGCATGTCCTTCGTCACGACCACCTATGCTCTTTCTGGTATCGTTTGGACTCAATCCGCCTCAAACTGCCTTCAGGTAATGTTACCCTTGAGTCTCCCCTATTGCACAAGCAGTTCCATAACTCACTCGAGAAGGGACATGGCAAAAAGGTTACTCTCAAGTGCCGACACCTATATCACCATGAACTAGAAGCTTGACCCTCGCTGGAATTAACGATTTTTGGTCGTACTCGGGCCAGAGATACCAAATGAGTCTCACAAACACCTGGAGCTCCCTGGTTGTTGATGGCTGAAGGGGGTTTTCTTCAGGAATATGGCAGCTCCCTCCAGTCACTCGTCCTTCCGCAAAACATGCCTAGCCATGGCGATTCCTCATGGAATACAGCATCAAAAGCTCGAAATCGCGTCAGTGCAATCACTTCCCACAGCTCTTCAGCAACCCTAGACTTGGGGTTTACCGTCATGGAAGGACTTCATAGCCATTTGGTCATCGAGTTCAATGCAGTAATGAGCAACTCCGGCAGCACACATTACACCAGAATACATAGCATTGGTGACATGAGTCATCTGTGTGCACGCATCCCCTGCAACGAACACGCCGGCAACATTGGTGCTGTGAAAGGGAGGGTGTGCCACAGCAAATGCACCTGAAGGGGCGAGGTCAACACCAAGCTGGGATAAAAGTTGTGGTGCTGCGGGTACAATCGGCGGCGTATGGACCAAGAAGCCCATGTGTGTAACAGACCGAGAGCCGTCTTCATTCCGGAGATGAACGTAGACACCGGGCTTTTCTAGGTCTGCTGCTAGTCTCAGTACCGGCCGTGTGTCGATATGCATTCGGTGCGCGGCGCATACATCGAGCGCCTTTTGGATTGCGGGATCCGAATCGACATTCGGAGGCCCATTAGTGAACACAGTCACTTTGGATCGGAGGCTACTGGGCGTGGGTAGCATCGCAGGTTCTCCTTTGGGGAGACACATAAAATGCGCCATTGTCGCCACCTCTGCTCTGTCTGGCGTGAAGGAAGGATGACACAGGATGCCCTTTGGAAGCTTGCGGCGTTCGTAACCGTCGCAAAACAAGCAGTGATATCTGAAAGGGTTTTTGGTTAGCCTAGGTTTGGTTTGCTGCTGTGAGATTGTTCTCCATGGGCGCGGAAACTCATACATATTGTTTGGCCAGTTCTCGGCATACCCTTCGATATCCGGTAGCATGTCTCGAGCCCCAGTGGCAAGAACGACGGTCCTCCCTTGCCAGGACTCCCCTTCGGCGTTCTTTGCAACGAAACTGGTACATGTTCCGCCTCTTCGACCAACTTCAACAATTTCTGCCTCCACAAAGGTGGTATTCCGGTATCTCTGAATTTGGCCCCTGGCGTTCTCGTAGAAGGAACGTGGATCGAGGTGGTCACAGCTTAAGACAGCATGAATGTGGCTTGCGCCTCGATTCCGGTGCTTATTATGGGTGAATAGTACGCAGGAGCGGCCAACACGACCAAGACCTAGAGCGACACTGAGGCCTGCAGCACCCCCTCCCACAATGAGACAGTCATACACCATCATTCAAAGGTCAGCTTTGAGTAGAACGAAAGACCCTGGAAGAAGATGGTGTATCCAATTGAACAGCAGCGGGCGAAGCCATCGCCTTATACAAATATATCAAAATCGCCCCTGACGGCCGTGAGTTTATGTCTCCCAATGTTCCCGTGCGTGGATGGCCAAGAATGTGCTCAGAATACCTAGCCTGTCCATCCTCACAATGTCGCCGAGCTACTGGTGAATTGTCACCGAGACTAGCATTCGTCACCTGGTCGAAATCGCCGAAGGAGTTCATTACTGTTTCTCGATACCCAGTTGGGGAGAGGCCAATTATGTGTAGGGTGAAATCAAGCACATATAGGCTCCGCTTGTCCTTATGAGGATCTATGCCTGTTACAACTCCGAAGAAGGGTCCATCTGAGCACTTTGAACACTATCAAGTTGACTTAGGTTCTTGAAGATTCTTGATATAGTCGGATATTGGTCAAGGTTGACACCGACTCTCGAGGCTGTCCAAAGTTCTGGTAAGAGAACAATGTCCGCAAGCGTCACTTGATCCCGGAAGCTATAAGTCCCAGCTGTCTTGCTGGCGAGCTTCTCATAGACTTTGAGTCCCCGGGTGATCCAGATTGTATCCCAGTCGCGATTTCCCGTTGCTTTTGCGGCTTCCGAACTGAGCACATGGGAAGTTGTGTTGGATAGTCTTCCCCACTCGGTGGGTGGTGAGTGGATGAAAATCGGTTGCGATAATACCGACCAGAGTGCGCACTTTTGCGCGGGCCAACGGCTCACTAACGGGAGGTAGGATAGAATGGGTCCCTGGGAAAGCCTCGTCCAGATATTCAAGTGCGGCAATGGATTGAGTAAGTACTACTCTCTCCTCATTGTCGTCCAGGCCGATAGTTTTGTAGTCGATGACGAGAGTAGGCACTGTCAGCGCCTCATTTATGTCGACATATTTCGGATCGAGCTGCTCATTTCTCGAAATGTTGACATCCACGAGAGTATATGGGAGACGTTTGAGGTGGAGACCTATGCGAAGACGTGCTGAGCAATCTGAGATCGTAGATGAGTACAGAGTGATTGTGTGTGCCACTGCACCTGTGGTGTCCGCCATGGTGTGTCTCTTTTTCTCTATCAGAGTGCCAGGGAATTCGGTGGACAGAAAAGAAGAGTTCGTGGTCAGGCTTAAAGCTCTAACGAGCTAGCGACAATGTAATGAGAGAGATAGAAAAAGTATTTAAGGGATACAAAGAAAGCATCATTAACTACAAGGTGGTAGTCAGACAGCCTGAACAGGTTACCCAATAGTTTTTGCACCACCGTTTCACGATAAATATCCCAGAACAGTATCAAAATAACCCCAGTTTCCTTCGCAGTACTCCGTACAATGGTACACTTTGCCTTTCATACTAATCTAGGGTAGGCGTTAGCGGGGTTTAATAACCGATACATCGATTGGTCCCGTGAAGTTTTTGTTTTCGTCCATTACACTCAAAAACTTCTCGGTAAATCGCACGTTCTCGATGAGTCTAAGAACAAAATATTCCTAGATAGGCAGGTCTATTGGATCTCAATCTACCCGACTGACCTTCGAACAGTCCAAGTTATTCAACCTGATTCAGTCGAATGTGCCCGGTCGAATGTGCCCGATTGAACGTACCCGATTGAATACACCCGATCGAATGTATCCGGTCGAATGTACCCGATTAAATGTACCCGGTCGAATGTATCCGAGCCTAAGAATAAGTCTCACCAGGCGAGAGTTTGACAGCCTACCTCGTACCTGGAGAATTACTGATAAAATCGAGCAAACTGCGACGAGAAGCCAGTTTCCACACCAAGCCTCACAGTCTCCTCTCCTAACCTTTCTACGATGATCATCAACAAGGCAGAGTTGTAAACTCCCGGGACGAAATTATGCACAAAAGGTGATCCACAGGAGCGCTGCCGTATCAAAGCATTCCCCGGTGAGTGAATCAAATGTCTATGGTAGTCTCGTAAAGACAAGCCCTCTAGGTGATGTTGACTAGATGTGACTCTAAGTCTCTAACTGTGACCCTTTCGGCATCACCTCAAATTAGAATACCGTCGGCCAGAAAGACAAGATCAACTATCAACGGCATCCAAAGCAAAACCCGGGGGGATAGATCCAGCCTCAAGAACGAGTTGGGATATATGCTTTGCGAGACACGGAACGAAAGACTTATTCTCGTCTTTCCGCTACCTCACTGCCAGAAGCGTGGCTTTTCTAACTCCGTGTATCTTCTCTTACTCGTATCATCTAACTAATGGTAGTAGATACAAGCAGGTTTCTTTCTGGATCCATTGACAAAAGGTTGTATGGATGCGAGAGCTTCGAATGTCGGTGTCCGCGATGGCAGCGACTTTTCTGTCCAAAGAGGAAGAAAGCTTCGGTTAGTCCGGGCACTAACCTGTGCTCAGAATGAAGTGTGAAAAGCTGCAAGGTACCTGTAAATCAGGCATTATCCACATGACAGACCTTGTGGGGGTTGGTGCGAAGGTCCCGAACAGCTTTCTGGGTTATACTGTTCTAGACTTGCTCCCCCAGACCTATTACAAAGCAGGGACTCGGGGTCTTAACGCCTTTCCTTCCTATTGGTAACTATAACTGATCCTAGATAGGGACATTGAAATATCGTAAATATAAAGAGAAAACCTCTCTGTAGCTCTCATTCTATCGGTGGCAGGGACGCCAAGAGAAGAAGACTACTTCCGAAACGACTCGGGAAAAGGAACATGGGAAGTATGGAGAGCCACATTCCGAAGGGCTGCTGTGGAATTGAAAACATCCCCGCTGTCTCTCGGTAAGAATCTGCTTTGGAAAATGGGTTTACTTCGACTGATGGACGGGGGAGCCAAATGGCCCAAGCACAAGCAGGACACAGCGCAGATTTGATCGCTTCGGCGGACAACACGTCTTCTTTTCAATAGCGGCGTCCAGCAACAGTGCCTCATCAGCTTGACCATCAGGATGCAGGGTCGGATCAAACTGAACTGCCAGCTTTGTCGGAACTCCCAGATTGCACGATGGGTCCTGGTTTCAACAGACATTCTCCCCTCGTCGCGGCGTTGGTGGCCACTTTCTACGACGATTTTTTCCCGTCACACCCATTTCTGATCCCCGAGAAGCTCTATCGCCGGAGCCCCAATCTTTTGCCTGATCACCTGGTTGCGGCCATGTGTGTGCTCGCCGCATCCTTCGTCCCGGCGCCCTTCGTTTCGCGCGAGGCTGTGGAGTCGTTCAAGGCCACGGCGGCGCGAGCGACTTTGCCGACAACTCCCGACGACGGTTTCAAGGATCAGAGTCTCATGCTATCCGCGCTGTCGGAGTACGCAAATGATCACCAGGCGACGTCGCGCCGCCACCTGGACCTAGCCGTCGATCTGGCCCTTCTTATTGGCATGAACAGAGCGCCGAGCCCTACAGCAGCAGCCGAGAGGGAAGCGCCAGCCATCGTCAGTGAAATGTGGAATCGAACCTGGTGGGAATTATATTTTATAGCAGGTTTGTTCTCTGCGTCTGGAAGCACTAGTTCGTGGATCCGGATCTCGCTCGCCCCGGTCGATCGGCCTTTGCCTGGCCGCTGTCGGGAATACAGTGAATGTCTCATATCACAGAATACACCGTCAGAGCTCCAGTTTTACCGACATCGGCCACCAAAGTCTCACTGCTGGTCTGCCTTCGCTTTCAAGGTTGCTTCGATTCATATCATGGCCCAGGTTCTGGAGTGGCAGTCGCAGGTCAAAGCGCCGAGTCCGCGACTGGCCCGCCAATCCGTCCAGGAATTGAGCTTGCTCGTGAGCTGCATGAAAACGAGCGTCCACGACATCGTGAAATGCGACGGGAGGATCGACGAGCAGCTGTTTTCTGCTTCAATCGTCGTCCACTTGACTAGGATTCTCCTCAGCTGGCCGGAAGCGGGAGATATCCTTCGGAAATTCCCCGATACGACAGAGATTATCCCTGGCTTTATGACCACGGCGTCTTGGCCTCATGGCGAGTCCATCGCGGCCGCTCATGGCATCATCAATCTGATTCACATGGACTTGAAGCTTCACCGACGGACACCGTTTTTTGGACTAGCACTTTATATGGCCGCTATCCTATATGGGGTTGAGTCCGCCCAGGCTTCGACAGTTACACAGTCTCAAAACGCAAGAGTGCGCTTCGCCTAGCGATTAGCGCCTTGAGATATCTCGGAGAGGTGTACCAGTTACCACTGACTCTTGCAGTTGCAGTAGAGGAGTTGACAAAGAGACGTACTTTTGACAGGAAGCGAGAGGAAATCTAAATGTCACCATGACAAGAGCCCTGAGGAGAGAGAAATATAACTGAGAATTAGCGGCAGCGCGCTCTGCTGTTGATGCTGATATAGCTCTGAGTTTTAGGTCGGTACATTTTGAATATACTCAGTCTGGTCGTAAAGACTCAGCAGACGGCGACACTCATAAACCAGCAAGAGGCAGGTTGGGCATTCTTTATGGTATGAGCCTCGATATATGACCGGAAAATCAGGCGGAGGTGCCACGGTATGCCATGATATTTGCCGTTGCTCCATACACTGTAACAGCGAAACAACCGAAAGTGGCGGCTGTCCGTTCTCGTCGTTTGTCTTCGAGCCGAAAATCTCGGCCTTGAGTGCCATTTTTGCAAGCTCTTTCCATGTCGGCCCGCCCAGATTTAACGTAAAAGTGTACGACTCATGGTGAGGATCCAAGTCCGTTCTGGGCGGCGGGCATGACTGGTCTCTAGGGTCCAACAACTGTATCCGAACGATGTTTCCTTCACGAACCGAAGCAGCGGAGGCTTCGAAAGTCTCTAGAATTTTCGCATAGCATTCTGTAACCGAGATGAGCAGGACTCCAACCAACTGGGCGATTTGCATCGCAGAAAGAAAACGGCGGGGACAGTATTCGCATTGTATAGCCTGTGATGCTACTTCAAGGGCTTTCCGAAGAGTCGTCAAGGTTCCTGGGAACGAGAACACTTTGATTGACCTCATTTCGTCAAGGCTTAGATAAATGATTGAAACGCATGCGCATTGGTGAGATGACAGCTCCTCAACTGTCCCATCAACATGTGAAATGGATTGATCGATCGATTCTGAAGTGGTCGCCGGATGGATGAAATTCCCAAATTCACCACCATACGTGCTGCCTGGTTTGTGGCTTCGGTGTCCGAGGAAAAGGAATCAACTGTGGACGCACTTAACTCGGCTGGTTGTTGATGCGGCACATTGATTGAGGACCCTAAGTTCCGCCTGGGACTGGGGGCATGGTGACGACGAAGAAATTGATCCTGACACTTCTTTTTCTTCGGTCGACCCATCAACTTTCGGGCAAGATAGGTGCACGATGCTCCCGCAGTGATACACCTCGCACAAGTTGGGCGATCCCCAGAGCATTTGAGCTTCTTAGAGCCTAGAATATGTCAACAGCAAGTTGCCTCCTCGACGCAACAAACTTACTACAGCGTTCGCAAGCTGTGTTTACAGCAGACATGTTCTGCTGCTGGCCAGAATGTTTATTCACCACATGTTGTATTGGCACGACGGAGAGGCTGAGCTTACCCCCCTGCGCCCTTTGCGTGGAATTTGGCGCAATACAGGAGGCGGACGTCGCGACAACTTTCGATATTTGCATGTGCCCTTCCAATGATTAATGCCATTAATCTCAACCCCACGCCAAGAACTTGCTCACAAGCAGACTGGCAGACAAACTGGAAGACTTCAGGATATGACGGCCTTCCAGTTCGGATCAAAACCAGATTGTATCATGGCTACTTCCACCATGTCCAGCTCGACATATCCAGTGACTATTAAAGGCCAGACGATCCAGCTGACAGACTTGCAGTGAAAATCATCCGAAAGCCTTCCAAGTTGCAGTAGACGAATTAGGACTATCTCGACGAGGATAGGGCTAAGGGCGAAGGGTAAGGAGGCTAGCAAGTAGAAGGTAAGAGAGCAAGAGGAAGGGTATTAAGTCGAGAGGTGATGGTTTTTAAAGCGGTATGGTCAGGGTCAGGGGGTGAACCCCAAGCGAGCGCCGAGCGGATTTTACTCTGCTGGAGCCCGCTTAGCGTCCACCACCACCTCGTCTCGCTCAATGACTCCCATCAACTCAACCCAAGGGGAAACATAGCTTGCACACCGCCCAACTGAGCGCCCCAAGATTCAATAGGAGGTAGAACGGAGGCTCTGGCGCTGGCTGATTTGAAGTCTCACATCCGATCTTGACAGGCCGGGGTCGTTAAGCGCTGCAACACCTTTCCCAACCTGGGTGAGTCGATCAGAGACTTGGCCTGCATTCAGCCTCGTTCGATGCAATGCTGACCAAGAGACCAGGAAGGACAGTCAGTCATGGCCAATTCCACCATCCCCTGTCCGGAATTCACATTCACCTCCCACCCCTCCGTGTCGTCATTCGCGGTGCCATTCCAGACATACATCGCCGACCAGGCCACAATCTCGGGGAGCCTAGACTACCAATACGTCGCCGTGGGCGCCCATGTCTTTTCTCGACGCCCCACCGCGACCGATACCGCCGGCCCCGCTCATACCGACGACAACAACGACAACGGAAGCAATGACCTCCGGGTCCTCCTCATCCAGCGCGCGGCCCACGACTCGGCGCCTCTTCGCTGGGAGGTGCCGGGCGGCGCGAGCGACCTCGAAGACGCCAGCATCCTGCACTCCGTCGCTCGGGAGCTGTGGGAAGAAGCCGGGTTGGTGGCGACAGCCATCGGACCACTCGTGGGCCAGGGCCACGTCTTTCTCACGCGAAGTGGGAAGCGAGTGTGTAAGTTTGAGTTTCTCGTGGAGGTGGAGGGAGGCGATGCGTTTCCTGCTGGCCCGGCCCAGGTAAGGCTAGATCCGAACGAGCATGTGGATTATGTATGGGCAACAGAGCAAGAGTGCAGGGATGGCAGGACCAATGTAGAGAATGTTGAGTTGTCATTTACGACGTGGCAGCAGAAGGCGACTTTGCTTGAAGCATTCAAGGTCCGAAAGGAATTGCACGGGTCGACGATACAGTCGTGACGCTGATCATCAACAAGAACGAGGCTGGGCGAGGACAAGGTAGGAATTTACAGCCATAAATCGATCAGAGCATCCTGGTCTCATCAATACCTGTTATCACATTATTACATGCCTGAGTAGTACTCAAGTTTTATCGTTTCCTTGCTGCAGATGCTACTTGAAGCGGCCCTACTAAGAAGCCTCAATGAGCACTCCAATTCACCGTTTGCAATGCATCCAAACTCGCATCCATCGTGTATCTTTCGTCCATTTGTTCATAAATCATGCTGAATTGGGCACAGGCTTGCGCTCCAGGCTCTTCCGGCCGTGGCTACTCGTGCCGTTGGTCAGGGCAGCGGGAGGGTCTCTGACAGATGAAGTGGCACCCCCATAACCGTTCGTGGGCCCAGCCGTCGAATGAAGACCGGCGTCGCGCTCCACATCTGCGTCGCTCTTATTAAGGTAACGATCCTGATGCACTGCGCCCGTGTCAAACCCAGCCGCCTGCCCTCGGAGACCATGAGCAGCGTCGAAGGGCGCACCGCCATAATGCTCTCCGTATCCCCACCCAGCTTGTCTGGTGAAGACTGCGGTTTCAAACCCTCCGGCACCGGCTGCCCCTGCACCATAGGAGAATGGAGTATGACGGGTCAACGGGATGTGGTTGAATCTGAAGTCCCAGACTGAGGCATATACCATGCGGTAGCTCGAGATGGCGAAAACAGACCCGATAACAGCGCCAGCAAAGACGTCATACCAGTTGTGATATTCGTCAATGGTAAGAGCGCCACCAATCAGGCAAGCACCGAGCAGGGGAGCATAAGTTACAATGAGTTTCCAGAATGCTGGGTGGTGGTTGCTGAACACTTTCAGCTTGGCGTTGAGGTAGAAGTAGAGGTACACGAAGCCACCAAACGCCGCGGTGGTGTGGCCCGATGGCATGGACTCGAGCGAATCGTCAATCTGGTCGACATCGCCCCGGCAAATATTTCTCTGGAACATGATATTCTGGAACCCTCGGCCAGGGTGCGCAGCCATCAATGCCGGGTCTGGGTCACAGACGGCTAAGAAATGAGGTCGCAATCCGCCGATCAGCCATTTAACAAACACTTGAAATACTGCCGCTCCAATGAGAGAGTACAGGAGACCGATGATTGCATTGTTGGCATCCCAGAAAGAGCGAATGCGAATCTGCATGCACAGGATGATGAAGATTGGGATCAACGAGGCAAGGAGGGCGGCGAGCCAGATTGGGACGATTTCATGGCGTAGCGGATAGGCGAACTCGGGATAGACGATCTCTCCATCGGAAAACGTCACTGGGAATGAGCGGCTAGGAGCAGGTTTGGCTTCATAGACTCCGAGGCCGATGGCGCCCATGGCAGCCATGGTCAAAAGATCCAGCCATGTGAACTTGAGCCTGCCTCTTTGTCAGATCTTTTGCCATGGGTGACGAGCGGGGAGGGATTACCATTGCCCGAAGCTCGGTCTGCGGTTGAAGTCGCCCGAGTCAATGTCGAAAACTGCCCGACGGTTTCGTTTTTCACGACGAAGCGCATGGCCGTTGTTGGTATGACCGTTTGCTGCTGGGGTGTGAGTTCGGCGCGAAAAGAGGCCCATCTTGACCGGTGGGATGGATATCAGGTACGAAAAGAAAGGGTGCTGATCAAATAAGAGGGGCAGAGAGCAGATGTGTCAGAGCGAAGAAGGGAATTAGTTGAAGGGAAGGTCAGAAAAGGGAGAGGCTACCTCTCCTTGATGTCGGGCAACTGCAGACGTTCACTGCCGTACCTGCTCGATGTCAGTGGAATCGAAGTGATGAGAATGCAGCGAGGTGAAGACGAAGTATTTCAACTTCGCTCTCTCGCCCTGTGCCACAAGGCCGTGAATGACGCAGTGGGAATTGTGTTAGCATATTAGTGGATGTCATTTCCATCCCCAAGAGAGATGCCTTTGCCTTGTTTTCGGACAGCACGACGCCGTTGCTTGCACGAAAACGGGTGACGGTGAACCCACGGACTGGAGTTTGGAATGCAGATCGCAAAAGAACAAGTGCCAACTGGGAAATCGGGTGTCACACTAAATGATGCTAAGTGACTTGGCTGACGTTGAAATGTGGCTGCAAGCCACCATGACGACAGGGATCAGCTGCTGTGATACCGCAGATCGAGATGATCGAGCAGCAGCAGCAATAGCTAATGGCCACGGCAGACGCCCAAGAGAGGCGGAATGTTGAATTGCAAGTCTATTCCCATCCTCATGGTCTGCTCTGATACACGAATAAGATGCCCAAGCAACTCCAAGCTCCAGCCAAGCTCCCCCGTCAGCCCACCTGGTGTGGCGTCGGACGGGCCAGCAAGCCACACTCCAGAAAGATACGAGAAGCGAATGAGAGGAGAATTCTGAGAGGAACTCTATTGATACTATGAGAGGAGATATCATAGAGTACATAAAGAGCAGTCCGAGTGGATAGATCCTCCATCTCCTGTCGACAATGCACCGATTCCGCGGCAACGAGCTCAAGCGCGGTGTATAGACACGCATATCCTTCCCTTCGATAAATGCGCGAGCACCGGTCACCACTTCCCAACGGATACACCTTCCTCAGCAGTGACGGGTTCAAGCATAAATGGACCAATCCAGCCATTCCGCTCGAGTGTCGGAAAAGGCCTTCATTGCTACAAGCCGAACTTGAGCTGCGTCCGTTCCTGTGAGTCGATTTTCAATGCCGTCTCTCGACAGAATCGATGCTTTGTTCCGTAAGATGTCAATGCCTTTCTTTTTGTAGTTCTTTTTCTGTGAGATATCCTCGTCTAGTCCAGCGTGTCGATCCAGTTCATGCCTTCAAAGATCTCCATCATTTTGTAGCAGAGTCCGACATCGTCACCGGGATAACCTCCGAATAGTTTGATCTGTTCGGCCTCAATGGTGGCAGCTTCACGGCTTTGAGCTTTCTCGCGGGTTTGCCAGGCAACATATCGATTGTACCAATGTCTCGAGGCAACGCTAGGGTTCGCAGTGCGCAGGGCTTGGGCCATGGGAGATTGTATGTCTGTGTTTGCAGAGGATGGAAAAAGAGCGGAAGAATCTGACGGCGCCGAGAGCTCGTCTGGCATCTCAAAGATGGGGTTTAGAGAGGTATGGTTGCGGTTGCGAGGGCGAACCCGCCTGCGGTTGTGTTTGTGTGCCATTGCAATGAGGAGCTTTCCTGGGTGGGAAGCCTAGATGAGCATGAGCGAAGGGAATGCTGTCGCGAGATCAAGTGAGTGCCAGCTGGACAAGTTTAATGGGAAATCATATAAAGCATGGGAAAGTGATACCCAGCATGAGAGCGAGGTATATATGCCCGATCCATGCATGAGCCTTGCCGATGGCGACAAAGGTAGCGTGAGTCACATGAGAGATACCTAGATCTGGCCCAGAGAGGAAACTCAGCAGGCGGCTAATAGTCAGAACGAGGGTAGCATGACGACTTGTTGGGCATGCCTGCGTTGTCGTCCTCGTCCACACAGGCACAACAGGCCTTGTGGTGTGAGAGTCATAAACGGAGTGGCGTGCACCAGTCGGATGAGAGGGCCGGCCAGGCGCCCATGAGTCATGACACTTGTGGTGTAGTGGCATGAGTTCCTGGCGACCTGCATCTCGTGACTCGTGGTGAGTGCTGAATGGTGGAGAGCAAAAAATCCTTGAAGACTGGGCTCAGAGTCTAGACCATGAAGGGACAATACAAAGGATCGAGGGGGATCTTGAAACACATCGAAACGTGGAACGTGGATGGCTGCATCAGCTGTTGGGGCGAGAGGAGACGGCGGCGGAGAAATGTTTTTGCCACTTGCTTGGCTCGAAGGATGGTCTTGGCAGTGGGTACGGCGGATCACTACAGATGCAGACGCAGTGCGGTCTCGGATGCCAAGAAACTGGGGAAGCACCCCATTGCCGAGGCTTCTGGTTGGCAATCACGGCCGATCGATAACTCCAAGAATGGCCTTTTGCCGCGGATCCAACACCACCTGCAACATTTACTTCCCAATATTCTTGGATCTTACTTCTGCTCTTCTTGAGAAACCCCAAACCCAAAAAGAATCCGAGACCCGTGGCAAGCAAAAGGCCTGAAACGACACTACGATCCGGGAGCAGCCATGACTTCGACAGCAGATCTCCGAATCTCCTCACTCTTCGATGTCAGCAACCATGTAGTGCTGGTCACCGGAGGAGCAACCGGACTGGGCGAAATGGCAGCTCAAGGGTTTATTCAGAACGGTGCCCGGGTCTTCATTGCCAGTCGGAAAGAGTCCGAGTTGAAGAAGACGGCAGACCGGCTCAACTCTCTGGGACCGGGCAAGTGCGAATACATCGTTGCCGACCTGAAGGATAAGGCTGGTTGTGATGGTCTGGTCAACGAGGTGAAGAAGCGAACGGATCGTCTGACGGTGTTGGTCAACAACACTGGTGCTACATGGGGAGCTCCATATGACGACTTCCCAGAAAGCGGTTGGGATAAGTTGATGTCACTGAATGTCAAGTCCATCTTCTACATGACCGTTGGATTGCACGATCTGCTGCTCAAGGGTACCAACGCCGACATGCCCTCGCGGGTCATCAACGTCGCTTCCATGGCCGGAATCCAGACGAGCGACGTCACCACAACCGGAGACGGGGGGCTTTCTGCACCGGGTCACGGCACCTTCAGCTGTATGATTGTCCCCTGAAATTGCATATGGAAAACCCATACTGACAATCTCGATACAGACGGACCATCAAAGGCTGCATGTATTCACCTCAGCAAGTTGCAAGCGTCCAAATTGGCCCCACTGAACATCATGGTCAACTGCATCTGCCCGTAAGTTTGCCCTGTCATGCACCTTGATCGGGAACGCGTATATGCTGACCTACAACCGCAGTGGTGTCTTCCCATCTCGAATGACAAACTTTGGCATTCAAAAGTACATGGACACCCTGCTGGAACGACAACCCACCGGACGAGTGGGCAAGCCGTCTGACTTTGCAGGGTTGGTCCTGTTCCTCAGCAGCAAAGCATCGGCCCATATGACGGGCAATGTGATTGAGATTGATGGCGGCAGCACACTCAGTGGCTGGAGAGCGAGGAAGAGGGACAGCAAAATCTAGACTGATAGAACTAGAATCGACGCGTGTGGAGTGGCAGCTAGTCAGCCTTGTCGGATAGATACAGTTTCTGTGTCACCAATGCTGTGTGCTCCGTGCTAGGCTGATTCAACATGTAACTAACCAAACCGAAGCGCAGGACTCTCAAAAGCACTTCCCTATCTACTATAAGGATCAATCTTGACGTGTTTCATATGCTGCTCTTTGGATGCCACCACGACTGCGGACGGTGATTTTTCAGATCGGGAAGGGTGCATGATGCATGTAAAAAGGCTGTGGTTGGCACGGAGTCACTGGAGTCGCTACTGACGTCGGAGGCACCCTTTAACTGGAGCGGTGCTGCTTGGCGTCCCTGGGCTCCCTTGGGCTCCCCGGAGCCATCAACCAATTGTTGGTGAGCAGGGGGGGCTGGTGAGCTTCTAGGCGCAGGGTTGCCCCCCCAAAGACTCCCAAGACTGACGGCACCAACGAAGCCAAATGCTCTTCTGGCCCTGCCGCTGGCAGCGTTTCATCCGCTGCCATGGGAAGCACCAGAAGCAAGTCCCTGTGTCCCTCGTGTCTCGACCCCTTCACCTGCATCCCCTTCTCCATCCGCGTCTCTCCCCTTCATCCCCAACTCAAACTCCTAAAACACCTGTGACCAACAAGTCCGCAAATCCCCCCCAAAACCCAAGATGGTGGTATTCTGCCTCTCGTCCTCTTGGAGGCATTGCACTTGATTGCATTTTGATTTCCAACTATTGATTTGACGGCAAATCCCAGATTTATCACGGCCGCACCTCTCAACCAGCCCGCTCTCTCTGCGATCGATTAGCCTAACTGCATCCCCGCCTGCGCCATTTCGCCCTGGCTTCTTCGCTCTTCCGCTGCCGTACATCACCCTCTCGCCACCTTTTGACGTCTTCTTACTTCCTCCTCTTCCTTCCATCTTTCCATCGTTGGGCTCATTCTTTGAGCGATGCGTCCTGGCGGAGAAACGCTGCAATATGACAGACTCACGATGACCTTTCAAACCTCCCTTTATCCTACCACGCCATTATCCTCCGATCCGACCTCCGTCCCTTCCTCACCCTCCTTCGCCGGGCATGATGACTGGCGGGAAGGGCCTTCACTTCCTTTCAGACCCCGTCCCGATGGCTCACCTACCTCGATTGTCATAAATATCAGTGATGGCGGTGCAACTGGCCGCGGCATCCTTATCGGGCTATTATCTGCGTTTGGTTCCGCTGGTGTTGCGGTGCTTGTTCTTGCAATCTTCTTTTTCTTCAGATATACATCTCGTGGCCGTATCCTGTTAGACCGGATAGGCCGGCCCGGCGAGTTCGACGATGAGCAAGCCTTTGCGCAGGAAGAGGCCGAGGCCTTGGAGACGATGGACGAGTTGCAGAGGGCCGAGTATTTAAGAGCAAAAGGTATGAACTAATCCCATAATAAGTCAATCACTCTCGCTCAAGTTCTGACGGCGACACAGCATTTATACAAGCGAATCCTCCAGAGTCCGTGCAGACTGATATATCGCTGTCGCAGTTTCTGGCGATCCAAGAAAAAGGTGTTTCTGCGTGGGAGTTTGAGCCGGAATTGGAAATCGCCAACTGCTTTGTCGAAGCGAGAACCGAAATCGAGTTCTTTGACTCAGAGTGCAGTGTACAGAGCAATCTGCCAGTACCCAAGCAAAACGAAGTGTATTACTGGGAGGCTAAGATATACGACAAGCCGGAGAATAGCCTGATCAGCATTGGTATGACCACGAAACCATACCCTCTGTTTAGATTGCCGGGTAAGTGCATTGTCTTTTTTCCATGGGCTGCCAAAATTCCAGGTGCTGACTGATCAGGTTTCCATAAAACATCGGTCGCATATCTTTCCACGGGACATCGACGCTACAACCAACCGTTTACCGCAAGCACCTATGGTCCACCTTACGTGCAAGGAGATGTGATCGGGGTAGGATACCGGCCTCGAACCGGCAGCATTTTCTTCACACGCAACGGGAAAAAACTAGACGAGATTGCGCACAACTTAAAGACCCAGAACTTCTTCCCGACTGTCGGCGCCAACGGGCCCTGCCACGTGCATGTGAATTTTGGTCAGATGGGGTTTGTGTTTATCGAGGCGAATGTCAAGAAATGGGGGTTGGCACCTATGACGGGAAGTCTTGCACCACCTCCACCGTATGGGAGCGAGCAAGGTAGCATCCTGCTCGAGACCGGAAGAGAAGGAACGCGGCAGTCGACATACGAGCCTGGACACTCGAGAACACGAAGTGGCCTGGCAAGGCTTGGTCTCCCAGCTGGCAATCCTGGGCCCGTCCGGTCAGCCACGGATATATCTTTAGCGCAACTGGCGCATATATCGACACAGGATTTGCCCAGCCAGGGGAACGCGCTTCTGGACATCGGAGATATACAGAACCAGCCTGTGGAGAATACGCCTGCTGGGCAGCAGATTATCCCGCCTCCCGAGTATAGCAGTCCTCCAGGGAGTCGAAGGTCGAGTGGGGACGGCGACGAAGACGAGAGGCAAGAGTTGTTGCGCGAACGGACAGGAGGACCACCCATTCCCACGTACGATGCTGCTGTGGGCGAAGCGGCAGGACCCAGCCATACATGACGAGATACCCCTGAGCATGAAATAAATATCCTTTACGAGCATGAGTGCAAATATGACCTGAATGATTCCGTTTCCAGTAATACTACTGTAGCAGGCGTGGTTCATTTAGGGCTGACCTCCTGTCAACCGCAGTTTGCTTATGACAGAGCGCGTCCATCTGTCAGAGTTCCAGGACGCAGCAGATGTGGATACTTCATGCATGGTCATCCCGACGCGGCCAGACCTGGGGAATCACAAGGCGACGCTCAGGAGCTGCATGCTTGATTATGAAAGAAATTCGTCATGCAAAAGCTTCAGGAGAGACGATGCTGGCCACCCACTGGCCAATCGACTGGATATGCCTTCTAGTTATGGATTTGGGCGACCGTTGAGGCCGCCTGCACGTTTGGTTTGCTTTCACCTCGTGTTCAGTTCGTCCTAGAACCCATCGGGAGGCCATGATCTCGTTAGGGGTCAAGCGGAGGGCTGTAAAGTCTCCTGCTCTTCATCCAACCTTCTCGTTCCCAGCCGTCTCCGAACATAAATTCCAAGAATGACGCAGCCATGGCGGCCACCCACGAATGTTTATCTCTCTCCAATATGCGGCATGCAGGATGTTGACAGCTGAACTATTGGCATGAACATGCTTTTTCCCCTTGATTTGACTTTGGGCATATCGTTCGTTTCTGGACTGTAACCTCCGTCTATCCTTATCATTATTACGTTGATCCTGCGACCCGAAGGCCTGTGCGACTCTGGAAAATACCTCCCTAGACAATGCCTGCGTTGAATGTTTGTTGCTTCACATTCCAACGATCGCAACCTCCTCGGTCCTGCTACATATAGTGAAATCCCGCTCGAGTAATTGACAAGTCGACATACGCAAAGATCCAGGACTCGTCTCCCTCCAGCACCCCCCGCCCCTCAGCTGCTGCAGCTGATCTTCATCCTCACTCCACCCGTTCCCGAGCTGTTTCGGCTCCGGTTTGAAGCAGCTTCCCGAGACTCGTCCCGAACTTTGGAGTAACCCCAGACCAGACCGAAATCACAGGGCTTTGCGGACAGCGAAACAAAGGCATTGTGGAGCGAGCCACAGCAGTGCAAGAGCGGGACGCGGCAAACAATCAAACAAAGACCTTTGTAAGAGGTGGGAAGGCAAAAGTCCTCGATGCGAGGAAATCATGCCTCACGCGACGCAGGCCCGGAGCCTCGCGAATTGGGCAACAAGGAGGAGGCTTCTTTTCAGGTGATCGTGCTGGTAAGTGAGGGCATGTCCTGCTATACATCTACTGGTCACCCATGACACGCGGGTCCAGCTCTCTTCGCAGCTACATACACTAGGGTGTTGAAATGTCGCAGGGGCTGACCGTCGGCTTAGGGATCTACAGGCGGACCTCGAGAAGACAATATCACAGGGTTGTTGGTGAGGGCACCGCAGTCGGAATGGCGCAAGAGTTCCATGATCGCGGTGGATGCGGGAGCGCACTTGTCTAGCATGATCCGCATCCTTCAGAGAGAAATGCCACTGATGTCGGAGAAAGTGCCGGCCAAGGGATACTCGCAACTGTTGGAAAAGGGCCCCTTTGCAGGCCTTCGCTTTCCCAATATCAGTGCAAAGGCCAATGCACTGTACATCTTCCGCGAAATTCTCCACGGCTTCCTCATCACGCATCCGCATCTAGACCACCTCTCGGGCATGGCAATCAACACACCGGCGCTCGAATATGGCAGGGAAGCCAAAGCGATTGTGGCTCTGCCGTCCACCATCGAGGCCATCAAGAATCACATATTCAATGACTGGCTTTGGCCAAACTTGTCAGACGAGGGGAATGGAGTTGGCTTCGTGACCTATAGACGGCTGATCGAGGGTGGAAATCCTCGTTTAGGACTGGGCGAATCTCGAGGTTATGTCAACGTCTGCGACGGGTTGGCTACCAAGTGCTGGAGCGTGAGCCACGGCAAATGCCACAGAAGGGCACACAGCGCATCCTTTCAGCATGGCGACTCTTTCGGGTACCCACCCGACTACAACTTTCCATCTAGAAGACTGTCGCGGATATCAGACGATCATGGTTATTTTGCCGCGGTCGCTCAACAACAGTCACAAAATGCCGGTGCCTATCCGCCTGGGCCAGTCCAGATGTCCGCTGGTCCAGTCACGCCCGGCGGACCTCTCGCCTCGAACATTTTGGACAACTGTCATCTGTTTGAGCCAGTCTCAAGTTCCGCGTTCTTCATTCGCAATGATGCGACGGGGAACGAGCTACTGATCTTTGGCGATGTTGAGCCCGATTCGGTCAGTCTATCCCCTCGCAACCACATCGTCTGGGATGACGCGGCTGGGAAAGTTGCGAGTGGAATGCTCAAAGGCATCTTCATCGAGTGTTCATATGATGACAGCGTGCGCAACGAGGATCTTTATGGGCACCTCTGCCCAAGGCACCTGGTTGCAGAGCTCACCTTCCTAGCCAATTGTGTCTTGAATCGGCGAAAACAGAAGACCTCCAACGACGGTGCCGCCACCGACGCGCTCCTAGACGGGCAAACACCTGGTCGGCCCGTTGGAGCCTCATCAGTACCTGATTTGATGATGCGACAGCCACCGACACCCTCAGAGCTGAAACGCAAACGAAAACGGGCAATGAATGGAGATCTAGCCTCCACGCCCGAACTCGCACGCGCCAGTTTTGACGGCTTGCCTTCACCACAACCTATTCCCAGCGGGTACGTGGGTAACCGATCGGTCTCGTCGACCCGCCGAAAGCGTTCACATGAGCCGCGAGAGAGCGACCACGCAGCTGCCCCGCCCACTCCAGGGCGCGGTCGCAATGTCACCTTCCAAGCCGATTCGGCCGCTGTGCCAGTCCCATCATCGAGCGACCCTGCACTCGCGGCGGCAACAACAACAACCTCGACGGTTCAGAATCACCAGCACCCATCTTCCCTCTCCGGTCCAGCAAACTACCAGCGGGAAAAGCTTCCCGAGCCTCTAAAAGGTGTGACAGTACATGTTATTCATGTGAAGGATACGTTGATGGATGGTCCCGCTCCAGGGGACGTTATTCTCGGGCAGCTTCGGGCTTTGGGTGAGGAAGCAGGTTTAGGATGCGACTTTAATGTGACGAATTGTGGGGATAGTATCTGGGTGTAGCGATGATGAGATTGTTTGGGAAATGTAAACAGGATTTATCATGAGATTGAGGAACTGGTAAGGGGCCAACGGCTTGGGAGTGCAACGGCGGCAACGAGACTGGCGATTGCACTATGGAGGCGGCATCAAGCTGTGAGGCCGTGTTCGAATTCCTTTCATAGTGTTGGCTATTCCTACACTGACTGTATGAATTGACATTGATATTTGATCTTCGTCCAAGCTCCGGCACAAGGCTGTCGCATGATCGAGCAGCAGATGTTCTCGACGAGGCTGTACCATTCAAGGAACCACCGTCGGACCTCTTGGATCAACTACTTCACGGCTGATCAAGCAGGACAATCAACCAGACCGTGATCCCATCAGGATTCAATAGAGATTCACTATACTGATCTTCGCCAACCTCACCCTCTCTCTACACCTTCCCCAATTAACACAAGCATCTCTCTAAGATCAACCTTCGCCAAGGTAGACCTCGATTTTCAACTATATTAACCCCCTCGTTTTTCGGATTCTTTGCAGCTTGTTCTTTCTTTTCTTTTTCCTTCCCTCGAGTTGCCCAAGGTAAGGCGTAGCGTAGGCAAAACTGAGGCGCCTTTCCAGTCCAGCAGGGCGTGTGTGAGCTATTTCCCCTCTTCTTCTCTCTTTGTTTGGTCTCTCTTCTTCTCTTTGTTTCTGGGCTCTGGTTCACACCAGATCCTGGCCAGGCAGCCTGGACTGGAAGGTGGGCGGTTGGAGGGAACCTCAATATGCTATGCCATCCCCTTCCCCTTACCATGTTGCTTGTTCCTACTTACTGAATCAATTGTGTCTTTAGGTCTTGTTCTTGAATGCTTTTCATCATCGCTTGGGCTTTACGCTCGACCTTGGAGAAGAGCAGTAGTGTAGAATGGCAACTGTGTGTGGGGAGAAGGGTGATTGTTGTTGTCCGCTTTCGTGGTGGCTGTTGGGAATGTCGTGTTGACAATTGCTATATTGCTTCATCACCCTTGCTCCCGATTCCTTCGCGTCCCCGAAATCCCCGTCATGACGGCCAACCCACTCACTCCCTTCGCTCATTCACATTGTCCCTGAACAGAGATCACTGCCTCTCATTGATCACCGATGTGTCGAATCTGCCAGGCACAATCTTTCACGCCGGCGAACGTTCATCGCAGCTGCTCCGTCAACTAGGATGAGAGCCAGAAACACAGTTGTAACAGCAAAAGGGCGCTATACAGGCAACAGGGACATACTCGTGGAACTGAGGTGAGACTTGCACGAAAAGGAATTCCTAGCACAACAGTCAGACAGTTACCACCATTGCGGGACGCTGACCACCCGGCAGACACAGGAGTCACGAGTCGCAGAACAGATCAACGCACACGGCACGCTCTCATCCGAACAGGCACCAGAGACCACCCAATACCCAAAAGACCGACCTTGTCGCGTGCAACCGCGCAGCGTTCCTGTCCAAATCCCCCTCTTTGCCCTCCTCTGCAGCCCACAGATTCACCACTGCATCCACGATCGGGGTCAACGCGTTCGCAGCGATGACAATGCCGAGACATCTTTGCACAGTCAACCGGGCCATGGCCGAGCTCTGACATCGTCGTCCAAGCTGCCAGTACGCCGTAAGAGCCAGGATTGATAGCCCCAGGGCAAAATTGCGAACACCTTGAGGATAGACGTATACCATGTGCCTCGAGCTATTGGTTTTTGATGGGCTCGGTGGTGCCTCCAATACCCGTACCATGTATCCCCCAAACGCTACCGCAGCTGATGCAGGAGATATGAAGCTCCATACGCCAACAATAAGTGCTCCAGAGCCTATCAGGGTCGTCAGAAGGGGAAGGGCCGTATGGGACAGTCGAGGAAGAGACATTTCTGCTCGAGATCTGGGTCACTCTCTCGCAGGGAAGCAAACGCTGTCGATTCGAAACCCTACCCGCATTTGCAGGCCGGCCAACCACACTTGAGTGGTACACCAAGCTCGTGGAGGGAAAAGAGCATAGCTTCACAGGGAAGAACGGACCTGACGTCGACAGCTGAGGGGTGAAAAAGCGTATGCAAAAAGCATCCCACCGTACACTTTCTCATTGGTACTGTGGTCTAAACAGCCAAAGACACGAAATTATGGCGACATCGGCCCCGCGGAAGAACATCAAGCCAAAGGCTCGCTTCTTCTCCAACTCTCAGGTGATTGATCATACACACATTGCCATTGCAAAACATTGGCAGCAATTCTCCCAGCTAACAAGTTTCTTCCTATTTAACAAGGGCTAAAATAAAGGTTTGCAGGGATACCAGGCTTTTCGAAGGACCCTCTGTCAATCCAACTGCGCCGAGCTTCATCTCAAGGAAAACAGTAAAACGAAAGTCGTGGAGATGTCCGAGCAGCACTCCCACTCCCATTCTCACCATCATTCCCATGGTCACGACCACTCCCACTCTGGGCCAGCCCATCTCTTCCAAGCAACCTCCTCCAGCGATCAACCACCTGATGGATGGAGAGAAAGCGGCGTCCGGGTTATTCCCGGAGACAGCCTTGACGCCAACACGGCCCAGACGCCAGGAATGAATCGCGCCGCCGCCATAACCACGGCGAGAGTAGGGGCTCAAAAACTGTGGGCCGGGACGGTCAAGATTCACCCAAACGCCAAAACCGGCGCCCACCACCACGGCCATTTGGAGAGCGTCATCTACGTGGTCAAAGGCAAGGCACGGATGCGATGGGGCGACAGGCTGGAATATACCGCGGAGGCGGGGCCGGGGGACTTCATATACGTCCCTCCTTACGTGCCACACCAGGAGATCAATGCGAAGGAAGACGAAGAGCTGGAGTGTGTGTTGATGAGGAGCGACGGCGAGGCGATTGCGGTGAACTTGCCTGATGTCGTCCCGGCGGAAAACCCTGAGGGCGTGAAATGGATTGATCCCACGCACCCGACGGGAGGCGTGTGATCGGGTCTTTTCCATCCACAAAATTATATCAGATATACAAAATGGCAACGACGAGTTCCGATGTGCTCTTGATATGCAGTTCTGGCTGTGACGCCCTCTCAGATGCTCTTGAACTAGCCAGTACCGAGGACGCCTCGGTCGGAGCGCTTGATACTTGACTAACTGCCGGGCTTACAGAGGATCGCCCCATGGGACTCAACCAGGTAACAAAGATTTCCTGCAACTCCAGATCTCCTCCAAGCCTTGGCGTCTCGGGCGTATATGTCCACCGGAACACTATATAACACACTTCTCCTCTTCTGCCAAGCGAAGTCATTTCATCAAATATGGACCTCCGGCGGACAGGTTACAACACGCACCTCCAGTATTCCCTGTTCCGACCTTGGCTTCATTGTGCTCTATACTGCTCCCAGGTAAGTCTGATGGAAGCCAAGAGGAACTAGCCAGCGACGTCTGCACCCCGCATGACTCTGGTTCGGCATATCTGAGAGGTCTCTTGGTCCATACCGTTGCAAAAGCGAGGTAAGTGGAGTTTGTGACACCAGAAAACCCAAGCTGCGGCAAATCCCAAGCACGATCATCATAAGGTCGCAATGGGCAGGATTGCGTCTATATATACCATGTGGCCGAAGTGCCCAGGTGAGGCACCACAGGCGACTGCTCTCTTGCCTTGTGGTTGTGGCTAGCATGTCTCCTCTCCGCGCTGCCTTTCTTACCATCATTGCCTGCGCTTTGATTGTGGTTGGAAATCCAACTTCCGCGAATGGCCGTCCTTCTGTTGAGATCGACTCTGGGGTCGTGGTTGGCATCACCAAAACAGACAACACCTCCGGACTCCAGTTGAACGCATTCCTGGGCATTCCCTTCGCCGCGCCTCCGGTCAGATGGGGTCCGCCTCAGCGACCAGCTCCCTGGAAAACTCCCTTCTCGGCGTCGCGGTATGGACCAGCATGCGTGCAGCAGTTCAACTACCCGTTGTCCCGGAGGAATCTGATCCTGCAGTGGTTCAACACACCTCCTCCTCCGGCTGGCGAAAGCGAAGACTGTCTCAACCTGTGTGTCTATGCTCCGATTCCCAAAGCTAGGGGAAAACAGCAGCTAAAGGCGGTCATGGTCTGGTTGTACGGCGGCGGGCTGCTCTACGGTTCGAATTCGCTGCCGCATTACGATGGGTCGAATTTGGCGGCGAGTCAGGACGTCGTCGTTGTCGTGGTCAACTATCGCACAAATGTATTTGGGTTCCCTGCGTCATCTCAGATACCCATCACGGAGAACAACCCAGGGTCAGTTATCGTGTGAAATCGTGCTTGATCTATTGCTGATCGACAATGCACAGATGGCTGGACCAACGCCTCGCCCTCGACTGGGTGCAGCGCAACATTGCTGCGTTTGGGGGAGATCCTGCTAAAGTCACGGTATTCGGAGAGAGCGCTGGCGCCGAAAGGTAAGTCCCATACTGGTGAGGCGGCAATATCTGTGTGACTGTCTCCTGGGTCTCTGGCAGTGCTTAATACAGGCGAAGTTTGGGTCCTTGATTGCCTTCTCACACTTTCGCAGCGTCGATGCCCTGATCACTCAACCACCCAACCCTCTATCCTTCCGCGCTGCAATCATGGAGTCCGGCACTGCAACCTTTAGAGGCCGCCCGGCAGATCCGTCCGCTTCTTGGAACACCCTCGTGACGGCTATGAACTGTTCCTCCGCAGCAGATATCCTAGCATGCATGCGCTCCATACCCGCCACGACCATCAAAACTTACAACGAGATCAACCGCATGGCATGGATACCGGTGTTTGACAATGTCACGAGCGCCGACACGGCGCGGTCGAACCGTCTGAGCTCGACGCCGCAGAGTTCCAAAATCGCCCGCGTGCCCATCCTGGGCGGCACCAACGCCAACGAGGGCCGTCTGTACTCGGTGACGGCGAACGACTCGGCCTCCTTCATCCGCGGCCTCTTCCCCACGGCCACGGATACGCAGGTCTCCGCCTTGCTGGCCGCGTACCCGCTCGGCGGCCCTCCGGGGGTCGGCTTCGGCACCCAGCTCGAGCAGCTCGGCGCCGTGTACACGGACTTTATATTCCAGTGCCCCGCGCGCCTGGTGCACCTGGAAACCGCGCAGGTCGGCGTTCCCAGCTACCGGTACTACTACAACGTGAGTTTCGCCAACACGGACATCTTCCCCGACGCGGGCGTCTACCACTCGAGCGAGATCGGCATCGTGCTCGGCACGTACCCTCTCCAAGGCGCGACGGCGTTCCAGCGGCGTCTGAGCCGCTTCGTGCAAAAGGTCTGGGCAGACTTCGCAAAGGATCCGTACTATAATTCTTCGTCTCAGGCTGGCTCTGATCATTCCGCGGCGACGCCAGCCGCACCGCCCTGGCCACAGGTTCCGGCCGCCATGGGCGAATTGGGCGGCGGCGTGCGCGTTCAAGACGGGCCGGATGCCCAAGGGCCGTACCTGAGGGTTCTCAGTCAGAACCAGACTGATCTGATCGATCAGCGGTGCGCACTGTATCAGGCCATCTACGATGCTTTGGGTCGCTGAGAGTGTATCTTGATAGCTTGGCGTGAATCTGATCTGGTGAGATCGAGCAATGGCCGCAATTGAAAAGAATCGGAAAGAAAATGGGGAAGGGGTGGGAGGAGGAAGTATGAAGGCTCCGTGGCCAAATAGATCCGTCGATTGTCGTTGTGCTTGGGGATCACCAAGCTCGTGTCCACACGGTAGATTCGTCGTCAATTCATAGTCTAGTTGTGCTCGTGGTTTCGGCGCGGCACACCATGGTCTAGTTGGTGACAGCCACCAGTTCACGGGATATAAGATAGCGAACGTCCATGAGCATCGCAACGGAATTCGCGGCAGAACTCTATGGAAAGGCTTGCTGTAGAGCATAAGACTACTCCCACAACGTAATTGTCTAGATAAATCTCTTAGCGCCAGAAGTCTAATAAGAACATAGCGCGGACACAATCTGTTAAGGCGCCCCTTCGTATAGTTGCTTTACCATATTCATTTTGGTGTCGGCTCCAAGGGTGCTTCGATAGGTGGATTTATGTATGTCATCTGGCTCAGCGAGTCATTGTCCTATATCGCCGAGACCTTTCCGGACTGTTGGTACAACGAGGCTTTGCCCTGAAAAGGAAGCCTGAGAAGGAGCCTTTCTCCTCTTTTGATATAGCGGCCTATCACCTAATACTCCGCAGCGCAGCTTCCTCGGCACGGAGCAGAAGTCGAAAAGAAAAAGGGATTTTATGGCGGGATCTATATAAAGCCTAGTGAGGCATAGGCTAACCCCCGGATTTAACCCCGGCTAACCAAACCAAGCTTTTGCCATGCTTCTCCGCTGTGGGTCGAGCTATGGCCCGTGTACTCCACCATTTATATGCTCTTCACGTCGGTCACTCTCCTCGACCCAGAGAGTCGTGGAATGAGCCTCTTCAGTATAGGTTTAAGAGTTGATTGCGGCAGAGACCGCCTTTGACTCTTCTAAAGAAAGTCAACTCTACCATCAATGAACACCGCTACGGCAACATCAGTGGCAAACTCTCCCTTCCCAACCCTCGATCCATGCCAGCGTCATCGACTCCTAGTGCCAGCCATGCAAGGCTAAAAGCACCTCCAGGACCGGACAAACTCCATCAATCAAGCTCTGTGCAACTTGCGTACCCTTAACCACCCACATTCTAGCACTGTGGACGGACTCCCAACTCTAATACTCGCATGATCCTTTGCACGACGGATCTCGAAACACTCCACCAACGCGGGGTATATCTCGCTCGCGTCCTCTCGTATGCCACCTAGCAATCCGAGTGGAGGACTGTCCTCGCCGTATTATCCGCTGCCAGATCCGAGCCGATCATATTGCGTCGATGATGCGTCCTCCCGGCGTCATATCCAACTGCCGAGACCGTTTCACTCGCAGCTTTTACATGTAGCCCAGTGTCACAGGATGCATGGTAGCCCCGCGCAGACGAGATCAAATTACACCGAGGTGAACATAGCTATAGACTTGCCTGCAAAAGGCGGTGCCGTGTTAACCAGGCCAGGGAACGTGGCCATATAAAAACGTCCGGGACGGTTGCTATCATGGTGCGTGCGTCTCCTCTGCTTCTGTGTTTCGATCCATCCCTGAGCTTCTTAGGGAAGTATTCTATTCATCGTACGTGGTAGCTATGAAAATCTCAACGCTAACACTTGCCTGGTTGTACTCCAGCTGCTGGGGTCTCTGGGGTCTGGTCCTCGCGCAGAGCTTGCCGCAGGTCGACTTAGGCTACCAGATACAGCAAGCATCCTCCTTTAACGTACGCCATCTCCCACAATCCATCAAAGCAAAACCAAAGTTGACTAAGCCGGCTACGCTGGCCACAGGCTACAGGTCAAGTATACAATTTCAGCAACATCCGCTACGCCCAGCCACCACTGGGCAAGCTTCGTTTTGCAGCTCCCGTGCCTCCGACGGGGCGCAACACGACCGTACAAGACGGCAGCGTTGGCGCGATCTGCCCTCAGGCGAACCCGGACTGGATCGCCATCGGCGAGGCATACACTGCCGCCTTCGCGGCGGGGAAGCCGTTCAACTACAGCGCCGTGGCCGCCCAGCTCCAAGCCAACCCGCCAAAGCCTTCTCCGCCTGACCCGAGGATCAAGGAAGACTGCTTGTTTCTCGACGTGTTTGTGCCAAAGTCTGTTTTTGACAAGGCACAGAACAAGACCAGTGGATACAAGGGTGCTCCGGTGCTTGTCTGGTGAGTTTAGTTTTGCTCTTGGGACGTGTTTGTGTCGCTGTGACGGTGGGTCGACTGAAATGGGGATGTCTTTTGGAATGTCGGACCCGTCATGGTCACGACCATAGAGTCGACCTATATTGCTGACATGGCCTTCTCGCAGGATATACGGGGGTGGGTATACGGCAGGCTCAAAGGCGGGATCTGGCAATCCGTCCGGTCTCATCCACACCAGCCAGACCAACGGCTCGGATGGAATCGTGTTCGTCGAGCTGAACTACAGGCTCGGAGCATTTGGCTGGCTGTCTGGCCCCACGGTGGAAGCCGCCGAGGGTGGCGTGTCCAACGCCGGTCTGTACGACCAGCGGTTGGCGCTCGAGTGGGTGCAGACGAACATTCACCTGTTCGGAGGGGACCCCAGCCGGGTCACCATCATGGGCGAGTCTGCCGGCGGCGGGTCGGTGATCCACCAGATGACCGCGTACGGCGGGCTGAAGCCGGTGCCCTTCCAGCAGGCGATCCCCCAGTCGGGCGCCTGGCTGCCGGTCTCGAGCAACTTCCAGAAGGAAAACACGACGCAGGCGTTCCTGGCGCTGCTCAACGTGACGTCGATCGAGGACGCCCGCGACCTCCCGTCCTCGGTCGTCATGGCCGCCAACGCCATGCAGGTCGGCCTGTCCAACTACGGCGCCTTCACCTACGGCCCCGTCGTCGACGGGGCCTTCGTGCCCGACCAGCCCGGCCGGCTGCTGGCACGGGGCCAGTTCGCGCAGGCGGTCAAGGTCATGGCCGGCCACAACACCAACGAGGGCCCCCTGTTCAGCGACCCGCGCATCCGCACCGACGCCGACGAGGCCGCCTGGCTGCGACTCAGCCTGCCCGACATTTCCGACTCGGCGGTCGCTTACCTGCTGGGGACGCTGTACCCGGCGACCTACGACGGCTCGTCCTCCTCGCTGCCGTACCGCACGCCGACGGAGCGCGCGACCCTGATCGTCCAGGAGGGCTACTTCACCTGCAACGTCAACTACATGGGCAAGGCCTACGGCGCGGACATCGCCGAGTACCAGTTCGCGGTCCCACCCGCGCTGCACGGCCAGGACGTGCCGTACACGTTCTTCAACGGCGCGGTGAACGGCTCCGGCGTCGTGGCCCCCGTCGCGCAGGAGCTGCAGCGGTACATCGTCGACTTTGTCCAGACGGGCAGCGCCAACGGGCCCGGCGTGCCCTTCTTCCCCCTCTACGGTTCGGGTGCGGTCGAAACCGTCCTCAACGTCACGGGCATCACGCACATGACTGACCCGGACGTCAACCGTCGCTGTGCCTGGTGGCAGAAAGCGCTCTACTATTAGATTCGGGATAGGAGGTGCATATGTACAAGGCTTTCCATGTGGAGACCATCGACCATGCGCCTGACAGCGACGTACGTTGTGTTCTTGTTTGTGGCTGTTCATAATTCCTATGGCATCACGAAACGGCTGTTTATAACCACTGTGTCAAGGCACAGGGGCACCGATGCCATACATAACCCCTTCCTATAGTTGACAACCTTCTCCTTGACTCTTGCCTCAAACATATGTTCCATCCAAACCTTTCAGCCTCATATGCCAGAGGACACTGGCATGCGTGAGTAGTCCCCTCCGAAGGGCTTTAACGCGTACTATTCGTGGGCCCCTCGTGATGGCCTCACTCCATCTCTCCTCACAGTCTTGGAGACCATGCCCCGGATCGTAAGGGTATTTTTCCACCCCGAACATATGGTGAATGTCTTCTAGACAGCTGAGAGTTGAAACATGGGACAGGAGGTGCCGGATTCTGAGCTTGAGCTTGAGCTTGAGCTTGATTGTTTTTGTCTCTCTGACGATACTGGCATAAATTGCAGTCCCCATAGTCTCAAACCATTGCTTCGCAACAATAATGTTGTCTGCGGCTCGGAGCGTCTGGGCTCTGGCCATGGTCATCCAAGACACAGTCACGACTTCCCTGGCTTCAGCAGCACGACTCTGTTCTCACTAGCACCGAGGTGGTGACTTGAGTGGAAAATGGCAAAACGCAGGAACATTTTCAACGCCCGGGCATTTTCTCTTTATCCGCCATTCCATCGTCCTTATTCGCGTCTTCGTCGTCGCCCTTGGCAGGCAAATTCTTCAAGCACGGGGCATAGAACAGCTGTCCGCTCCAGGCGCCCTTGGCCGTCCCCGCCGCGACGACGCACCACAGCATGATGACGGCGACGCTGAAGATGGTGCCGAGCACCTTGAAGAACTCGCTCGGCATCTCCACGCCAAACGTCATGGTCGAGATGGCGTACACGCCCAGCGGGAACGTGAAGCCCCACCAGCCCATGTTGAACGGGAACGGGCGCGTCGAGTAGATGGTCGCGAGGGCGAAGACGAGCCAGCAGAGCCCGAACCCCCACATGATCAGCGCCACGAAGAAACCGAGCACGTAGACCACGTCGCCTGCCACGGGGAGGTTGTGGAAGAAGTGCACCCGCGGAAACACGAGCCGCGACACCTTGCCCAGGTACATGATCGTGTAGCCGCCCATTCCGAGAGGGCCCAGAGGAAGGAACGAGGAGACGACGACTTCGCGCGGCGGGAGTTTGTGCAAGGCCAGGCGCTGGTAGTACATGACCAGCACCGTGATGGCGAGGGGAGTTGCTGTCTCTTCGTTAGCAGTGGGCCAAGCGTGGGAGATGGACGTTAAGTTGAGGGCAAAGTCTTTGGAGAGGCGTCGCTACAGGATTCGTAAAAGTACTTACCCATACCCCACATTACATACGAAGTGATCAACGTCCCCAGGGCGTGGTCTGGGGAATCGAGCAGTTCGGCAATCTCACTTCCTAGAGACAGTTTATCAACACCACTACCGCTCCTTCAAGTAGCAAACGGACAGCCCGTGGTTTCGGGGTATGGGAAGGGAGGGGGGTTGAGGAGTTGATGCTTACCTGCCCCAGAAGCTACAATGGTACTCGCAATCGGCAGCAGCTGTGCGGCAGTGATCCTGTCCAGGCCCTGCGAGTCGCGCTGGCTCATCAACAGGAAGGGCAGCGACACGGTGACGGCGACGGCGACGAGGGAATCGACCATCCACGCGATCCACGCGACCCACACGCTCCAGTACCCCCAGTAGGGGCAGCACAGGAAGATCCAGCTCTCGACCAACGTGGCGAAGCCCATGGGGATGGTGCCGAGGAAGAGCGAGTTGTTGGGGTCGGCGATCATGACGGACCAGATGGCCGGGTAGAGCGTGTAGCGCAGCAGCGAGGCGAGGAAGGCCAGGGCGAAGAGGGCGCTATTGAGCACGAAGAAGGCCACCGAGAGCCAGTACAGCCAGCGCGCCTTGAAGGGGATGGTGATCAGCAGCAGCGAGCAGATGCCCGTCCCCATGGTCACGCTGAACCACGACGGCGAGAAGTTGCGCACCACCCGCCGCCAGCCCACGTCGTACTTGGAGCGCGGCGCATCCGGCGACGGCGACGACGGCGACGATGACGACTTGGAGACGGTCGTGATGGACTCGGTGTCTCCTGAAGGGTCGGATCGGCGGATCACTTTCTGGGTTTGGGTATTGCTGCTCCGCGAGCGCAGGCGGTTGAAGTCCGGCCGCGAGACCATCTGGCTGGCCGGGATTGTCATGGCAGGGTTGTTGGAGGCCATGCGCTCCATTCTGGCGTCTTCGTCGTCCGGGTCAATCATGCTGGTAGATGGTGGTGCTGGATACTGAAGAAAGGGATCTCGGGCAGAGCATCTCGCTACAGAGTTGGTGTGTATATAACAATAAAATGAGGGTGGTGAGGGGACCACCAGATGACGTTGGCTGAATCTCCCTTGAGGCGATATTGCAGTTCGGCGCGGCCATCTGGCCGGTGCTGGTCAAAGTGGCGGGCGTCATCCACTCCAGCTACGCTTAGTAAAGCAAGTCACTACGGGCAATAATAGGCAACCCACTAGCGCCCACTAACCGCATAGATAGCCTAAAGATAGCGGTCTAGGCTCGCTAATAGGAGCTCTCTAGTAACTAACTACCGGGCGACTCAGCCTTGTCAAAAAGCATACCAGGTAGTGTCCAGTCCCAGTAATCCAAAGAAAGCCAATACGTGTCGAATAGGTGGTCGAGCTATTCCACGAACAATCTGTCCTCCGAGCTCAGATGTTGATCCGAAATGCTTTTCTACCAAACAACAATATTTCTCCTTGGACCAAGTGTTGAGTGTAACTAACCCATATGCTCAGCTGCTTCAACCAGATACCAAGGTCACAAAATCAAAGGTGCAATGTTTATTTGATCCGCCACGCTTCTGCGCAAGGCCGTTGCTGCCCATTTACCTCTCTCCCAACGCCTTGACGCGCTTGCTCGACTGCTCTTCGAGCTTCACCAACTGAGCCTTGCCATCCTGATCCACGTACACGAGAAATTCGCGGCCCTGGATCGTCACCACCTGGCCACTGTCCTCACGGTTTCTTTTGTGACTTGGCCTCGGAATGGTGTTCATCCCCCTAGCTTGTATCTCAACCGGCTCCACGTCATCCGCGACCCTGATTACGTTCGTTGCTGGCCTCGCAGATTGGCTGTTGCGAGTGGCCTTTTGCGACTCGCCTCGTGCCTTGGGGACCTTGGCGGTGACATTCGTCTCTGCTTGGACGGCATCTATGCATTTGGTGCAAATTGGGTTGCTGGAGGCGTCGAAATCCAACTCGGACCATGGAAAAGACTGCCCACACCTGACGCACTCAACCTTCTCGACCCAGCGATTGGCAGTCGATTTGCGAGACCGTTTGCCCTCGCCTGTCAAGGTATCTCCAGCCTCGGCAGCCATTTCCCAGAGCTCTTCGACTTCTCTCGCCAGCTCTTCCTGAACGTCCAGCTTATCTTCCGCTCTGTTCCCGCCCACTTCAGGGCTACTAGCTGTAACAGATGCGGACTGGTCACGATGTGAGCTTGTCATCTGGCCCCGCTTCTGTTGTGAATGGCTCTGCCCCTCCGTCTCTGTTTTGATATCGATCATGATTCTTTTCCTAATGATTGATTGAGAAAGGTGCTTGCCGAGGTCCGTCCAGAAAGCATCCAGTTTGACAACATTCGACCACCATTTCTGTGTGAAAAGCGCCGCGTCAGCGAAGACGTATTCCACAGGGACTGAGCACCCCGGTAAAGAGATCTTGGGTCTTCGTGACTTGGGCATATTGTTTCTACTGAAGCAAATTTGAGGAAAGGACGAGGATGGTCGAATTAACGAAGCTGATGAAGATCGCACTCTTCCTAGCCAGATTAGCGACAAGAAGACTAAAAGTAGAAGTGAGGTTCATGGGAGTTGCATACACTTACCGAGTTCTTTATTTCTTTCAGTCTTCGGATAACAAATGATGTTGGCAGTCGCAAATGTGTAAGAAGTGGGGGAACGGGCTCGATGGACATCAGGGGAGGATGATATCTGTTTAGGACGGTAGATATTGTTCCCGACTGTAGGAGCAGCCAAAATTACCCGCTTCACTGTTCTGGGGCAAATATTCTGTGAAATGAGTTGAATGAATGGTGCTAAAGGTGTTTTGAAAGTGGAATGAAGAGTACAAGTCAAAACAGGAGAGGTCATCGAGATGGTTCGAAGCATGGCATGTGAAAGCGCTGGTGGACAAATCTGATCAAGGGTTTTCATTGTCTGGCTCCAGGTCGAGCTCTTCAGATGTTTCGTCTTCAAGCTCAGCCGTGCTTCCGGTCTCCTCATCATCCAGGAGCGGAACAAATCTAAAGTCAACAAAAGCGACACTGCCGGGCGTAGGTGGTGCATTGGCGGCCGCACTGTCATCTCGCCGTGGACCAGCATTGGCACCGTCCCCCAAGTCAATCATGAATTGCAGGCTAAGCACCCCTTGTTGATCCTGACGAATGCTGACTTTGCTGGCCAAGGCCATCGCTCGTCCTGCCCTCTTGATCATGTCGAACTTGTATTTCTGGCAGACTCTACCGTTGCTTCCAGACGGTGCAACGACTGAGAATGTTTCCGTGACAAGGGGCTGCCTCTTTGCCCTAGGTCCACTGGGGGTGGGGTCGTTCTTCGATTCGGGCATAAAGTCCACAGTGCTGTCACCAAACGGGCCTCCTTCGCCCTCCAATGAGAAAAAGGGGGCAGAACGGCTCGAAGCATTGATTACAAGAACTGTTGGATTGGTACCCGAGAGCTCTCCGATGGCATCATTCAACCAAGCACTCCGCATGATTGCCTTCAAACACAACGAGTTCCGATCCAAGGGGATACCGCCATCGTCACCATATTCGTCATGGGCTTGATACGTGTTCATCTCACATGTTGTGGTGACTGATCCCTCTTGAATAGTGATTGTGAGCGGTGCGCCAGCTTCTTGGTACGAAATTCGACATGTGCCTCCAAGCGCCAGAGCCGGAGTGGTGAAGGCGTTCCCATACGAAGATGAAAATCCACCGTAAGGATTGCGAGCTGAGGAACTGGCTTCAGCAATACCAAATATTTGCAGAGTTTCGAGTAGAGCAACAATTGAGACCGAAAAGGTGGGCAATGAATGATCTTCCTCTTTGAGTCTCAAATTATAAGAAGAGAACAGGGCCTTGTCGAGAAAGGTCAGGCCTTGAACGACTCGTGCTTCCTCAACGGAGAACTTGATTCCTTGTTGGGTGATCTCGACCTCCGCACGCTGGGAAAAAGCAATGCACCGAAGCAAGAGATACAACTGTCTAGCAGATGTAGACACGGCGGTGAAGATGGGGGAGCCAGCCATTGTAGGAGAGACTTTTGGACGAGACGAACTCTGGTGGTTGTTGGTGTGCAGGTAGGGGGATAGAGAGGCAGAGGATGATCGAGAGAATCTTAAACATAGACACCAAATCCGCAGATGGCGTATACTGCCCCGAACCTATCATTGTGTGAATATGTATGTTAAGCTCAGTCCTTTTCCCGCACGTACCCAAATGCCAGGGAGGCTGGGAGCCCGAAGATAGGTATTGAAAGAGGTGATTTGTTCAAGGCGAAGAGTCCAGTGAATATCAGCCCTGTGCAAGTCAGTAGAAGTCGCCAGTGCAAAGTACCAGAAGTCTCACCAATGAGCAATAAGAACAGTCCTACGGTCAATTGGCTCTCCTTGCCAACCGTGGGCTGGAAAGGGCTGCCTGCGGCTGCTTGCCAGACTTCGTAGAGCGACATTGATGTGGTATCAAGGTCGTCGAACACAGCTTCAAGTGTTTGGTCTGGTAGATTCCATGGCGAGAGGAGAGTGGCGCGAGTGCCAAAGGTGGTCTCACGAAAGACGCGACTGCATTGAGTGTCTGTTTCAGGAAACAATTCCGAGGCTTGCGCTAATCCTTCTAAGGCAAGGACTCCCAGCGTCTTGAACCGCGGCCGAGATCGCCTCTCGACTTCGAGGCTGATCATTCACTTTTGACTACTGCGACAACGCCCTCGTACACGTTCGAGACGTGGTATATAAGGGATCATTCGATATATTCATGACAGTGGAGTCGTCGCGATGGCGCCTATAAACGGTGAACGTGAGATTTCCTGGGTGCGGCAGAATGGCTTGTGAACCTTTACTGACCCTGTGCTCTACGCAGATACTAAGAGAAAGGCGTCCGAGGATGCGGCATCCTCTCGATCTAAAAAGGCCAGAACCGAGTCGCCAGTACTGGAGGATGGTATCAAGCATGAAGAGGTAAATTCATCAACGATCTCAGATCGCCTTCGTCATGCCTTTCAACCCTCCCCAAGCGGGAATCTTTCCGCCTGACGATAACCTGTATCGTTTTGACTCAAATATTTCTACGGATTCGGATTCAACAATATCCCTGTCGTACCTTGAAGACTACGGACTTCCTTATCGTTGCGTTTCCCAGGCTGAGCGTCCTGCATTGAAGACAACCGAGACTAATCTCGCTTTTAAACAGTCCGACACAGACCCCCCAATCACCCCTACCCCTGTCGATTTTCCCGAGAAGCCAGCTGTCGTTGAAGAGAAGCAAGGACATATTGAGTTCAGGGTCGTCAACAATGACAATTCGAGGGAGAGCAACATCATCTTGACCGGGTTGAAATGCATCTTCCAGAAGCAACTGCCGAAGATGCCTAAGGACTACATCGCCCGCCTAGTTTATGATAAAACGCATCTGTCCATCGCTATTATCAAGCAACCTCTTGAGGTGGTTGGAGGCATAACATACCGACCGTTCAACGCGAGAAGGTTCGCTGAGATCGTCTTCTGCGCGATCTCGTCAGATCAGCAGGTCAAGGGGTATGGCGCTCACCTGATGGCGCACTTGAAAGACTATGTCAAGGCTACTTCCCCCATCATGTATTTTCTGACCTACGCCGACAACTATGCGATTGGTTACTTTAAAAAGCAGGGCTTTACCAAAGAGATCACCCTGGAGAAGTCGATTTGGATGGGATACATCAAAGATTACGAAGGAGGCACCATCATGCAATGCAGCATGTTGCCCAAGATCCGCTACCTGCAGGCTCCTCGAATGCTGCAGAAGCAGAAAGAGGCGGTCATGGCCAAGATCCGCGCAGTGAGCAAGTCCCACATCGTTCACCCTCCGCCTGCACAGTGGAAGAACGGCATCGTCGAGATAGACCCCATGTCAATTCCCGCAATCAAAGAGTCTGGATGGTCTCCTTCAATGGATGAACTCTCCCGACAACCTCGACATGGCCCGAACTACAACCAGCTTCTCCACCTGCTCAACGACATGCAGAACCACACAGCTGCCTGGCCCTTCGCACAGCCAGTCAACAAGGATGAAGTACCCGATTACTACGAAGTCATCAAGGAACCGATGGACCTGTCGACAATGGAGGAACGTCTGCAGAATGATCTGTACCCTAGGCCAGAAGACTTTATCAAGGATGCGAAACTAATCTTCGACAATTGCCGGCGCTACAACAACGAAACCACACCATACGCCAAGAGTGCGAACAAGCTGGAAAAATTCATGTGGCAACAGATCAAGAATATCCCAGAGTGGTCGGTGAGTGGTCATGAGCTGACAATGATTTGGAGTTCCGACACACTGACAAGATTTCTATAGCACCTTGCGGAATAAGCTCTATTCATCCTGCAGACCTGCATGACCGTTGGCGTATGTACTATAGCAATGTGGCTTGAGGCAGGAGTTTGCATTGGCGGAGTTGGCGGTGAGAAGCGGACGATGACACGGCATGATGACGTTGGTTGGCTTTGCGTGCATGAAAGATGATACCCAGACTGCATCCCAGGCGTTTTTCTCAACTTGATCTATGAAGACATGATAATGGGGGACAGTGGCACACACATAAACAGCATTTCTCTGGTGGCGCCACGAGTGTTGCATAAGGCACGCCTACAGGTGCAAACAAGGAGATTGGCAAAGTCCGACTCACCAGCAACATCCCGAGTAGTTGTTGTTATTATTATTACTAAATGACGAATTGCCATGTGCAAGTCTGTGTGGTTGAGTGGCTGGTAGCGAAGCCAAAACTCCGGGGACCTGCAGATTGTTCGGACCGCGAGAGCAGCCAATCAGAAGCTCTCCAGGGGCTTGCAGGGGGTTGCCCCGGCCGCGTCCAATTCAAGGTTCCGTGGCCAAAGGTCGCTCCCTTCCCTGCTTTTCTCAGGATACACCACCACTTCACCCTCATCCTCGACAAGACAGGACAGAGACAAGACAGCCCAGCTCTTTGCTGCACCTGTCCACGCCTTCTCCGCTCGCTGAATTCTCTTCGACACGCTCGCTATCGCCTCTTCGCCCGCCATGTCCACCATGTAATCCAAGATCCACCCGCCTCCCACTCGCGACCCCCGTAACTTAGTCCTCACGTCACTTCGACTTCACCTCGACATCACACGGTCTCCCGCCGAGACGAGGTTCATTCGCTGCAACCGGAGTGCGGCGACTGTAACAGACCGATCCGATCTCAAAGACATCGCAACTGCTCGCCTGTCGATATCGTTGAGCGACGTCCCGATTGGAGCAATTTGCTACCGCAAGATCAACAAATACAATGGCAAAACCAGGGAGCCGGGGCGAGGATGTTGAGGTTCGCAACCGACTGCCCACTTTGATGGAGGTCTTGGGGAGAAGGACTCTAGCTCCGGTTGATCTGTTCTCGTTCTACATATACATGCGCGACCAGCAACGCTCAGTGGACTACCTGGACTTCTGGTTTGTTTTCGAGCTGGCACTCAAGACTTGAATCACCACTGACTCGTTCAACAGGCTCGATGTATCTCAACACATGTCCCTGTGCCGCCACTATGTCCGAGAATTGCGCCGCTCGATGCTCGTTGACACGCCCGAAATGGAAAAAACTACTAGCAAAAGGTCTTCGGCTTTACTCGAACAGTTTGAATTAGGAGAGGGAGTGGACTCGAGGAAGAGTGGTCAAGAATCGAGAGTGTCTGCCATCTTGAGATCAGACAACGGAGGCGCCGGCGCCGCAGGTCCCAAGCCGCCCCGAAGCAGGGGAGAGGGAGGTGGTGCTACCGATCACTCACCTTCACACAGCTTGGGATCAGCCAATTCAAGAAACCTCAGTCGTCCCTCCGGCGACCGACCTTCACCTTCAGAACTGCCACAACCGACCTACTCTACCCCTGAAGTGCGCACGGATTCGAACTCTCCCGGGCATAGTGTCGCTAGGGCCGACATTAAAGCCAGTGCAGAGAAGATCCTCTACACTTTTGTCCTGCCGGGGTCGGAGCGAGAAATCGTTCTGCCAGACACAATGCTGAACAGAATTATTCGCGCAATTGAGGAGGAAGGACGAGACGATCCAGAGGTGTTTGACGATGCCAAGGACTACGTCTTCCAGGCGATGGAAAGGGATGCATTTCCAGGGTTTTTGCAGGCCAAAGCCCTAGGAAATCTAGTCCCGTTGAGCGTCTTGATCAGGCTGGCCATTGGCCTGGCGAGCTTGATGGCCGGGTTCTGGGCTGGTTACTACATGATTCTGAGGGACAGGTCAAGGGCTACTCGCTGCTGGGTAAGGATTCTCTCTCTTCACTCAGTCTTGGTTCAACCCCACTAACCATACCGTTTAGCTTATCCTCCCCTTTACAATCGGTTGCTACTTCCTCGTCTCCTATCAATACAAGCTCGACATCGTCGCTGCTTACCTGGGATTTAGTGAATACACATGGATGAACTGGTCGCGCGTCAGAGAACCGTTTGTGCGTCGACTACTTTTGACACGAGCGACCATTGCATTCTTGATGTTTGCTGCGGCGGCGGTGGCGTTGAGTGTCTTATTTATATTTGTGCCGGGTACGAGGTTCTAGGTGTTGGTGGAAATGTGATGAGTTCGGAGTGACGCAAATGACTATGGTTGGTTCGGCGTTCAATGTGCTTGAAGAGTGGCCGGGATCTGAGCGTGGTGGGATGTTCAATGCTTCAAGTCCAGCGAAGCAGTGAACGAGCAAGGTCGGTTATGTTTTGCTATGGGGAACATAAGGCGTTGTCGGAGTCGGCCATGATGAACGGGCAACATGCAGCCATCGATCTAACTGCAACAACCGATGAAAAATGCACAAAGGCTGGAAGATACAGTGATTGCAGAAACAGCAAAACGCCTCGACAGGTACGACATCTCGCAACACAACGTCCAAGCTGAGGCTGCAGATCAACAACAGGAAAGACACATGGAGCTTGGATATGTATGCTGTTAGCTATGCACCAACTGGACACATGAGCCGTTCATATGCCCAAATGTTTCACACGTTGAGTTGATTGAACCTGGTCCTAGCGCCGTTTCGTTCCGTCGCTGCTGGGAAAATGGATCCCGGCGTAGTGTCTCCCATGACGAAAAGGATTATATGCATCTCTATGCACGTCCACCGTTGAATATTTCCAAAATCGAGACGCAGATCGAGCTCGAGGCCGCGGTTGTATGGACTGTACGAGGTAGGCATCCATGGATTTATCACGCACGAGCGTCCCCCCTCTCTTTCGACTGGTCTACATCTTCAACTCAACTCCCTTTCCGGCCCGGTGGCCGCGTCGGCACACAGGAACGTGAAGAAAGGAAGGAAATGTCCTGTTTGAATCGCTGCATTGCTTTTGCTCGCGGAGACATGTAGGAGGAGATAGGATCGGAATTCGGATCGGCTGGAGTCCCTAGGGTAAGGTTCCCAGGGACCGGTTCTTCATCATGTTCGTTATCATTTATCGCGTCTAGGATTTTCAGGATGTGACCATGTCCATTACCTCCCCCTCGTGTCGGTCAATCAACTTGACGGTAACCGGTGGCATTGACGGACGTCCCAACGATCGCCTCTCAAGGCAGTCCGCCCCAGGCCACGCTAGCATTGCATCAGCCGGTCTAGTGGCTGAGTGGTGTATGGTAGGTATGTTGCATCGCTCGAATAGAGGACTAACGTCATTCTTGCTTGAGATCGACCGACCAAACTGTACGTCCGGATGTGTTTCGTTTCCTGGGGCACGAGTTCGGCCTGTGTGGGCACTTGCTTCGACTCTGCGAGCTCCAGCCAGCGACACGTTCGAAGACGGACACCCTCTCATCGATAGAGTTGTACCACCTAGTAGTCATATCGTCCGCTTGAAGGTGCATTCAATCGACGGCAGATCCAAAACATCACTTTGACCCCCGTCCGCGGTTTCGCTTTGCACCTCGTGAGCCCCCACTCCCTCCGCCTCGCGGTCCGGACCCTGTAAAGCCACCTGGGCCCTCACTGATACCCTCATCCAAGTCCATCCTGCCCTCCTCGTAGTCATCATCCACGTCATCACCTTCGCCTTCCATCTGCTGGTCGAGATCCCGCTTACTGGGAGGACGCTGGCCTGCACCAAAGCCAGCGCCGCGACCGGCACGTCCGTTTCCACCTCGGACATCCGACATGACGCCATTGTCACTTGATGGTTGCTGTCGGTCATTGTTGAGGACAAGCGAGTCTACCTCATTCTGCCTAGCTTTCTCTCGCATCGCTCTCTGTTGTGCCGTTGCACGAATAGCAGCGATTTGCGCTTCGAGGTCGCTCACAACAGAGACGCAGCGCGATTCCCATGTCTGTAGGATCTGCAAGAGTACGGGAAGAGAGTGAGGGCGCAGATCGCGAAGGGGGGCAACAGACAAGATGTGGACGGTTGGCGGAGTCGACGTAGGGCTGAGACGAGCAGTGAGGAGGCCGGAGTAGATTGACTGTGTTATCAAGGATTCCAGCTCTTGGGGAGTCGAAAGCAGGAGGGAGGCCAAGAGCCCAGGGTATGTCAAGGGATTTGCTGTTGCGTTCTTGCCGGTCGGCGCGAACGGTGAAGCCAGAGTCAGAAGACTAAGCTGGCGTAGCTTGAAGGTTTGAGCATCGTCGAGGGGTGGGAGAGAGGGGTCGGCTATGAAGGGCACAGTCCATTAGCACATCAGTCACAATGGCTACCACCCTGCCGCTTTGAAGCTGTACCTTTATACTCTTCGTACGTCCCCCAACTGAAGATCTCCAACAATGTCAACCATGGTTCTGCTTCCGTGCCTCTCAAGCTCTGGATCGCTGGCAGTTGAAGCAACTCGGTGAAAAGATATGCCCCGTGTGCGGAGATGGCTCCCTTGATCAGTTCAGCAATGAAGCGGGGTGAAGGGGTCTTTGTTGTAGTCGCGAGGTGGACAAAAGGTTGGATCGCAGCAAGAGCTTTTGTCTGAGAGGGGTCCATTGTCAATAAAGAGCTGAAGACGCGGGAGAGTAGAGGGATCCGTGCGAAGGTGGAAGAAGATATGGGGATTGAATGGGAGGCTTAACTCTCAGACAAGGCTGCCATTGCGGGCATATGTGAGAGCTTGGCATTGACGAGGCTGAGCGTCACCAGGCTCGCGCTTTTGCACGTGCTTCACGCTTACCTAACCACCAGGTGCTGAATGGGCTACAAGACTTCCTCCTATTCATGACCGAAACAACTATTGTCACAGCTGTTTCCTGTCAATACGACCAGACACGCCAATGGCGTCAGTTCTCTCCTGATCTCCACGGGGGCGAGGCTGCGCAACAGCCCTGCAATGCCTCCATGCGGCCAATGGTGGCGTGATACTAATCAGGGAGTCTCTGTCGCCGAATCCGTCGATAGCGTCACTTTCGGTTTCAGGCGTTTGATCCCGCGCATCAGGCATTTCTCAGCTTCAACCCCCCCGTCTCACTCTGACTTCAACACAACTCGGTCCGCTTGCGAACCACCCAAGTCCGCTTACTTGTCGTCTGCGCTCTCCGTTCCTTCAATACGCTCTTTTAAAGTCCTATCTCGCTTCCTGTACGATCTGCCACACCTCCATCTTCGAGTTTCTTTTCTACTCCGAAATCGGTTCCAGAACGCGTGCCCCCGGACGATGCCTTTATGATTGCCTCCTCCATTTCAGCACCGCTGGTTTTCTCGATCGAACGTTCTTTAAGATGAGTCTTGCTGGTAGCAGTGGCCATGAGGCGCAGCCACTCTCACCGAGTCCGGCACATATGGCCACTACAACCCTCAAAGTCGACGGAATGACTTGCGGTGCCTGCACCTCCGCCGTGGAGTCAGGGTTCAAGGGTGTCGAGGGCGCCGGTGCTGTTTCGGTCAGCTTAATGATGGGAAGAGCCGTAATACATCATGATCCCAAGAAGTTGTCTCCCGAGCAGATAGCAGAGATCATTGAGGACCGTGGTTTCGATGCCGAAGTCCTCTCCACCGATATGCCCAAACCTCCCCCTCTGTCCATCTCGACCGGAGCATCCAATTCAGAACCCCGGCTCACCACCACAACGATATCCATACAAGGAATGACTTGCGGGGCATGTACTTCTTCGGTGGAGGCCGGCTTCAAGGATGTTCCGGGTGTAAAAAGCATGAGTGTTTCCCTTCTGGCGGAGCGAGCAATCGTCCAGCATGACGCAAACATCATCAATGCCGACGCCCTGGCCGAAATCATCGAAGATCGAGGATTTGATGCCACCGTGATCGATTCAAAACTCCCAGAGGCCACGAGGCCCATTGGCGGGAATGAAGAAGCTAATGAGCCGTCGCATACATGGACTACCACTGTGGCCATCGAGGGCATGACTTGCGGAGCTTGCACCTCTTCTGTCGAGGGTGCTTTCAAGAACGTCCCCGGTCTGGTCAAGTTCAACATAAGCCTCCTGGCCGAACGAGCGGTCATCTCCCATGATCCAGTTGCCCTCCCCTCCGAGAAGATCGTGGAACTCATTGAGGACGCTGGTTTCGATGCCAAGATTGTGTCCTCTCAAGCGGAGACCAATGTTCAGAGCACACACGTTTCTCAGCAGCTCAAGATTTATGGCCTTCCAGATGGACAGACAGCCACTGAGCTGGAAAACAACCTGAGAGCAAAGCCGGGCGTCAAGAGTGCGGTGATTAGTCTTTCCACGTCCCGCGCCACCATTTCCTACGACCCTGCCCTCATCGGTCTTCGAATGCTTGTCGCGGTCATCGAGGACGCTGGGTTCAATGCCTTGGTTGCAGACTCGGAAGACAACAACGCGCAATTGGAATCTCTCGCCAAAACAAAAGAAATCCAGGAGTGGAAGAAAGCATTTCTCACGTCCTTGGGCTTTGCGATCCCCGTGTTTTTGATCAGCATGATCATACCCATGTTCTTCAAGTCTATAAACTTCGGGGGCATTGAGATCATTCCAGGACTCCTTTTGGGCGACGTCATCTGCCTTGCCCTGACAATTCCTGTACAATTCGGCATTGGGAAGCGTTTTTACATTTCAGCATACAAAAGTTTGAAGCACAAGTCACCGACCATGGACGTGTTGGTCGTGTTGGGCACTTCAACGGCGTTTTTCTTCAGCTGTTTTGCCGTCATTGTGGCGGTCTTGATACCCCCTCACAACAAGCCTAGCACCATCTTCGACACTAGCACCATGCTTATCACATTCATTACCCTTGGGCGATGGCTCGAAAACCGAGCAAAAGGCCAGACATCAAGAGCTCTGTCTCAACTGATGTCTTTGGCGCCTAGTATGGCGACCATATACGAGGACCCTCTGTACGCCGAGAAGCTCGCCGATGCCTGGACAGCTCCATCGTCTCCGGTGCTCGAGAAGACACCAACCACGGATTTGAGGAGAGTGCCATCAGGGCCGGGCCCGTCGGGTCCTTCTGCGATCGAAAAGACCATTCCAACTGAGCTTATCGAAGTGGGAGACGTTGTCATCCTTCGACCCGGCGATAAGATACCTGCTGATGGAGTTGTTACCCGCGGGGAGAGCTTTGTGGATGAAAGCATGGTCACTGGTGAGCCCATGCCTATTCAAAAGAAGAAGGGCAGTACCCTCATAGCAGGTACCGTCAATGGTGCCGGCAAGATCGATTTCAAAGTCACACGTGCTGGGAAGGACACGCAGCTTAGCCAAATTGTCAACCTTGTGCAAGAGGCCCAGACGAGTCGAGCACCTATTCAGCGCATGGCAGATCTGGTGGCAGGTTACTTTGTCCCCATCATCATCCTTCTCGGTTTAATCACGTTCGTTGGGTGGATGGTTCTAAGCCATATCATGCCGAATCCTCCGAAAATCTTTCTGGACAAACAGAATGGTGGGAAGTTCATGGTCTGCCTGAAGCTCTGCATCTCGGTCATTGTTTTCGCTTGCCCTTGCGCTCTCGGATTGGCAACACCAACCGCGGTCATGGTTGGAACTGGGACTGCTTCGCAACAAGGAATCCTCGTCAAGGGAGGTGCTGCTCTTGAAACAGCCACCCGTATCACACATGTCGTACTGGACAAGACCGGTACCTTGACATTTGGGAAACTGAACGTCGCTGACATAAGCTATGCAGCTCTCTGGAGCTCCAACGAATGGCGTCAGAAACTGTGGTGGACGCTTGTTGGTCTCGCTGAGACAGGATCTGAACACCCCATCGCGAGATCCATTGTTATTGCTGCCAAGGACAAACTCGGTCTGGAAGTAGAAGAAGGCCTTCCCGGGCAGGTCGGCACCTTTGGCGTCACTGTTGGTCAAGGAGTATCAGCTATCATTGAGCTCAACAACCCGGGTGACGAAACCAAGTATAAGGTTTACGTCGGCAACGCTACGTTTCTCGCCAACAAGAAGATCGATATACCGGCCGACGTTGAGAACGCAGTCAACGCGGCTCTGTCTCCCACGACCCGCACTAAATCCAAGACTGGAATAACGACCATCTATGTTGCGATTAACGGCCAATACGCAGGCCATATCGGCCTCTCTGACACGCTTAAACCTACAGCCCACGCCGCCATCACTGCCTTGCACAAAATGGGTATTTCCACCAGCCTCGTTACTGGAGATACATATAACACGGCCCTCTCCATTGCTGAACTAGTGGGCATTCCTCGAGAGTGCATTCGCGCGTCTGTCTCTCCTGGTGAAAAGCAGACCATCATTTCAGACTTTCAATCTCAAGGCGAAATTGTCGCTATGGTTGGAGACGGCATCAACGACTCTCCGGCTCTTGCGACCGCTGACGTCGGCATTGGTCTTGTTTCTGGGAGCGATATCGCCGTCGAAGCCGCAGATATTGTGATCATGCGCTCGGACGACCTGCTCAATATCCCGACCGCCCTTCATCTGTGCCGTGTCATATTCCGCCGGATCAAGGTCAACCTGGTATGGGCCTGTGCGTACAACGTTATCGGACTCCCGTTTGCAATGGGCATCTTCTTGCCGCTCGGCTATCATATGCCCCCGTTGATGAGCGCCACCGCGATGATGTTCAGCAGCATTTCTGTGACGTTGAGCTCGTTGGCGTTGAGGTGGGTTGGCAGACCAAAATGGTTGAGTGTTGAAGCCCTGAAAATGGAGGGAGACAGATACAGTGCGCCCATCATCGGAGCGAAGAGGAGGAAGAGGCTGATGAATAACGGCGGCTGGATGGGCAGAATCCAGGGACTTAGTGAGGCAATGTTCGACAGACTCGAGGGCGTGGCAACGAGGAGAAGAGCGCAAGAGAGGGAACGGGGCAACTATGTCCCATTGCAGACTGTCGAGGCAGATGCTGTGTAACGCCAACGGAGGACGGGACTTTTCATGTCTCTTTGTTGTTTCATAGCCCTTTGGATACGGGCCTCATATATACATATACACATATATCAAAAGCTTCAGAGCTTTGTAATATACCACTGCCGTTCTTGCTTAGGCGTGGCAGATCATATCTCCAGATGAATGCGCTGTACATTTGTGGTATTTCCCCTCAAGTTGCCGACAGCATCTATGATGGTTGAAAATGGTGTCGAAGCAGCATTGGTTGTTTCATTCTAACCCACTCCTTGTGGTTGAAAAGAGGTGGAAATGGAAAGGAAGACATAACGCCTAGCCCCTGTCCTCCATCCAGTCTATCAGGTCTATAAAGCAATTTGGTAGTTATACAAATTTCCCACATCCGCGGCATAAGCCCCTAGCATTCACCGACTCCCACTCGTCTATATTCACACGAAGATCCTGAGCCCTTCCCTGCCCCTGTTGTTGAATTCCTAAGGCACATCCATCCTTTTCCAATCCGGATTTTGCGCCCCATGGCCGCCCAGCTCCCCTCAACTCGTAGCGAACTTACTCCTCGCCCTCAACTTCCCCCCGAATTTCCAGAGGATAAACATACCCACGACCCCGGCACAGGCCAGGCCCGCGAGCAGACTGGCGCCAGGGCCGATGCCCAGGTTGACGAACATGGGCCGGGAGAAGATGACGCAGCCCGCGGCGAAGAGGGCGCGGAAGAGGTCGTTAGAGGCGAGCAGCGAGGCCGTGTAGCGCGGGTACGACAGGGGCAGGTACACAAAGACGCACTGGAAGATGACGAAGTTTGCGCCCACCACGATCACGACGGCGAGCATGCTGACTATCCAGTGCACACCGTGGCGGGAGGTCCAGCCTGTGTGTTGTGGCGAGAAGATGGGGTTAGCGTGTCTCCTTCTAGTCCTTTCAGGGGATGTAGTGGATTTGCCTCAACTCGCAGCAGCTGGAAGAGGAGCCACGGAGGACTGTGGACTGGTCGACTTACCGAACATAAACAGTGCCGCAGGCAATATGCAGACGCCGAACAATGCAGGCACCAATCGATGCTCCGGTGCTCGCAGGCCGTGTTTGATGATGTCGGGCACCAGGTAGACGAGCAGGTAGGTGTTGTAGATGACGACTCCTATCATGCACGCCACGCCGATGCTGAGAAAAGTCAAGCCCAGCTCGCCGAGATTGAAGCCGTAGATGCCGATGTAGACCAGCGGAAAGGCCTCGAAGAAGGAATAGTAGACGCCATACAGGAGGGCGGTCTGGAGAGACAGAGAGGATACGCAGGTCAGAAACCGGCAAAAAAGACACCCTCAGGGACTTCTGGCTCGGGGACTCACGTAGATATTCGTATACGCCACGGCAGGGTCCTTGATAGTGATCTCCAGCGGCTTGATGATGGCGTCAGCGAACACTTCCGAGTACTTCATGTGTTCCTGGTCGATCTCGCTCTGGGACCGCAGGTCTGTTCTTCCTGTGAGTTTGCGAAGTCGTGCGGCTCGCCGCCGAAGGATCGTGGCGCCCGAGGTTTCGGGGAAGGTAATCAGGTAGACGACCAGAATAGGTGCGCTGAGCCAGAGCAGTTCCCACAGCGACCATCTCCACCTGTTCGTTGTTATCAGTGGAGTGCGCAGAACGAGGACGGGGAGGAAGACGTTACCCTTCGGCACTCACGGCGAACGACGCGACAACTGGTCCGAGGGCAGGGCCCCAGAAGCAGGCAGCCGTCCAGGAAGAGAGGTATACAGGGAGCATCAGGAGAGAGAACTATGGCTATTAGGACCCTTGTCTTTCCAGAAGAAAACATCACCCATGGAGCCACTTACCATGTCGCCGACCGAGGCAGCTCCATTTGCCAGGCAAGGACTAGACAGAAAACCCTGCAGGAATCGAAGGACCAACAGACCGGCATAGTTGTCAACCACTGCGGTCGGGATACAGATGATGACGAATAGAATAAAAGCAGGTGTGTAGACTCCGTTGCGGCCGACGGCGGGAATCTCACACAGCGGCGCAAATAGAAGGGGACCAACTCCGTCTGGACAACGGTGTCGTTAGTATAGGCTCCATATAGCAGAGGAGGAGACTCAACATACATCCTATAACGTACATGGAAAGGCCCAATGCCGCGGCTGCCTGGCTCACGCCGAACCTCTGCATGACGCCGCTGGATGCACGTTAGCCCACAGGTTCTAGTCAATGCGAGATAGGCTCACCTTTCCCCAACCACGTAAATACTGGAGCCTCCGTACATGGCGAAGGTGTACAAGCTATACCCCTCACATTAGCCATGTAGTCACCGTTGACGCAAGGGACAGGAAGAAATGATACCATATCTGCACCAACACAAAGAGCTTCTTCGCCTGTGACCAGTTTTGCGGGTTCTCCGGGTCGTCAGTCGTGTACCAGTCGACGAGGATGGTGCCGTCGGCAGATTTGTGAAGCGATATAGGCGTGCTCCTGGTCCTTTCCAGCTCGAGCTGCCGATCCAGGGCGAGACGCTCCTCTGTAAAGGGGAGACTCTGTTGTCTTGAGAGACTTGGTTCTAAAGCGCTTCCTCCTTCTGGCCTTCTTGTTGCGAGCGCCGACGGCTCGCCGACAGGCTCAGCCTTCTCGGGGTCTGCCACTTCGGACTCAGGTTTGGCGTCTTCTGCTTTCTCCGGCTCAGCGGTTTGGGGAACCTCCTTTTCTGGTCCGGCTGTTTCGGGTTCTGAGTCGTCGGGATCCGGGACGTCCTTCTGGAGAGGAGCACCAGATGCCTGTGCATATATCATTAATTTGTTAGTCCTTGTCGGAGACTACGAGCAGGCTCACCAATTTGGGTAACACGAAGCCTTCTCGCTCGTCGGGGTACAGAAGTATCCGGTTGCGAGTGACCAATCGAAGGAATTGGCCCAAAGGGGCATCTCGGATTGTATCGAGCATGACGAGTTATGCGCCGTTTGCCTTTATGCCTGGAACTCGGAGCAACAAATACTTTGAGGCCTCTCCTATCACACTCAGATCAACCCGGCCTGAAGGAGAATGGTATCTATTATAAAACACAGCGAAGGCCACAGTCTCCGAAGCATAGCAGATCCAGTCTAATCTGTGCCCGTTCTATACTGGAGCTCGTCTCGGGTGGAATCGACGTAAGCAGGCCAGATCTCTTGACATGGGTTGGAAGGAGATGGTATCATTTCTCCGGAGACGCTGCTTGCAAATGTGGTCCGATCGGAACATAAGGCGACGTTGGATAGGTACCTGAAGCATACGGGGCCACGGCTGACCACCGTGATCTCTAGAATGCGCAACCATCAGCGTGTCCTCGAATTTCTCGAAATACTTGCGAAACCCCCCGACCCCTTGGACTGCGTTCAGGTGTCAGCAGAGTTCATAGGAAGTTTTGTTCTAAGCATAAGGCATATGGCATATAGGGCGCTGAGCGCTGCAAGCTCCAAGCAGGGGCATTGATGAGGTAAGTCTCGGGCACAACAATGGTCATATTAAGTCCGGAACTCCATGGCTGATACCGAATTTGTTTTGATTGCAAATAGGATCACGGCCGTGGTGACCTTTCCCCCAATAGGAACCAAATAGGGAGGAAATCGGAGGAGGAGAAAGAGTGAGAATACGCGGTACATGGTCATCAGGAGTGGCATTTCATCGCATTCTCTCGTCCTCGTCGCGGTGAAGTTGGTGGAATTGACTGTATGAAGTAGTTGGTACCCCGGTATACATACCATCCCGGCGGCGGAATTAATCCGACGTCGACAGAGAAAGTTCGACTTCAACGACTCAAGCCACCATCATCATCATCATCATCTCACCATCTCATACGTGGCGGTGGCTTGCCAAACACGGACCTCTCCTCGGCTATATCCCATCTGACCCGTTTCTCAGTTGACAATGATGCTGCTGGAATTGCACAGTGGCCTTTGTCATCCTCTTGTGGTTTTTGCTGCTCTCTATACACCCGCCACGCCGAGGTAATAAACGCAGCGCCTCCCCCACCTACACGACTGCTACTGCTGCTCATTCGTCTCCTTGGCCGCCGCTCGTCGAGAGAGGACAACATAAGATATGGAACATATGGAGAAACTGTCCAAGGCTGAGCCGAGCCGCAGTGGCAAGTGATGTGCTCGGTTATAACTGGACCTGTTGAGCCGATACAGATACCTTTGCAGATCCGGGCAATCCATCCTCTGATATTGCTTCCCAAAAGCGAGCAACATGCCATGCCCATCCATCCTCCTGCTCTGTCCAGACAACGTGGCGAAAAGGTGTCTGTTTGGCCCCCTCTTACTTGCAATCGTCCCTTAAGCCTACAAAGAATTCAAAAGACGCAACGAGGCGAATCAAAAGGCGTACCATGTCTTCCATTCTGAGTACTCTCCGAGACCAAATAGGGAAGAATAATATCCGGCTCTATATCGGAGAACTATGACATCCGAGATCGAGTTCTGCGGTAATGTCCCCACAGATCAATACGGGAAAACCCCCTTGGAAGCGATGGAATCGGAAGTGAGAGCTACCATGTGCATATGGAAGTGATCTTGCCTAATCGGAGTGAGCTATTCATGCTGGTGATGCCCACGCGTTCCAAGTCGATGCTTTCCAAACTGGACCTGTGGAATCCGATCTTCAGATTTGGCCATTTTCTAACGCAAGACTCCCACAAGTTGCAGGTGAGTATGAATGTATTTTCTCGATTATATGCGGCGGAAGTCGAGTATCTCTTTGCTATGCAAGGATATACCCTCGGCCGGTTTCAGCCGGAGACGTTGCGGTCAGCCATGGAACAGGAGAGGATAAGTCCGGTTCCTGCATAATATATTTTTGACGCCTTTTTTGGGAAATACCGCTCTAATGGGCCTAGTCGGCTTACCAGATCCCAGGCTAAAGGAACATGCAATTACCCCCAGGCTGCAACATATCTTCTCGCCTGTCGAAGGACTTGGCCCTCGTGGAGATGTTCATTGCACGTCCTAGTCGATCGGAATTCAAACTTTATCCGTGGCCCAGTCAGCATCGGAAAAGCCGATATGAGTCTTTTCCACACGGAGAGAGGGTCGGTTTCAAATAGATGGCCGAGTCCAGAATGACCTGACCAGAGATGCCACGGTTCCGGAAATAGGCCTTCAGCTGCTCATCTCCCCGATAGCCGCTGGAGATACTCTTCAGGCCACAGCATCAGGAGGCAACCTCTATTACACAGCGCTGAGCAGACAGTATTGTGGTCCCGCCTTGCAAATGGTTTGCTTTTCGAGGATTCCTAACGCGTTGCGGCTCCGGGCACAAATAAATTGAATATTACCATTGGCATCCATTTGAACATGAGTGATGAGGTAACTTTCTCGTGATGGTGGAAGATATAGCACATGTGAGTGTTTTGATGGATGTATGGGAGGTCTTCTCTCGCCATTTCCACACTTCGATGTCTTCGTTCACTTGCGGGCGCTGGGATATCCTTCTGAGAGACAAGTTCTGCTGTCTTCGGGCTTCCCGGCTACCTTTCAGCCTTTCCATTATGCTTGAGGCATGTGCCTTTTCTCATTGCTGCTTCCTGACGTATTGTCCTATCCATTTTTGCCGAGCTTGCCTTCGATAGTGTTTGACTGTACCGAGTTCTTGGCCTGGGTTTTTCGTTTCGAGGATCCTGGAAAACAATCTTCGACCTTCTCACCACCCCCTACGCGATCAGTCGCGTCCCCATGCCTTCCCAGTCACGTTTGACAGAGTAGCCGTCCACAGCGCTACTAATGTGATGAAGCAGACCAGGGCAGCCCCTAGCCGAGACTCTTTCAGACGATATTCTACATTGACTGAACAAGAAGGACCTTTAGGTGTCAGTCGACGTCGGTCCAAATTTATCCGATGGTTTCCGGCATTGGTCGCCTCCACATCAAATTGACGCGATATATCCAAAGAGATGCCTCCTCTACAAATAGGACACAAGTGCTCACGCATACGAGCTCGGTCGTCATATACATTCAAAGAGCTACCCTAATCCCAAAGGGCTCAAATATTCCTACCTGGGAATCTGCGACTACTACCAGATTGAGACTAGCCAAGTCAGAGATGTATTACTCATCGATGCCCTTGCCTCCGACTTGTCTACAAACGCTCTCGACAAATTGCCTGCAGCATCTGTTGGCCTCTCAGCAAGTCCCTAGTTGGGACCGGTGGCCGGACACGGTGATGTCTTTGGGCGAATGGCATTTCGACTCGGCCTGGACCGTGTCGTCCTCAACCTCATATGCACCTCGTCGAAGCAAGCCCGCAGTCTCCAGATCAGCTTGCAGACCTGGCGTCAGCAATGGGGTATTCGGGGGGCCTTCTTCCATCTAAAGGATCAATTGTGGTTGGTTTCGAGCACATTCGCCCTTGAAGTCTGGGGTTGAAAGCATCCTCGTGGACGTGAACAGCGACAGAGGCGGCCTGACTGGTGCAAAATTACTCATCAGTCACCATACTGAGTGAGCACGGTTAAGTGCTCAAGGAAAACCAGGTATAAAGCCATTACGACCCTCCAGGATGCCCCATGCCCATTCCACCCATCAGATATACTGTGTCACAACATGTCTTCGGAAAGCTCGGTGTTTTGCTCGGTAGACGAGTTTGTCGTGGTTCCCTTCGACTTTATCATTGCAGGAGGCGGCACTGCTGGGCTAGTACTCGCCGCCCGTCTCTCCGAGAATGTTGCCTTTCGCGTTGGAGTCCTCGAAGCCGGCGAAAACAAGTTGGATGATCCGCTGGTCAATATCCCGACCCTTTACATGCAAGGAGCAAACAACCCAGATTATGACTGGGTATTGAAGAGCGTCCCTCAGGTATCTGCAGACATGGACAATCGACAAAAGGCGATGACTGATTGGGAGTAGAAACATGCCAACAACCTTGAATATGCGCTCCCTCGAGGGAAGATGCTGGGTGGCACCAGTGCTTCTAACCAGTCCCTCTGGATGAGGGGGACACGCGCCGACTACGACGAGTTGGCGGCGATGGTCGGCTCCGACGAGTGGTCTTGGGACGGTCTCCTGCCATATTTTCAGAAACACGAGCGACTGAATGCTCAAGACGCTCCTCTATACCCTTCTGACACCCACGGAACGGCCGGGTTGATCCATACCAGCGCCAACCGGTCTCAAGTACCAATCGAGAAAGACTTCCTCGAGACGTGTAGAGAGGTTGCCGGATTCGACGCCACGTCCGATGATCCGACGACGGCAAATCGCGACAACTTCTTCAACGCTCTGTCGACGGTGGATCGATCTGAACGGCCCGGCACACGCAGCTATTCAGCCTCAGCATACATTGCATCCAACCTTGGACGCGCAAATCTCAAGATTCTCACAGGGGCCACGGTGGAAAGCGTCAGATTTGACACCTCTGACCACGATCCTACAGCCGACGGAGTACATTTCTGGCATGGCGGAAAACGGTACACTGCAGCTGCCAAGAGGGAAGTCATCATCTGCGCCGGAACCTACAAGACTCCTCAAATCCTCGAGCTGTCCGGGATTGGAGATCCAGGGGTCCTGCGGGCCGCCGGTGTCGACTGTCTGATCGCGAACAAACTCGTCGGCGCAAACCTGCAAGACCATCATGCCGTTGCCATCTCCTTCGAATTGGCTCCGGGGGGGTTCTCCATCGACGCATTCGTCACCCCGGAAGTGGTGAAGCCCCTCATGGAGCTATATCAGAAGACCGGGACGGGGCCATTGGCCAATCCTCCCTCGGGCATGGGATACCTCAGCTACGCGGCGCTGGCGGGGCCCGAAGAACTGCAAGCGACGCTCGACGCCGTCGCGTCAGCAAAGGGAATCGAAGCACCCCTGAGCGACGCGCAACAGCAGCGCGTGATCAAGAAGCTGCAAGACCGCCACGCGGCCGCGATCCAACTCCTCTTCATCCCTGCGTCCATCAACACCGAAAAGGGCCTGACGGACCAGTCCCAGTTCCTCGCGCCTCTCTCCACCGAGACGAACCACGTCAGCGTCGTCGCCGCGTCCCAGTACCCGCTCAGCCGGGGCAGCGTGCACATCACCGGCCGCGACGCGCAGGCGCCGCCGGCGATCGACAACGCCTTCCTCGCCCACCCGGCCGACGTGGCCGTGCTGCGCGCGGTGCTGCCGTTCCTGAACGCCGTCTCGCTGGCGCCGCGGGTCCGGCCGCAACTGCACCCGCGGTACTCGTTCGCGGCCAAGGTCGGGCTGGGCGACCGCGCCGCCGAGGAGGCGTTCGTCCGCCGCAACGTGGGCACCGAGCACCACCCGATCGGCACCGCGGCCATGGGCGACGTCGTCGACGCCCGCCTGAGGGTCCTCGGCGCCCGGCGCCTGCGTGTCGTCGACGCGAGCGTCCTGCCCGTGCACATCTCGGGCAATCCCATGGCGACCATCTACGCGGTGGCGGAGAAGGCAGCGGACATAATCAAAGCGGCGCATGCGTCGGAGGAGGTGGGTTTGTGAAGTTAGGATTCGGAGGTACGGAAAGAAACGGAGACGGTGCTCTCGCATGGCCCCCTTCAGTATTGGTATAGAAAGCTGGCATGTGGAAACCGGCGAAGCTTTGCAAAATTGTTGCAAGACGGTGATATTGATTGGAATGCGCGAAGGCGTGACTACATCAAACATCCGTAGTACCACGCAAGCTGCTATTTCCTGTCTTCCCGTTCACTCGCTATAGCCACCGGGTACCATCCAGTGAGGACGCACGTGTCGGGGTCTGATTGCTGCTTCAAACCTCATATTGCTCGAGCGCGGTCAGCCCGCCCTCCAAGCGCCTGGCGATGTTGTTCTCGTCGCACATCTTGACGAACTCGTCCCTCCCGCCGCCTTTCCCGTCCAGGCCGTAGATCTTGCCAAACTCGCCGACGAAATTGTCGACCGTGGTCTGGGGCTTGTCGCGGCAGAACCCGCACAACAACTCCCGCATCTCCTCCTTGAAGCCGAGCCGCGGCAACGCGGCCAGGACCTCTTTGTACTCGGCCACCGTGATCGGCCAGCCCGGCACGGGGAGGTGGGGCCCGAAGAAGTCGGCCATGATGGCCAGCTGGGTCGCGAAGACCTCGGGCTCCTTGTGGTGCGCGATGCTCGGGGTCGTGTGCAGCGCGATGGCGTCCCACATCAGTTGCAGGCGGTGCTTGTCCCATTGCCCGCCCTTGTGGTCGGCGGCGGCGACGGCCTCGGCCCGGATGAAGTTGCGAGCAATCTCCGCGCCGTCGACTTCGAAGCGCTTGTCCTTGGAGGTCAGGGACGAGCTGGTCGCCCAGCCCATGTCGTGCATCAGGAGAGAAAGGGCGACGGCTTCCCTGTCGATGTCCGGGTTCGTCGCGAGGGGCGGGAATTTGCGGAACAGGATGAGGGAGAAGGCGACGCTGCGGAGGCAGTGGTTGAGCGCCGCTTTGGTGTAGTGTTCTTTGACGAAGGCGTGGGCCGAAGTGAATAGGATGTCAGTAGGCATGGAGATTTGGGACACCGGAAAGGCTGAGAAGGACGCGGCCGAGGAAGACATCGTCGAAGATGGAATCTTTTTCAGACTTTTTGTTCCACTTGGTCTTCTTCTATGCTTGTGTTTCTTGCCTGACAAGGAAGATCTCTGTTGCCTGTGGTTTGGTGCTTGAGCAGCGACCACTCTCACCGAGGAGGGAGGGAGGAAGCTTTATATCTTGCTCTTCGCCCACCCATACTCCTGATCAGTCGGACATGGCAATGGTGATGGATTTGATTCCGCAGGGGCATTCGCGTCGACCGCATGTTTGTCCGAGCCTGAGGTGTGAGCTAGGGATGTCGTCTAGAGCGCGAGGCTGATCCCACTGCGACCTTCTAGCACCCTTGTCTGCGAGTCTTACTTTTCCCCTGAACGATTCCTCCGACCTGGGTGGCGTGGTGGCCCCCTACTGCGGCTTCTTCGAGGTGTCATTGGTGCATCTGAGAGCGGTGGAAAGTCATCCCGACCTGAGCTCGGGCCCTCGCTTTACCGGAACAGGGCACGGTTTCTGATTTGGGAGGGTTCGCAGCTCCCCGGGGCGCAACAGACTTTGTCAAGGAAATGAAATACGGGTGCATAACGAGAGGGAGATGTAAACGAGCGAGCGAGTCGACAACGGTGTGTTTCCGCAGTCTGGCCTCGGTCGCGGGAGAAACTATTGTCCGCCTTTGTTGAGTCTGAATCTTCAGGCGCGAATGAATGACTCAATAGCTGTCATCACTACCTAATAAAACGTCGGGAGGCCTACCTAGTCCGGGACGTGAGGGCATTGTTAGTATTAGGTACCTAGATAGTACTTAACCTCGAGTTAGCCGCCTGTTAGCAGCCACCAGTAGGGTATCAAGTATCGCCTCAAGGTCTGTCACTCGCAAAGATGGGCTATTCGTGCACCGAAATTCCCGGCCTGCCAGTCACATTACCGTCAGGGTGTAGACCAGAAAGATCTGGGAATGTCAGATCAAGCCGTGTTATCCCCTCTGTATGACTTTCCAGGCGTGAAGCTGGGTACTTCCACTTCCCTCGTAGCCTCGTTGCCAAGAGGCGGCCCGCTGGAAAAGGGGGAAGCAGCCTTGGGGAAGGGGAAGGGCAAGGCTGCATTGAATCCGACTCGTACGCGGGAACGAAGACATCACGGATGATGTATGTATGCCTTTTGCAGAAAGGCACCGATAATTGAATCATACAAATATGGAAATGTAGCTTGCCCAGACCCTCTCTGTCCAAGGCAGCATGTGCGCTCTAGCAACCCTTTTTTCTTTCCCACCTTTCTCTGTTTTTCTCCCTTTTTTTGGTGTTTTTCTTTTTCGCTTCTGAAAGCTTTTGCCCTTGCCACTTTACTCACGAACATACCATTTGGCTTGACTTTGTTTGGCTCAACATCTGTGCGCTCTTTCTGCCAATGGTCGCCTGAGTCAGTTTGACCAAGACTTCAACCTCCGTTTCAACGTGACGCCCTGGTGGGGTTGATCACCACTTCGCCTTCTGTCTCAGCGTCATCTCTTGATCAGGTTGGTCAGGACTCCATCCTCCATCTCGACATGAATCCTTGTACTGGTTGACAAAGATCCCATTCTCCCATCTCAATGTGGCTTCTTCGTTGATGCATCAGAGGATCTGTTCATCGCCAATAGCCATGACGAAGCGCCGGCTGAAGTCAATAGGGTGTTCCTCTAGCTCCGAGTGAAACGCCTTCTCCAACCAGCCTCTCATCTCTTCTGTGAACAAGGTCATGACGTTGTGATTGGTCTCAGATGAACCCCCGACAACTGTTGATCCGTCAGATACGTTGCAGCAAAAGATGATAATAAAGTGTATGTGCTTACTGAGGCCGTAGACTTGGACGTGACTCTCCTCCCCATCGACGCCGGCGTTTCCCCGAGAGCAGACCATCGAGCCGGAACGTCCGTACCAAGCACTCAAGTTAAGAGACACTTGGTATGACTGTGGAGGAAATCCGGTCTCGGCGAATTCGTCCATCTTGCCGAAACTCACAGTGCGTCGATTGGTCTTGAGGAAATCCACGGCGGGTGGATGATTTTCGTCATAGAGCTGTAGCATGTGAGCGTCGAATGGTACGTACTGTGACATGGACGACTTACATAGCGTTGAGCAATGTCTTGTTGAATGCTGAGGGGTTGTCGCAAGAAAAACCCTTTCCAATCTGAATTGAGTCTGGCCTGATTGTTGTTGAGGTTGAACCCGACCGACCACCAAAGATCCTTTGAGCCCAGCTTGCCTCGATCCTCTTCAACCACAAAGTGGATTTGACTCCAATCAATCACGGTATTAACCTCATCGTCGCCAGGTGCCTGCAGGATACGGAAAATGGCGATATCCCATGGACAGTGAACCGCAACCAGTTGAAGCTTGAGCACGTCGTCGCATTCCGTCACTGAGTCTTGGTCAGCACTGTAATGTTTTCGTTCATTCTCAAGTGATTCTCACTTTCAGCGTCAACATCCGCCGTCTGACGTGCTCGTATGTCAGTTGTGTCCTGGGAAACCCGCCGAACGACTTCATCAAATTCCTCGCGGTTGTTGTTGGGCCATTCGGTGAAATGTGCACAGCTGACCACAGCATCCACCCCGTCTCTGCGAAGGCGAAACCCCGACAGACGAGTACGATCCATTGCGGGGTCTGAAATCTCAATGCAGACTGCTGCCAGACCTGGTTGCATCAGGGCTACCAGTGGCTGTTGAACATGGTCAGTACGTACGCTGGAGTCAACACGGCAAACTGGGCGGGCGGGCTCACCTTGCGTCCTTCTTCGTGATCGCGCAGTGCCTTGAGTTCTGGGGGGACTTTCGTAAAGGTGCCACGATCTGACAAGTGATGGAACAGAGATAGCTGCCCGGATCCGCTCTCAATCGCTGTCACTCCCGAGTAGTATCGAAGCTGTGGAGGCGAGCTTTTCTCAGGCGTTGCCCATGGGACTATCGCATTAGGATCCTGCTTTGACGGTGTCACTGGGACAGGAGGGTCCGTATCCATAGCTGGGCGCTTTCCGTACACGACCCATCTGCGAGTGGTTTCGTCGGGGTCCCTAGTATACCAGATGGTTTCTGCTGGTGGAGCCCGTGACGGAGATGGAGCGTGAGAAGGAGGGGGAGAAGAAGAGGAGGGAGTGTCCATGATCACTGGTAGTCTCCTTTTGGTCTTTGGAGGTTGTGATAGTTAAGATACTTGCCGCCAGCACTGGCTGCAACAACCTCAGAAGGCGAGAATCTCTTGTCTTTATTTGGTGTTAGTGTATGACAAGAGGTGGATGGTAGAGATAATGTCGCGGACGTGAAGCTCTGCGACACGGGTTTTGGTTGTTGTGAAAAGGTCACGAAATGTGACAAGGAGCCGGGTCACGCGGCTTTCTTTTCACTGACATTATATTTCACTGCCGCCATCCAGCGTGAATGTTGACATGGAGCGCGTTGTAGAGGGCGGCAGCCGTAGCATACAATAGCATACAACGCTAGTCCCCCACAAGCTGTCCGGCATATATCCGGCCCACAGCGTTGCTGGCTACATATGCGGAGTCTACGTATGTATGTATGTATTGCCGAATACACAGTACTACTATTCAAGACCTCCGCATGACGACATGGGAGTCGAGCATCACGAAGGCTGACGACGATTGACAACTGTTCAACCCTGTCTATTCATCCATCTCAGTTCGAGACATCAAAGACATTTCATTTCTCAATTGAATTACTACTATCTATTACCCAGTCTCCCACATACTGAATCTGTTTCTTCGATTCACAATGCTGCCTTCATCATCCCCGCATGTCGTGGCTCTCTGCCTCGCTCTCCTGACAACGCTTCTGCCTGCGTCTTTGGCTCATTGGGACCAAGACCAGGACTCCATCCCCCAGCGGCCTTTATCGAAAGGCCCGATCAAGGACATCCCCCAGGTTGGGTTGGGGCTGTGGAATTCCAAGGATGAAGATGTCTGCTTTCCCATCGTCTCATTCCCATCTATCCCGTTCACCTGTTCAATTTTGAATTCACAATGTACCCCTTTTTATGATTGGAGGCACATCAAAACTGACGCTGCCTTTTCGGGGACTGTAGGCTTCAAAGGCCGTCGAATATGCATTCGAGACGGGATACAGACACCTCGACTCGGCCGCCGCATATGGTACGTCAGAAATAGAACCTCAGATGTTCATTGATGCCCATAAAGACCATTTCCCCACCGGATCGACTGGAATCGATCAAAGTTATTCATCTCCATCTGAATAGGAGGACATGGTAACTGATGACGCGTTGCTTTCCGACTTAAAACAGGCAACGAAGCCTTCGTCGGCCGCACACTGAGCAACTCGTCCCTCTCCCCCGCGCGGGAGAGTTACTGGATCACCTCGAAGCTGTGGAACACGGCGCACCAGCCCAAGCACGTGCGGCCGGCGCTGGAGCAGACGCTGCGCGACCTGCGGGTGCCCTACCTGGACCTGTACCTGATGCACTGGCCCGTGGCGTTCCTGCCGGGCCAGAAGCCCGGGCGCACGGTGATCGACCAGGACACGAGCATCCACGACACGTGGGCGGCGATGGAGGCACTGGTGGCGGCCAACCTGACGCGGCGCATCGGGGTGTCCAACTTCTCGCCGCGGCAGCTGGACGAGCTGCTGGCCAAGTGCAAGGTGCGGCCGTGGGCGCACGAGTTCGAGACGCACCCGTACCTGCAGCAGCAGGAGTTCGTCGACTGGCACCGCCGGAACAACATCACCGTCGTCGCCTACTCGCCCCTCGCCAACAGCAACCCCACCTACGACGGCAAGTACCCGGACCTCCCGCCCATCCTCGAGGACCCCTTCTGGACCGACCTCGCCGCGACCAAGAACGTCACCCCCGCGCAGGCTATCCTCGCCTGGGGCCGCCAGCGCGGTACCATTGTGATCCCCAAGAGCGTGCATCAAGACCGGATCGAAGAGAATCTGGGGTCGCTGAAAATCAGTTTCACAGACGAGGAGATGCTGAAGATCGCGGAGCAGGACAAGAGATCCAGGTTCAATAACCCAAGTAAGAGTTGGGGGGTCGAGCTGTTCGAGGGCTTGGATGATGGCAGTAGCCGGTTCATGATGAATGAGGAACTTTAAGAGGACGGCGCGTAAGGGAAAAATGGTTTTTGGAAAAGCGTGGCAAAGGCAGAATCTTTCTTGCTATACTCGACAGCATCGGAAGATCGAGGACTCGTTAGGAAACCCAAAAAAGGATGCCATGCTGTATATTTTGCGCTCGGTACGTGTGGATACAAAACTTCACCGGGATGACTCTCTAGACCAGCACCAGGACGTCCATCGCTTGCTTGAGCCTGCCCCATCACTGCCTTGTTGTATGTACCCCAACCCTGCTCTATCGCCCCAACTCAAAATAGAATGACTTCGCACCAACGCCCAACGCTCAAGAACCAATGCAAGGGTATGCGCGTAACCATCATGTTCAGTCATGGCGAACTCCAAAGCAATGGCCAAGGTCGTGCTCATTCCCGTTGACTCCATGTCTAGTCCTCGAGATCCTGATGACGAGCCAACACCTTGCGCTGGAACTCCTCGGGGTCGCTCTGGTGAAGTTGGGCCGCTTCATTATTTAACGGACTAGAACTGTACAACACTATCAGCATCAATGTTTCTTCCCAGATACAGCAAAATCATACTTGTTCGGCTCTTCCAGCAGGCTCTGTAGACTTAACAGCACAGTTTGGACGTTGTAGACAGCACTCCACTTGTCCTTTAAAATGTCGAGGCATATCCGTCCGCTGAAGTCGATGTTTGGATGATAGACTGGAGTTTTGAAAAGGACCGTGGGGGCACTGTATGGATAGTTGCTGGGAAATTCGAAGCTGAGTTTGAAGGTGAGATCGGCATAGGCTGTGTCTCGGGGCCCGACCAAGGTGGCTGTCCAGTGTAACATGTTGCCATCGGTGTCAGGGAAGGCAGAGATGCCCGGCGTAGGAGACATCATGAGGCTCATGAGCTCAGATTGGAGCCTGTGCTTGATAAGTCCCGTGCTTTCGATGTGGCGAGCAACAAGAGAGGCCTACCGTTTTGTGACACTCTGGGTGTCGGCTTTCCGGGCTAAGACGCCGAGTTTCTGCTGTTCAGCCATGGTCGGGAATCCTGGAGCGGCGTTCTGAGAGTTCTCGAATGGAAAATCCATGTTGAAGCTGTATTTAAGCTGCGGGCTGCAAACGGCGAGAATGCTAGTAAAGGAATGCTGAAAACGGAAGAATGGTCTAGACTACTACGGTTCTGACAGCAGTGGTTGTAGACCGGCAGCACGGAAAGCAAAGGCTGGGACTGAGGATAAGGAAATGATGGAAAAGAGGTGCAGACAGTCAGGGAAAGCGAAGGTCGAGGGTGAAGAGTTGGTCGCGTGCTGGTGCTGGCAAGATCGACTGCGCCCATCGAAGTACTAGAAGTGGCAGAAGGTGGTAGGGTGGATTGTTTACCCTGGGCGGTCGCCGTCCTGGTCGCTGCAGTAACATCACCGCTAAGCACCAACTAAGTAGCCCCCCAGATGACGTCGACTGCGCTTTGGGGGGCCCCGGGGCCTCGGTCAGCCAATTCATCGCCATTCCCGCGCCGCAGTCTGTGACACGACGCGTTCTGCGCTTGGTAGACCGGTTGGATGCGTCCCACGACCATGGGATCACCGACGATCAACGCATAGACTTCGACCTTGTCCTGCGAAACCCTGAACTCCCTCGACTGCCTCTGCCATGAACGGGATCCCTCATTCCCAGCTGGCACCTCTGCCTAACCAAGTGCCGTTCCGGATTGTCTCTCCCACCATCGGCTCGGGTGCATACGCATGGTATTTGATGCCCTGCCCTCGATTCTGCAGCGGGATTTGCTAACAGTCCCACGAAGTATTAAGAAAGCCGCTCCCCTCAAGGCCGACAATCCCGTCTTTGCGGTCAAGTTCATCAACAAACTCTTCGCCCAGAAGTATGGCCGCATCAAGCAAAAGCAGCTCGAGATGGAAATATCCTTGCACAAGCACATCGGCCTCCACAAGAACATCATTGAATTTTACGACCATGGGGATGATCCGGCTTGGGTGTGGATAGCAATGGAGCTCGCCGAGGGTGGCGATTTGTTTGACAAGATCGAAGCCGACGCTGGTATTGCAGAAGACATTGCACACGTGTATTTTACCCAACTCGTCAGTGCAATCGGCTACATGCATTCCAAAGGCGTAGCTCATCGGGATATCAAACCAGAAAACGTCCTTCTGTCTGCGGACGGCGACCTGAAGATTGCAGACTTTGGGATGGCCACCCTGTTCGAATACCACGGCCGGACCAAACTCGCAACTACGCTGTGTGGGAGTCCGCCTTACGTTGCCCCAGAGGTCCTGTCGTGTAGTACACAAGCCGGCACGAAAGGAAGTGGGTATGCAGCCAATATTGCAGACATCTGGTCCTGTGGGGTTGTCCTGTTCGTCTTACTTGCAGGAAATACCCCCTGGAGCAGACCAGTCGAGGGGCGTGATGAGTATGGGAGACCGAATGAATTTAGCGAGTATGTTCAGAGCAATGGGAAGCCGTCCGACGAGCTGTGGGATGCGCTTCCCTTAGAAGTACTGTCCCTCCTCCGCGGCATGATGAGGGTTGATGTCAAAACTCGGTTCTCCCTGGAGGATGTGCGCCGGCACCCCTGGTTTACCAGACCAAACAGATTTATGGACCAGAAGGGTCGGCTAAAAGACCCGATCACTATGGCCACGAACATGTTTGAAGCCCTCCATGTCAGCTTCGATGCGGATCCATTCGCAGGGACGCAGAGAAGTCGAAATCCAGACGCCATGGAAATCGACGGAGATTTTCGGGCCAGATTCTCATCAACCCAGCCAGAAACACCTGGGGAGGATATGCTTTTTGACTGGGGCCGACCAAAACACCTTGCTATATCAAGCACTCAAGTGGGAGCAGGTCTTACGTCGGCGACGCAGTCGGTATCGACAGCACAGTATCTCGAAGACGAGCCTTCCATGTCACAGTTCCAGTCCAATCCAAGCGTCCCTATAAGTCGGACCCAGATGGCTCGGCGATTTCATGATATCTTGCCCTCTTCAGGCCTGACCAAGTTCTATTCTGGTTGGACGCTGAATCTCCTCGTCCCCCATGTCCTAGAGGCTTTGAGCCGACTAGGAGTGCCCACTCCACATGTTCCTCGGCCTACGGCTCAAGACTACGAGTGTCTAGTCAAGGTGAAAACGCAAGACAGTCGCGGGTGTCCCTTGGGTGGTAATATTGCCATGGAGCTGGTCAGCGAGGGACTGATAGAGGTGTGCTTTGTCAAGGCCTCGGGCGATCCCTTGGAGTGGCGAAGGTTCTTCAAGCGTATGGCAGTGCTATGTCAGGATGCAGTCGTCAAGCCAGAGTTTTGAAGAGGTTTTGCAACCCAGAACTGCTTTCTCGGTGTTAAGTAGGCGCCAATAAAAAAGCGAAGATACCCATACCCCATACCTTTGTATAGAAATTGTGTCGATCTGGCAACTCTCGCCTCGCCTCACTCTAATTCCTGACTCAATCGCCGACACTGGACGTACGTGGAGCAGATCTCGAATCCTCGCGGATCATTTCCCATCATTCTAGCCTCGCCAGCAATGCTGTCGGCTGCTCTGCTTCCTTACCTTGACTTTTCCACGTATCTTCCGGGATGCGATGCGAGCTCTTGTACCATGGGAAATGCACTCAGCCACTGTATGGCGAAGCGCAGGAGATTCAAAGTGATTCGTCGTAGGCCACGACCAGGCAGGAAACGTGTTGGCAGTGATGGGCGTGCACGGTTTCAAGCGCCTGGGGGACGTTGTTGTCGATCTCCATTGGGCGCAGCTATCTGTTGCGTAACCCATGGCCGAGCTGGCGGTAGGGAGACTCGGCTGATTGTAGTTTGGGCCTTGAAGGGATTGGAATGAATACTTGGTGTATGTGCATAGACAGGTACTCTGTACCATGGCAGGGATTGCGCAGGGTGGAGAATTGAGCCTCGGCGTTTGGAGTCTTTCACATGTCGTTGCAAGCGGGAGATGACTTCATCTTCGGTTTCCGTGCTCGCGGTTCCTCTGAACAACCCGCCATGTGATCACTTCCGATGCGACTTTACATCCATCTCCTTTAAATACCCAGTTCGTCAGTCTCACATAGGCCTCGAGCCTTTCTATTTTGTCTACCGTACTCTGATCACCGGCGTTTCACGAACACTCCAGCTTTCCGCGTCTCCTAGTACTCTCCTTTCGATTCCGGAGTCTGCCACGCAATGTCTCTCAAGGACGGTATTCTTTCATGATTTGGCCTAAGACGTGACAGCATGGCAGCACTGACGTATCAATCCAGACGCCTTTCCTTCCTCCGTGGCCTTTGATGCCATCAATGAATCCCTCGCCTCCAATGACGCCGAACGGAAAACTGCCGTCAAGCAAGGGGGCGCCGTCTTCACCTTCAAGCTGAAGAATAGCAGTGGGAAGGAAGAGGCATGGTATATTGATCTCAAAGAGACTGGAACGGTCGGCAAGGGCGAAGCCCCTGAAGGCAAGAAGGCTGATGGTTAGTTTCACACATTTACCATTTGAAGAGAGGGCGGCAAGGACTAAGCGGGCAATAGTGACACTCCTGCTCTCCGACGAGAACTTTGGCAAATTGATCACCGGCAAGTCGAAGGCTCAGACGCTATTTATGAGTGGCAAGCTGAAGGTCAAGGGAAACGTCATGAAAGGTAAACCAGTCGGCCCTGGACGGCGAGGACGAAGAGCTGACGGGCGCAACAGCAACGAAAATGGAGCCTATCCTCGCGAAAGCTGGCGGTGCTGCCAAAGCCAAACTATAGATGTGACAATATTCAAAGCAGATGCCCAAAATACTACCGGAATTTTGAAAAGCACACCCCATCCTCAGAATAACGGACCACGGGGGACGACAGGCTCGGATGTGGATCATTCAAAGTACACATGGCTGGATTGTGCACACAGATCTCTTTCCGCGCTGTTGCTCTTCAGCACAATGCATGGGTCGGCCTTGGTGGCTTTGACCTGCTTGCCATCCACCTTTTTGCTCCCCCTGAGCACCTCGACCACGCTTCCTTCTGTCCAGGCTGACGTCGTCTTCCAATAGGCTCTCTGCCCTTCTTTTGGCGGCCTCGACTTCGAAGCGGGCTGAGCTGGCGCGTCCACCCTACCAAGCACTGAGACGGATGTGCCGTTCCGTTGAATTTTGGGCGTTCCGGTCTGATCCTTCTGTTTCTTCTTTGGATGATCGGCTGCTTCTCCGTCTATCGCGTCTTGACCACGAACGCGGTTCTGACCGGGCTTTTGGGATGCCTGCCCTCGCTTGGTGTGATTACTGGGGTGTTCCTGCTGCTGAGGGTCTGGGTCAGACTGCATGGTTTCATTGTTCCCCTGTTTGTTCGAGAGACTTTGCGTTTCCTGCTTGCCGTCTTCTTTTGTCGCTTTCGGTTCCTCCTTCTTCTCATGGACGACTTCCCCTTCGTCGTTGGCTTTCTCCCTATCAGACTTTGCTCGCGGGGTGTTTTGTACAAACTGCTTGCCCTGCATGCTTCCTTCTTGCTTTTTCTGGTCCGTCTGCTCCTTTTCCTTCTCACTCATATCTTTCCAGGCCCTCTTCGGTCTGCCGTTCCTCCTCTGTCCACTTGGTCAAATGCTTATGAGATTCGCCCTGGTCTCTTTTATCAGTCTTGTAGCCACCACCCCGGCTTTTGTACTCTCTGGCCATCATTTGAGCCTGAAGACACGGGTTAATCTACAGTCCTCAAGCGAGAAAGCGGCCTTGATAGGTACTTTGCGAGCCGACCACTGTCCGGGAGCGCCACCCTCATCAGATTGTTGGATGTCTTCCTTGACCTCATCTCGGAGCTTAGGGTCGGTGTATTTGTCCTTTGAAGAGGGCATTTCTGCAGAAGATCCTGGTCGAATGATATCCTTGATAGGTCGCTGGATTGAGAGAGGGACTCGGCGTATTTGGATTCGGATACACTCTGAACCACCTCGTAGTCTTCCCAGGTGCACATGCCACCAGGCACACGCACAGCATCGCGCCCAGGGGGTTTGTGGTAGCTTTCATAGGTATCTGAAATGTAGGCGTCATGAATCTAGACATTCGAGTGCCTCTCGTAGCCGAGTTTGTGATACCTGGTACGCAGCATGTGGTGCATGATATCACTGCTTTTGAATCGCGTGCCCAGCATGGCCCCCGATGTTCCGAGGTTGAATTCTTGGGCTCCTGGCATCGCAGGTCCAGCCACATGGCCATCCATTTTCCTTTTACTCTTTTGGTGCTTTGCACTTCGTGTTTTGTGCCCATGGCTTTTAAGCCGAGGATTCAGGCCTACGCCGACTACGCTCATGGATTCTATAAGGATATGAAGCTCCCTCTGTTTTGTGGCGTGGGCAAATTGTGGACAGTCAGTTCCGACGGGCTTTGGCCTACAGTCTGATCTGTAGAACTTCACATCTCAATGTTGATATTGTGGACCACACAGACGCTCCTACTATGCTCAGCCTCTACAGCATGCCTCAACTTGAGATTTCTCACCCTCAGCTCTCTTTGGTCAGGGACAAGAGAAGGATTGATTGAGCAGCCGCCAGAAATCATGCAGTTGGTCTTGCAAGAACCGTCTCTTCCCTTCAAGTTGCGCTCATCCAGTCATGTCTCTGTTCCTTCAGTCTCAAGATGATTGCGGCTGTTCTGAAGACTGCAGATTGCACATGAAAAGCCGCGCTGCAGATCAGGCCTCTGCATCTACCTTGTGCGGGTCCTACACGAATAGCCTTGCAACCACTTTCATACAAGATACTCCTAGCCGCTTGATGCCGGCCAGCAAACCTCAGGTGATGCAAAAGGGGGATACAAAGACCCAAAACCACTGCCGAACACACGGCGCGACAACCATTGCTGAGGGAGAGGAGGTGAAATTTTCCTACCAAGGTTAATGACATACCTGGAGGTTTCAGCAGGGAGCAACCCATGCACCACCCCTCCCATCCGGCGACCTCAAGACTTTCCCGATATCGAAATCACCATCACCGGATGACCAAACCGCTTGAGCAGAGCTGCACCCTGAGTCCTGACTGGAAGGCGTTGGAGCCTCGATTGTGGGCCTCCGATCCGTGTTCGAAACGCCATCACATCGACGAGCTCTGGTGGCTCTGGTCATCAGGTGAAGCACTTCCATATCGGCAATTCGCAAACCCCTCCTTTTGTTTCGCTTCAAGAAGGACCGCTAACAGCCTAAAATTTCCAGAATCGGGATTTGCATATCTGGTCTGGGGGGTTCTTGACGCTGACACAGATTCGCCGATTAGATTCGGATTATGGAAGAGCAAAACAAGCCTTACCGAAAATGCCATTTGCAAAGCACCACACGTGCAGAACCCCTCGCGACGGGATCGCCGACTTTGGGCTGGAGAGCTGCCACGATAGGTCATTCCAACAGCCGGTGAGCCTAACGCTGCAGGGCGTTCAGCAGGAACAAGCCAATCCAACCTATGAGCGATGTCCAGCGCACGGACCAGAGACGCCCAGCCAATACAATTGAGAGTTGGACAAACACTGGATCGGGTATGGCTGGTTGAGCAATGCCACACTTTAGGTAAGCCAATGCGGCTGGCCTGGGTGAACTTGGGGATCAAGGACGCACACCTGGCGAGGCAGTTCTATTACTCAATGGCTAGAACCTGTACGGCTACTTGGTCTTGGAACTACGAGACTCGAGGGGTCACACCAGAAGAAACTCATATTACAGGCCGCCTTTCCCCACCTGCGAACAGAATGGGAAGCAGCACTATCGCTGCCTTCGCAGATCTGGTAATTTGCTCTTGCAAGGCTGCGCGATGATCAAACGCGGGACTCTCCAATGTTCCCGCCAGGAAACAGATGAACTCATGGATCTCAGCCGGGCAAGCAGGTCGCTCTTTCTATATAGAAGGAGTCTGGGAATGAAGAGTTGTCAATCAATCCTGCTAGCTGGAACGCATCAATTGCGTTGGCCATACAATCTCAAACGCTACCAGTCAAACTTTCCCATCTGTCGACGACATGAAGAACAGAAACCCATCCTGGGGATCCGTCAGGTCCAAGCTGACCCAGGAAGGCTACATGTACAGGATGAAGCTCGGAAATCCTGCGCCGAACGCCAGTAGCCAACCTGCGAACCGTCGTCACTCGTCGTCCGCCTCGTCGTCGTCGGTGAATGCACCATCTTCCATTCCGACGGACTCTGTCCCTTCTAGATCGGGTGTAAATGACACAGTCGCAGACGGCGGTAGCGCCGCCTTCCAGACTGTCATCGAACTCCTGGAGCACTGGAATCTTGGTGATAACTTCAGGAGGGACCACGACCTGGACCCGAATTCCACGTTTGAATTCTGTGAGTCGTGTCTCTCTGAGTAATTCTGTCCCTGCTAATTCTCATCCGGTAGTGTTCCAGTGCTATGCACCTTTTGTTATACACCGTCGCCATAGAACGATCCTCTTTGAGCCTGGTGACTTCCTCGATGGGCTCATGCTCCACGATAGCATGGTCGCAAATGCTGTCCTAGTTTGGGCGGCAGACATGCGAGAACGATTCGGGACGGGCACACAGGGTGCGAGGGACGTGCTTTTGTCACAGCGAAACGATGTCATCAGAGAGCTCCGGGAGAGGATCTCTTCCACAGAGACATGTGCCTCCGACGCTGTTATGATGACAATCCTTCTGCTGGTTGGAACTGAGGTAAGATATTCTGTGTTATGTTTATGCTCTGCTAATAACAGACTCAGCTTCTCCACGACAATATTGATGCAATGGGGACTCACCTCGGTGCCTTACGGCACATCATCCAAATCAGGGGTGGAATGGATAGCCCATCACTGAGCAAATGGGTGAAGATCCCGCTTCTCCAGTAAGGACTGCGCCGTGCCTGGCTCAGGCCATGCCATTGCTGATAAATCCAAGGTTCGAAAATTTCCTGAACTACCGACACTTTGACCATGTCAAGAGTTCCAGCTTCGAGGGTATATCGCCAATGGGTGAAGTCCCTCACCACCAACCTTTGCCGGTAGCCCGTGCTCGTCTGGCTAAGTTGCCTCCTGGGTTCACCGAACTGTTTCGCAGCACTCCTGTCAAGGTACAGGTCGTGAATCTTGTGGAAAGAATGGCCCAATGGGCTCTGCAGCTTGCCGATCTTTCCGAGGCAGGAGCAGATGGGGAACAGACTGCAGCAGTCGTGCATGCAATGACGTTGGATGCATTCCGGGCCTTTGACTTGCTCCAACAAGACCAGCTCGAGGAGATGGAGCGGTTGTTGGTCATCGGCTTGTTTTCCTTTTGCATCTTCATGAACGGTGAGGCGATCTACTCGGTGATGGAATGGGCTCAACGACTTCACTGCATGGCCCTTGTTGGCAAACCTATCGCCCCAATCACGAATGAGGGTCGCGCAAGCATGATCTGGGTTGCCGCCATGTTGATGGCGACGGGAGGAGATGGCTCTCCAGCGTGGCAGTTGGGAAGGCGAATCAACAGCGCATGCAGTGTTGCGGATGCTGGCTTACAGGTCATTCTCCAAACAAGTCAGAGATATTTTTGGGATCAAGATCTGACCACGAGACTGAGTGGCGGCACAATGGGAAGCATGCATGGCAATTTCTTCGGAGATGGGGTATGATTCGGGCAAGTGGATGCAATCTCTGGCATTGACCGACCTAGGACTGTGGCATTTGGAATAGCGGGTATGAGGGACGTTCGATTCATTATCTATTCATTATCTATTCATTATACCTTAGTAGTGCAGCTGTTGTTAGAACGAAAGTGGCATAATCAGCCTGGGAATCCATTCGCACACGTCACCGGAGGCCAAATTTCCGCCTCAACGTCCCGCCATCTCAATCTCCATGCGCGCAGGAAGCAGTAGTGAAGCCACGGGTGGTTCTTTGCAAATGGGTGCCTTTTTCTTTTCGAGAAGGTTGATGAAGTGGAAATGGGTTTGGATTACCGATTGGCCACACAGCAAGCCAGCAGAAAGGCAGAGGGCTAAATATATATCTTTGCCCCGGAAAGAGGCCGCGCGAGCTGGACGGTTTCCCGGGTGAGAAAAGTTGATGCCAGAACCCGAGGATCTTGGCTCTTTTCTGACTTGTCGAATTGCTCGGTGGCGGCCCCTTGTGACAATAATGGCAGAAAGCGGTGTCTTGATGACAGGCGTCTAGTAGTCTGCTTGATTGTTGGTTGAGAGGCGAGACTGCTGAGAGACAGCCTCGCATGCCCTATCTTGGCCACATGGCAAGGCTGTGGCAACCGCGGCAGGTTAAGCGTGTAGTCATACTCCAGGCCACTAATCCACTAACTATTTAGGTGGCCAACATCACTAACTGCCCTCCTACTAGCACCCACTAAGGAGTTAGTGGGCAGCATAACTCGCCCACCATCACTCCCTGGGATCTTCCCTCCATCCACCCCCCGGTCTCCCCCCTTCCTTCTTCTTGCCTGTCAGTCTCTCGACGCGTTACGAGAACTCGAGCTAGGGCGCTTCCCTCCAGTCTCCACGAACCCACCTGTCTCCGTCCTTCCTCTGCGACGGCTTCAGAGCTAGCCATCAACAAACTGCACCAAAATCTATTTTCAACCTTGAGCTTTTCCCAACTCTGGCTTTGTCGGGGTATTGCCTAGGTACGTCGTACGCAAGCAGTTCTGTGGATCGAGGGTCGATAAAGGGCATTTTTTCTTTTTCCCGTTCTCTACCGGCTAGTCTGCGATGTGGTCCAGAAGGATTCAGGAGTTCAGGGTGGTGGTGGTGGTGATGTGATGGTCTCGTTCTGATACGGGAGATGCGGTTCGTGTTTCCAATGCGTTTCGTCCACCACGCATCCCCTCCTGAGCAACGGGCCAAACAGGCGCTTGCTCTGGTCCAATCTATCCCCTGGACCTTGTCACCACCGCTAACCGCCTTGGGCCACAACTTCGGAGAATCGACGCGGCACAGCTAGGCTCATTGATCCTTCGACTTTCCTTTGCCTCATTCTCCTTTCTAATCGACCCGTGTACCCAACCGGGACTTTCAAAACGTCAAGAGTCTGGAAGTTGCCAGGGCACAAGGAGGTTGCGCGTCGGCCAGATTCCCGTCTGTGCTCCCCACTCTCGCCATGGCCCATATTTGCCATTCGCCGCCCAGGAACCCGAGTCAGGCTGCTCAAACAGTCCCTGTTTGGCTAATTTTGGCCAATCCATGGCTGTTCCCTGTGCCGGTATTCCCCTGGCCACATCTCGAGTGGGATATAAAGAGTTGAGAAACTTCCGGGTTGTGGAAGAGGCTCTTTCTTCACCTCTCCAACGCCCATCCCAACGAGTCTCTGAAAAGTTAAACCTGCTTTACATTTTATCCTCTCTCTAGCAAAGCTATAGTGATCAAGCACCGACCTCCTCCACCCGTGACAGACGTCCATACCATATACACACCTCACAAAATGCCGTCCCTACTTTCTTCAACGACCCTCATCTTCGGTGTGCTGGCCACATCCGTTCTCGCCAACCCCCAATACGACTACGGCGGTTCTTCTGGCTCGTCGTCTTCTATGTCGTCAGCCAGTGCGACTGCAGCCGCCGCAGCCTCTACAGCCTCCAACATTCACTCCGTCAAGGTCGGACCCGCCCTCACATTCACACCAGACACCGTCACCGCTGCAGAGGGCGACTGGGTTGAGTTCACCTTTGGTGCTGGTCACAGTGTTGCAGAGAGTTCATTCGCCGCCCCTTGCGTACCAATCAGTGGTAGCGCCGGTGTGTACTCAGGATTCCCCAACGACGGCGATGTTTGGCGGATCCAGATCAACAGCACCGATCCTCTGTGGCTGTACTGCTCCGCCACTGGTCACTGTGAGGGTGGAATGGCCATGGTTGTCAATCCTCCGTAAGTATCACTGCCCTACTCGGAATTAGGCGGTATACTGATCATCACTATTCAGGTCAAGCGGCAACACCCTCTCTGCATACAAGTCTGCCGCGCAAAACGCCCAGGGTTCCTCCCCTGAGACGGTTCAAGGTGGCATCTTCGGTGCGGCAGTCGCTAGCGGAGGCTCCAGCAGCAGCGCCTCGTCGTCATCAACCGCCAGTGCAACCGGATCCAGCGCCAGCGCTTCTGCGTCTGGCAACGCTGCTGGCGCCAACATGGTATCGAACGGCCTGATGGTTCTCGGTGCAGTCGCTGCTGGTGTCGCTGCTGTTTTGTAAATAGATTTATCTTGCATGAGGCGGAGATTGGGCGGGAATCGGGCCAGGGGGCATGCAGCATATTGCGTTTTCTCTCAAGCAACCCCCTTTTTTTTTAGAATGATTAAAAGGACATGCCGAGCATCATTTTGAGATCTACCTTGCCTTATCTTCCGCCCTCAGACCTGTTTGACTTCTGTTAATTGTGAGACTCGTGCTCTTGCAGACCGCAGTAAGTATACAAAGACACATGCTCGCCGATGTTTCGTCTCTGGAAATTGTTCCGCGGTATTCCCGCGCTTGGGATCTGATCTGCCTTTTCGGAATCTCGCAAGCCAGCCCGAGCAGACGCGGACTTATTTACTGAGCCTCGCTTGTTCCACAGGGAGAGACCACCAATAGTAAAGGCCAGGTTGGTGACGGGCTGTTGCAGCCTCGTCCGTGCCCCGCAGCCAATGCATTTCCCCTTTTGGCCTTTTCCTTCTTCGACGACCCGACCTCGGTAAGAATGACCCCGCCTTTGTTGGCATAGCGATAGACCTGGCGACTGGCACAGGGAGAGAGACGGCCCTAGATCTTGGGAGGAAAAGACCCGAGGGACAGAAATGCGGCCTCCCAACGCGGAACCTCGTACAATGTGAGCTTACGTGCTTGAAGCTTGGACGTTGATCTGCTTGGTGGCCTGATTGGCAACACCGTGAGGATTGAAGCCGAGACGGCGGACGAGGTTGTACTGGGACTGACTCATGCTCACAGAGAGAGTTTCCTTGTGAGATTCGAGGACAAGACAAAGAGGGCCAGCTGAAGACGAGGTAGAGCGTATATAGATCGTGTCTTGGACTGTTCCGGGCCAAAGAGTCTCTATCTACTTTGTATCCGTCCCTTTCACTCACACACACTCTCTCTCTTTCTCTTATCACTACATCGGCAAAGACATCATGCCTCTCATCAACGAAGCGCCCTACACGGCGGACGATGTGCCCGACTACCCGCAGTGCACGCCGCAGCCGTTGAAGATCGTCCACGTCGGCGCGGGCGCCTCGGGTCTTTTGTTCGCGCACAAAGCTGAGAGACTGTTGAAAAACTATGAACTCATCTGCTACGAGAAGAACGATTCGATTGGAGGCACCTGGTACGAGAACAGGTCGGTATCGGTGCTAGACGGCGTAACCCAGCTCATCCAAACTCAGCCTCTAACACACCTGATAGATACCCAGGCTGTGCTTGCGACATCCCGGCGCACACCTACACGTTCCCCTTTGAGCCCAATGCCGAGTGGAGCGGCTACTACAGCTACAGTGACGAGATCCAGGAGTATATGCTCCGGTTTGCGAAAAAGTACGGTGTCGAGAAGTACGTGCAGCTCAACACCGAGGTCGTCGCCGCCACCTGGGACGAGACGAACTCGAAGTGGACGCTCGACTTGAAGCGCAAGGACGGCAGCACCTTCAGCGACACGTGCGACGTCTTCGTCAACGGCGCCGGCGTAATCAACAAGTGGAAGTGGCCTAGCATCGAGGGCCTGCACGACTTCAAGGGCACGCTCGTGCATTCGGCCGCGTGGGACAGCAGCATCGACTGGGCCGGCAAGACCGTCGCCGTCATCGGCACGGGGTCCAGCTCGATCCAGATGCTGCCCAAGTTGGCCGAGACGGCGAAGCACGTCACCGTCTTCATCCGCAACCAGACCTACATTGCCACGCCGATCGGGTCGGTCTCCAACAAGGAGGCCGACCCGGAGGCCCAGGACCCCGGGGCGGCCGGCAAGCACTCGTACACGGAGAAGGAGAAGCAAAAGTTTCGCGACGACCCAGAGTACCACCTCAAGTACCGCCAGGAGGTGGAGCGCTCGGTGGCCAGCATCTTCCGCATGTTCCTGCGCGGCACCGAGATGAACCTCGCGGCCAAGAAGTTCCTGCAGGACGACATGGCCAGGAAGCTCGGCGACCGCGACGACCTGAAGGAGAAGTTCATCCCCGCGTGGAGCCCCGGGTGCCGTCGCCTGACGCCCGGCGAGGGCTATCTCGAGTCCCTGATCCGCGACAACGTGACGTGCGTGTTTGAGGACATTGTCAAAGTCACCCCGGAGGGCATCGTCACCAGCGACGGCGCGGAGCACAAGGTCGACATCCTGGCCTGCGCCACGGGCTTCTACGTCGCGTACCTCCCCCACTTCCGCATCACGGGCCTAGGCGGCCAGGTCATGCAGGACCAGAAGGAACCGAACGTCTATGCCTCGATCGCGGCCCCGGGGTTCCCCAACTACTTCGTGGTCAACGGCCCCCGGGGCAATTGGGGCCAGGGCTGCGTGCTCCCGAGCCACGAGGTGCACAGTGAATACATCCTGCAGTGCTGTCGGAAGATGCAGGAGGACGGGATCCGCTGGATGATGCCCAAGCAGGAGCTCACGACGCAGCTGAACCTCTACATGGACGCGTGGCACAGGAAGCACAGCGTGTGGGCCGAGGACTGCAAGAGTTGGTATAAAGTAGGTTCCACCCTTTCCCCTTCTCTGTTTTTGCATTCTTTTTTTGGGGGGGTTGATGCGTGCTTGCTGAACTTGATATTCAACCAGGACAACAAACCCGATGGCCGTGTCTACATCTGGCCAGGAAGTCTGTTCCACCACCTCAAGTTCATGAAGCGCCCGCGCTTCGAGCACTACGAGCTCCAGTACAACGACCCGAGCAACGTCTTTGCGTTCCTGGGCAACGGCCTCACCATCACCGAGACAAAGTACGGGCCTGCGGACCTGCCTGTTCCGTACATCAGAAACAGCGAGGACGAGGAGTGGGACATCGAGTAGGAGCGTCTTGAAAGAAATAATATCCCGGAGGTACTGTGTTGATCCTGGCAGAAGATGATGTCGGATAGCAGAATGGGAGAAACAGTGTATAGCTCGCTCGTCCTCGTATGTATGAGACGGTAGACGTCCCCGCAAGTTCGTAGAGACGGGGGGAGGGACGGACAGATGAAACGGACGAATATCGCGACAGATCACAGGCTGGACAGATGTAGATTTGAGATTGGGCATTAGATGGCTCTGTGAGTCAAAGAACGAAAGAATGATGCGGCATCACCACGAAGTCCTTGACGAGGTCCACCAAGCTAGCCCTGGGATCTGTACCTATCCGAAGTAACTAATATGGGGTGACAATAGTGACAACACCAACAAGGCTGAGTTTCCATTTACCGCGGAGTGCGCGAGGCTGAGGAGTCGCCATGCCAAGCCCGCATTTTGGAGGGACGCCAGGAAATTTCCCCACATGCGTCTTTGACCTTGATCTGCGTGGGCCATTGAATGATACAATTGTCCCAAGTTCTCCGAGTCGATATTAACCGCTACAACAGAGGGGGGCTTTCTTTTACTTTGATTCTACGCAAACATTGAAAGACATCTTCCCTAGAAAGCTGCAGGACAGCCGACACTTGCAATCTGGGGGGCTCTGCTACATCGAGCGAAAAACGAATCCTCAACCCTCAATCTCGACCCCGAACACCTGAACACCACTCGTACCTGAGACCGAGCGTGTCCTCACTCCGAGTTAATCTACGTACATTACTACACACCGAGGGTGGGAGGGATTGAGAAACGCGAAAAAAAAGGTGGAGGACACATCTACACCGACCCCCCAAACCCTCCTCCTTCGTCCGCAATGTCGCACGCACGCGTGGAAGAACTGTCCGACTCGGACCCTGACATCGACGACCCCTCCGACTTCCTCCCACACTCGGACGAGCAAGTCATCCGGCCAGCAAGCCAGCAGACCGTGTCCTCACTAGCATCAATATCGACGCCTCCTTCGTCCACGTCGGGGACGAATCCCACTCTGTTCCGCCCGCCGCCCGGCGGGTCTGCAACATCATCAGCAGCACCACCCCCACAGATCCGGCAACAGACACGCGAGGAGATCAAGCGGTTCCAGACGCTGTACCCGGTGTACTTTGACAGCACGCGGTCGAAGCGGCAGGGGCGGCGGGTGTCGGCGCAGCTGGCGATCCCGAACCCGCTGGCGTGGCAGGTGCTGTGCGCGGTGCGGTTCGCGGTGGGCGAGGACGTGTTCCAGATGGCCTTCGAGCCCGAGAAGACGCACCCCAAGGACTGGGCCAACCCGGGCCGCGTCAAGTTGCGGCTCAAGGACCCGGACACACACGCGCCCCTAGACAGCCGCATCCAGAGCAAGGCGCACCTCTACACCGTCGTCGGCCGCTGGCTCAAGGAGCACCCGACGACCAAGGAGTCGCCGCTCGAGCTGAGGCTGCCCGGCCTCCCCGTCCCGGAGAACTTCCTCGAGTCCCCGGTCCCCGTGCCCCGCGGCTGGAAGATGGGCTCCATCCTCCCCGTGCATTCCTCGGCCGTGAGCGGCGGGGGTGTCCGGGACGATTTCTTCAAGGAGGCCATGGAGGAGCTCCGGCACGCGCAGAGTCAGGGCCATCTGCCCGCGGGTGGACCGGGAGGTGGAGCCGGTGGTGGAGGAGGCGGCATGCCAGATATGAGTGCGCTACAGAACATGATGAACGGGATGGGCGGGATGGGTGGCCTTGGTGGAATGATGGGCGGCGGCGGTGGCGGAGGAGGAGGAGAGTCAGGGGGTAAGAAAAAGAAAGACAAGAAAAAGGGCTGAACTCTGCAGCGTTATGTATGTGATTGCAGCGGCTCCGCCATCATCATGGCACAAAAGGCAATCCGAATGTCAAGATTCCTCGTCCGCAAAGTGGCCAGGGCTCAGTGCTCTGAGAGAGCGTCTTGTCTCTATCCGCCCAATGCCCTCTTCTGCCCAGCAACTCATGCTGAACGCGTACCCATGCATCCACAGACTTTGGAATCTATCTTTGTACTGCGATCCACAGCTTTCTTCTGATCCACATGCCCCCGCGTCGATCATTCCCGTTGTCCTCGAAGTGTCTCTGAACCGTGCTTTTCTCGGTTCAACACCTGCTCACCCACGTCTTCGAACCTGTCATTCCGTATCACCATCATCACCATCGTCAAGCCCCGCCGACTCCGCCTTTCGTTTCGGTCTTCGAGATGCTCGAGTGCGCCGCCCTTCCATCCGCTCCTGCGCCCAGCCTGGATGGTATTCCGGCCGAGTATTGGTGTGGCTGCTCTTGGAACGAGGGTTTGGGTCTCCGTGCTCTGCCTCCTTTTCATCGTCATCACCGTCGTCACCGTCGTCACCACCGTCACCACCATGGTCATCCTCATCACCGCCACTGGGATCATCATACTCATCAACATTCGCATACAGCACAGTGTCTATAGTTGCGTCAAAGTCGGGACACGCTTGTCGCTCCTCCATGCTTCGGTGCAGATGCCACTTCCAGCAAAGGCGGTCTAGTGGATGGTACGGCAAGCCTCTGTCCTTTAGACCCGTCATGTCTTCGACCGCGGCTAGGAAGTCCAACAGGAGGGGGGGACTGCCGTTCATGAGGCCGGGATGGCGCATCCACTCGCGTAGCATTTGGCGGAGACCCAAGTCGTGCTCGACGAACACCCAGGCCAAATTCTCGATCATGGCGCTGACGATGGTGGCACCGGTGTAGGAGAGGTGGGCGAAACGGTCGGCTTCCGCAATGAGCACTTCGAAGTCGTCCCCAGCCACCTTGACCATGGTGGTGGTCAGGTAGTTCATGAACGGCGGTGACTCGAATTGATCGGCTATTTCCCAGCAGTCGGCGAACAAGCCCCGGACGCCCTCGAACTTGGACCGAAGCACGCCGTCGAAGGCTTCGTAGACTGCGGGGTCGGAGGTCTGGTGCAGGCCCAGCCACAACGCGAACACCACAGCGGCCTGAGCATCCTGGTGTCGAAAATGGAGTGTGTAGGGTGAGACCGTCTGTGGGCCGGTGGAGGGGGGAGGCCCGTCTGATCCAAGGATGCCAGAAACTCCCTGGAGCACGGGGATTGGAACGTAGAGGCAGAAATATGGGTCTGGACCGTGCCAACCGACCAGCAACATGACCGTGTCTGGGCTGCGTTGTCGTCGACGTCAGCAGAATGGACATGCAAAGGGCACGCTCGGTGATAAGGACTGACCGCTCTGTGTACATGGCTCGGACGTACTCCTGGACTTCAGGGCGAGGGACGTGGTTCAGGGACGCCAGAAGCGCCCCGGCCGAGGTATCGGGCATAGAGGCCATGGCCGAGATTGCGACAGCGGGAGCGTGAGGTCCAAACAAGGAGTGGTCGGGTTGGAAAGGATGAGGGGACAAAAAGAAAGAAACAAAAGAGATAAATAGGTGGACTGGATCGAGGGTGGTGCTATGTCAGGCTTTAGTACCGGAAAACCCTCTTAGATCGTCGCGTTTGACGTCGTCTTGGCCGTTTCCTCGGCGGCGATGTCATTGTCCATCATGAAGGGAAAAAGAAGAGGACGAGGAGACCGAGACGGAGGGCTGATCTGTTCAAGAGCCACCTTCTCACATCTCGCGTCTGACCTTTGTCTCCCACATTCACCTTGCACTGCCAGTCCATAGCTTTGCTGCTTCAAATGGGGATCAAGAAGATTACCTTTGGCTGTGGTATCACCTGCCAATGCACATGTACTCGGCTGGAAAACCTCAAAGGTAGAACCATGCCCCCTTCTCGCTGTCGTCTTGTGCAGTAGTACATTTAACCGAACAACTTAGTACATCTGTGTGCACCTCTTGACTTTGATGTTCCGCCTCTCACATCATCTCTGCTAGACAGCCAGCGTGAAGGGTCTCGAATAGCTTGGACGCCCATCTGAGGACGATAGAGCTGGCCCTGTCGGCCTTGAGCACAGGTGGTTGATGTGAAGACATGTGAAGTGTCGTCCTACCGCCCGACTCTTGTTCCAGGGCTCTTGACGCAAGTGGCGGTTCATGCTGATGGCTGAATCTAGTCGGGAAGGGAATGGCTCATCTATCGCCCCTTGTGCGTGTGCTTTGTGTGCCTCACGACTCTACAACTACTAGGAGAGAAGTCGCGCAGGAGGACGAGGAATTAAAAGGTGGTTGAATCTACGGGTAAATCTCGGCTAATCAGACACGAGGCTAGGGAGTCGAAGAGCGAGGAGAGAGAGAAGACTGTGAACATTATGTATGGCTCGCCCGGAGTCAGAGCGGATGATGTTCAGCAAGACTCCTTTGTACTCGTAGCCACGAGCAAAGGTAGGCAACTTCGCCGTCAACACCCGTCGCCTCTCTCGCCAGTTCCTGCTCTGAGGGATGGACCAGCTACATTCGCAGGCGCCTCTACTATCTCTCTCCAACCAAGCCCATAGCGGCGTCCAGCAAGATCATGTCAGTCCAGGGAGAAGCTGCAACGTTGCTCGTCTGTGCCCACATGCTGTCTGCTACCCCCATCCATCTTCCGAGTGTCGGCCTGCACAGGTGGATGGTCAGGTCGTCGCTCCAAACAGGCTTTCTGCTCTTCCAAACCCATTTGTCTCCACCACGGTGCCATGTCCATTCACGAGATCCTTGTATGCAACCATGGCTTTCCACGGTGCCGTGGCATTTCTTGGGCATTTGGCCTTGGTGTCGTCACTCGCATGTTCATGCCACTTGCAGTCCTTGCGCGCGGTCGGGGCGACAAGTCGGTGGTGGTCCTTCTCCTCGTGTAGCTGATCCACTTTCAAGAGCAGCCTATTCAGCAGTGCGATGTTGTCCGTCTTGCTGACGAAGGCGCCCCAGACACTCCCCTCGTGATCCCGCTCTGGCCCAGTGAACTCGGCCCACCCGCCAACGACAATCTTGTATGCTAGGCATTCGAGGACAAAGTCCCACAAAGACGCGAGGGAGGAGGAATACTCAGAATCCAAGACCAGCAGGGAATCCAGGTCCCAGTGATCCATCGGCACGTCTTGCATCGAATCCATGATGGTGTTTCGGAGCTTCTCAGAGCCCACCAGGTCTGCAAACTTGAAATAGCGCTGCACGTCGCCAAATTTCAGAGGCTCGCTGCTGCTGGATTTGGTGAGGGCGCCTTGGTAGATCAGGTCAAGCCAGTCGGCGAGGACGTCGTGGTCGCTGGTGGGGAGGCGGACGGTGGTGCGATCGGGGGAGGAATCGAGAATGATGGCAAAGTACTTTGAGTTCTCCAGTAGGAGTGATTTGCTGACGTGGAAGACATTGAGAGCGACGTCTGGATCTTCTTCGCCAAAGATTTCGTCTTCGCCTGCAATCACCTTGATGACAGGAGATCGAGCGTGGCTGCGAGGGATTAGGTCGGGTTCTCTCGCGGAAGATTGTTGTCTACTCACTTTGAAGTCATTGCTGGTGGTGCTGCCATGGCTGCTGGCGCTGGTACCGGGAGGGACTGAGGACCCTTTCTGATTAATTGAGAGGAGCTGTGTAGGTATGATTGCGGTTGATGGGTCTGGGTGTGAGAGAGGAGATGGGGACGGACAGAAGAGTTTGTGTTGAAGATATTCAAAGATCCAGGACTCAGATTGAACTGAAGTCAGTGAAGCGAACCTGCTTGCTTGCTTGGCTGGCGCCAATCTCTGCAAGAGAAGGTGAATGTGAGTGAAGATGGAGAGGGAACTGAGAAGCTGATTGTTAAACTTGATCGCAAAGCGGTGTCAAACGTTCATTTCATTGTAAAGCCAGTGAGTCGATTAAGACGTGTCAATCCTGTCATTCTGCTATGAGAAGTCTCATAACGAGGCAGAGGACGACCAGGCACGTGCCGAGTTCATTATTGAGCAGCCCTCAGCAAACCTCTTAGATTTCCCTGACCTTACGCAGTGCTCTCATATTGTGTCTACCAATTCTGTGTCTCTCTGTCATGTTGTTTTGATGCTCCTCGACCAGGACACTGTCAGATGCTTTCCATCTCGCAGCCCCTTGTCATTCACGGCTTTGATGGTGGCATCCATCATCCTTCCATCACCAGTCTCGACTAGCAACCCAGCAGCTCCCCCTTGCTCGTTCACTTCTCCCTTCACAGGTCTTCGAATCTTCAGGTGCGCGAGGGGTCGGTAGCACGAGAGCACACACGCATCTCGCCCCTGAGACAGGCACTGGCCGCCCATCTGCATTCTTCAAGGTGTGGTGGTGGCTAGGCTTGCATGTTCTCTTGATGGCCCTTGTCCAAACGTTCCATGAGCATAGACAGAACCTTTCCCTTGGTTCCATTCTTATCATCCTTGTGGTTCATGAAATGCTCCCATCCACCATCAGTTTTTGTAATGAAGCGCACCCAACCGTCGGCATTAATCTTGTCCGCCAGGCCTTGTATCAGATACTCATACAATTCACGATGGGTGATTGCATCGTCATCGAATAGCAGCTCGAGAAGCCCGGTAGCAACAGGGAATAGATAATCGGACCCTCTTAAACATGCTTTGCCTCTGACTTCGAGGTAGGATTTGAAGTTTTGTGACTCTAGCAGTATGGCCAACTGCCAGAGATAACAGAAACGAGGTACAACTTCATCCTCAGGTATCTCACGATTGTAAAGCCATGTTACAAAGCATCCGAAATCGCGCTCACGGACATCAGGACCGACAGTAATCCGGACGCTCTTGTTGCATCGGTTGGTCAGCTTCCTGCAAAATGTCATCGATTGACCTTCGAGGAGTGCTCGGTGAATGTGATGTACTCTTGATTCCCACGACGTTCCCGATGCAGTCACAGAAATCGTGGGTGACTCGGTGAACCTATGAAGTGAATCAGTTATGCGCGATACTTGAGGTGCTTTAGTGATCAACTTACACAGTGGGCCGGGGCTTGCAAATCGACATGGTGCGACCTTATCCCAAGAATAAGATGGTTGAGCAGACTGCAAGTCGGTGGCGATGTCAGGGGAGCGAGATGAACGATGGCAAGATGAGGAAGATTGCGACGAAATAAGTTCTGTTCAGTCTCTGTTACAACAGAACGCCGTTTTTTTTTTTTCCAAAGAGAATCATGGCTGCTAGGGACAACGAATGATCAAAAGTGAATACCCAAGACCTGGCGCAGTTGTGTTTGTAGCAGAGCGTGCAAGTGAATTTCATAGTTGTGTCCTCTAGCTGCCCGATTTCCTGGCCTGATCATTTTGTACCCAATCCATTATTGAGCGTCTGCCTGATGTATCAGACATGGTACCCAAAAGCTCAAGTCTGCAACTGGTCTCCGGTAGATGCCACCGCCAAGGTCAACACTTCTTATCATGGACACAGGCGAAACTATACCCGCACATCCTCGACCACCTGCACCGGCTGCAACCACGTAGGGCATGCATAGACGCTCGATTGCTGTGTAAGGTTGCCAGGCCATCCCACGGGATCCAGGTGCTTTTCAGGGATTCGCACGAGAGGCAGAAATCAAGAAACTTTCTTTCCCTGACCGGATGGAGAGTGAGGTCGGTTGTCTCGCTCTTCGCTACCTTTGATCTCGGACTGCGAAGGTAGTGGACTGGGGTCGCTGGCAGGAACCTTCCTCTGATCACCTCCGCAAAGCCTCAATGGGGAATCATCTTGCGCCTTTCCCATATCCGTAGTGCTGGTCCGTTCTTGCATTTTGTTGGCCAGATGTTCTTTGAGCCGGGGAATACCACATCTCTCGGCCAATAAGTACGTCTCCTTGATATGTTCGCCGTCTTCATCGCAGCAGACGCAATTCCAGCCTCGGTACCAGCTCAGCATGCACGCAAGGACGGCAGGGTCGACGTCTGCGAAATCGAAATGTCGGGTCCTTGCCTCGGGGCAGTCTCCATGCAGCCGGTCCTCGAAGTATGTAGATTCATGGCAGAGTCGTGGTTCATCGAACGAAAAGAACTGGCGGTTACTTCCTGTGCCGGCTGCGAATGTTACCACATTCGTATAGTCGAACAGATTCTTGCGCGGATTGTCGCTGGTCTGACTGTCGCCGGGCTCCATCAGGCATGTAAATAAGTAGAATGGTGGATCCACACGCAGATTCAGAACCGGTATCAGGAAGAATGTAAGATTATATTGACTCATGGGTGGCGAGCTGCCCAGCAATGTCAAGGTGTTTCACGACTCGAGGTACTCACTCCATGCTGTCACATCCTCCATCAAGTCCGTGAATCCAGAGTATTGCCCAAACACAGCATCCCAGCGCTCCCAGTCGAAGCCCATGTTCATATCCGTGTCACCCTGGTGTAACTCGGTATAGACGAAGCTTTGGTCCCTGTGCGACTCCTCATCATTGTGAATGGGCACTCCGTCGCTGTAGCCATTCACATAACCGTTTCCGTAAGACGCTTGAATGGTTTGCTGCTTGGGTAACTGACTGTCGAATACGTCCTGCTGTGTGCCGGTCACAGCATTGACGGACACTTGTCCCCAGCCATGTTGAGGTGATGCATGGGACTTTTGCTGTTCTGTGTGTGTGCCATTTCTTGCTTCATTGCCGCCAAAAAGTGGCGTTGCCTGAGTAGGACAAGGACGAGTCTGCCCCTCCGCTCTGGGCACATGTGAATGGATCGGCAGGACTTCAACTGGCACAGTCTCGCCCGCGGCGGCCTTACCAGAGCACTTCTCCATACGTTTACTGAGTGGAAATGGCATTCTTGGCTGGCCTTCCCGCCGTGCCAGCACTCGAGCGCCATTTGACCCAGAATCACTTTCAAGAGTTTGGCGCAACTGGCTCCGCATAGTCTGGGAACAAAGAGGGCCTTGCGGTTCATTGCCTTCACTCGCAAACTCTTTGTGGGCCAGCTGCACAATATATCTCACCCCTTCTTCCATTACCTGTTGTTCTGCTTGTGCATCGTTTGTCCATGAAGCCAGGGGCTGAGGAGTCGGGGTTGGGGTGTCATAAATGGAATCTTCTCGGATACTTTGGGCAATTTTCTGCGCATCCGACAATGGGACCGCGATGCCAAGCTCGATTTGATCGGCCTCTGTCCAGAGGACTGTGGGATCGAGTCCTGCTCTTTGCCAGGCAGCTGAACGAAGGCCGCGCAGCATGTCCCACGCTTCCACGCCACCCTCCCGCAGCGGTCTTTGAACAGTGACACCGTCGGGCCCGCCGACAATACCGGTTCCAGGAGCAGCCAGCCCGAACACCTTGTCGATCAATTCTCTTGACCTGGGTGCCTCAACACTAGTGGGTCTTTCGTAGAGGTCAACAAGAACTATCAAAACCGCATGAAGCGGTCCGTAGGTCGCAGGCCAACCCCATTGAAAAGGTTGCAAGTCTGGATCGGCTGCGAGTGATATGAATTTTCTGAGGAAACTGTGGCAATTATGCAGCGCGCATTGTCGGCCCATATCCCACAGCTTGCTTTTTGTATTCTTCAAGAAAGGGGCGTATGCGACACAATGGACTTTGTCAATCAGCATAGATAGATTAATTCGGGCCCATTTGTTGTAGGCGGCTTGCTTCTGACGATAGTAAGCCGCCAAAGGCCACAAGGGGTCAGTGTTGTTGACGGAGGTCTTGTAGTGCGCAATGTCGTTCGAAGTGATTGGACTGCCCATCAACACATCGGTATCCGCCGAACGTTGCTGCGCTTCTCTGGGCGCATCGGGTACGAATCCCATTTCTGGCAGTCCTTTGCTGGGAATGGACTTGATGATAGCGTTGACTTGATCAGCTGCTTCAGTCATGATTCTTTTCATTTCTTGCACGTCGCCGTTCGTGAGTCTTTTCGTTTCTAGATGAAGCGACACGACGCTTCGCGTGGCGCATGCCATGATCGACTTCCCCCTCGCCAGAAGTGACAGGGTGCCGAAGGCTCTCGGATTCGTGCTCTCTCCATTTGACAGTGCGCTATAGGGTGACGAGTTCTTTGGAGATTTGTCCGAGTTGGCGCTGGCGTTTCCGTCCTCAAACGCCCGAGCGTCCCTGTCCTCGCAGTTGATTCTCGTGTCGCAGAATTTCTCAGAGATCTGAGAAGGGTAGCCGCTCGCGACAACATGAGAAATATCCAGCTGGATGATCTGCCACCAGAGCCTTCGTCGCATGCCTTCTTCGGTCACAGACAGCTCAAACAAAGTAGGCTCTCTGTGTAAGCCCATGGTCAATGCCAACCTCACCGCCAGCGACAGGTACAGGCTACCTTGTAAAGGGTCTTCTTCCGCTATTGGCATGCTTTGCAGGAGGACCAAGGCCGCAAGTTTGTATAGGCTAACATTCTGGGCGAAGGAACCCAGTAGGAGGCAAAAAACCACCTGATCGTGGAAGCGGGTGCTAAGTCTGGCTCTCGAAACATGAGGAAACCATTGCCGGAGCCCCTTCGTGGAAATGCTCAGAGACCCTGCGTACCATATAGCATGGATCACGGCCAAAAAGTCCAAGTCCATGTGGTTTGCCTCTGAGAGGCCGTTCGACTCGATCTGATCCCAGAATTCTTCATGCTTCTTGCTCACCTCCGAGGGTAGAAGAAGCCCTAGAATTGGATACACCCCGGATAGCCAACATCTGAAGAGGACGTTGCTCTGTGCTCTAGTGGGCAAGCTCTGTGTCAGATGTTGTATGGCGGTCGCTGGCGTACATTTGATTGGCATATTTTGCAGCAGACTAGATTTAGAAAATGGCATCAGGCGACATATCGGGCAATGGCTGTCCGGGTCGATGTTTTCCGGCATCTTCTCGCCAGCTTCTTTGTGAAAGTCGGTGGGGTTGCAGATGTCGTCCTTTTCTTGCTCGCGGCCTTCGTCAACTGGCGGAGCCCACTCTCGCGGCCTGTCACACTGCTTGTTCTCCGGGCTGATCGAGCTTGCGTATGTATTGTCCCGACGTCGCATCAGGTGATTGAGTTGATCAATCTCGTCGGAGATATGGTTCCAAAATGGGTCTTCTGTCTTTGATTCGCCATTGCTCAGTCTCAAGCCTGACAAAGGCATGCTGAGGTCAGAGGGTTCCCTCGCTGGTCCGTGATTGCTCGGTTGAAACATGTCCAAACTCATGCTTGATTTTGGTGGAATCCCGTCCGAACCTGAGTCTGAGGTTGAAGCCTCAGGCGTAAGCAGCTCTTTCAACCGCAGATCGTTTCCGTTGCCCTGGCGAAGCGCGTCAAACATTTTGGTCAAACGGTGTAGCTGCTCTTCGATAGCTTTGAGGTCGGCAGGCGATCTGAAGTCGTCAGATCCTATCGTTGTTCCGAAAGAACCTTGTCTCATGGGGCTCGACTTCCGCTTCTTCCAAGCCGGTGCTGTGACTTCTTTCGGTAGTTCGGGTTGTGCCGAAGAGGACGTGGTATCATCCTGGCTGTAGAAACATTCCACGTCTGCCTTTTGACAGCCTCCACAGATTGGACGGGCTTTGTCACACTTGACTTTCCTCCGGCGACACGTGAGGCAGCTATAGCTCGCTCTGTTTCTTGTGATTTGACGCTTTTCGGGTCTGACAAGGCTCGATGTTGGCTTAGAACCGTTCAAGACAGACGGCGCGTCGCCAGGCTGGCCAGCACTGAACTGAAACATCGTTGATAAGGCTGAGCCAGACACTGCAAATCCGTTCTGGCTCTCTGGTCGTCCTTACGACTGCTCTTGAGGATGCTTGGCGGTTGTGTATGGACGGCGGACAGGCTGACAAATAGGGTGAGAGGAGGTTGTGGTCGTCGATGGCCCTATCATCTCATCGCAACTGCCTCAGTGCCGGGACCATCCTATTGCTCGTGTGATCTCTATGTAGAGTTTTGGATCGTGTATGAGGGAGATGTACAATTAAAAAGATGATGTGAGATCGAAGGAGGTTCTGCTGTTGGATTCCAGACCTCGCGATGTCGATCGAGCCAGTGCTTTTTTGGGTTAAGACGGAGCTTGGCATTCACGGTAGTCGACTATCAAAGACGCCTACCCCGACAAGGATGCCTACCACAGACCACCAAGACCAGCTCCTCAACCATGCTCAGGGGCACTCTTGGGTTCCTTTGGGTCCTTGTCCAAACCATGTACATGTCTATTTGTACTCGGTAGTGTGATCGGACCCTTAGTCGCTAAAGCCTTCCCAACTCTCCTCTTCCCGCCGAGTGTCGATAGCTTCACCAGTAGTACTCTTCTTCGTTCCCACCGGCGAACGGACAAAACAGCAGACGAAGAAGCCCATGGTCCCCTCATCGTCTCCTGGATGGCACCGAATGCATGCTTCACGTTCCTCTTCGCCTAAAGCTGAACGACAGCTCGCTGACTCCTCAGACACAGCCAAACCGCGCTGCCCCCATTGACGCATCCCTCGAACTTGTTCTTCCCTCCGCAACAGCCGCCAGCTTCTTTCCTTTGCAGTCCGAGACTGTAGCACTCGGAACACGACGGCTTCGTTCTCCTCCACATGGATTGAACATGTCGAATAAGTTACCCGGACGGCAGCCGGGAAGGAAAGAGCGTGCTCGACAATCTTGGTTTGCAGGTTCGACAGTTTCAGTAGTCTAGCGCTATCTGATACAGCGTCTCTCGTTTCTTCGACCTCATTTGCAATATTCACAGCCTCTTCGTGATGATGATCTCTTTTCCTCTTCTTCGAGGCCTTTGGAGAGGGTGTCGGATGTGCCTTCTCAGATCTTGGGTCAACAGGTAGCGCTAAGGAAGGAACGTCTTCGCGCCCAACGATTCCACTGCCGGAGCAGCTCGGATCAAGGAGAAGATGTGTGACGTTCTCGTACTTGGCGTCATGAGAATTGAGACTCAAAAAGTCACAACTTGGTTGAACTATCACAGCATCTGAGCCGCTCTTCTGCATCATGGACAATAATGTCTTCGACCGATTAGGATCCCGCTCACAAGCAAACACCTTGGTTTCCGTCTTCCCATTTTTGGCAAGCAGCGCCGCGAGATGGGAAGTCTTGTTTCCGGGTGCAGCACAAGCATCTAAGCAGTCTCGAATGTCAGAATTGCCACCCCTTTCTCCGACAAGCATGCATGCCGGGAAGCATGAAGCCTTGTCTTGCAGAATGAGTTTTCCGTCTCTGTAGGCTTGTGTTTTCGTCACGTCTGCCTCCGGAGGCAGTGCGACTAGATCTGGAACGTGCTGATCGATGGCCAGAACCTTGTCTGTAGCAAAGGAATTGGTCACTTCCGTGATGGTCGCAGCGGACTGGTATCCCTTGAAGGTCGTAGCAAGCTCCTGCTCGAGGCTAGTCTTCAATGTATTGATGCGAATCCATCTTGGCTGAGAGCGATATGCCCGCGGACTCTCCGCCAAAAGACTCCTTCGCAGATTGTCTAACGTAGCACATCTTCTCCGCAGCCTAGCTTTTGTGAATTCCGCTTGCAACCTCGCTTTATTTCTTTCGATAGCTTGTCGAAGGGGATGTGCAGAGGGCGCTGCGACGCCACTCTTCGAGAAGAAATGGTCGTGGACAAGAAGCAAGGAAAGGATTGGTGTCAACTATTAGGGGGAGCCCCAAGGCTGAGTCAGTCAGCAGAGACACGAAAAATTGGGAGAGAATTGTGTCGAACCTTTTGTTCTTGACCCAGGAGGCCCGCATTGTCGACGACTTCTTTGATGAACTGGTCGTATTTTGCAGTCTCTGAAATGAGCGCATAGATGTGTGCCGGCTTGGATTTCAACCCCAGTTTGTTCCCGTAGATGCGAGACTTCAGCGAGCCGTCTTGGGCAGTTGCCGTTAGCACCGCTGCTGCATCGTAGTACAGAGACATCTAAGAGGCCGGTCGCAGGACGATGTGCTTAAGAGCCCAGTCACCTCGAGCAGGAAGATATTGGGAATCAACCAGGCGGCCCGTCACACAGAATTATTCGCCCTGGCAACAAGCCAATCACGATGCTCCATTTTCCAGCCTCAGCCAGACATCCTCCCTCTTCCCGCGTACTTTCATTCTTTTATACCTGACCACAGAGCAAGCGAAATCCAAATATTCCATGCTACAGTTCGATATCACTTGACCTTCAGGTGCTAGATACGAGAACTTTTGGCCACGCCCTCGGAAACAATCTACAGGCAGGTAACACGCCCTTGAGCCGCCCTCCCATACCAGATACTCTCAGCACTCAAATTGATGCCACGCACCGGGCAGATCTGGTTCCCAAAGCCCCCCAATATGGAAGATCCAGATTACAACATCATGATGTGTCCACCTCCAGGCGATGATGCAGCCCCCCACGGCTTTCCAGCAGATCCTCGAGCCCCCGAATCGCCGAAAAAAATATTCAGAGATGCCATGGAAGTCCGCATCAAAGTCTTCTGCGACGAGCAAAAATGTCCACTGGAGGCCGAACTAGATGAAGATGACCTTCGGTCATGGCATTGGATCGTCTATGGGTGGGACCCGGCTGGTGAGATTACGCCAGTTGCTTGCCTACGGATCGTTCCTCCGCCACATCTTCCTCATCCAAATGGTTTCAGCGACCCGGATGAAAAGCCATACGTAAAGCTTGGGCGTGTCGCAACATTGCCCGAGCACAGGGGCAAAGGTTTGGGCCGGCGTCTGACCGAGACAGCGCTCCAGTGGTCCTATGCTAATTCACTTGCGATACATCCGGAGTGGGATGGCCTTGTGCTCGCCCATGCTCAAGTCGCAGTGGAGAAAATGTACGAGAAGTTGGGGTTTGTGACTGACGAAAGATTGGGGCGTTGGGATGAGGTAGGCATCGAACATCTCGGGATGTGGAGGCAACTAAGGCACACGGACGAGTAGGGGACAAAAATGGTGGCTCCGGGGGGAATCGATTGTTCTGCTTCATGCGGCCTCCTGCTTAGTCCGAGGCGTACTGGACTTGACGGGCCGTGAACTATTGACGTGAGTGTCCTGGTGATTGCATAAACCCGTTCATTAGCAGCTTTACCATGTAACCGTGCCTGTACTAAAAGGGTTTTTCTTGGTTTGCATCCAAGTCCAAGGGTGATATTGTCTCATTGACAAGTCGGTTGTCAACTTGTTGCAGCAGCCTCTCGCTCCAACAGTCAAAAAGGTTAGGAGGGTGAGCATCCACTATCTGTGGCACATCCTTAATGTGGTACTGCACCAGAGATTTCGTTTGCATTCAATCACCGAAACCCGACCTTGGTCGCTTGTGTCTCTGGGTCGCAGCGTCAAGGGAGGCTGCATCGACAAAGCCGGCACTCGCTGCCACCACCCCAAGAGGCGGGTGCACGGAAGTCTCTCCTCCTTGACCAAGTGATGCCGAATGCAGCAGTTGCGTATTCAGCAATGACATTCCGTTCCTTGACTCCACTTTCGTCTGTTCGTTTGGATCATCCCTGCGAGTCTGCACGCAAAGAAGCGGCGCTGAAACTAGCAGCAATGCTTTCCGCTCCCGTTGCAGGACACGCAGACGATGCAGCAACTACTCATCAACCTTGTGCATGTCGAGTGCCCAGCCGCACTGCGAGCCTGCTTTTCCTGATGAGCGATTTGCGCATCCTTGGTATGCCTTCACCAAGTCGCAAGGGTGTAGAGGAGGCTGCCTTCATCCCTCCACCTCTCAGTAGAGGATCGTCCAGCGGCATTACCCCCTTGAAGAGCTTGAGATTTGGTACCCTGAAACAATCTAGCCATGCCACAGAGCGATCGTATTCTTCCTAGTCTCAGCCTGACTTCGGGACTGTCAGACTTGGTCTCCTCGGTGTTCACCGAGGATCCAGGAGGGTCAATCTTTGTTTACCTAGACGTAGCGTCGACCACACGGAATGCTGATTATACGTTGCTGACACCGGTATGAGTCCGATTATGCTCAGTCGGCTAGGACCGTTCATACAACCGAGGAAATGGAGGCTCCACCGACTGGAAGATAGACGACATGTCCGCACTGCAAGGCGTCCATTTGTCATCATCTTTCTTTGCAGGAATGCCTTGCCCGACCTTTCTGTGACATATCGCTTGGGAATCTTCTGTTTTTCCACGCAAGCTTGCCGGTTAGTGTGAAAGGTGGCTATTTGTTTGTCAAGAAATCCAGGGCTGCATACTCCGTACAAGAATGTTAGAGGCGTTTTTGCCAAATTTGGATGTTAGTCAGAGATTACTTAACTTGTTCATCGATCCCACGGTGGATGCGCGGTGCCAGACATCAGCCCACTTCCCCCTGCATCTTTCCTTTCAGACAGGAATCACAAGATTCCTTACCTCGGTTTCATGAGGATTCAACTGTAGCCGACAACTAGCTCAATTGATTACACACCGTAATTTTGCGGCGGAGAAGCTCCAACTTCCACAAGGCCTTTACGGATACCTCAAGTCAGGCCGTGTAGTCGTTGTTGTGCAAGCGCCAATACACGACACCAAGGGGGCCGAGTTGGAGACCAATTGTACCGGCGACTTGCCTCAAGAGATTAGGAGGTTACCAAGACCAGACTGAGGGAGGGCACCTGGGGTTATCCATGCTATGTCGAACCTTGTTTGCGGATGGTTATGAACAGTGAACGACTGCGCGGAAAACTGTGCTCGCACGACGAGTGGAATCTCGTTGGAGGTTAGGTTCGAGACCAAAGGGGGTCATAAACCCGTACAAAAACGTGTCGTAGGTTTGTATCATTGCCCCTTTGCCCGGGTTCTCAGGTCCATAGAACATCCATGTCGCAGCTGATCGAATGGTATCTCTAGTCACAGAGACGCATATGTACAATTTCGCTTTTTTCCCTTCCTCTTCTTCTTGGGTTTCCCTTGAGGTGCCACCAAGCTCTTCTTAACAAGATTTAGAACTCGCTGATCGTATCACCTCGGAGCTTCGCGCGCAAATCCCATTTGCCCTGCCCATTCCCAACATTCAGTCAGCCATCGCAATTATAACCGTGACTCCAACCGCACGATGCTTGTGGACTTACATCTGTCTTCGCAAATGCGTATCCAACAACCGAAGGCACGAATATGGCGTACATGAAGGAAATGAAAGCCGTGCGCGGCGTCCAGCGGAAGTATCTCCATCGCTCTTTGTTTAATTCTGCAGCCTGCAGTCAGCTGCTTGTCCCTTGTCTAGCTCCTTCTCATTTCAACGGGTCCATCAGCGTAGCAAAGGGCCTTTGACGAGCATGTTGATTTCGACTGGGAGTGTGGGAGACGTACGGTTATATTTCTCGAGAGCGGGATCATGGCGGAGAGCTGTTTGAATCACGACGTCAGCTTCCCAATCACTGCTCGGTCTCTGTCCAAGCTTAAAACGTGTACATACGTGTTGGTCCAGCCATGATTGACCACCGCTTGAGTGTGAGATGTTGTTTTGGTAGGTCAAGTCCAGGTGCCTGCGATGTCAAGGTCAACTTGGAGGATGGATGGAGGTCAGCTAGATGTGGCTGTCAAGTTTCTTGGCGTGGTGAGCTGTGGCTGGTGCTCGCAGTGGCGATGCATGATCTTTCATTGTGTTGCTTACAGTTCTCCGTACCAGGCAGGACCTCTGTCGATAGCTCGATTGGTCTCTATCGTATTGTATTAGCTCACTGGGTGAATTCCGTAGCCCACAAGTTCAACTTGTAATACCTCGTATACTGAATCGCATCTTCAACCACCTCTTGAAATCAGAAACCAAATATCTCTGGGTCCTGAAACGGACATCTCCCCATCTAGGCCCGGAACTCGCAGCACCGGTGGGGCGGAATTCTTTAACGACCATCGACCGCACATTTTGACGAAGGGATAAGCACTGTCTTTGAAGCTGACACCAAGAGATCCTGGCCCCCGTGCAGACGTAGCCGGCCAGGGCGCGAATCAACAAGGACAGAGCCCTCGTTTACCCTGAAGCTATCCATTCGAGGTAGTAGGAGTCATCTGGCTGCATTGTACCTTGCTGCGAAATGGCCTCCCATGCACGCCCCGAAACTACGGGGACCGGGGAACCAAAGATCACTCTTCACTGGTGAGTAGGCAGATTTCCTTTCGGAGATTACTTCGCCTATGCAAAGGCTGTTCTGAAGGGTAGGCCAGGCTTGAAGTCTCCCGGGCTCATAGGATCCTGTTCCTCTTCGAGGAGCTTGGAGTTCCATATCAACTCAAAACGTACAAACGGACCAAAGAACGACTCGCCCCGCCAGAGTTGAAGAACATTCACCCCTTGGGTAAATCTCCTGTTGTCACCATTGAAACCTCAGGCTCGACCACGCCAGTTGTACTTGCAGAGTCCGCAGCGATTGTAGAGTACTTTTGCGACTATTATGGAAAAAGCACCACTTTGGTTCCCACCAGGTATCAAGAAGGTAAGGATGGGAAAATTGGAGGTGAAACGGAGTCCTGGTTACGCTACAGGATGTTCATGCACTATGCTGAGGGCAGTCTCATGCCACTTATGCTGCTATCGCTCATCGTTGGAAGTAAGTTTCTTCAGAACTTTCCGCATAGGGATTCAGAGGCTCACGAAATCAGGTATCAGGAATGCTCCCGTTCCATTCTTCATCAAGCCGATCACAAACAGTGTTGCTGGCAAGGTTGAATCATCCTTTCTGCAAAGAAACATGAAGAACCATTACGACTTTCTTGAATCCCAACTCGCAACATCCCCGGACGCGGGAGACTACCTCTGTGGGAAAGACGCCACGGCGGCGGACATTATGCTTTCATTCCCACTTGAAGCTGGTCAATCTAGGTCAGGATTCACGCAAAGTCAATATCCCAGGGTCTGGGCATACATCGAGCGACTTCATGAAAGAGATGCATACAAGCGTGCGGTCGCGAAGATTGTGGAAATCGAGGGCGACTTCAAGACCACCCTTTGAGAATCCAATACGTTGCCGGCATGGTGCATGTACCAAGCAAAGAGAATTGGAAACGAGGGACGCACCATACTGCAACAATTCGCACTTGCTGGACGTCGTGAAGCTTTGCGATCGCCCTCCGTCACCTAGTCAGCCGACCTGGTTTCAGTACACTCATTGGATTACTGCCGGTCACATCCTCGCCCCTTCCCTCAGGTGAGGGTTGATAAATTCCTAGGGGTGGAATAAGAGATGCTGGCTCGGTCCAGACCGAATTGGCCCCCCGGCAGCAGGCGTTTCTCACACATTCCTCAATCATTTGGCCTGATATATTTCACGGTGAAATCACTCAGCTCGACTCGCTTAGTGCTAGTATCTCACCTCGTTCCACGATCGTTTCTAGGGCTGATGACATAGGCAAATGAGATGGCGGCGGTTGACCTCAGCCGCAATGACGCTCCAGTTGTAGATCGTCCAGTCTTAGCTGGCTAGCGACAAATAGTGAAGCGCTTCGCTCCAGATCCTTGGGGGCGAAATGTCGATGCCATGGCGAGCGTGAGGCGCAAAGGATTGGACATTATGCCCGCATCTTGGATACTGCCCCCGATGATGCTGACGATCATGACATGAGTTTGGGTGCCCTTGATGCAGATGGCTTGGGGGTGTGACACGGCAGACAATACGATGTTGGCGCAAACTCTGGCAGATATAAGAAGAGCAGCTGCAGGCCCATCCGCACCCCGATCTGCATTATTACCAAAAAAGTATTACGATCCAAGTGCCGCGGTGTGTCTCCGTCCATCTATAGGAAGAAACCTGCACCTATCCAGGATACCAAATCATCCCGACACACCCCGTCTCCGCTCTGGCTTGAAGGTGGGCTCGGGGAAATGATATTTGATAGCCTCTTGCACCGTCCCTCTTCCTCGAATCATACAGCCTCGTCCCGATCGGAACGCAAACTTCGTTCTCCCAATTTACCCCAAAGGTCTGGACCATTCAGTTTAGCACCACCTTCTTCTTCCGAACTGCTGAATTTCTCATTTGGCCAACCTAATCTGGATCTTGTTGCGCGAAATGCCATTGCGGGACTAGCAACAGCTACCTCGAAGCTCTTCTCTGGATATTCTCCTGCACACGAGATCTCTCACAACACGGACTACGCACGTCATTCATCGCTACCGACCCTCGGCTAAGTGAAGGACGGCTCCGCGTTTCGATACCGTCGCAGCCCTACCTCGCTTGTTCACTGTCCCAAGCTAACAACCACCGGACTCATCAGATTCACCCTGCTCCCCGTACCCTCCAGGGGTGTTGCGAGTATTGACCTGGCGGGACGGGAGCTGAAGATCGAGGAACAGACGGCCTCTTACTTGCTCGCTTTGTCGCGGGCGTGAGATCAGATCTACCCTGTCCCGTTGTGCAGAGCGGTAGGCTGTGTCCCGACTATCCGTCGCCCTCCGCCCTTTTCCAGGCGTGCTGCTGGGAAAGCAAGATCTCGGAAACCGTCGTCTACGAGTAGGCTAGAAGCCTAAGGCTGGCGTCCGGTGGCTCTCTGGGCCGGCTGCCAGACTCCCAGGCTGCCGACCTCCCCATAGGTACCTGTAGGTACCTCTAGGGACCTCGTGGACCACCCCTCCCGGGAGGCAGCTTAAGCGCCCGCCCCGCAGCGGCTAAGTGGAAAGAACGGAGAGCCTTCCCAACTACAGTACCTACCAGGCGGGCACCTGCCTAGCCACCCATCCCTATATTTCTAGTACGTACTCAACTACGTATGTGCTCCTCCATCACCATAAGCATCCCGTTCCATCATCCATTTTCCTGTTTCCCCCGTCCACATCTCACATCTCCGACACTGACTTTTGATGGCGCCGGCTCTTGGTAATCGGCATGCGTCACAAGACTCGTCTCATGGGACTTGTCAGACCGCCGTGGCCAATAGTGCGCCCGTCATGCCAATGACTCAGGGCTTACTCATCGTACAGTTCAGCCAAGATCTCGCGCTCCTCGAATTTCAAGCACCGCAAAGAGTCCGCCAGAACCACACCAGGCACACACCAGAGACAAACCAGCGCCCGCCCAAGCCTCCTGATCGCTGCCGCCAGACCTTCTCCAGCTGTCTCCAGAACCTGCAGTCCATCTCGTCATTCCCGAGCCCTGCTTCTCGATTGCGGAGACCGCCACAAGGAGCCCAGTCGCTGCGCCAGGGGAAGAGGACGAAGGCCCAGAGGGAAGGGGAAAACAAAACAAAACAAAAAAGTCCTTCCGACCCACTGCCCGCCCCGACATAGAGGCAAACGCCCACCCCCCCCTTAGCCGATGGTCCCCTCGTGGGCGCTCCTAGAGCTGTGGACACCCCCTCCAACAAGAGCTGGTGTTGTTTAGCCGGAAGGCCCCGTGCAGGCGGCATTCGGGGGTAAGACCGTGTTGCTGCTCGAGGCACACTGCTGAGTGCTCCTGCGTTCAACACCCCCTGGGTCATCGCTGCGGGAGCTGCTGGAGCTGCTGGTGCCCGAAGCCCATGCAGTGGGCGTGGTTCCAGCGGCAGAGGTAGGAAGTTGTGGGCTGATTTCGCTGAGCGTCCCCCGAGCCTCTCCTCTTCGGCGTCCCCCAAAAGAGCCATTTCAATCTGAGTGATGACGGACCCACATCCGACCTTCGCCTTTGATCACAATCATGTCACTCACTCGGATACGACAACTGACACCAACCTGATCTCCCCAGCCATCTTGATTTCACCCATGTCCAATGGTCGTCGTACGGGTGCTGCCAGTACCACCACCGCAACTGTCACCGGTATTGCCAACGGTCCCGGTCCAGTTCCAGGGCATGGTCCAGGCCCCAAAGCTACTAATCACCCCCATACCACAACCAGTGCCCGTGCCTACACGACTATCTCTGACCCTGATGCCGAGCCTGCTGACGCCGCTAATCCTTCCCCAGACACGCGACCTGTCTTCCTCTCAGAGGATTTAGAATACCCTACCGTCACTGTACATGATACAGACCCTCAACACCACCTAGCGGCTGCCTCTACTCATGCAGCTCCTGCCGCTAGCTATACCCTAGGCGTCCCAAGCTTTGGCTCACAGCCCTGGGCTGCTCCTTCTGGACCTTTTCTCGATTTCGCGCCTCAGCCAATATATGAGCCTACCGGCGAGTTGATCCACGAAAACATTCACACCTTTGACGAGTTCGACGCCCCTTCCATTTCGAGATTTCCAATTCCTCCCTCCACTACTCCGAAGAATCCGCCACCACCAACAAGCAACTCGGCCGACGTGGCCACCACCGCCAATGGTAATGGTTCGGTGACCGCTTTCATCCCGCCTTTGCTCCCTCGATCTGCTCTGAAACGAAAGTCTAGCTCTGTTGCAACGACCCCGACCGAATCTTCCGGCGACAAGAAAGTCAGAGTATTACCTGGTCCTGGACCCGAATCTGCCGTCGCAAGTAATCGCTTTGTCACCTTTGAGCGGATGTCAGGCGTCGGACCAACGTCCCCTGATGAAGGATCTACCTCTTCAGACCTCCCAGCTGGCTCCAGGGCAGTTCCAGGTATATCTGCTGGGAACCGCAGAACCCGCCAATCCTCCGGATCGACACCTAGACCATCAGTGCTGCCCACGACTTCGTCACAAACCTCGTCCCGACAGAGGGGGACACGTACTTCCTCAGGACATCCGCCCTCAATCCTCCCTCCCGAGAAGGTCTTCCCTATTCAGATAGGATCAGATCTATTCAGGCTATCAGGAGCCTCGATATCTTCCGATGGTATGACTTCTGGCGAGCAGCGAGATAGGCGGATGCGGAAACTGACGATCCAAATAGCACCATCCTACTTTACTCAGTTTTTCGAGGAACAAATCCGACAGAATGAGGAATCCGGCGGAGTCAGGACGCTATATATCGATCGCGATCCAGCAACTTTCCGAGACGTGGCGAGACATTTACAAGGTTCTGTTTCCTCCTTCTTGAGCAGTTGTACAGGCGCTGACGGTTGGTGAAGGCTACTACGTCAAACCAGTGGATGGGAGCCACTTTGTGAAACTGTTTGCAGATGCCCAGTTCTATAGCTGTAGGTCGGTGCGGATTCCCTGTGTTCGGTGCTGATATTCCCTCTAGTACCTCGCCTAATAGATCAGCTGTTCGAGTCTGAAATCTTCATCCAGATCGGAGAACGACATTTTCAGATCCCCAAAGACATCTTTTCAGAGCCTGGAAATTCCCCGAACTTCTTCTCTCTCGGCTTTGCAGTTTTCTTCTCGACACCCGGCGAGGTTTTCCCCGGCTTAGACCGCCGAGGGCTTCTTCGTCCACCCTCGATAACTCCACCTTACGTCCCTGGTCGATCCGCTGAGATCTTTGCAGAACTATTGCATCTTTTACGAGGCTATCCTCTCCACATTAGGAACGATTCACATCGAGCCGAGCTGCTGCGAGATTGCCGCTACTTTCATTTGAGGGGCCTGGAGCAAAAGATCATTGCCCACGAGATCAGCTACAATTCAGAGAGACAAAAACAGGAGATTTGTCTACGTCTGGAAGATGTCAAGCCTTCGGGCGTGTCCTACACCAGCGATGACTCCCTCGGCGAGAAGTCTTCGACTAGCGGTTGGGTTTACTACGCGAGGCCCTTTGTAGACGACACATCCTACGAAATGGTTGTGGAAATCGGGGGCGAGAGCACCGTGCTGGACTTGACGGACATGAGAGCGGATTTTCATGGATTGGCAAAGGCCCGCGTGTCGTCTCTGTTCCAGGTTGTGGCCAACAAGATGAACCTGCCCACAAATGCGCCTTTAGGACTGATGATGTTATCAGGAGGGAGGACTTCGCAATCGGCCAGCCCTGGACACACACCCCTGAGCGAAGACCGCGTGAAGGTGCGCTTCGAGACTGCAACAGACATAATACTGGACGGAGAAAGCTTCGAAATCGACTATGAAAGTTCAATGGGTCAGGTCATGCTCCACGGGCCCTCAACTGCGCCCAGCGAATCGGAGTCGGAATCGGATGTCATGAGTGAAGGAACAACAGTCAAACCAGGTCCTTCCACGGCCGGGGGCCAACAACGCCGACCTCAAACGCGACAACCACCCGCAGGACCCTCCTCGCAGGCAGCTGCAGCCCGTGGCTCCCTCCCAATTCCCCCACTCCAGACGAGCAGACTCACAGCGCCATCAGCCAAAAAGAGGAAGAGGCAAAGCAGCCAGGGAGAGCTGGGAGAATGGACCATCCGTACCGGACAGTGGCGACTGCGAGTGCAACCTAATTCCCAAGACTCGATACGAGGAGGATTCGAAATAGTTTTCGTCGGAGTCAAGATCGACGCCTTTTCGAGTGAGCGAGCAAGAAACGCCAGACGAGGATTCCTCAACTGAATCCATCGGCACCTCAGCATTATCACTACCTCTCTGTCCTTCCGCCATCCTGGAGTACGCTTGAGAATCTCACCGCCTTCCCCGATTACTCAAGCTGGGTGGCATTACGCCACACCGACCTTGGCAAGCATCTTCCTTCGCCGCATCTTACCATTTTGGGCAATTGCCCCATGCCGATGGATTGGAACAATATCACGTTGAGTGCCTCTGCGGGAACAGCAGCATCCGGATGATTTTTGCCTTGTGCAAGTCCAAACTCTGTAACTTGAGTGTTTCTTGTCCGGGGATCAGAGCAAACACTACGCAGAGCATGACAGAGCGGAGCGCCCATGAGCTCAGCAGCCGCACTCACCTTCACCTTACCTTACCTTACCTCACCTCACCTCACTTAACTTTACAACTGCATGACATGACATTGCATTACTTAACATCGCGGGAGGCGCTACTCCGATTTTCTGCCATATACCTTTGATTTTCTGAGTGGATGGGTTACGTTCACACAATATAGCCTATTTGTTCCCCAAAAACTTATCGCAGGCGGTACATTTGATACAAGCCGAAAGGCTGGATCGGAAACTCGAAGGATTGCTACACCGAGCGAGCGGCAACCTATCTGGGTCGTTCCTATATGCGTTCTACTTCTCTTGATTGAGGTCAACCTGTGCTGCATTGGAACCCTGCGGCATATGAGGACGTTTGCGCATAAGCCATCCGCGTGGAGACTCACATGCTGGATTGGGATTCGACAGGTCACGGAGACTGCGTCCGCAGCCAAACATATCAGTATAAAACCCATGTGTCTATTGTATACGACACCTTTCTCCACAGGAGGCTGAAGAAGAAAGGGTGAGCTTCCCATTGAGGAGCAATATACCGAAAGGACTTGCACCCGTTTTGGGCCACCAATAGGAAAGGAAAGCCTGGGAACCCTGAGGTATCGAGCATCTACAGGGTAACCGCGGTCTGCGGAATTTCGGATCAGATGCAGAGTGTTACGGTGTTGGCCACTGGCGTCGATTTCAAGGCCACATAAATGGAGCCGGAAGCGGAAATGCCAAAAGCAACAGGCACACTGGGCCAAAATTGTGGCGTCCAGCGTGGCAACACCGACATCGCTGGTGGGAATCTCGCTTGTGCGTGGACCTTTCTCGCTGTCTCGCGAAGCTGGAACCAGCGGCTGCTCACTTTGCCCAGAAGTGTTGGCTCTATTTCCGTCTTGTGCCTTGTTCCAACAGTCTCGCAATTGCAGAGTGGAAACCTTTCTACAAGTGCAAGTCTCTAGTGATGATGGTATGGCTGGGCTGTGCATGGCTGGAGACGGTCTCAACCAAATGCTCTGACTCCTCTTCTCCGTCTTCGCAGACCGCAGCATCAAGCCAGACCCGATATTGGAAATTGGCATTCTGCGCCTACGCCTTGTGTCACGTTTCGACATTGCACCATTAACCAAGCCAGGTAAAAATCGCAACCAAGGTTGGCTTCCAGGAAACCACATTGGCGAACTTAATTCTTGTTACATTCATCAACAATCTCTTGCAAATCAGGAAGATGGATAAACAACGACCTGGAATCTCACTCCAATCCCACTTAAAAGCGATCCGTACCGCGGGCTGATACTCAGGCTCGGTCGAGCAAAATCCGGGAAGGGCTCGATGAACCGTGGAGCCAACGTCCCAACGATGCTACAAGATCAAGAATCTGAGCAAACCGGCCCCTGAAAGCAGAAAGGGGGCAGCTCTGGGAAAGCATGTCCTGCGCCAAGGAGGATTGGATTCCTCAGCGCGGGCAGAGAGTGTCCGAGCGCGGCGGACGGGTTTCTCAGTCGCTCTCGCAATGCATGATGCCGACTCGGACATGAGGGACTCTCTCCCTCCAGCCCAAGAATCGTGGCAACCACCGTCCTTGGGACGAGCAGCCAGTGCCAGAAGCGAGAGCTCACTGGATTTCTGGCCGAACTGTGCTTGGAGAGGATATCACGCCGGGTCCTCCTCCTCCTCGCCCGAACCTGGCCTCTACAAAGCAGGAGGGCATTTTCTGGTTATGGAATCATCTTCACAGCCCCGGGCCCCGGCCAGGAACCTTTGATCCGGGTCCACTGTGGTTTTGACTACTGCATATCCTTGCATGGCATGGCATAGCATGGCATAGCATAGCATTGCATCGCTTAGCATCGCATCGCAACGACTACTAGGGTTAAGCCTTCTTCCGTCTTAATACATCAACGATAATTTCAAAGGCCTGAGCCATACGTTCTGCACCTGCCGGACAGGTGACATTTGCTGCATATCCTCTGCATGATGTTTGTTGTATGGCCCTGGACAGAGTATTGAAGGCGCGGCAATCTTTGTTATCTTGCCGCTCACTCCACTCTGTCGCCAGTTGACTCATGACCCTTTGTCCCTCCAACCCCCTTCGGTAGGGGAGGTGCCAATAGCCAGCCGGGCATTAATAACAAGGCCGTCACCAGGCCATCCCGTTTCTGGGGGTTTGCGGCCTGAACCTCTCCCCAATCTGCTTCGCTCGTCCGACGGGAAAGCAGTCCCACGGCGCCGGGTATTTCACACACGCAATACGATACGCCCACGGGCGAGCTGGGCCGTCTGGGGAGTCCAACTTGCCATTTGGGTGCGGGAACGGAGGTTGTAGGTCAAGACTTCGACCAAGATCCGTAGAGAATAGGCCTCTGCAATGCTGCAGTGGCGCGAGAGTTGCATTGTCATGACTAAAACCCAAGGCTTGGGCTTTGGTAAAGGAAGTCGGGCCTTGCCTGACTCTGACAGAATATTACTGATTCGAGCAATTTGGATGGGAGTTGCTTTCCTTCCTCGCATTGTCACTCGCTCCACGCTAGATCCTCCCGCGTCCATGTTCTTGTCAGAGAGGGTTGGACGCTGTCACTGGTCGACTTGAGGGAATTTCCTCTCTCTCAACCAGAAAGTAGCCAATCCCGCCTCCAAGGGAGCACTAGCCGGGACTTTCAAACCTCCGAATCCCGCTCAGTCATGTAGCGGGCACAAGCAAAGGGCGGAAGAGGAGGGAAACGCTGACAAAGGAAGGATTGCTTCCCAGTGCTACAGGTGGATGGGTGGGGCTCTGATCCAAGGGTGAGTGGGAACCCAAGTAGGCTGAGGTCATGTTGGAGCAGGCCAGCTGAGGTGTTTGTGGTGATGTGATGAGGCTGTAGAAGAGGTCTGGTGGAAAAGAGTGACACATGGCTATTTCGTAACAGCCATTCTTCTGCCACCTCGCTTAATGGGGCGGATATGCAAGGGTCGTTGACGGGACTGGCGTCGCGCGGTACCCGCCTGTCGATCATTTCGTATAGACGAGGCCAGCCTCCGATTCTGGAAACTGCATTGCGGCTTGCAGTGAATACAGACCAGTGTCTGCCCTCGTGGCGTGATATTCTGGTTGGGCCACTGGGCCGGCTCTCATGTGGAAGCCCAACGTTGACGGGCAACAATCGAAGTGGTTGGCTCCAACTCGAGTATTATTCATCAGGCATCGCCCGATGGGCTCCAGTTTTCGTTGTTTTGGTCGAGGCTCGGGGGGCGGCATGCGGAGTGGTGATTACGCAAGACCCGCTAAGAGAAGCACGAGGAGAGCTCGACGGAGAAGCCTGTTCTCAAAGCCGTGTACGCCTGCAAGTCACCTTCGCTAAGTTGGAAGGCTCGTCGTATAGACAGATCGGTCCTGCATTGAGAAATCGACAGCAAAAACGGCCGTATATGCCCGGGAGACTTGGTCATGGGAGGCGATGATTGATGCGACTAATCAAGTTGTGATTCCTCAGCCTCCTGTTTTGTACATAAACCCTGCTGGACTCACTGGTATCGGTGCGGAGCTGCTCGTGTCGCTCGGTGCAACGCCTAGCAAGTAGAGCTATTTCAGCTTTCGCCGTACCCGGGTCCTTGCATGTCGGGGTATACCACAAGAAGCAGCCGAGCTGAGAGGAGGCTGGATAGTCAGCCAGGCTTGTGCAGCAGCTGAGATAATGGGCCACGGGACGAATCTGCTGTGGACCATTGCCCAAAGCTTGCGACACTCTCTCACTCGAGAAACTTGATGACATAGCTTGGACTTTGTGTTCTAGCGTGCTGCGACTTTCGGCTGGACTCTTTCCAAGATGAAAGTATTGCTAGCCCCTTTATTAATTTCACTATTATTAGTGGGACATCCGGCAAGTGACTCGGGTGGTGATTGTCCTCAATTCCTTTGAACAGCGCATTGCGTTGTAAATGGGACTTGGGTGGCATTGCAACTGTTGGCGACTTTGCCATCGCTATGAGATATGTCGAGGTTGCAGCTCTATGCCTATTCCTTTCCTATTGCGATCGAAGGATCAATCCGTTCTCTTTGCTCGGTTGTGGGCTCCAATGGGAATCGCCTTCTTCGCTGCCTCTTGCGGAAATGTGCCCCCCCTCATACCTCAGCCTTCCTCAGTGAAAGGACCTTTCTTTTGCCAGACTGTTGCTTGGGGACGGTGTCTGATGATATTTTGAACCGTGATCAGATGATCACATTGAATTTTCTTTGCATTCTGAATCTTACAGGAGGTGATCTGGTATCTTGGGCAGCTGGGCTCATCAAGGCCCAGTTGCGGTGCTGCGGGACGCCCGCATCGAACCGCCTACGGGGGCGTAGTTGCGGAGCTGGCCACATGGTGGCGGATTGTGGGATCCGCGAATGATGCGAGATTGAAAGTTGGTGGCTGGTAGGGAGGGTTTGGATTCCAGAGACCTGCTGACGCACGAAAGCCTATATCTGACTTTGTTCGGTAGGGCCAGGATGAAGTTGGGAAGTGTTGGACCTGTCCTGTGGTCAAGACAGGGTCAGTCTAAGAGGGTTCATGGTCTTGACGGGCCGAAGATGGCGCACGATTGCTGTCCACCTCCTGCCGGCGTAGGTTTTCTGTTTCTGGCCATATCCTGTATTCAGGCAATGCCGATGCCGTAGCAGGAAGTAAGAGCGCAGGCCACGGATCAAGCGGGAGAAAGGCGCAGGAAAAGAGGCAGGGGGTTGAAGCAGCGGCACCGGGCTTCAGTTGAGGCTTAACTTCCGTCTAGAGCAGGTTTTCTGCGGCGAGGAGGAGGGGCCCACGGTCTGATCAGGGCGAAATTGAGCAGAAAAGCGTGGCTTGAATCAAGTGACGCCTTGACCTCTGGCGTCGAGGCTCATCGATAGAAACAATATTGCAGACGCTGTTTGGGTCGCTGTCAAGCAAAAGAACGGGAGGGGGTCTGGTTTGACAAGGTACAAAGGGTCCTTCTTCCCCAACTCAATGCGAGGCAAAGACAGATGATTTCAACCCGAGATTGGTCTCTCCTACGCATCTGGCAAGATGCATGCCTGGTTTCCCGGAACTTGGGCACAGATCTTGAATTCGAGTCTTTGGAGTTGGTGACAGACCACAGCTTCTGAGGCGCATCCATGGGCACCTCTGCACTACAGCTGCGAACTTGTGCAGACACCCCGCTGGTGGGACCTTCTACATTCAAGGAGTAGTGACTACACGCTCTGCCAATAAATTATCATCAATTGTCTATGATTTCTGGTGAGGATTTTCCACGTTACTAGATAGCGTTTCGTTCGAGGCAGATGGGAAGCAGCCAGATGAAGCCCCAATGATTGTCAGAGCATCGGAGTTCTGATTCAGCATGAAATAAATGAAACAAATGTCCCTGTACAAAGGCCTGTTCATGTTGCAGCTTGTCCTGGTTTGCTTTGAAAGTGCTGCTGGGAGAACTCGACACTATCAGCCCCTAGAAGAATATGTTTTTCGGGAAACGACCAAAAGGGAACCCATCAGTGAGAACCACTGCGAGAATCCATGTGGTAGAAATTGATACACTCATTTGAATTTTCAACGATTTCGATGTTGCGAGAAATCAATGGTAGGGACATAAAGGAGGGACGTTGGAGGATGGCCACAGTCTCCCATATATAAAGCCATCCACTGTTTGCATAACAAGCAACAGGTCTCACAAGAGATCAGGTCATACACAAGTAGAACGTCTTCTGCATAGATTCCACGTACCCCTGGGGATTGCTGTTGTGTTCTACGCTGGGTGTACACCAGGAGCTCCCACATGGGAGCAAACTTGGTTGCAACGATCAAGACGACGTCGGAGATGTTGTGAAGGTCTTCTCAAGCACCATCAGGCTGTAGGTACACAAAAGTTAACACCATACCTTTGAAATGATGTGTGTAGCGTCATAGCGTCGTCTAGGAGGTCTGAAGTTCAAGGTTGTGTCAGGTTACGTAGAAAAGAGAAAGTATCCATTGCCAGGGAGGGAGAGGCGACAGCCCATGTCTCCGGCAGCGAAATCGGCGAGAGCCAGCAACTTCAAAACCACAACTTGGTCGCCCTAACTAGCTCCTTGGTAACTCTGTAGCTGACTAGAAAAGTCGTGAAGCGAGGTGGAAGCACAGCGGTACTATGTAAGGCCGAAAGGTGGGAAGGTTATAGGAGTGTGGCCGTCTGAGACTGGTGCAGTAGTCAGGACTTCCTGCACCCAGAGTGTGACTCCAAGAACGGTGAAGCGTTCCTCATTGGGAAGTCCTGAGAGGTTCCATTGTCGTAGAATATATGTTGGTTCTATTGAATAGATTTTGCACTTCCCTTTTGAAAAAGTTGGTGATGGTTTGATGGGATATGGCCCTTCCTGTAGCCCATGACTCCTTGTAAAATCTGCCACATATTTGTGAAGGCTCAGGAGATTGTGCTCCATCTCTCGTGAGACCTACTCTCGCGACGGACTCGGCCTGTCTCACAATAGCTGGCATTCTGTCGAGCCTATTATGGGGTCCAGAGTCGAAAATGCGCGGTTGCACGAGGGAGCACATCTACTGGCAGCTACTTAGAGCAGTGACCCGTAAAAGACCATGGCTGAAAATATCTCCTCGACTTTCTTGCTCAGTAGACGACAGCCATGCTGGCGCAAGAGCTGGTGGTCGTGTTGGAGCGTTCCCTTAGCCAGGCTGCAGAAGTAGTTGAAAGGGGCGATGGGACGAACGAGTCTCTATACGGGCCAGTCGGATTCCTGCTGGTCTCCTAGAATAACTCTGAATGAGCAAGTCCCAAGTTGGAGTAATGAAATTAACCCGTAGGGACGGCCATGGGGTGTTGTGATGCAAGCTCAACTCAGCAGATCTGGCTCACCATGTGGATATAACACGAAATAGAACAGTGTGCACGCAATGCAGAGACAGTCAATTTCTGCGGCCCTTCGGAGAAGCCATGACTGGTGTCCGAGGGCCGTTTTCGCTTTGGTGTCGTGGTGGTGAGGTCTCCCCGGCGATCGTTGGTTTTACGTTAATTCGATTACCAGATGCGGTTTGGATTCAAGGTGACCAATATCTTGCTAATCAGCCCGGTATGAGGTCGATGACGATTGAGATTGCCGGCACTTGCAGCCTTCGCTCAGGGGCTCCGCAGACCTGGTGGGCAGTGGGCACCAGAGGCAGTCCACGCTGGAAGAGGCTCCTTGGGGCCAGCCCAACGCAAGCATGTTGACTGAGGATGCCCATGCCCTCCTAGCGAGACAACCGAAGCGTCTCGTCACCGCCTGGGCCCTGGAAGCGACCTTCGTGGTTCTTGCCGATCGTCCCAAATGGCTTGCATCCAGGTAGCCAGTCACAAAGACCATGCCCAGTTCCTCTCCCCTAGTCTGCATGGTAGTCAGGCTCTGGGTTTGGTGGAAGCCAACGGTTGACGGTCAGAGGTTGCAGTTCTGCTACGACATGGTACAGTGCCACACGCGCGTGGCCGATACCAAGGAGGATGTGCTGCCGCTCGCAATATGGAGCTTCATTCAGCCTTCCGAGTGCTGAAAGCCTCAATGGTTCCCCATTCTGGATGATGGCCGGATACGAGGCCATGGCCAACTTTGGCCAACAGCCACCTGCGACGTGAGTCAGCCAGGATGAGGCGAGGACGGAGCAGCGAAGCGATCCCAACCTGACCCCAGAGACGGTGACGGAACAAAGTCGCCGGAGTTGGAGAAAATCGTGCATTTGAGGGAGGAGATTGAGTTGCTTGCTTCGTGCCCTTCACACGAGTTCAAGCTGGTCTCTTTGGAGACATCACATCGTTGTTGAACGCCGTCGGGTGTTCGATCAAGACATGACCTGCAAACACACAGACCGATCCTGTATGGGCACATTGCTAACAGACCTGCAGTCACACTGACCAGAGCAAACCCCGAGTCCTGCCTCACTGATCATTGCCGCGCCTGGACTCTCGCACACGAGGCGAATGTGCGTTCCGAATTCAAAACTTGCTGTTCTCTAGGCTGGAAGAAGGTGGAACAAAGACTTGACAAGCCATTGTCGGTGCCTGATACATATTTGTTGAGGTCGCTATGGAACCGGTACTTCAATTTGCGAAGCTGTCGTGGGTCATGTTGGAGGGGTTGTTATCAACCCATCGACAGCCTCTCGGAACCGCGTCAAGGTGGAAACGTCAAGTGATGAGCCAACCATAAGCATTGCTCGGCCTGGCACAAGTTTCCTCGAGCATAGCATCTGACATGGGATTTGAACAAGCCGACGTCAGTATACACCAGGCGGTCGCTGTATCGAAGCGAGACTTGACGAGGCTCCATGCCGACCGCAATATCACCTAAGCTTCAATTGAATACACCTCTGTCTGACGAAGCGAAGGAATTCTAGCGGCTGGCCTGCCACAATCTTACAATGTTTTCAACAGAGAACGGGTCGATTGAACTTTGCGACGGCCCCGATGAAGAAACTGAGCCCGCTGGACACTACGGCCGTGGAAGAGAACGCCGATAGTAGTTCAACCACAAGGCCAACTTTTTCATTCCGTTCGTCGATCATAGAAGTTATGCAGGAGTATGTTTAGGAAAGAGACTTGGGCTCATAGATAGTACCACATGTTTGACAATTTCATGGATGGTTATTTGCCCAAAACCTCTTTCTCGAGTTGTTGCAGAGCCGCCTCGTATCTCTTTCTGAGGTCTACTCCCTCAACGCTCAAATTCAGCTTCGAAATCTTGGTCTGCCTATTGATCGAAACGCCGTCGTTCCCTGTTCCCGACATTGTGTGCTTGGCTTTGCCTCCGATCTCACGCCAAAACCAGGCTGCTTCCCTATGTTCAACGAATGTCCACGCATGGCCGACTCTGCCAGCCCGGGCAGTTCGGCCTACGCGATGCACATAGGTCAAAGGACTGTTTGGCACATCGTAGGAGACGACATGTTCGAGACCTGGCACATCCAGCCCACGAGAGGCGCGGTCTGTGGCAATCAAGATTGATATCTTGGACCTGCGGAAAGATGCCAATGCCCGTCGTGATGAGGCAGACGAGGCAGTGCTGCGCGTCAGGGTCGAAATTCGAGAAGCGAAAAGAGGGTCGATGATACATAATAACCGACAGAGTCTGGTAGCTGACGCGGTCGAGCGGGTAAAAACCAAAGCTCGGGGTCCCGCTGTCGTCCCTTGACTCTCTGAGACCTTCTTCGCGGCGAGGCTGGTAGCCGTCAACCTTCCCCGCGAGCCTGATTGAGCATCCGTAGCCGACCCACGCTCGTCTTCTGAAGATGTCAGGGATTCTGAGCTAGATTCTGAGGACGAAGTGGACTCGGATTCCACATCTGGTTCCAGTGAAGAACGTCCAATGCTGTGGTCCGGCTTCAAGGACGTAGGAGGCAGTGCGATATGACTGTGAAGAAGCTCCAGAAGATATAACGGCTTTTCGGCACCATTAGTGACAGGAACCACGGCCTCTTTGAGGGTCTCTGGCAGATAGACAACTTCACTGTCTTTTTGCGGCTGCTCATCAAGCCGTTCTGGCAGGACGTCGACTCCGGCTGCTCTTGCGTTTTCTTGAGTACCACCGAGCACGATCAGCTTCGGGTTCCATAATCCCAGACTATTGAGCTTCGATAGATCTCGGGTCATGGTTGCAGAAAGCAGCATCTTGGTGACATTTCGTCTTGGGAGTGCCATCCTCATGTGGCGGAGAATCTGATCCCTTCCCGAGGTTGCCGTCCGTGACTCTAAGGCTGGTTTGACGGCAGCAATCCACTCCTGATAGCTTTCATTGAGCAATCGGTCTGCTTCATCCACAACGAGCCACTTCACATCGTCAAGAGTGAAGCCTAAGGTAGACTTGAGATGATCGACTAATCGACCGGGCGTCGTAATCAGCACGTCTACCTTGGACCTATAGCGTGTGACATAGCCCATCGCCTCCATCGGGTCCGTATCTTTCGCATTTTGAGCCAGCCTTGATAGCGAAAAGTCGGCCCAGTCGATGGGACGCTGTTGCCACCGCTCGTATTCCTCTGGATCGTAGATCTTTTCTTCCTTCATCAGCAGATCTCGCTCTTCGGTGAGAGATTTACTCCCCACGGCGGTTGCAAACTTGATAGAAGTTCCTGCCGCACAAGCATCGCACAGATCCCGTACCTGCTTCACAAGCTCTCGTGTGGGGACAACAATGACAGCCCTGAGCTTTGTACCTGGGATATCCTTCAAATCGGCCACAATGGGTAAAACGTAGGAGAGCGTTTTACCAGAGCCCGTAGCAGCCGATACGCAAAGGTCGCCGGAGTGATGAGAGGGACCATCAAGGATTAATGGTAGTACTGAGGCTTGTATTGGTAATGCATGTCGCAGTCCCAGTCTTCTTAAATTGTCTAACAACGGCTCCCGGATTCCGAGTGATCCGAAAGTCGAGGTCGAATCCAACGGGACAATCAATGGATTCTCTTGCCAAGGTGGAAGGATAGAGTAGTTTGGTTTCTCTGAAACTACATCTATCTGCTCTGGTTGAGGTATGGGTTCAAGACCATGAAGTTCTGCGGGCGGTTCGTCCGAGGCTGTGTCGATCATGGTTTCCACCTGATCCTGTTGCCTTACCTTTGCATACTTCGTGAGCAGTGCGGTGTGCTTCTGTGCGTGTGCTGCGACTTGTCCCTCCTCTTCCTGTTCACCCGTCGTCCCTCGCTTCTCCTTCTTTCTCTTCTTCTTTGTCATGTTGTCGCGTTCTCGTTGATTCCCATCTCCCAAGTCGGAATTCTCGTGTTGCAGTGCATTCGAGGTCTTTGATTTAACTGTAACTGAGGGAGTCTCAGACCCTGCAGCCTCCGTAACGCGATATTTGTCCAAGATTCCCTTCCCCGTTACAAATGAGGAGTCTTCAGCGGTCACGGCGGCTGTCTTTGCAACAGGAAGGGGAGAGGTGTCAATGGGCCGATCTGGTGTCTTTGAAGTCTTCAGCTTCTTGCGTCTCTTCTCCTGGATCGGCGCATCTCGGTCTCGCTTGCGCTTGTCCCCGCTGGACTTAGGTTTCTCGGTGATGTCTGCGAGGCCATCGGTCTTTGTCGTAGAGGGCACGTAGCGCGAATAGAAGCCAGACATGTGGCTGCACGACTGGGGCTAGAAAAGCTGTTGTGCGAGGACAGGCAGACTGTGTTCGACTGTGGTGCGGGCTTGGGCCTCACAGATGAGTTTGTGGTTGTCGAAAAAAGTCTCACAATTTCGCCGGCAGAATTTCCTCACCGCCTTCGGGCTGGTGTTGACCGAGTTGGCCCCTTTTCCTCCATCTTGCGGCTCTCGATTGCTGACCATCTTCCCAGTGACACTATCTATAGGACGCAATCGTGGTCATTGATGGCTCCGACGTTGTGTGTGGCATGTTTTCCTCGACGCCCCAGTGACATCAGATGAGACAAGGGTCTGGCCACGATGCCTTACAACATTGCCATGGTCAGCGACAACTTCTTCCCCCAGCCCGGCGGAGTGGAAAGCCATATGTATCAGCTGTCTACCAAGCTGATCGATCGTGGGCACAAGGTTGTGGTGATCACGCACGCGTACAAAGGCCGCACCGGCATCCACTACCTGACAAATGGACTGAAGGTCTACCATGTTCCCTTTCTAGTCATCTACCGAGAGACAACCATGCCCACGGTCTTCTCGTTCTTTCCCATCTTCCGCAATATCGTCATCAGGGAGGAAATCCAGATTGTTCATGGCCATGCGAGCCTGAGCAGCTTTTGCCACGAGGCTATTCTTCACGCTCGAACAATGGGTCTGCGCACCGTCTTTACCGATCACTCACTCTTTGGATTCGCAGACGCTGCCTCCATCTTAACGAACAAACTACTGAAGTTTACCCTGAGCGATGTCGACCATGTCATCTGTGTGAGCCACACATGCAAGGAAAATACCGTTCTTCGAGCGTCTCTCGACCCGTTGATGGTTTCCGTGATACCTAATGCCGTGGTTGCCGAGAACTTTCAACCCAAGTCATACGTGCCCAAGTCAGACAACGATCCCGGCTACATGAGGCCCCGGCCACTTCCCCAGCGCCTTGGCCCTGGAGACACGATAGTGATTGTGGTCATTTCCCGACTCTTCTACAACAAGGGAACCGACCTTTTGATTGCAGCAATCCCACGAATCCTTGCCGCGCATCCCAATGTCCGCTTCATCATCGCCGGCTCAGGGCCGAAAGCCATCGATCTGGAGCAGATGCTCGAACGGCGCATGCTTCAAGACAAAGTGGAGCTGCTGGGGCCCGTCCGCCATGAGGAAGTCCGTGATGTGATGGTCAAAGGGCATATCTACCTACATCCAAGCTTGACCGAGGCCTTTGGGACGGTCATTGTGGAAGCCGCGAGTTGTGGGTTGTACGTGGTTTGTACCCGAGTCGGAGGCATACCTGAGGTGCTTCCGGCACACATGACAACCTTTGCTAAGCCTGAGGAGGACGATCTGGTGGTGGCGACTGGAAAGGCTATTGCTGCTTTGCGCTCGGGCAAGGTAAAGACTGAACGATTCCACGACCAGGTCAAGATGATGTATTCTTGGACCGACGTTGCGCAAAGAACCGAACGGGTGTATGACGGCATCACGGGCGCAATTACCGAACAAGAATTTTACGGTCAACATGCTAACGCCCCCTGGAGCGCCTCCCGTGTTCGGGGATACGCACTGATTGATCGATTGAAACGATACTATGGATGCGGTATATGGGCTGGGAAGCTATTCTGCCTCTGCGTTATCATCGACTATCTGATATTCCTGTTCCTGGAGATCTGGGCCCCCCGATCGCGCATCGACGTAGCGCGATCTTGGCCACGGAAGCCCTTCATCAATGATAAGAACAAGCCCGTGGAGAACGGCACATATCGTCGACGAGGTACAGATGTTATGGACCGACGGAATGGTAGTCTTGTCATGCGATGAAATGACAAACTGGACGCCCTGGAACCTCGGATCGGAAATGCCCCCGTGCTTGATGCCCCGCTAGCTAAGCCGACGTTCACAACTTGCAATGGAGCTCTCCACAAAGAAATGAATCTTCCTGAAATCGACCGTTCAAAGCAGATGGCAGACCTCATTAAACACTCAACCCACCAATAAGAGAGACCCTGCACCATGACCTGGCCAGCCTTGCCAAATCGCGCTGCTTATTTGGCCATCAGGAACGGAAAGCGTCGAAATGCTCTGTCTCTAGCCGTCCTACGTGATCTGCGTGACCAATTGCACGCATACAACAGATCACCCATTGACGGCCAAGTGAGAATACTTCCCCCGTTCAAACCGGGCATCCTCGACGAGTTAGAAGTGGCCGCAAAGGACGAAAATTCCGAAGCTGCAAGAGAACATGGATGGCTTCTTGACATCGAACGGTGGCAGGAGCATCGACGGGGACTCCCCAATGTTATCGTCTTACGCACCGAGGGACCTGTGTTTTCATCGGGCCACGACTTGGGCGAGCTACGAAGACTAAGCCATGATGAAGTAAAGGAGACGTTCGCCCTCTGCGCCGAAGTCATGTCGTTAATCAGACGCTCTCCAGCCCCGGTGATCGGGTTTATCCAAGGCCTGGCGACTGCTGCCGGGGCCCAGCTTGCTCTGACGACGGATCTCCCAATGGCGTGCGCTTCAACTCAATTCCGCCTGCCCGGAGCATCCTTAGGGCTGCCTTGCACATCTCCATCCACAGCCGTTTCGCGCAGACTGGGGCATGCATTTACCTACCGGATGCTAGCTTTGGCCGAGCCAGTCCGGGCCGACCAGCTCCCAGGAGGGGCAGTTGAGGTGTTTCCAGATGAGGCAGCTCTGGAGATGCGGGTGGCCCAAATAGTTAGTCAGTTATCAGAGAAGACGGCCGCGCAGCCACAGGCGTTGGGCAAATGGGGATATTGGACACAGCTGGGTCTCTCCGGGGCCGCCTCCGCATCCGGCGGTGATGGATATGAGGATGCAGTGGCATGGACTGGCAGGCTCATGGCTCTCCATGCGAGATCTGCGGATGCCAGGGAAGGCATCAATGCCTTTTTTGAAAAGAGGCCGGCTGTGTGGAAGCTCTAAGTATCCACAATGCCGGGGGTCTCTCTGCGCCAGTGTCTCATGAGATGATACTGGGAGTTGATTGAACGGCAGAGTGTCTTCTCCTGGCATCGTGATACCAGCCTCATCGGCTGTGTTAAATGAAAGGACGATTTTGAAGTGATTACGAAGTGCGGAATCTTCAACAGCGCGAGGTCTCGAACCTCGCGCACCAGTAGCATACCTGGGAATAGTTAAGCCTGCCTACCTGCGTATCTGCCTAGCTACCCACGCTGCATGTGCGTAGCGAGCTGCTGCGAACCTAGCGGGCCCTGCCGGCCTTTGGGGGCGAACTCGTTACTACTCGTAGGTACTCGGGCGACCGCACCAGCCTAGTGAGCCTCACCAGCCAAATCCAATTGGGGCGGCAAGGCCCCCGTTGGTGCTGTCCCTGCTTCACCCACAGCCAACCCACAGTCAACCCGCCCGGTCAGAATTTCGCCCGTTTCTCCCGCTGGAATCAACCGAAGTGCCCCTCCTCCACGATCATCACCAAAGGAGGGCAAAAAAAAGTAATCTCTACACATTTCCCATTATCCCTAGGACAATGCCAGAATCCTCAAGGGGACGAGATTTTCAATGGCTCATGGCGAGCCCCAAAAGGTCGACACCGTCATTGTCGGTATGTGCTTTTCACCCAGCTTCAGTGCCCTCGACGAGTCAGATAGACGAGATACAAGACTGACCATGGACCTCTCGCGGGCTTCCCAGGAAACGGCCCCTCCGCCTTGATTCTCTCGTACATCCTCCATGGGCATATCCCTTACTACGATAAGTCCAGTCCACATCCCGATGCCATCCTCCATGAGAAGCTGCTCGGGTTGGACCACGATCTGCTTGATATCGACTTCGACTACTTGACGGAGCACTTCGCCGGCTCACGGTTTTCTTACTCAACGCAGGCCCTGCCCGTCAATGTTTTGCTCGACACATTAGTGAGACCTCTGGGGGAAACAGACGACGCGGAGAAAAAGACATGTGTCAGGTGGGCATACGAGCCTTCGCGAGCTGTCACCCATACGGTCATTGGACAAGCCCACAGCGCGGGCGGACAATGGGTAGAGAACCCTGTCCGCGCAAGCTGGGACATTGGAACGCTCAGTTATGCGGGGATGATTTCGCTTCCGGGCTACGGTTTCGATGAACACTACCAAAGGCGAAATGGTCGGCCTATGCCCGTCTATCTCAGGCCATCCCGACATGCAGTGGCCGACTATCTCGCCGACTATCCCTACCGTGTGGGTATCGCCGACTCCATCCGTAATGGAGAGCATGCCGGAGGGATTGCTCGTCGTGGCGATGGTTTCTATGTCGCGTCGCATAATATCCTGTGTAAGAATCTTGTCCTTGCCTCTGGAATCTTCAGCGAGCTCATCCAACCACGACCTCTGCTCCGTCCACTCGTCGAACTTCTTGCCAAACAGATGGGACCGTCTCCGAACCCGCTTCTCGTCATTGGCTCCGGCTTCAGCGCTGCCGATGTCATTATTTCGAGCCCGCCCAACCAAAAGATCATTCACATTTACAAATGGGCACCGTCGACATCACCCTCCCCGTTACGTGCTTGCCACCAGCAAGCTTATCCCGAATATGCAGGTGTGTACCGGCGGATGAAACTGGCCGCCAACTCGTCCCTCAAGCTCAAGGACAAGCGGCCGAGATATCGTCGCGTCATGACCGACTTCGACTTGAGTCGCGATTGGAATACAACGTATGAGGGATTCCCGAACACTGAAGTCATTGGTGTTCAAATCACCGACGACGGATCAGCAGCCACCGTCACTTTGCAAAATGCAAGCAAGAACGAACCACCATTTCAGCGCCAGGTCAGTGGTCTGGAGTATGTGGTTGGAAGACGGGGTTCGCTGGATTATCTCTCAACCGCCCTTCTGCGGGAAGTGATGCCCAAGGAAGCTGACGCACAACCAGCTGCCGGTGCTGCTGTGATATCAGCGCAGACACTGCGCGAAAAGGCCAATGAAGATCTCGAGCTTGCGCCACATGTTTTCATCACTGGTAGTCTGACAGGTGACTCCTTGATTCGCTTTGCGTACGGTGGATGTGCGTATGCCGCAGGGAGGATAATGCGGGCCGACTCTCAGAATGGTAACAATAAAGATGAGTTGAGCAAGCCGAGGAGCAACGGGGCGGTCAAGGTGTGTTTAGGCCAGTACCAAACGCCGACCTCCTCGCCAAAGATTCCTGCTATGAATGGCCTGGACGGGCATGAGTCGAGTCCTGTGAGCTTAGCGGAAAGGACTCATATGTCGCTGGATAGACGCAAAGAATGATAGAGCTTGGGACAAGACAGATACCTGGCCCCACCCGGGCAGGCCTCGCGTGATATCTTTCGCTTCTTTGTACATAGATTTTTGAAGGCGAGAGTAGACCAATTTGCTTTCTTCTCGGTTGTCTGAGCCGTGGGTGCAAGCTGGCCCTCTGTTGTTATTTTTCGACAGCTTGCTTCACGAGGCTGAGGAACAAAAAGCCTCTCGGCGAGGCTTCGGACACCGCATCCGAAGCTAATGACGCAAACTCGAATCCTCCTTCGATGACTTCCGCACTCGCCAACGGAACTCCCTTTACCGTTCAGCATACTAAGGGATCGGCGTGGTTTTTTTTTTTGAGGAGACGGTAGCATGCCATGGAGGGCCTTGCGCCTGCATGCTAGAAACCTATCGCAATGGAGTCGACCACGCCTCCTAGACGTCGCCCCCCGACGTCCAGCCGGTCGGCGTGTCCAAGTGCGACGTGAATCGACATCCACCAAGCAATCATTATCGACCGACTCCTCCGACGCCAGCACCCAAGGCCGGCGCCAACACGATGATCAGCAAAGCAGTAACGTCCCGTCCTACGACCCGGACAGCTCCAGCTCACTCGCCGACGTCGGCCGGCTCATCGTCAGCGACTACGCGCATCTTCGTGCCCACTACATGACGCCCAAGTATCCGATCGTCCTGGCCCACGGCCTGATGGGGTTCGACGAACTCCGGCTCGCGGGGGATCTGTTGCCCGGGATCAGCTACTGGCGCGGGATCAAGGAGGCGTTCCAGGCGCGGGGGATCCAGTGCATCACGACGACGGTGCCCCGGACGGCCTCGATCCGCGAGCGCGCCGAGGTGCTGATGGACCAGATCGCGCAGAGGGTATCCGAGGCGGCCAAGGGGGAGGAGGGGCGTGGCGGCGGCGGCGGCGGCAGCGGCAGGGAGGTCAACATCATCGCGCACAGCATGGGCGGGCTGGACGCGCGATACATGATCTCGCGCCTGTGCCCGCCGCCGTCGCTGTTCCGGGTGCGGTCGCTGACCACGGTCGCCACGCCGCACCGGGGCAGCTCCGCGGCCGACATGCTGATGCGCGACATCGGCCCGGACCTGCTGCCGCGCATCTACCAGCTGCTGGCGCGCATGGGCGTCGACTCGGCCGCCTTCGCCCAGCTGACCACCGCGTACGTCACGCAGCGCTTCAACCCGCGCACCCCCAACGACCCGGCCGTCAGGTACTTCTCCTACGGCGCCAGCGCCACCCCGCACCTGTTCTCCATGTTCCGCCTGTCGCACGACCTCATGGACGTGCTCGAGGGCCCCAACGACGGCCTCGTCAGCGTCCGCAGCGCCAAGTGGGGGGAGTACAAGGGCACCCTGGCCGGCGTGACGCACCTGGATCTGATCAACTGGACCAACCGCCTCAAGAAGATGGCGAGCCGACTGGGCCTGGTGGAGGAGAAATTCAACGCCGTGGCCTTTTACTTGGCCGTTGCAGAGGAGCTGGCGAAGGAAGGGTTTTGAAAGGGACCGGGAGGGAGAGTAACAGAGTGAAGAGGGAACATGGCGAAATCTGTACTTTTAGGCTGGGGTGGGGATAAACGGAATCGAACATATGTATTCATACGGCGTGCATCTCAACATGGGTCAGTGAGCGGGAAGACCAACATGACAAGGCTCGAGCCGGGAATCACGAAAGGCTACTAGAAAAGCAGCGACATATGATGTCCTCCTTAGGGCGGATAGTCCTTTCGGGACCAAGTTGAATCAACATGCTGTATAGCATACCCTCCTGGGCAATGTCTATGTTCGTAGACGATACGACTCCAGTTGCGCCAACCGTTGTGTAGAAGCCCGCCCTTCCTCCAGAACAACCGGAGTCTGGACCCGCTCTCATGTCGCAACGTTAAACCCTGCAGTTCCTCCTGTGACCCGTATCTCAGTCCTCCCTGGAGATCTTATCTGGCACTTCAGGTTGAGGAGACATGACCGTTTTGATCAGGTCTTCGACAACCTTCGCTCCAGCCTTCTTCCCAGCCTGATCGATTTCCTTCACTTTGGCATCTGCGTCCTTGTTTGCATCGTCTTCGGCTTTCTTGTTCCCGCTTGATTGCTGCGCACTTTGGTAAGCTTTCTCGACCCTGGATAGCGGGCCACCATGGTACAACAACGCACCTCGGACTCGAACTTTTTGAACTCCTCCTCCTTCTTCTTTCTGTATTCCTCAATCTCCTTCTGAGCTTCCGTTTTGGCGTCCTTTACTCTCTTTGTTCGATCTGGCAAAAAGCGATTTAGACCGATCCAGGTCAGGACATTTGGGGGGGGAGAGCAGTCGAAGCTTACATTCTCTGGCTTCAGGAATTCGTTAGCATGGTAACTTGGACGTAGTGAGATATGGGGGGTAGCATACCTTTCTGGACAATCTTTTGGGCTTCCTTCTCTGCCTGCCCAGCATTTTAGAATCTCTGCGTTCTGCTCAAGCTCTCTCTCGACTTACGTCTAGCAGGGTCTGAATGCCCGCTGAGTTTTGGGCAGACTGGATTGGCATTAGCATAAACGTAACGCCGCAGGCGGACAGAGACGTACCATTTTTCTATTGACGAAGGGGGGACGCTGGTATAAGAAGGAGGAGGAGGAGGAACAACGGATATGAGGTGAGAGTAGGAGTGCTCAGGTGAATCGGAGTTGCGCAGAGAAGTTATCTTGGATGGTGTACCTGCCCAAAGTATGGGTGTTTCCTACGATGATGCGCCCGCCGAGCTGTCTCGAAGCTGCGGAGCTCCCCTTCCCCAATTCCAGCCCGCTTAAACATTTTGTTCTCTTCTTTCATTGCTTTCTCTCCAGAGACATCGCCTCAGTCCGTTCAACTACAATGTCTACAGCCTCGAAGATCACCCTCCTCAGCACTATTCTGGGCACCGCCGGCGTAGTCGCCTTTGTCCACTGGGCCCAGACCGCCGAACAGGCTGTATGTACTTTCTCCTCATTCGTCCCCAGTTCCGATCCAGTGTCTGATGGACTATTGCGCATGTGTGAATGTCGACGCTGACTCTTCCCTTCTTCTGCAGGCCATGCACGCCGGCGTCGTTAGGGACATGGAACAGCAACGCATCAAGAGAGAAAGGCAGGCCGACTTTGACATGCAGAGACAGCTGGAGGAGGAATATAAGAAGGTGCAGACTGTGCACGACAGTACTAGTGGTGCTTGACGACGTGCTACTCCTCTGGATTCTCCTCAATGGACCAGCGACGAAGCTCCTAGTCACCCGCCTCGAGTACTCCGGGTCTGGAATGCGAGCTGAGCGACCGAGAGTCGAACCCGCCACGACGACACTGCCACAATTTCACTGTACTCATCAGTGTTGACGGCAGGGACAACCTCGACCTCAAGGTGCAATAATGGTCCGACAGTCACATTGCATCTGCGATCACACACTCGTCTCCTTACACCATGGCTCACTGCTCTGTCAGCCTTGTTTGAGGCGTGGAATGGGTTCGAGTCTGATTTCCTCCGGCGTGAGAAACGAGGTACAGCGGAAGCACTTGAGAATGGGAAACACCTCGCTTCTATTGGAAGCGTCAACCACACGTGCCTGAAGGTTTCCATGTCGACGCACAGAATGATGTGCGCATTTGGATGAAGCTCTGTATCAAAGGGTCGGTCAATTCAGGCATTGCCAGAGCCCCGGCAGTTTGGATTGTATCCTTTGCACAGCGATGCATACTTGCCGACAGACAGCCAGAATTGGAGAGCAGAAAAGCTCCGGTATTTTCTTTCACAGTCGTGATGAAGCAGCCGGAGCCAGTTGTCGGAGTCAATATATCTCAACTCAAGCTAAAAACAAGCTCGTAGAGTATGTTATGTACCTGATTTACATAGCCTCTAAAGGTCTTAACTTGCTCAGGAGGGGCCCGAGGAGAAGAATTCTTAAAACATCATCTTATACCCCGTTACCATGATACAATAGACACATTTCAACGTCTCAATGCCCGATCCCGCCAGCAACCCAATTATTCCAATCCAGATCCCCCGGCGGCGGGAACATGCCTCTGTCCTGGCCATCTCCGTCAGGCTGGCCTGGAATCGGTGGCTGCTGCTGCTGCGGTTGCGGTTGCTGAGGAGCGGGCCCCTGCGCGAAGCCCTGAGTTTGATCCCGGTTCTGGGCTTGACGTCTCTCCTCCTCCAAGACCCTCTGCCTGGCCTGGCGGGCGTAGACCAGCAGGGCCAAGGCGCCGGCGAGGGCGATGATGATGAGGCTCTCGACGAGGCCGTCGTCGAACTCGTCCCACTCGTCAGCGCCGTAGACGTCGCCTTCGACTCTACCCTGCCCGCCAACTCCTCCTCCGCCGCCCTGCTGCCCATGCGCGTGCGCGGGTCGGTGATCGGCGTACTCGGCGTTGCCGCCACCGGGGGCCATGCCCGGGTCGGCGTAGCCCAGAAGCTCGTCGTCGCCGTCGCGCTCCCTCGCCAGAGCCTCCGCCTCGCGCGCGTCCATCTCCTCTGCCGCGTCCAGGAATCTGTTCACCCACTCGATCCATGTCTTGGGCCGCCTCTGTTCCTCGTCCCCTTCCTCGTCCTTGATGCCGTTGACCTTGCCGCCGCTCACGCCGTTCCACCAGCTTCGCAGTCGCAATTTCGCCAGGGCGAGAGTCACAGGCAAATATGCCTCCTGGTTCATCTCCAGCGCGAGGTCGTAGTAGCGCTTGGCCATGTGGAAATCCTGCGTGACGCTGCCGATGCCGTTTTCATGCATCCACCCGAGGTTCCAGAGGGCTTGCGCCGAGTGGTGGGTCTCGGCGGCCGTGGTATAGCATGTCGTTGCTTTCTCCAGGTTGGTCTTTGCCTCAGCATTGTCTTCGGTCGGGAAAAGCGTGAGCGCTGCGTTGGTGGGCGACGAGAGGGAGAGGTAATAGTCGCCCATTTTGATCAAGGAGTCGACGTTGGCTTGTTTGGCGGAGCGGGTGAAGTATGCGAGAGCCAGGAGCTGATCGTTAAGCAGCTTGCTCTTCTTTGAGCTCGGCTTGATTGTCGAGACGAGAGGAATACCAAGGTTTGGCAGCGATATCACCGACGTCTTGTGATCGAGCAAGTACGCCACGTTGGCTTGGGCATTCTCATAGCCCTGCTCCGCGGCCATAACGGAAGCAATATATGCTCGTTCAAAGTCCCCTCTCTCATACGCCGAGTTTGCTTCCACAAAAGAGGAATGCAAGACTTCTGCCCTTTCGGCGACCACCTTATAGTAGGCAGCTGCCAGGCCGCAGTTCCGCTCACGGCCGACTCCTTGGTTGGTGAGCTCGGCAAGATAGTAGAACGACTCCATCACGCCCGCGCCCGCAGCGAGTTCGAAGTAACGCCCGGCGGTCTCAATGTCCCCTTGGTCCAAGAACAGCACTCCCAGCGCCGACTGTGCCAAGGGGAGAGACTGTTCCGCGGCGGCCTTTAAGTATGAGCCAGCACGCGCCCCATTCTGGGACACACCCAAGCCATCGCGGTACATCAGGCCCATGTGATATTGCGCGAAGGAATCGCCCAGGGCAATGCCTCGTTTGAACCAAGTTTGAGCCTTTTCAAAGTTTTGTTCCATCCCCTCGCCGCGGAGGAGCATGCGCCCAATATAGGCCGCCGCTTTTCCTGCGACGCGCTCGATCCCCTTTGGTGCTTTTGGGGACACCTTGCCGTCCTTGGTCCAGTAGACCCGCGCGACTTTCATGAATTGACGCTGCGCTTTGCGGAAATTGCACTTGTAGCCCCGGGGGGCTTCGTAGTAGTGCTTGCCCAGTGTGATAATGGCGTTGAGGTCACCTTGTCGTTCTTTCGTGTCGAGGTAGTCGAGGACATAGTCGATGTGTGCTGCGGTGACGCCATCTCGAGGAGCGTTGGGGCCTGAGGAGCTCACACTCGCGCCTTCGCCGTATATGCCTCCGTCGACTTCCACCCAGCGGTATGAGTTACGGACAAAGGAGTGGCCGCCCGGCGGACCGGATTGCCAATACGACATGGCCTTGTCGGCGACTCTTTTATAGTAAGACACAGCCTTGTCGCAGCTTCTGGAACACCCAATGCCGGCATGATATCTGTACGCCAGCGTCATTTCCGACTTGATGTTCTCTTGTTCCGCGGCAAATGTGTGGTATAGGAGGGCCTTTGCCTGGTCTCTCTCCAAACCGCCAATTCCCGTGCCGTACATCAATCCCAACATGTATTGCGCCGTGGAATTGCCGTCCAGGTCAGCCAGCCGGTGGTACCAGTATTTGGCTCTCTCGAGGTCGCGCGGGTGTGAGAAGTTGCCGTAGAAATTCATCTCGGCCAGCAGGAAAATGGCGTCTGGGTCGTCGAAAGAGGCCGCCGCTTTGAGGGAATCCACGCCCTTCTTCAAGTCTCCCTTGACCTTCGGAGCATTGCTGTCCTCCCGCGTAGGTGTATTCATGAACAGCGCGCGGAAGATTATCCTCGTATAGTGCCACACGGTTCCCAGGAGACCAGTAGGTTGAGCTGGAGTCACGCTGTCCTTCCATGTTGGTTCAAAGTCGCGCAACACCGACCATATCTCGTGAACTATGTCATTTCCACCCTGCGCCCAGTAGTTTTGTTTCTCTTGCTGGCTTCGAGGTGAATCAAGCTCAGAGTCCACGAGTTCGGCTCTGACGGTCGTCGAGGTTTGACAAGCAGGAACGAGGATCGCGAAAGCGATGGCCAAGTCTGTAGACGATAATTAGTCCGGGGGTCAGACTTCAGTACGCGCATGACTTACAGAGGAGGATCGTGAAGACCCCATTACGTCTCTGGGCCATCATGGCAGGGTGTATGCAAGCGTTACCGACGACACATTATGAAACCACAGAGCAACTACAAGCGACAGCCTCAGAGGGAGACAGCTGGTTATGTCCTTGCAGAATCCGGGCCAATTTGATGGCAAAAAGAGATCGCGTGAAGAAGCCAGACTGTCGCGAAGCATTCGGGAGCGCAGCGGCGCGATGACGCCGATCTCAGCCTTGCAGCCTTGCGGCCTCCTTCGTCCAACCGGCAAGGCTGCCAGATCCGCAAGAATCAGGAGGGCAGAGGAGTTATCAACACATTATCATTACCATTACCTTACATGAAGTGGTTCCGCTGGTAATGTTTTCATAAGTGGCTATGTCCTAAGACTATTCATGGCTTTACAGCATACGGAACATGGCCCATCCCAGCTGCACTCGGCTTCTCTCTTTTATGCACATCAGTCAGTATTAGTCTCTAACCTTCTTCGATGTGAGCAATCTTCTGGTCCCAATCCCGCCATCCTGCTTGCCGGTTCTCGTACTCGTGTTCCAACCCAAGCCGTTGATTTCAGACTTAGTCTTCTTCCGGGCGTAAATCGGATCACTATCATCGTCCATATTTATGATAGGGCTTTTTTGGTCGCTCAAGAAAGTCAGGTCAACCACAGGTGATCCTGAAGGAATCTGAGACAGCCTTGGCTCCCTCTGACTTTGTGGCTGCTTAATGTCGGTCTGACTTGAATCCCCAAGATCAGGACCACTCGATAAAGCTGCCCTTCCTGTCTTTTTCGTGGCATTGCGGAGAGATTTCCTGGCTGGGGCTGGAGGAGATACTTTCTTGCGGTAATTTTGATTGGACACAAGCTCAATCAGAGAAGGCAGGTCGCTGTCATCATCACTGATCCCTGAGTCATGGTACGAGGAGTCTTGACCATCGTACCCAACTTCTCCTAAAAAAGAACCACTGTCTGCATTTTCTTCGTCGTCTCCCTCTGTGTTTTGAGAAGGTATCGAAGTCTTTTGTGATTGAGACTCTGACACCTCGGACTTTATTGAGTCAGGCACGTCCTCTGGATGACCCGGGTGTTCATTTCCGAGGTTGTTAGAATCTAATTCACTTTTCTTCTCAACTGACCCCTCGATTGAAGCTTGCTTCTGGCCAGAAGCAATGGAGGATAGGTCAAGAACCGGAGTTAGTGAGCACTTCTGTGCATCTTGATGTGAGCTGCTATTGGTGGTGCGCGTAGGTTCCGAAGAATTGATATCTATTTGAGAGATATGAGGATAGTCAACAGTTTCCTGGGTCGGCATGTGTGGCGACGACGTTGGAGAGACCTGAGAGCTCCCTGTGGCGTCGGTGACATTAGGTCCTGCATGGTAAGTGGCATGTGCATCCACGTCCGACGAAGTTGTCACACCCGGAAAAGCCAAATCGACATTAGGTGATCTTGGACGAAATCTGTGAGGATATTGTCCTTGCGACTGAGTTAATGCATCGCCGGGGCTAGGGGCTGCTTGTTCGCTTGTAGCAGGGCTGGGTATAGGCTCCAGTAATTCCCCATCTAGAGCTGAGTTGAAGCCAGCCTCCTTGATTATCCCGTTGATCTCCTCCTTGCGAGGGGTATCGATCATTTGCACAGCTGCACTTGGCTTTTCTGCTTCCTTCACCTGGATATTTTGGTCGGCTGACTCCGGGATGACAGCGAATTGGTCGTCGCTCGGCAACATGGGTGCTTCGCCCCCTCTTGGAACACTGACATGGCTACTATCGGGAACTTGGATCACAGAGGGTTTGACAAGTTTCGCAGAAATCATATCTGAGATCGAAACCTCGCGACGACCGTCATCAACTCCTTCATCGGCATCTTCGTTGGTCAGCTCGAACTTTCCGTAGACTCTTTCGCCTGTTTGTGGATCGGTTTTGCCTTTGGAATCTGCGGCCATTGAACTCTTCGTCAGGTGAAGGTGCACAGTACCGTCTTCATCCACATGCGACACTTGACCAATTCTGTATTGAGACACTTCTGGCTGATAATTTGTCGAGGCATCCACGTGCAATTCTTTGTAGGCAACGGTTGCTCCTGGCAAGATCATTGCCTGCTCAAGCTCTGGAAGAACGTCAATATCCTCCCAAGTCGGCATAACCTCTGAATTCCCGTCAGCGGTTGACACAGCTTCGTTAGCTGAAACTTGAGCGGAGACGTCATCGTACTCTAGAGTTGAGACATTGGGTTCAAAGGACGCTCCGCCTTTCTCGCGAGGCTGGTCATGTCTGCTCTGATAGTATTGGCTTTGATCACGTAGCTTCCGCTTGTTTTTAGCTGGCTTTGCCCACCCCTGCTCAAACGGAAATGGTGGTGGCGGCAAGGACTTCCCAGGCTCTTCACATTCGACTGCCGCTACAATCAATTTGTTCTTCCATGAATCGTCGTCGTTCTCCACAGCTGGTAGGCGCTGGGGAGATTCCAAAGTACGGCCGTCACCACGCCCTTTTTGATTTATTGGTTGCCGACTGTTTTGCGACAACTTCTCCCTCAAAGCCTGCCTCTCTTCGGCGTTCTTGGGCGCTCTCAATCCAAGGGATCCGAAGACAAGACGACGAGTACTAGCCACGTCGAGTCTAGCTCTCTTTGGAGCCGACTCCATGGCCATTGCAGGTTCAATCTGTGCCGTCCCAAGTGCCTTGAGATCAGCGGATACAGGCTCGGCTGGAGCCTCGTTTGTGATTGCTGCTTCTGCATCATTCGAAGGGCTCTCATTCTCTTTCTCGACCTCATTCACATTTGATTCGGCCGTTGTGTCTTCACCAGCTTTCACATCTTGGACATCTTCTTGGATTGGGCCGTCAGCTCGTTCTTCGACGAGCACCGTATGTTGCGCTGCCATCTCCTGTTGTTGTATGGTCTCGTACTTTGCCAGTTCGTCAAAGCCTGCATTCTCAGGTAGCAGCCCTTGCTTCTTCAGTTCATTTAGCCGCTTCCTTTTTTTAGCCCTGTCATTGTTATAGCGCGTCCGATTTGTTCCCTGGAAAGGAACGCCTACCGATGGCTTTGGCGGCCTTGCTGGAGCTGGGTTCGCCTGGGAGACTGTTGTTGATGGGAATGCTGTCGAAGTCGTTGCCTTAGATATGAAAGCTTTCTCTGCCTTCGTCTCTTCCCCATCTGATTCGGAATCGGATTCGGATTCGGATTCAGATTCCGTAGAGGTTGTAGATCCTGACGAGCTGCTTTCCACAGAATCAGACTCGGATTCTGAGGTGGAGGAGCTATCACTGTCACTCTCATCTTTCTGCAGATCAAAACTCGATGACATGTCGTCAACATCATCCCCGTCATCTCTGATGAGGTTCAAAGCTCGCTTCTTGGCTTGCTGCATGGCAATATCTTCCATCATACTATCAGCATCAGAGTCGGAAGATGTGACATCGGAGCTCGAGATCACATCTGAATCGTCGGAGTCATCGACATCGTCATCATCCTCGACAACGTTTCTGGCAGGCTTTTCGGCTTGTCGATTTGCGATCTCCCTCATCATGCTGTCCGCGCTTTCGTCCCCATCGTCCCCCCACTCGGCCCTACCGCCCTCTTGACTATTGGGCCAGCCATCGACTTTGGCAGGCGAGCCATGTGGGGGAGAGGAGAACCCTTCAAATGTCTCATTTTCGTGCTCTTCGCCATCATCGCCGACGTCTCGTTTTCTCTTCAGCTTTCTGTCGAGGACTTGTAATGCAATAGACATGTTGGCAGCTTGTTCAATCTCGGCGGCCTCTTCAAGCAAGTGCTTAAGCTCTGACGAGAGATGCTCGTCTTCATCTCCGCCATTCAGCTCGACTTCGCCTTCTGAGTCGGCATCAGCATCATCGAATTCTTCTCTGATGGTGATTTGAAATCGTGCCTCGTCAGTATCAGGATCGCTTTCATCGACATAGTCGCCATCGTCTTCGTCGTCATCCTCCTCTTCTTCTTGATTCGCAAACGGCACCAAAGCATCCATGTAATTGTCCTCCTCAGCAGCAACGGGGAGAATGCGCTTAGCATCATCCCCGGCCGTATCATCGGCATCCTCGTCAAAGAGAATCCTCCTCCTCTTTCTAGGTGGAATGACAATACCCGGCCTTGCAGTCTTCTTCAGCCACTGTTTTCCGAATGCCACACCATCAATCAAATGTCTGCCGTCGCCGGTGATCTGATGGCGTCCACCTAGCCTCCTGATCCTTAGATCCTCACTGCTCAGCGCCCTAATCACCACCTCATCATCTTCTCTCAACACATTGTGCAAGGGTTGGTAATGCAAGCACTCGTAGGTCAAGTGTTGGTCCGCAGTGGCAGCGACTTCGACAACGTAGTCTTCCAGGCCCCATTCGCCGTCCGCAGACTCGAGAGGAACGAGGTCATTAACGTCGGCGAGGAGATCGGCGACCGTAGCTGCGCGGGACTTGGTATGTGAGGCGGGGCCGCTGCCTGTCGTGTGGATGATGGTGACAGGCGGGAGAGAGTGGCGTTGGATGAGGATTTGGAGCCGCATCTTCTGTGTCGGCAGGTGCAAAGATTACACGCGCCCAGCGCCGACGAGAGGGTTAAAACCAAGAAAAGACAAGAAAAAGCAGAACATCTCTGCGATTTGGGAACAAGCTCGTCCTCACATGGGCAGGCAGATTCAGTTGAGGTAGATTCGGCGCTGCTCCGCCAAGCCGCACCGCGATTGAACGATTAGCGCGACGAGGCTGAGAATATTGCCATGAGCCTATGGTAATGGAAGTTAAGCTGATTTATTATTACAGTAGCATAAGATCACCTCTGCGCGAGACAAAACAGTTATGAATTGAACCAGAAATGTACTTCATTAGATGGCGCTAATATCGAGACGCTCACATATCCCATGTCTTGAAGTTTCCGTTACTCCCGCTTCCACCACAGAGCCTCCATGTTATACACTAACATACTTTTCCCTCCCGGACCTTGCAAATTATAAAATCCGCTCTAGAACAGGTATTTCGGTTCAAGGAGCGGTGACGATGAACGGGGATCTCCCGAACGCGGTAGGCGGTGACTCGGGTGGCGTTGGCTGGACCTCCCTGAAGGATATTTGGACGCTCATCCCGGCCAATTTACTCTCCATCTCGGCCAGTCTGCGCTCGAGCTCCTTGATCTTCTGTTCCATTGCGCTGACATCGGCTGTCTCCTTTGTAACGGGCGGTGTAACAGACCTCACCTCGGCAAGCGGCTGAACTGGAGCTGGTGCTGGTGCTGGTGCTGGGATGACTGTCTCCTGTGTCGTGGGAGCAGCCAAGGGTGCCGGGATAACGCCATTCGTCTGTGTCTCGCCCTTGAGGTCTGCAAGGAATTTCATGGCTTCTTTCCTTACATCATATCCAAAGAAGAACTGGCAGATCGGAGGGCTGTGCGGCATAGATCCCGTGGGTGGCAGAGGGCCAGAGTAGTATTTTCGGATTTCGGCCTCTTGCTTTGCATAGTTGGCTGCTGCTTGAGGTCCGGGAACGACAGGGTCTGTCAGAATCTGTGTCGCTGAAACTCGGGGTAGGCGGAAGGCTTCGAACTGGGCCAAACGTTGGAGCAGTTTCTGTGACGGAGCAGAGGTAACGTCTCCGCTGGCTGGGACGTCGGCGAGGAAAAGCTCGAGAGCGGCAGCATCTTCGATGGAGGATGAAACACCCTGAGCATGAGTCAGGAGCATAGGGTGGCAGGCATCGCCAATCAAGACAGCCTTGCCCTTGGTCATCTTGCTCAAGGGATCTCGCTTCATCTGGGTGTAGACCTTGACCTCGGGTGACTTCAAAAAGACCTTTTTCACAGCTGGGTGGAAACCATCAAGAACTTTCTCCAAGTCCTCGTGGGTGGCGGGGAAGTTCCAGTCTTCAATCACCACATCGTCCTCACTGGTTGCATGCTGACCGAGTCTCCGGTGCACAGCTAAGACATTGAGAATTTCGTTGTTTCTGCAAGGATAGGTGACAGCCATAACACCCTTGGACGGCAAGGCGGGGGCCCAGAACCCAGGCGGCTGGTTCTCGAACAGGAACTTGGTCTCCTCGTCCGCGAGGATCTCCTTCATGGGAATGAGGCATCGATATGCTGTCTGGCCGCTCCTCTTCATGGGGACTTCCTTGCCGGTGATCTTGGCGTTTAAGCGATCCTGGTAACAAGTCAGTGAATGTATCGCGATATAGTTGGTCATGAGTAATGCTAACATGCTGGCCATCAGCGATAATAACAAGATCTTTTTGCACTCTCGTGCCATCCTTCAATGATACAATCCCAGTCTCCGGGTCCACATCCATCACTTGGTTTCCCAGCCGGATGATCGCCCCAGCTTCCTCAGCTTGTTCCTTCAGGCGGCGATGCATGTCGACCCGGTGGTAGAAGAACCACTTATTGCCGTATAGTTGTTCCGCATTTGCGAAGTTCAATGTTGGGGCCATTGGTTCCAGTGTGTCACCTTTTGGTCGACGAACCTGGATGCGTCTGTCAGCTGACAACCTCTACTAGTGGCGGGCGAGGATCCCAGTTGTAGAGATAGAGTAATCATATCTCCTGGGACGTAGATCCCCAATCAATCCTCCTTACCTGGATATTCTCGATCCCTCCAGCTTTGATGGGGTCAAATCCCCAATGCTCCAGAACCCGAGTACCGTTTGGCGGAATAGAGACGGCGGCGCCATTTTCGTTCTTGAAATGAGAGCGCTCAAAGATCTAAGTGCAAAAGAGTCAGTGTTTTCTGATCGTAGAATCTGGACTAAAGTACGAAGAGGTGGTCTTTTGGAGATGGGCTTGACCTACCTCAACGTCATGGCCGATTTTTCTCAAAGCAATAGCGGCACTCAGTCCAGCAACACCGGCGCCACAAATTCCGACTTGTAAAACACCTGGAGCTGCCATGTTGAAGACTATGAGAGGTGAGGATGATTCGGCTCGCTTCGAGTTTGGTTCTTGTAGAAACACGATCTAGGAACGAGTGGAGGATAGAAAAGCACAATCAGGCTGGGGCGACCAGAGAATTTGAATGCGGCGGCTCAGCAAAGTTGGAAACCAAAAAACTCCAACCATGCTGGCCTGAAAGTTTACTTATTATATTATCTCGTGCAGACCACCCACCTCGCCCGCCGTACGATAGGTGTACAGGGTTAAGGAGACCAAGCGAAGTGGTTTCTCCTGCTAGTGGCTTCGACACTGGGCATCCGTGAAGAGGGTGTGGATGAGATAGCGACCAGGCAAGGTGCAACGACCCCTGACACCTGCAGTCAGCCATCTTGTTCTAGCCCAAATCGTTCCACTGAGGATCGAGGAGTTGATTGACAATCGTCAGCGTCAGACTTTCAGGCCATCGATTCGCAGATTCTCGGATGTGTGACATTCGAGAGGCGCAAAAAGAACACCGGAAGAAGCCAACATGTGGAAAAAGCCAATGGCCAGAAACGGTTGGCCAGCAAAGCCACCCCAGCTTAGCGCTCGGGGCGCCCAGGTCGTTAACCACCCCCATGGTTTGCAGAGCCGAGACCGCAAGTCCGGGATGGTGGAACCTGAATAGCGATGGCCCATGGAAAAAGTTCCTCGATAGCTCTTCCCCAGGCAAGCCCATGCTGGCTGATGTGTGCATAGAGAACCGAGATGCATACAAGTATATGAACAGATAGAGAACCAGCATGTCTCTAGAACATCCGCAATGCAATGACATCTCCCGCGATAGAGATGCTGACTGTGGAAATGCTGGTAGCATGAGGAGGCACTCAGGGAGTCCTCGTACTCCCGTGGCTAGCAATCAAGCCACTTTGACCATGTCCTAGGCGAGGCGTCAGCTGGAGAAAGACAGGGGTGGTCCAGACTCCAGAGCCTTCAATAGGCCTTGGAAGTCGGGTTAGTTTGCGGATAAGGGACAATCTCCAATCTCCACGTGGTGTTTATTCGCCGTTTTGGGCAAGAAAAGAGGCGTTCACCCAGGGCGCGTCAGCTGCATCTGGAACCAGAGCTAATTTAACGGGCGCCAGGCGAGGGCTCAGGTCTCCCAGGAAGCCTCCAGGAGGCGAGGAGGCTCCTTAGGTACACCCAGCTGGGGCCCAGGGGCTAGTCCAGACCGTGCAAAATGAAATCCCACCAATTCGAGGGGTTGGGAACTCAAAAAGTGTCTCGCAAGTTGACTGCGGTTGCTTTCGTGACAAAGTTAGAGGGGGTATGGTGGCTTGAAACCTTTGTCGCCGGTAATGTCTTCGTCTCCAGCCTCCGTACGGTCCAGCGGGAGAAAACCACAATGTCAACAGTCCATCAAACACAGGCTGAGCGATCAATCCGGGGACAGGAGAGCATGCGCATGATGCTAAATGGTAGTGAGCCTCAATGCTCAATTTCAGGCCCTGGCACTGCCGACTGCCGAAACTGGGGAACCCGATGGCCGCCTGAGCAGGTTCAGGGGGCGAATCCTCCCATCATCCTGTACCGAGTACGCATTTTCCTGGACGAGCAGTTGTACGGAGTGCTCGTATATTACCTGGCAAAGATCTTCGTCGTTGAAACTGCTACCAAATGGCGGATTTGATCTTCGATTCTGACGCTAATTTTCCTTCGACATCCACTTTCTTACAATCCCCAATGTCCTTTTGTCCTTTGTGTATCGCAGGAAACGATAGCTTCATCACAGGATTGAGGATTTGTCCTGGTTTCACAGGGAACGACACGGATCCGAAACCCTCTCAACAATGGCTTGCGTGCGTGCTTCTCACATTCGAGCGGTCAGGCTGAGGCGAGTGTTTTCGTGTGACTATAGTTGACGTAAGGCCTGTATAACCATGAGCATCAACGCGGTGTGCTTCTATCCGGTCATCAGTGATGCCGCCGACCTTTTGAGTGGTCAGAGGTTGTTGAACATGCTCGTATAAGGTGATCTTCGAAATACCCTCATCGATCTGGGAGCGCATTGCCCCTGTAGCTGACTCATAGCCACACAACCACTGCAGGATTCTCTTACCATTCACATTTGCCTTCGTGGGAAATTGGCCAAATATATAAATTCCCACGTCAGCACACGTTCATATCTCAAGGCGAGACGCTTCAGTCGTGGCAGCTGCTTTATTCACATCGTCAGGGCGAAGTGATATCTTGACCCCAGTTTTGTCAATCCCCTGGGACTCTCTGCCCGGAGATGCAGCTTGTGAAGACCCTTGAGGTCAGCTTCATAATCGAGAAGGGTCTCACATTGTGCTTGCATGCTCAGGCGCAGGAGTATGCGGGAGTACAACAGCTGGAGATTGCTAAATTAGATAGCCAACCTCTTCATGGGGGCTTGTGCTACAAACATGTTACATCTCCCTTCTCGCATGTGCGACATTGCCCAGAGAGTCATCGAGAAAAAGAATCAATTGAATGACCAGCTCGATAGGAAGAAGTTTGAAGACAATGGGTTGGTATTCGACAGGAGATGTCCTTCAATGAGCTTGTGCTGAGGAATCGAGGCGGTACCCTGCTCTTAATCATCGTTCCTCGTCAGCTCGGACAGTCGTGCCTAGTTGATATGCGCAATATTAAGATATCTAGCCAAGGGTGCTTCAACTTATCAGACCCAAATTGTGACGCGGTGTCTTTCACGATGGGCTTTTACAAGATATTGTTGTGATGGAAGGCTGGCCGACAGCCTCGCCAGGCTAACCTCTTTCGCCATAGCCTCCAAAGCCTCGTGTGTCCCTTGCCTCAGCGCACCGGCGACGGCGTTATCTTAAGGAGATGAGATGACCTCTATCTATCAGTATAGTCCCCTCCTCCGTCGTTAGATGCAAATGCAAATTCGACCTGTCGACAATGCCAATAGAGGAACTCCAAGCAAGAGAAGGGGATGTACGCAAGAAGGGGGGGCGATGTGGGCAAAGACCTTTGCAGGAGTTGTCAAACAACATAGCTAGGCAATAGTCCGCCACCTCCACTCTCAATCAACCTCGTCACTCACACCATGAAGCTTTTCTCCAACAGCTCATGAACCCGAGCTTGGGCCAGTAGTTGTCTCCCTCGGCCATCAGGAACATCTTACGAGACTCCTCCAACAAACCCCCGCACCGGATGGTCATTTGGCTTTCGTTGCGGCGATTTCTCTCCAACGCCATCATGTGGGGTGTGAGCCTATGAGGTGTGTGCATTCTGCGTGCCAATGCCAGTACGAAACGTCCCTGGGGCGATATAAAGCAGAAGTGCCGATCCAGACACCGAGCTTTCGCTGTCCCTTTGAGACTCCTCAATTCAAGGTCCTACGTATATCGCCACTTGCGGATTCGACATCTTGAGACGACTCACAACTCGTTCTATCCAATTACATACCCCGCGAACCCGGAATTCGAGAATTAGAGGAGGCGATCAACGACTCCAGCAAGTAAACATGGCGCCCAAGACGTTGAACGACTTGAAACGCAAAGACCTGTTTCAGACAAAAGGGTACATCAATGAAAGTTGGGTCGACGCAGCCTCGGGCAAAACATTCGATGTTTATGACCCAGCCACTCTGGACAAAATCGCGACCCTCCCTGAAATGGGCGCCGAAGACACCAACAAGGCCATCGCTGCTGCACACGAAGCCTTCCAGAGTTTCAAAAAGACGAGCGCCCGCCAGCGCGCAAGGTGGTTGCGGAAGTGGAGCGACCTCTGCCTCGAGAATGTCGACGATCTCGCCTTGATTCTGACGCTTGAAAATGGCAAGACCCTGGTCGAAGCCAAAGGCGAAGTCACTTATGCGGCTTCTTTCCTCGAATGGTTCGCTGGCGAAGCTGAAAGGGTGCACGGCGAGGTTGTCCCTCCAGCCAACTTAAACCAGCGTATCTTGACGTTCAAACAACCCATCGGGGTCGCGGCGTGTCTCGCTCCTTGGAACTTCCCAATCGCCATGATAACGAGAAAAGTGGGCGCAGCGCTAGCAGCAGGGTGCACCACGGTGTGGAAACCAGCTGGGGAAACTCCGTTGAGTTCTCTCGCACAAGCCGTCCTTGCTCATGAAGCTGGATTCCCAAAGGGCTCCATCAACGTTATCACCACCCTCAATCTTGTCAACGAAGTCGGCGAAGCACTGTGTAAGAGCACTTTGGTCCGAAAGTTGAGCTTCACAGGCAGTACTCGTGTGGGCAAACTCCTGGCCAGGCAATGCAGTGACAGCCTCAAGAAGCTATCCCTCGAACTGGGTGGGAACAGCCCGTTTATCGTGTTTGACGATGCCAAACTCGACACCGCGATCGAGGCGTGCATATTGGCCAAATTCCGAAACTCTGGCCAGACCTGTGTGACTGCCAACCGGATCTTCGTACAGAAGGGCATCTATGACAAGTTCGCCGAAGCTCTGACGGTCAAGATCAAATCGCTCAAAGTCGGCCCAGGAACCGAGGAAGGAGTCTTCGTGGGCCCACTGACGCACGAGCGAGCCGTCGAAAAGGCCATGAACCACATTAATGGTAAGGCGACAGGACCTGGTAGATTTTGGTAAATGATAGCTAACTCCAAAAAAACAGATGCTAAGAAACACGGCGGCCAGGTCATCCTTGGTGGAGAGCCGTTGAAGGACTTTAAAGGCTACTTCCTCCAGCCCACGATTATCAAAGGGATGAATCGGGAGATGATCACCACACGGGAAGAGACCTTTGCTCCCGTTGTCGGTCTCTACGAATTCGACACCGAGGAAGAGGTCATCAAAATGGCAAATGACTGTAACGTCGGTCTGGGATCCTTCATCGTCACGGAAAACATCCCACGAGCGTTCCGGGTCACCGAGGCACTAGAAGTCGGCATGGTCGGCGTCAACCTGGGGCTGCTCAGCGCTTGCGAGAGCCCCTTCGGCGGCGTGAAGGAAAGTGGGTATGGTCGAGAAGGCGGCCGACAGGGCATCGAGGAATATCTGAGCGTCAAGTCGATGTTGATCAACGTCGCCAATTGAGCATTGGGGGACATTTTAGCTCAGTAAAATTGTAAAAACGTCAAGTGACTCGGGAAGTTGACAGGAATGTCCTAATCCGCTTTCTCGCCTTTCTGTTCTGCTCCGGCCCCCTTTTGCCCATTTGCCGTCTTTATCTCTTCGTAATATAGCATCGCGTACCGGGTCAGGATCATCAGGCCGATAGCCCGATTCCTCGCCTCGGGGGCGCCTTGGCCGTGCGTAGCAAAATAGTAGACGTCGAGCCCGATCCCAGCGATCAGCTGCACCCAGCCCGTGACGCGCAGGATTGGCCTGAACGAAGACACGCCGCCAAAGTAGGCGTACATCCAGAAGTGGTGGAGGCAGTTGAGAAAGGCGAACAGCTGCCAGTCCGTGGCGTTCAGGACGCGGAAGTAGGTCAGGAAGGGCGTCGTGATGTGGTGGAACGCCATGTGCGGGTTGATCGCGGTCCCCGCGGCGACCAGGTTGAAGACGTCGATGTACTCGTAGAACTTGGACAGGTGGTAGACGTACGCAAGGTCTGCGCTCTGGACCTGCTCGAGGTCGTGGAAGTGGAACACGTCGTTGAGTATCAAGTACGCCAGTCCCAGCGAGAACAGTGCGTAGACCTGGCTGTTGAGGCGGGTTATCGGTCGGGCGACGGCGAAGGGCCCGTTGCGCGCGACATAGCCTTTCAAGGTGCTCCAGAGAAAGACAAATGGTCCCGTGGTCAGAATGACGCTTTGGAGCGAGGTCAAGGGTCTGTCGTCTTCGAAGGCCATGTTTGCTGAACCGAGAGATCCGCTGCGCAGAGAAAGTTGAGGCCAAACAGCAGGGTTTTCAGTGTATTGAGAGTGTTGGGAGCAGGTCGGTTGATACAAAACCATTAATACTGTTTGATCATCGAAGCGAGTGAGCTGTGGTGAGTCACAAAGCAGATGCAACGCTCGTGCAGCGCGGGTTTATAAATAGCAGAAATTGGTGCCAATGGGGTGTAGGCAGACAACGCTATGAATTCCAGCTATACATACACCGAGTATCTATACGCAGGACTAGGTACAGCCTGACCCATCACTGCGGTATCTACTCATCACCCATTCAACTCAACCCTCCGCTTCAGAATGTTCCTTGCTTCCCCTTCGCTGAGATGATATAGGCCCATGTCCCTGAGAGCCTTTCGTGCTGCTTCGTTGCTCTCAAAGATCAGTTTTTCCACATCCCAGAGTCCAAGCTTCTTGAGGCCGCCATCATCATTGATAGCTTCGTCCGTGGTGGCTTGCCCCTTTGCCTTCTCCCCAATTTCATCATCATCAAAGCCCCACTCATCTTCTTCGCCGTTCCCTAGGCCTTGCGAAGCATCCAGAGAAAGAAGATAGACTGCCTCTTCGAGCCGTTTGAGACCCGCTCCCGTAACTCCTCGCAAGCTGCTGTTTTTTTCGATGGTTGCTTTGATCTCAGACAGGTCCCTCGCCAGCTGTGCTGCACCAGTGGCTGAAAATGTATGGTGCATTATAACGTTATCGTAGATCTCTCTCTGTAGTGTCGAACAGTAATGCTTGCATATCCGTCGCATCGATCCCTGTGCGAGCACTCGAGAAAGGTACCCCAGCAGGGTGGCTGTTGTTTGGAAAAAGCCATCAAGACTTGGGGAGGGCGTCATTGCAGCCGGATCGGACGGTGTCTCAACAAGAGTCGACCACTGTGCAAGCCTGACATATGATCGAAGTGCCCCTCTCAGGTTGATGTCGAAGAAGCGGAGCATTTCCTCCTCGCTACGTTCGCGTAGTCGCCGGTATGCCGAAGCAGTCTGGTCGAAAAGACCACTTCCGTCTGTATCCCCATCCGTTTCCGTTCCTTTTGACTTGATGGTCGTTGAGGTCTTATCGGCCACGTCATCCACCTTCAGATCTGTGCCAATCGGTGCACCTGTGCCGCTATTCGCTTTGGCTCGATATTGAAGTTCATCCCACAGTTCCAAAAAGAAAACCTCATCATTCCAGTCCGACATTTTCCGTTCAAGAAATTCAGCACTACCAAATATCTTGGCTAGTGATTCTAAGCCCTTTAAGCCGAAAGCTTCAGCTTCAGACTGTCCCTGAAGTAGCCGGCCGGCCGTATGGGAGGATACAAGATATGCCTGCAACCCGCCGTGGAGATGGTTGTGATAATCATCAAAGATAGACAGTTGAATCTCCAGAAGAAACTTCATCTTCTGACTGAAAGACGAAAGGGCTCGGTATCGATCCGTGATCGTCTCCAAAAGATCATTGACGCGAATTGCTCCTTTCGTCGGCTTTGTCTGGGTGGCGTCTGCATCAAACTCAATATCGTTGCTGTCCGAAGCATCTCTAATACTCCTGTATCGAGAAAGAGCAAAATCTTTCTCAACCTTAAGCCATAGGGCAAAGTAGCCATGTGTGGTCAGCACCCTCCAAGTAATCCCTCTCCACTCTGCCAGCATCCTGGGAATCGGCACGTATCCCCATGTGTCACGAATGGCAGTATCGAACACCATCAACTCGTGCATGAAGTGAGACATCAATTGTGGTTGTTGAGAGATTTGCGGCAGAAAAGACAAGCATTTTGCTTCGACCATCGGCAGCAGTGCTGTGATGAACGCAGAGACTGCGTCAGTATAGATAGATTCCAGAGCCTCAGATTGACGCGCTCTGTCATCCAATATAGGGCCCAACATATCGCTCATGAAACCGCTGTGTGTCTCTAGTAGATCTAGGACGTGAGTGAGGAAGTATTCGGGCTTGTCCAGTCGATTCGTGGGTCTGTCTCCGTAAAAGTGATATCGGAACCTCGCTGTCAAGGGTTGAACCATGACCTCCAGCGGGAGTAGCACGACAGGGTCAAGAGTCGAAGACCGACTTCCAGGGTCGAACCTTGCGAACGCTCCGATCAGGTCTGGATCTTGTAGCTGAAGAAGCAATCTGACTTCCTGCTCCCATTTCTCCTGTACGTTGCCCGGAAATTTCAACTCTTTGCCCGGCCAATTCATTTGTGTAAGAGTTTCCCGCAGACTCCCTTCCAGAGATCCTTTGATGGTGGAATAAAGCTGTTGGGATTGTTGCTCGAAGAGATATGCCAGTTGAGGCGCTGCCCCTTCCGCAGCAGGCTGCGCATCCTGGATGTGCCTCCAAATCTCCCTCAGCCGAATATATGCTTTGACTGATATGCCCGGATGTGCATCTAAGTTCTCTTTCGCTTGGCCGCTCAAACTGTTCAACTGTTGGACCAATTCCAGATAGCCTTGAGCAACCTCCAGACTGCGTACTTTATTCATCCTAGCTTCAACCTTTTGCGCAGCATCATCGCTCACGTTTGATTGTGCAAGCGCTCTCAGCCGCTGGTCTATATCGTAGTGTTCCCTCCTGCATTCTTCGGCCCTCTCTCTTAAGTCGTTGGATCGTTCATTGACTCTGTTCACAGCTTCTGTGTAGTTTTTCCGGGCGTCTTCGAGCTGAGGCACAGTTAGATGCCGCACAAGTTCAAGACAAGAAACCTCACCTGCTTCCGCAACAGGTTTTGCTGTTCCTGCACTCGTTGCAACAGGCTGTCCACCTGTTCTAAGTCTGCCGCGGTCTGTATCTTGTCATTCAAGTAGTCCTCCACCCGCGTCTGCACGTCCACAGTCTTGGTCATGTAGAGCTCAGCCATGCTTGCAGTCTGCAATACAGTGGTTGAAGCCTGGTAAAAATTGGCAACGATATTGCGAGGGAAGATGTGACGTGTCTTCGGTGTGTCTTTCTCCGACTGCGACCAGCGCGTCATGGGGTTGGAGACGCGCCACCATCTTTCAACATTTGGTTATGAAGTCACCACTTATCCAGCCTCCTCAACTCCTGAATGCAGGTGCATTATGATTGCCAAATAATCGCTTCGGGTGGCACTGGGCAGTGATGCCAGTGCCTGTCATGCTCAAAAGTCATGGAGAGTCCGGCCAAGAGACGGAAGAAGAACGATTCGAAGCCTGCCGCAGTGCCGCACCGAAGCCTTGATTTCTTCTTTCGCAAGCAAAATGAACAACAGAAAGAAGGAGGAACCGGTACAGTACGACGCGAAGACGGGGAGACACAAGGGTCGTATACTCCGAAGACACAGCTGACTGATGAGGAGCTGGCCAGAAAGCTCCAAGCAGAATGGGCGAAAGACGATGGATCGCACGAACCCAATCTCAGGGACGCTGGTGGCAACCAGTCCCCAAAGCCTGCAGAAGAACACGAGCATAAAGCCGAAGAGGATGTGAAAGACTTCGTATCCGCTGCTCTTGGAAAGACCCCTTCACCCGAGCCTATGTCACAATCGAACACGAACAAGAATAGTGTACTCGGATTGCAGTCTACGGCTTCAGAAGAAGACACAATCACACTAACGATCCCCTTTGACCAGAGTCCTTTGACGTTCGATCCTTCACACTATGTTCCTGATCTGAAGAGGCACTGGGCGGCAGACGGAGGTAACGCGTCATACGCACTTCTAACTCGATGCTTCGTGCTGGTCAATTCAACTCAAAGTCGGATCAAAATTGTGGACACATTGGTCAATTGTCTCAGAGTCATGATCGAGGCCGACCCGGAGAGCCTTCTGCCTGCTGTCTGGCTGGCGACGAACTCCATTTCACCTCCTTATATCTCTCTGGAACTAGGGCTGGGTGGCTCTGCGATTTCCAAGGCTTTGAAGAAAGTGTGCGGTCTCGATGGTGCTGGTTTGAAAACACTTTATGACAAGCATGGAGACGCAGGAGATGTTGCGTTTGAAGCAAAGAAGCGACAGAGCTTCACACTGAGAAAACCGAAGCCGCTTACTATCAAGAGCGCGTATCAAACGCTGGTCAAGATTGCCAACAGCAAGGGCCATGGCAGTGTTGAACAGAAGCAGCGACTTGTGGAACGCCTCCTCCAAGATGCGCGAGGACCCGAAGAATCTCGATACGTCGTGAGGACTTTGGTCCAGCATCTGCGAATCGGAGCCGTTAAGACGACCATGTTGATTGCCCTGGCACGGGCTTTCCAGCTCTCGCGTCCGGCAGGCGCGGACTTCCCCATCCGAAACGCCGCCGAGCTAGCAAAGCTCAAGAAAGAGGAACTGGCTGTTTTATGGTCAAAAGCAGAAGAGACCGTGAAGACATGCTTTGCGCGAAGGCCAAATTATAACGATCTCGTGCCTGGCCTGCTGGAGGTTGGGGTGTCAGAAGAGCTGCTGCTGCGTTGCGGCCTGGCACTGCACATCCCGCTCCGCCCTATGTTGGGTAGCATTACTCGGGACTTGAGCGAGATGCTCACAAAATTACAAGGCCGAGATTTCAGTTGTGAATTTAAATACGACGGCCAGCGAGCGCAAGTTCATTGTGACGAACGTGGCAAAGTATCCATCTTCTCTCGCCATCTCGAAGTCATGACAGACAAATACCCCGATTTGGTGGCGCTGGTGCCCGAAATCCGCGGCGACGGTGTATCCAGCTTCATCTTGGAAGGAGAAGTTGTTGCTGTCGATAGAAATACAGGCGAGCTCAAGACCTTCCAGACTCTCACCAACCGAGCCAAGAAGGACGTCGATATCGGTTCCATCCAAATCGATGTTTGCTTATTTGCATTCGATCTCATGTACCTCAATGGCGAGCCGTTGCTAGATCGCCCCTTTCGAGAGCGACGTGGTCTGCTCCGCAGCATGTTCATTGAGAAAGAACATCACTTTACATGGGTGAACAGCGTTGATGCCACATCTTCAGATTCCGAGTCTGTGCTGGAGTTCTTCAAATCGGCGACCGACATGAAGTGCGAAGGCATCATGGTCAAAGTGCTGGACAACTTGCCGAATCCTGATTTTGCGGGCCCAGAAGAAGACGAGGAAGTACCCGCAGCTGCGCCCGTGACCCCAAGCAAGAAGAAAGGCGGCAAGAAAGGACAAGCCGAAAGACAAGAGGAGAAAGCAAAAGGTACCCGTCGCAAAGCCCTCCTCTCGACATACGAGCCGGACAAACGGCTCGACTCCTGGCTCAAAGTGAAAAAAGACTACGCGCAGTCGGCCGATACGATCGACCTCATCCCCGTGGCTGGGTGGCATGGCCAAGGTCGCAAAGCGAAGTGGTGGTCTCCTATCCTGCTCGCGTGCCGCAACCCCGAGACTGGGAGTTTGGAGGTCGTCACCAAGTGCATCTCGGGATTCACGGACAAGTTCTATCAAGCGAACAAGGAGAAGTACGCCGAAGACGGCGATAACACGACGCGGACGAAACCGAGTTACATCGAGTACAGCGCGTACGAGCCTGATGTATGGTTCGAGCCCCAAGAAGTGTGGGAGATGGCCTTTGCAGACATCACCCTGTCACCGACCTACACGGCCGCGATCGGGCTGGTCAGTGAGGAGAGGGGTCTGAGCATGCGGTTCCCCAGGTTTCTGAGGGTGAGAGAAGACAAGAGCATCGAAGAGGCGAGTACGAGCGAGTTCTTGGCCGGTCTGTACAGGAAGCAGGAGGCGCGGATCAAGGAGACCGGAAAGGCTGGAGGAGAAGGGGATGGAGACGAAGACGAGTTTGAAGCTTAGATGTCTTGCCGGCAGTGACTGCCAAAACCCTCGGAAAACAGTTGGATTTTCCAAGCTCACTTGTATAGTAACGCTTGTTCATGCATGAAATGAAATGGATGATGAGATCAAGAAATCTTTTCAGGGATTCAAGCCCCGGTAACACAAATCGGTTCAAGTCAACGCTGTCCCGGGCCTATTATCTCTTTCTTCCCAGCAAAGGAGGGAAGCATCGTAGTCTCTGTTCCTGCGAGGGGACCGTCTCTTATATCTTGGTGTTCTTGATTCGAGCAGACGCAATTTCAGAATCTGGCTCTGATTGATGAGACAGGGTAAAGTGCGCCTATTCCTCGGACTTTTTGCCGGCGAGGACATCGATCCACATTTTCTCATCTTTCGGGCGTTGAATCCCACCTCCGCCGGCAAGGAAGGACTCGCCTTCTTTGCCAAATGCGATCAGGTGTTCCTCGCTCCCCCAGTCGCCCATGGCCTGCGCTTCAGTTAGCCGGTGTTTTGAGTTGTGGACGAGGGAGGAAAAGGAGGGGAGGGGAAAGAAAGAAAAGATCATACCATAAGACCAACTGGGACGTTCTCTTCCGTATATCCCATCGGACAGGTGATGGCGGGATTGCCCGTGAAGTTCGCCAGATAGACGTATTCCATAGTCCTCAGGCTCATGTCGCCATCGCTCACGCCGTAGCCGCTGGTGACGTCGCTCGGCTTGCCAATCTTCCACCCAGCGCAGGGCGTCGTGGGCGTCAGTATCATCATGCCCGGATATTCGTGAAACAGCCACGCCAGGTGACACATCAGAAGATTGCGCAGTTTCTGAGAATATATCAGGTCCTGGGCCGTCGCGTGGGACCCGGCGACATTGAGGAGCAACTGGTTGTGCCACGACAGCTTGGTGATCTTCTGTGGGGTGATCTGGCTGCGGCTCTCAGACAGAATGGTCAATGCATGCGCCTTCTGCCCCTGAGGGATATAAGGGATCTTGATGTCAACCACTTCGTACCCGTGAGATTTGACGTATGCATCGACGGCAGCGTTGAACATATCCAGAACAACTTTGTCCGAGCGGTTGACCCAACTCCGATCAATGCCTAGATATTTCTTACCATTCGCCGGACTGGGTGGTTCCTTGACCAGGCTGTTGGGGAAACCGGAGCTTCTCATTGCGCCGGGATCAGGTTGAGCCATGACTCGGTAACCCAGGGCGAGGTCATCTATGCTGCAAGCCATGGGGCCCTGAACCACGACGCTATCCACCCAGTCTTTGCCCACTCTAGCTGATATGCGACCATGGGTGGTCTTGAGCCCATAGATGCCACAAAACGCAGAAGGAAGCCGAATAGAACCACCGCCATCGACTCCCAATGCGACTGGGCAAATGCCGGCGGCAACCACAAAACCAGAGCCACCCGAGCTGCCCCCAGTATAGTAGCCGTTATTGTGTGGATTCAACGGAGTTCCCCAAGTCTGGTTGTTGTTGCTGGTGTCCAAGCCAACCTCATGCATGTTGGTCTTTCCTATTATCACGGCGCCTGCCTCCTGCCATTTCTGCACGCACCATGCGGTCCGGTCTTCTTTGTCGGTGAAATCAAGCTTGCTGCCAAGGGTCTTTTTGTATCCTTTCAAATCCACCTCGTCCTTGACGGCCAAAGGCACGCCATCTAGAACACTCAGCGGATTGCCAGCCCGATATCTTTCGGTGGAGGCTTTCGCGGCGGCTCGTACCAGGTCGACCTTGGAATCGATAAATGCAACAGAGTATGGACCGGCAGGTTGGGTGTCTCGCCGTATCAAGGGTAACAGGGACTCAATGACGTCGGAGGGAGTGACTTTGCCAGACTTGTACAATTCGTGGTAATCGGCACATGTGTAGTAGTTCGTGTTGGAAGCTCGAGGCCGAGGCGGTGGTAGTTCTGTCAGGCTAGGGGTTGGGTCCCCAGCTGTAAGAGATCGAGGTACGACCGTCGGGTCGAGCCGAATCTCATATTCATCTAGATGCTTTGTGTCCTTGAGCTTGTCGAAGCCATTGAGCCGCCAGAAGACGCTTTGAATCAAGGTGGACGACGAAATGCTTCAAAACCTCTTAGCCATATGGCGCACGAGAGAGAAAAGATTCATCCATACATCTTGGAGACAGCAGCTAGTGCGACACCCCGAAGCACAGGATTTGAGCCTGCCTCATTCTTGTAAGGAACGTCGGGACCTTGACGGATTTGCGGACGGTGGAAGAATGCATTCGCGTAAACTTCCTGATCTGGCATCTCGAGCAACCACCCGGATTCAACGTTCAACAACGCACTTGGAGAAGAGTAGAGATGGCCCGCAGCAGGTTTATGAGGGAAGAGGGTGATAAATACGAGGTAAACGATGATCTATCTCCGAGATCTTTCTCGCGAAATAGAGTCGAATAGGGAAACATGTGTTGGGCATAATACGGACGCCGAGGCCCCAAGGGAGCGAGGGTCAATGGCTGTTGATTGGCTACAACTCAACCACCAGCCTCGTGGGTGAGACGTCAATACGATAAACGAGATAGAGGAAATTGACAACAGACGCCGGCAACAACTTGGTCCAACAGGTGCCTTCATGATGATGCCCTTGTCATGCCTCATGCTCTGCCACCTTGAGAATGCACCCAATGATACTGCTCATTGCTTTGTGATTGCTCGGATAGACGACTGATCTGTAACCGTGGTCAACGAACTGCAGGGGGGAACCACCAGCGGATGATAGTCGCGTGTACGGTGGTTCTGCTGCATTTGAGAGAGGCTGAATAGTCCACAAGGAGAACAGAAGACTTGTTCTGATCAATTCATGTTTTCCCGCCAAGGCCACAGCTGGACTCAGTTACTCCCACCACCATATGGATAAAGGACATCACCTGCCACACCCGCCAAGTAACAAAACCACACACCCAGCGACAGGAAGGGATCCACTGTCCAGAAATCATTCCCATATATTTTACTAACCCAGAATCACCGTCAACATAGCCCAATTCGAAAGAAGTGCAACAGCGGGAACACCTGAGACCTCGTAACATGCTACACTTCAAGTCCGGGATATGGAACTCACAAAGTTCTTATTCTATCGGGTTTGGCGGGAGGGGCCTTCCCCCCTTCTAGTGGATGAATGATATGTGCTCGCTGCTGCCCAAGGGAGCACGAGGTCTCGCACATATCATTCATCAACTACTCACAAATAACAATTGGAGTCGTAGTGGTTGCTGCTAGACCCATTCAACTTCGGATTGAAGGGTCTAGCAGCAACCACTACGAACCAATTGTAGAGGGGGGAAGGTAAGATAGACGCCGAACCGAGAATTGAACTTTTTTGCCATTTTGAATATCTCTATCCTCCTGTTCGATTCGCACTGTAAGCACTTTCTTTTTGTTCAGTCACATAAACCAAGAAGTTCAGCCCAGTCTCTCTTTGAGTAACTGCTCACTCAGCCTCCACAAGCGCTCACCAAGCTCTTCGTCTGTGGCCTTACCACTTGGATCGGTCACTTTCTTGTCCGGCACGATATACTGCCCAGTGATACCTTTCTCCTCGATCTCCTGACTCGTCGCTGCATATAGCGCTGACCGGCAGCCTTGCGCAACCGGGTCACTCATGAAAGGCCTCACGAGCTTGTGGCCGACGACACCGAGCTTCCCGTACGCCTCTTCAGCTTGAAGTGGTTGGTCGGTCGCGACGGCGCCCGGGTGCACCGCGTTGACATAGACATTTTGACCCGGTCCGAAGCCCAACTGGCCACCATCGATCCGGCGCTGGAGAGCCCGTGTGGTCAAGATCTGAGCAAGCTTGGTCCGGTTGTAGAGCTTAGTAGGTCCGATGTCCTGGTTGATCTCGGCTTCGTTCTCGAATTGCACGTTCGCTTCCGCACCACGGTGCAGCTCTGACGACTCAAAGACCACACGAGATCCTGGAGTGGTTTGAAGCCGGGGAAGGAGTTTCAGCAGCAGGAGGAATTGCGAAAGGTGGTTGACTTGGAAGTGTGAATCGAGATGATCCTTGGTCTCGTTGTAGACTCCGACACCCAGGCCGGCATTGAGGATGAGCTGTCAGCGGTTGAATTAGTGGGAGCACTCTTGAGACATCTCGGTTGGTTGAGTGCCCGTCAACATACGCCGTGGAGCTTTTCCTGAGAATCCGCCAATTCATTGGCAACCTTCTCTGTGAACTTGAGGTCCTCGAGATCACACTTCACCCAATGAGCCTTGCTCGCATCTCCATACTCCTTTAGCTCTTCAAGTGCGGAATGAGCATGCTCCTCCTTGTTGGACAGGATGGTGACGCTTCCGGCATGATTCTGCAGCAGGTGGGCGGCAATACCAAAGCCTATCCCAGCGCTACCCCCAGTGACGATGTAATTCTGGTTCACAGTTGTTAGCGAGGGCATCCCACTATCCGAGGAGGTTGGGCAATACCTACCTTGCCAGACAAGTCGGGAATATCCGTGTCTGGATTGAACTTGTTGGTCCCCAGGAGAGACGACATTGTGCGGCTTTGGGATTTCCTCGCAAGGAAAAGAATGTTAAGCCTCGTATTGAGAAGAATCCTACAAGATACCCTCATCCGGGTCTGTGGCTGTAGCTTGGGCACTGAGACGACGCATGCCGACACATGGTGCAAGGTCGGATATCTGATTGTCCGCCATTATATACAGTGTATATGGCTTGGCCAGGATGAGAAGTCATGATGACAGTGTTAAGTCATGACTTGGGTTTGATGGATACACCATCCGACGACGTCAGATGTACCAATCGGGGTCGCAGGGAGCACCCGCAGCTCATCCCGCATTAGTTCCCCCCCTCACAGTCCGCATCTATCTCCCACCAGTTCACGTGCGAGTTGGGTTTCGGATCACTAACTGATACCCCAGGCATTGGTTGCCTTGGAATGTGGAGTCTCGGACGCCTCTATTTCGATCTCGCACCGATGTTGCGATGACAGTGAGACGCTCAATCTTCAGCCGGCGTGGGGCAATCCTGGTGGTCTCCTGGGACGACGGAATTCTTCCCGGATGCCCTGGCCATCATCAACAATGACCGGACGCTCCGACAGATTTCCATCTGACCGTCGAGGATTTGCTGGACGTATACTTGGTTCTGGCGGCCCAACAATCGCTGTTGGAACCCAGGTTCGGACTTTGTTGGCCGGGGTCGAACGTGGTGATGCTGTTCCAGAGTTGTCCGACTCAGAGTCTGGGCTCGACCTTCCCGACGAGACTGCTTGGCCTGATGGTATATCAGATCCAGGTAGATGCGGTGGAGGCGTTGGATTTTCAGCCGCCGGTGGATGTGCGGAAATGGTTAGAGGGATTACTGGAACGGACGGATTATCTGCGGTAGCTGAAGGTGTTTTGTGAACCGGCACACGGCGTGAAGAAGGTCCTGATCGAGGACCCCTGGGACTGCTGGGCTTAGGAGGTCGTGTGGGACGCCTGCCAGATGATCCAGAATTCCTTGATGTCGTCGGGTCGCTGGGGACGAAAGATGCAAGCCCTCTGCGGCCCAGGACAGCTTCGAGTTCAGGATGCGACGCAATATGAGATTGAGTCAAATGAAATGCCAGTGCAACAAGTTCTCGAGTCATCCGCAGCATTTCTTCCTGCCGGACTTGCATTCGTTTGCACTCTCTGGCGTTCTTTCTACACTCTCTTTCGGTCTTCTTGCAGCTCGAAAGCATGGTCTTGACTTGACTTGCATTTAAGGAACTGTTACATGAAAATCAGCACTCAGCATCAACACAGAAACCGATGAAACAGGCCGGCTTACAGTTGTTGAAGCAGCTCGTTCGGGATAGCTCCCTGGTCGGCATGCAACTGCTCGAACTTCTGAAGAAGTTGATAGCGATGTAGAATCGCCATGAGTAAGATAGCGCTAGTCTTGATGGAATTGAGTAAAGTGCAGATAGGTGACCAGTCCTCCTTGCGCATGAACCACCTCCAGTGAGCATACCATTGCTGGAGAGTTGTGTAGTCCCTGTCGATTCTCAGAGGGTCAAGCCTAGCCAAAATGTCATCAATTCTGTCCAAGGCTCTCCTCCCTGATGTGACGATGTGTTGCGCTATGTCTGATGTTTCCCTTTGCCTCAAGATATCGTCGTCAACGAAACGATCGTCCGTGACAGCGTCGTGGAACATGCTTAGAAGGGTGCTAAATGGTTCCACTTCGTCGTAGATCGCCTCGACGTCTTTCTTGGCGTACTTGAGGGTCCGAAAGCAGCGGCGAAGATCTTTGGAGACGTGAAGGAATTCCGCTGCAATAGTCAAAATGGCGGAGAATGCGCCAACAGGCTCCATGATAGGGTCAAATCAGTCACGGTCGTACTACCTAGTCGTCGGGCAGAGAAGAGGGACAGAGAACTTGCAAGGAAGGAAAGCCTCAGGAAGTCGACATTTCGAGTTTTCCCTTCCCAGAGGGATTGAGCATGGTTCCTCGGGGGGACTTATACTGATTTGTTTCTCCCAATCCAGAAGAAGAGGCTCATCTGCAAGCTCGTAACCGGTGAGTCCTGTATGGATCGCTTTCCACAAGGAGTCACCCGCATCCTCAGTGGCATTCCATTGGTGGTGGGCACGCTGACTACTGCCTTCCAAATCATAGATCATTGGGCGATTGAGTCCGGCTCCTAGATGCGGGGGACTGAAAGCGACAAGGAAGCCCATGGAAATGCAACGAAATGGAAATGGAAGGGAATCAACCATACAATGACTCCTGAGAACTGGCTGTTGTCAAGACTGTCTTGGTTGTTTCGAGCATTCCTAAACACCAAACCAGATGCGGCGCCCAGAGAAGACAATAGGTATCAGCCACAACTCAGAATACAACTCTCAGCCTCATTGCCATGCCGGAGCCCATTAGCGCCCACGCTTAGGCCGCGGGTCAAACAGTAGATGAGGGAGGCTATGCCTTTAGCGACCTCGAATGCGCCAGCTGGTAAAAAGAAAGCTGCCTGAAATGTCGATATTTGAACGATCAAGGATCGAAGAGCACCTGGGATACTCGTGTCCCTCCTTTCCAAATATATCCATCTCGGATTAGCTGTTTGTCTGGCAAGGAAACCACACCGAATCGTTGCAGGAGGGCCAAAAAGGCGAACAACCAACAATCACCCAGGGCTCCTTTTCTCCCAGATCAAGGATATATGGTTAGAGGAGTGGCCTCAAAACAAGCTTCCTGGTGGTGTATGCCCTTGGAGTTTCAATTCGCCACCCTTCTTCAAACGGGATAGTGGTCCATCGGCGCCATGTCGGAACTTGTGCTGCTGACTGTTATTGTCGTCGGATGTATGGATCAGGCGGAGTGTGCTGCGTTCGGCGACGTGCTCGCACCATCGCTCTGGCCGGGTGAAACCCTGGTGAAAAAGAGTAGCAAGACTCGCACATATTTGAATGCATTGCTGGCAGAAACTATTTCAGTGAGTTGAGGTACCCACCGCTGGAGTTTTTTGGTGGAGACAGAGTGTACATACTGGCTGGTCGATCAAAATCCATACCTATACAGAAGCAAGGCTCAGGCCATACGTTGTCCTGCCGTGGCTGAACTTTCGTCGTCCAAGGAAAGGGGTAAATGTGTCGAAATTTCCAGCTAACTGTACCATCGCTGTGCCACACACTGGAGCCAAGTCTCGATGGCACCGTGGATAGGATCTAGGATGGAATCGTGACTGACACCCTTAATGATCTTGGAGTTGAAGCTGACTTTCGATTGTGAAACAGCACTCGCCCAGCAGTCATCAAAGTGTCTTGACCCACTTGGGCGAATCAGAATGTCGTTTTCGGAATGTAGCGCATCGACGTGAAGGTGCTCAGAGTCGATGGTGCTATGATTCAGGCTTTTTTCTTGCTCGACGACTGCGTCAGCAAGAGTCCGGCTGTCAAGCCAGTCCTTGCCTTGCACAGTGCCGGTATTTCCTGTCGTGATCACCGTGTGCACGTGTTTCCGCAGATATAAAATGGCATCGTCCGCGGAGCCTTGAATATCTTCAGCGAACATGTACTTCATGACTAGGGCCTCCATTTCAGTAAGAAGAGCTTTCTCAAATGAATTTTCGCTGTTATTCCGACCATCGATCTCTCCAGTCGTGGTCGCGACGGCGGTGGCCGATTTGCTTTGAAATTCGCCACGCAGTCCCGAGCTGAACGCAAAAGTACGGCTGATAGCTCTAGCGCACGAAGGGAACTTGCCAATCGCCTGAAGCGGCAGCAGTGCAGCAACCTGCATCAAACGCGCACCACCTTCCTTCGGGTGGACCCATGGAGAAAGCAAGACGACATGAGGCCGTTTAGGGTGCAGCAATCCACGATGCGCCAGAAGAGTTGCGAGCAGGTACGGGCCTCCTCCAGAATGGGATGCTAGCGTGACATGTCTGATCCCCAAGTGATTTAGCAGAGCAGGAACAGCGGCGACCTGTACTGCCACACGTTGGTCTAGAGGAACTCGGGTGGAGCCACCAAGGCCTGGTCTATCCATGGAGATGATGCGGATCTTGAGACGTCGAGCAATGTTGGCTGAGCGACAGAGCGGATAACGCCCACCCAACAGACCACCGATAAAGAAGACGACGCATGGATCTGGATCAGCATCTCCGTCGTCGCCGTCACTCGATTTCCTGGTGCTACCTGGACGATATCCAAGGTCTGAGTAGGTGATTCGTAGATCCTGTCCAACATTGGGCACAACGGAAGCAGGTAGAATAAAGGATCTGTGGAGGCGGATATCGCATAGTGTTTCGATGGCGAGGGTGCGGGCGTCGGCGACCATCGCTTCTTCAACTCAGATAGCAGAGACTCTCAAATCGACGGGTGGTCGTGTCCCCTCAGTGTCGTAAAGGGAGTCTCTCCTGCGCTGTTGTCGACAATCTTGAAGTGAGATGCCTACGATGCCTTGGACGAAGTCACAGAAAGTTACGCTGGTGCCTGGGTCCTCCGACCGTGCCGCTTTTAAACCATCACCCCACGGCCCACGTCTCCTCGTGCCTCGGTCACCCGTGTCGACTTTCCATGAATGCGAACATAATGCCAACCCACATACTGCCTCAGACTCTCCATCTCATGCAGCCTTGTCAACAACGTGTCGTCTCTATCAGGCTCCCTATCAGCGAATCGACATTTTGTGTCACGTGTCGTGTCGTATGAATTGACTTAGGACGGATACGGACTAGCCTGTCTTGGCGCATCTGACCTATGCAGTTCAACTATTTCAGAGAACACATTAAGCTGATTGAGAGTATCACACAGTGTTATTGGGCCGTTTGAGAAGCCATTGAGACTCCATTGCCCTTGTTTTGTCCTCGCGAGCTCGAATAGATCCTCGATGTCCGAGTAATATGCAAGACATCCTAATCGGAATTCGGACCGACTCATTTACAGGCAAAAGGCACACTCTGATCTCGTCCATCTCAAGTCTAGCAGTGACTGGGTAGCCACTAGCTACTAAATCGTCTGGGAGTAGGTCGGGCGCTGCTTCTGGTACTTATATTCCTGTAAAGCCCACCGCCTCCCCTAATTATGGGACGAGTAGGAGCAGGACCAAAAACACAACTATTAACTGGAATATGGAGACCTCAACTTCAGGAACGAGCAACTCCACGTCCTGGACCTTTATTTCCACGAGGACGACCGGGACATTGCGTCCGAGCGTGAGGATAAGTGCAAGCACCGAGTCACTCGGGAGCTTGATTTCGACCAGCTCTAACACCCTAGTCTCGACCTCCAGGTCCATTCCTTCTTCCTCGTCCACCACTACTTCATCCACGCCCAACTCTTCCTCCATCAATACTTCGTCCATATCCAGCTTTGCATTAATTCCCAGTATTCAATGAGTCTCCGTACGAGGCTGACATAAATCCTCGGATGCACAGAGATTGTGCCTTCCGCTGAGGAGGGATACCTGACTATCACCTATGCATCGTTCAGCCTATGTATAGAGCGTTGCGATGACGAAAACAGCTGTTTTAGCTTCACCTATCAAACCTGCATAGGATCCTGCACTTTGTATGACGGCGTGGTGTCTAATACCATTACTGGCAATAGCGACTATACGTCGGGACAGGATTTTGGTGCCAATGGTCCGGGAGATTGCATTTAAACTCCTTTAGCTAGAAAGGGCTGAGAAAGGAGACTGGGTGGAAAGAAGCAAGAACTGGGTTGTAAAGACGACTGATGGTTCATGATGCTGCTGCAGGTGGACCGAGCCTCCTTCGACAGCCATTTTGTACCACGCTGTCTCAACGGCTGTATATGTGTCTGATGATCTGCCCCCGTCAATTAGTCTGCACGTTTGTGGCGGTTGTCTAGCGAAGCGTCATCCTTGACTCATTCTATACATCCAACGTGTCGCTCTGCTCAAAATACCACATGGTTCAGGTGGCTTGCCTAATCGAATCACTCAGAAGCAAATAGAACTGTGTAACGGGAGCCTACCTATCCTCTGTACTATATAGTGTCCTTTGGTTCTCCAACATGAAACTTTAATCCATCCCTCCATGAAACCCAGCTCGTTTGACGACAGCACATCCTCATTACAACAACCACACACACAATGGCCGATCCTGCTGAAACTCTGACCGGCTCCTGCCTCTGCGGGTCATGGCGATACACGGTTCCCAAACAACCGATCAAGAGCATCATCTGCCACTGCAACGCCTGCAAAAAGTGGACGGGGGGATCTTTCATGCCCAACGTCCTGTTTCCCAGCTCCGGCTTCGACCTGAAACCAGACGAGGCGGTTTCTCCGCCGCCGCAAATGACAACGTATGCAGACAAGGGCTCCGACTCGGGCCGCACGGTCAACCGTCACTTCTGCGCCACCTGCGGGAGTCCGCTGTACTGCTCAAGCTCTCTCTCCCCGGAGATGATCTCGGTGCCGAGCGGGTCCATCGATGGACTGCTGGGTGCATCCAAGGCGGAGCATGCGAAGTTGACCGAAGAAGAGCGCCTGAGGGGGCTGGCTCCAGAGATGGAGTTTTATTGTCAAAGAGCGGCGCCCTGGGTGGAAATCAAAGGCAAGACCATGAAGCTTCACGGGATGGGCGACTCGGGACACGAAGGGGACAAATCCTAGCTGTTACAGTGCATCTTTTTCCAGAACTTAGCGGCTATAGCCATGACGAGGCATGCCGATGCCGAACTCCCATTGACAACTCATTAATATGAGTCAACTTCTAGTTGCCGCATCTATCACACATGTCCCTTCTCTCTCTCCCCATCAGCAGTTGTTTCTCCTCTTCCGCCAGAATGGAATCCTTAGGATTTGGGCGCCTGGCGGAATTGGTAAGCTCCGGATTCCCTGCAATTCTCCCCTTTTACATTGGTGGGCGGAGGTTACTCGCTCCGAGTAGTGGGTCACGCGTCCTGACTCCACCTGAAGGCAGCCAAATGCTCTAACTGAGCAAATGGCTATATTAGAGAGATACAGTCGAATGAGTCCAGCCGGAGCGGTCCTGTCTGCGATGGTTTTGAGGCAAGAGTCCTTGCTCGCTGCGGGTTGCTGTGTAGAGCGGAACGGCGATCATGGCCGGCCTAGTTAATCCTATATCAGAACCGATCGCTGATGCTGAGCAAACTGGGCGTCACGAATCAAGCACCGACCTTCCTATCACTGATGTCGAGAGACAGAAAGTATCATCTGTTGACGAGAAGACGACGCGGTCCGATACCATCGCCGCACAGCATAGTCAAACAGACACTTTGGAGTCCAGGAGGAGCGCCTTACGAACGACCCTTCTCATGCTCGCACTATGCGTATGTATACTCACCTCACGACCTCTTGAGAAACATGTTCGAGGTCTGACAACTTTGGCTACAGATTTCAGTGCTTCTCGCCGCGCTCGACATAACCATAATCACCACTCCCTTGCCCTCCATATCCTCACATTTCCATTCAAGCACGGGGTACGTCTGGATCGGTTCAGCCTTCCTGCTTGGAAGTGGAGCTTCGGGCCCTACGTGGGGAAAATTGAGTGACATATTCGGTCGGCGACCCCTTCTACTCTCCGCGGCTGCGGTCTTTCTACTCGGCAGCGCGCTGTGCGGTGCGTCCCAGAGCATGGCAATGTTGATTGCGGGGCGTGCTATCCAGGGTATAGGGGCCGGGGGCCTGTTGACCCTGGTCAACATTGTGATTGGCGATCTCTTTTCTCAAAGGTGAGGGACTGGTGAAGATTGTTTTGGGCTGGATGTTTGGCTTATCGTCTTGCAGGGAACGCGGAGTCTACTATGGTATCATCGGCATGGTCTGGGCCACGGCGGCCGCCATAGGCCCCGTGATAGGAGGAGCCCTGACCGAGGAGGCGTCCTGGAGATGGTGTTTCTACATCAATCGTAAGCCTCCGTTGATTTCGTCTACGCATTCCAGCTAAAACGTTCTCTACCTCGCTGCAGTTCCGACCTCAGGCCTGGCATTCTTTATCATCCTCTTCACCCTTAGGCTGCACAACGAAAGGCCCCCGCTCATACCAGGTCTCAGGGCGATCGACTGGCTCGGAAGTCTCAGTATAACCGGCGGCACCACTATTTTCTTGCTGGGCCTACAGATGGGCGGCGTGATGCATCCGTGGAACTCGGCGACAGTTATTTGTCTGATCGTCTTCGGGGTCATTGCCTTCATCCTTTTCCTAGGCATCGAGTGGCGAGTCGCGCTCTACCCGATCATCCCGATGCATCTGCTGGGCGGAGTCCGGCAGCTGGCTCTACTGTCCCTCGTCTTCAGCCACGGCGCCGTCTTCATGCAGACCTGTTACTTCCTTCCGCTCTACTTCCAAGCCGTGCTGGGTGCAAGGCCTCTCCTTTCGGGGGTCTGGCTGCTACCGTATGCGCTGTCCCTCTCCCTCAGCTCCACCGCCACCGGGATCTACATCAAGACAACCGGCCGTTATTTCGACTGCATCGTATTTGGGGCGACGCTCTCCGTCCTCGGCCAAGGACTCCTGTACGACCTGCCCGCCTCGCGAGCTTGGGCGATGGTCATCATCTATCAGATTGTAGCGGGAATTGGCGCAGGGCCCAACTTCCAAGCCCCTTTGATCGCGCTTCAAAGCCTGGTGCCGAGACAGGACAACGCCACCGCAACCGCGACTTTCGGATTCACACGCAACCTTGCCTGTGCGATCGGTGTTGTGATCGGCTCCGCCGCGTTCGCCAACAAGATGAGCAGCCAGCAGCCGGCCCTCCAGGCGGCGTTGGGTGGTCCGTTCGCGGCACAGTTCTCCGGCGCCCGCGCGTCGGCAAACGTGTTGCTGCTGGCCAGCTTACCGGATTCGCAACGCCGGGTGGTCCGGCGGGCGTTCTACGAATCTCTCAAACCGATCTGGATCGAGGTCGTGTGCCTTGCCGCCGCGGGCCTGGTCGCGGTGTTGTTCATCGAGCGGCGGAAGAAACTGGACAAGACGCACGAACAGGTGCGCACGGGCCTCGAGGCAGAGGAGGAAAGAAGGAAGATTGCACAAGGTTTGCGAACCGAAGTGAAAGAGGGATAGAGGAACAGCGGGTCACCCGAACGACTCTCTAATCGTTCGGGAGCAGAGCGAAGGGGAGGGACCATTTCCGCTTGATGATTAGTAGAGGATCCCGCAGTAGTCTATCCTTGCTATACTCCACTATTAGAGGATTGTAGAAGACGCAGGCCAGCAATAGATGCCAGAATTCGCACAGCTCTACACCTGGAGATAGATCCATTAGCCCCTCCGAGGCCTCATCCCATGCTTTCATGCTTCCGTGCCGCCATCTCCTTAGTCAGGGAAAAGAAGGGACTCTTCGACGCCGTCAGCCTGATTGTCAAGATAATTCATTGAAGGTGCACAAGACGGCAGGTACTCTGGAGGCGGAAGGTGCGCCGCTAGATCTCCGCCACCGCCGGCGTTGTTCATATCGCGATCGAGGGTTAGATTGGGATTGAAATCTGGATCGAATGCCTCTGGCAACGCCAGGCCAAAGGTCGGGAGAGAACCGGCAGTATCCCGCCCCGACCAGTCCGGGAGCCAGTAGTTTGACAGCAATGAATCTAATGCTGAAACTGCGTCCGTGGAGGGTGGTGCTGAAGAGCCGTGGCTGGTTTGAGCAGCATTTGCAGAGGCATCCAAGGACATGCCATCACCGGCGTTCAGCGTGGGCCCGTGACCGACCCCAAGATACCTCAGTGCGAGCGAGTCCGAATCGTCCGCAGGTGGTTCGCGGCTGACAAATGACCCGTTCCGCCGGAGTCCAGGCTCTGGATGTGAGAGCGGGCGTCGGGATTCTGTCTCAAGGGAGAAAAAATCGAACGGCTGGATGGATTCCAGGCTCTGCGGCTTCTGGGGGTCTTGGAAATCCTCACGATATTCCGCGCCGAGCCATTCTTGCAACTGGGTCGCGACCGCGGAAAACTTCGCGGCCAGCCTGCAGCCCAGAGAAGCCACCTCGACGAGCTTCACGGTCAGCTGCTGGAGATAGAACGGCAACTTGGTCGCCCAAGGGTCCAAAATTTGGTGGAGATGGCCGTTGAGCGTCGAGGCCGAAAGAAAGATCTTGAGCAGCACAAAAGTGGCATAGAGCGCTCGAATGATGACAATGACCGGGCTAAACTGGAGGCTCCTGGGGGACATGGACAGAAATTTGTCGAGAAGAGAATGGGCCGAAGACAGGCACGCCGCAATTGAGGAGATGTGGTTCGAGGTGAAGGTGCCGGGGCGCCCGGCAGCTTTTCCCAGTTGCTTCTTCCTGAACTTGTCTATCGAATACGGTGGCTTGAAGTCTGTGGGATCATAATCGGCGTACAAGCCACCTTCGTGAAGGAGGCAAACATAATAGTGATAATTGATGCATAAGCATTCTGCGCGCCTTTGGTTAGAAAGTCAAGGTGATTGGCAAAACAAAAAGGCAACGTGTCGTACCATTCTTTATCGCCGGGGACAGGGCTTTCTCCCAATCCTGGAGTTGCTTGGAGCAGTTCTTGAGATTCAATTGTATCTGGCTTTCGGCGAGAGGATCAACGTGCGCAGGGTCATTCAGGCGCAGCGAGTCGGCCGATAGTTCCATGATACTGAGCAGCTTGGCCCATGCTGCGAGGTGCTTGTCGGTAGGCGCTGCATGGCGAGAGGATTCGAGCACGTCAATGCTGTCGGCCATGTAGGGAGTAAATTGAAACGCCTTGGGTCGATGAAAAGCAAGGGACACGCTTCTAGACAGTCAGCGGGAGGGTGGCATGTCGCGGGAAGACCCAGTCACCTAGCGCAGCAGATGTAGGATGCCAACAAGGTTCTCCGACCCTCGATACTCTCAGGGCACTCCTCACTCTCGTGGCGATGAGCATCTCCGTCACGGGTGTGCTTGTCAACCTTTTCGCTTCTCGCGTCCTCTGTCGACCTGTGCCCATTCTTTGCTGCGTGCTTTCCATCTAAGCCAAGCTCCGCGGTCATTGTGGCCGCCATGTGAAGGTATCGATAAAAGTTCAGCTCCTCAAAGGCATCTGGGGAGTAATACCAGTTCGTGTGGACGAGAATGGCCTGGATCAACTCGAGGGACCTTTCGGCGCGTAGGATGAGATGCTCAGCAAAGGCTTGCTGGACCTGCTGATGAAGTGCCATGCCGAGCTGTTCGTGAAACGTACCTGCAGCAGCAGCGAGGACAGCAAGGAACAATATGGGCTTCTGGAGGCGAAGCGAGGCCGGCGTGGTTTCTGCGGGGAATGCGACAAGGGGGCGATGAGGAAGCATTTGGCTGACGTATATGCCAAACAGATGGGCAGCCTCGTCCATTGTTAAAATGCCCATCTCGACGACGTCTCTGGGACTTGAAGGGCGAGGCGGAGCTGGGGCTACTCCCCATGTCTGGGGTTCTGGTCGATACAGGTTGGCACCCGGCTGTTCAGCAGCCGTCTTCCCTTTCTTCTGCTTTATCGTCCATTCTGCTTCGACGTTGTGGAGGGCGCTCCTCGGCATGCCTCCGTGGTTCTGTGGCGGCGTGGGTAATCCATCGGACTTCAAGAGGTCGCTCAAGGCTTTGACTTCTCTCTCAAGCTCTCTCACCCTTACATCTGTCCTCTTGGCCCTCGTCCGGCTGGGTTCTTTGAAGACGCAATCCCGTGACACATCAGCGCAGCGTTGGCATTGGCCCTGCAGAGCGGCCGTGCTGCCATCTGGCGCCGGTTGGCATCGAACTTTGAGCGCACGGCAACTTTCACAGGCCCGACTAGCATGCCTTGCAGACTTCTTTGATTTCTCTGGATCCAGACTCGATTCGGACAATCCCGGCATGCTATCCTTCATTTTGGGGGGCGTTCGTGTGTTTCAGAAGATCGCGCATCAAAGACCCCGAGCTTCTGTTCTCATAGCAATCCCCTGTACAGATTAAGCCGAAGGATTCAAACCACCCTTCGAGCTCTGAGGTTCTCGATATTGTCCTCGACCGTAGGAAGAATCAGACGCCAGCGGCGGCATTGAGGAAGTCTAGGAGAAATGACAGCTGAACGAAAGCGGCGAGGGACACTTCTGGCGGAGCCCGTTATACACACTGAGAGATACAAAGCTCGAGGTGCAAGCAATGGGCAGTTTAGTCAAGATAATAAAGTGCTCGTGCCCCTCTTCCCCTTCTAGGGAAAGTCGACATAATTTAAAGTACGTATTCGGCTTGAAGTAGTTACCTCTTATAGATTGAGCGATGCTGCTTCTCGAACGAATGCACCTTGTTATTGGACAAGTTCGGGGCTCGCGGCGGCCTTTGTGGCAGCAAATCTGAATAGTTAAAATTGCAGACGTTGTTGTCAATCTCTATCAGCGTGAGTTAGCAACAACCATTCATTGTCCTTGTACGCGTGCCAGGCGAGACGTTTTTGGCCCCCACGGCCTGCACCATCCAGCGATCGCTCAGCCGACTGGGTCGAGTCTCGCGTCAATGTGAAGTGAGCGGCGAGCAGGTTCTTCAGATTTCGCGGCTAAATTGGCGACGAGGGAAACCGACGCCGAGCTCAATTCGCCATCATCTACGAGGGATACTCAGCCGTTGGCGATAGCCCCGACGAAGATCCTATACTTAAAAGTCCACCAAAACCTTTCACTCTTTCCAGCTTTTCTGTTTTCTACCATTTCAGTACTCATCTAGTCAAACCAAAACCCTCTGTAATAATAAAGCGTCAGGAATAGCCCGGGTGGATATGCAGTGTGGGATGACACGCTCGGATTAGTGTATTGCTAAGTCCCGCCCGCAAGATTTGACAGGACTTGAATTCAGCATGAGTGGATGCTGGGACTCTCATGCTAAATGTGCCGCTCCTGTATTTCGAGTGTCTGGACGTCGTGGTATTCCCAATACTGCACTCCAGGAGAAACAGGGCCTTCATATCGTTCATCCCGCGTGACCTTCTCTAGCTTTTGACTCCAGCAGCCGAACTATTTTGTCATGGCCATGTTCTGCCGCCCGCATCAGCGCTGTCCAACCGAAGTTATCACTCGAAATGATATCAACGTCCCCTCGCTCGAGTAGGAATCGAACTACCTCCTCGCAGCCTGTCTCTGCCGCGTGCGAAAGTGGCGTCTGGCCGTCGATGTCCCTCGAATTAATATCGGCTTCCCAGAATACCAGTCGCCGAACTACCTCCTGGCAGCCACTCTGTGCCGCGTGCGATAACGGCGTCTGGCCGTAGATATCCTTCGAGTCAATCTCGACGTCAGTCCGCGTTCGTAAGATATATCGAACTACCGCCTCACAACCTCTCTGTGCCGCGTGCGATAACGGCGTCTGGCCGTAGATATCCTTCGAATCAATCTCGACGTCGTCCCGCGATTCTGTGATATATCGAACTATCTCCAGTCGTCCACTCTGTGCCGCGTGCGATAAAGGTGTCTGACCGTTGATGTCCGTCGAGTTTATATCGACCTTGCATTGTTCTAGTAGTTCCCGAACTGCGAATGCGGATCCTTCCGCCGCAGTGTACAAGAGTAGCGCTCGAAGGTGGTTGCTTTCGTTGCTCAACTCGGCGTCAATATCTTCCTCCAGCAACTGAGGAACCTCGTCGCTCTCACCAGCCAGAGTGACACTACCCCAGTCGATGTCAACCTCTGTATCCGGAATCTCGACGGCAGGGTCACCTGGGCCATCACTCTCATCGTCGGATGAACCTTGATCTGACAAGCTCACACGTGTTCTACTTCCCGGTTCCGAACCATCCTGAGAGAATATGTCTCGCGTCGAAACATCGGTGCCATATGCGGATGAACTACCTATTGAGACAGAATTGGCGTCGTGGTCGCGTATGGACATGAGCCGTATGGTCAGAGACATAAGACCCTGCAGATGAGCGACAACATGCCGCGCCATCATCTCGGTCCGCGTTAGCGCAGGCTCCTTGATGCCTTCAGACTCGGCCTGCTCATCGGTATCATTTTGGGTGGTATTGTCCAATGCCGATAAAGCCAGCTTTCCATTCTCGACGCTTGTTCGCGCACGCTTGGGGGAGCTCTCCAGCGGCGTCGGCTCCTGCTGATGTTTCCCCGGGTTCATGACTTTGCGTTGTTGGGCCGCGGCGGATTTTGAGGAAGAGACCGGATCATCTTCGACAGGGAGGCAACATAGGGGACACAATTCCGGCCGCCTCCGGACATGAACTCTGCTCTGGCGCACAATCGCTTCAAGTTGGGCCTCCGTGAACGGATGTTCTTCTTTCAGGTGCTTGTAGAGCTCTTCTGGGGCGTGGAACCCTCCCAAAACATCATGGCAAACGGCACAAACCCAGCTTGGTGCGGGGTATACGTGTTGGTGCCAGGAAAGGCCGTGTTCTGAATGCATATGTGCCTGCCATTTCGTGAAAGATGAGAACGAACATATCGGGTCCGAACAACGTTCCGATATGCAGACATAGGGTCGTAGATCTTCGTCGACATGTTTTCTGCACTCAAAATCAGCTCAGATTTGATCCAAAGGTGAGATCCCCGGATCATCAAGGGGCATACCTCCATTTCTCTCCCTCGAAATACCGCCGTTCACGAGTCTCAAAACACCACTCGCATGTTAAATAGCCAGAGTCGTTATTAGCTTGCGGGGCTTTAGGGTACCCCACTTGACTGATCTGAATCGATAGAGTTTCCTTGTGCCGAGAGCTGGCATTGGATGAACCACTCTTCATCTTTTGCTGAAATACTTGGCGATCAATCGAAGAAACCTCTGACGGTAGGGAGTTCTGTTCTCTTTGGACAGGCATCGACCGTGGCAGTTTTCCAGCTAAGAGACGACGTCGTAGTTCACTTGGCATTCGGGCCTTTGCGACCAGCCGTTCGTTTGCCTCCTCTTCTTCGATAATCGGTTGTAATGGGCTCGTCACCTTTTGCCGGCGCTCTTGGAGGACGGCCTGGCGACCTTGGCGAGAAGATACCTTGTCGAATCTTTCAGCCATGGACCTGCTGAGCAGATCCAATAGCTCATAGTTCGCGTCCGGATAGAGGCTCCTGAGAAAGGTACCAGCCAGTTCTTTGAAGGAGTCAACGTCTGAGACGTCACTGTATCTTCCTGCCATCAAGCTTCTCGTCGATGACTGACGAATGGCGATACCGAGGCGGTTCAGTCGATCGATGGCTCCATTGATGCCTTCCATGACATCTGTAGTAACCGCCGGTAAGTCATATTCTGGACCATTTTTTGAGGGCGAAGGTCGACTCAAAGATTTCTGGTGCCTAGGATCCTTGAAATCGCAAACTATTCGCTATGAAAACCTGCATCATCAATGATAAAAGGAGTACTGACTCTGTAATAGATTTTCTTTCAAGATGTCTAACAGTCGAAGGACAAGGTCTCGCAGGTCTGGATGATGCCTCAGTCTGCGATCCAGACAGACGCTTCGCTTGGCCAAAACACCCAGATATGCCGTCCATGACATGAATCGTTGATGATACTCCTCGAAGATCCTCAGGGAAGCTGCTCTCAACGACTGCTGTTGTAAGAGCACCTGCTGGAAGAGCGACTCGCATTCATCTGCGAGATTGTAGATAGCCTCGTCCTCGTCCTCGTCAGCAGATGTAGGCCCGGACGTCATGTTTGTGCGCAAACTTGGTGCTCGGAACAGATATCGAGAGGCCAAACGAGAGAATACTATGCCTGATGATCGACGGGTACCAAGTCGAAGTGGTGGTGGTGGCATTTGAAGGCCTCTGAGGTCGAGGCTGCGGGGCGACGCAGACAAGTCTGGCCAATGGCAGAGTTGCAGTGGCCCCGCAGTCCCGCCAAAGAAAGATGGCTGGGCTAGCGAGCTGAGTATCAGATGGAACTTCGCTCGATTATTCCTTGCACGTCTGCCCCCTGCCTCATCATCACCCCTTCGCTTGCAGAGTTTGCTGTCCGCATAGAACTCATTTGTGGCAGCTTTCATGTTCGCCACTATTGAAGTATTGCGGCTCGACCCGGTCCGCAGGCCTTCACTTCCATCAAAACAGCCCCGCACATTCAGCCGACCTCGACTACATATGCGGCCTCAGGAGAGCGTGGGGTACCATCAGCGATAGAAAGACCGCAGAAGATGGATCTGAATGCATCCCTTGAGTGGCGACTACTCCAGGGCTTTGGATCCGGTGTGGTCGGCAGGCTTGCAAGATATAAGCGTCAGCGTGGGAACGATTCTTATGCCAAGACTATTTCCGCGCTCGACAATAACCTCGCGTTCCTCGAGACAGAACTGCGCCTTGTGATTCAGTGGGAGGTATCTCCTAAATTACCGGAAGATACGTACGTCGAACTTCAGGTTAAGCTTCAGAGATTGTGTGATGCGCTCGAGGGAGCCGTTAACCTCGCCCTTACTTCGTCACGCAAGGCTGCTGGGCCTAAACTGGGAGAAACGGCTCGACTCACACAGGAGGCTGGAGACATTGACCTACAACCGCAGCAAGCCAAGCGCTATCCATATCTACGAAACCTGTGGGACTACCTGAATGACGGGTCAGAGAATGCCGACACGTTCGACTTGGATTTGGCCAGTGGTCCAAACCCAACATTGTTCAAATTTCAAGGGAGCTCACAGGTAAAGGACGCCTTGGATGCAGTGTACGAATGCAATGAAGCCTTATTGCGGCTCTGCAAGAACGCACATAGCCCTTCGCAGCATGAAATCTCCCTACCTATCCAATCGACAATTGGCGACCACGCCCAGAAAGAGGAGCGCACAAAGGAAGTGCTCAAGGCTCTCTTTGTGTTGTTCTCCAGCTGCAATGCAACTCATGAGGTATTGCTTTATGTATCAGACTGTGGCCAAACTGAGTCAACTCTCGACATGTTCCTTTCTTGCTGCTCACATCCAAGGAAGTGGCAGGAAACCAAGTGCTTGCCATACGAGTAAGTTCCCGTTAAGAAAAGGTTCCTGCTCTGGCAATAACACATGTAACAGCGATCGATTCGCCGTGAGCGAGATTCACGATATCTGCCAGGGCCTCGAGACCTGGACAGAGGGCAGATTGTTCCAAATACTTCACGAACATCATGGTCTATTCAACGCCCATGATGATATACCGCCAAAATCTAATCTTAGAGTGACTCCGGTGCAATCTCTAGATCACTTTATAAAGACTGGAGCCTTTCTTCGCACTCACCGTGATAAATCTCGACCACTGTATTTCTTCGATCTCAAAATGAAGCAATCTTTAGCTCTGAAACTCGCCAACTGTCTGATGGCATTCCTTGACTCGGAAACGACTTCGCCAAGCTGGGATTCTGCGAAAGTATTTCTGCTAGCTCCATCAGGGATGAATGCACAAGACCGACTTCTCTACGTGACGTTCAAGAGCGGCAACTGCCATTGGCCCAACGCTACCGTTGGCTTTGCTGACCCAGTCTTGTTGGCTTTTGCCAAGCTCTTATTAGAAATCGACCTGGGAAAGAGAATCGACCTGGAAGAATCTATGTCGAAGCTTGAGCAGTGGGCCATCCTTTGTGAACGGGCTTTCGAAGCCGAACGAGCGGGCAGCGGCCTTTACGCCGAGGCAGTCAACGGATGTCTATACCTACATCGAGACCTACAACCTACTGATGAAGACCCCAAGGCAGCTCTACGCAAGGCTGTATATCAACGAATCGTGAGCCGGATCGAAACAGCGCTGGCTCCTCTTACGAAAGATAGGAAGCGACGTCGATCTACGTCCAGCAACGATTCGACATCATCTACTCGCGACGAGGCTAGAAGGAGCAGCTACAACCCGGCTCGATCGGTGCCTCTATTTATGAATGACAGTTCGTTGCCCTACCTGTCTAAAAGACGGCGACATCACCTGCCCATGAAAGGAAAATGCATTGAATTGCAGAAAGAACGGACTCAAAATTCCAATGGTGGCCCTGCGAGGTGAGTAGAATTTAAGCCCCTTCCAAGGGATGTCCAATGTCCAAGTAACAGAATTAGATATTCAAACTCGGGTAGACTCACCGTCTTCCGAGCCCGTCAGGTGGACTTGCAAGACCAGGTTCCAATCTCCAAAGTCATCACTGATATCATATTCAAGAAACTTAGTGATATCGACAGAACCTCTACCAAATTCACCGTAGAAGACATTACGCGCTCGTCAGTCAAGTACTCCGCTTCGAAGTCCGGCAAGAAAGGAGCAGCGCTGATCGCATTCCGTGACGTTGTCCCAGCCACATTCCAAGCTGTGACACGGAGCAGCAACAGTGTGGTCTTCTCTGGAGACAGTGATGACGACGAATTATCAATGGATGTTGACGCCAATTTCATTGGAGCGACGCAGTTACACGAACCTGAATCCAAAGCTGACATCGTCGCCGAGTGCGTTACCTTGAACCCTAGTGTTTCCCTTGTAGAGAATAACTAATCTTGATCTACAGCATCGTCGCCATCCACGGTCTCAACGGCCACCCATATGGAAGTTGGCTCAGCAAGTCTTCGAGGCCAAAAATGTGGCTCAAAGACTTTCTGCCTGCAGACATACCAAGCTGCCGCATCTTCATCTATGGTTACAAGTCCAATATATTTGACGAGAAAACCCATCCACGACATGAACTTTTCCATCAGGCTGAGCGACTCAACGCGACGCTAAACAACATCAGGACTGCAGCAGAGGTAGGCCAACTAGGTCAAAATCTAGTGATAATGCCCTTGGGATACCAGGCTCATAAGTGACAGTCCAGACGACCTATCATCTTCCTCGCGCACAGCTACGGAGGGCTGGTGCTGGCCCGGGTTCGTTGCCAGTCAATCGAGCTCTCAAAATGTACATCACTGACGCTGATGCTAGACACTCATCGAGGCACGCACGCGGCAGCGGCCCCTCCTCGAGGCCACGATCGGCCTCTTACTCTTTGCCTGCCCAAACCGTGGTTTCTATGTCCAAGACATCCTCGACACCATGAGGGCCGAGGACGAAGAAGCTGGGAATGCCGCTATGCCAGAGGACAAAGCCGATGCCCTTGTCCGGCGCCTCGGAGAGGGCGACTTCCGCAACGAACTCGCACCCTACCCGGACGTTATCAAAGGAAAGCAAGTGTATACCTTTATCGAGACGCGAAAGACCGAGACGGTGACAAAATCTGTACGTTTTCAGGATCTACTTCTCCAGTGAGGTTAGGTAGCCGGGTGACTAACAGAGGATCAAGTCAGGGAAGATCCGCCGCGACGGTGATCTGGTCATGGCAGCCGGCCCAAATTCAGCAATCCTTGGACTTTCGGGAGAGAACGAAGAGGTTATACCTACGGACAAAAATCACTCCGACATTGTCAAGTTTGCGTCGAGGAGCGACGAGACGTATGAGGATGTCAGATGTCGGCTACAGGCTCTTGTTAGCAAGGCGGAATCAAAGCAAGAGCTGTTCTAAATAGGTGGATGGCATGTTTTCGCACTTCACGGGTAAGGAGTATCCACTGAGGAAAACGACTAACTAGATTTCTTTGCTTTGAAATTGAAGAGGCGGGTTCCTGGCATTACGATGGCGTCGCAAGGGTCAAACCCCTAAATTTTTGTCGAAGACAGGCAATCATAAAGGTAGGGTTAGCCGACGTTCGTGAAATATGAGCCAAGGCTTGCGTTGGGAGTATACTGTACGGAGTACAGTCTCATTCGAGAGGCGAGATCACTTTAGACTGCTGCAACTGGTGAACGGCGGGCGGTTACACTCCTGGCTGTGCGAATGGGGATAGCCAGAGGCGAAGACAGGGCTACAGCACAACGCAGATATTCTGCTCGATAGGTGGTGAAGACGTGCATGTATTGAGATATTGCCAGATAAAACGCTGGAAGATTGTATGTTTCAGGGATGCCTGTTTCTGCTGTATAGAAAAGAAGATTCCAGAGATCTCGTACATGATATGTTGACGCCGATGAGGATGAGCTGTGTCAAGAACAGCATACCAATGGCCCCTTTTCCCCCCTGACGAGGCTGAGGCGATTTTCCTTAGCGCCGATTCGGAGAAAGTTGAAGCCACCTCTCGCCTCGACTTTTTGCGGAGTGAAGGACGCACGAGCCACTCCAACTCAGCGACAACTTTTCCTCTTCCCTATTCCCTCGTCGCTCGCTGCCTTTGAGTGCCTTCTTTCTTCGAGGACCGTGCCTGATCAACCTTCCTGTGCTTAGGGGAACATCACCAAACTTTAAGCAGTCGAACAGCGCAGCCCGAAGCGGGTTGCGCATTCAGATCAGGTCACCATGTCCTCCGAATACAATTACGATGACCAGGGTCAATTTTTCCCTTTCTTTATGCTGACCATGGCCGGCTTGGTCACAGTACCTCTCACGTATAACGTCCTGAAACCATCCACAGATCTCGAGCAGACCGCATCCCGAGTAAAATCAGATTTCAAACCCCAAAATGTGGATCTCATCGAAGCGCAGAGGAGAAGACGGAAGAGGCAGAATCGCAAGACAAAACGAATCATAGCGGTGGTCTTGGGATATACGTTCATGGCTTACATGATCTACCTGATCATTGTCACTCAGAGAACGGTACCGAAGATGTGGGATCCGTACGATATCTTGGGCGTGTCAAGGGTATGTCGATGGATATAGGTCCTACACCAGATGCTGACAATCGAACAGAGCGCGTCGGAGCGGGAGATTGACAAATTTTACAAGAGGCTATCGCTCAAGTTTCACCCTGACAAGGCCAAACCCGATTCCTCCAAAAATGAGACCATGGACGATGTGAACAATCGATGGGTAGAAATGACAAAGGCATATAAGGCATTGACGGATGAAGAAATCAGAAACAACTATCTCCAGTATGGCAACCCCGATGGGAAGCAGTCCACGAGTATAGGAATTGCGTTACCGAAGTGGATGGTTGAGGAGGGCAACCGCTGGTTTGTGGTCGCCTTCTACGGCATCCTTCTTGGAATCATCCTCCCGTACACGTTGGGGAAGTGGTGGTACGGAACACAGGCCCTCACAAAGGACAAAGTCCTCCATGCCAGCGCTGGGAATTTGTTCCGAGAGTGGAAAGAAGACATATCGGAGGGCGATGTGGTGGCAGCCACCAGCGTCGGCGAAGAATTCAAGGAAACGCTGAAAGGCCCGAGAAGTGATGCGGGAGCTGCAAAGGTGGAAAGCAAGGTCCTCGACAGCTCTGCTCTCACCGAAGCAGATAAAGAACGATTGAAGGCCATCGAAGACCCCGTGCGGCGGAAAACGTTAGCCCTGCTCTGGGCATACCTGGCTCGGATCGCCCTGGAAGACCAAGAACTTGAAAAGGAGAAATTCGACGTTGCGCCAACCGCTCTCTTGTTGAACAATTCCTTCGCTTCAATGACTCTTCCATTTGGCGTGGTGAAGCCCCTCCTTGCCTCCTACCACACTTCTCAGAACATCATCCAAGCCGTTCCACCATCTGCATCGGCAATCCTTCAACTCCCCAACTTCACTCCCGCAATCGCCGAAAAGATCATCAAATCGTCAAAGTCACCAATGACGTTCCAAAAGTTCATGTCCCTCCCCCCTACGGCACGAAGACAATTGTGCTCTGATCTCACGGACCAACAATACAACCAAGCCATGGCGGTTGCCGCTCAAATCCCCCACCTTGTCATCGCCAAGGCGTTCTTCAAAGTCGTTGGCGAGCGTGTTGTCACGCCTGGCTCCTTGGTACAACTGGTGATCAAAGCCCGCGTCATTCCTCCCGGTACACCAGAAAAGGAAATCCCGCCAATCAACCCACTGGATCTCGAGGATATTGATCCGGACGAGGGAGATCTGGATGCCTTGCACGGTCGAAAGCCGGCGAAGTCGAGGAGAAGGAAACTTCCAGACGGCTCCTATGTTGAAGACGACGCGAAAGAAGGGAGTGTACAACCGCCTTTGGCACATGCGCCCTATTTTGCAGCGGATCACGCCCCCAGATGGCATGTCTTCCTCGCAGAAGCCCGTACCGGCCGCATCTCTGTGCCACCATTCACATTTACCAGTTTCGACCGACCCATCTTCCACCCCGACACCGGGAAACCCACTTTTAATGTCGTCACACTGAAATGTTCCTTCCAGGCGCCACCGCAGGTCCACGCCTTCCCGTTCATCATGCACCTAGTGTGTGATAGTTATATAGGTTTGGACGACAAGGTAGAGGTCGTGCTGGACGTCAGAGACCCCAAGGAGGCCGAGGTGGTGGAGAGTGACGACGACATTAGCGAACCCGAGGAAGGTATGTATCATCTCGTCTGCTACTCCATTCGCACAAGCATCGCATGATCCAGCATCACAGAACAAGGACGGGGTGAAGTGAGCAACGCTAACGATCCCTTCCTTTCTGCACAGATTCCCTCGCGGGCCAACTCCAGGCCATGAAATCCGGCGGCCTGACCGGCTCTCCCGTGACGTCGAAGAAGAAAAAGAAGAGGGCCTTGCCCGCCGACCCGAAGGCGGTCCCTGTGGCCCAGACCCAGGGCAGTACCGTTCCGGAAGCAAGCGATGACGACGAGGACGACAGCGACACCGAGGGCGAGGATGACAGTGACACCTCCGACACCGACACCGAGACAGAAGACGAGGATTCATGAAAAGAGCACAAAATGGAAGGGGTCCTTCCGTGAAGGTTCTATATTGCGTTGCATTGCACTGCCTTGCATTGATTAAAACTTGTCCTACCTCCTTCGGATTTTTGAGGGGTCCAGGTACTCGGGGCGACTTGCTGCTTGCCTGTTCGCTTGCTTGCTTATCTTGTCATTTCCGTGTTGAAAAGAGGCTCGAGGCATGAAGGGCGCATGGCGTATGGTCATCTCCGGCTACGTCTGATACGAATGAATCCATGGATACGACCAGGGGGGATGAACTACAATGGGAGTGTTTCCATGTCTGGGTCTGCGGTCTAAGTAGGTATTGGAGCAAACTGGCGTGCAGGCAGACTGGGAGCCGTGTACGTAGCTAGCAAGGAACGAATCCGAATCATGTTGAAATGGGCGAGAGACATTGAAGCTCGGAACTCCTCGTGTTGTATTATGCTAAAGGTGAGAGGCTGCCTTCGCTTCCGCCCAGCAAAAAGTGCAATCTAACCACAGACAGCCGAAATCCTTTCTGGTGTGCAAACAGCTGCCATGTGTCCCCATGGTCGATGCTTTTTGGTATGACTTTGACTTTGGCTTGGAGAGAAATGAAATGCCATGTAGCTCATGTCTATGGGTCCAGCTCCTTCCGACCACCTCAACACTAACACTGTGCTGAATACTGCCCTGCTTCTTGGTTCCTATTCTCTGCCCCGCCTCCGTTTTGAAGAATATGGTTATATTCCCGCATCTCATTCCACAGTTCTTGCAAATCACCCTCCATCGATCACTTCTTCCCAGTCACGCTGTTGGCCATCTGATTCATGCGCTCCTGGATCTTCTCCCGACCATCGTGCATGTACTGGAGAGTCTTCTTGTACTGGCGATCCTGGGATTGGATGGACAGCTGGGTGACCGCCAACGCGCCGACACCGAGGAGGGCACCGACGCCGAGGATTGTGCGGGTCTGCATTGTCGCTGCTTGTTTGTTCCTTGTCTTTTGTATGAGGTGGTGCTGAAGTTGCGAGTTTGTGTTCGCTGATTTGTTCAGTAATCGAGGCGGACGAGTAGGCGCAACGGACTTGATTGTTGGGGTGCGTCGAGGGCAGGAGTCTAGGCGTCTACTTGACGTTTGACCTGTGGTGAATATGAACGTCTGGGGACGAGTCAAGCGTAGTCTGCTGCGGACAGCGTCGTCGTTTGCAACTGTTGAACCGAGTCAAAGTGAGAACGCTCGGCAATGTATCGCTCAAACTCCGGGTTGGTGGAAGAGGATGCGAGCGAGTAATGTCCAGTCGCTGAACGAAGTTAATCAAAGGTACAGGGTCTTGCAGTGCTATGCAGAGTGGAGAGTTAAGGGAGGATAGGTGTTGACCTCTGATAAGGCACACGGAGAGAGAGAGTCGCGGTGTATTATGAGGAAGAAGGAGGTTGAGGATGGAATTGAACCGAACTTGGTGCGCCGGTTATTATATTAGCTGACTTGCCCCTTGCAACCGACCTTTCAAGCAGCTTTTGGGCACCTTCCCACTGGTCGGGCTGCGCAAGGGCAATCACATGAAACGTTCCAAGGTTGTTGCAGTTACCGAGCACCGGCGGCAGGGTGGCAGGCAGGGTGCGGCGGTCAAGGGGGTGGTTTAGGCGTCGGGCAGGCTCCAGGGCTTCCCCGCACCTGCTGATTGTCCCCAAGGCGCCTTTATCCTCCGCAAGTCGCTTGTCCCAGAGAGGTTTAAGGGCCCCTAACTAGCGCTGGCACGAGCCGATTCCCCTCATTTGATTTGCTAGTGGCCGCTCGGGCTTCGGTAATACTCGGGCTTCTGGATGCAGGTACGTGGCAACGCCTCCCAGGTTGGAAGGCAAGAGCTCGTGAAGCTACGCCATACTTGCAGACCAATACAGCCTTCATAAAATTGCATTAGGGGTCTTGTGCTTGTTCTGTAGGTGCACTCTAGAACATGCTCTCAACGCCAGTCCGTCTTGAACAATTCTGACCACTGTCTCTCTATATCCTCGTTGTCGTGGAGATCGTGTGCCGATGGAGATGGACGAGGATGACCTTAAGTTTCCTCCCGCCCTCCAGCTCTGTCGAGGGCAAGGGCATGTCAAAGCGCATCACTCTCATTCAACAGCTCTTTTCTGCGGCCCCTCAGCCTTCTGCATCAACGAACAAATCCACCTCGCTAGTGTCTGTGTCTGCTCTCCTCAGTGGCTTTTGACCCTCCGGCACCATTGCTTCATGCATGTTCATTTTCGACATTTGACTGTTCATGTGCGACATATCATTGTCATCATCCATCAGATTCGCTGTCTGCTGGTGTGAGGTCTGCTGTGGTTGTGAGTTTGGCTGCTTCGCGTGGCTCTCCGGCGGTGCTGTGCTTGGTGGCCGGGAATCGAAATCGATCAGATTGTCCGAGGCGTGCAGATGGCCGTGGCCGGATTGACCTGCTGCTTGGTGGGATGTACGCTCGTGATACTGGAAAGAGTGGCGCCTTGTGTCTTGTTCAGAGTTTTCAACTTGACCCGGAAGTATAGGAGCTATCGAAAGAATCCTTTCGATCAGCTCTTCCGGACCAGTCTTTGTATCCCTAACGAGGCCATTAGTCAAAGACAAGGATAGAGCAGTACACAAACTCACAGATGTGCATTGATAATCCACTCCAGATCCTCCTCGCCTTCTTCACAGGATCCAGGTCGTGCATCCACTCTTCGAAACAATTTAGGTTTCCACTCAACACCCAATTCTTCTCTTCGTTTGGCCTCTTCCCTCTGGCGATCTTCAATTTTTGCTTTCTCAGTGGTAGCAACTTCATGGTCTCTCGCGTGCACTGCCTGTATTGTCGACTTCCAAAGTTTCTGAGATTCGCGGTCTCCCTGTTCTTCGAGTGGCCGGGTCAAGGGCGGGGCGTGTTTGGCATGGGTGGCATCAAAGAGGGTCTTTTTCTGGCCAGTCTTGGTGTCCTTGATGGTCATCTCTCCGGACCAGTATCCAGACAATTCGTAGAGGACTTCTCCCGTCCGCTCATTTCTGATGGACCCTCCAATGGCATTGTAGGTGCCTCCGACCCAGCCCTTGGTCTTGAACTCAATGTCTGCGGTCAACCCATTTTCCGGACATCGCACATACGAATGGTCGCCCAATTCATATTTCATCTTACCGAAAAGAATCCCTCGAGCGTACATATTGGGTTGTGTTAGGATGCTGCTGCAATCAGAAACACAATCCAGTGAGATTCGGGATCCAAACATACTATTTTTCGCCGCCCTTGGACTTCCCTCGGTTGGTGAATCTCAGGTACGAAATACCTTCCATCATGCTGGCCGCCGAATTGCCCAGAAACTTACTGCGGGGCTTCAAAGTACCATCAACCCGAATATGGTGGTGCGGCGCCATGAAGAAATACGAAGACTTCGGTGGATGATGCGAGGTCTGCTCCGAGATGTAGTAGCCTCGCGTCTTGTCCGGGTATTCCCACCAGCAAGTAAATGTTTCCCCAAGAATCGGGTTCAAGGGCTTCTTGACGCCACTAGGAGATTATCAGCGTCGCCATTTCATCTGGAATGTGGAGGATGTCGTACGCAGGTCTAATGTGCCAGCCACTAAGATAGAACTTGACGACCGAGACAAATCGTTCAATCGGGTCGTCGATGGAGGGCATTGGGAGGAGTGTATCAGGATGGGCCATAAAACTAGGGGTACTCGTGAGTTGTGGTCCATATTTGTTTCGTTGGAGCAAACCATACTTCGTTATTCTTTCCAGCATCGATCTCTCCTCGAGGATGAAGGTGGGGAGGGTGATCCGAGACAGGTCGGCGCCCGGGCGCAACTGCGAGATGATGTGTAAAAGGACTATTCATGTCGTCAGCACCGCCATCTCTTCAGCGATTGTCGAGTTGAACCCACTGTTCCCCTGCTCGGGCTCGATAACCATAGTGTCCTCATCGGTGGCTTCTCGTTGATCCTCTGAGGAAGACCGATTACCTGAATCTTCAAGTCAGCCTGACGCAGTGACCGCGCATTGAGGGGCTGTGACCATACTTTTGGACTCGCTGCGATTTCGCAGCGCTCCACCTATCGAGTGCTTCATCTTGTCCATTATCCACCCTCATGCACGAGCGAGGATTCTGTACTGCGGAGGGGGAACAATGGGTAGAGCAAGGAATTGGCGGTGGTGATATGACGTCGTGGAGGGTCGGATATGGCGGGGGGGAAGAGATCAGGTTTCTGCTGGGCAGATACGAACGGTCTTGGAAGCCACACTGGTCGACGGTCAACTGCAGCAATCGAGGAGACAGAGTCAAGAGCTCAGTGACGACCGTGCAGGTTTACGGGGACACAGCTGGCAGATGAGTAAAGTATCTAAAAAAGACGCCTATTTCCACTCGAGGGGAATTTGCAGATTCTACCTGCGCGCGAACCGTTGTTCACTGGACAGGCGCAGCGGGTTTCCGAGCACAAGTGGAGAACTGAACAAAGCAAAAAATGCTGCGTCATCCGCATGCCGCAAATTGCAGAATCCCAAGGAGCAGCAGGCATCCGGCCACAGTTATTCCCGAGTCGCTGGTTACTCATGAATCCCTTGAATTTGGGAACTCGCCATCTAATGCTGCTCATGCTGAGCATCCCGGATTCTAGTCTTTCCCTTCAAGTGTATTCTATATTACCCTCCCTCGGTATGATGGCGCCGTCCCACGCAACGTGCTGAACAGCCTGGACCTACAAAGAACACATCTCACCAACTCAACTCATCGCTGCCATCCAGGTTTCGCAAGTAGGCCGATCTCCCTCTGTAACGGCTTCAATGAGTGTCTCCGGTGGTTGATGAAGCATGACGTGGAAATGTTCTGTCGCAGTCACAGATTAGGCACAACCGCTCATAGTCACCAACTCATCCTCAACCACGTTCTCGCCTGGGACAATCTCAACTCACCTAACGCATGTACGCTTTTCAAACTCTTCCAGTTCTTAAACCATACGATCCTTTCCCTCTCTATCCTCTTTCCAGCTTCTCCCTCACAAAACGTCTTTCGGATGAACTCGTCGATCTGCCTCGTCGCCTCTGGGGTCACCTCTCCCGTCTCCTCCACCTCGTCGATCTGAAATTTCGTCCATACAACGAGATGTTTTATCCCGTCCTCGACAAAGTACGGCCAGTCGTTGTATAAAATCTTGTAGTCGGAAGGATTGCTGAACGGTGCATCTCCACTGGGAGTGATGGTGGGCCAATTGAGGCGGTGTTCTTGGATGTATGAGAGAACAGAGCCGTAGGTTTTCTTGAGATGGTAGACATAGGCAAGGTAACCCCGGAGTTGGCTTGATGGTCGCTGGAATCGGTGAATGGTGTTCGTCCCTTGTGTGAGAAGATGTGTCAGGTATCATTGTCGTAGCTGAGTGTTGCCTTCATGCCAGATTCACGGGTCGTCCTCTGCTGACTTCGGATCCTCGCGACACTATCTCCTGGACCTGGCAATCTATTCGCAGCCTCACGAAAAGGAAGACTTACGAACTAGTTCCTCAACTTGTTGCCAAGTAAATCGGACAAATTCCTCATCTTTGCGGCTCAGGATCCCAATGTTCTTCTCACTTTGCCCAAGCAGATATGGCGGGCACTCTTCGGTCCACTGCTCCCGCGGGACATTGATATTCCACCAGAGTCTTGAGAGGTCTTGCTCTCTACTTGTGTCGGGCGTATTTTCCCGTGGTGTAGGATGGACCGAATGTGGCATTTCCTCCGCAAGCTCGATGTTGCCCACAGCCTGTACTCTCTAGAAGTTCTGTCGACTATTCCCTGGGTGTAGAGATTCAAATGGCGGATCTGGGACTTGAGGCATCAAGATCACAGCGAGGAAATGCTACACAGGGGTGTAACACTGACCAGCATCCCACACCTTTGCATGATTGGCCACATTATTCCACCATGAATCTTTCCGTCGTCACCAATTGCTCCGTTCCGAGTTTCTTTCAGTCTCTTTGATAATGGGTATCGACCATTCCGAGACATGAATACGGGTCATTGTAGCTGCTGTGCCTGCATTGCTCAACAGCAGACAGCTATCTGGCAGTGCAACAGCTCATGAAGAAGACAATCTTTTATTTACGAGAACACAACGGGAGGAAATTATGACCCGTGTGTCGAAGCGGAATCCTGACCTGCCTCAGACAGTACCACGGCTGATTGACTACGACGAACTCTGAAGAACCCCAGCCAGGGACATAGAGGACATCGAAACTCGTGAGCTACGCAGCTCTGAACTATGTAGTGTCTTCGGCAAAGAAAATCAACTGAGTAGCGTAAGATGATATGATCGGTCTCAAACTTCCTGTAGACATCTTCAAACAATCATCACTACACCCCTTCAGGAGCTAGGACGCCCATAGGGTTTCCGTCCAGCTTGACCCTAAAACGCAAAGAAGTAACCCACATCTTCCAGATTTGCAGTTTAGCAGGTCTCGTGTGTGTGAATTTGCAAAAAAGAGCTGCAGAAGGCGACTCTGTCCACAACCGTGCCAGCCGACATACGACGACATACTGATTCATGGCAGTGTTCGTCCAGTATTGCACATCGCCCCAGCGCTCGAGAATGCCGTGAAAGCAATAGCTTCATGACAGGGAATAAGCAGACACCGGCACATACTGAACAAACGGATTACCTTAGATCGCAGCTTGCAGCCTGACAAGAACAGCACTTGAAGGCATGGGATTTCAGAATCCATACTGCTTCACATCTATTCTCGTGGGATCGACACGACAAGATTGACTTCAGGAGCCGAGGACCCGCCGAACCTCATCGCCGTCCACACTGACCACAGTGACGGAGCCCTGTGCTAGAGCACCCTTGACATCGAGCCACGTGCTGGGGTCCACACATCGTTGGGCCTCCTCTATAACATAGGTGGTGAAGCCTGCCTTTGCCGATCCAAGAGCTGTATCTTTGACACAATAATCTCCAGCCAAGCCAACAACATAAACGTGGGATATATGCTCAGCCGCCAGTTCTTTTGCAAGGTCGTGACTTACTCCTCCAGCACCAAACGTCAAGTTGCCAAAGGAGTCGGAGAAGGCAGAGTACATTTCAACCCTGGAATCTTGGCCTTTCTGGACAGTGAAACGTACATTGGAGAGATCAAGTTCTGGAACGATCTCAGCGCCTTTTGTACCCTGGACACAATGGACGGGCCACAGTCTTTGCTGCATCGTCTCGTCTGGATTGTTGCCAACTAGGTTGCGCACGGTGACAAATGACTCGAAGGGTTTGTTGTCTGGGGCAGGATGGTTTGCCGCAAACGAAACATGGTTAGTTGGATGCCAGTCTTGCGTGGCGACTTTCAAGGCAAAACTGGGTGACTCAAGGAGCCTGTTGATCAGTGGCACAATTTCTCGGCCTCCCGAGACAGCGAGTGAGCCGTCCTATGCATATCAGCATCAACGATGAGTATGAAAGTATTCGTGCAGGCTTTCCGTACGGGCGGACAGAAATCATTTTGCATGTCGACCACGATGAGGGCGGGTCTGAAGGCCATGGTCGCTGGCAAGCGCAGATCAGTGACGGAGCCTAGAATGCCTGATGTCCGGGAGTCGTGCGAGAGTTATCTCAGTTTTCTCAAGAAGATAAGCGTACCTTGAAAAACTGGTTGACGATGGATTGATTGAGCCTAGGTATTCGCGATTGAGACCATGGAGGTGGGAGCGTGATGCGCGGTATTGAAGGTGATCACTACTTGTAGGGCTCGCCAGGTAGAGCCTCACTAGCCGCTTAACTAGCTGGGTTAGCCAGAGGCCCCCGAAGTGCAGGTCTGGTAAGGGTGTCCAGTGGCCAGGCCAAGCCTTGGTTTGCGGGCGTCGGGGTCATCACTTCTCTTGCTCTTGTGAACTTGCCATCACGCCTGATTCACCACCTCACATTCCATCACGTTAGATCGACTTCACTCTCCTTTGCAGTCCTTGGAATTTACTTGAAGAATAATCCGCGATTCTTTGGATGTACTATAAATGTCTAGTGAGAGGTGAATTCCAGCGCAACTCTAACCTGTCACGGCCTCGACGCTCTCAGTCTGCCGTAACTCCAGTCTGTTGACACTTCCTCCTCACTACCACCACATCTACACCCGGCGCCATCTCCCAGTTGCGCAGACTGGCACATCAACAGACTTGAGGACTAGAGAGAGCTTGAACAGCATCAAACTTATCACCACCGCAACATGTCCAAGGCTTCGGTGGTGAGTGTCTCGCATCTTTGGTTCTTGGCTTCACTCTCGTCTTCTTGCCTCGCCAAACGAGACTCAATCCGTTGAGCGCAGTCTGCCTCTGGGTCCATCTAAAGGCTAATCATATCACCTGCATCAGGGCGACGTCTATGCGAAAGTCATAAATGACGTCTGCGAGGCGTCACGGCAAGACTTTGAGGAAGGCGGTGTTGAGCTGGCTACTCTTGAATTGCTGAGATCGGTAAGTCCCTTACAGCCATCGACCGCACACGACACTGTATCTTTTCCATCGCCAAAATCATTCCCCATCAACACTCAGGATGCCGTGCAAGAAAGGTACATGGGAGGAGGCAAAGACAAGGAATCCTTTTGTGTGAACATGGGACGGCGGGTTCGTCGCAGGCAGACGGCAGCGCGCTGGGTGGGAGGAGGGCGAGTGAGCGAGGGCAGCGGGCGAGGCGAGGCGGGGATCGGAAGGTTCTTGAAGGCGCCCCCTTCTTGACCCATAGCCTGTTTTTATACGCCTTGGACGCCACCGCCGCGCACCACATCAGCCCACCCACGTGTCCTGCACTAGTCCCTTCTGGGCTTGTGCACCCAGCGCATCCCCCGTTTCCGTTTTAGTATGGCGCTTTGGCTGGTATACTGACAAGTTTCGCTACAGGAATGGCAGAAGAAGCTTTCTGGTCTCAAGGTCGCGCAGCTTCCGTGGGATCCTCCTCCAGCTCCAGCTGTTAAAGAGCAAAGCACGGTTCCCAGCAACGCGAAACCCACTCCTCAAACGCTACCAAGCAATGGAACCAATGTCAGCACTCCTCCATCTCAACAGGCCGCCCCTTCAGCGCCTGTCATCAAGACCGAAAACAATGCACCCTCCTATCCTATTGAACAAGTAGCCCCTCCTCCTCGACCCTATCAGGCACCCTCTTTCCAGCAGGGTCAGCCCTTGACAGCTCGCGATCGAGCGGCCATGAATCTTCACCAGAGTTTTGGTCAACGTGCTGGACCTCAAATCGCCCAACTTCAATCCGGCAATCCACCTCGTGTACCCATGCAACCATCTGCAGCACCCTCGAGCAACTACATCAAGCAGGAAGACTCTGGTTCTGCGTTCACCGATATTCAGGACTATACCGCCGACATCAAGCCTCCACCACAAGCCACAGTCAATGCAGGCCAGACAGACGGACCGTGCGACGCTCGTGACGACTGGGAGACAGAATACGCTCAACGAAAAGCATTCGCTGCTGCTCATGGTGCTGAAGCTGATCGTTTGATGCGTGCTCACTTCCATGCGAAGCAACAACAGCTCGAAGGCGGTGGTCTTCTGACACCTCTCGATGAACGTACAATTCCAGGCAAAGCTATTACCCGAAACCTCAAGGCAATTGTCCCGTCGGAGACGACCACACATACCACCAGCATCAGCCGCGCACAGGGCGATGCGACAGGTGACGATGATGATGGAGATGAGGATGAGGATGCCATCAACTCCGATCTGGATGACCCTGACGATCTGGCTGCAAACGAGGAGAATGGCGAGAATACGGATCAAGTCATGCTCTGTACCTATGATAAAGTTCAGCGGGTCAAAAATAAGTGGAAGTGCATCCTCAAGGACGGTATTTTGAGGGTTGAGGGAAACGAGTAAGTCCTTTGATTTCGATTTCTTTTTGTTCTGCTGTACTTCCTTGGATCGGCTACTTGAGATGGTAATGTGATACTGACCTGTTCTGCAATCAGGTACGTTTTCCACAAGGGTCAAGGGGAATTCGAATGGTAAGGAGAGGATGGACACGTCGGGACATCCCTCGGCTAGCAAACCATCGAATCGAAGGAATGCTAGCATAAAACACCTTGCTACTCCAAAAGCCTCTACGACGTAAACAAGTCCTCCGTCTCTCTCCGAGAGCCGAAAAGTGAATATGGGATAATGACTGTACCATCCAAATCGGCCAACAAGCACCACATCGATCCAGCTACGGGTTATGTCGACCGCCTTTTGCCATTGTTCTGATGACGCACGGCGTTCTTTTGGATTTTACAGGTTTCCCTGGAAATCGAAATGGATGAGTCGTGGAAGGAAACGGGCTCGAGTTCCAGCAGGACAAGCAAGTGGACTGATTGACTTCGTTATCCTTTTCTTGCCGCGGCTGCCTTCGGAGGAATTGCTGTGCTGTGCTGTGCTCTGCCGCGTTGCGTTTGTAATCCTCTCTTCTTCTTCTCGCACTTTTGACTGGGTGGTCCGGCACAATGCTTTCAACGCAAGAAACCTTGGTGGGGAGGCCGGGGATGAATGAGCTTATCTGCAAATATTACGAAGGATAGGTAGTGACAGCCAAATGCCTCGTCTGGTAGAGGCAGCCGGCGTAATGAACTCTGAGATAGAGCTACAATGCCAGTTTCTACCACCACAGAGAAATCAGTCCTATTATCAGGTGCTAAGCCCAAAAGAAGTTCCAGTCTTGTCGAGTCCTTCAATTCCAACAGATCGTGATGCCCAGCCTTGCATAACGATCGTGTCGGTAAGACTGAAAGGATTGTGGGCTTGCAACGAGATATATCCCCTCTGCTATGGTGACAATTAAGCAAATATGTAGTGAATGCTATGGCTCGAGATGGTGCGCTGTGTGTGTCGCAGGATGGACTGTCTTCGTAAAGTTGAGGCTCCGGGGGTTAGAGAAGCATAACTGCGCTAGTAAGCAGATACGGACCGCCATAGAAGCCAGTCCGGCGAGACATACACCCCTACTGCGCACTTATGACGCGCGCCTGGTGTTGCAGCTGGTGGGCAGCCACTGTGGCAGCCTGTCGCAGCTGACGACCACTTTCAGGTCACTCTGTTTCGACAGTGACGCAACAAACCGGCCCACACAATTCCACCACCACTACCACTGGTCGCCTGCAGACTGTGGCCTTTTATTTCTTGTCTGGTTTCCACTTGCAATTCGTGTCCTCTCTGCTCTACAAGTACTACATCCCAATACTTTGTGCCCTTGAATCGCTGTCTCTGCGCACTCTGCTCTTTGACATCGTCCCTCCAATACCCCTAATTCTTGCAAGATTGAAAGCAGGAATCCCATCCAAATCAATTCGCCAACATGACGCTCTACTACAGCCTGGTCTGTCAATCTTCCCTGTGCTGCTGTGTAGCAGCTACCTCGGACTACTGAAGCTGACAAGTCTTTACAGGTATTCATGCTTCTGGTGGCGGAGATGGTCTTGTTCTTGGCCCTCATCGTCCCGATGCCGTTCACAGTCAAGCGAAAAATGTTCAACTTCATATCCGAAAGTCCTCTCGTAGCCAAGATACAGTATGGGATGAAGGTATGCCACATTTTCAGCCCAGATGACCTGAAGTCGACTGACACTCCACAAGATCACCTTCATCTTCATCCTCATCCTATTCCTCGACAGTGTCAACAGAGTCTACCGAGTCCAGGTTGAAATGGCAGCTTTATCAAAGGACACTACTGGTGCAGGGTATGCCACAAGATCACATCTGGCTAGCACAAAGATCATCACTGACGGGAACAGACGTGCAGCAGCAATAGGTTCTGAGCGGATGGAGGTTCAAGCCCGCAAGTTCTATTCTCAACGCAACATGTACCTGACCGGCTTTACTCTTTTCCTCTCCCTCATCCTCAACCGCACATACGGCATGATCCTTGATGTCCTTCGCCTCGAAGAGAAGGTCAAGATGTATGAAGGCGACAAGCGCGCTGGCGGCAAAGAGGGAGAGAAACTCAGCGGAGAATACCGGGCGGACCAGATTGGTGAACTCAAGAAGCAACTTCAAAAGAAGGACAAAGAACTTGAGGCAATGAAGAGTCAAGCGCAAGGTCTGCAAAAGGAATACGACGAACTGAGCGTCAAGTACAACCAAATGAACCCCAGCGGTGGCGACAAGAAGAGCAACTAAATGTCCACCCAACGTATGGCCCATTGGTCAAAGATGAGCTCCAACTTGAATAGAGTCCGCAGTTGGTGCTCGGAGGCTAAAGCGCTTGCTTGCGGATACAGATGTCAAGCTCAAATGGTGGCTGGAGGCGGAGTAAAACTGATGGGAGGCGGCACAGGAAAACGACCGTGGATGTTGCATCTCACCGAACCTGACAGGTGAGATAATTGGGTTTGATGGTCATCTGCTAAAGGAGGTCATAGGAAAATAGATTCTAACTGTGTGGTGGCTACACCGCCAGCAAACACATTGGTGCCTTGGATTTCATTGGCTCGAGCAGATCCATGTCGGTTCAATTATCTCGTCGTTTTCCAGAGCGAGCATCGGAGCAAGCGGTTATGACCATCTGCCGTGCGGAGTGGTCCAGCCTCACAAGGACATTGACCAACTTCTCTTGCATCCTGAATGACGGGGTGGCTGATCCGAGAATGAGGAGTTCAGAGTCTAAGAATGTGGGGAAGCCAATGACGTCTATCCATTGACCTCTCTTCTCCATTTTCTTTCGCATCTGTTTTGATATACGGCTAATATCAACTGCAGCTCGGGGTCAAATCCACAATGCCATTCCCAACTCGATGCCGGACACTGTCCGACAGTCACGGCATTAACGGTCCCTTGTGCGACAGACCAGACCGACTCTGCCCTCAGAATAAATGAAAAACTCTGTGTCCTCGAAACGATCCTCTTGATTCCCTCAACCCCCTGAGTTCCCATACAAACGCTCGGTTGGAGAGTCTACAGGTAAAAATGCATTTCCTACTTTTCATTGCCGCCTCCCTGTCAGCGAGCTGCTCTGCCCATCCTCAGTACAACCCACAACCGTATCCACCTATCCTCCGTCCTCGTCAAGCTTCGACTGGAAACAGCTCTTCGCTACAAGTCGACCTTGGCTACGAGGTCTATCAGGGCTATACTAACTCGACTACGGGATTGAATGTGTGGAAAGGGTACCTAGCATCTGAGCCGCTCCCATTCTCAAGGACCCCAGAACTGATTACAACTTAGCATCCGGTTCGCAGCACCCCCCACTGGCTCGAACAGATGGCAAGCTCCTCAAGCTCCTCAAACAAACCGTGACTCCGTGATCCAAGCAACCCAATTTGGTCCCATATGTCCGCAGAACCAGGATACAACAAATACTCTCGTGCCTCTCAACAGTACAGGCTCGAGCGAAGATTGCTTGTTTCTCAATGTATACGCGCCGCCAAATCCTTCCAGCCCACTCCCTGTGCTTTTCTACATTCATGGCGGGGGATATGGAAGAGGAAACGGCCAGCAGGACCTGTCGGCTATCATCAATGCTAACAATAACTCCTTCGTTGGGGTGACCATCCAGTACAGGGTTGGGCTTCCAGACTATTTCTCCGAGTCAAGGCTGACCTATCTCAGCTTGGTGCCTTTGGGTTTCTTGCCGGAGATGAAGTCTTCCGGAACGGCGTGGTTAACGCTGGCTTACTAGACCAACATCTTGCGCTGCAGTGGGCTCAGCGGTATATCTCCTTGTTTGGAGGGGACCCCAACCACGTGACGATAGCTGGGCAATCGGCAGGTAGGCTCCTAACCCTTCAACCTGGTATTTCTTGTATCAAGAGAACGTCACTGTCGGATTTTCGTGAAGGTGGTGCATGCTAACAAATTTTCGCAGGGGCTGGATCCGTCATGGTATGTTGCTCGTTCAGACGAAGGAAACACAGGCAGTGCTCCCCTTAGCGAAACACAACTATCCAAGGAGATCAACCGGCACTGACTCCGGAGTTTTAGCTGCAAGACATGGCGTTTGGTGGCTCCCTTGGCCAGGCGCTCTTCAGGAATGTAAGGCACTAGATCCAGGACACGCTGTAAGAGATCTGACAGAGCTAGACGATCGCCTCATCGCCGTACCTACCCATGCAGTACGGATATAAGGACTGGCAGCCTTCGCAGGCATATTACGCCTTTGCGTCGATGGTGGGTTGCGCACCCACCCTGCCCTATGGTGCTCATCCAAATACAATCTTTGACTGTCTCGTTGGTCAAGACTCGGCCACGCTACAAAACGCAAGCGCCACATTGTCCGAGTCTGGAAAATATGGGACTTGGGCTTTCTTACCGGTAACAGACGGCATCTTTGTCCAAGATCTTCCTAGTCGCCAGCTCTTGCGTAAAGAGCTTAATGGACTAAATTTGCTAGTGAGCAATAACGCCCTTGAGGGACCGGCATACACTCAACCCAACATTACGACCGAGGACGACCTGGTGGCATGGTTGCAATTGACGTTTCCGCTGTTCACAAACGATGACATTGCAAAGGTCCTTCTCTATTATCCAAGTTCGAATGACTCAACGAATCCCGATGCCCCATTGTATGCCTCTTCTGGTACCGGGCTACCGAGTTTCATCAACCAGAGTAGCGTTGCAACAGGGCAGCAGCAAAGAGCTTTTGTGAGCGCAAAACGTGGGATTTGAGCACTCCGACGTTGCTGATTTCTATTCAGGCTATCTATTCGGAGACGACCTTTGTATGCCCCTCGTACTGGATGGCAGAGGCGTACAGTGACCATGGACGCAACTCGTTCAAGTACCAATATTCAGTGCCGATTGCTGTTCATGGGACCGACTTGACAGCTTACTTTGGACCGCCAACACCAAACCAAAGCCCGGACTTTGTTAACGCAGCTATGAAGATTTGGGGCAGCTTCATTACGTCGGACAACCCATCTATCCCCAGTGCTGTTGCCAATGGACTTTCGTCTAACAGTACCCTAAGCAATCCGGCTTCGGATTGGCCTCCTTTCAAGATGTACTCGCCCTACCAGATCAACCTCAACGTTACTGGGGGTACACCGTTCGCGTTCAATTTGTCCTACATCAAGGCCAACTTGACAGAATACGGGGAACCGGGCCTAGTGAACAATTTCACGCTAGTCGATGCATATACATGGGAAGCCGGAAGAGGGTATCGCTGTGACATGTGGAGGAGCTTAGGGGCGATCGTGCCCGAGTGAGCAATTGATTGCTATGGACGCTCTCGCAGAAAAGGGACAAGGTAGTACATACTGTAATCGCAAACGGAGAGAGGCAGGAAGAGCTTTTGCCCGTTCAGGCAGCCTTCAAGTCTTGCTTGGTTGTTTGCCCTTTTTGCCAGCCGTTGTAAAGTACATGCCCCCGGCCGATCTCCATGCTGGTCAGTAATCGGGCTCCTGGCAAGACATGGACGTTGGGCAGGCTATGGTGCCAGTGAGAGGATAGTCATGACGTGGAGATGGACAGCTGCTTTGCAATGCCTCGGTGTTGATTTGACTGGTAGGCTCGTGCACGTGCATCAAGGCTCGTCGAGGTGTGGCTGCGCCGTGTTGCCCTCTACCACTACTGCATGCTTCCTTCGATCTAAACTTTCTTTTCTTCCTGCGACTTACCACTTCTGTCCCTTGTCCATGTTCAACGCAAAGCCCCATGGTCGCCATCAGCGCTGTCATCGCTCCAACATGCTTCTGTTCGACCTGACTACGATCAGATAGGCAGCTCCAACACCGATCCAGAGCAAATCCGGGCGCAGCCGACCCGGCCTCTGCCTTGAGCATGTCCGCAGCCTCGCCATCAATTGGCTCATTTCTCCTGCCAATATGCAGTGGGAAGCTTGTCCCCTGAACCTTAGGTGGCTATTTTTTGCTTGACAAATAGCATCTGCGATGGCCATCGCGATGGAGGAAGCGTGGCACGCCCAGGGTAGAAACCTTGCGTCAGTTGGAGTTGGAGATCCCAGAGCTCTGAGCTGTGAGCTCCTTGAAAAAGAGCTCGCCCTCCCCTCAGGTGAGAGAGTGTGAAGGAAAAAGGTGAGCACCCAAATTCACTCTCTTCCACGAGCTCTCCCACAACATGTTGCAGTTCCTTGTGTTTGCCACCTTGATTGGTGCTACACTTGCTAGCTATGGTGCAAATCTAAACTACCGCTCTCCGTCCCTTCACCATCCTGCTCTCGGTATCTCTGTGCGGAAGGTCGTCAAGCGACATGTTGAGAGACAGTCCCCGCCGGCCTCCCAGCTCAACTTCACTCATGGAGTTGCTTCCGGTGACCCATATCCCAACAGCGTAATTCTGTGGACACGATGTGCTCCCAGCTCAGACGACGTCAAGAGCAACAGCTCCACCAGTGGTTTTGTGCCGCTTTACAATCCTGTCCCTATCTACAACGACACCGACGAGGGGAAGCCACCCTCCACTTCTCCTGTCTGCCTGACCTGGAAGATCGCTACCGACAAGGCGTTGTCATCTGTGGTCGACCAAGGAACTGTATACACGAGCTCGGACGTCGATTACACGGTCAAGGTTGAAGCTTCCAACCTGCAACCTTTCACCCAATACTACTACCAATTCACAGTCTGCAACAGCAGTGTTTCTAGCATGGTTGGCAGAACCAAGACGACTCCCACGGCCACTGACAATGTCACTGGAGTCAACCTGGCGGTCTACTCTTGCAGCAATTTCCCGTTCGGTTTCTTCAACGCGTTCGGGAACCCTGTCCGCAAAGATTCCGTCGACTATGTTATCCATCTCGGCGACTACATTTATGAATATGCCAATGGTGAATATGGGTGGGGTCAGACTATTGGTCGTGTCCCCTTGCCGGACAGAGAGATCTATACTCTCTATGATTACCGCAAGCGGTGAGTGGTTTTTGACCCTTATAAGCTCAAATGGATCCTATTCTCCCCTTTCAAACGACCGCACTGACCTGGCTCGCTCGTTAGTCATGCCACCTACAAGACCGATCTGGATCTGATTGCCAGTCACGCAAACTTCCCCTGGATCGCCGTCTGGGATGATCATGAGGTTGCCGACAATACCTACCGTGATGGCTCCTCAGAGCTCAACAACACCGAAGCGTCTTTCATTGAAGACGGTGGCGTCTCTGTTGATCAAAGGAAGATGAACGCAGTCCGAGCATATTTTGAATGGATGCCCATCAGACAAGTCGAGATGGGTGATGATGTAAGACAACGTGTTCGAACAGCAGGCCGTTCTGACACTGGATCTAGCTCCGAATTTGGCGATCCTTCTCGATCGGTAGCCTCTTCGACCTCATTATGCTCGATACTCGCCAATATGACCGCTCCATAACCGACCTGTACTGGAACACAGACTATGTCCACGAAATATCGAACGATGCCGGTCGATCCATGATGGGCTCTCGCCAGGAGAATTGGTTCTATCAATCCCTGATCAACTCGAAGAACCGTGGTGCAACATGGCGTGTCATTGGGTCCCAGACGGTCTTCAGTCGTATCAATGAATCCGTTGCCTATGGCAACGTCGATCCTCTCGATTATGATGCATGGGATGGGTACCAAGCGAACCGCAACCGCACGTTTCAAGCGTTGTACAGCAATAACATTACCAACAACATCATGCTCTCAGGAGACAGCCACGCAAACTGGGTGTCTGACCTTGTGTGGTTGGACAATCACCCCTATGACCCCGCGACTGGCGCAGGAGCTATCGGAGTTGAGTTCGGCGGCACAGCCGTTTCGTCCCCGTCGCCGTATGGTGCAAACATCTCCATCGCGAAAAGTGTCCAAGCCAGTGAGTGGCTTGTCGGTGCCAACCGCGAACTGCAATGGCAAGAGATTTACTACCGAGGGTATTACGAACTGCACATCACTCAGCAGCAGGTCAACGCGTACTATTTCGGAATGCCGACGGTGGTCAGTCGCAATCCTAACGAAATCTCGCTGGCCAACTTCACCGTCATCAACGGTGAGAACAGGCTTCATCGCTTCAACGGCACAGTGGTGCCCAGCCCTGTGGAGAACGGCTTTGTCAAATTCGGCCATACCAAGCAGACCAACATCACCAATGCGACCGATACTGGTCTTTATTTCATCAGTCATGCTGGACTGGAAGTGCTTTGATTGCGGTGATGGGGCATTATATGAAGACGTGTCGACAGGAGGGAGATGTACTTGCGTATAGATATAAAGACAAACGCTGACTGCCTGAAACTATGTGGTCACTGAAATTCCAGTTCACTGCGCCATATCTACCGGATCACTTCAAGTGACTTTCCCAGAGTTCTTGACACACGCAGAGGAAGTGAATTCTATTCAGACTACTGTACGCGCTACCTGCAGGTAAGTGTTGTCAGAGACGGACAGTCCGCGAGGCTGAATCTAAATCCTAGTTTGAATTAACGCCGATGAGTAAATTTTTTGACCCTCAGTGCCTACTACTGCCTGCCAACATCACTGCTTTGTAGTGGGAAGAGTTGAACAGTAAGAAGGTCGAAACAGCCTCACAAGGCTGACCTTGTGGCTTGCACATAACTCAGCCCGAGACCCTGCCCAATCAAAACGTCAAGAGGGTGATTGAAATACGGAGCCTTGAGCTGCGTCCTTCCCAGAATGAGCACCGCCACAGATAACAGGTTGCCACGCCCATTGCCGTAACCGCAACGTACACATCTTGCCGCAAACTTCTTGGAATCCGTCCTCCGCCCCGTGATCGCCAGGACACCACCGCCAAGAAGAGAAGCCTGGTCCTATTCGAGTCCGAGGTCCTGGACAGAGCGATACCGCCCTACGCAGTTTGCTGGGCTTACCTGGGCTGGGCTGGGCTGGGCTGGGCTAGGCTATGCTAGGCTGGATTTGGGAAAGGCAGATCTTGCGAAGCACCGTCACCCAGGAGGCAGGCGAACATTGAGAGAAAAAGTGAAGTGATTGGGCCAGCGAGCGGGTCACCGAGTCACCAAGATTTGCGTCAACGACATCTCCAACGAGCAGACCAGACACACACGCAGACACAGATACTGACACACACTACAGAGCGGAGAAGTGGGAGAGGGATTCCGTCACATTTTGTTTGTTGTGTGTGCCTTGCCCTGCCCACTTTGACTGGAGGAGTCACCCGATAGTGACAAAATACCACCCAAAGGGCCGTTTGAGAGAGGGAGAGAGAGAGAGAGAGAGAGAGGGAAATATTCTCTCTTTCCATTCTTCTCAGTGTTGAGATTTCTATTACTTTTCCGATTTCCTTTTGACACCCTTGGGTTTCTATCTCTCGCGGGAAGAACGAGAAAATCGAGGATAACGGCAGAACCACACGATCACCACTGCGGCAGCAGACAACGACGACGGCACCAGTGCTTGTCTCCGTATCCCAGCACGGGCTTCTGTCTCCCTTGGACATCCAGAGACCGTCAGACACAAATTCTCACGACAACATGACCATGTCCTCCCCGCCTGAGGTATTGGCTTCCTCCGTGCCCCGGGTCGGGGTCGGGGTGTTCGTCCTGCACGCCGACCCCAATGACGCCGCCCAACCCGCCGCGCGATCCACGGCGCAACGGCCCAAGTTTCTCCTCGGCCAGCGCCTGGGCTCGCACGGCGCGGGGACCTGGGCCCTGCCCGGCGGACACCTGGAATTCGGCGAGTCGCTCGAGGAGTGTGCGGTGCGTGAAGTGCGCGAGGAGACCGGGCTCGAGGTGGAAAGGGTCGAGTTTCTCACCGCGACCAACGACGTCATGCCGTATGAACCGTCCTCCAAGGTCACGACGATGACGCGGGGAGCAGAAGGAGATGAAGGGGCCGTGGGCGTGGGCGTGGGCGTGGGCGGGAAGCACTATGTGACTATCTTCATGACCGCGAGGGTCAAGACGGCCGCCGTCAATAACGACGACGATACACAAAACAAGGCCACAGCGAAGGCCACGGCGATGCCGCAGGCGAAACTGCTCGAGCCCGACAAATGCGCCGGCTGGGAGTGGGTGTCGTGGGACGACCTGACGCGCTGGGCCAGGCCGCAGCTCGCGTTGCGCGACCGCGAGGGAGGCCCCGGCCCCGAGGCCACGGCAGACACATCAGAACCGCACCACCCGCATTCGGCATCCGAGAGCACAGCGCGAGATCAAGGCATGGCCAGCTCGGCACACGCGGAGGAGCAGAACGGCGTCGGTGTCGTGCGAGCACATGGCTCGACGCACTTGCAAGGGAGGACATCCCGCACGTTGTTCTTGCCCATGATCTCGCTCCTGGTCCAGCGGCCTGGAGTGATCCCCGGCCAGACCTGAGACGGCCGCGCCGGGAATTCCTTGTCAGAGGTCGGCCTCCATATTCCCCCCAAGATGGGGCGCCTCTTTGAACCAGCTTTCGGCAACGCCTAAACATCGAGAAAATATACATAACATGTCGAGAAACGCCTCGCTGGCCAGAGCAACAGAACAAAGCACAGCACAACGAAGAATGCTTGCAGAACCTGCCTGATACACGCGAGCGAGAGCACGTTTTGTGACAGGACGTCAGATGGGGAAAAAGGAGAGTGGACGGATGCGGATGCCATTGTCTTCTCGACTCCTGTGTAGCCAGAATAATGCAACAAAGATTTCCATCCCTTCAATTCGCCAAACCCTCTCTTGCCGCTTTCTTGTCGATGCTCCCCTTTCCGCCAAAGCAAGCACGTCCAAATCACCCCCCCTGCTGCGCCGCAACTCCTACCAACATAAGAGGCTTCAACCCATGCAGGATATCCAAAATGCAGAACCGGGGGCGATCCGATGCAAAAGTGGCTGTGATCTGATTTCCTCGACCAATAGTCCGTCCGTCACTCGTTCCTCGTCGCGTCGCGTTGGTTCTTGCTGAGCAGGCCGTCACTTCGTCAATTAAGTCATGTTTGACAGATGGCCTCAAGGCTGGAGACTCCCTGTGGCGTGCACGCTCCTTCTCAATTCATTATACAAATTCATTAGGGGGTGTCGATCTCGCCACCGATCGCTATGTGCATACCAAGGTCTTACCGAAGAATAATAGTGAGAAAAGACTGCTGGTGTTGCGTCGCGAAGTCGTAATTCTGTGATTAGTAGAATCCAGGGATCTTGTGGAACGTGATCCCTGCGTGAAGAAGGCCGCCGCGATCACCCAAGTAATCAAGGTTCGTGGTGCTGATATAGTGCTAGGCGTCTGTTGGACCCCCCCGACCGGTGGGTTGGGGGGGAAGATAGCCTCTGCCTGACTTCCTTGGGTCATCGGAGCATCTTAGAAGGGCCTGAGGGAGCTTGGATTTTAGGCTCCAAGGTCCAAGGGAGACCGTTGCCTAGATGAGATGGAGTCTGTTCGGCGGCGGGTCTTATTGCTCGGGGTGACTGCTGCTGGATATTCTTGGTGCTGGGGGATGCATTCGGTCTGGGAGCACCAGGTTCCACCTTCAAATTGGCATCTGCTCGGCCATGAGGAAATCCCGAGTCTGAACCGTTTCTAGGTGAAGGAAGCTTCGCGGGCGAGGAAGCCGATGTGTTGGCGGAGGTGGGTGTGGCAGGCTGGCTGGTAGATTTGTTGCTGGACTTTGTGGGTTTGACGGGGAAGAAGGGCTCGTCTCTCCGTCTTATATACTCGCGTGCCGAAGGGGAATTGTGATACAGGACCGGCTCGGGAACTCGAAAGGAGTTGGACTCGGCCGCCTCGGCGAAGGCGCGCTGATATGCAATCTCACCGTAGGGGTCTTCGATGGGAGCGGTCCTGTTGGCATAAGCCACATCTGGTCGATAGCCTCGTGCAACCCATGGGTGATTGGGATCTCTCGGGGAAATATCGCGAAGGTGGTCGGCGCGCCTTTTGGTCATCGCTTGACGTGGTTTCCTTTCCCCGTCTCCTCGATCAGGAGAGATGACGACGATGACGACGATGCTGACGATCACAAAAGGGGATGAGGTCACCGGGAGATCGGGAGAGTGTGGGTTGATGCTTGGGTGAGACGGGGAAAGAAAAGGCTGGACGGGGGGAGACGGCCGTTAGATGGATGATCAATAGTTCACAGACGAAGCATCTGGGAAAGCAATGGGTTTTTTTGTTTTCACGGCCTTGATGTGAAGGGAGGGGAAGCTGAGGGTTGGAAACGTGGACGATCCCGTGGGAACAAAAGGTCTTTCACCGAGTTTGAAGTTGGGTAAAACCTTAACTGGAACATGGGGGGGATCCGGGGATAGGACCATCGCCCAATTGGCTACCAAGCTACCGTCTAGGCGAGGCTGCTGCAGGCGGGAGCTGGTGGGTGCAGGTGGATTGCAAGGGTGGGCTGCAGGCTTGGGTCTTCGACTTGTAGGTGGTGCAGGGAGGAGACCTGCTAGGCGCTAGGCGGGTAGGTGCTGCAGGTGGACCAGTGTGGACAGCAGGTGCACCAAGGGCTGCAACCATGGAGAATTTCCAGCCTGGCAGCACCGGCAGCCCGTCCCATTCTACCTTCGAAGGGCGCCGGGAAGCACCAGCAACCACCTACAAGTACAAGTATTTCACGGGCCTGGCGAGACCACTGACAAGCCTGCGCGGAGCCCGGCCGTGAAGCCGCCCAACCAACTGAATAACAACCACCACCACTGCTTCACGGCTCACGGCTCACGGATGTTTCGCTCCCTTCACTGTTACTTCCCCCCCCTTTTCGGGTGCCCCCCCTCCTCTCTCCACTCTGACATTATCAGCTCTGCCATTGCCCTCTCCCTTTTGCCTCGTCCAAGCGTTCTCGGATCGCTGCATGATGCCCTAAGGAAATGCACATCATCCTCTGGGGACGCAAGAAGAATGTTTTCCTCCCGGTGTCTTGCATCCATCCTTCCCCCCCCCACTTGGGTTCTCTGAGGAATGGAGTTGCAATTTCATCATGAGCTCCACCAACAAGCCCACTCAAGGTCCCAAACGTGCCCTTGAGGGCGTCCTTCGGCGTCACCAGCGATGCTATTATTCAACCAAAACACATTGGGCTCGCACCAGCCTTCCTCATGGTACCGATGGTGGCCCGACATGATCCATGATCGTCGACTTTGGAGATAAAATTCGTTTGACTCGCGCGGCTGATCCCTAGGAACAGCACATGCCAGAAACTCGGCATGACCTCGCCCATCTCGTATCTGACTGTAACACATCATTACTCGCCCGTCTCGCCCGCCGTGCCCCTCGTGCCCGCCTAAACTGCCGTGTCTAACCCAGCCAGTTGGCGATGCAGGAAGTCGGGAAGCCAACCAGGTATCCTCGACTTATACCGACATATTGGGACCAATTGATGCGCCCGCCGGGGCCCTTTTTCCAGCTGGCTATTTATCGAACAGTCGGCGCCGCGTTGGGTTCTCTTGGGCTTACCCGGTTTGGAGTGCTTCTCAACCAACCCGATGCGGCGCTTGTCGTGGTCTTGGACTTGACACACGAAGGGGCCTTGGTGGCAAGAGAGATCAAAGTTAATCCAGGCGCCCCATGGTTGGTTGGGACGTTCAATGGAGCACGGTCCCCAAAATAAGTATCTTGGTCTGACGTGGAGGCCGCTGGGTGCCGGAGGCAAGAGAGAGCTGGGTGTGCGTAGGCGGTGTCGAATACCTCTGACTGCTCCAAGAAGTCGCTCAGGCCGTCGCACACACAGAGACAGAGCCAGAGCTCAGGATGCCCGCAGAGTCGCAGAGGCGCAGAGGCTGCCTGTGCCTGTACATTTCGTAGGTGGGCATCCAGGGCCTAGGCCACCGCCCACCATGCCACCATGCCACCATGCCGCTATGCCTGCGGACATGCCGCGGTTGAACTCGCAGCGGCGGGCAGAGAGGCATTGCTCGGTCTGACAGCCGCGCATTTTCCAAGTGGCCATCCTTTGTTTAAAAAGCTGCGCCCGTGATTGGATGATCGGGCATCCTTATCAGCTTGGGGCCTCTTGGTCCCCTGAGCCTTTCGCCCAGCCAATGCCCATCACTGCGGCATGACATGGGTTCCCAGACCATCAGGGTTTCTGGTCTCGCGACCAGACTTTCTTCACGTAGCCTTCCGCGGGCAAAATGCTTGTTGCCCTCTGCTCCCCATACTCCCGAGTACTTGTTGGATGCACTCCCCCAGATATTCCCTCACCGTGTTACTGCTTGACACTTGATAGAACTTCGTTGCTTTCTAGACAAAGAACGGTCTGGCGCGCCCTTCTCTCAGCTAGATCCTGTGGCGCCTTATCCCTTCCGTTTGACCTGTTATCGTCCTCCCGCGACCATCCCACCCTTCACAAAACTATCGACTCTCTCTTGTCTACCACCACCACTCACCTCCCACCCCACCTCCCACGTTTTCGACAGCCTCAATTCAAAAGGCCCATCTGGTTGCCTTGCGATCTTTCAGATCACGCATTACCTATCAGAGGTCTCTCTGCCTGCGCCTCTGAGATCACCCTCGGTACCGAAACCGTGGTTGGACTGTTCCGCGAGCCACCACGGGTCTTGTCATCAGCCGCAATCCAAGTCTGTTGTTGATACCGACATTAAGCGCAACCACGATCTCCTTTCTCAACTCTGTGGCGCAGAGACACCGTTGGGGCTATTGGACAACCCTTCCACACGCTTAAAATACTTAATCGTCCTTGAGCAAAGCGTTTCCGGGGCTCTTCTCCTCTGCTCTACTTCCAAAACCACAACCCGCCCACTTTCTACTGTTCCAAGACGTACGCAGAATTCAGTGTGATTCCAACTTTTCCAATGACAACCAACTCCACGACTCAGCCATACGCGATCCCGGACTATATGAGCCAACAACCCTCCCCAGCTAGTTCGACCTCACCCACGTCCCCTCGCATGCACGACTACATTCAACAGCATGCTCCCAACCCGTACAAGCAGCTCCGGCCGCTCAAGTCTCCTCTCTACGTTCCTGCTGCTCTGCGGCCAACCGAACATTTCTGCAGCCCTTCTCCTATGACCCCGCCAAAGAGCCTGCATGGATCATTGGACAGTCTGCAGGAAGACGAAGGTCCGACAGCGAGCCCGGACCATCAAGATGAGTTGGGCCTGGACGCCTTTGACCCTGATTGGGTTCAGGAGGAGGAACTGGGTGAGGTTACGGGCCCGCCAACCAGGGAACATTGGAAGGTATGTCAAGCATCAAGTGTCTATCGGTCGGTTTGGCGGTGGCCAACCTCGATTCTCGGCACGACTGCGTCAGCATACGACGTGCATTGAGACATACAGATGGGTGCTAACATGCATATTCTACTCCAGCCCGACGAAGCTTCACCGACTTGTGACTCGCCACAGTGTCGATCTTCATTCAGTCTGTTTGTCCGCAAGCACCATTGTCGCCACTGCGGTCATATCTTCTGCTCCTCACACACCCCCTTCACGATCCCCCTCGACCAGTACGCTCAATTCCACCCGGACGGCGTCCCCTCGAGAGCATGTGAGGTATGCCACCGGCAGTATCAACGCTGGGATACGGCCAGGTCCATCCGCCGCAAAAACAGCCAGAACAGCAAGGACGACGGCAGCAACAACGAGAGCGGCCCTCCCACGCCTCTCGCGGGACCGACGGGCCACCGAAGGATGATTTCCAACGGCATTCGTACGGGCAAACCGGTCGCGGAAGTCGCTAACAGCGTGCCCAAAGATTGGGCGTGGAGCACTTTCTGAGCGAATTTCCCTCCCACCATTGGGGACTCCAGCGGAGTACTCCACCGATCTCAGGCACGTGAGTCGGGGTCCACCGCACACCCTCCCGGAAGCCTTTCCTTTGCAGGGAACCCAACCCGCGAGGCTGGAACCTCGGGAACCTTCGTCGCATCCTGGACGCGCCGTCGCCGTTGACTCAGCTCCGACAATCAGAGCTAATTGTGGCGCACTCGGTCGGTTATCTACGGGTGTAACTAGTCCGTCCTTGATCTGCCTGTCAGGCTGAAGGAGTGTCGCCTCAGAAGGCTGTTATGCCCTCCCAGTCACGAGGGTGAGTCTTTGTATATGTCAGACTTGAGTCGGCCCATCATATGATCGGAAAAAAGACCTTGGACGCGTCGACTGCCAGGCGAAGTGACAGAAGTCAACCTTGGTGCCACAAGGGCAAGCCAACAAGAACTTGGGACCAGGCGATGCACCATATGCCTACAAGTACGGCGAAGCGGTGTGGTTACACCGCGCTAGAACCAAGGGGATTCGGCACAAGAGACGGAGAATACCCCGGAGAGCAAAGGGAGAAACGTCTGACATGTGGTTTGTTCGTGAATTAGTCATGTGTGACAAGTATTGACAGCACGCAAGCAAGCAAGCATGCACGCAAGGAGGGGGAGATCTCTGGTTTCCATTTGGGGGAATTCCACCCACTCTGGCGGGTCGAGATTTTAGCGAGCCCAGTTTCTTGACGATTATGATACCCAATTGGCACTGAATGCTTTCCCTTGGGACATGCCTGTTCTTTTCTAGACTTTTTGGGGAAACTTTGATACAGGCTTTGCTTGGCTGTAAATCGGGTGGCTATTTGAGGATATATTTTTTCTTTTAAGACACGACGAGATTATCGTCTTCTGTTACAGAACTTGGGGTTTGGAGTACTTTGTAGTATTTGATTGCGTCTCTTAGGACACGAGAATGATTATAAGCCTGTTTCGGAAGTGATTCTCCCTCCCCCTTTTCCAAGGAGGAAGACTTTCGCAGTCTCCTTCCCATGTATTATTGGGCGATGAGTGTCCCCAATGTACTCGGTATATTACCTAGCTATGTGCACCGACTTGCGAATAGCTGGGCCCGGTCTCGGGACTATCGGACGCAAAGGGACGAACGCCCATGAGGTTTTCTGCCCCGATCATTTCGAGATCCGGTCCCTGTCTCTTTTCATAACTGGCGGGTCCTTCTCGAACCATAGTCGTATCAAGCTGATTCTCCTGCTCGGGTCTGGAGCAGGCACGGATGCACGCATGCGCGGCTTCGTCTGTAGGGGTGGTGAGCCGTAGTCGATTGTTGTTGTGACCTTGCATGGCAAGGATAGAGCTGACTTCCGCGCCCGCGACGAACGGGGGCTAGGCCGTGATGGCCGTGGAATCGACGCCCCCGTCACTTACGTACGGCATGGGAGTGCTTCGGAGAAGATGGCCGTGTAGACAACACACATCCCCTTGACCCTCAGCCACAGCGGAAGAGGTTGGATTCCAGGCAATAGGACCTATCGCGGTGGGGAGATGACGTGGTGGCACATCTCGACTGCCCCCAGGGAGTGAGACAAGGCATATTACGAGCCATGCAGGCAGGCATTTTGGTTGTTGAACGAGGTCCCTCGTGCCTGCAGAGAAGGCAAGTAAACTTCCCCAGCAAGCAATTGTGATCGTTCGTTCATCCCATCAACTGGCCCAAATCTTCCGGCGGCCACCTCGTCTGGGCGAAACTGATGCACCTCTTGATGCTCTGCAGGAACTTGCGCGTGACCTCGTCGCTCATGATGTGCGCCTGTTTGCCGCTCGAGCTCTCGTGCAGTTTCTCCCGCGCGGACCGCTCGTGGATGCCGACCATGGTGACGCCGATCGGCCAGGCGGCCTTGCCGATGGACAAGGTGAGATACTCGTCGTTGGCCTCGACGTACCGTCTCTTCTGGGCGGACCGCACGATCTTGCAGATCGGCTCGAGCAAGTCCCGGTCGAGCGACTGTTTCTCAAAGTGCCGGAACAGAGGGGTGAGGTCTTTCAGGACCACGAGGTAGCTGTTGTACGCGGCTTTCCCGCTGGAGGATTGCTTGACCGACGCGTCCCGCTCGGCGAGCGCATGGGACCATTCCGTGAGCAAGAGGGTGAAGTAGGATGCGAGCTGGCGGTGGAGGAAGGCGTATTCTTCTGTCCCCGGTTGAAGAGCGAGGGTCGAGGGGAGGAGCATGTCCTTTTCCTCGACGGGCTCCAGTGTGGTCGGGATAGGGCCGTTGCTCAGCTTTTGTGAAGAAGCCGTCACAGCCATCCGGGTGAGGGTGTAGTAGCGCCTCAGTCGCGCAGAGTGGTCTTCATCGAACAGAGTGACCGGTTCGTTGATCTCACGGAGTTTGTTTCGCAACTCGTCGTCGGGGATATCCTCTCCGGTTTCGCCTGTGCCTGCTTCGCCCGTTTCCATTCCCCCATCCTCGAGAGCTGGTTGATCCGGTGCTTCGGGCAGCCCGAGGCGTTTTCTTCGTCTCCTCTCCTCTTCCTTCTCCTCCTCCTCTCTCCTCCTTCGAGAGTCCTCCGCCAGTTTCCGCAGCTTTTCCTCCCTGCGCGCGTTCCGCTCGGCCTCCTCCTCCTCGAGTTTCCGTTTCTTGGAGAGGCGTTCTTCCCGTTCGGCTGAGAGTCTGGCCTGTTCGGCGAGGTACTCGGCTTGTCGCGAGGCTTCAAGGTCCGCGCGTCGTACGTATTTATTTGCCGCTGTCGAAGCGGGAGAGTCGGGAGTTGGGGAGGGGGAGGAAGATGACTTTGACACTGGTGGTTTTGATCTGGCGATCTGAGCCGACATCAAGGATTTGAAGTCCATATCGAGCGTTCTCAAGGAGATGCATGAACTCAGGCAAATCGTGACAGTAGTCTCAAGGGATGGAATAGGCAGATGAAATGAGGCGCAGGATACTTCGTACAGAGGAGTAGAGTAATTAATGGTTTTTAAAGAGTTCAAAAGTTTCCCCACAGCTTGGAGCCTCCACACAGCAGAAAGTTTCGCTAGTAACGAGTAAATTCCACGACTCTTTTCAACTCCGTACTTTCTAAACCCCCATTAAGGACCGCCTGTTTGGCATTGGCGAGGATCTTGGACAGTCCATGTATCCAGGTAACATCAAGATCCTACCTAGGTACACTCTCCCTCAAACCTCTCTACTGCAGATCAGTCCTAGTCCTAAAGTCGACTATTTCAAGATCACTGAGCAGCCTTGACCTGGGTTCTCGACAGATTGCACAGCTGAGGTGGCGGTCCAACTACCCAAAGCTCTATGCCATCGGCCCAGCATACTCGAAGTATTCCGACACACAAAGCCTGAAGAAGGTGCAAGCTTCTCCGTGCCATGCTGCTCCGAGGTATTGGAATGCTGCTCTTGGCATTCACCAGGTCGGATGGAGCATCATCTGTCTTGATGGAGAGGTGGGTAACGGAAGTGATCTCGGATGATGAAGGACCACTGCGGCCGGTCGAGTAATGGATGGGACTGATCCTCTCCATTGGGCTGCTCCATGCGGAAATCGCTTAGCAAACCGCCTTCATGGCGAGAGGCTGTGTACTTACTCTCTTCGGATAAACCTGCGACAGACCTGGGATCTTCATACATCGGAAGCTGAATATGGTCCTTCTTCTGTCGGTACGCCTCCAGAGCCGCCAACACCACCGGTGCGAGGGCGACAATGACCGCGATGATGCCAACAAGAGTCTCGGCAGAAAGATGCATTATAGTTGATTCAGGGAGAGGTAGCTTTGTTCAATCGAGGGCTCATGGAAGCAACTGATGGACCAGGTCGCCTTCGAGGGGATCCGATATTTATGGCTAATTCGCCGTCTCTGTCCTTGTCTCCGTCCGGGCCAGCGTCCCCCACGAGATCTATGTCTGCTTCTTGCCAAACTCATGTTGAGGACGACAAATATTGGTTGCCACCAGAAGTTTGAACTTCGCCAGCGCCGCACCTGGCAGAAAACTCGGATGATGAAGGCTAACAACATGTTCCGGAGGAGCCACTGTCAGAAAAGAGGCGCGGGTTTGTTGTGTTGTCATTCGCTATTATTTGGCCCTCGCTGGTGATCGCAAGGCTCCGCCTGCCCCAGGCGTTGCTGTGCTAGTGGTTGGCGGGAGGCCAAAAGTTCACCTCGAGAGCCGGAGCACACGTAGGGTTCGGAGCACACGAAGGGGCCGAAGCACACGTAGGGGTCTCGAGAACAAGTACGGTCGACAAGCACTTCGCGGACTGCGTCAACATGGGCAGAATCTGTGACATGCGGTGGTTGGGAAACGGCAAAGGGTACATGGTGGACAGTTATCATCGCGCACCTTCGGCTCTGGCCAGTCGGATGAAAGGCACAACATGCTACTTGCGCCCTCTCTCTTGTCCCTCGATCAGAGCCTGGACCTGGTAAGGTTGGATTCGGCCATACATCCCAGACTCCTACGTAGGCGTTACTCGCTCCACCGAAATTCCAGCATGAGCCAATCGAATCTGATTTCAGTGCCGAATGGGTTTCCTCTCTGCAGCTGTCGACGCCTGCTCTCTTTTGCCTCGCTACCCTTCACCGCGTATTATAAGAAATGCTCCCTTCTCAATCATGGTGGTTGCCGCACCCAGTCGAGCCGCAGCCTCGGTCCACGATCCACGAAAGATCAATTCATACCTACCTAGGTACCTGGGTAGTGATCCTTGATACGGCCAACTACGACAAGGGAAGGAGAAGGGAATCTCGAATAAAGGACAAGAGATTGACGAACCGAAAACCGGGTGATTACATGGGAAACGAACGACCTTCACGATTGCAGATTTGTGGGTAAATTTCATAGCCCTCGACAACGAGGTATCTCTCTCTCTCTCTCTCTTCCTCGCTCTCTGTCTTCGCATCTTGGAGATATCAAAGAAGTATTTCGAAAATATAGGGGGGTATCTGTCCGTCAAAATGCTAAGTAGTCACAACAACAACAAGAAGAAAACCAAACCTCGCCTGCCGCCTTCTCCTTGTCTCTGTCCTCGCCTCTCCTCATTGCCACATAGATAGATTAGAATAGATCCATGTCGTCCTCACTGAAGGAAGCCGCGCTGCACGCCGCTTCTGGGGACTCCTTATCATCGTTGCTCGTCAGATCCTTGGGCTCTCTTCGCAGCTTGGCGGGTATCGAGTTCATTGCTCATGCCTTCGGTACATGTCGTTTCTCGCATCGTTTGTCCGGGGAGTCTTTGCTTTTCCCAAATAGATCTTCATGCACGCATATGCAGACATAAATCGCTGGCGTAGTTTGAACTCGCTGCACGGTAAAATAGCAACCAAACATGGCGTTCAAGGCATATCCGGATCTTCACCGAACCAACTTCGTTCCTGAACTGACCACCACAAACTCTACATCACGGCCCATCGACCGCCACCGCTCAACTCCACCACTTACCAGCCAGGGCTGAAGATTCTTACACTGACTCACGTCAAATAGTTTGAGTTTCTGGCAGCCCTCGACGACGCTTTGAACTCCGAGGCCCGTTACACGAACACATCCCCGAACGGCGAGTTCGCGAAGGGAAGTCAAGTGAAGGCCGATTGAACGTAGGCTCGGGTCGGAAACAGCGCTGCCGCAGAAGGAGAGGTTCAGGTGGGTGAGATTCGGACAACCCAAGGCAAGAACCTCGGTGGCCGTGTCAGAGAGCGCGCAGCAGAAGGACTAACAGACATCACTTAGCAAATAGGTCACTGCATTCGTTGGAGGTGCCAGCACTTACCAGGTCAAGCTGTCTTAGACCACTACCCGCCCCATTGACGAGCCACACAATGCTCTGATCGCTGAGATATGTGCAGTCGGCCAAACACAGTTTTCTCAAGCGTTCAAACTTGACATTGCCCCAGAATTGAAACCCAGCATCCGTTATAGTCGTACAGCGAGTCAAGTCCATTGAAACAATACGATTGTGCGCATGTGTTGCGATATGGGCCATCGTTCGATCAGTGATGTGCTTGCAGTAGCTTAGAGTGATGGAGCTCAGCTCTGGACATCCGATGACTGTGCCCGGGGGAGGTTGCTGCGGAGGAGTGTTGTTAAGTTTGGTGTTGATGACAGGACGGTGCGAATTGATCTTGGTGCGGTTGCTAGGGGCTTGAGGCTGTGCCGTGACCACCCAGCCAACTATTCTCGCTAGTAATGTATCGCTGACTTTCCGGCAATTACTCAAGTCGACTTCCTTGAGTCCACGAGCCTTGTTTGCCATCTCCAGGATCGCCGGAGCAGTAACGTCCCAGACGCTCTTCATCCGCCACCCCTGGACATTGGCTCCGCATGTGTTGACCAAAGCGGCGAAGCCTTCGTCGCTGATGTGAAAGCAGTTGCTGATGTCAATGAATCTAGGTCTTTCCGCGACAAACGGACAGATGCGGTTGATTAGGATGTCGTCCGTGATTTTTCGATTATAGCGTGATAGGTCAAGATGGTGGAGTAGATTAGGTGCAGTACTGAGAACATTCTGCCAATGGAGGGAAACTCCTTGCAAACGCATCAACTCATGCAAGTCGAGATATTCGAGTATCAGCGGCAGCAGTCTATCAGGGATCCTTCCCCGATTCAGGCCGCGACTGGAGCGTGGTCGGGGTTTGGGTCGACCTCCTGGGGAAAAGGGGTCGGAAAATGGAAAGCCGCTGCTGCCTTTATACTCGGACGTGGGAGATGGCGTTCCAGATGCCGAACTCCTGGGAGATGGGTTGGTTGTGGTAGTAGGTGATGATCGAGGAGACCGGCGTCTCTGATCTTTTGCTGGCTCATCTGGAGGCGGCGGAGCAAGAGAGCCTCTCCTTGATCTTGATCTGACCTTCTCGAGGCCCTCACTCAAGAAAGGATCGGGGTCTGAAGGTTCAAGGGTATTGTTCGGTTCCTCCGTCTGGGCGGGCTGTGTCGAACTACTGATCTCAGTGTCTGTAAACGTTACCCGGGGTCCAGTGAAGATTTTCTTTTGCCTCCTCTCTTTTGAGTCCCGGATTTCAAGATCATGAATGTCAGGCGTTGCGTCTGCGTCGTTCATGACAACATCGTTATCTGACGCCAGCTGTAATCGGTACTTCGCGGTCTCCTCAATTTGTCGCAAGACACTCGGCGGACAGCGATTCCAAAAATCCGCCAGCACATTTTCGGAAATCATCAGGCACTCAACCTGGGTTACCGATCGCACAGTAGCCGTTCGACGGTCTGCTAGCGACAGACTCACCACCTCACCGAAGTACTGTCCTGGCTTGAGCCGAGCTTTCACCCGTGGTGTACCCGGCACGCCGTTGGGTTCTCCGGCCTTGTGTGGCTTGGGAGTTGACACATTCCTCTCATCCAACACTTCAACCTCGCCACGGACAATGAAATAGACCTCGCGGCCTCTGGTGTCTTGTTTGATAATGTCTGTAAAGGGTGCAAAGCTTCTTGGCTGGGCACTGAGACCGAGAAAATGGAGAATATCGGAAGGTAGAGAGGCAAACAGCGGCAGCTCCTTCAAGGTCGCACGAATGTTCACGAGGCCATGCCCTAATGCGCTTGCTGTTGACACCTCGTTCGTGCCGGGGCTGGGAGATTTGCGCCGCTTGCTCGAGCTTGTGACGCTGCCGTCACTGTCTCTCATGTATACGTCCTCTCCAACCGTCACCCTTGCTCTCTTAGAGCCTCTTCTTTCGTGGTTTGGGACGTCTTCCGTGCCGAGCAATACTTGTCTCTTCTTCTTCTCCAGTTGTGTCAGTCGTTCCAGTGCCTCGTCCCGAATAGCCTGTTCCACGTCAGGATAATTCGGTAGTATCTTTTTCAGGTCCTCCTTCTTCAGCGCCAGCACCATACACCTTGTTCGGGCAACCACCGTGGCGGTGCGAGGCCGTTCCATGAGGATTCCAATTTCTCCAAAGAAGGCACCGGGTTTTAGTTCAGCAAAGGTGCTCTCACCGTCCCGAGACGTCACCGCGACGGCGCCCCGGACAAGCCAGTACATCGCTTTGGCATCTTCGCCTTCGGTGATGATGTAGTCATTGGTGTTGTGCAGCTGGGGTTTGAGGAGGAGGCCAATGTCGGCGAGGAAATCGTCCGAGGTGGATTGGAATAGAGGAAAAGAACGAATGCGGTCGATCAAGTCTAACGGCATGCCTTGGATCTGAGAGGTTGCTAAGGGGGACTGTCTGGCAGGTCTTGACGGATTGATCTTGGAGTCAAAACTGCGGACCAAGGAGACTTCTGCGGAAGGAGGAGCGGCGGTGCGGCCATGGTAGGGCGACAGTGCTCGTCCATGATGTCGGCGCATGTTTGCTGGAAGGGTTGTTGAGTCTGAGCGCGTGTCCACGCGAAATGAACTACTGCTCTTGGTGGACTGCCCCTCATCCCATGTTTCTCACATATGCTGTGCGACTCCCCCTCTTGACTATGACTGCGTCTTCAGAAAATTGGAGACTAGGTCAAAACTCTTAGATAAAGAGTCGGTCTGGCAGATAGGCCTCTTGCTGGGCTCCACTGGGAGGGTGCGTGAGTTCGCTGGCTTAGTAACGTAGGGGTCTAGGATGGCACGAGGTGTTCGGCACCGGGAGGTGGGAGGGAGGGCACAGTGAGGGTTTTCGCAGTCGTGACTTGTGACGACTTCGGGTTGTCAAATCTTGGGGAATGCGGTGGGTGGGTCGGGAAAGGATAGAATAGAGGGTCTTGGAGTCTCGATGTCGATGATGACCTTGGGGATTTGCAGGTAGGTGTCTGAGAAGTACGGTTGACGCTTTGGAAAAGTGCTGGAAGGAATATCCGCATCCGACACAGAGAGTCTCAAAGGAAACAAGCGTTAGAAACGAGCACAGCAACGATCCAGAGCCGTGCAGCTGCAGGCCGCAAGTTTCAAGCCAGGGTCCCGTCTATCCACGAAGGTGGTGGGCTGTGGGTGGCTACCGTGGCGGGGAACCGCATATCCATCTTGGAGAAGGCCACTAGACGATGTTTCGAGAAAAGAGATGGAAGGATTGGACGCCGCCGCTTAGGCACTGGTTTGGGTAAAAGAAATTAGCACGAGCCGGCCCAAAGTCTCCCTCTAGGCCCGAAACCTGGCCCATCTCCTCCTGTTCTCTAGACTGTGGTGTAATTGCATGAGAGAAGACTCCGAAATTGTTGCTTCGTATCAATGCTCCTCCACATCCCAAGTTTGGTGACACCACCGAGGGTATAACGGGCACTGAGACACACACACGGAGAGCCCTCCAGCCCGTATCGGAAACACGGGGCATCGTAGGTACAAGTAGAACGGCAATACAGGTACACGGTGATGAGATAGAACGAGATGCGTCAGCAAAGTCCGAAACCAATTGCGCAATTCCTGCCAACAGCCTGGGAAAACGATGATTGCGACCGCTTAGTCGTAAGCAATCAAGCTGAGATTCCTAAGCGACCCAACCATACTGGGCCCTTAGGGGCACCTGTCTCTGGCTCGCAATCTCAGGGACTGACTGCACCCGAAGAGCCCTGCGAAGTCCACCGCCGCTGCCCCAAATAGGGAGCTCCGACCCCCCATCGCGTCCCCATCGGCTTTACCCGCGGGAACTGCCTCACCGTGCACTAGAACACGTCCAGAAACATCGCTTGTATGCAGCGAGTGGCTGCCAAAAGGAAATCTTTCAGCCCTGCATCCACCGTCACTGCCTGCTTTCGATTGGAAGGGTTGCTCCAGATTTGCCTTCGTGCCTCCCAATCCGGCGAGGTGGATGCGTTCCTGAAGCTCGGGTTCAATTGACTTTGTAGCTCCAGATGTTGATTTACGTGAATTTTCCCCTTCCATAAGCCACATGATCGTACTTCCGTGTGCGAGCCGGAGGTAATACTAGTACGGGCACCTCGTAATTCCCTCGTCATAAGCTAGCAGCCAACCACGTTCTGTATGTTTGGATTCAGAGCTGAGAAGCGGTGAATGTGTTTCAACAGGCGAGCTATCCTCATCGAATGCGCGTGTGAGGCCTCGAGGATTTCCACCGGAACTCGTAGATGGGGGATTGCCAGATTGTGATCGAAGAATGGTGTCTTTGACAAGGGAGTAGGCGTGGAGGGGTGTGGCCCATGCTCTGACAAAAGACACACGAACCTCCCTGTATAGCAATCTGTCGAGGTCCAGTCTCCGGTCTGCCGTCCTCACCCTGAAAATTTCCTCCTCAACCACAAGATGTATGCCGGTGGATTTCCTCTAATTGATGCAGCTAGATCTTGCACCAGACCATAGGCCAGGGACAGTCTTAGAGCACTTCTTGCAGTTCGGGCGGCGGCGAAATGGTCGAGCCCTCGTTTCCAGCTGTAGATGCCAGCCAGAGTCATCCCAGCGATAACTGTGCTCCCAAAGTCTCTTTGCCCGGTCGCAACATCGTCATCCCCTCTTGCGAATAGACGAGCTCTAGACAGATCGACCATCTCTTCTGTGACCATAAACATTGTTGCCCAACCTGTACATATAGACCCGAACCGAACACCTTCCTTGATCCCACCAAACATCGCATGGTAGTTTTTGGACTTTTGGTAGAGAAACCATCCGGTTTGGGTTGTCGGGAGCCGGTGCGCGTTCTCGGCTCTATATCGATATGCGCCTTTTGTAGCGCCCTGAGATGCTCCTAGACTGAAGCCGCAAGCAAAGGATGCCAACATTAAGGTAGGAGCGCGCAGGATCAATGGGATCGACAGTCGTTCGTTTGGCCATCCCGTAAATCTGACCAATGCATTTTCCTCCTTTGCTTCCATCAGGGATTCTGAATTCAGCAGTGCACTGGCTAATGTAGGTTCTCCCTGAGAGGGAACTTGGAGATCGTCTTCGTCGTCGTTCCGGGGGGACTTGAATGGCCACATGCTGTACTCAAGCCCTCTGAAGCTGCGGACGGCTGCAATCTCGAATTTCTGCTCTGAGCGTTCGGTCTAATAGAAGTCAACCCCAATCTACCCTCGATTTCGATTTCAATGCCTCCAACATGCTGGCCGTACTCTTTACAATCAAGGTGCGACGCACTGCAAATGATGGGGTCGGCTGGGTTTGCACCTCACGAACAAAGCTTTGAAAGGGGACGTGTGGGCTAGCGCAGCTCTTGGGTGGGACTGGCGAGCTGATCACAAACCGGAAAATAAAAGATGCCGTCAGACAAGTCACAGCCTTGTCAGTTAAGAGCCCACCCCGCATTCGCTTCCGATGTTCTCTGCCTGCGGCGCGTCAGTCGCGCTTCACCCCCCGAAATTTTTGCAATTGAAGTCCATCAATGCCAACAAGTCTTGCTGATTCTTCTGTCCTCACAGCTGACGGCTCGATCAAAGTGCTGAGCTGCTCTGCATTCTCGCCTTCCTATTCAGCTTAGGGTTTGAAGCCCGCGCCATTCAAATTGGTCACTGCACGCGAGGAAGAATCGCAGCCCCGAAATGACGCCCGTCTCCCAGGAGGATCTGGCAGAATTGCCTACACCAGACATGATCACTCTACTCTTCAAGTGCCACAAATCCACGACCGCGCTATCTGTTTTACCAACCAGGCCGTTCCCCGAGATCAAAGCTCTCTTGCTTGCAGCCCTTGAATCACGGAACCTCAAAACGCTGCCAGACTCCAGCGCACCTCTCCCGGAAGACCCAGAAGAGTTGGAATTCGGCGTGCTAGCGGACAAGAAGGACCCGAGTAAAGGCTGGGTTCCCATGGATATCAAAGAGCAAGAGGTCACCGGTCCCAAGGGCACCAAAAAGAAAGTCGGCGGAAAACACTCGGTCCTCAATCTGAACCCGCTTGGGGCTGGTCTTGGTGATGGGGCCTGGGTAGCATATCGACTAAAGGTGAAGCAGAAAGAACCACAAGTGGAAGACGAAGATCACGAGGGCGGTACTCCAGACGTCGAGATAGACGAGGATCCCGGATTCGATGTGATCCTTCCCAGTTTCGAAGAAGAGGCTGAGTGATTTTCGACCCCCAAGAATTGTTGCTACCAAGTAATCGCCCGTCGCAGCCATGAGAGACACGAGGCAACACCACCTCCATACAATGCACTTTTACAGTGCCGTCGTCCGCACGATGAATGCGGAAGGAATTGAGCGGTTGAAGGAATATCGTTTCATGATTGAAGGAGAAAGACAATTTTGTTTCTCAAGTGGCAGGGCTGGTGCTAGCCCAGCACAGGGTGGAAGGGTGCCATCTCCGGTGTCCTGCACTGTGTGGTGGCATCCTCGGGAAGATGGATTTCAGCCCCCATCGAGCTTATGCATCTAGCAAAGTCGAGGAAGTGATAGTCAGGACTTAGTCTTGCGAGGGCTGGCGGAGTGAATTGCCAGCGGGCGCAATTTGACGGTGGATTTTGAAGTCCCTCGACGATCGCTCGCAAACGGGTGCGGTGGCCGTTGGCAGGTGTTGTGCTATATCTGGAAACTTCAAAGTGGTTCCCCCACAACAGATTCTGGGATAGGGCTGAAGCGGCTGACAAGCGGGTGGCACTTTGACACAATTGCAGTCACTCCGTACTAGAAGCTTGGGTTGACCTGGGCTGGTCATGAGACAAACGCCAGTGAAAGCTGCGCAGCTTCGAAGGCAGGCAAAACTAGTTAAGCAGCTAGAACAGGCCCTCGACCATCAATTGGGCGGATGGATGTCATTAAGCAGATTCCAATCCGGGACGCGGAGAGGCTGAACGGCTGCATGTCTTGACTATTGGGTGCGGCGCAGGTCCCCTCGGGCTTGGTAGGCGTCTTGTCTTCCATCCCTCCCATAATCAAAGGGTCAGCCCGCCTCCATTACTTGCGTCGAGCACCGCAGCTGACGCTTTGTTTGCCCTTTGGCTTGTTTCCATATCACGCAGTCTGAGAATACGCCGTAGCATCTTTCGATCCCCTCGCGGCGGATGCGGTTTCAATGCAGCGGCTTTTCAAGACCAACAAGTCGCAGGCCTCCATAGAAGACCCTCAGACACACCCTGATCCACATCCCCATCAGCAGCAACCGCAACACCCCCAGCCTCAGCATCTGGGACGTCAACAACCCTACTTCGACCCCCAGCAGCAGCAGCAGCAGCACCAACTCTATCCCCAACAGCCTTCACAACAGCATCCATTGACCGATCTTCATTATCAGGGGCAAGCCTCAGATTCCCTGCCACAACCTCAGCCTCCAGCGGCCCCTCCCCACTTGGGACGCACTCAAAGTGGTCGCAGTTCATCCATCCCGGACGTGTATGGAGGAAGCCAAAGGCCGCAAGTGAACATTGTGCCTCCGCTGTCCCAGCAACACGCCTTCATCCCCGAAGGCCCTGCTCCCGTTCCGGGACAGACAACATTTGGCCAGTCGAGGCAGGTTCGGACCATTGAGGATAAAGAGCACAAGCGATCGAAGCGCAGTTTCATCACAAGCCTGATCAAAGACAAGAGCAAGGACGAAGACAAACACAGAGAGAAGGAGAAAGAAAACGGCCCTCCTGAGCGCAAACCACTTGGACGATCAAGCTCGGTACATCTTTTGAGGAAGTCGCACCCTCCTGACCACCCATCCCGCGACTCATATTCAACCCAGACCTCGCCACAGTCTCAGCATCCGTCCAGACATTCGACATATTACCCTCCTGCACCACCAACAGACGCATCGACCGCGCCCACAGATCAGGCTGCGGATCAAGCTCAATACGAGCAATACCAGAGAGGTCAAGGCCAGTTTGACTCTCCACAAAGCCAATTAACCCATCAGTCCGTCGACTACGCTGAAGACGCTCCGCACTTCAGTCCGCAACACGAGCAATACCACGCATATCACCAAAGCGAGTCCGCCAGTACCTCGGAACATTACCTGCCGTATCAGCCTCAGCAAGCTCGTCCCAACAACGTAGAGTCTGACCCATATCAACACCTTAGACCACCGTCACAAGCATCTCTCGGGCCTCCTTCTCCCATCAACACCCCAGCCCACCCCCTCGTTGCTCAAGACTCTCGTCCCTCCACGGCTGCAACCAATCGTTATTCCTCACAGTCAGCGTCTCAAACCCAACAGCCACTTCAGACTGCCATGGCAAGAGGCGACCCACCCAACGGGAGCATTCGCCAACAGTTATCCCAGCGAGAAGCTCGGTCCGAGGATCAGAATCAATATCAAAACCAAAGTCAAGCCGATCCAAGGGTGAGAATGTCTCAACAAGCAGCTTCTGAGCAAGGTAGAAGTACACCTCCGCCGAGAAGCCGCGAAGACATTAGCCAATTAGACTATAACCAACTTCTGCAGCGTCACGAGGAGTTACAGGCGAAATATTCCAAGGTCAAACGATACTACTTTGAGCGGGAGGCTCAAGTAACGCAGCTGCAGAATACTGTGGCGAACCAGCGTCTTTCCATGTCCAAAACATCGCTAGATGATGCTCAATATACGGCGAGATTTGAACGCTTGAGCCAGGCGATCAACAACCTTTCCTTCAACATTCGCAAGAACTGGCGGGCCATTCCACCGTGGCTGCGACATGTCTGCAACCAGGATGCCCACACTGTCGGCACGAAAGAAATGACCGCCATCGGACGAGCTTGTATTACTCGATGGCTATACGAAAGTATCTTTCAGCACACGTTTCACCCAGGTATTGAACCATCATTGTCTGCACAATTAAAACACATCGAACATAACTTGCGTCGTGGAGGGCATGCTGGCAGTCTCTTGACTGATGAGCAGCGGGACGATTTGACGACCAAAATCACGACCTGGCGACTCACAACCATTGAAGGTCTACAGGATGTGCTCAATTCGCCACAAGCGGAACACTACACCGAGACGATGAACAAGCATTATACTCATCAGCTCACCGAATCACTGAAAGCAAACCTGACGGATCCTCCGCCACCCGGGCTTGTCGAGGGGGTTGGCATGATTGTGGGGCAAGCCATCGGCATTGCGTCCAATATTCCGCTGGAGTCGCGCGAGATCTGTATCGAGTATTTCATGCCGGGCACCCCTTTGAATGAGACATACATGAAAATCGAACCGCAAATCGTTGCTTTAACCAACCCTGGCCCAGACGAACGCGTACTCCAACAACAAGCAGCTCAAGCGAAGGCGCAAGAGCAGGCACGAGCACAGGAGGAGGGCGATCAGATGAGCACGGCTAGCACAGACGACGGACCGCGAGACCGTGACGTAGAGGCGGAAATTCGTGAAGCTGCCGGCAAAGCTGCATCGCAAGCAGCCCAGCCACCGGGCGCTGGAGGCCAACAGGGACGAAACGAAAGCGGGACGAGCACCAGCAGCCAGGCGACCATTAAGGGCTCCAGCGAGAAGCATTCGAAGAAATCCAGTTTCCTGGGAGGATTCGTCAACAAAAAGCCCTCCATCTCGGCGCGCGGTGAGAGCCGCTCCGAAGGGAATGCCTCTGCGGGAAACGAAGGCGACGACCAACGTGGACATGTCCGGAACAGTATGGCAGTTGATCCGGCCCAACTGGCCCCCCAACCTGGAGCGAACGACGGCCGGATCAGGTTTGCGGCTTTCGTGGCGGTCGAGGTCAGAGGGAAGGGACCGACATCTGGTGCGTCGGGAGGTGGTGCGAACAGTGGGAAAGAGCCTGGATCTGCTGCTGCAGGAGGAGTCTCGCAGTCTGCGGTCAACGTGCTGTTCAAGGCACCAGTCTATGAGTTCTAGGATCTTCCCTTCGAGCTCCGTGCGGACATGGTAGACTTGGGGACGGGCTGTGTGCAGAAGCGAGAGCAAGGACCTGGAGCCGGGAGCGAAGAGAGACACCCCTTTCCTTTTGTTGTACTTGCAATCTTTCCCTTTTGGATTATGCAGCGTCTGCATTTTCATATACAATTCTGTTTGTCAGTTGTTGAGCGAAAAAGACAAGAAGAGGACGATGTGGGATTATTATATTGGCACCCAAAATCTATAGCCATGTAGGGACAGAACTTGGATCCCTGGATTTCTGGACTTCTCGACTCCTGGACTCTGGTAGCAACGCTTCACTTCATCATTCGCTTGGGCAGAAGCAGAAGCTGAGCCAAGCGGACGAGGAGGGAGCGGCGTAGGATTTCCGTGGCTGCTGGGACTCTCACTTCTTGGGCTTTGGCCTTTGGGCAGCATTTCAACCCTTTCGAACCCATCGACTTCGCGCCCTGTTTCCCGCCCTTCGCACGCGCCTGACAGATGGCGGGGTCGGTGGCCATGCTTGTGTGATCACGAAGATTTTTCATCGGCACCGACTGGGCTCCAGACTCTCAACTCTCAACTCTTGTTCCAACGAATTAGTTAATATAGCCATGCATGTCCGTTGCTCTCGCTCCCCCGCGCTGACCTCAATTGCCCTGACTGCAAAATAGAGGCAAACTTCCCCGTCGCGTTTCCCTTTTCCTCACTTATACTTTTTCCATCTTATTACGATGGCTTCCTAACAGTCCTTGTCCGCGTTCTTCTGTCCTACGGGGGTGATTCCGCCAGGTCTCTATGCCATCACCGAATAAGATCGAGGATCCATGTCAGGAATGTCGTGGTATGTCCCCATTCTTTTCCCGAGACGCAGGCTGGCGTGTTGACTGATGGCTGTCCCCAAGACCGCCATCTCAAATGTAAGTTCCGCTACTGACAGCTCGCCTATGCCTTCACATCTCGCAGCGCCTTGTTCTCCTGCTTCTTCTCCATCCTGCACATGTCTGTCCTGCACGAAGGCTCCCCCCGACGTGCCACAAGAACCACCTTTTCTCACCGCCACCAAACATCCTCAGCCCGCTCCCTCCTTTGTTGGACGGTATCACCGCATGGAACCAAGCTGACATCCCCCAGGCGACAACAATTTTCCGAAATGCAAACAATGTGAACGTTCCGGGGAGAGGTGTCGGCGCGGAAACGGCAAGCTCAAGTTTCGGGTCGGCTCCAGCGCAAGATACGATGCCTCCTTTTCCAAAGATCAAACATGGCTCGAGCAGACCAAGAATGGTAAGTCTGTGTAACCGGTGCCGCAGAGTTTTCCTCGCCTCAGAAGCGGCGCAGTGGAAGGAGGGGCCTTATCAAAGGCCAACTTGATGACCGTCACTTCTACTGCTGTCATGTCCTGCCGCCCACAATACCATCACCCACCCGTTCATGTCACACTGCTCCAGAGCCACGTTGGCAGCAGCTACTGATGCTGTGTCCCCATTTATCCCGCTCAGGGCCGGACACCTACCGACGGTTGGACCTATCAACTCGTGCGCTGACGATGCCTTTTGACAGCAAAGTTCCAATTCGTCGACCAAGGCCCAGAGTTGGAAAACTACTACTCCCAGGACGACATCGTGGTGACTAGTACCAAAGCAAATGCCCAAGACGAGAGACAGGAAAATGCCGCTGGGCCACCCAAGCGCCTCGAGTCATCAGTCGAGGCCGAGCTGTCCCCAACAGTTCGCAGCGCCCCCTCTACCGATCTGCCTCCTTTCTTATCGCCCTTCAACGCAAACAATGAATCAGTCTTGGTGCATTCTCCCATAAAACGGAGAAGAACTGCAGACGCGATCTCGCCAGAATATCAGACCCACCCCAACCGATTGCCCAACGCTGCCTACGACCCCATTCGGTCTCAATATCGCATCTACGACTTTCCCAAAGTCTTTAGCTCTACCAGCGCGGACGGCTTTCCGTATATGCCCGAACAACATCAAGTCCCCAAAGTAGTCGAGGCGGAGTACCGTCGCCTGGCAGATTCAGCGGCGGCTACCATCCCAGAAGACCCATTGCTATCTCCTGCCATCTGGAAAGAAGAGTTCTACTGGCCGAACCAATATACCACCACACAATGTGCTTGCTTGATGCGATACTACATTGAAAACCTCGCGCCATGGGTAGGTCATGTGCTCCAACCTGGTTGTCTGTCGCAGAGCTGACTGAGGGAGTTTGACGTGGGAGACCCAGCCAGACACTTCACACTGGCCGTTCCCCAACGTGCCAGGCGAAATCCTCCGCTACTGAATGCCATTTTTACCCTGGCAGCAAGGCACCTTGCTTCGCTCCCTCGGTTTAAGACGGCTGACGGTGTGATCCAGTATCAGAACATTCTCCTTCCCAAATTGACCGAGGACACTGCTGTCAAATATCACAATGCGTGTATTGCGTACCTCATCAAACTGTCCAGCGACCCAGAGCATGTACGAGATGAGGATCTACTTGCTGCCGCGGTCATTTTGCGCTATTATGAAGAGATTGATCCGTCACTTACGAACGAAGACAGCAAGACCCTCATTCATACCTTTCAACTATTTGCCAACGCTCAAGCGAATCCTTATGCTTACATGATGAACGACGACAAACATCCTGAGTATCTTAGACCGGGATCTGCTGTCGGCTTGTTTGAAAACGCCCTCGCTTACTTGAAAAGCTTTCAACATGCTTCGTTTCGAGTTGCCCTGCGTCAAGAGTTGACAATTGCCTTTCTGAGGCAAAGGCCTGTCCGGTTACCTCTAGAAACATGGACCATCCTGCAAGGTTTTGACGAAGCGGAGGACTTCATCTGGTCCGACCGACATCTCTACCACTGTGCCAAAGTTCTACAATTTTGCTTTGGTGGTGATGGCGGCACGGGCAAGACGCAGATCGAACAATGGAATGAGCTTCGAAACTTTGAGATACAATGGGACCAATTCAAGCCGTTGTCGTTTGCGCCTATCCATTATCAGGTGCCTGACCGCTCCAAGGGGGAATGTCTTCCGCACATATGGTACATGGCGGAGGTACACGCTACCGGATTATTGGCTCTGGACCTGGCTAGGATTTTATTGACCGTGTACAACCCAAACATCCCACGAATCGGGCCCGGGGTAACAGCAGCTCAGAAGAGGATTGCGGATGAAGTGCATGATATAGTGATTCAACTCTGCGGGACTGCAATGTCTCTGGGTGGGACAGCAGCATCAAATGCTTCCTCTCAGCCTGCGATGGTTCAGGCGTACATGGCGGTTGTTGTTTGCGGAGAGTACTTTTCGGATCCCCTTGAACAACGCGCGCTGATGGGTATCTTGGACAGGCTGAGGGGCGAACACGGCTGGCCCACCGGCAAAACTGCTATGCAACTGAAAAGGGAATGGGGATGGATCTGATGGATTTGGATGGCTTTTTATACCCGGTGTTATCTGGTTGTCTTCTTAGGCCACATGCGAGCACTTTTGGTTGGGGGAACCGTTCTTGCCAGAACAAGGACCACATGGGAAATTACGGTATGGACGAGGGTATCACACACGCAACGGACATGGACATGTCTGAATGATCGGGGTTTTAATTGAGGAACATGCGAGGAAAGACCCATATCTTATCGCATCCTCTCGACGCGTGCGAGTCGAGCGCTTGCATCAGCAGCGCTGATGTCTGTCTGACTTGCAGCAGAATACGCCTGGACGAGTTGAGAGTTGAGAAACTGAGACTGTCGTAGATAGGAGCTCCGACCGCAGGAAGCCCCGGCGTATTCATGGGAGAAAAGGGATGATAGCTCACCAAGTATGGAGCCCGTTCTGGCAAGCCTGAACTTCCCTAATTACAGAGCACCAGCAGCAAGAATGAGGGCGTGGGGCACAAGTCACCCACTAGCGAGTACTCACCTACCGAGTTCTGGGACTAGCGAGGGCCACCACTGGGTCACCCACTATTGACGCGACGATGCCGTCATCAAACGGTGCAAACTGCAATGCTTCTTCTATACGCCCCTCTGTCTGGGCCCCGCCTCGATTGACGTGCCCGCGACACATTACTAATTGACCGTGAGACGAAACAGACGTCGACACAGGCGCATTGCGCCATCCGCTCATTAAATAGCTGGAGTCAAGGTCTCCCGTTCCGCTTGATTACTTTTTCCTTTCCTTTCTTTCCATGCTGAGGACCTCCCTTGGATCCTGTCGTTCTCTGTTCACGAAACCAGCTCCCCCCAGCTCCCGACCAACAGCCATCTCCGTTCGCGCATCAACCAATCCCTCCTCTACCTACCCTACCTCGTTGCTCCAAGCAAGGCCCTTGCGGATCCTGTCCAAAATGGCCAACAATCTCTACATCGCCGATACCCCTGCCGAGGTGTCCCAGGCCAAGGGCCTGCACCTCATCACCCAAAACACCCCCAACGGCCAGGCCACGCAGATCATGCTCGAAGAACTCGCGGACGCGTATGGGACCACGTGGACCACGACGCTCATCAACATCATGACCAATGAGCAGAAGAAAGAGTGGTTCCTCCGGCTGAACCCCAACGGACGCATCCCCGTGCTCGTCGACAACGGACAATCCCCTCCCTTCCCCATCATCGAGACGAGTGCCCAGCTGCTGTATCTGTTGAAGTTTGCCGACAAAGAGGACAAATTCGGCTTCAAGGACGAGTTGGAGAGGAACGTGGTGTTGCAGTGGATGTTCTTCTGGCACGGCGGAGGTGCCCCGTACCAGGGCCAAGTGAACCATTTTTCGCGGGCGGCCCCCGAGAAGATTCCCTGTAAGTGTGCCCTTGTCCTGCGGCCCCTCCTCTCCTCGCGGGATTGCCCTTTGCGGTTGTGTCGTCCATATACATACTGACTGTGTGCGTGCCAACACCGGAAAGACGCCATCAATCGCTACAAGAACGAAACCCTCCGCGTCTACGGCGTCCTGGAGATCCGCCTCTCGGGCCAGTTCACGGGCGAACCGCGCGACTACCTGGCCGGACCCGGCAAGGGCAAATACACCGTCGCGGACATCAAGACATGGCCTTGGGTGAAGGGGTGGGAGAGAAGCGGGTTCACCGCGGACGAGATGAAGCCCTTCCCGCACCTGCTCAAGTGGATTGACCGGATTGCTGCGAGGCCGGCGGTCCAGAGGGGCATTGGCGACAAATATGTGCAGAAGTAAGTCCAAAATATAAACCATGTCTTTCCAGTGAGAAAAAAAGGGGATTCTTGCGCGCCGGAATTGTCGAAGGAGATGAGAATTACGCCTCGATGATGTGCAAAGGGAGCACCCACGGCCCTGGACAGTATAGAGCTATGAAAAAGAAGAAAACAATGCCCGGGACTCCATATTCCCCCCCAACCAGCTCGCTGGCAGATTGATCTCTCCACACTCCCTACGCTCTTGTCAGACACAATGCATGCGACTGTTTCTCTACCGTTCGCAGTGATCTATTCCCAGTTGGATATCGTCCTTTTTCCCGCCCGCACACGTCTCCCTTGCTGCTCCTCGCTTCTCACCGCGTCCCGCCGATCACCTCAGCTGACCTCCTTGCGTGCTCCCTTCGTCGGGAAGGGTGCGCGAGCCACCCAGATCGAGACTCTAAGACCCATCCATATACAGCACCTCCGGAAGGGGGACCTTTCCTTTCCTCTGGGTTTCCCTTGGTTTTCATTGCATTCCCTTTTGTCATTTCATTTTCTTGTTCTCTGTTCGTATCCATTTTAAGGAGGGGGGGGGGGGGGGGAATAAACGAGATCTGGAGCACATGTTTGATCCGAGAGCGCCGGACCTCACTCGGAGGCTCGCTCTAGTCCTGAAACCTCACCATGACATCCTCGAGGTGTTTCCGCAGCTCGGCCTTCCTCTCGTCGCTGCACCAGCTGCCGTCGATGGCGTGGCCGGCGATGCGCTCCCACTCCTTCTTGTCCAGCCCAAAGGCGTCCTGCACGGCGCAGTGGTTGTCGAGGACGTAGCCGCCGAAATAGGCCGGGTCGTCGCTGTTGATGCTGAACCGGACGCCGTTGTCCAGGTAGGTGCGGATGGGCAGGGCGGCGACGGTGGGGACGCAGCGCAGCTCGACGTTGGACAGCGGGCACATGGTGACCATGATGCCGCGCTGGGCGAAGAGGGCCATGACGGCCGCGTCCTCGGGCAGCTTGATGCCGTGGTCGACGCGCATGACGTCGAGGTGGTGCAGCGCCGAGGCCATGTAGTCGACGCCGGCCTCCTCGCCGGCGTGGGCGGTGCGGCGGAACCCGCGCGCCGCGGCGTCGGCGTAGATGTCGCGGTACAGGTGCGGCGGGTTGCCCTTCTCGGTCGACGACAGGCCCAGCCCGCGCACCACGCCCGACTCCAGGTGCGGGATCGCGTCGCGGTACATGCGCGCCCCGTCCTCGACCGGCAGGTGGCGGAGCACGCACACGATCAGCTCCGACGTGATGGCGAAGTCCGCGCGCGCGCGCCGCTGCGCCGCCGCGAAGCCGTCCACGATCGCCGCGTACGCCACGCCCCGCGACGTGTGCGCCTGCGGGTCGAAGAAGACCTCGGCGTGCACCACCCCGTCCCGGTGCGCGCGGCGGAAGTACTCGTACGCCAGGGCCTCAAAGTCCGCCGGCGTCACCAGCACCGACATGCCGATGAAGTAGTAGTGCAGGAAGTCGTCCAGCGACGTGAAGCGCTGGTACCGGGCCAGCAGCGTGTCGATCGATTCGAACGACGGATCTTCCGCCGGTGACGGGAGCGAGATGTTGTTCCGCGCGGCCAGGTCGAAGAGGAGCGAGGGCTCGAGCGAGCCTTTTCCCCGGGGGAAGAAGCCATCAGTTAGCTCGCTAGTTTCAACAAGTTTGGACGAGAAGGGGGTTCGATGGACGGGTAGGGGTGTAGTGCCACTTTGAAAAAGGGCTGCGGTTTTCTTGTTGGAAGATTCATTCTGACCGACTCACCTTCGAGATGCATGTGGTGCTCGCACTTGGGCAGAGCCTTGAGGAACTCGTGCATATGTCCTTGACACATTTTGCTGTTTCCGGGGGTGGTTCAAATAAAATAAATCCCTCTCCTCTCTTGCTTGAGCCTTTTTGGTTTCTTCCTATTCCTTCATTCACAGCCCGCGCTTTCCTCGGCTTCAATCCAACGACACAACGCTGTCCAAGTGACCTCCTCTAACCGGGCCTGGGCACTAAAGTGGTCCAGTCGAACCTCACGGCAAACACACTCGCTCAGCGCACAGGGTCGAGACTGAGGGCCGAAAAGAGATAAGCAGTCTACCACACAGGGAGAATCCCCCAGTACAATGAAAATCTCAGGATGCGACGAAGAATAGGCGAGGGACCAAAAAAAATTGATCGCAGTGGGAAAAAAAAAGGTAATGTACAGAAAATATGGTGTCTGACCTATGTATTGTAGGTAGGTAGCGAGTAGGTAGGTACTTATCTCCCTTGAGATGGATCGATCGGTGACCTCCGAGCAGTATTAGCCACACAGGAGTCAGGGACACGAAGGCGATTACCTTGGGGTGTACCTTAGGTAGATACCTAGTACATATGACCGTGCGGATTCTCCGCTTAGCGTGCGTGGCTTATTGAGATGCTTCTCTCTCTCTCTCTCTCTTTTTTTCCTCTTTCGCCTCTTTTTTTTCCCTGCTAATATTGCGGGGTGATCTAAGAACCCAAATGGTGGCAGATGCAACCCTAAGCATCCGACTGGGCCAGCGGTGCTTAGAAGAAATGACGTACTGTAGCTGGTAGCTTGAGAAATGCTTATCGAGACCCAACGATATTTGTTGTAGGTATGAAGTACAACAGATAGGGTGGTTCTTTGTGGCTTATCCCGCTGTGGCTTCTTCCTCGTCCCTGAAACCCTTGCGGCCTCTTCTCCCGCTTGACTGCAGAGCTGCAAGCAGGCTGGTACAGGACCAGAGCCGCTCACTGGACGCACGTATGTAGATTCCAATGCCTAAACGTTCTGCAGGCGCCATAGCTTTGCCCTGAGGATGGTCAGAAGATCTTCACTACCCTGGTCTGGGTCGGTCGACGAATGCGCAGGTCTATCGTTACCCCTTACATCTGCAGCCTCGCTCGATCTATGTCGATGGCATACCACCATCTGGCCAGTGCATTCGCCTCACGCAATGAAAGACCTTTGAAAAATGTCATGAGCCACGTAGTCCTCGATGGAAAGCCTTGGTTCGTCATTGCTCCTAGTCAGATGAGCAATCTCGTTGAGCTGGCGGGGAGCCTCCTGAAATACGCAAATCGCAGGTTTGTCAAGATATGAAGCTGTACAAGTAAACAGACTCGCTAGGTATCGCTTATCCAAAATCCACAGGCCACCACCTTCATCGTAGTCGTCAATTCATTAATCGCTCGAGTCCCCGGCGTGACGAGCATATGATTTTCCTAGACCAACGCCCTTAGCCCTGGCATTGACCACTGCCTCCAGACACCGCCCCATCCCTTCAAGATCGCCCATGATTCCCACATGTCCCCGATCACTCTCCACTCTGCCCCCCTTGACACAACGATAGCCTTCTGGTAGCTGTGCCGCACTTGCTAGCACTACCCCGTCTCCAGCGGCAAACGCCAGATCATCAAACGCATCCGTGTACTTTATCGCCTCCTTATTGGCGACCCTGGCCCCGTACACGGTGGGCACCGTCTTGCCAAAGATAAACGCGTGGGGAGGGTAAAGATTGTTTTCCTGGTGGCTAGCATTGAATTTCAGCTGCTTTTTAAAGACCGACACCTCCGCCAGCGTGCGATCCAGATAGTCCTCTGCAAGGTCCCTCGGAATCGTTACAGCAGTCGCGATGCTGGCTCGGTGATGAGATTGTTTCATTGACGGTCCAACCATTCCTTCTGCATTGCCTTCCATGTCTTGTCCTGCTTCCAGGGCCTTGTCGACCGCCTGCTGGTGTGCTTCTTCCAGAACTTCTCTCGTATCCGTTTGTTGCAAGGATTGCCCCTGGGGACCTTGACTTCCAAACCACGAAGTACGTTTGCCGGACCCCGAAATGCTTTCGGAAAGAGCTCCGATAATACTCTTCCTACGTTCGTCTTTCTCTCGGAGGCTGCGTGGTATGGGAGGGTTGATGCAGGGAGACAGGTGGTATTCGTCCCAGACGTGCGGATCGAAGAAGTCCAGATCGTACCGCTTGTTGGTGTGCTTCTGGATGAAGCAGCGACCGTCTTCTGGAAGAAGGGCGTAGCTGGTTCGAAGCGTGAAATTGACTTGGGCTGTGAGGACTCTGGAACTGAGCAGGACGTCGTCCCCGTTCCGCAAAGGCCCCAAAATGTTGACACAATGCTGTGGCACGCCGGCGTAGACCACACCCGCAAATAGATCGGGCCGTTGGTTGACCGCATGCCGTGTAATGAGCCCTCCTAGACTATGTGCGATAACGGTGGCACCTCGACTCTCGTGAGGCGTCTCCGGATGATTGCACTCCAGCGATTCCAGAAACTTGATCAACTTTCCACTGAGAAGATCCGGAGATAGTCGCCAATCATAGCCCCAGTCGTGGACTCTGAGTTTGTTCTCACGGGTATTCGGGCATTTCTTCATATGTTTGAGCAACCTTCGACAAATGTCGATTGGGCCAATATGCGAAAGAATGCCAGATGGGATGATGGTCTGTTCCATGCGCTCTTCATCCTCGCGCGTCAAACCAACTTCAAGATCGACCTTACGCATGTTCAGTCCAACTTTGATGGGAACCCAGACTTGTCGATGAGGAGGCTGTGCTGATCTCAAAATCGATCCTCTGTAACCACCCAAAATAACCACGTCGCCGGTGGTCTGTGACAGAGCATGTGACAGTATTGGATGTGCTCGCTGCTGCGGAGTTTCAACCTCGACACCCTTCGCTGCATTCCGTATCTTCTTGACCGAGGCGTCCTGGTAAGTCTGTCCTCGTCCATCGCCACTACTTTCGTCGATTCCTCGAGGTATCTCTCCATTCAGTTGGTCGGGCGAAGTGCGTCGCTTCGCTACTTGTCGAAGTGCGGGCAGCCGAGGCAATTTCAGGGTCGAATTCTGGAAACTGTCTGTTATGGCTTTGAATCGCGAATTTGCCATATCAGTAACGTGGGCAAAAGCGCTAATGTCGTCGTACGCCGACACACCAGAAACTCTTCTTCTTATGTAAAGAGATCCTTCAGAGTTGGAACGTGCCCGGCTGCCGTTGGATGCCGGACTGGTCGGTGAGAGCAGCGATTCCACGTTGCCGTCCATCTGACTCCGCGACACAGCGACAAGGTCGTGCGTTGGTACAGGACCCGGTTGCATGTTGCGAGATGAGTCCCCAGTACTCCGCCTTTGAGGTGGTTCGCGAAGAGACCATCGAAATGACCTATTGGTTGGTGTCGTCTGCCCGCCGATGGGACTCTGCTGCCCAGAGTTTCCGTTGCTGGTTGGTAAAAAAAGAGAGATGGAACTCCTGTTGAAATGTCCAGACGGAAGATCTGGTAACAGTTTCCGCAAATTGGACAGTAAATTCGTCGGAGCTGACGACAGACTGCGCCTTCGCTCACTTCCAGCCCCAGCTAAAAGGTTCTTGGTGATGGACGATCTGTGAAGTTGCGGTGACGGGGGGCCTTCTTCAAAGCTGTCAATGTGTGAAACATCGTTCTCAGAACGCCGAGTTTGTTCAGGCGGCGCAGGTGGTTTCCGGACCGGGTGCGGTGGGAACTGGTACTCCCAAGGTGGCCTTGCAGGTTGATCCGCATCTTCTGCATTCGAAGTCTGGTATGAGTACGTCCTATCACAGGGGAGACTTGGTTCATCGACGGGATGGCTGTAGTATTGGCCCTGCTGGTTTGGGGAGAGCGAATCGTGTGAGGAGCTTCTCGTCTCTGTTCTACCGGGAGAGGCGGATCGTTCGGCATTGTCCTGGTCGAGTGCAGGTGGCCTCGGGCTAGCGTGCGGCGTACTAGGCTGGGTGTCGTCTGCTTCGTCGGTGTCATTGTCGTTGTCAGGTTCTTCAGCAAGTGCCATTATTCGGTGGAAGTACTCGACGGGCAGATTGAGAGCTCTGGCCTTTTCGGCTACAGGAGTCTCTGGAGATCTCATGTGGGTCTGAACCCGACTCATACTGACACCGATCAAATCATCGTCATACAGATGTTGGGTCTCAAGTCGAGGTGCTTGGCCATAGCCACCAGAAAGAGTTCCAATGTCAACAAAACCTCCGAAGCCATCTGTTAAAGGGGACCATTCTTCGTCCGGGCCGTGAGCGGAAGCGAGGTCGGCGGTCCCAGGAGCCCGGGCTGATTCCATCATTGGGCGGCGGATTCATGAAGACATGTAAGCTGAAAGTGGGTTGGTTAGTTCGGAGGGATTGAAGCTCCTCGACTCTGGTTTGCGTTGTGGTACGAGGAGGGGAAGTTTGGGTAATATAATGCTGGTGACCCGCGTAGGATGGCCAATTCTGAGCTGGGATACAGTGCTTATTATTGTCGGGGGATTTTTAGCGACAACCACATGCGGTTTTTCTGAGGGCTGACCGAGGAAGATTTGGGATCGAGCTGAGGCTGGGCTGCTGAGCTGGGTAAGATGATGGAAGCCGGCCGGGTCAGGCAAGGATTGCTCCAATGGGGAGAGAGAGGAACCGTAGGGTCGGAGACTGGCTAAAACGCTTGGGTTGCAGGACGAAGCCGCGGAGGTCTGACTACTAGTAGGTCGAGATCCGGGCCTTGTAGCCGAGCAGGTGGGACAACAAGCCTTTGTTAAGCGAGCAGCAGGTGGGATAAAGGGAGGATTAAGGGAGTAAGAATGGATCTTGCGCAGTAGGGATGAGGATGATGGACTTTTGAAAGAGTGGCTCGAGCTGCGTAGACGGATTTTCTATCTGAAGCAGATGGATGCCTCGGCGGGAAGGAGCGGATCAACCTCGTATGGATTGGAAACAAGGAAACAGCAGGCGTTTGTACGACTCGCCGTCAGCCACCACTTGGGGGGCACCTTTGCAGTGACTTCATAGTGCTTGTAGAAAGGGTTCTACGGCAAAGGAGAGATCTGCCCAAATACCTACAAGTTGGCTTAGGTAGGTATGTACCGAGTAGATGGGGTATACTCGTGTTCACTGCTCGGTACGGAGTACTGCCACCAAACCAAGATTTGGCGTCCTCTCTTCTCTTGCTCTGGGCTCTGTGGCTCCTTCCTTCCCACGTCAGATGCCAAGCCGCTGGGCAGCTTAGTCACCGATTGCGCCCGCGGGCCCTAAATTCTAATTAAAAGCTTGTTTCCCGCTGCGCCAGACGCCTTTGTAACTCTTCTTCGTTTGTGCACTCACTCGCAATGCCCCAAGCACCGAGACACTCGGAGACGCCGGTCGAACAGTGACTGAGCCCCATTCTTGTCATGCATAGACTCAATCACCACTGTTTCACCATGATATATGCTCGTGGCATTCAGTCGAAACAGCAAACTTCCCACGGCAAGTGCAACATGACCTTCATTAACTCATTCCTGCACCAGTCATTGATCTCCAACTACGCTGGCATTGACTACAATAGTAATATGCCAGGGCACTTATTCATGCCTAAGTGCCATAAGGAGTCATGCATTGAGGGGCTGGTGTCATCTCAGACCCGAGTGACTCCATAAGCCAATTGGTAGGTGAAAGATTGGAGCAGCTATGCCTTATAACCTGCACTCTTCCGCCTCTTAATGCAACAAGTTCACTTTTCTGCTGATCGGCCACCGGAGTCGAAGCACTAGACCGATCTCCGAGAAGATGACGAGGCAAATCCCACGACCTCGCTGGACTGGTGGCGACAGTCGTTCAAGCGCTTGGTTTGGCCTGGCCAGGCTGTGCATGCACGACGAGTACATGCGAGTCGAAGCTATTCGCAGGAGCAGACGAGACCGCGCATGTGCCACACTACTAACTCAAATAGATATCGAAGCTGTCGCTGCCAACACGTCTGGTGGTGATCGAGAGGTAGTCGAGAATGAACCAGCAAAGGAGGAGGTCATAGACGAAGAAGAACCGCATGCAGGGGAGGCTGAAGAAGAAGTTGAAGATGTACAGGATCCCACAGCTGTTGAATCTGCAGATATCGAGAAAGCAACAGAGAACAATGGAGCAGAAGCTCGAGAATCTGGGGGAAACCAGGGCTCAAACAACCCAGTCATTTCTCCGGCACACTCTGCAACCCATTCCGACAGGGTAAGCAACGTGAGGTCCCATGCCAGATCTGATCAACCCAGAACTGGTTGTCAAGCTCAAGAAACTGCGCCTTCCCCTCAGCGCTCGAAGGCTCCGTCAGTAAGGACGACAAAGAGCCAGAAAACCGCCGCTGCTCAATCTGAAGAAGTTGACCGAGAATCACAGCGCCCACCTTCCTCTCGCCGCATGTCAGCAGCCTCTTCAGGGCCGTCCAAGCATGCGAAAATCATCGCTCCACAGCAGAATACTGAAAATAACCATCAAGATCCGCGCCAGGTCTCGTCTCCGCGCCCATCCACTGTGCGCTCGAATAGACTGGGAAGCGATGCAGCCGCCAGTGGACATCACGTCACTAACTCTATTCAGAAAGATAGGAGGCAGCTGTGCTCGTCGCCTTCGTCGAGATTTCCTTCACACAGCTCTACAGTCACAAAATGGCGCACAAGCATAGCGAGTCCGCATCACCAAGACGAGACAGCATCTGCCCGGTCTTTCCCGTCAGATTTTCTAGCCCTACGGGCAAGCAGCTCGTACTCCACCTCTAGCAAGCACAGTCAAACGACTGCCCTTACATCTATCTCGCGAAGACTGCAGGGCCAGCCATCACCTCCGACACCGTCGTGTGATCTTCAGGGTTCGTCATCCGCTCAGCCAGCTCATCCGATACTATCACCGCTCGATTCTCCCGCGACATTCAGGTTGCAGACATGGAACTGGCCTGAATCGCAGACTCATGTTACGGACAATCAATCCAAGCGCATATATGAGCAGTCTGCTCAGCAAGTGATTGCGGCACCTGGAATGCAGGGACAACAGTATCAGACATTCTCGGCTGATTCCAACTTATACCCACGAATTCAGATCGAATATCCCCCGAGACCCCGCTCAGATGGTAGCGTTTGGAACACACACGCGCAGAGAAGTTATCCTTCTCAACCTCAACCTTCCCTTCTATGTCCCTACCCATACCAGTATCAATGTTCACAGTCGTCCATGGCCAGACATTCCGGAGGATATGGGACACTCGCTCTGTACGGCAACAACCATCGTTATTCAAATATTGCGACGTCAACTCCGTATCCCCAATCATTTTCGAACCTTCCACCTCCCTGAGAGATAACACACCCTCGGCAGTCACCAAGGGAGTACACGTACCTTTGCTGAAATAAAGGTCTTTGTCTCTCTCCATGGGCCACTATTCAAGGCGAAACGTGAGGTTTGGCGACGAAACGAGACCTGCTTGCTCCCAGACCCCCAGACCAGACGAATCGACTGGAGGAGGTCTCCAATGGACAGCGAGATCGATGGCGTGGAGTGGTTGGTAGGGAGCCACGCGTCCGAGGGGTTCCCTACTGCTTGCTGAAACAGAATCTTCATCATGTCGACTGAATGGGGGTTCAGGAGATACAGAGGTCTACCGGCCTCCACTCGTATGTGCCCCGTACTCGGAGGGTGATCCGATACGACTCCTTTGCTACGAGTATTCTCTCTGCTGCGAACCAATCTGGCAAGGCAATATGCCATCAATACATTCCCCTTGCCAATTTGGTAGCCGGAACCTCGTGTGCTGCACACATAATTACATCAAGTTTCTCAAGGCTGAGGCGCCCCTGTGTAGCTACGTAGGTGCCGGAAGCAAAGGATATCATCAAGTAGCGACGACAACGAAAGGGAGCGGTTTTTGGTTTCTGACCATAACTTTTCATCTTCCGGTCTACTGTCCATATGTCCTTGACTCTGCCGGGGAGCAGGAAAGATATTCGCTATCAGTGAGCAACACACCGCCACTATCGCTATGTAAAAGCAAGGCTAACAATCATGCCCATGTCTAGCCCTCGTCGTATTTCCCTCAAAAATTTGTCCTCTGCATTTGGTTCTCGTTCCTCTCACTCCGTTCCAGGCCTGGAAAAGGACACGGGCCGTCTGGAGGCACCGATTGACCATTGGGATGCACTGTGATCCCCATTCTCGTTCCTTCAAGCAAACGTAAAACATTCGGCCACAGTTCTCCTACAGGGTTGATTTGGACAAAGAGCACTTGTCGAGAGCCTGTTGAGCGGGTTTTCCATCCCGAATGGGCGTAGGCATTCCGACGAAGCGTTCTTACGCTCTCTGATGAGACGCAACGGCAGCTCCCAGTATGGAGTTGCGTTGTTAAGTTTCCAAATCCGATCAATCAATCATTATTATCGTCCTCAGTCTCGAATCCGACACATGTAGCATCAGGCCACGGCGTTGGGCCATGTCATGACACGGAAGTCTCAGCCTTTCCGCAGCGTCATCATTAACACGATCATCTTTCTGGAGGTAATGCGTGGCCTGCCGGCGTTTGTTATTGATTCATTCGCGGTCGTTTCGGATCTGGGCCGGCTCCAGTCTGAATAGCGCGTTCTTCACGTATCCGAATTGCTTCGGTACCGTCGTCAACAAGGGTTTCTTTGAACCAAGGATGTTTGAGGGCTTCTTTTGCCGTGATCCGATTTTTCGGGTCATATACGAAAATCTTCCTCAGCAGATCGAGAAGGTGCCTGTTGAAAGGGCTCGTGGCTGGTATGAATTCCTGTATAGAATGTCAGTATCAACATATTTGAAAGCAGACATAAGAAGCCCCAACGTACATGAAGATGCTTCATCGCCTTGACATATTTCCTAGAGGCCTTTGACGTTTCATTGTTAGGGTATTCCAGCTTTCCTCTGTTGAAGAACTTGGCGGCGGAGTTTGCGTTGGCTCCACGACCTCCCGAGCATACTTGCTTGACCAGTTTGGCATCGATCTTGCCATTACATACTGCTTCCATCATGGCCAAATGCTCGAGATTATCGTGCGTTTGGAACAATGCGTCACCTGTGAAAAATTCCACAATGATGCATCCTATGCTCCAAATGTCGCAGGGGAAACTCCAGCCCAGTTGCAGAATGATTTCGGGTGCTCTGTAATGCCTGGTCGATACCACGGAGGAATGATATTCGTCATCGAAGGTGGCTGAGCCAAAGTCTATTAAACGAATCTCACTGTCCAGAAGGACACGGCGTTGTCGAGCAGTTCTTGACGTTGTATGAGACGATGAAGGTATCGAACGGTTGTACGTAAAGGTCTGGTAGGCGTTGTGAACCAGCAGTATGTTTTCAGGTTTGAGATCTGTGTGGATGAGGTTCAGATCGTGCAGGACTGTGCAAGGTTAGCATTGATCTCTGACAAGGAAGAGTGTTTGACTCACAGGCCACACTGGTGAATAGTTGACGCGCAAAGCTCTGGATTTGCGAACTTGGGAAGGGTACAAAGCCATTTCCTTTGAGGAAATCGAACACGCTCTGTCCCAGAAGGTCTGTGACTATGCAGATGTGGTTCCGGAAGTCGAATGAGTCGCGCAGATGGATGCACTTGTTGCGATTGGTTCTGTCGTTCAAACCAAGTGTAGTAAGAACACGCAGCTCGATACGAGAAGCATCGCGGTACTTCTGCACAGATCGAATAATTTTCACAGCGCATCTTGTCTTCTTTCTGGAATCGAACGCCTCAACCACTTTGCCAAAAGTGCCCTGCCCAAGCAGTTTGATAATCTCGTCTATTAAAATTTGTCAGAAAGATTCGATATCATTTGGAAATGATGATACTCACATCGATCAGCAAGTTTCGTGCCAGGAGTGACGATGTAATGCCCATCATCGTCATCCACCTTCAGATTTTTATGCTTTTCTGTATCACGTATTACCGGTACGTGAACTTCCTGGGCTTTTCGTAAAGGTTTGGTTGGGGGAATGTAGTCTGCAAAAGCGTCTGATGCGGATTCTTGTTGTTTCCTCTTTGCTGCTTGTGCCCGAGTCTCTTTTTGGGATGTTATTCTCTTCCGCTTTTGTCCTACTCTGACATCTTCATAACTGTTGCTAGCAGTGTTGCTGCCATAGGATTCGAGTGAGGTTGGCGCAGTGACGGTCTGGAGGGAAGTGGTTCGGTCACCAGAATGATAAGAGGCAGACGACGATGATGCACCAAATTTAGTCGGGTGCGTCGAATATGTCGGGCTGTCTGTGTATTCGATCTCGTAGCCGTCGTCAACTTTTCTTTTTCGGCCTGCATTCGAACTGTAACCCCCTGCATCATCTCTCTGCTGCCTTTTTGAAGCATCTCCTGGCCCTTGCGGCTCAGGGCTGTCGTCGTCGATGACAATGATTTCTTTTGGGACTCCATTCTTGTAAAATTCATTCCAGTCCGGTTGTCTTCTGAGGTGAGCGTCGGATAGGGTGGAGGTCGATTGGGATGGAGGCATTGTAGAAACGTTTGACGGCCCCCTGTAGGAGATTGCTGGGGATTCCTGAGGTCGGTGGTATTGAGCGGTGCCCGGGTAGGAATGGAACGAAGTGTTCAGCCGTTGGGGTGCAGGTAATGCGTTGGTAGTGGGGTACGGGCGGGTACTCGGTGAGTATAGATTTTGATGAGCATAACCATACTGGCTATGGTGAGCAGGTAAAAGGGTGGTTGCTATCGAGGGTGTAGACATGGCGTTCCAGGCCGGGTTTTTGTGGGAGTGGCTCGACAACCCAGATATCACCAACTGCAAAGAGCAACATGCGAGAGTCTGGAGGGGTCAATGGTCGTGTGGACGGTCTCAAAATTCACTGAGGCGGCGAGAAAAGGGTAGAGTTCGATGGCAGACGATGAGATAGAGCCACAGGAGGAAGGACGAACGTCAGAAGGTCGTTGTCGAGGCGGAGTTCGAGGATCGGGTGAAAACGTGGAGACGCACAACTTCAGGCGGGAAACGCCTACAGCAGCAGATCCACGCTCATGGTCGTTGCGTTCAAAGGGACAATAGGGAGGTACGAAGAAGAAGAGACTGGAGTAAATGACGAAGAATAAAATTGATGCCGGTCAGGTTGAGAAAGGACAAGGTGGTGGAGGACGGCGATGATGTAGACTGAGGTGAAGTGAGGTTTGCACTTTGACGGGTGCCCAGCGATCCAGTTTGCCATTAGCCACGCCAGTCGTAGCGCACTTCAGGTTACAGGGCGAGCAGGAAAGGGTTCAATTCTGTTTCTGGGCATCGACATGGAGAACTGCGTCTAGTTAGCCGGTCGAATCATGGCTGCCCACGGGTGAATGGCACCACCACTACTGTCCTGCCCCAACGCCGGCTCCAGGGCTCACTAGGCTGTGATCTTAACCAGAACACCGCCCACGACCGCCGCAGGATGCACTAGCTAGTCCCTTCCACGCCCGGGTATCATTCTACGAGTCCCTGAGTACCTGGTGCAATCATCAGGAATCCAGGCATGTTCTCTTCCTCCTGGCATTCACTACACAGCACTCGGTACATACCTACATACTAGGTACTGCCACTGGTCAAAGCCACCGCTCTTTATCACTGGCGTCTATTTTTCACTCGCCCCCGGGATTGGTGAGCAGTGGCCCCAAGTGTCCCTCCACGCGCCTTTACCTACTACTAGCCGTCCGTCGCTTATGAGGCCTCCAGTGGCCTCCTAAAAGTTGTGCGGCGAATAGGTAGGCGACCCTCAGTGCATCCGGGGGGCTTCCCCAATAACGCCTCCTCGTCACACCACGGCAATCGTCTAATCGTCTCTTGCGGCACCGTGACAATTTCTGGTATCCTGCGATCCTGTCTCACAAAGGCCTAGAAAGGGCAGACGACTGATCAGTTGGGCTCAGCACGCACTCTCCCTCCTCACATCCGGTGTCGGGGAAAAATAGGAGGGATGACAAGTTTCCGCCACCTCAAGTTGCCGTGCCACGGCGATCACGACATGCGACAAGACCCGAATGGACGCGTGGTGCGTGGATGAAGCAACGAACTCTTTCGCCGAACAAAGCCAATGGCTTGATTTGCCCCCCGGCCTGCCACGATACGATAGTCCGCATTCCACTAGTCTAGATTGGACAATTCAAACTCAACTCAGCCTGACGTGAACCAAAGCCGACGTTGCTGAAGATAGAAGCCAGATATGTTGATCTCCTTTCATGCCAATGCAGCCACCACTGTCATTCTCGTGCTGTCCCGGCTCGCTGCTTAGGTTCAGCTCTCTGGTAACCTCAATTGGGCTGCCTTTTCGTTTTCGTTTTCGGTTCTGTTTTGTTTTTTTATGAAAGTCCCATTATCTTACAGTAGGCTTGCCCTGTCACTTCGCCGATGAAAGGCGCGCCGCAAAATCTCTCCCCGAGGCAATGCTTGCAAAATCTAGAAATGCACATATCAAGAATCAGTTTTCTCCGGAAGGCTAAGCCCTCTCACATAGGAACGTGAGGCGCGCCCGTCACCCTCTAACACGAGCAACACATCTCGAGCCTGGATCTTAGAGTCCTTGTCTTCGTCCCATTGGCCGAACTGCTTTTCCTTTGGAGCTGTTCGGGTTCGATCAGGGGCCGGTGTCCCAGGTGTCGACGGTGCGCCAGACGCTGGCGGTCGGCCTGGAGTCGCCGCAGGACTTGCTCCTGCTTTACCAGCATTCATCCAATCGTAAGTTCTGGATTTCTTGCCGCCCAAGCGACTGCCAAATAGACCCGCTACAGCCATTCGTGCTGCTTCGTTGGCCGACTTGTGTTGTTGCTGTTCGGAAAACTTGCTCTCTGCTAGCTTCCTCTCTTTCTTCGTCGTCTTTTTCTCCGTGTCCAAATTGGCAACAGTGGCGGGCTCGAGCGTCGCATCAGTCCCGGTCACCGTTGCGCCTGGTTCGTCTCGTTTGGTGACCTTTCGTTTCGCTCTCTTTTGTCGGCGTGCTTCTTCTGCTGCCTTTTCTGCCTGTGAAACCTTTTCAAACGTCGATATAAGACGCATAGGACCTGAAACTTGGTCATGGCGAAATGAAGAGTCACTACCTGCTTGGGAATGCGTACCTAGTCACAAGTCAGCGTCAGAGAAGAGGGGCGGCAAATTGAAAATCTCACGCTTTAAGCTGGAGCTACCTGCTGGGCTGGCTGCTCCGTCAGGGACATCGGTTGCTGGCTTCCCTTGAACTGCTATATCCTGCCACTCCTCCGGTACCTTTCCTGTAGAGTGCTGCCGGCGCTCCTTTGCAAGTCTCGAAGATGCGCTCAGTAAACCGGTCATTCGAGCTCGTGTTGCCAAACTGATGACCTTCATGATATCCGAAAGGCGCTCGCCCTTCTGCCCAGTGTCGAGAATAGCTTGCCCCTTGTCGATAATACGAGAGGCGCCTTCCAGTCCGTTGACTCGCACCGTGGGCGGGGGCATATGTTTTTGAGTATTAACTAGTACCCCAGACTGCGGATCAACCAAATGTTCAGTGATACTGATATTTCGAATCTTTTCATTGAGCGCGCCGCCCAACAAAAACATGTCCCACAGCGGATACTGGCTGTACCTAGACGCTTCCCAGTCGGCCCGGGCTTCGTTTCTCTCTTTCATCTCTTCCTCTGACGGCTGATATTCCTGAGTGAGACCCTCTGTTTGTTCCTGTTGTGAGGTTGTTGCGCCTCCACTAGACACGGGAGCCGGAAAGGAATTGTTTTGATACTCAAAGCTGCCAGAAGTGGCTGTTTTGGGAGTTGAACTGCCAAAGTAGTCATTCTGAACGAGCATCCTAGCCTCTTCTTCAATATTGATTCCAGTTCCAACTAAAATATCCTCATAGTTCCGATCTTCTGCTTTGTCGGGCGGACGTTGGGGAGGAGGCATCAACCCTTGCGCAGGGGCGGCTGCGGCTGATCCATTCAAGGGGGCATTTCCGATCGGAGTGGTTGGCAGCGCCGTTGGGGTTGGAGGAAAGCTTTGAGCGGCAGAAGGGGACTGGACATCAGGAGACAGTCTGGGTCTCTTAGCAGCCGGCGGTTGAAAATATTGCTGAGGCGAGAATGCTTGAGGCGAAGGCGAGGAGTAGTTCATCGCCAACGGAGGTGACTGAGGACCAAGCGGGCTGGGTCTGCCATTTGCAGAACTGAAGTTGCGCGAAAATGACGTTTGTGTCTGAGGGAGTGGAGGTCGCGATGGCGCAGGCGGCGAGTGAGCCATGGTGATTGAGGATGTGCCTTCAGTTCCGCCTCAGCGTCTGTCTCTGTCCGTGTCTCTGTCTCTTTGAACCTGGCCCTGGATTCCGAGTGAGCGTCGACTCACGCTCGGCTTCCTTCTTGTGCCAAGCATGCCTGATTCCACTTTGCTGACATCCAAGGGTTTGCCGATACGCAAGAGGAACGTGTCGGAATTAGAATTGTAAGAGTAAGTGGTGTGGTTGAGTGATGCGATGATGGTGGAAGTGTAAAACTGCGGGTAAGGGCTGCCTACAAGCGACCCAGGATCCAAGGCCGCAATTCAGTCACGTGCTGTGCTTGTTTCTTTCATCATCCCCAACTCGGAACTTCACTCTTCTCACCAGTGTCAATAACCTTGGTCTCTTGTCCGTCAGAAATTTCGCTGAACTGCGGTTGTCTATCGAGTCGCGCGCTTCTCATATTGAATGGGAGACAGCACACATCATGTTAAGAAACTGATTTGGTGACGCGACGCATGTCCTGATTTAGGGGCTTCATCTGCGTCTGGACGTCTCGTCCTCTCCCACCCTTTCCCCCATCTCTCACGTTTCCGACCCCGTCTCCGACAATATCAGTGAGAAGGATGGCTACAAAAAGAAAAGCTGCGGCCATGACCGCCGTTGAAGACGATGAACCAGTAGACCCTTCAGATGAGCTTGTGTTTATTGGGTTAGGTGGATGTCAAGAGGTCGGCCGATCATGTCATATCCTACAATACAAGGGCAAGACTGTCATGGTGAGGCATCTAAGACATAATTGGATCAAACAGAGTCTGACAAGTGGTAGCTCGATGCCGGCATGCATACAGGTCGAGAAGGCATGTCTGCTATGCCCTATTTTGACGACTTTGATCTGAGCACCGTGGACATCTTGTTAATCAGCCAGTAGGTGAACCTCTCTTTTTCTGGTCGCGTTGCTTTAGAGAATCAAGTTGAGCAAGTTGAGCAAGAGAACAAATGGGATCTTGGTGTTCTACCTTCATAAGGTGCAGCATGTTTGGAAGCAGCTGGATTCGACGGTCATGCTCAATGACAACTTATACCTATAGGCAGACACCAATACAATCTTATTCACCTGAGATCCTTGTTCCTGCCTTTTCTGCTCCTTTTTAGCCTCAGCCCAGTCGGTTCTGCCCTCGATTGCTCAATTCCCAAGGGGAACTCGACCCAGACTACTTGGAATTGATAGCTAACTGTAACTCCGTGCAGTTTCCATCTGGATCATGCGGCTGCACTGCCTTACGTGCTCGCCAAAACCGACTTCAAAGGACGAGTCTTCATGACGCATCCAACCAAAGCAATCTACAAATGGCTTATCCAGGACTCGGTCCGAGTGAGCAATACCACATCAACCTCCGATCAGAGAACCTCGCTTTATACCGAAGCTGACCACATCTCCACTCTACCTCAAATCGAGACGATCGACTTCTACACAACACATACGGTTTCGGGCGTCCGCATCACACCGTATCCGGCCGGACACGTCCTTGGAGCTGCCATGTTTTTGATCAACATCGCTGGACTCAATATCTTCTTCACCGGGGACTACTCTCGAGAGCAGGACCGACACCTTGTGGCTGCCGAGGTTCCAAGCTCTGCCAGTGTAGGAAAGATCGATGTCCTCATCACAGAATCCACATTTGGCATCTCGAACGCGCCTCCGCGCGCCGAGCGGGAAACTGCTCTTCTAAAGTCTGTTTCCAACATCTTGGGCCGTGGTGGGAAAGTTTTGATGCCAGTATTTGCTCTGGGTCGAGCACAAGAACTGCTGCTCATCCTCGAGGACTACTGGCAGCGGCACCCGGAACTTCAAAAGTTTCCGATTTATTATACCGGCAACACGGCACGAAAATGCATGGTTGTGTACCAGACGTATATTAACGCGATGAATGACAACATCAAACGCATCTTTCGAGAGAGAATGGCCGAGGCTGAAGCCGCTGGCAATGCCAAAGGTGTCAGTGCCGGCCCCTGGGACTTCCGCTTTGTGCGAAGCCTGCGAAATCTAGACCGGTTTGACGACGTGGGAGGATGTGTAATGTTGGCTTCGCCCGGCATGATGCAATCGGGCATGTCTCGCATTTTGCTGGAGAGATGGGCACCAGATCAACGCAACGGAGTCATAATGACTGGTTATAATGTCGAAGGAACCATGGGCCGGACTATTCTCTCGGAACCAGAGATGATTCCCGCCATCATGAGCGGTGGAAACACCGGTCTGGGCCACACCATGGGTCGCAGAAACAAAGATGATGATGCCGCAGTCATGATACCTCGACGGTGTTCGGTGGAGGAATTCCAGTTCGCAGCCCACGTTACAGGAGTTGAGAACGTAGAATTCATTGAGCAAGTCGCTGCACCCCACGTTATTCTAGTCCACGGCGAACGTTCTCAAGCGGCACGACTGAGGTCGAGACTGCTGGATCTGAATTCCCGCCGGTTGACGAGCAACCCAAACGCACACCAAACAAAAGTATACAGCCCAGAAAACGGTGCGGAGATCAAGATCGCCTTCAGGAAGGATAAAGTGGCCAAAGTCGTCGGAAAGCTGGCGCAGATACCTCCTCCATCATCCGCCGAATCTGATGACACGAGAGTGATCAGTGGAGTGCTGGTACAGAACGGCTTCAAACTCAGCTTGATGGCGCCGGAAGATCTTCGCGAATACGCCGGCCTCACGACAACCACTATTTTGTGCCGACAACATATTACCCTTGCTGCCGCTGGGGTGGAACTCATCAAATGGGCTCTCGAAGGCACCTTTGGCAGCATTGAGGAGGTTGGTCACATCAAAACCGAACCAAACGGACACGCTGTCAAGGCGGAGACTGACGAGAGAAATGGAGAAAACGGAATCAAGGCCGAAGAAGAGGCCGACGAGGAAATCGTCGCGGAGCCGCCGCGCACATTCCTCATCATGGGGTGTGTCACTGTCAAGTGGTCGGGACGAGAGAAACAGATCGAACTCGAATGGGAGGGCAACACCATGAACGATGGCATCGCAGATGCAGTGATGGCGGTGCTGATGACAGTGGAAAGCAGTCCGGCAGCCGTCAAATACTCGTCGCGCAAGGCAGCCCATTCACACCACGGCCACGAGCATGACAACGGCGTCGAGACGCTGACCAACGAACTCACCAAGCTCTCCCCGCAAGATCGGTTCTCGAGACTGTGCATGTTTCTTGAAGAACAGTTCGGTGAGAACATCACGCCCATAGACAAACCGCGCACAGCCTACCCACCACCAGACCGCAAAGCCCTCGTGTCCGGGGCCGAAGGAGTGAAAAAGGAGGACGAGGACGAGGGCGAGGACGCGGAGGAGCCGGATGAATCAGATGAGGAGGCCGATTTCGAACGTGCTGAGGCAGCAGAGCGCGCGAGGCTGGCGGCGGCAGGGATTCCCGTGCCGGGACTGGAGATCCGATTCGACAAACATGTGGCAAGACTATGGCTGGAGAATCTCGACGTGGAATGCGCTAATACCGTGCTGCGGGATCGCATCAAAGCCGTCGTGGAGAGGGCCGTGGAAACCATCGCGCCTCTCTGGGCCGTCCACGACCAGCGCACCAAGGTCGGAGTCTGATTGCTGTTCTAGATATGGTCGGCCACCGAGTTCCTCCAGACGCCACGGGGCTCGACCAGTCCATGGAAGGAGAGTATCCACTCCCGTGGTGTTTGAGTAACAACACAATGACGAGCAATCGGGGGCGCAAAGACAAGCAAGTGACTCTGCTGTGCTAGCATCCACCGCAAACACCTTGTTGGAAAGTCATAGCACACTCTACATGCCAGGTCGTCCGTTATATCTGGACTGGCCCGATGCAGCAGGCACAAGCGTGAACGGGGGGTTGAGATGCAGTCTCCCCCATCCAGCAGTGGATCTCGAAATCTCCTTGCCCATGGCATATCATTGGGTTCAGACCACAACCCCCCAGATGACAAAACGTACTTCTGCGGGGAACCACACACACACAAGCACGAAGCAACGTACGGCGATAGCCACCCCCCCCCCCCCCCCCAAAAGGAAAAGGTCTGCTGGAGATGGGCGGGAATGGATCCTTTCTGGGGTTACGACTCGACGATTCTGTGTCAGGAGTCAGGACCAAGACACACCGAATCCCTTATGCAGAGCGAATACCGAACACTGAATGGGCCTTTTGCAAACACCCTCGGTATTATGTGCTGTTTGTACCAGTCAACAGCGTCAGCATGGATACCTGCCTAGGTAGTATACATAAAAACCAGTGCCTGTTTATGCACGACGACCGACGGCGCGTGAGCTCTCTGACACGACGCCGTCTTTTATTTCGTCTGTTACCGTGAATCATCCAGCCCTTTTGCTTGACTATATACACTGGGTATTACGTCTCAGTTCTCTGGGGGGTAGTTTTAGAAGGAGTGCCTTGCTTGCTGTTGGCCAACTACTTACTTCCAGCATCCTCGTCGCTGACCCTCCACCTTTGTGATCTCCATTCAGCCTCATAGAAGACGAACAGCAGGGAACAAGGCAGCAGCAAATATGAAGACGGCGATAGTGACAGGTAGGTACCTTTCTTTGCCCCTCCCTTTCTCCTTTTCCTCTCCCACAACCTCCCCCCCCCCTTCCCCCCCCTCCCCTTTCCTCGCCCACAACAGTTCCCTTAACTCACTGACCCTTTCTCTCCCCAGGTGGCTGCGGCGGGATCGGGTTCGGGCTGGTGCGGCACCTGCTCTCGCAGCCGGACTGGCGCGTGGTGATCGCAGACATCCGCGGCGAGGCGTACACGGCCATCGCAGACGGGCTGGATCCGGCGCGGCACCTGTTCGTCGCCACGGACGTCGGGTCGTGGGACTCGCAGGCCGCGCTGTTCAGGCAGGCGTTCGCCTGGACGGGCCCGGGGAGCGGACGCATCGACTTCTTCGCGGCCAACGCGGGCACGGCCGAGAGGGAGCACATCGCGCTGGCGAACCCGGACGCGCCCGACTTCGACGCCGACGAGCCCCTCCCGCCGCCCATGCTGTGCACCCAGGTCAACCAGATCGGCGTCTTCTACGGGCTCAAGCTGTTCGTCCACTATGCCCGGCGCACCGCAAAGGCGCTGCTGGCCGGATCCTCCTCCTCCGCATCATCACCACCACCAAACGGCGTCGAGAAGCCCACCAAGACCCTCAACCCGTCATCGCTGCTGTCACCATCCGCAGCCGCCGCCGCGGCAGCAGGATACAACCCCAAGTTCGTCATCACGTCGTCGTGCGCGGGGCTGTACCCCTTCCCCGTGGCGCCCGAGTACTGCGCGACCAAGCACGCCGTGCTGGCGCTGACCCGGTCGGTCGGGCCGGTGCTGTACGCGACGGAGAACGTCGCCGTGAACTGCATCAACCCGGCGTACGTGGACACGGGCATGACCCCGTCCGACGTGACGGCGCAGTGGCCCCCGGAGTGGATCACGCCCGTGAGCACCATGGTGCGCGCCTACGCCGAGCTGATCTCCGAGGCCGGCCGGGTCGAGCAGGACGGCCGGTCCGAGGGCGTCGACGGCGTGGTCAAGACGGGCCAGAGCGTCGAGTGCGTCGTCGACCGGCTGTTTTACCGCAAGCCCGTCGAGTACGCCGACGAGAGCCAGCGGTTCCTCATCGAGCAGAGCCTCGATCTCACCGACGGCCTCTGGTGGAAGGGCGCGAGGGAGAGGTTCGCAAAGAGGCAGTCGGCCGCGCCACAGGCTGGGGGCACGTGAAAGATCATGTATGAGCAGGGACCAGTCATGTTGGAAGCACGAGGGATGGGTATGGTGCCAAAAATCCACATAGATCGGTGGATCTTTAAACGCGAGGCGTAACGGGGAAAGCGCTGAAGGCCGAATGTAAAGAAGTAGAGAGACTGAGTGCTACGAATGGGGAACATCTTGCTGTTCTGTTCGCTTCAGTACTACGGCTCTCTGGGGGCTGACATGGCCAGGCGATGGCTGAAACTCCATCCTCAGGTCCTACGACCCGACCATTCAGATTGCATTTCTACTCCCTATGTGGTCAGTCAAGGTCATCGTCGACAGCCCATCTCGACGCACCGTTATCATGTCTGCCAGACTGGTCCCGAAGGCTCAAGACAGACCTAATTTATGCCATCTGAATTGAAGTGCTACCTAGCTCTATACCTGAGTAACCGCCACTTGGACTTCGATCGTGACCACCAAGCGGAGCCCGGAAGGTCACCACATCAGAGGCTAGGTGTCTCAGGAGGATGTCGGTACCTCAATTTGATATGACGATACAGGCCGAGCAAACAATCGCTCAAGCCAGCACTCTCAGTGAGCCTGGCAGCACAGAGCTGTGGGGTTCCAACCCACAATCCAGCAGAAAACCGGCGCCGGAACGTAAAGGGAAAGCGGCGCGAAGAAGGGGAAGGGAGGGAAGAAGCGAGGGAGGGAAATTGGGGGCTCAAGGGGGTATCATGGGGCTGTCTTGTGTATCTGTTCCGAACGATCTCCAGATCTAACCATCCTGTCCTACGTCTGAACTCTTCTCTGTCTTTCCATGCGTGAACCGAAACCGCAGAAAATCTATCGTTTGCAGGTGCCTTTGCCATACCGGCGTTTCCCTTTCGGTGGACCGTCGGCTGCAGAAGGCTTGGTGCTTAAGGTCAATCGACGTCTCCATCGCAGTTGTGACCGAGCGGAATCAGATTTCCATTGCCTTTTCTGTTTCGAGCTTCAGTGCAGTCGTAACTGGAAATACCATCAGTGGACATTGATCCGACATGATAGCGATCTAAGCACGCCAGGCGTGACTGCAAACCGAGAGGAGCACCTTGCGACGGGCCTGGGCTTGACGAACCCAATGCGGGTGGTACATTCAGAGCGTTCAAGTCGAGATCGAGCCACGAAAAGGCTGAAGCGTTTAGGATCGGCTGTAGGAGGTGGAGACGATTTCGGGGGTCTTCAGACTGTTGACGCTTGTCCACGCGACCATTCTCTCCGTTTTGCAAAGGGTCATGTTCGCCATCGATTTCCAGTCGTCCCACCATTGTACTGGCTTGCGATGAGAAATGACCTTCACATAACGGTGATCAGCGCTCTGACAGGGGGATTCAATGTGCTGTGCTGGGGCTGGTGCTGGGGTGCGAACGGGCAAGGGTAATTCGGGGTGGCGGTAGTGGTGCCGGGGAGGTGGATAATGGTGTTGGGGATAAGATATTCTCGACATCAAGTTCATGAGGCATTCATGATGGTACCTTGATGTTGAGTCTGTCGTTTGACTTGCTCTCTGGCCCAACGTGCTGCGTTGATCGTCCGCGGCGAGAAGTCGCGAGCTGTTCGAGTTTCTTTGATAATCTTGGTGACCCATTCTTGTCGATAATAATCCGAAAGGGATCCGTCTGGGAAGGTCTCGCTGAGATCACTGGAAATTGTTAGAAGGAGCAAGGAGCAGCCTAGGTAAACACTTACGCAATAATACCCATGCAGGCTCTGAGCAGACCCTCGTTATGATTCATATCCTGAGAAACGGTCTGCAAAAATTCAAAGATGGGTTGCACATAATTTTGGAGAAGGGGTGCTGTCACGATGTTAGCGTCAAAACATGTGCACAGGGAGCCGTCGTACCTTTCTCGGTGCCTTTGAAAGCCAGAATCAGGCCGGACCATGCGTCGGCAATACCTGATCGGAGAGAGACGATGTAGTCCAGCATATCGAAGGAGACGTCGTTCGCAACGGACACATTGTTTGCTTGCTGGAGGACACCGGCAACCACCGTGACATAGGTCTCGAAATGCACACCAATGCTAGTGGCGATGTCACCAAAGGTCTCCAAGATCGGCGGTTTCAGCGCGTTGGAGAGTTTGTCAGACTGCAGATTGTTGTTAGTCCATGAAAATGACTGAAGGGTGAGGGGGAAGACAAACCCTAAGGTCATTGAGCAGGTAATTCATAAATGTATCGCAGTACGGCCGTGCCTTGTCCTCCAGGGCACGAACGATGTCGCTGACAAGCCCAATAGCCAACGAACACATATCCGGCGCTTCCTGGTTGCCTAGCGCATTGTAGAGATATGGAACGAATGAGTCCGTATACTTAAGGAAGTCGCCTGCCAATGCATTCGCCAATCCACTGACAATCTGGAAAATGACTTCGGGGACGCTCGTGTTACCCGTGACGTTGAGAAGCTCCAAATTAATTTGCATGATCCGGTCGGCCTGGGGTCCAATATTCTGCTCGAGTCTCTGAACAATGGCAAGCAGAACGCTGCTAAGGCTGACTTGCAATTCCTCCAGAGTGATCTTGTCGTCAATACTGACAATCTGCTTCTGCATGGGAATTGTGCTCTCTAGTCGCTGGATAATGACGTTGGACAGTTCCGCGACGATCTGCAAGCTGTCATGAGCGGCATTTGTCACGAACCCACCAAGCACTTCATATGCAGCCGTGCGAAGCTGATTGTTCCCACCTTCTTTCTCCGTCACCGCAAGCAGAGAAGTCACACTATCTTGGAAATGCGGCGTCAGTGGGTTTGACGATGCGCCGTCCTCACCGACAAATCGCTCGGTCAGATTGAGGAGAGCCAAGCAGCAGGATGCGGCAATCTTGGGATTGCTCATAAGGCCAGCAAAAAGGGCGGACATAAGGGGTTGCAAATGTGTTGACGGGTCGATACAGTCGGAGCAATAATCGCAGATCCTGCTCAGGGCAAATGCCGCAGAGTCTTGCACTTGGACAACTGGATCTTGCATCATCCCGATCAAGACCGGAAGCGCTTGTTTGACAAGAGGATCCAAGGTCTTAATGTCAGGACCGTCCATGATTGCTCCAAACGACGAGACTGCAGCGTCTCTCTTAGTCCAGTCTTCGCTGCGTAGATTTGCCTCGACAAACTGAAGAACCACTGGGACCAAGTCACCACCGATTGTCTGCGCATAGAGTTGGAGACATTGGTAGGCGGCGCGAGCGACGTTGTATTCATCATCGGCATCATCCTCGGAGACCTTGGTCATCAACTGAAGTAGAACTGGGACAACCTCACGTGCAGCGACCCTGGCAAAGTTGAAGTACGGTCGCAGTTCGGTTGATCCTTCTTGTTGTGCCTGTTGGTTGTCATCTTCAATGCTAATTTCCTCTTCGCAGACGGTGCACCAGAATTCAATGGCCAGTTTGGCCACATCCTCTTCGTCATTCTTCATACCGGCGATGGTCAAACCGAACAAGGCCTTTTCCATATAAAATCTCATCTTGTCATAGTAGATGCCCATGATGCGGTTCAGGCAACCAAAGGCGGCGGCTTGGACTCGGGTGTCGGGGGATTGGGTAGCCTCGCAAACGACTTGCATGATGTAGTTCCTCTCGCCTTCGTTCTCAAAATTGCTGCGGATGAACTCGGTGGCATCACTGAGTGCCGACAGGGCCGAGAGTCGGACATCGTGGTTCTCCTCCTCTTTCCGCGCACCTTGAACAACGGCGGTCAATATCGCGTTGGAATATCCAACTAGTGACTCTCTAAGCTCGACATCGTCCGATTCGCAAATGAAACCGATGGTGGTGAGACTGGATTGCTTGAGTTTGTCGTCACCAGCACCGACATTGTGAACGAGCGCAGGCAGCAAATCAGGCCACTCGTTGCGTGGTAATTCAATTGCGGCAATGGTCGCAATCAGCTGGGCGGCCGAATTGGCGGCTTGAGGTGTAGAGGTGAGGGTTTTGACAGCCAGTTCCTTGACCTGAGCTTTGATTTGGGGGTCGACTCCTTGCAACCATCTCGCCTGTACCTCTCTTAATCTGGTCACGTCACGGTACGAGAAGGCGTTCTTCAAAGCCAGGCCGGCGGCCTGTCGGACGGCAGGACTGGCTTGATCATTGGCGAGCTCTCGTGAGAGGATGGAAAGATATTCGGACTATGTTTGCAGCCGTTGGTTAGTTGAGTTTTTGACGTCTCTGGTGCGGGAGTGGATGGACATACAAAATTTCCCTCGCGGGCTTGTCTGAGCTGGTCTTCAGCACCGCCACGGATCGTGGCATCTAGGAGGGATCAGTGCGATGCCGGAGGTGTGGGATGTATAAGACAGTCTTACCGGGAGAGAAGGTGTTCTCTAAGACCGCTCTGACGTCCATGATGGCTGGACCGAGCAGCGGTCTGGGAGGGAGAAGGAGGACAAAACACGGATTTTGTAGGGGTCTAATTTGGATAGCAGGCGAAGATGATGTCAAAAATGAGGAATGACACAGGCCTGGAATTCAAGGAGAGAACGACCTGTAGGGCGGCAGAGAATGTTGGCGAGGTGGACGGCGAGGGAACGGGTCAAGATGGGAGAGAAGGAGAAGGCGGTTTGTGAGTGTGTGCAGGGCTGCGGGTTTGGTGTGTATTTTGCTGAGGGCAACTGCAAGTGGGATGGATTTGTTGATAGACTGCCGTCAGGCTCGCGCTAACTGGCCTACTTAACCTGATCGTTTACGTAGCCCAGGTCAAAGGCTGCACCCAGCTGCACCCAGCTGCACCCGCTGCATCCAAGCTGCAGGGTCGAACGTTGGTGGTCAAATTGCGGATCTGCTGGCTCGCCATTACATGTATGTGTGACTGTCGATGCCCTATCGCCATCGACTCTCCACTGCCTCGACTGACGCCCGCCTCGCATCTGCGTTGGGCATTTCGCTCCCCGGAAAGCCTTGGAGCGTTAGGTACCTTTTTGGTGGCTTGCCGCCCGCCTGCTGCTCGAGTCGCTCCCACCGGCCCCTGCCTGTCAACGCCAAGTGGCGCCACTCAGGGGCCTCACTACTAGCCTTGGGCTCCCCCCCATTCTGCCAAAGCTGCCAGCCTCGATCAGCCTCGATCAGCCTCGTCCTGCCCGTCACACTCTTGCCCTACCTGTCCCTCGTACATATGTTGCGGTAGTACAGAATCATTCAGACCTACGATGCGGCTGCTAATCCTACATGCTCGTCTCAAAACAGACAACCCTCTCGGTTCACCGGAGCCAGGCTTTGCGCGGCCTTGGTTCTGTTGACCTCCCCTCAGTCTCTTGCCAGGAGCGGTTCGCACCCTCTCGAGCGCTTCCTGGATGTCCTTTGATCATTCCGCCATGAGCTCGTCTTCTCCATCAGTGGCGTCGCGAGCTTTGTCTTCGGCGTCCAAGTCCAAAACCACAAGACCCAGCCCACTTTCGTCGAGGACGGTGACCACTCTTCTCCCGACTCGGCCATTTACATCAAGCTTCACAGGCTTCATCGCACCATCTATCCTCCCGCGGTGGAAAACGTGCCGGACATCCCAGGATCCTCCGCCGTCAACAGTGATCTCTTTCCAGTAGATGTTGACGTCAGACGCGGTCTCGCCAAGGACCAGAAGTGCTTCGTCGTCGATAAATTTCGCATCGAGGACCTCCAGCACATCAGGAATTGTAAGCGAGTTCGACGCCATTGTGTGTTTGACACCCTTTCCAGCTCCTTGTTGTAGCTGGACCACCACGTGCCGAAGATGGGCTTTCGCCGTACGATCCTTGGACATGACAAAGAGCCTGTACAGATTTGGATCGGCGTCGTCGGGGATGATTCTGACGTCCATGTTGTCGCCAGCGCACTCACTGGGCAGCTCCTGCAGATAGCTCGTGAGGATGCTCTCCCTGAATGTTTCTGCAATCCGTGCAAAGACCGCTTCACATTGCCTCTGCAATCTGTCGACCAGTTCGCTCAGTGTAGGCATGCTCTTGTCTTTGTTCCCACTGGCTCTGAGTTTCGTGAAGTCGGCGTAGAACCCCAAATCCGAATCGTCATCGAAGGATGCAAGCAACCCAGCTTCTTGCTCCTTGGCCTCTCCCAGAAGGTATTTGTTCAATCGACTTTCTTTCATAGCACCTCCCACATAATCCAATACTAGCCTCAACTCTCCCTCTCCCGTCCAGGACTCTCGCATCTCTTCCGCCCTTTCGCTATCCTCCTCCAGCGCCTCGACTTCGCACTCCCATTTGAGCCATTTGATAAACGCCGCAAATTCTCTTGTTTCGGCGACGACATCAAGCAGGAGATCCTCGCCGAGGATGCCCAATGCATCGATGGTCTCCGTCAGCCTCTCCACGTTCTTCTGGTCCAGTCCAAGCTTGGAACTAGTGGGCCCAAACCTGGCAAGGCCGTCGAGTCTTGACAACACAGCCAGACTCCTCTCCAACGCAGGAAGGAGACACTCACTCGTCATCCTCCTCACCACCTCGAGGCAGTCGCCCACGGCGTTCTCCCATCGCTTAAGACCCCTGTCTCCAACCTCGTCGACCAACCACTCCTTCAGTTTCGGGCTGCAAATTCCGGTAACGGCGAGATGATGGGCTGCGAAGGTGAAATCCGCGTTCTCGTCTCCTTCTGCCAGGGATTCGTTGATATTGCGGAGGAATCTGCCCGGTAAGTCGAATGCGGCTTTGACCTCGGCGACCAATTGCGTCCGTACCTGCGAGATGTATCTTAGCAGATAGCCTAGCTGTGAGACTTTCCTCGCCACGAGCGGCAAGTTCCGTCCAGTCTGTGGTATGAAGCTCAAGTCAAGGCTGAGGAGATGTAGCGATGAAGCGGTCCCTTCCCTTGGCGACTGTTCGATAACCAAGAACACTGTTGACATGAATGGATGGCTTTCCATTCTCAGCACCCTTGACGTTCTTCCAGCCGCTTGTCCTGGAGGGAGAACTCCCGTCAGATCGACAGTTCCTATGTCGAAGGAATCAAAAACCCTCAACTGAGCCGCACATCCGCCATTCTCATTACTTAACCCGACGAGTAGAGCATCGACACCGCCAGGCCCGGCGGATCCGTTACTGCCACCTCCGTGAAACAGAACATCCACACTGCTCCGCGTACTAAACACATCATCGTCCGCACCCAGACCGGTAGGGGGTAGTGTTGCGAGCCTCGGCAAGGATACTTCCACGTCAATGCTGCTAAGCTCGCGGGGCAAATCGGCTTTCAGCTGGAGAAGTCTATCTACGTCGGCGCGGAGGCTGAGAATCTGATCGAGTGAGACTGTTGAATTCGACGCATCAAGCTGAGAGCGGACGGTGGTTGGAGAGGGGTCGACGAAATGTGTGGTCCAGGAGATGGTTGTGATTGCTGGTCGCAAGGTTGTGGTCGGGGAATTAGTAAAGGAGGAGACTCTGGAACTCTGTCTTCGTGTCTGCGTCTGTAGTTGCGGCGATGAAGTAGAAGTCGTGCGTTGCCGATTTTGACGGGGAATCCGATGAGCGATTTTGCCCGTAAAGGCGTTTATGAGAGACAGACTGCCATCCGCACAGGCAATCGCGAGGATTTGACCTACACGTCAGTGTCCCGTCGTGGGGACGTAACAGTCAGCATGCACTTTCTTTCTGAGCGTATGAAGAGAGAACGTGGTTCCAAGGAGCACCATGTCCCTCAGGACTGGTCTTTGATATGGTCCGACGCGTCCTGCGGTGTGAGTGAAGCGGGAAACACAGTGCGAAAGTTGCTCACCGTCTCTCCTCCAGGCAACGGCCCTCACGTTTCCTCTGGTGCCTTTCTCTGCTGCAGCGTGCCCGTCCATGTCACCACCGCCGTCACCACCATCATCATCATCGTCTTCTTCTTTGGGGAAACATGAACCAAAGACTCTTTGCCCGTTCAATCTCCAAACATCCACGTTCCCCTTGCTCGTGACCGTCACAACAAGATCCATGGTTGGACAGTACACGAAGAGGGACGGGATGAAAGGGTCTGTGAACATGCGTTTGGATATTTGATGCATTGTCGAAACCGATTAGCAATATGACGTGGTGGTGCAGGTGATGCGTTGGACATGCACAAGCCTCCGCACTGAAAAGGTACCGCCACTGGAGGCGAAAGCCGACCGAGATCTCAACAGCTATTTGGTCAATCAACGATTCTCGAGACCGAGAGCTCGTCCTCAGCGGCAAAAGTCCAGAGCGAGGATAGTTGGCTGGGGTAAATGCGATGCTCAGTGGAGTGCAACTCTGCGTTTTGGCGACGCGTGCCAAAGCCCAATTGATCGATGAACGCGTCGAAGGACGGAAGTTGAGGGCGGAGGCCGTGCTAAAGGTACAATCATTAGGTCATCAAGTCAAGATCATCATCATTCATGAATCTGTGCCCTCACAGATATTGGTAATTACTGGTGTGCGTGTGGCTATTCTATGTCTATGTTGTCGTCAAGAAATTCTGCCAAGCCTAATAATCCAGCCTCGTTGGTTGAGGCAAGGCTGAAGGAGGCTCTGTTCCTCCCCTTTTCAATTTTGGGTCATCAGCAATGTGTCCTCCAAGAGGTTACCACCTCCATCCATGTAAGGAGTCTTCAACATATTATTCTAAGCCACTATTGTCCCACACGTTAGTACATCGAACTCTGTGCCTTCCTAAAACCCAAAAGCTCCACCCATTCCAGGGACATGCTGTCAATACCATGGTATCGAGTATGTGCAAATGAAGTTAGATCCTTGTGGATCTAACCGACCGAACTGTTGCTCATTTCAACAAGTAGAAAAGAGAGAATGCAGACAAGTATATCGATCAGCTTGCGAGGTGGCGATGCAGCAATATGTCCGCATGCTAATGCTGTTGGATCATTCCGCCCAAATAGCTCAATTCAGTAAGAAGTTGTTGCATACTGGTAGAATGGGGAATTGTTGACTCGTCATAGCTCGACATTTGAGGTTGATAGACACCTGCACGATGGTTTTCGCCCACAACCAAGGGTGCGTCAGGATTGGCCAGCGTTGCGGGTTTGTGCATATGCACAGGTCCAATGTCCTCTGAGGGTAGGCTATAGTGTTGAAAACTGGTCCAGGAGAAATGAGCACCTTTGGTGCTATCAGGATCTACACGAGAGGTTGGCGCGGTAGACGAAGTGACCGAGCTGACCGTTGAAAAGCTGAATGCCGAAGGCAGCCCGTCTTGCTTGGGGAGAGTAGAGGTGTTGGTGATTGAAAAGTCCTGAGGAGGAGTTTGAATTTCAACAGTAATCGGGTTGTCATCTGGAAACCCGAGGAATGCTTCTGGTAGCGGACTTATTGGCTCGAAATCAAGGATGCTCGAGCTAAGCTCTGACTGTGGTGAAAATTTATGGGTCCCGTCCGTCCAATCCGAGAAACGGCTCTGGTCGTGAAGGAAACTGTCCGTATAAGACTCTGTTTCGACAGTGGTGCAGGAGAAATGACTGTTAAGGTTGGCAGTGTCATGTGACTCATCGTGGGTGCAGGATTCATCCACGACACTGGGTGGATATGCAGAAGATGGCGTGTTGGGTAAAGTCGGCAGGCGTTTCTCCAAATCCAGAGCTGCACGTAGGTCGCTGTCCTCCTTGTTGCCTTCGACTTTCACTGCAGTTAGAGGCCAAACAGGGGTGTTTGTTGCTGAGGAAACCTCCTTCAGGGTCGCCAAGGGTTGGTAGGGAACAGTGGGCTCATCAAATGTCCCTATGCTGAGAGAAACGTCTGCTTGAAGTGAACTGCGGAGTGGCGAAGGCTCACGGGATAGAGATCGCTGGTGTCGATGATATGCGAAGGACGATGTCGGCAGGGGCCCGAAAGGCTCAGCCCCGTTGATCTGCCGACGGAGGACAAGCTCTCCTGGAGATTCAGATATTGTATTATCGTCCAGCTCTGGAATCGAAGCAGCTCTCCCGAATGCAGTCTTCTTGGGAGTGATGCTGCGCTCTGACATGCCTTTCGAACGACCCCTCGATGCCGAGTCGTCTGAGAGGCTCCGGCCTCGGTCTGTTGTAGTCTCAGGACTCGCCAACAGTGGTGATGTCAGAGCTCGAATAGCACCAATAATACCAACGGAGCGGTTACTTCCACGGGAAGTCGACCTCGAAGGTGCCTCAACAGCTGGCTTCATCCGGACAACTTTGTAAGTACTGGCACTACTAGGTTGAGATGGTGTGGTGGTGGATGTCGACCTTCCTCTTCTGCTGGGAAGGGATGAAGCACTCGCAGGGGAGCTGGAAGAAGACCATGGCTGTTGCAGCAAAGTTGGAGATGTTCTCAAGCGTGGCAGGGATGGCTTTGCTGGCACTGGCCGAGGGTTCAGAAACTTGTCTGTAGGATTCATGGTGCGGTAGTCGGAGCTTGTTGAGCTCACACTATCGTTGCGAGAGCGGCTGCTACTCGTAAGTGCAAAGGGAACGTTCAAAACGTTGACAAGCTGGCCAGGAAGCATGGGGCAGGAAGTGGTCGATGGTTCCGCCGAGTTATGGAATTCGATATCGTCGTCCAATTTGTACTGTTAGGGACTGGTAAGTAAGAAATCGGGGAGAGCCAGTCAAGGCCAGACGTACGTAGTACCAATACGTTCCGCCCATCTTGAGTCCTCCTTGCCTGGGAGTACCATTGGCTGTTGCGTCGCCATCACAGATGATATTCGAGAAGCTATGGCAACCTGACCAGTGCTCAGGGCCCGTGCGAGTATCCCGTTGCATTGGATAGGGGGTCGTGAAGTTGTCCCAAGAGCCATAGAGGTGAACTGATCGGGTAGAAGGCGGACTGCGACTGCAACGACCGTCAGCTCGATCTCGGGGATAGCAGAGGACTTGACATACACCAGAAACGTCACAAGCGTAGTTGGGGCCATCTTTCAAGGTATTGGAGAAAGATCAAATATTAGAACAACCAGAATACTTTTATTTCAAGGCAAAGGCCACAAAGGAAACCAGTTCCCAAGTAATTATGCAAGACTCTCTGTCCAGCAGGAAAGTCCCGGGTATCAAATAAATCAGAGGCAACAACAAAAGAAAAAGAAACGATCCAAACAGCGCAGTCGACAGAGACGAGCACAACGTTCGAACAGCCTGATATGTAAAAACCCCAGGCTACCGGGAAGACAACACAACGTCTCCTGCTAAGAGTTCGTTTTAGATGTGTCTTGTTGCACAAAATATAGTCGAGCCCTGGGGCTGAGAGGTGACGCCACGGGATGTGGAGATCCGTAAGTACCAGATTGGACACTATTTCTGTGCGGAGGGTGAAACTGAGGTTGGCCTCAAATCAGCTTGTACAGCATGTGCGGTGTTGTCTGTGGTGGCAGCATGATGGGGGCCAAGATGGAGAATCCTCGTTTGAGAGAGCTGAAACCGAGTGATGGGGGAGACGAACAGGGACCGCGCGTGTTTGAGGATTGGATGAGCGAAGGCGAGCAACGTTGACGTGGAATTGGATCCAATTAGAAGAGATGACGAAGGTACAAGGTCGAGTCTTCTCTGGCGCTTGGTGATGGTGATTGCAGGAGAGCAGGAGCAATTCAGGGTCCGGCGCTTACTGAGGTGGAAGTGAGTGGTGTTTCGACCAGCAGCGACTGGCAAGAGGATGGGAGCGAACGAGTGGTCGGGCGAGGGACAGTGGTCAGCAGCAGAGAAGATTGCAGTCCGAGGGTGAGAAGACGAATCAACTACTGCATTGGTGGACTCGGGCAGATTATATGAGTTGCGAGCAACATGATACTCAAGGAGATGCAGCCGCCATGTCATGCCGTCACGAAACTTGACAGATGCAAATCCCGGGGCGGGTTCGATCGTGGCACCTCATGTCCAGGGCCATGTCTATTATTTCCGAGTCCCTTGCTGGGGCCCGGGGGGGCAACACAACAAGCGAGAGAACAGGGCAGCCTCGAATCGAGAGCCGGTGATGATCGGAGGTGTCAATTTGGGTCAAGCGAAGAGGCTGGGGGTCGAAAGCAACGGAACGGACTCTGGATGGAGACCTGGGGACCTGGGTATTTCTGGAAGCGGGCGGGCTGCAGCACGGATTGGCCAGAAAAGGTACCAAAAGCATCTTGATAGAGCAAAACAAGGCAAAGGCCGTGCAGTAGCGAATCGTGTTGCCCAGCGCAGTCAAATTGGAACAAAGTCAAAGAGCAGAGGCACCGCATGGCAGGGTGGCCGCCTCAGCATGGCGATTGGCCGTTGCTCGTCAGCTCATGCCTCATGCGGCCTAGCCTCGGATCGCGGACCAGGCAGCCAGGGCCTGTGCATGTCGCCGCTTGTCGAGTCTCGGACCCTGCGAGATGCTGCGAGCCGCTAGACTGCTTTGGACGGCCCCCGGGCCAACTGCTTTGACTTTCACTTTCAGCTCGCTCTGCACACACTCTGTGCCGCCTGTTCCCCTCCTGCCAGTGGGTCCAGAGCAAACACTCCTCCAAGAGATAGATGGGATACTCTATTAAAGTGACAAGTTCACAATAACAACAACAACAAAGTGAGGCAGAATCAAGGCAACCAGCGACCACGAATCCTTGCTCCCTGCTGGCTGCCCCTACTGCCCCTATTCGTTTGTCAAATCAACCGCTCTGGGTAACCGCCGGCCCTCCTTGCGACATGTCAATTTACCGGGGATCAGCCACTGGGAGAAAAGGGCCCTCAATTTGACCCTGCTTGCCGAGGGGGCGTGCTTTTAGTCCTGGCCAGGCATGCTGGCCTCGTGGTCCCCGTTGCTGGTGATGGTTTTCGTCATTTCATCTCTCTCCAGTTCCAATCGGACTTTCAGCCGTCAAGAGCTACGGATGTACGTCTCATTGCCGTCGACATAACTAACTTTTGCTGCTGCCGTGGGCGGTTGCGAGTAATCCAAGGCCCTCTTCGTACTCTGTATTTTCCATCAACAGAAGGAGTGCTTCACAGAGTCCTTGTTAACTGTTATATAGCATGGACCTCGACGCGTCCAGGGTTTTACACTTTGCTTGTATATGGCCCAGCAGCAGGTGCCTCGAGCTTGACCCATGTTCGTACATCCAAGGCATCGTGCCAGGTCATGAAAACATCAATCGGCATGGATGCATTCCTCCCGAGCTCCAAAAACGCCCTCAATTTCGCCGCCCGCGCTTGTCAGAGCAGAATTACCGACGCCGTCGCCGTTTTAGTTCAAAATCATTCTCGTCAAAGTCGTCATCCTCTTCCTCGTGTGCGACTGCCATTTCATGGTCGTCCAAGATATCTGCATTCTGATCATCGGTCAAATCTTCACTCCCCCAAACCGAATGCAAATCCTGATTTCGCTCAATGCCGTGATTGCCCAACATCCATCGTCCCAGACCAACCACGCCCTCATAAGCCTCTTGGCCCGTGGGAAGAATGTGTGACCTCGGCAGCAGGAACCCATATGTTCCAGTATCTCTCAGCTTGATTTGAAATGCGAGTTTCACGTCCAGATCATGGTAGAAGAAATCCAAGGCCGACCCACCTTGTGGCTCAATCTGAACTCGGGGTGTTCTCTCTCGATCCTGGAAGACCATGCTACCTTGACAGGCGCTTTCCACTCCATAGAAATGCCCGCTGGTCAACCGGAATGACTTCGCAATCCCAAGAGCAACCTCTTCCAGGTCTTCCAGATTTGGTGGTTCTGTGTCGCAAGTGTAGCTGTACGGGTAGAGCACTTGCTGAGAGTAGGAGTGGAAGTCTAGATATGACACAAAGGTGACGTTATTGTTTGCTGTCAAGTTTCGAGCCCAGTCTGTCAACGTTTGAGCTTCGACTGCAGCCAATGGTCCCGGGCCGGCATAATCGTCGCTGCAAGCGTTGTCCGTATTACCATAACCATCCCATCCGAATCGAAAGGCACGGTCGAGGTCGATACCAGGGCAGAACGGGATAGATGTCGCTTGTCGATTCTTGCGCCACAGTCTGTCGGACGTCCAGGTATAGTCGTATCCATCAGGGTTCAGCACGGGGACGAAGACCAAGTCGAAGTGATTGAGGATCTTGGTGACCTCGGGAAACTGAATATGCCCATATCGTGTGACGAGACTGTAGGCGATATAGGCCACTGTCGAGACAGAAATCCATTCGCGAGCATGGCTTCCGCCCACTATCAGCAGTGTATGCTTGGAGTCATGCGAGTCGGTCGAGGTACTCTCCACCTGCGCACCAATGCGCAACGCCGGGATGTCGCGACCCTCAGCTGATTTGCCGATACTCATGAGCGAAGCGTGCGTGGGGAAGAGTGAGGCAAGAAGCCTAAGCCAGGGATACAGGACCGACAGCGGCTGATAGTCCTGGAAAAACAGATCATGCGGCGTGTTGCCCTTCACCCTCCAGTCATGTGGGGTTGTGAGGCTCGAGATCTTCTCGTTGGCGAGAGGAGAGGCAGGGTATGTATCGTAGACGGCACGGGCAAGATCGTGCATCAACGGAACGTAGGAATCGTGCAAGGACGGCGGTAGAAGCCCAACAAAGGAGGGAACCACTTCCTTTGCTATACGTATATCCACCCATTCGTTAGTTGATTCCCATATGTCCAAGTACAAGATATCCGCCGCTTCTGAAATGGCCCTTGCCTCATCTTCGCTCTTGATTTGGAAGCGGAGGACGACGTCACCGCCGTAGCGAGCACGAAAGTTTTCGGGGGCCCTTGCTGCCTTGGATGTGGACGAGGATTTGGAGGAATATCTGCTCGGAACAGACCATATTCGTTCGATGATAGCGTCTCGAAGCCTGCGAAATGACCCTGTCGGCCTTTCCCGGGGGGCAAAAGCGCCTTTGTTTTGGAGGGAGGTATGAGGGTAGGACTCGCTGGTAGGAACGGAGATGGTTGCAGTGATAAGAGCTGAAAATATCAATATGCAGCGAAGAACAGGAGCCATGCCGGGCTAGTGACAATGTTGTTATTGTGACATGTGAGCCGAATGCTGGGACCTAGAAGATCGAAGGAGACTCCGAAGGTAGATTTTCTGATGTGGAAATTGAGCACGAGGGCAGTTTTGAAGCTGTGGCGATAGCAGGTGGCTCGGTGCGTTGGAAAGGAGTGGATGTCTAGAGGCGCCTAGGTGCTTATCAGATAGAAATGCTTCTCTCTGGATAGAAGACCACTAGATGGCAAACAAGGATAACTAGTCATACGATGATTCTGCAGAGCATTGGTAGGCTCGGAGGTAGGACAACAAGGAAGTTTTTGGGATGGGTTCGGCGCAAGTGTTAACGTGTAGGGGAAAGAGCGCTGCCTGCACGCTCCGCCCCTCCCTTCCCTCCGGCGACATCCAATAAATGCCGTCCTTCAGCACCAGGCTCTGCTCCAGTCCCTCTAAAATGCCCGCCTAATCGAAGGAGGCCGAGTTGCAACTTTTGGCTGCGGGGGAGTCTCCCTCTCTTTCCACATGCCGCCGCCAATAATCGCTTGGAGATAGGCATACTCGCAATGTTCTTGACAGCCTGGCCGCTTTCTAGCGCTGTTCCGGATCATCGAGAGAGGAGAGCACATGTCTGCTCGGAAGCTTTTACAGACGCACTTGCACCGGGCCATTCTTTGCCTGTGGCGTGAGCGTGTCCGTAACAAGCCTTGGGAGGACTGCAAGGCACAGTTACGCCAGCCCATTTGCCAATACTCCTCATGGCCCAGTTTGGGAGGCAGGGACAACAAGAACTGAGCCAGCGAGCAAATTGCGGGTTCTATTCTTCGTGGCATGCTTGGACGATAATGAGCTATTGCAGGCCATTCCCCGCGTTCCACATCTCAGGCCGTCATCATTTTGTATTGTATGCATCCCCATCTGCACCAATCCACATGGCCGTCTCGCCTACACCTTGTATTCCTCCAGACCCCATTTCCAGACGGTTGCATAAGGCGTCATGCCGTCCTCACGGAAGTCAACAAGGACGTACATTCCGTTCTCGTCCATGGATTCGCCCTGATAGATGTCGTAGTTGTCCCAGTTGCCCAGAATCTTTTTGGCAGCAGCAGGTGCTTCGGACTGGAATTTCTTGATTTCTTCCTCGCTCTTGCCCTTCTCCTTCAATTTCTCGGTCAAAGCCTTCATGTATTCTGCGCCAAGGTCAACTTTGTATCCTCGATAATTCCCAGCCCAGCACATGTGACGTACTCTTGAGTTCGGACTGATATGCTTTCTTGCTCATTCCACCCTCCAACTTTTGCAGACGAAACTGGTCGGCAAGATCAAGGACCGTGACCTTGGTGTCATCCGTCCCGTCCTCGGCGTCTTCACCCTCAGCGGACGGGTTGGCGCCCTCAAGGACTGATTTCCAAGGGGTTAGTGTGGGCTTGCAGAAGGGCGGAAGCATGAGGATGTGACAAACCAAAGTTCTCCGAGCCCTTTGTGATCATCTTGCCGTCAATTTCCCACAAACCGTTCCCGACATCGACGATTTTGGAGGTGTCAGACGCGAGCTCATCGCCGCTGATGAGGTCCTGATATAAAATTTGTTAGTTGATTCAGGCGGGGCAGTTTCAGAGACCCGAGGGTTGCGGATGCGATGGTTTATACCTTGTAAATGATCATCTTGAATCAAGCGCTACAGCGAATGCAGAGGAAAAAGGACAGTGGAGAGAAGCTGCGCTTGAAGTCGAAAAGGCCAGGCGAAGAAAAAAAAATGAGTGAGCGCAAGCCTGGCTGGGTTGATGAGGGGTTCGAGATCGAAAGGGCATCTGGCTTGTGAATGCCCATCCGCCTAATAACCTGCGGTGTGGGGTCCTGCTGCCACCAAAAATTTTGTTACGCTTTAGCGATCGGGCTCCTTGGCGCACGTGATGTTAGGCGCTCATCCTGCCACGTGACTGCGCTCCCAGGAGAGAGGCAAATTTCGCTCGTCACCAAAATAATTCTCCGGAAACTCCTGATCCTGATCACCTCTCCAGTGCGTTCATCTCAAGTCTCTCCACCTCTCTTCTGACATTCTCATCTTGTCTTAATTCACTCCTTCACTTCCTTCACTTCCGGTACTCTTCTCTTGCTTCAATTTCTACTGGTCTTTGTCTCTGCTTTTGTCGGCCCCTTCACCGGGCTGAGATTCTCTCCCAACGCGCCCCTTTCCTCCCACCCCCGGGCGAACCCTTGCATATTCATCCGAGCCTCCCGCGCCGTTAATATATCTGCCTTTAGAAACTCTACATCGAACATCGCCCTCGTTTCTATTGCCATTCCATATCCGACAACATGGCGAGCGCAACGTTCCCTGACCTCCCTGCTCTCCCTTCCTATACTCTGAAGCCCCGCCCGTCTATGATTCCAGGAGTATCAGATCCCCTCCTCCAGCTCCTCGCTCCTGTCGTTGCCTATTGGGTCGTCTCGGTGTTCTTCCATATTTTGGATACCTATGACCTGTGTTCGCAGTACAGACTGCATACTCCAGCAGAAGTCCTCAAACGCAATCACGTCACCAGATTCGAAGTCCTCAGGGATGTTATTATACAACAAATAGTCCAGACGGCGTTTGGACTGATTATCGCTTCCTTCGACCCTGTGGAGACAATTGGTAAAGAGGATTACGATATCGCCGTCTGGGCCCAGCGTCTGCGCCTTACTGAAAGATACATCCCAACATTGCTCGGTTTCATTGGCTTGGATGCTGTATCTCTAGGTCGAAAACTACAACACACCCATCCTCAACTCGCAGGCGCTTTGACCGGAGGCATTTATTCGACCCCGTCCTTTGCGTCGTGGGAAATGACAGTGGCGAAGTCGATCTATTGGATCGGCATTCCTTTGATCCAATTTATCGTCGCTACCCTCATAGTAGACACCTGGCAATATTTCCTGCATCGGGCTATGCACATGAACAAATTTCTTTACACCACCTTTCATTCTCGGCACCATCGGCTGTATGTTCCATATGCGTATGGAGCCCTCTACAATCATCCGTTGGAAGGCTTCATGCTTGACACGCTTGGAACGGGAGTGGCCTATTTGACAACTGGAATGACCATCCGACAAGGCATGTGGTTTTTCACCATTTCCTCAATCAAGACGGTCGATGATCATTGTGGATATGCTTTTCCATGGGATCCACTGCAGCACATTACCTCGAATAATGCGGCTTATCACGACGTGCACCACCAAAGCTGGGGCATCAAGACCAACTTTTCGCAACCCTTCTTTACGTTCTGGGACCGCATTCTTGACACTGCTTGGACTGGTGGAGATGTGTCATCCCGCTACCAACGCGATAGGATTGCCGCCCAAAAGAAGGTGGATGCCGATGCCGTCGCATCCCGTACTTCAGTTGTCAATTCACCGCATATTGATATGGACCATGCAGAGTACCAAGCTCGCTCGAGTCAGAGGCAGGTCCGTGACGACAAAGAGAATGGTGGGCCTCGAGTGCTCGAGGAGGAAGCAAAGGAAGAGCAAGAAGTCAAGCAAGCCCTGCGGCGCAGCAACAGACGCAAAAGTGGCTTCGATGCCAAATCAATATCGGACCGCGTCGCAGGAATCCATAGCAGGAGTCCGGCAATCCTCCATGCAGACGGGATGCATTGAACAGCTGTGTATAAAATATTTATCGTTACGAACCAGATCTTTCATGGTACATGTTCAACACTGTTTCTAGTGGGTACAGGGCAAGGATCAAGAATGTGCTCAAAGATGATGGGGTTTGGTGGAAGGGCTTATGTGCCTTCACTATGTTTCTTGCAAATCACGGTAATGTGTACAAAATATGGGCTGGCGCCCAAGGCCAAGGGGCGCTGAGTTTGCATATCCGAATAAACCACAAGGAATAATCATCTCCTCACTTCATTTCGATTCTCACTCCTGATTCTCTGCAACCCAAAGGGCTGTCAGCTCCGGACAGGCAGTTATCGTCAATGCTCCGTCTGGACAAAGGAAAGTCATTTCCACATCCGCTCTCAACATTGAAATTTCTTTGATGGAAGACAATGCCTTTGGTTCTCCTTGGTGCAACACATTTTCTTTGGTCCATTATTCGTGGAAAGGCCATATGAAAATGCAATTCCCACCACGTCCATGCATGCTCGCCCCAAATTTTCTCATCGCACAAACCCTTCACAGCTCATCAAAGCATTTCTTGACAGCGAGCCCTCGAATTTTGCTCCAGGCTCCTTTTGTTGAAATTTGCCTCTGCGGAAGGAGCTTGTTCTTTGCAACAACAAAGCTCAAGCGACTAGCACGACCAAAGTAAGAGAATCCTCTGGACATTTACTCGCAAGAAGAAGAAAAACTGACAAGATGTATATCGAAGAGATCCCGCCTGGATCCATCCCGACGTTGGCGAAACTCCTCCAGTTTCGACCCAATGAAGCCCTAGAAACCGTGTCATCGCGAATCGCCAAGGGGGTGAAGGTGTTGCCTTCCTTTCTCCGGCCGAGCCGTCTGGAGAAGATCCTCTTACCCCCTCGCGGCCATCTCTGCCAGCTACATAAAGCCCTACACTACGACGCCGTAGACGTCGTGCTACGCCATGTCCAGCACGAAGTGGGGATTCGTCTCAACAAGCTCATTTCGCAGTGCGACATGCTCTCCCCGGAGCAGTACGTGCGGGTGATGAGACTTCGGGCCCTGCACGCCTTGTGGCTCACACCCGAGGACTACGAAAAGACATTCTTGACTTCAAGCCAGGGTTCGAAGTGGGTTTACCAAAGCGACCGGTGCAGCGCCTGCATCTTGTCCCGTATCACGCGCGACCTGGAGATTCTCCTGGACCTCAGGTGGGCGATCCGGTCAAGGGCGACGCACAATTTCATCGCGACGCACGGAATTCCCATACTCCAGCCTTGGGTGCAGGTGTGGATTGCCGCGCTGGCGCGGTGCGTCGAAAGGGCGACCAGTCAGGAGATTGATCTGGACACGGTCATGCTCCAGAACGAGGAACAAGCGGTGGCGTTGAAGAAGACAAGAGCTCACATTGAAGCCGTCCGGAAGGAGAAATACAAGTACATGAAGGTGAGCAGAACCAAAAGCGGGAGGACACGAGCCAGGCGCGCCGACAGTTGTCGTCTCGTTCCTAATCCTCCGGCGCCTCCTGGGCACGAGGCTGCAGAGACTGTCACCACCCAAGACAGCCGCGGCACTCAAGCCGGAGAAGACCTGCCAAGAGACCTGGACGAAGCCGACCTTGAGGACATGGACGCGTATGAGGCTTTGACCAGCACGACATATCTTCCAAGTCTGCCACATCCTCACGTTAAATATCCCTTCGAATCGGCTATCAGCTCCGTTTCCGGTGATCCTTCCACGAAAGGTCAAAGCCCATACGGACACTCTTCCCTGGGCACTGAACGGGCATCAATCTATAGCGTCCTCGAAGACCCGCAAACTGCCGCATCTCTGGAGCTGAGAGACCCTACAGACCAGGACGAACAGTATGAATACGTACCTCCAAGGTCACAGTGGAAGGCCCCACAACAAGAGCGACCAACGCGACCATCAACACTGCACTCTCGTCCACCAGGCGGCCGGCAACATGATGAAACGGTCTCTGTCATGTCCGCCAGCGACAGGGTCGAGAGACCATGCGTCTCGTCGAGAGATTCTTGGGAAACGGAGCTTCTGAGGGCGTCGAGTTCGAGCATATACTCTACCGCAACGGCGGCGTCAAACCCGCAGAAGCGTCACGCCTCTCGAAGCAGACCGCGACTGACCAGGGTTGACGAGAACGAGGACGAGCACTGCGGGAACGGAATACACTCTGCATCCCGAGTCCGTGCCCCGTCATCCACGGGACATCGACGCGATGCGGCAGAGACGTACACCGACCTCCTCGCCTCATCTCCATTCGCAACAACCACATCCGAAACACCATTCAGACCACAACATGTACCGCGACCTGGGCCAGGAAGATGCACGCCCCCGGCGTCTGCGTCGGAACTATTCCTCCGTCTGTACGATGAAGTCAGCCGGCACGCAGCAGGGCCAGGCGCAACGACACCTTCACCTGAACTGCCTTCCGGGCCTGCCCTGCGACGGGCACCGTTGACGCCTCCAAGGCGTCCGGCGTCGTCGACGGAAGACTTCCTCAATCTATACGACGAGGTGGTCGGCGCGTACTCGCGGGACAGAACCCCAGGCTCGTCGTCTTCGCCAGAGACACACCGTAGCGTGTCCACGTCGACGTCGACGTCGACGTTGGTCTCGGCCACCACGAGGAAGAGGTTGACCCCTGAACGGCTCTCTGTCCGGGCGAGCACGAATGAACGACCGAACGACCGCAGAAAGTCCGAGACCCATGCCCTCCACTGCGAGGTGCACGTGCGTGAGGGAGCAGGGTCGGGGAGCTCGGCCAGTCAGAGCAGGAGCAGGAGTAGGAGCAGGAGCAGGAGTAGGAGCAGAAGCAGACACCGCAGCCAGACCCACGGTCATGGCCAAAGCAAGACCCGCGGCTGCGATAGCAGGGATGACGTGCAGTCTACATGGAGCGGAGTGTACGAATCGGACATTGCGTCGAGAGATGACCTGGGCTGGTTTTACCACGGCAGGTAATTGACTTTGCCAGCGAAGATGGGGACAATGAGCTCTCTTTGGCTTTTTGGATAAAAGGCGGGGAGGGGGGGGGAGCTGTAAAGCTACAAAATGGAACAGTCTTTTTTCAGACTGTAAAATGGGTAGAGGTATTTGCGTCTAGGTACTTTCGGGGCAAAGAACATACACACCCTCCAACAAGACGATACGTGTTTGAAACACCACCAAATGACGTCTAAGTTCTGGTCCTCGATATTGAGTCTCCAGAGAGTGTGTAGTTGAGCAGTTGTCATGTATACCAATGGAGATGGTATACGGTTTGGGAAAATCAAATGCACGCGGCGTGAATGAATGCTTGGAGACAATTGAACAAGAAGTTCGCTCAGTCAGTATTGTACAAGCTAGAGCTCTATCTAGGTATTTGGCTCCTTCATGCTTACAATACGCTGGCAGTGGTCGCACAAGAGCACTGAAAGAATTCAAGAGAATCCATTATCTTGAACACTGAGGTCAACCTCAAGGCGTAGATGCTGTTCGGAGCAACGCCAGCCCTCACACGATCGATAGCCCTCAACTTAGAGCCTATTCAATCCTGCGCTTCTTCATTGGAGTCTGACTCTCAGTGTTAGGAGCCTCACCGTTGCCAGGCTTCTGTTCTGCACAGCTCAGGTTTGCTGAGATGCCGCCTCGCGCTGCCACGTCCAACATTGGCACCTCGCCGCCATCATCGGTCTGGGCACGCTTAGCATTGACATCCTCACTGGTATTTGTGTCGCGTGTCTTACCAACTTCCACGCCGTTGCTCGTCGTGGGCCCCGCCTTGTGGACATCAAGGTCGGAGGGGAGAGTGGAATGGCTGGCTGCTGCTCCGTCACCATCTCTCGCCTGCGCCCCCCCAGGTACTGACGCGCTCTGCGCTCCAGCCTTTTCCTTCTTGTGTCTGTTCTTCTTCTCCTTGCTCTTATCCATCTTCTTCATGTTCGTTTCCATGGCTTGCAGCCTCTTTAGTTTCCGGCTTTCTATATCCGCTTTCTGTTGAGCAGCTACTTCCATACGCGCTCGATCTCTCTTTTCCTCCTCTATCTCAAACATCTTGGAGATCGCAGGGAAGAGATTCTTCATGTGTTGGATTTGCGAGACGCGCATGTGCATTAGGTCAAAGGCCACAGCGATGTTGAGGTCACGCACAGCTGAGTCGGGTTGAATCCATGCTGACGATCCCGATTGTTGTGCACTGGGATGCTCCGATTCTGAGCCATCTTCGTTGGCATTTGCACTTGTGTTGATCAACTCAGCATCAACGTCGTCAAGCAAGTCCTCTTCGGAGGCATGCTCCGGCATTCTGACGCTGCTGAAGACAGGTATTTTCTGATAACGCTGACTGAAATGTGTGAGGATGAGATTTTTGGCTCGCATACCGAGTGCAACACCCACAGCTTCGCCCGTAGTGCTGTGCTTTTTAGCCATAGCATCACCTTCCATTCCATCGTCAAACGTGGCTTCATGTACTAGGACGTCCGAATCGGCGCCAATCTCGCAGAAAGCCTCGTTGGGACGACAATCGCCACTGTAGGAGAATTTGAACCCGTTTTTGAAGGTGACAGAGACGGCTTGCGCGCCGTGACAATGACTAACCTTCACGGTGCGCAATTCATTGATGTACAGGTCGCCCTGCACCTCGAAGTGCCTGCTTCGATGGAACAGCCCTTTGTGAGGGTCACAGGCAACGGGGGTGCAGAGCACATCGGTTGGTATGCCCATGACGGATTCGTAGTCATCCAAATAGTCAATCATGTTGATCTCGGAGAACAGATATGGAGGTGGTGGGCGAGCACGTTGCCCAGATTCTGACAGTCTTCGAGCGGTTTGGAATACAGCTTTCAGAATGGACACTGTGCCCAGATGATGGTCTGCGTGGAGGTGCGATATCCAGATCCCCCGGAGATTGAACAAAATCTCGTCTAGTTGTTCGGCGTTATAAAGTCTCTTCAATTGACCGAGAGTACCTTCGCCACAATCAAATAGGTAGTTACCCATATCATTGGGCATGCGAAGAAGTATGGACGAGACGTTGCGGTATTTTGACGGAGCTGCGGAACCAGTTCCTAGGGTTACAATTTCCGGCTCGTCCAAATCCATGCCCGTTTTGCGTTCAGAAGTCGGGGCACGGTAGGTTGACACATCATCTGGCAATATTTCTTGTACTGCCGATTCTAGGGGCGTGGCAAATGAGTCCAGGTCGAGGCCTGGAGTGACCTCACCCTCGTCAATGACGAGATGGGGCTCGACGTTGACTTTCAGACCCCTCCTCGCCGGCATGATTTGGAGCTTTTTGAAGACATCGCCCAGCTCAACCATAGATTTGTCGATCATTGATCGATACGCACTCGAATTATCGAATCGAGGAACGGAGAAAAGACCTGGCGCAATTTGGGACAATCTGGCAGAAGATATCGCCGCGGAGTCATATGCAATGTAGTCATTGCACAGGTGAGGATCCGAAATGACATGCTTCAGGTCTTTAAGCTTATAAAGCAGTTGGTGAAACCTCTCCGCCTGTAGTACTTTGCCTTTGGTCATCCAGACTGCGGACTCAACTCCTTCCAGAAGCCAGTCGGCCTGGCTGTCCAGCTGTCGCTCGAGCTCTTCAAGATAGCCGACTGACGGTATATCGAACAGGGCAAACCCTCTGCCCGGCCGAGTTGGGCTCAAGACCATTTCCGGAGTGATTGTGGCTTGTCTGCCATCGTCGCTCTCAACGGATTCTCCCGCCACCAGCTTCGCATATTTTGGCCCAGGGCGCAAGCCAAGGGCTTTGGCTTTTGCAACGTCAAAATTTCCACGTTGAGGATGACCCTTGATAATGTAGGACATTGCAATAGTCTCCGGCAAACCCCTTGCTGGTGGCAGCTCCTGTACAGTTGAGGCAGGCCAGGGACTGCGAACCAGAACTTCCGTGTCCGGCGTAAGAGTGGTTTTGTTGATGTCAAAAACGGGATAAGTGATCAGTGTCTTCGTCTCGGGATCCCTCACCCATACTACTGCCGGCAATTTGATGTCCTTGAGCTTAGCCTGCAGAAGTTGATCACGCCTCCAATCAGAGTCGAACATGTTGTTGACAACTTCTTTTCGCAATATTTGCTCTTTTTCCAACTGGAAGTCGTCGACAGTGGAGTCATCGGGTTTCTCGTGTAGCAGGGGGATGGTAGAGCGGTCCTCGATGGGCAGTGCCCACACCCGGATATGCTCATCCACATGGATCGGCTTTGGATCAGTCCTGTTCTTGCGAACATTGACCTCATGAACTGACAACGGCATCCCCGTGCGGAAGACGAATCTGCGCGCACATGCAAACGAGTGTAGCTGCTTCGGACCTGCATGTATGTGCAATCTGGGGCGTCTCATGGTGTCTTCGTCAATCTCTGACTGCTGTACATCCGCCATGGAAAGGATGAGGCCTATGAGGCCTCCATTGTTCCAGAGCGTCTTTCCAGAGAGAAACAGGCCGCGGACTTTCCGGAGTCCAATTCCACGTTGTACACATGCTCTTTGAGTTCCTTCGGTAATCTCTCCAAAGATATATCTCTTGGAATCGAAGTGTAGTACGATCGACGTTCCAGGAGTGTCGGAAGTGGGAGTTGTAATGAATTGGAAGTGGAAATTTGTGCGCACTCCGACCGGTTTGTTGCCCTCTTTATGCGGATGCATTGTATAGGATCTTGGGGACTTTGTGGGCGACAGTGCCTTGATTCCAACTTGATCCAGTAGAATGCTTTTTCTGTAGGCTTTACGCCGGGACCAGGCAGAAGAGAATCTCTGAGCAGACAGGCGAGGAATGCTCAGGCGGGCTCGAGGGGGACTAAAGCTTCTCTCTTGTACTCCAGCCTTTCCTTCATCCCAGACCAGTCTTCTTCTTGCCGAGGAACAATGTTTTCCGCTCAGGTGAGTCCGTTGTCGTTTGCGAGGATAAGATATTGGGGAGGAGAAGAGATCGGCAAGCCGAGTCGAGCGGTACGGTCTTGCAGGGAAAGGAGAGAAAGAACGAATCGAGGGAATTCGGTCTTTGGTGAAGAGCTGGGACGCAGAACATGCCCGAGGAAAGACAGAAAACGGTTTCAGGATAGCCACGGCGACTGGGTGGGGAAGGAATGTGTCTCAGTGCATGGTATAGTTTGGAATGCAAAGCCTTAAAAAGCCATGAATCTATATATCATCAATCCTTGAAACTGGTAGAAGGGGAAAGCACAAAAAATGAGTGTCTGAAGCGTACTCCGCCGCAAGTTTTGAGCGATGGCGAGAATGGTATGTACAGAAGTTGAAAAAAGTTGTCGGCGACTGCGGGTGTGACAAGGCTGCGATGCCGCCTTGCGTCACTCACGCTGGCCTTGTCCACACCAGCCGCGAGTCAATAACGCAAATCATGCTACTTGCTAACGTTCATGCATCTGAATTGAGGCGGCATCTACTGTTAATCGTAACAATAGGCAGTTTCCACCTTGTTACTGGATTGCAGAAGCCCGAGAAGGGGAGTATAGCACATGTTGTAAAGAAGATATGATTTCAGAACTCTATACATCGGCATCAACACATGGAGCCGAAATGCCTCAGAAATCTCTCTGCCTCGCAGTCAACCTATTGAGTCGCCCTGGTGATCACCCTCCTAGATCCCTTCGTTGCCAAATAAATAGACTTTCATCTCATATGGGACATGTACTGATCGAGCTTGTCACAAGATTCGTCAAGGTCGCAGCACAATGATTTCAAGTGAGCCACCATTTCTTCATCAGAAAGTTCTGTATCCTGCTCGATATGATCGACTGCAGAGAATTCATCGGAAGGAGAGACGAGTGGATCAAAGTACAACGCAAAGTTCTCTCTATCGAGAGGTACGGATTCGTCAATTTCAGGTGTTACCGTTGCCGCGAAAGTTGCCAAGTGAGTTGGGAGTTCGGGAAGACGGGGTGTGTCTTTTGGTCCTTTACTTGAGCCCTGGCTCGATTTGGGCTTTCCTGATAAACTTTCGAGATCCAGAACGGGGGGTTCCGGCAGATCGGTGACAGCGTAGACTTGGAAGTCGTTGGTAGGGAGAGTGTTTATCCAACCATTTGACGGTTGAAGTGCAGAGAAATCAACTGGAGTGTCTGGAATTAGGGCCATCCCCACTTGATGCTGCTGGAGATGCATATTGTGAGCAGCCTCATCTGAGCCAATGTCTTTCTTCACAGGCTGAGATTGAGGCTGAGGCTTGTTTTGAGCGACTTTTTGCTGGTGAGGGTTGCTCTGGACATTGGGCGGGGGCAAGCCAGATTGGCTGAGCTCCTGCAAAAATCCGGAGAATGACTGGGATGAGAGCAACATCCGAGTGAGGTCGGTGAGACGGTTGTTCTCTTCTCGCAGTTGCTGGTTCTGGGCACGCAAGTCGTTGGCCTCTTGGGCTTTGGCGGCGACTTCTCCTTCCAGTTGAGAAATGTATTCTAGTGACAGAGTTAGTAGATAGCGAGATAACCGATCCAACATCATCGTGACATACCTTTTCTTCTGGAACGGAATGCACGGGCAGACACTTTGTTCCTAAGTTGGCGACGTTCCTTGCTGGATAGCTTCTTCCCCTCCTCGCTGGCCAGGAGACGTTCGTCCTCGTCCATATCATCTTCATCCTTTTTGATACGAGGCATATTGGACATTCCAGTCACTGGGGAATTGTCATCATCAGACACTGAAGCAGCGCTCGCTTGCCTCATCCGATTCAAGACCTTGGAGATGCTTTCCTCAACAAGCGGGTCCTTGGCCGGTTGCGTCTTGGCGGGTGCTGGACCCGGAAGGGCTTTCTGGCTCTGGGGGCGATGTTGCTGTTGTCGGGCCATTTGTTCCTGTTTTTGAGCCTGTTGGGCCTTGGCCTGAGCAGCCTGCTGGCTGTGCATTCCGGGATAGATGCGTTTAATCGGAGTTGAAGCGGTGTTGTTATGGGTGACGAGAGTGGTCGGGCTAATGAATTGAGCAGGACCAGATGGTGCGTCAGGATAGAACATTGTAGGAAGACCATTTGGTGACTCGGTCTCGAAATCCATATCAGCGGGATTGCGGGAGAAGTCAAACTCGTCCAAGTCGCTCAAAGGCATGTTCAATGTCTCTGTGGGCATAATGAAGCCTCCATTTCCCTCATGGTATTGTAAACCATTCGCTTTGTTGATGTTGAAAGTGCTCGCGAGGGCGCCAATAGGGATGCCAGTCTGTTGGTGATACCGGTCGTACTGAAAGCTGGGTCCCGGGAATGTGGTAGGAGTCGAGCTCGAAGCAAAAGTTGCAGAGCCTGGGATAGATGACTGAGGGGTCAGCATCGGGACTGACTTGATGTCTGGAGAGGTTGTTGCAGGTGTGAAGTCATTCTCGATATTGAGGAAGGAATCGTAGTCAGGGTCAAACGCGGTGTTGAGTTGAGACATGCTCGATTGTGAAGCAGAGTAACTCATTGCAGAGACGAGGGTGGTTTACTAGAGGGGTGCGTGGCCTGGCAGCCTGCGCGGGTTTAAAGACAGCCTAAAAATAGGCACAGAGGGTTCGAGAGGTCGTCAATCGCGGGTCGTGCAGATTCTTTCGTCTGGAGTCAACGTGAAGGTGATTGTATATCGGTCGTGGTGTAGCGAGAGCGTGTTGGTGATGGAACGAGGGAATGATGGAAGAGATCAAGTGAGGATTGCAGGGGGAAGAGGAACAAGGGAGGGAGAAGAGGGAAAGCAGCAGGAGAGGGAAAGTTGGCAGCCCAGAGTTGCGCAGGGCTCATCCGGACGAGAGCGCCTAAGAGCCACAACACTTGGGGGCAAGTGCTGAGGCTGTGTCGGAGTGTCTCCCCCCTTGGAGCGCCTGTGACTGGCTCGTGTGGCTTCTAGGGTCCGGGTTTGGTGGTATGTCTTGCGAGGGCCCGGCATATCGGCAGCTGTGTCTCCCCGTGATCAACGCATCAGGTATTTGATTGCCACCAATCATATGGCCGCGAGCCTCCGTCTTCAGGCTGCCATGAATCTTGCAAGACGGGCGGCCAAGAACCCGCAAGCATTGGCACAGGTGATTGTACCTGTGGTTAAGGAATCATTGGAATCTCCTGGCACGCTGCCCTCGCTTCATTGAGAAATTATGCACCTTGTTCGCGGCCTCACATCCCCACGTGACTCCGGTCACTGGGCGATCAGCCTTGAGCCTTTGGTGAGGTGACGCTTCAATTTTCAGGCGTGATCATCCACCGGGTCTCCGAAACACTGGCAAGGAACTATATGAAACTTTCACAAGACCCGCTCCCAATTATCGAAACGTTGATCCGCCTGTGTGGATAAGTCTCAATAACGGTGGTTCCTCATATCTTTCTACCCCTGATCCGCACAAGCGACTGGCAAGGAGTCTCTGGCGGCGTGGCCGTTGACATCTGAAATCGCCCTGCTTCACCATATAGAACATCGGTTCACCGCAACCCTCCAACTTCCTCAAGACTCTGATCTACGCTGATGGACATCTCCAACGTGAGCAAATCTGACAGCTTGATCCATCACCCGCAATCCGGGAGATATTCCTGGGAAATCGCGGTAAGCGTCCAAGAATAATGCATCTCACAGAGTTCGTCGGCCGAGCAAAGATCAGCTCGCTCGTAATCGATAGAGCGAAAGTTTAAACCCGACATGTGGCGAGTTGTGGCGAGTGTGGCTAGAGATTGTGGCTGGTGATCTAGTCATGTGACTCGCCATTATTTCCTGCGGCTCGCACGGATCTCGCGCGAGTTTGCCAGGTTTGGCTGCTTCTCCTCACATCTCCGCCTGCAACATCCATCAAATTCCTGCACCGTGACTAATGTCAATCCGAGATACACCAGTCACTAAGCCAGATGCTTTGCCCATTGCTGGCATGTCATCCGCGTATAACATTGCTTCTGCTTTGATGCCTTATTATTTATCCCAAACGGTCCATTTTTGCTCATGATAAGACCTCCGCTTCCCCCTGCGCTCTCCATGTTGGAGCTCTTCGGCATTGATTCCTTCCCACTATGGCTGAGGCCAGCTTCAAACAGATGATTGCCACGTTTTTGCGCCAAACGAGACCAGTGTCCTTTCGCCACTCAAAACCTCCTCGGTATCCTCAGCGCCCATTGACCACCGCTGCAAACACCCAACCTCCGCGGCGGGCGGCAGTGGACTCCCGATGGGAGGCACACACAATTCAGACTCAGAGTCCTGGCGAGCCTCAGAGTGAGCGGCCGCGACTCGAAAGCCTGCGAAACGAGGCCGAACCGCGACCTTTCTCTTCGTTCTTGACCGACAACTACTCCAGACAGCATAACTACCTGCGTATATCAGTCACTGAACGATGCAATTTACGATGCCTTTATTGCATGCCCGAGGAGGGTGTCCCGCTTTCTCCTTCGGCGCACTTACTCACCACCCCCGAGATTGTGTATCTCTCCGAATTGTTCGTCAATCAAGGCGTTGACAAGATTCGCTTAACAGGGGGCGAGCCTACGGTCCGGAAAGATATTGTGGATCTTATGCATCAGATCGGAAAACTGAGGAGTAATGGCCTCAAAGAATTGTGCATTACAACAAATGGCATATCATTACATCGAAAGCTCGACTCCATGGTTGAGTCCGGGTTGACTGGTGTCAACTTGAGCTTGGATACACTCGATCCTTACCAGTTCACCATTATGACGCGGAGGAATGGGCACGATGCAGTCATGAAATCCATTAATCGAATCCTTGAGATGAACACATTGGGGGCAGCCATAAAACTCAAGATAAACTGTGTGGTAATGCGGGGCCTGAATGAACGGGAGATACTACCATTTGTGGAACTTGGCAGGAACCAAGATCTCGAGGTCCGATTTATTGAATATATGCCATTTGACGGGAACAAATGGTCGGAGAAGAAGATGTTAGGCTTTAGGGAGATGTTGGCCCTCATTCGCCAGAAGTACCCCGATGTTCAAAAGGTACAAGATCACAAAAACGACACGAGCAAGACATACAAAGTCCCAGGTTTCGCTGGTCGAATCGGGTTCATCACCTCGATGACGCACAACTTTTGTGGTACTTGTAATCGACTTCGAATCACTTCAGATGGCAATCTCAAGGTTTGCCTTTTTGGAAACGCCGAAGTCTCCCTCCGTGACATTCTACGCGAGTCCAACGACGGCAAACCCATTGACGCCGAAGCCATGGAAGCTGTTCGAGAGCTCGAGATGGATCGCCGCCAGCGGTTTTCCGGGGCTGAGGAGCTGGGCATGTCCGAAAAGGAAGCAAAGTTGCTCGATGTCATAGGCATGGCGGTGAAGCGCAAGAAGGAAAAGCATGCTGGTATTGGCGAGCTGGAGAATATGAAAAACAGGCCAATGATTCTTATCGGTGGGTAAGCCTCGACATTCTTATCGTTGTCACAGATCTTCACGCTGCCACGACAAAAGACCCCGTGGATCAACAGTACACAATATCAAAGCTATGATATGATGAATATAGACCTATTTCGCGTCTGCATTCCTCCTTATCTTCAGCCCGTTTTCTTTGGTCAGTGATATAGCTGACTGTTGTGCTTCTGTAGATGATGACGCTGCTCTCAAACCATCTTTGCCAGCTTCGCCGCCTCGGCCATTCCTCCCCAGGTACGCTACTAACTCCATGACTGCCGTTCACCAGTCTTCGCTACCGCTACATCTGCTACAACAACCTACACCTTCTCCATCGTGGTCTCAAGTTCGCTGCTTTTCCTCGCTCTTTTCGACGAAACCCACTGGGTTCAGGAAGTTCAGTAACTCAACCTCGCTGGCCAGATTGAGACATAAGCCCTTCCGCTATGTTCATGGCCAGTCTTTGTATCGACGTGTTCCAACCAAGGAGCCAGAAAACATTCCGGCAAACTCCTTTCGCACCTGGGATGAAAGTCGACAACGATCCTTACGAGGCAGGGCTTCAAGAGCAAGGTCTCAAGTGCAGTCGTACGGTCAATATCTGATCCGAGATATCATGAAGCGGGTGTACCACCACCAGAGTCCTCGCGATGAACGCAGTAATAGTAGCTCGCCAGGTTGGAGGACAGAAAACGAGCCATCGAAAAAGTCTTCTGAAGCCGAACAAGAGGCTCCCGAGACAATAGCAAACGCGGACGTGACCCTCACTCACCTCACTGCCGATGGCGAAGCGCACATGGTGTCTATCGCCAACAAGAAACCGACTTCTCGCTCTGCGACGGCAACTACTCTGTTGCTGTTCTCCCACTATGGGACTTACGGGGTGTTGTTCGCGTCGCGGCTGCGAAAAGGGGACGCACTGGCCGTGGCGCGCATAGCGGGCATCCAGGCCGCGAAGAAGACGTCTGACCTCATCCCGCTTGCCCATCCGGGCCTCAACATCACAGGCGCCACAGTCCGCTTGGAGCCGTTCATGGCGGACAAGCTGCCCTACCCGCTGTCAGAGGGGAAAGGCGATTTGGGCATTCCCAGCGACATGGACAGACTCCACGGCGGCGTCCTGATCACGGCCACGGTAGCGTGCGAAGGGAAGACCGGGGTCGAAATGGAAGCCATCACGGCGGCATCCGTGGCGGGCCTGACCATGTACGACATGCTCAAGGGCGTGGACAAGGAAATGGTCCTGACCGCGACGCGAGTCACGGCCAAGAGCGGCGGCAAATCCGGCGACTGGGAATGGGACTATCAACTCGGCGAGCGCGTCTTCGTCGATGCTTCCCGAGAGAAGGGGAGCAGCGGCAGCCCAAATGACGGGACGGTGAAGGAACAGGCGGACCAGGGTGTGGCGGAGCAGGACCAACTCCTGAAGCTACAGAGGATACAGCGAACCATCAGCCAGAGACGCGAAGAGGGATCCACCAGGGGACAGATTTCCGCCGAAGACCTGGCCGACTCGAGAACCCGGAGGCTGAGGAGACTGCACGCTGCGAGAAAAGTCCACAGCAGGGCTCCGGCCAGTGGCGAAGAGCAGTCTACAGACAAGGACAAGGACAAGGACGGCGCTTGAGGAGCACGCCAGAGAGAGAATGAAAAGTTAAGGCCGAGTGACAATTGAGAGGAGATCAGAACAGATGCTCAGTCTGTATGCCCGTGCATATACCCTCCCCCCTCTCTCTCTTTCGCGGGTGCAGCCTGCCAGGAAGGACGAGTTGAGAAAAGCCATGCTCTCTGTTTCCTGTACATTTACGCTGAGAGGCACTGCCCAAGTAATTCGAAGTGAAGCACACGTTGTGATGGCCCAACAACGAGGGCGTTTTCCCTGATTATTTCGCAATCTATATCTTCTCACTTCCGAACGGAAGTTACCTCTAATTCGTACATTACAAATCCGCAAATGAAATCCAGAGCAGTTGGTCTATATGGGTATCTCTTCGCTGGTAACTAAGACGACGAAAATCGCAATGATGCAAAAAGGCAGCTCCAGAACAATAATCAGAACATTCCAATCCAATGCTCAGATACAACACAGGTCAAGCCCAATGGATAGGCCAAGAAAAATAGAGCAAGGCGCCAGGCCTCCTTTCTTCCCTCTCTGCCCCAGCAAAGCTAACCTGATCCTGATCCTGGGTCGGGAGAGTTTCACTTCAGCCAGACTTGTTCAAAGACGCCGCCCAGAGGCTTTTGGCCGGTGATTTCTTCCATGTATTTCTCCGAGACGGGCGTGATCAGGCAGCTCCAGCGGTTGAAGCGTGTCTTGGCCCAGTCGAGGCAGAAGTGGTGCGTGCGTAGAAACTCGGGCGGCTGGGCGCGCGACGTCGCTTGCTGATGGCGCTGGACTGTGGAAGCATTGGCGCCCGCCGCAATAGAAGGCGGTGGAGGCGTGATCTTCCATCGAGACTCGTACAGTGTCGGCCCGATGGCAAGGTGTGTCAGGGATGGTTTTGCTCCTCCGACTGAGGACGGAAACACCCATTCGACGAACTTAGTCGCGTATTCTTTGATGGTGTAGTCCCCCAGTTGGCTGAACACTTGGTTCTCGGGGAAATTGCGGATGTGGATGGTGCGCAGGCGCTGGAGCGTTGGGAGAGCGGTCTTGCGGACTCGGATCATCTCGTCGTTCCAAGGGAAGCCCATCCCCAGTTCTGTCAGATTAGGGCAGAGCCGGGCGATGTCGTTGATTGATTCCTCCCACAGATCGTGACTGTATCCGCCCACGCCGAATGGGCGGGAAGTGTCCATTGAGAGATGCTCGCGAGGCTGAATGCGGGATTCAAACACTAGGTGTTCGAGAGAGGGACCGTGTTCGGCGATGAATGTACTCGGCCTTTCCAGTATGGCGCCGTTTTCGAACAAAAGGGACAAAGTCTGCAGGCCGGTGAATGAGCTAAGGAAGCGGACAAGAGCTTCCTTGAGAGGTGTTGTAGGGCTTTCGTGACGTAAAAGAAAGTGTTTCAGGGAGGGGGTGATGCGAGGGTTTTGAGGCGCTTCTGGGGAAGTCGACGCCCAATGGAATGTTCCCGCAATCGATTCAAGGAGATCGTGGCTGCCGGGGCAGGATTGCAGAGTGAGGCGCTCCAACTGGCAGAAGAACAAGGCTTGTGGGATAGAAGATGGCCGAAGAGGAGTCACATCCAGACCCTGCAGAGACAGCTCCCGCAATTGAGGGAACGTGTCCAGCGCATATGCAGAGGTGAAAAATGTGTCCATTGGTTGCGGAATTTGTTGGAGGAAATTCAGCCTGCTCTGTTGATAGCACTCGATCAGCCGTTTTTCTTGCCCCAAAGACAGCTTCTTGATTGACTTTCTGTTGGCGGATATGATCTTTTCAACAGCCTCGCCATCATTGACCGTGCGAGCCTCGAGGCTCGTGAGGTTTTTGGGAATGAGCATGCCCTCTTTCCAAGGAGAAACATCGTGGAAGTGGAGGCGTTTCAGTGTGCTCTCTTGTCGCTTGGTGAGGGACGTCACCATTTGTCGACTCAGGGGGATCTGGTGGAAGAATCTGGCACAATCAGCATGGGCAAGGTCGACTTGTGTGCAAGTGACTCACGCGAAGCTCGTCATTCGACCAGAAGGAACTTTCTCCAGCAGACTGTTGACAAGACTCTCGACAGAACTCGCGTCGGATATTCTCCTGCGCTTGTAGACCGAATTCCTTCTCTGTGTCCTGCCGTTCCTGATGGTGAGCTCTCGAACAGATTGAACGAGTGGTTCTCGGAACGCAGCTGTCCCAGGCATTGGGATTTGAGGGAGATCAAAATCGACGGTGTGGTATAGTCGAGTCATGACTATGTCCTCGAGGGCACGGCATGTCAGAGATAAATTGTAGAGATCTCTGCGAGTATCGAGCTGGAAGTATGTCAGTGACGTGTTTTCTCTTCCAACTTTTCTCAGAGACGCACATAAGTGACAATATGGACTTTGATCTCGTTGGGAAGACTCAGAAGCCCGCAAGGCTGCGGAAATGGGGATGAGTTCATGGCTGCGTGGTTGACGAGCGACAGCCGGGAGACGTGCAAAACTTCAATACCAATAGTGACACATGCAATATAAGTGATTCACCACCTCTTGATCATATCTCTGCAACTCGCAGGAAAATTCCACCATGGACAGGTAGGAGTTCGGATTATGATAAATGGTGACTGACGGAGTGGATACGGGAACGGCACGCAGCCTTGACAGCACAAGGGGGGGGAGGAAACGGAGCCAGGGGAGGCGAGGACGGGACCGATGCCAAAGTGGTAAGCGTGCGTTAGACTAGCAGAGAGCGTAGCATTATGTCAGACTGATAATCGTTAATCATAGTGCATTCCACTGGTGTGGGAGGCTGAGTGCGAGAGAAAATTCCATTCAAGGGCGCGCGTGTGATAGGGGGAGTAAGAAGAATGATAAGTGGCTTCCTGGTTGCGCTCCGACTGCGTCTGCTCATTTCGAGCCAGCAAGGATTGCGGGAAAGGCATCTCTTTTGGCATGTGAATGGTTTGATTATTAGTCAGTGTCAACACGAGCAGCTGAAAACTGCAACCATTGAGCTCGTAATGCGAACAAAGAAGGGAGGGCGTTGGCGTGGGATTGTTAGATTAGGGCGTATCCCAATCCCTGATGCAGGAACATGCCGGAACAATACCTAATGGAATGACGATCATCCACCCAGGGGCATCGTGGACGTGATGCGGCATCCTCTTCCTTGGTCCACATGGACGCCACATTCCTCCCAATCCTGTCTAAATTGCTCTTCCCGGCTACTAGAAGCCCTCCGCTTCAGGCATCGGGCTAGAAAAGCACCCAAGTGAAGGTAGGGATCTTGCGGAAAGACGGCCCTGGCGCCACACTACAGCCCCGGCGGCGAATGGTTTCCGTCATTGTTGACCATTATTTCTAAGGTACTCAAACACTATTGTGTTCCTGTACTTGTATTCTCGTAGGTTTGTTCACACCCTAGCTTCCCGTCTCATGCTCATGCTGGGCACTGCGGCTGCGGCGGCCGAGAAATGTCCTCAAGCTTGTCATGCTGACGCCCTGGGTCCCCTGTGTGGATTTCTAACGGATATGATACTCCCCGTAATAATTCCCGAGCCTCGTTGGCGGTTCTTGCGTGGTGGGGGCAAGATGTGAGCGGTCTGGCGGTCACCGTTGCACATAACAAATTCTCTCATTGGCGATTCGGGCGTAAATATGGGTTCAATCCATGCTGCCTGCGGCGTTGAAGGGAGGAGGAAATTCGTACTTATGCTGATTTTCGAATGCCGAGAACCAGGCTCGTTCTTGTGAGCCTGCTAACCAACTGGCGCGGTTGAATATAACCTGAAAGGGGATATTCGTGGTTACTACTTACAGCCAACTTGCATTAGCACCACTGGTATTCGCAACACTATGCTCGGGCGCTTGTAAGCTCATACTGACGTCATTAGGGTTTTGATGACAACAGCACAAACGAGTTTGACATTGTGATTGAGACCAAGAAGAGTAGTAGTGAATGGTGGCGGTGATGTTGGCGAGAACAGTTCGAGGCAGCCACGGCAGCCAGGGTCAAACACTCAACCGTATTACTTCGTTGTGGTGTCTTGAACTCCGCCATATTTACCCTTTTGCGGAGAAATATACTTCCAGCCCGGTTCTTCAGCTCAACGTCCGGCAAGCTTTTGGCGGCGCCCCGTTGATCAAATACATGACCTTTGGTTCACCAGACAGGTGAAGGAAGCAGCAGTGCCGTGGCTTAGTTGTTCTCGCAGCCGCTCTTGGGCGATCCTCCCAGTCCCTCAAGACTTTTGATTCTTCCGCTCCTTTTTTTCCAGCTGTGAATTCGTGTCTCTGGCGACGGGACTGGGATTCTCGCACTTCGCTAGGATTTTCGAACCACGGCACTTGTTATAGGACATCAGTCAAGGAACAGATTGAGTTGAGCAAGTCGTGTAGGCGGACACTATGTGGTTAGGCTGAGAGTTCAGAGGAAGCAGCAGGTATACAAACGTGAAGGTTTCGACTGTGGTAGGTGGCAAGTCTGTCCTTTCCCGCCTGTTTTGTCTAGGTGCACAGAAGACCAGCGCAGTGAATTTCATTGCAGCTATGCAGACAATTGTGCCAGACCCGCGCAAATTGGGAAACAAAAACATGGAGGTTGTTGTTTGTCGTTCCTTCCCATCGCCGCGGCGACTGCCCCTTCTCTGCGTTTTCTATCCAACAAGGATCCTATCACGATGGAGCGCCGAGACCACGACAACGCTGCTAGCACGACTAGTGCGGCGTCTCTAGAAGAGCGTTTGAGGACGGCCTCTATCAACGCTCGGCGCAACCGCTTTTCTGACTTTCCTGACTTTCCTGCCGCGCACACTTATGTCGAACCTCCCAAGACTGACGCCACAGATGTCAGACCGTTTCTCAAAACTCCAAGCGATGAAGAGCAGGCCCTGAGTGCGCATAATACGGACAAGCCACCTTTCTCTCGCCCATCAGAAGCTGCCTCCGCTTTGCAAGAGCCACCGGAATCCTCTGTCTCTCAAGCTCACACTTCCCTCACATCGGACGAAATGGATCGCCGACTTCGCCAGAACAAGCCACGCTTGTTGCTCATGGGCCAGCGCCGGTATGGTGATTCCCCATTCTTTCTCCGTCTAATCACTGACAAAACTCGCAGAAGCGGCAAGTCATCCATCACCAGTGTTGTCTTCCACAAGATGCCTCCGCAAGAGACCCTTTTCCTCGAATCTACCACTCGTATCCAGAAAGACACCATGCACTCCTTCATGGACTTCCAGGTCTGGGATTTTCCTGGGCAAATCGACTACTTCGATCCCACGTTCGACACGAACGAAATCTTCTCTGAGATTGGAGCGCTCGTCTGGGTCATCGACGCGCAAGATGACTATAGCGAGTCCTTGAACCGGCTGACCACCACCATCCTCAACCTTCAAACCACCTTCCCTCACGTCAACGTCGAGGTCTTCATCCACAAGATCGACAGCTTGAATGACGAGTTCCGAGCTGAAATCTACCAAGACATCGCCCAGCGTGTCGGTGATGACTTGAACGACGCAGGATACATCAACCCCAACGTCAGCTACCACATGACCTCCATCTACGACTACTCCATCTTTGAGGCATTCAGCAAGGTCGTTCAAAAGCTGATCCCTCACCTTGACACTTTGGAGAACCTCATGAACACGCTTGTCAACAACAGTGGTATGGCCAAGGCCTACCTTTTCGACATCCTCAGCAAGATCTACGTCGCTAGTGACACGAGACCCGTTGACATGGAGGTGTACGAAATGTGTTCCGATTACATCGACGTCATCGTCGACATTACCGACCTGTACGGACACGAGCGCAAGCATGGCTTGACCCTCGGAGAGCAGATGCAGGAAACAGAGTCTTCCATGACTATCCATGACGGTACCATGATCTACCTCAAGGAGATGAATAGGTAAGAAGAACTCCCTGCAGACCTGGCGCCACTCTAACAGAACTCAGGTACCTCTGCCTCGTCACCGTCATCAAGAACGATGACGCCAAGAACAAGAAGGGGTTGATCGATTACAACTGCCACATTTTCCAAGAGGCCCTCAACCAAGTCCTGGCACAGGCTTGGAATGCAGACAAGGCCACCGGCACCGGAGAGGGTGCGGAGCAGGATGGCGAGGGCGCAGCCCAGGAGGCGGCCCAAGGAGAGAACTGATGGACACGAGCCCCCGGCGCACTGAGTGGACAAGAGGACGAGCTGATTGATTAACAACCGGGCGCTGGCTCATGCCAGGATAGCCGTGAACATGAATACAATGAAACGTGCCAATCGCACAATATGAGCTATTTAATTGTGTAACCGACGATCCCCGTCTGTTCAAGAAGTGAATTGCGCTCGCTGATTGTAGAGAGAGTCTGTGACATTTTTGCGCAGTCGGATGTCGATGTGGTGGATCTTTGCCAAGTCCAGCTTGAATACCCTTTGGTCAGACTCGGAATTTCGTAGGCAGAATGACACAGTCTCTCACCTACATGCAGACTCGCTTGACTTCTGAGGCAGTAGATCATATCAGTCTTCTGCGCGACGTTGACGGCATCGATTCTCTTGCCAACGAGCTTCGCCAGACCCAGGAGACCGATAGCACTGCCGCAAGCCCGACCCGACAGTCACTGAATCCGCGCATCCAATTTTTACGCCTCTCAGCAATCGTCCGAGGACGGGTGGGTGTGCCTGGATCTACTCCTCCATACCAGCCTGTACCGCCATCACTGTATCGCGCGCTGTGTCTCGATCAGGACGAAGGCGTGGGTCAAGGCGAAGTGACCAGTCCCTCACCCCTGCGCAATTTCGCTGTGTCAAATTGTGCCGTTCGGTATGAGTCACAGCGAGACGCGCATATAACAACGCAGCCGGCATTCGAAGGCTTCCCAAGAAATCTATTCTTCAGGACCATCAAAATGCCTCAGACGGGGTTTCAAGCCCTGATACTGTGCGGTCCGGGCATCGGACTCAGCACCTTCACCAGTGTCCCAGCAGAGTATCCCAAGGCCTTGGTCGAAGTCGCCAACCGACCTATGGTCTGGTATGTCTTGGATTGGTGCTATCGTATGGGCGTGACAGATATCACCCTCATCACTCCGCCGACATCGAAGGACACGATTGCTGCCGCTCTTGCGCAAAACCCTTACCTCACGTCTCTTCCCTCGCCCTCAGCCGATCTCCTAGCCCCAGGATCCCTAGAGTACACCACGCCAACCGCCGAGTTACTCAGACTGCCAGAAGTGCAGCAGGTGATCAAATCAGATTTCTTGGTGCTCCCCTGCGACCTGATTTGCGATATTTCGGGGGACCATTTCTTGGAGACGTACTTTACTAGGTTAGGTGGCCCTGGTGGGATTGGTGCTGGTTCAGGCTCAGACTTTGACAAGTCACGAAACGAGCTACTATCGCTTGGAGGTGAGCGACGTGGTCGGCGCGGTGGCCTTTCGATATGGTACAATACGGTCGATCGGGAGGAGAGCGTGAAAGGCGAAGAATGCGACTTCATGTGTACCTCCAAACTCGACCCTGAGCATAATCTGCCCCTCTCCAAGACTGCTACTGTACAATCCCAGGGCGTCCTTCGCAAACTGGTCTGGACGATGCCCATGTCGGAGCTATGGGACCAGTGTGAGGAGGACAAGTCATGGAAGATTCGACAGTCACTCTTGCGCAAATACGGGGCGATCAAGTGCATGACCAAGTACCGCGACTCGCACATCTACTTCTTTCCGTATTGGGTCAAGGAATTCGCCAAGTTCAACGAAGACTTTGAATCTGTCAGTGAAGATCTCGTGGGAACATGGGCAAAGGCTGAGTGGCGCAAACCGAGCTATCGAGCGCGATTCGGCGCGAGGAAGATTTTCACACACCGCCTCACCTCCCAGGAGAGCGAACTCCCTTCGCATGAACGGCCAATCGAGGAAGAAATCGACTTGCTATCGTTGAGTAGTACTCACGTCACGAACCACCGGGTGCCCCAATCTATAGAAGCACCACGCACAGCCCGACTCGCATCGAGAGTGCAAAGGGACTCCGAAGACAGAATCCTTTCGGCAGACAGTGAATCACAAGCTTCCGAAGATTCAGGACCTGTGCCGCTGGTTCCTCCCATTCTCTCATACATCCTTCCCTCAACTTCAGACGCGCCCTTGGTGCGCCGTGTGGACACCACACCGCTCTTACTCTCGGTTTCGCTCTCCCTTGCCAAACTGCCATCGATCGAAGAATGTCTCGGCACCAAATCAGCAGTGCCACCGTACTCTCACTCAGCCAAAATCCACGCTACCGCCACGATTGCACCCCGAGTGACGATCTCTCGTTCTGACACGCTCATCGACAGCAATAGTACCATTGCCACGCAATGCGTGATCAAGAACAGCGTCATCGGCGCATCGGTCGCAATTGGTACAGGGAGCCGGATCTCAGGCTGTGTTATTATGGATGGTGCCACGATTGGGGATAAATGTGTCTTGACAGGCACGGTCGTAGGCAAGAAGGCCAAGATCGGCAACAAGTGCTCATTGACGAATTGCGAGGTGCAGGACGGGAATGTGGTTGGTAATACTACGGAAGGAAAGGGCGAGAAATACCTAGTCGGCGGTTTGGAGGATGAGATGGAAGGCGAGGAGGGGATGGGATTTGACGATGATATGGAAGACGAAGATGATGGAGGGGAAGGCTTGAGCCTAGGAGAGCCATGACTGTAATGCCTCCGCAGGGTACACTGCAATCCCGTGTGTAAACCAATTCCTCGCATGGCGCGTGGCTAAACCAGTGACCCCAGAATTTGCGGTGTAGAATCCGCAAAAGCACGCCAACCAAGGGCTAGCTGGGAGTCCGAGCACGATCAATGAAAGCTCCGAGAGCCCATACTTATTCTTTGGTTAATATCCGATGGAGAGGCCAATCGGGCCAGAAGTAGACCTATAAGCGAGGATGATGGTAACCTTAGTAGCCCAAATACTGGGTATGATTGATGCAACTTTTCCGACTCTTTTGCGTGCGCCATGGGATATCTCATGTTCACCTAGAGATCTATCTAGGTACTGTACGGAGATCAAATTCGTTAGCATGCACTTGCTAGAACGCACAGAGACCTGCCCAGGGGCCGGCAGATGGGCGCGGTGTTCTGGTCGTGGCACTGTCTCGTCCGCCCACCAACAACAACACTAACAAACCAAACTAAACACAGGAGGTAGGTGTGTAGTCGCTGTGGCAGAATCGATCACAGGACAGCTTGCAGGGCGTCACAGGAACAGTAACCAAGGAGGAATAGAAGGTCTCGAGCACAACTAGCACTCTATTCGCTGTGTGAAGCAATGCTCAATTGATCTGTCGCTGTTGCTTGAGGGCTATCAAAACCAATGCCAGCGCCGTCACAGCAAAGTCCCCTGTATAGTCACGTGACTATATCCACCTGACCACCGCACCAGCGCCTTACAGTACGTAAATATCTAAGTGTTACACCGTGTGTTGCGATATCTCAAGAAGCTCAACACTAAATTAAGATGTGGTAGATAGGGGCTGAAACAACAACATAGGCCGGAACAGTTGACTGCGATGGTGGTCGATGTCATGGTGCCCAGTAGGACGGACGTCGCCGCGTCAACTTCCCCACTGACGGGCTCGGAGTCGTCTCCAATCTGGATTCTGGATTCTCCTGCTTATTCTCTACTAGAAGCATCTCTATCTAACATCTAGCGAATGTTTGTGGTGGTCTATGTGCCTAGGCGTCAAAGCTAGAGAGTGCCAAGCTAAACTTGAGACTCGTCTCGAAGGGCGATCGGCAATCGCGGACTTTTGGTGGTATCACTTTTTATTTATGGGCGACACGGTTTTAAATCCTTATTTTCACTTCTTCATCAATAATCTACATTTTAAAGCCCGCGTTTATCTATGAAATCTTTTAGATGCCTAAAGACAATAAGATAAAACTGAAATAGCAGTGAAATAAGAATGAATTTCCATTACGTAAAGTAAGTAGATAGATGTAAAAAGCTTAGTGGCAAAGCTGTCTCTTGGCACTATAGCTGCCCTCCGCTCTCTACTTACGAATCAATTCGACTTCAATTCTCTTAATAACCCACTAACTCTCCACCACCACCCAAATCAAGTCTTATTCGACCCTTTCTTGACTTGATATTAAATCGATTCCACGAATGAATGCCGAAAGCGAGACGTTGACGACTTCTGGGGCTGAAAGGGGTCACCGGGCGGCCATGGCGGTTACACTGCACGGAGCTTCTGCCTACAAACGCAGTTTCGATCAGACCAAAGACCATGTGGTATGTAAGGTTCTTTTAAGATCTCGATTTTCAGATTGTGATTTTATGGCTCAGCTTCACGCTCGTCTCGACCACGGCGTGGGGTTGTTATGTTGCGGGTCTCCCCGCCCCTAGAGACAGCCGACCTCTTTGACCTTGATTAATGTCCGCATCGTGATTGGCATCTGAGAAGAAAAACTAACTGTCTTAATCCACACTCAGAAACCGACAGACAGAATCGTAATTGAGCTGTCGGATTCCGAAGACGAAGTCAGTCTCCCTTCACGGGGGCCAGCCTTCTCGCGACCGCGTCACTTGACGCGTGCGATGGCGCTCCTTCCCTCCTCACCCGGAGCCGGCGCCGGACGTTTGAATACTGACTGACTCTAGACGCCTTCAATTCCCCTCCCTAAGCGTCAGAAATCCCAGACGCCCGCAGCAGACGGTCCCGAACCTCGTCGCGTACTTCCACAGTCGCGTCCACAATCCCAAGATGCCAAGACTTATCGCCACGCGACTCCTCCAGCATCGGCTGCGTCACGTGCTCAACAGCAGGACGGACCGTCAAAAAGTACACCCAAACGCTCCCCGTGGAAGAAGCTTTCAAGATACTCACTGTCAAACGACGCGTTCGCCGATCTAAGAAGCGAGTCCCCCAGTCCTTCTGACGCTCCTGAACAAGAGCAGATCACGTCGTCCTTCCCGACACGGACTAGAGTGCGGTCGGAAACTCATGGATCCAGTTCCGTCTTCGACCACGTGAAGGCCGGTGGACCTTCTACCAAGAGAATACCTTCCTCTCTAGAGCCCCGAATCCATGCCACACGGCCACGGCGAGATGAGATCGACCGCCCCAAGCGTGTCACTCGATCCGACCGTGGCTCAGTTGTCAGGTCGGAAGAAAGGAAGAGATCGGCGAGTAGCCAAGGAAAAGACACGCTCTCCCGTCATATTCGGACAGGCAAGAGCTCCTCCTTGAACAGGTTCTCGATCGATATTCGGCGACCAACTTCGGATACCGACGTGGCTACCTCGCAGCAAGGACGTAAACGTCTACCAAAGATTGAAGTTGTGATTGACTCTCAACGCAAAGACCTCCTCCGACAGTTTCAGGCTCCTTTACCAAAGTCTAGAGCTCAGCTGAGCGCAGAGAAGAATGCGGTTTTGGCACAGCTCGAGCAGTCTACCAAGTTGGCCCATGAGAAACCGGAACTAGTAGAGAGACATTTCGGAACAACGGGATTCTCGGCGGTGTTCAGTGTCGATGAGGACGTCGAGTTTATGCGGGGCGCGGCGTCCAAGAAGAAGAAGAAGGCAAACCGCAACAATATCAAATTGGAGATCGATTCTCTTTGCGTGCCGCTTGACCAACTTTCTCTCAAAACTAGCTTCATCCATCCCGCCCGCACTGCGCGAAAGATTCTCATCAGCCGCTTTGAAGAAAGATTAAACCCACCTTTGACTTTTGCCAACGACATCAACGATAGACGACTTCCTGGTAAATTCCAGTTTATCGACCACTATATCATCAGCCCCAAGGTCAAGATGGCACCACCCTCGACGAACTCTGGCTGCGACTGCAGGAATTGCGCATTATCCACCTGTCAATGCTTGACTAAGGAAGTCGACGGACGTGAGACCCAGGTAGAAATCTACGCCCGCCGACCTGACGGAATCGTCGTTCTATCAGACGATTATATTAATCAGGCTCTAGGAGATGGAAATGAGCGCCAGGAAATAACGGAATGTAACGAGCATTGCGGGTGTGGCGATGACTGCTGGAATCGGGTCGTGTGTAAGGGACGCACTATTCCTCTCGAAGTCTTTCAGACCAAGAATTGCGGCTTTGGAGTCCGCTCGTCGAAAGATATTGTCAAAGGCCAATTTATCCAACGATACCTCGGCGAGGTCATAACCGATCCCGAGTTGGAGCAGCGCGAAGACGCGGCAGAAGAGCAACAACCTAGCTATGTCTATACGCTGGACTGGTTCGGGAACAAGGAGCCCTACTACGTGGACGGCGAATACTTTGGGTCTGCCATGCGATTTGTCAATCACAGCTGCAATCCAAATACCCTGTGTGTAACTGTGCAGACCCACAGAAAGGATAAGAGGGTGTATGACCTCGCCTTCTTCGCAACCAAGGATATCAAGGCCGGCGAGGAGATATGCGTCTCGTATAAAAACGATGGTTCATCCGACGTCGAGCAGATCTCGGAGGATTTGGTGAAGTGCCAATGTGGAGAAGACAATTGTCGAGGAATCCTGTGGAAACCAAGCAAGAAGACCAGACGCCGAAGGAGACGACAAGAATAAGGGGTTCTTACGTTCGACGTGGGAATGTAATAGGTCGAAGGTTAGGGCTGAGAGGAGATGGGATATGCCAAGGCTGTCGACGGCATTGCCAGATGCTACTAATGTACACGTGTCGGCAGGTTGATTCGCGGCCCAATTACACCGGACGTTTTGATACGCCTTGGGAGCTACTATATCAGCCAATCGTCGAGAAGGACAACGCAGTTGCTGTTATGGTGTCACGGTGTCACCCCAAAAGGCGCAGAGCAAACCATATATTGATCGACACCTGGATTGGATTCTCGTGGGCACAGACTGTGTGTGCGTATGGGACTCTGCTAGTGTCCTGTTTCCCACACCATGAACGATACCCCTGGATGTGACTGGGTGGATGAATGGACCCGTGAGCTTGGAATAGCTGTGTGTTTGGGAGGACGCGTAGCCAGGTTCTCAAAAGGAGAGAAAATGTACCACTACCACCAACAGGGAGGAAAAGGCGTTACTCACATGAGCGTAGCATTCTAACGGACTAGCAAGCAATGTCGACTTTGGATGAAACGAAATGGAATGATATGAATAAATGAACTAGAAAGAGACAGAGGCCGGAACTGGACCAGGATTGTCATATATAAATACATAATTAATGAGTAAAAGAATCCAAATGTCCCCCTAATTGACTACCTCTCCATCCCCGCCGTTTCGGTCTGTCTTAGTTTGATTTATTTCCTCTCTCTCACCTTCTTTTGTCTGTCGTTCCGCCCCGTTCCTTCTCTTCTCTTCTCTTCTCTTCGCTTCGCTTCTCTTCGTTTCACTTCGCTTCACTTCGCTTCACTTTACTTCACTTCGGATTGCTTCAGTTTGCTTCAGATTGCCCCCCTCTCGGTTCGATACGTGTCCTGAACGTATAGTATACTACCATTCATGTACGGGACCTGTTGAATTGACGGGATACCCTGTTCCTGCTCGTCAGTATATGGGATTCGGGACCGCGATTCCGTCGCGGTCCTCGCTGATCTTTCTACCACCACTACTCCAATCGCGAGCGAAAGAGATATGGAGAGAGAGACGGATGGATGGATCCCAATCTTAGACAAAGACAAAGACAAAAACCGAGAGGAAAGCAAAACCGTGTGGATCATCAACTGTTTCATGTCCCTCAAACGGAGATTTCATCATCGGCATACGATACTCACATTAACTACTAGGTATTTTTTGAGTGAAGTGATGACGAAGTCGTCTTCGAGTTATATACATTATCTCCCCAACGGGGGACCACGCGCCCGGACATGCGATACTATTTTGCTCCCTCGAGCGTGTTTCTCATTTCCATCAAAGGTGGGTGGCGGACCCTCAAAACCCCTCCTGCAGACTCATCATGAGAGCCTCGTCAATCGTCTCCTTTCTGAAACCCGGGGCTCGGCCCAGGCAGGCACTCCCGTGGATCATGCGCTCGAGGAACATCTCCACGTCAAACGTGAGCGGGTTCGGCCTCCTGCTTAGGAGATCGGAGAAGGTGGGTGGAGACGAGGTGGAAGTGAGTACCGCGAACTCGGCCCACGGGTCATCGAGCAGCTTTGCATTGCTCTGGGAAGCGGAGCCGGTATTGTTATTACTGTTGTTAATTGAGGTGGCGGTGGAGGATGACAACGGCGGGAATAAGGTGCTCGGTCGGGCAAACATGTCGCCCAGCTCGCGGGCGATGAACGGGTCGGTGATGGGATCTGCCAGGCCCTCGGCGCCCAAAATGGGGCTTGGAGTGCGTAGGGTCGCGTCGAGTGGGCTCCGGTCTGAGCTCGAAGTCCCGTCGCTGGAGGAGAGAGACGCTTTGACGAGTGGCAGGACGCTGGGGTCCACCTCGATAAAGCTGCTCTGGCCGTCGAGGTAGATGCCCTTGGTCTTGAGATACTCCTCGACGTCGTGGCTGTCGAACCACACCCCGCCGAAGCCGATGTTCTCGAGCATTTCCTGCACCGACGTCTCCATCCGCGGAGTCTCGACCTGGACGTAGGGCTGGGGCCCGAACGCTTTGGCGGGACTGATCATGTTCGGCGGGTAGACCGGGTTACCTTCCTCGTCACGGCGGGGGAAATGCGTGCCCGCGCCGCCGATGTGGAAGAACGGGACGTTCCAGTTCTCGAGCGACTCGCCGGCTTTCCGCTTGAGCATCTCTTGGAAGCGTTGCAGCATCCGCTTGCGGTTGGAGAAGCAGAACGTGAAGCGGAAGGCCCGCTTGATGTATTCCGGGTCGACGTTCGGGTTGGTCAGATTGCGGAAGGCCCGCTCTAGACACATTCGGTGGAGGCGGCGGGCGAACGTCGTTTCCTGGAAGCTATAAGTGTACGAGCCCTCGGGCTGGTGGGCAGGCTTGAGAGGGCGTTCAACGACGAGTTTCTCGTTGGGGTCGTCGAACAGGACGACGTCGGGGACGGTGGCGTTGAAGGACATAAGATCATTCAGGCCGTGGAGGTTAGAATTGTCCGTTGCCCACGCGGTTTCCGAGAGCGCAACCAACGAGTGGTCGTCTCCCCCTGTCACGGGCAATTCTTCCACATCTGCTTCCGCGTCGGTAGAGCTCTGGTCGAAACTAACCGCGCGGCGTGCATTAGTCTTGGTCGCTCCTGGCCGTGACGAGGTCTTTGCGCCCGACTGAGCACTAGATCTCCTGTTGCTCTCACCTGGTTCGGAGGCGGGCTTCCCGTCGCTGCCTTTGGTGATTTTGGCAATGGCCTCCTCTTCCTCGTCGGATTCAGGTGACGCTATCTTGGACAGGGCAACAAATTCCTCCGTGGCGGCTTGCAGCTGGCGACCCAGGGAATAGTGCGAGGTCAAGATCCCGGCATCGACCATGTTGTCGTGCAAAGTCAGAAAGGTCTTGTTCATGTGCTCAATGGTGGTTTGGAGGTCGTTGACCTTTTGCTTCAGCGCCGAGATGGTGGTTTCCTTTCGATGCCGGTACGCTCTTTGTGCCAGCCGAATCTGCGTCCGTCGACGATCGGCCGCCGTTTCGTCGTGGGTGTCAAGTCTAGGTCGGCCCCTCTGCTTCTTTTCGCTTGCTTGGTCGTCTCCATCGGTTGTAGATGAACGCTTTGTCGACTTTGATTTCTTTTGAGTCGATACTTGTTCCTGTTCCCCCGAGGATGAGTGGTTACCATCACTGGGGGCGGTAGCTAAGACAATGCCCCCGTACAAGTGGTTGGACGAGGCTGTTGCCTTTCGCTTGCGAGGATTCGGTGGTTGCTCCATGTCCTCGTAAGGCTGCATGAGTCCCTGGGGGTAGCGGGAGGCCGACAAGATATCCAGATCTCCACCCACCGGACGCTGGATCGAGTTGGACGACATGAAGAACTGGGTGGGGTCTTCCAGCAGTGACTGAAGGGATGAATATGTGCGGTCGCCAACGGGTGCTGTTCTGAATGTTTGCATTGCGACGGACATGGCCTTTGATTCCAGATCACTGATTCCGCCGAGGGTGATTACTGAACCTGACAGAAATCGGCTGCTTGGGAAAGGCTGAGGTAGTGCTAGGAGACAGGCTGGGGTTGTATCCCAGTGACCAACGACCGCGTAAACTACCACGGTCAACCACGGGGTGTGTGCTCGGTGTGGATTTGTCCTCTGGCCCAAGCGACGGTAAGGCCGTGTCGAAATTTCCCGACGGAGGAAAAGGGCAGATGTGCCTAGGGGCTGTGGCTATCTCTTCGGTTTTGCTCTGATCAGGATATCAAGGCTCGAATGGTTGCCCCCCCGTTGATCTGTTATCACAGGTCTCTAGGATGTCTCCTCCCTGTGTCTCTGTTCCCTCTCTTGCAGAATTTGACCGTGTCCACAACACCGTCAGGTGGGCAGCTGTCGACAGTCGAGGCGTGGAGTCTCTCGAGAGGCAGGTCCCAAACAGCGAGAAGCAACTTGTAATACCAACCGCCCGTCTGATGGATTGCTGCTTTAAACACGCCCTGCGCCCACGGCCCACGAAATTAGTCAGAATCCCACGGGGTTGAGGGACATTGTATACGACCAGGGGGGAGCGGAGGGCCTGGGTCCCAAAGTCAGACGGTGTTTTCCCCTATAAAACGCTGTCGAGCAGCCAGTGAAAAAGTCACCGTGTCCAACCCAAGAGGCCGTGTCGAAGACTGATGATGGCATTGCTCTGATCCCCGAGCCATCACCGGAAGGCCTGGAAGGCGGCCAGCGTGCGTCAAGAAAGGCTCGAGGGGCCTCAAGGGCGCGGTTCTTGCTCGATCAGGCAGTTGGTGTCATCCATGTGCAGCTGGTTGAATTCACTGCTAGGCTGGAAGCAGTCAGGCCTGTCTGGATGAATAGTAATCAGATCATTCATCCTGTTCACCGAGGCAGCGCGGGGCCACACCATCCCACCACCCACGAGTCACTCTGGCCGACTCCTGACCTCAGGCTACGTCCGTAACGCCCGTGAAAAGAGCCCCCGCTCCGGGCAGATTCCTAGAGGATCCAAATCTCACAAACTTGCTGGTTTTACTGCCTTTAGGTAAGCTGAGATGCGACATTCCCAGCGCCCAGATCAGCCCTAGATGGGCTTGACTCAGCCATGAACTCTGTCACGCACTGTGCCGTACGAGGACTTCTCAAATCCCGTATAAGTAGTCTTTACTTTCCTGCTGTGGCAAAAACCCCTCGCCGGTGGAACATGCGCGCTGACGTATTCGGCTTCAGTGGTGGTTAGAGATAGATGGGGAAACGATCTAGGCACCTTATTCTGTTCAGAAGACGAACAGGTGCTGACTTACTGGGAGTTATCATCCTGCCCAAACATTGGTTGTAGCAACTGGTAACGACCGCGGAGATCCATTTTGTTATAAAGAAACCCCTCAGTACTACCGAGTACGTCTTCTGGAACTGGTGCCATACTAGCTAGGCATCTGCATGCGTCACTGTTGCTGCTGCTGCTGCTGCCGCCGCCGCTGATCCGACCTTCATCGTAAAGACGGTCGAAATATTGATACATTCATTTTACCCTGACAAAAAGAAAGAAAAGAAAGGCCTTCCTTGACGTCCAAGATCGCTCTCTGTGCCTCTGTATTAGCGTGCTATAAGTTGGTATCATAAAATACATGACCTCCTGTTCCTCACTGCCACCATTTCCCAGGATGCCGTCAAGAATCAAAAGAAAAAGCATTTCCATGCTCATTTTGCATACATCATAACTTTCGTTGTACATTCCAAGCGCCCTCCCAAGAACCGTCGAAGAAGCAAAAAAAAGTCCTCAGTTGGACCCATGGACTACCGAATTGAAGGGCGGAAGTGCCATGCAAAGGGGTCAGACTGATCCGTCTGGCCTCTTCAGTGTCTGTTATCATCATGCACGTTCCATGACCTCAAAGATACCGTCCAACACCACGGGCGTCTGCATGGTCTCACTCATGAACTCCATCATCGAGCACTGTGCGGACGACGCCGTCGAGGCACCCGTGTTCGCTCGGGGTCTGGGTTCCAACAGGCCCAGCCCGATGATCTCGGCTTCGTCGGCGTACCGTTCAGCTTCGAGGGCCAGGTCGATGGCAGAGGGTTGGCGGCGGATGTTAGGGCTCGACAGGGCCGAAATCGGGGAGAGGATGGCTGAATCAAGGTCGTTGGTAGGTACTCGTCGTCGGCCGCCGAAGCTGCTATAGGAGGAACTCGGCGAGGATCTGACGGACGAGGATGTGGACGAGGACGAGGTCATGTTGCCGCTCGAGGGGCTCTTTGCTGACGATCGGTGCAGAGGATTGTGGCTGAAGATGGTCTGGAGATGGAGACGGACCTTCGACGACGAGGTGTGGCTGCGAAAGCTCCTGGGCCTGGGTTTAATGGATGCTTCTTCGTGTAGAGTCTCGAAGAGAGAGACTAACTGTGCAACCGCCATCTTTTTGGTAATCGGATTTCTGGAGGGGTTTTTTTCCTTCTCCCGCGTCCCGGACAAAAATGCAAGCTCTTTTTTCAACAGTTCAGCGACCTAGGCCAGCAGGTCGAACGCTTTTTGAGCTTAAGGAATGTGGTCAAAGTGTAGGAGTTGCCAAGGTCTCTGCCCAAGTGGCTCCGGGGAACTACGGCAGGATCAACGAAAGTATCGAGGCAGAAGCAGAAGCTGGGAGCAGAAAAGGATGTACAAGAAAGAGCGGGAAAAGGAGAAAGAAGCTGGAGAGGTCAGTGAGACATTAATTCCTGGGGGGGAGGATTGCTGAGATCAAGAAAGATATGCGTCGAGCCGTTCGGGAACAAAGCTGTATGTATACTACTAACAAGCCACCTCCTCCGCAAGGGCCAACTGCTTCCCTGCGGTGACCGCCCCATCTGCGAACTACCTGCAGACATGCAGGCAATAGTTTCGCCCAGAAACACTGCGGGAGCCGGGGCAAGCAACTGCAAGAGAGTCAAAATGTCACGCCTCCTGGCATGGGGCATAAAATGGGCCTGGGTCGTGATGGCTCCTGAAAACTTCTGCGAAGGGAAAGGTGGGGGATAGCATTCGAAGCCCTCGGGATGCGAAGGAAACAAATCTCAGCAGGGCAAATGTCAAACATGAGTGTCTTGGAGCTGGGAATCTTCCACCAGGGCATCTGCTCGACAGAATGCCCCCTGGTCTCGTCTGATCATCCTTCTCCCCTTTGATATTCGACTGGTCCCTGACACAGAACAGAGACTGATGGTGCAGCATAGATCCATCTTGGTTGCACCGTTGCTGAGGAAGCTTCGGAGAGTGAACAAGCCCCCAATATTACCTTCCTCGTATGTCCTTCCCGATCTCCCTGACTTTGTGCGCGGTCTGTGCCCCAAGTTGATGCAGTTCTCCACCCAACCAGGGAATCCTGACCCTGAGCTAGGGTTGAGAACAGCCAGTGGCACCACTAGGGCGTGTTTTGGCTTTCCTTGACGCGGATGAGACTCACGCCAAACACGCACAACAGGATTTCGAGACTGAAGCCAAGGGTTGATCCGCTTGGCTCATCTCATCTCCAAAGACGCGATGGGCGGTGTGGAGGCGTTTCAGGGGCCAGACAAGCGAGCCCTGAGCCCTGAGCTGCAGGACTATTGGCGTCAGGTGAGAGAGGGGGTTTCGTTTCGTCCTCGTAGCGATGGGGTCTTCGTAGATTGATACAGGCGATGGAGGGGCCCGATGGGGCAGGGACAGGCTCGATTCATTGGTCTGCACGGCTGAGGAATGTCGTCGCCCTGTGTCACCATGACGGAATCTTCTGATTCACAAATGATGGACAGTCCTGTCACTCGATCTCGGGCAGCACGAAATGACGACGGGAAGCAACAAACATGTATCCTCGAGGGAGGTGCAACATTTGCTGTCCGTCACATGATTGTGTTCGCGAGAAGAAGAGAGACAGAGCAACCACGGAAGGCCCACGATGTGCGAAATCAACCATAGTCCCAGGTCCGAGGGCAATCAATCGCATCCCTGGGGATCGACAGAGCCACAAGCGCCTTCTGCATCTCCTTCGAGAACTGGCAATAACAATACGGAGAGGAATGCATCGGGACATCCGGGGTTGTGGACAGCCATTCCGCAGCCATTTCATTTCAAGATCCTGCTGGGCAGGCACATAGCTCACAAAGCTCTCGTCAACATCACTTCGCTAGACTTCCATAATCCATGTAATGTGCCATGATGTACATGATGGCTGGGTGCCAGTGCATATTCGCGTCTGTTCAGTCATCCACCCCCATCTCATTCCCGTCACATCAAAAGGTGAAAACGCCCTCGCTATGCTCATCTATTTTCATTTCGGATCCCGCCATCATTATCCACCTCGTTTCCATCTTAATATTCACAAATAAAGAAATGAAATCAGAAGACTTGGGTCGTGAGTCGTGAAACATCGTGCCGAGCAGAGTGTATGACCATCACACACTCATCCGCGGGTGCTGTTGCTCCGTGTTCTCCTGGTCGTAAAGCTTCGGCGGATACTTTCACCCCATGCTGAGTTGTCAAAGCTTTCCATCATGCCCTGCCCGTTTAGCCCACTGGCGTTACTGCTGTGTCGGCTGTGACCCAGTGTGGGCGTCGTTGGAGATGATCTTGTTGCTCCGTGGTAGGCAGTATCCACTGATCCCAATCTCGTCCGGACTGGGCTGCTCCGAGGGGAGCCTTCAAATTCCACCGGCGAAGTGCTCCTCAAAGCACCCGAAGGAGGCATGGATGTGTCAATGGGTGGTAGGCTGATTGATTGCTTCTTCGGGGTATAGGAGGGCGTAGACGAGGTGAAATCGCGTGGCTCTGTGCTGCTACTGCCTTCCACATTGTCGTCGGGATCCTCAATAAAGATTTCGGGGACAGGAATAGAAGGTGGCGCAACCAGGCGTGAGCTTCTTCGACGTTCGACCGCTTTCTGAAACTTCCGAGACCAATGTAACGTGTCGAAGAAGCCGACCACGGTATTTCTGCGGATACTTTCTTGGACTCTTTGAAGTCGCGCTCGTCGCCGCAGGAATTCTTCCAAGCGGAGACTTCGAGAGTCCGTAATCACATTGTAGTGCGTTAAGAGGAATAGGACTGCCGTGAAAGGAATGCCACGGTCTGGATCCGCCGTCAACATAACCTCTTGATAGAACACGTTGATCCGTGCACGCCGCTGGCGAATTTCTGCAACGGGAATTTGGTTAATGCGTTCTGCCAATTTGTCGAGATCAATGCCGTCCACTATTCTCCCTGGTGGTTTGACGGGGTCACCTGGCTGCACTGAACAGTCCTCTTTGATGGCTCCCACTGTGAAGTCACCATCGTAGATTCGCATCTGCCAGATACCGGACAGTTCCTGCTCGTTGTTAGTAAGACCGAATAAAGGACCGCATGAACTTAAACCTACCCCTAGAAGGCGAGGGAACTGCTCCTTGGAAATGAATCCAGTACCATTTGGGTCGAACTCTGCCCAAGCTTGTTTGAAGCGTCGAATCTCATCTCGACTCACAATGGACATGCCGCTGCTCTGCTGATAGACATACGAAAAGCTCTCGAAGATCATCGAGACAAACAGAGACACGAAAATGTACATGCTGATAATGTTCCAGGAGATGAACAGTGCCCTGGCCCAACCGGAGCTGCCGCAGTCGCTCGCGAAGAAACTAGCTTCCCTCACGCAGAAGGGCGGCTCGAGACCGGCAAAATCTTCCATGATTTGATTCCACCCTTCTCCAATACTGGTCCGAAACAGGAGGATGAGGGCCTTCGGAACAGTGCGGAAGTTGACATTGTTGCTCTCGTTTTGTCCAAAACGCGTAAGTCCAAAAGCCTGGGTCAGGGCAATTGCGTAGACCAGGAACAGAACAAACCATGTTGCTAGCAGATTGGCAATCAGGGGAAGCGAGGCGGCGGCAGTCTTGAACAGCTGGTCAAGCTGATTGTTGCGCGGGATCAGGAGAAAGGTGACTGAGACGAGGAACAGCTTGCGTAGCTGCTGGAAACCTCCGCTGTTGACCTTGGACAGCGAGATCAGAGACGTTACGAAGATCCCGGACACGGCAATGACCGAATAAATGTCCCATGAGCTCCGTCGAAACCGATTCCACGAGAGCCCAATTATCCTGATGATGATATTGGCGATCAACACAACCGTAAAGGCCAGAAAAATGTATTCCCGGACCGTTTCCCACCACGCTGGCTCGGGATAAAAGTCGATAGTGAGGAGAATCAAGTGGAGAACCAATATCGTGGTAATGAACCTTTGCCACTTGCCCCGTTTCTGTATCGAAAGGTCATAGCACCATTTCTTCCATTTGGTGGTCTGCTCCCCGAGAGATCTCTTGGAAGGAGAAATCTGCTTCAGGAGCTTCCGAAGTTCGAGCCACGATCGTTGTTCTGCTGTCAAAAAGGCGACCCCTGTCTGCTCTGTGTAATTTCGCATGAAGACAGAGATAAACAGAGTCAGGACAAAGACGGCGCCCAACAAATTGAAGACGATGAAATAAACTGCATTTCCCTGTGCCGCAAACGGCTCTGGTTGTAGCCCCGTGCCAGTGATACTCGTGCCGGACCACATGACGTTCACCCATCCCTCTTGAGAGACGATCTGGAAAAGAATGAACAATGCGCTGCCGAAGTCATCGAAGTCGAACCATGGGTTGGCAACCTGTCTGGGAGCCAGTACAGGCCAGTTGAAGGGAGTGGAGTTGTACTCTCCTACGCAGTTGCTCAAAGCACTGTAGCCGAAATCTCCATCGTTACAAGCTTGCATTTTGCCGTTGAATAGGTTGACTCCAAGAATTGCGAATGGAATCAGCAAGCTCATGGAAACGAATGCGGCCGCAAGAACCTTGTATCCACCAACAATGATAACTGAGTAAAATGTCTCTCGTGCAGTGTCGCTAATATTGAGCAATCGCAGCGCCCTCAGTGCTTTGAAGGCACCAACGGCTCGAGAAACGCCGTCGTCACGGAACATGGCAGTGACCACATTGATCCAGAGCGTGATGAGGACGACACCGTCGATGAAGCCCCAGACACTTCGAAAGTAGGCATGTGGCGTGAAGAAGAGTCCATCCGCAATTACTTTAATGATCGCTTCGACCGTGAAGAGTATTGCGAAACCCAGATCGGTCCACACGAACCAGTTTGTGATGCTCAGCGTATTGTTCAAGTAGTAATCGCGTTGATACAAGGGCGTGGTGATGCAAGCTAAAATGACCATTGCGACGATGGCAGCATATGTGAAGGCGGAGAAGGCATACCAGGCAGGTCTGTAAGGCGAGACGCCCTCCACACGCTCTGTTCCTCGGCCGGGACCGACGAGGTATTGGCACAGCTTTCTCAATGGGTTATCTGGCTTGAAGATGTACAGGGACACGTTGTACTTCGGGTGCTTTTGCAAATATTGGCGCTGCACACGGCGACGGTTCTCGGTTGTCATGACCACCCTTTTGGCCACAGCTCTTGGATCAAACTCCTCGTTTGCCCGAGTGATTTTCGCACTAGAGTAGAACGGATTGGGTTCTGCTGATCCGTAGAAACCGGTGATCTTGCCCCAGTATCTGGACAGAATGCCTGGTTTGACAGTTGGTACTTCATCGAGGTGCATGGATGTCGTCCTGCGCGTCAGGCCGTCGTCTTGTTCGTCAAGAAAGTCCTTCACGACAGCTTCCTTTAGGAGCTGTTCAACTGTTGCCGAGCCATATTCGAGAGCATCCCGATGTCTGATTGATTCCCGTCCCATCTTGAAGACTGCAGCGAGTGTGAGGTTCCCAGACGCTGAACCAGTCATTTCCTTCTGCTTCAAAAATGCCTTCACCTGTTGTAAACGTTTCTCATCCTCAGACACGTCGAAGCTCTCCTGAATGACAGCAATAAACATATTCAGCACAATCAGGTTTGAGACGACGAACCAGAGGATGAAAAATATCGCACTCAGCCACGCTGTGTCCCAGATGTCGTTGAACTGGGTGGCATTGTACATCAGAGTTGTCCAATTCTCACTCGAAAACACTTGGTACATTCCCAGGAAGGAGTTCCAGATGTCAAAGAACGTCACACCAATCACGACACCGTCGGCGTCGGCTGCTGGAATATCCCCTCTGAATAGTTGCGAAGCAAGAATGGCGGCCAGAAAAGTGAATAGGAATACAAACAGGATCAAGTTCAAAAGCCCGACAATATTGCCAAATACAACCATGACAAGTTCTCTTGTGACCCTGACTGCGAGGACGACTCGATAGATACGCGCAATTTGAAATGCTGAGAGCCATGCATATGGCTGACCCGAGTTGCGTATTACTGGAATTTGCATGATTGTGGTAATAATGGCGAGCAAAAGATCAACCCAGTTCCTTTTTCCGTAGAAGAAATGTCTCCAGTCGCATAAGAAACGCATGATAATCTCTAGAAGCAGGAGGAATGTGACGACCGTTTCGCAGTCCATGATGAAGGTCTCGCGGCTGTCGCTCATGCGTGCACTTCGCAGACTCTGGACAATCAGGTCGAAGACGATGATTAGAACCCAAAATAGATGGGTTTTGTCATATATTTTCTTCAATTGACTCCTTTTCTCCATTTGATCCTCGTCGAATAGTGGCGCGTTAATTTTGTCAGCTGTAAATGCGCTCTGCTTGCTCTCTTCGCGGATGATCTGGAATGAAGAGGTGATGACAGCGACCAACAAGTTGACGAGCCACAAGCTCAGAACAACTATGCCGGCCGCAAAGAAAAGTGCTGCGGCAAGGTAATCGGAGTCCGTTAGATAGTAAAGGAGATCGGAAAACGTGTTTGAACTGATGATCACGAAGACGAGCTCCAGAGACTGGCCAATATTGTCGAAACTGACTGTACCGTTGTATGGGCCACTGAATCCCTCGACGCACAAGGAGCCTTGAGGGCAGATATATCCTTTGGAGCTGCCTGTTCCATTTGAGCCGTCAGGCTTGAGCCACGGCATCGACTCGCCAGTCACGGCATCTAGGTAGCCTCCACAAAACTGAATATTGTCGGGCGCGATATTGAGGCTGTAGTTTTGACCGGAACCGTCGTTCCCAACCCAGACACAGGTCCGCCGCAGGCTCGATTTGAAGCTTTGGACACCAACAATGCCGAAGATCAGCCAAAAGAAGCCTATCAGAAAGGCAACGTGAACTAGAAGAGGAGCTGCTTTCTTCAGGCTTCGCAGGATAATAGACGTTCCTGCAGTAAGACCCAATAGACGCAGAATTCGAAGGCAGCTGAGCATGTTGAAGACGTAAACGTGGCTCGAATTTTCGACACCGCTGAGCTGCATTACGAACGAGATCCAATAGGAGACAACGGCAACGAAGTCGAGTCGATTGAAAGAATGCCGCAGAAAGGCGCGGCGTGCCAGACGTAGTCTTTGCTGCTGCTTCGTATGACCAGGTCCTCCAGCCTCCCCCGGATGAGGTACTCCTGTGAAGGTGCGAACAATCGACGGCTGCGTTGGTGCGTCGTTAACCATCATTGGTGTCTCTTGAGCTTCCTGGGGCGCGAACAAAGTGTGGGCCTTTTGAAGAACGGCTTTTTTGAGCCCGACAGACCGATTGATCGTGCTAAACTCCAGCGGATTCGAGACGAACCCAGACACAATAGTACGGGCAATGAGTTCCAAGGTGTATACCACAAATAAGGCGAAGATAGCATAATCAAAGCCAGTGCTCCCCCATCGCTTCGTCCGAGTCTGAAGGTAAACAGCATCGGACGCCGCATTGACAGCCAGTAATACAGTCTGGGCGACAATCAGAGCCAAGATTGTGGGTTCTGTCAAGGGATGGACGAGGATTTCACAAAGCCGCTTTCGTAGAGGGTTCTCCGGTCCAAATATGCCCCAGGTTTTCCCAACAAGGGGATTTGGGTGTTGAACTGGAACTATTGGAGTGAAGGGTTCAGCAACAACTTCAGCAGACGGGACCTTCTCGAGGGGAGGTTGCTGCGGCTGTGCTCCTTCTTCGTCTCCAAAATCATGTAGGGGATGAGCAGAAGCACTCGGCCGCCTGTGTTGCCGTATAGAAGATTTGCGCCGGATGCTCTGCTCGACCATGTCCGAATCATTACTCAGATTGACCACACGCTGTGAGATCTCTCGTAGCATGGAATTTGCCCTCGCCATTGGGGAAGGAGATGGTGATAGAGACCTTGATCTTTCGCCAGCTTCGCCTTGACCAGAAGTCAGACGGCTGATCCCACTTGCGGTGCTCAACTTGCGATGCATTCCAGCGCCTGTATCGAGCGTGGGCAGATCGTCTCCGAGGCGCGAAGTTCTCCCACGCGCCGCTGCTGGGGATTCGCCATCCGTCCAGTGAACGCTCGACCTTTTCCCTTGTCTGTCATGTCTCTGGCCTCTGGATACGGAGCTAGACGTCTTCAGAGAAGACGGTATACGGCGCGAAGCAGTCAGGGGAGTCGTGTCAGAGTCGGGAGGCGAGAAGGGACTTTCCACATCTTGAAGGTCCCCGTCAGCGGGCGTGGTGATAATGGTCGGTCGTCGTCCTCCGACACTGGGTGGTGTTGACGGTAACTGAAGGTCCAGTCCCACCGTCGCCGCGGCAAATCCCCCTACATCTTCAATTGGGGATTCCCTACCGCTTCCTCCTTGTATTGAAATTCCAACCGTTTCAGAAGAGGGCCCTCCTCTTGCCGGTGACTCCTCGTCATTCAGTCGCGCGTAATTAGGAGTCCGACGTCCGATCATCAAGGACCTAGTGCGACTATGTCGTGGCTTGTGGCTTGAGACTGCGCCTATTGAAATATCGGTTTCGTCTGGTGCGCTATCGGGTGGTCTTGAGAGATCTCGGAGAGGTATCGACTGCGGGCCGGTCGCTTTAGGGGGGGTCCTGTCGCGAGAGGACATAGTGGTATTGTGACCCTAGAAAGAGCAGGTCGTTGACAGTACATACTATCTCCGGACGAAGCGCGGCATTTCGAAGGAGGTGCTCGAGAGGCGAGTTGTGCTCACTCTTCTGCGCAGAATGATTCCCCTGGGTTGCGTCTGGACAAGAACGACGAGTGAGCGCGGGCGCAATTGCGATGGAACAATGCTTAGGGACGAGCTGCACAAAAGCAGCGATCAAAGATTAAACGAGCGAATAATACGATCAATATTGCGCAAAGGACGGCAGTGAAATGGCAGGCTGAGAACAGGGCAGATGAGGTTGTAATGGCTCATTCTTTGCGAGCACAGCAAAAGGCCAGCCGCATGTGCAACTTTCTGGTGTTGAACCCAAGCGCTGATGTGGCAGGAAGGTTACCGGCCTAAGGCTGGACGCGCGGCGGTTCCTTGATCTGCCCTAACCACCTAACTAAGCCTGAAAAGCGCCTCTAAATTTTGAAACAAGGGCCGCTAACCGGGCGCCGAAGCCACTTACCTAGCAGCAGCGAACTCTCGGGCTCCCCAGGCTTGGTGGGATCGAGGCTGAAGCCCCCAAGGCAGACTTTGCCCAGCTCCTGAACTTCCAGGTACCTATTTTCAGGGGTCCAAACCCTCCAGAACAACCCCCGAGCGGGCTGCAAGGCCCCTCAGATTTAACCAGCAAGACCCACGTTAGGAAGAAACACGTCAGCCACGGGCGACCGAACTACTGTTTTCGATACTCCGCACGCAGGATCCCTTGATGCGTTAGTTATTAGTCTGCATTTATGAGCACTGTATTTCAGCTCTGCACCGGCACCTGGTACTCCCAGCGTTGCCTGGCTTTGACACCAATTAATCCCGGCAACTAGCCTTGATGCTTGTCTTCTCTTGGAGGAACGGTATATCAATTCTGCTATCTTAGGAGAATGCACCGTAGTCCACTCTGGGAGCAGTAGCCAGAGCTAGTGGGAAAAGAGCTGGCGGTAAACCAACGCATTTTGAAATGGTTCGTTGTGGACATAACGTCGCAAATTGACCCAACACATCAGCAAACGGGATATGTCTTGCCCTTTCAATGCCATGCCACCCTAGCATTCCTTAACAGACGCCTCACTTGTTCCGGAAGAAACTCTTTGGTCTTCAGACTAACTTTTCGGAGAGTCTGAAGGCCCTTGCTCTTGCGCAACACGTCGTCCCACAAGTGGTCTTGGACGCATTCCATCTCGGTCTTCTCATTGACTGGGCTCAGCATGATTGGCACATCCATGACCTCCTCTTGCTTCTGCTTCCAGCTGTCGTTTCCGACAATGCGAGTCAACGGAGTCAAGGCGTCGTCCCAGGTTCCAGATCTCAGATGACATCGGTCGAATTGAAATTCGTGCAGGACTTTTCGATGGCTCATGATAAACCCAGAGGCTTGGATGGCATCCAAGCTTGCGTTGCTGAGGCGCATAGATCTCAGATGCCTGAACTTGAGAGGTCTGCAAGACGACCTCGAGCTGGCATCCGGGCACGCTTTCGAACAGTCTAAAGACGTCGGGCGTGAGGTGCAAGGCTCAATGTGAAGAGCCAGGGGACAGGGCCCTTTGTTGCCCAGCCACTGGAATTTGAAATGTTCCAGAGCCTGAAACGTCTGCAAGTAGCCGTGCAGAATCTTGAGGTGGTCTGACGGATGGTTGCGGCCATATTCAAAGCCGTCCATTTCAATGTCCAGAGATTTGATGCCCTTCCAGACCCTGGAGGATGCTGGAGATGACCCAATGCTCAGATGAGGACGAAGGTAGAATACAGCTGAAGGATGTATCGGCGCCAGCGTTAATGACTCTAGCTGACTTGGTTTGGCAGCCTCCACCGCCAATCTCAGCGATATCAGAGCGTAGTCGACAATATCTTTTCGATATCTCTGACCTGCGGGTTGACCAGGGCAAGAGATATGAAGATGCTGTAACCTTGGCATTGAGCTAATTGCATGACAGAATGAGTCCACGTTGGTGGCGGCATGGAATAAAGGAGGATATTGCTTGACCAGGAGGTCGTTCATCTCCCAGGAGCCGTATTTAGAAGCCGACGAGGATGAGGAACAACTGGAAGAAGAATGCGGTCTTGAGTTATTGATCCGGGGTTCGTACATGAAAGTGACTTCTTCCAGCGTCCCTGGGATGAGCAACGGGGGTAGGAAGGTGTCGGAGTGGTGTGGCATGACGAAGGACAGGCGTCGCACATGGCAGCCAATCCTACTCAATGCAGACATCCGCGACCTGCGCGACAATGCGTTTGTGCTGAAATGGATTTCGACATTCTTGAAGATGGTGGGAGCAACGTCGTTGGCGAGGGCTTTGCTCACGAGTCGTAGGGATTGCAAATCATCCTTCTGGACATGAGACAAGAAACATTCGCGAACGAGGTCGGTCCGCCAGAATGCGGCGAATGCGGTTGAAGACATCTTCTAATGTGGACCATATCTAGGCAGCGTCTCATGCGTTCTTTGCTGGTCACCGACAAAACCAGCATAGGTGGTAGGGATAATGGTCTTCAGGCCCAGAAAAGCCGATTGAAACGACAAGAGTGGAGAAGACGGAATCAATAAGAATACAGAGGGAGATCGCAGCTACTTCATCGCCAGGGCTGGAAAGATTGCGTCGAGCTCAATTGACAACAGCACAATCGTAGTTGTAAGATCTCGATGACAAGGCGACCCAGGCAGAGAAAGCTGCGAAAACTGACAAGAACTTACCTTCTGGAATCGCAACGGGTGGAGGATGGAAGAGATATAGTTCGGGGAATTCGCTGGAGGAGAACCATTCCAGTCCATTGTGGATTTGGAGGACAGGAAAGCGTTGTGTGCAGATGGATTGTGGGAGCTATATCGCGATTATGGCACGGTCGTGGATGCGCGAAACAGGACAGCGACGTGACTATAGGCCGGAGGAGACGGTGTAGCAGGAGGCTGGACCTGAGGTGCATATCTCGTGCATAAATGGCTGCATCTCGTGCTTGATACGCGCCATATTTCCCCGTGTTGGCGTCCTTTTCGCTTTCCCCCTCACAAACGCTTGGGAGAGCGCGCCGTTATCATGGGGGCTGGATTCTTGACGCGAAGGCAGTCAGCTACCACAAACTGAAGAATTGCAATCTAGTCTCAGAGAGCCGTCGGCAATCTTATTGTTGATAAGGGACGGGATCCATGGTTCATGCACGGACATTTGTGCTTGGACGGCATGCCACATGGAAGCAGGGTGTTTACGAGGATGAGGGCGTTGAGGAACCGGCGCGTCGGCACAACGGGATTTTTTCAGCCCCCAATGACTGATTTTGATTGTTCGTGTCGGTCGGTCCGCACCGTGGCGTTTGGTCTGGCCAGCAAGGCCTCTGTTTTTACATACAACAAAGTAGTCCCACCTCTTGAACTGTGGACCGGACTGCGTCATTCTTTGGTGAGCGTCATGGTTAGGTCTCGATTTGGAGGGTGTCCCCGGTTGTGTTGTGGAGGATTGAGGGTTGGCTGCGCAGACCACAGCAGTGATGGTCTCTGGAAATAGGTACGAGGAGGAGGGGAGTAAATCGGCACGTAGGGAAGACTCGAGAACAGTCAATCGGCTATCGTCATGGTACGTCGTGTAATGGTTGACAGCATTGGTGACGGTGGTGGTGAGCATTGACCCAAGTGAGCAAAGTGAGAAGACGAGTTGTGCCTATCGTTGTCGACTCCGAGAACTCCGAGGGAACCCACATATTATCACGCACAAACAACACACAAAACAAGTAACCAGTGCTCCGTATTTGCTTGGGAACAATTGCGTGGGATCCTTTTTGTCTCGGGCGCCCCAAAACCTTGGTGTTTGTGTGGCTGGCTCACTCAATTCCCTCCCATTCCTTGGTTCTTCGCACAGTCGCCACGCTGACCTTGTCCGATTCCATCCAATTCCCCGACCTCTTCGCTCTCTGTGAGTGGATGCCACAGGTGCCACATCCCGGTGACATGGTGAGCTTTGGCACATGTAGCCAATCGACCTCCCCAATGACATCAAGTCCTAACAACCACCTCCGACTCGATCTTCCCAGGATGTCCAGCAATACCATTCGCCGTCCACTGTGCCTACCTATCAGCTTCGATCGGATGTGAAAATCTTTCGCAGAACAAAGCAGGTGAGCACGCGAGAGGTAGCCACAAGGCCACTTTGATATAAAATGACAATTTCAACCCCCATGTTCCATCATCATGAGGCGTTTCACTAGCTCCAGGCCTTTTCTCCTATCCTCCCAAGTTCCACCTGCTCGCCCGCAAGTACCTTTTAAACCTTTCAAGAACACGAGGGAATCCACTCTTCTGCTAGTTATCGATAGAATCTCTCTGTAAATACTAGAGTCGCCTCGCTTTGGCCTGTATGCAGAGCCGTTTTCACCCAGAACCGCTGTTGGGACCTTAGGCACGAGACCACCTGCTACTTGCTAGAGTTCGATCTTCAGGGGAGGGGATTAGGAGAAGAATAAGGCAAAGGGAACAGGTCACCATGATCCCACAACTGAGCCCGGTTCCAGCTCTTCCCAAACCCTTCGGGCCACACAAAGTCGGCACCACGGAATGGGAGATTCCTGTCTCTGAGATCCCCTCGCCGTCGCCCACTCCAGAGCCCAAAATCACCACCATCAAGTTCCGCCTGTTTTATCCCACGACACCTAAGGCGAAGTCGAAGACGTCGGTTCCCTGGCTTCCAACACCGCAACGAGAATGGAACCAGGCGTATGCAACTTTCCTGGGCGCCAGTCCCCGTGTCTCGTCGCTGATTTCCCTCATACCTTTCCTGATCAATATGACCAACATCCCAGCTGTGGCAGACGCACCACTGTTACAGAGGGACCCGTCTTCCAAGTACCCTCTCGTGGTCTTTTCGCATGGGTTGGGAGGGAATTTCAACGCCTACAGTGCAGTGTGCGCAGCGCTGGCCAGTTTTGGGATTGTGTGCGCAGCCCCCGAGCATCGCGACGGCAGCGCCCCTATTTCCCCAATCCGCTCAGCTGATGGCCGCAAAGCCACCACAATCCCCTACCAAAAGCACCCTCACGCTCCCACTACCAAAGTCCTCAACGCTCGCAACGCTCAGCTGAGGATACGACTGTGGGAGTTGGAACAGTTGTTCACCGTTCTGACAAGTTTCAACGAAGGCAAGACCTTCTCCAACTACACCGCGGTACGGAGCAAATCGAAGCCGGGCCCGTCGTTAAAAGACGCGCTCGATCTGCGACCGGGCCACGTAACGTGGGCAGGCCACTCCTTCGGCGCCTGTACCACCGTCCAGTTTGTCAAATCAGTCTATTATCACGAATTCTTGCCCTCCCTCAAAGGTACCGAGTTCGAGAATGACCTGGACTACCGTCCTCTCTACAAACCGGCCGATAACAGCGACCTGGTTAAGCAAATCACACCAGAGTCACCCGTTATTTTACTCGACCTGTGGGCCATGCCCTTGCGTGCCGGCCTGACGAAATGGCTCTGGGAAAAGCCCCTCCCATGTTACCACCGCAGATCGACCGACGGCCAAAGTCACCCTCCCACGAACGTCGTTGCAATCATCTCTTCCGAATTCTATAAATGGCCTGAGCTGCTGAATAGGATGAAGGCCACACTGTCCGCAAGGCCCGCCGAGGCCATGTACACGCTGGAGAAGCGCGAAGCTGCTCGGTCTGTTAAACTTCAGCAGAAGTCGGAACCGCAGCTGGTGGCAACGCCTGGGGACAAGCTTCCGCCAGACGTGCGAGAGCCAGAAATCACCTCACGTCGAGGTTTTGAAGCGAATCGGGGTGCAGATCTAGAATCCGACGATGGGGACGAGCTCTTCGTAACGCCTTTCGCGACGCCTGGAGAGGAGTTCTCGCTTGACAAGGTCATGACAAATAGACGTAGCGGGTTTGAAGCTTGGAGAGGAGGAGGGTTGGATGCCAACGACGTCGACATAGACGCAGAGAGAGAGATCGACGGAGAATCAATGAGAGACCCGGCCAGGCAGCCACTGCCAGAATCAGAGCCGGAAGACGAAGATGATGACGTCCCTGGAAGTATCGAGCTGGATTCCCCATTTGACGGAGAGGCAGAGGCAGACTCAGAAATCACCTCTGCGTCTAGATCATCTACCTCTAGCAACGTCACGACTTCGTCTGCCTCGCCCTCAGATTCGACGTCCTCTCTATCAACGCCCGCCTCATCCATCCAGCTTAGCCGCACTTCCTCCCCGTCACCCACTTGCGACAGCGTTTCAAGCACAACCTCGACCTCTGACATCGAGGTCAAAGCCACTACCATCTCTTCCGGCGTGAATGGACCTGACTCGGACAAGTTCGACCTCTCCTTCTCCCCTTTCTCGCTACTCCCACTGGACCTGCCCAAACTTTCCGTCGCCCCAAACCCCAACACGCCGTCTCCCTCAGATCCACACCTCTACCTGATCCCCAACACCGCCCACTTGTCACAGTCCGATTTCGGCGTGCTCTTCCCAAATGTGACGAGGTATCTCATGAACGCCGAGTCCCCGGTGGAGACCATCAGACTGAACGTGCGGGCGATGTTGGGGGTCATGAGGAACATGGGTCTCGACGTTGAAGGGTACCGTGACGACTGTGTCCGCGAGAAGAGAAAGGCCCAGGCTCATCCTCGGCGAGAAGAGGAAGTCGAGGATGACTGCGACGAGCACGATCGGGTGGATCCTATACTCACGGAACGGTGCAAAGAGGAGAGGTTTCTGAGGGTCGATCTCTATTGACCTGATCACTGGCTCTCAACCTCCGTGTTTTCTTCCTCTTGAGCCTCTATCACGGCTCTACACCCTACTTCTAGTCTTTCTTTTTTTCGGTTCGAGCGAACTTATGCTGGGCGGCGCTGGGTAGGGGATGGGCGGGAAAAAAGGGCGACAACAGGACCTTCTTGACTTTCCCAACTTTTATTTTCGATTTCTCCCTTTTCTGTGTTGGTATATGACTTACATTGCTTGCTTGACGGGATATGGCATATGGCATATCGGGTACGGACATGAAGAGGGGACCATGCATTACGATCTTGCGACGGGGATTTTCGGCCTCGTTTGTTTAAGGCTTGGAATTTTGGGGACGGTTTGTTTAAGCGACGCCTTCGATTCTTGAATCTTGTCTTTCAGGAGAAAAAGCCTTTCGAGCATAGCGGCTGGGCCAGGAGCCCTGGAGTCTAAGCATTCAGCGTCCCGCAGGTGGATCGGATTGTCTTCCTAGGGAACATTGGGCACCTTATATGGTGTCTGTATATAATCCAAAACGCGTTCAGACTCATCACCGACGTCGTCCAAGTAAAGTTGGATTTGATAGTGGTTCGGGATCTTAGTTTTGGTTGAAGCAATGATCTTTCTCATCTCGCTATGCTAAAGCTAGTCTAAAAAAGCTAAGAGCAGTCACACCCAAGATGATTGATTGCAAGGGCCATTCGTTTCGCATGGGAGGAGGCAAAGGTCGTTTCTTCGCTCTGGCGTCTTTTCCTCCTTGCCAAGCGCGTTGGATCACTCCCTCAAGACTTCCGCACCATTCTCATCCGGCATCACTTCCGTAAAGGCGGAAGCCACCGCCAGAGAAGCTCGATGCGTCCACAGCAGCCGTCCCCCTTCGTTCTAATCATATGATGGCAACAGCACGACCTTCTTTCTGTCGTCTCGCTAGACCAATTCCTAGACCATTGATATCCTCTGGTTCGCAACATCACAGCCCGAGCGCAGAGCATCGGCTGTCATTGTTTACAAATCAGGGTCTTCTTCATCAGGCAGAGGCATCGCCGCAGCCTCAGTCATCTCCTTGTGATATTGGTCGAGTTGTGCCTGGTCGATCTGAACTTCGGGTGGTGCAAGAGCCGGAGCAGCCACGAACTCGAGTTGGGGGTTGCCGACCAATTTCCGCGCCAGCCAGAGGAAGGGTTTCTCGAAGTTGTAGTTGGATTTGGCCGAAATGTCGTAATATTGAAGATTTTTCTTGCGGTGGAATGTGATGGTCTTGGCCTTGACTTTGCGTTCCTTCACATCGACTTTGTTTCCGCAGAGGACGATGGGAATGTTTTCGCAGACGCGCACGAGATCACCTGCAGTTTCTGGTCAGACCTCGTACTCTTCTCATCATATGCCTAGGGGGTTTTCGACGTACGGTGCCAGTTGGGGACATTTTTGTATGTGATTCTAGAAGTGACATCGAACATGATGATGCCACATTGCCCGTTGATGTAGTAACCGTCTCGAAGACCACCAAACTTCTCTTGACCTGCGGTGTCCCACACATCGAACTGGATCGGCCCAAGGTTCTGAATCGCGGTTAGAATTGTATGCGTTTGGGACGACGAACTGACGTACGGTTGAGAATCCCAGAGGATGAACTTCGACACCGAGGGTGGCGATATATTTCTTTTCGAACTCTCCTGTCAGGTGGCGCTTGACGAATGTGGTCTGTGATAACCGTTAGTATTGTTGTTCTCAAACGCTGCCATTCTAGCTGCTGAAAAGAGCAACAGCAGGATTTCGTTGCCAGAATGCTCACCTTTCCAGTACCGCCATCGCCGACCAAGACGAGTTTGAAGGTTGGAATGTTCGAAGCAGCTTCCGCCATTGTTGTTGTGGTCTTGTTGGGATCTCTGATACGAAGTCAGGAGGGGGAGGTCGATGAGAAATGTTGTGATTATGACAGAACCACAGTCTTGAGAGCCGTGGTGTGTCAAGGAGAGGCAGTGGAAAAGATGAGGAGAAGGTGGTTTGATGGTATCTTGGGGAAAGTGAAAGCAGGCGCAAGTTGAGGCGTCGGTTTGTTTTCAAGGCCAGCGCTTGGCATATCCCAGCGGCGTCACTTGCGATTTTTGCATCATGGCGCAGCACGTGACCTAGATAGATCTGCTTACATAAGTCACAGAGGGGGAGCGCAGGGAAGGTTGAGTCCAAATCCATCTATTCATCGAACCCAGGTAGAGCTATTGTTACAAGAAATAAGTTGATCATATCCAGGCACAAGCTGCCTTCGACTAGATCATTCGGGCTGTTTCTCGTGGCGAGGCGAGATCTTGGAATCGGGATTTCATCCACATGCTGAAATGGCACAAGCCTTGACCAAGCCACTGCAAAGCCCATTTGACAACACATTTCTGTGTGGATTCTCCCATCGGCTTCTCCCAGAGGCACCAGCTGGGAATTTCATATGGGAACAATGTGACATCCGAGCGTGCCTCTTCCACCCCAATTCTGTCTTGGAGTCAACCTCAAGTCCAGCTCTTGTGCTCCTGATCCTGTACCACGAGAGACCTTAACCAAGATCGGCCGACCCAAGTTTTGGCTCACAACTTCGCCAACTTTGCGTAATCTTTCGTGATTAGACCATATTGCGGCACCAAACCTCCTTATCAAGTCGCCAGCCTTCAGGCCGGCTTCATGTGCAGGACTCCCCGGCTCGACGCTATTCACTTTTGCAAACGGGGTTTCGGGGGCTGAGGGTGTCTGGTCTGGTACAGGAATAGGTGCTGGTTGTTGTTGGGACTGATTCAAGGAGTTCTTGTATTCGTCGGAGGCTTGGTACTTGGCGTGATGTTCATGGAGACCCTTCTCGATTTTGTCCATCAGAGCTTTCCAGTCGTTACGGAGCACGACAATGCGTGCTCTTGTAACTCGTACTTGGGCCACATCAATATCTGATCTTGGGAACCCATCAAATGTGGTCAGACTTGTCTGCATGGTGACCCCATGGCTATCGAGGACCGCGCCTAAAGCCTTCAGTTCTGCCTCGAGATTGTCCTTGCGTGCAATGAGTTGCTGTAAAGTGAGACCTTCAAAGGACTCGGCCTGGTGGATGGAGGTAGGTCCGCTCGGGACATGAATATCGGCGAGGTTCGGGTCCATCGGAAGTCCCATGGTCATTCATCAAGTATGCATGTAGGTTCAGAGAAGTGAGGCAGATACAAATGTTCGGGCAACCGACATGTGGAGCGCAGGCAACTTCTTGAACACGTAGAATCCCCAAATGCGAACGGCGGGGGTCGAAGGACGTCAGAGTTTCTCCGGAATTTATCCGTTGTTTATCCGGACGCCGCCGTCGCCTCGTCTCCAACATCCCGACTCTCCCAGAAGCAACTCCTGCGGTTGCGTCGACATTGGACAACGGTCCTGGCCACTTGTGAGGTATGCTTCTGTGATAGTCCTACCTTGCCATCGAAAGGCTACATACTTATGACTCTGCTTTCTACCCACTACATCCACTGGCCTAATCGCGGCAGGCATTTCGGTTGTGATGCCACAAACGGCAGCATGTTTGGTTCATCTGTCAAACGCTTGGTGGCTCCGACGCCCATGTTCCACAGACAATCTCATTTTGATGTCGTTTCCGCCCGCCAGACTTTGGAAACAAGTATCTAGGTAGGAGGAGGATTCATTGTACCAAAAATGGCCCAGATGAAATGTGTCAACCTCGTTCTATCACCAATGTCTTGCTCCTTCTCCCCAAGGGCTGCCGGACACCACCTTCCTTTGCCAGCCAGATTGGAAACCAGTCGACTCAGAGCCTCTTTGCCTTCCGCCGTCTTCGACCTGTGAATGTTGCCATGTCGTATCACTCAACTTTTGGGCACCCTTTCAACTTTGGTCGTTTGGTCCCTCAAATGGGAATTTTGACCGTTGGCTCTCATTTTGTCTTCCATCGTTGAGGTCCTATCTTTTTGCGAGTTTAGCTAATGTCCTATTGATAAATCATGACGGCTCAGCTTTTGCCGTCCGTCATTACGAGTCCATTCAGCAGACATTTCGATACCAGAGCGAACATCTTTTCTGGCTCATGGACAGCATACCCATCTCGTCCAACCCTCTCCTCAACCTCATTGAAGCCGTTCTGCATTCACCAGGATCCGCAAACTTCTTCCGCTTCGAACCTCTCCATTTCATCGGCTCCTGTGCAGGTAAACAAACGAGATCGTGATCTGCCGTGCAGCGAGAACATCCTTCCCGGAATACCGCTTCCAAGTCCAGAGCTTTCGTCAACCAACGGCCTCAAACTACACTCAAAACACTATGAATCTCTGCCAATAGCCGAAGACTCGAAATTGCGTTCCCTTCAACCTACTCACTCAGATGTGCGCGTCGCGAGCCGACCTACTCAGGGGTATCTTGCTAGTCCAAGTCAGGCTCGCCAACCGCTGGCAGAGCTGCACAATGCGGAGAAGCGCACACACGGCGTGCACCATGATATCGGCGCAGGGAATCGAGAACACAACAGGCTTCGCACGTCGTTGTCCACGGAGGCATGCTTCACCGAACAAGAAAAACGCTGCGATCTGAGTACCCATCCAAGAGAACACACTCGGGACTGGTTTAGTGCCGTGGATGAGACTCCTCAATCTCTCATCGAGACACCATTCCTTGCAGACACCTCGGACGACACATCGAAGGCAGGGCTGCACTCGGGTTTGCACCGAAAGAGACACTCTACCGCATCATCCGGCTTCGTGCACACCATGAAAACTGCGAGCCTAAGCAATGCAAGTTTCAGCCTCGTTCCTCGCTCGCTCCGTATGGGTCGGTCAACAGACAGTACTTATATCTTCAGCTCTAATGCAAGGCTTTCGGTGGAGAGCGACCGACCGTCAACATCAGCATCCGTCGACGAAGCCGCCTTTCGAAGAGCCATTAAAAGGAGGCAGATTCTTGTCGAGTTGATCACCACTGAAGAGAGCTACATTGCTGATCTGAAGGCCCTAATCTACTTATATTCGACACTTCTGGCGACAATAACGGTCACATGTCGGGTCAGGTCATCTGTCCTGAGGAACGTTCACGATCTTCTTTCCGTTCATGAGAGACTCCTGGAGCGGTTGCACCAGGCCGCATATGAGGCTGCAGCACGAAAGTGGGCAGATACAACCTCTCCCCGGCATCTCGGATCGCCTCCATATCACAAGCGGTGGAGAAGCCTCGAGTCCAGCGTCGCTGCCAAAATCGGGCGCAGCCATCGTCGAACGCGCAGCTCGATGGAATCATCCGAAATGTCACGCAGTCGGACGTACTTAGGTGGGGCAGAACCAAGGGATGTAGCTGACGCGGCGGGCATTTTTAGGGATTTCCTCAGTGATTTCTTGGTTTACGAAGAGTACTGTGCCAATCACAGTCTCATCTCTCACGAGTTGCAACGACATTCTCCAACGCTTTGGTCAACTTATGAGTCAGGAATCGAATCACTGGCAAGGTCTCTTGTTGCTCTCGACCACAAACACCAAAGTGAAAGAAAAGGTCTAACGGTTGGTGATCTCCTTATCAAACCGATTCAGCGCATGACCAAATACCCTCTCCTATTTGAAGACCTTTTGAGGCAGACACACGTGGCCGACTGTCCTAGTGCACATGCCGATCTAGAAGCAATCTTGATGTGTTTAAGAGAAGTTGTTCAAACAGTCAACAAAGCCACGGATAACCATGAAACTCGAACTCAGATTCAACGTCGATGGTCAATTCAGACACGATTGATTTGCGACCAGGTATCTTTACGAGCTGAGCAACTTCGAATGCTGGGAAATATCCAACTGAGTGGCGTTCTGCATGTGACTTGGCAGACTAGGAATAATAGAGTCGACGGTCGCTACGCCCTCTGCCTGTTGTTTGACACCAGTCTCATCATTGCGTTGCCCGCAGGAGCCACCCCGAAATTTGATGTCATCGCTTTCTTACATTTACGAGACACCAGGATTGAGTCGGCGAGTGATGGTCGAGGACTTCAATGTCACTCGACGCTTTACACGTGGAAAATCTGTTTCGAGATTGGTGGCCACCTGCATGAGTTCATCCTGAGTGCCTGTTCAGCCATAGAGGAAAATGCTTGGAGAGGGGGCTTACAGAACAAGGATGCTCCCGGCAGAAGGATGGAGGAGCAGTTGAACCAGATTCCCTCGAGCATCAGCCTCAACCTCAGATCTATTGGGCAGGTGTACAGTCAGCAAAGTTCGACCTTGTCCAGGAATCCTTCGGTCCAAAGAGCGGCCACGGTAGGAAATCGAACCAACGTTTGCCAAGTTATTATTCGAAACACAAACAATCCGCAAGACTTGCACGAGTTTCGCCAACCTTCATCTTCGGCCATCAACCGATCTCAGTCACATATGACATCCAACAGGGTTGTTGTCCTGGCACCAAAGCGGTCGGAGCGGGCCAGGCTCGAATCCAGCTTGAGTGATGTATGGACAAAGGAGAAACTGCCGTATCCAGGCATGATTGGCTCTCGCGGTGGTCAAATAATCAGAGCGTCAGCAGGGTCATTGGTCCGAAAGCTGAGCCTGGCTTCTATTCATGCGCCGTTTTCGAGACGATCTGGAAGTTTGTCGCTTACAAGCCGCAAGTCGTTCGACCTGTCGAACGAGAGTCGACGTAGCAGAACGAAACATGCGACACCTGTCTTCGAAGTACGCAAAGAAAGTCTGGACGAGATGACACCGGCGAGAACGAAGTCGCGCGAGATACCCGAGGTCGATACGATGGATAATGTGGTCAGTCGGATGATAGGGAGCAGTGTCTCAAGAAAGTTGTCCATATCCCAAGGACACCATGCTCTGGCAAGGAGAGGAACTAAGAGCCAGAAGATCAGTCAGGATGCGGGTGGAGCAGAGGTAGGACCAGAGGATCCAGCAGAGATATATTATGCTGAAGTGAAGGAGGTGCCAGAGAAGCCCGAGATTGTGGAAGAAGGACTGGCGGGCAGGAAAAAAAGATGGAGCAATCCGCTAGGGATATTGAAGGTTCTGTCCGCCGACGGACTTCGCCACATGTTGTATTCAAGTAAATAGCGTACATAAGGCTAACCATCGATGGCACGTATGGTATCAGGAACGTGCATTCAATTACAATCCTTGAAATTAGTTCTGGATTCCATCGCTTCTCGGTAGGAGTGACTCCGTGCCAGCCAAGTAGTGCAAGAGGCCTGATGGCTTCTGGATACAGTGGTGGCGATACGACAGTGGAAATGAGAGAACCCCGGCTTGAAGTCATTGCTGTAGAGACACACCCTTGGTCTCGAGTAAACGTTGCTTGGCTCGGCGAGTTGCCTCGACAACATCATAACTGAAGACCCAGCGGACGACTTCGTCTGTATTTTCTGTGTTCAATGGATCAGCCACCGATATGTGTTGGATGCGGGAGGTGTGGAGATACGAGGAGGTGTAAGGGCAGGGGGAAACGTGTGGGATAGGTTATGCTGTGAGGAATTCGGTATGCTTACTAGGCAACTCGTCCTCCGGCAGCAGCTTCAGGGCCTCTTCTCGCCGTTCGATGGTCGGGTCCTTGTTCGTCTCGACCTGCGAGTAAAGCTGCGCGATGGAGGCGCGGGGCAGCCGGACTTTCTGGAACGTTTCGAGCAGGTCGGAGACAGATAATGGCGCTGGGGGAGCCGACTTTGTGTCCCGCTGTGAGTGCCCGGTCGATGCGGTAGCGGTAGCTGTAGCGGTGGTGTTCGCGGCCGTATGATCCCCGACGGCAAAGTCCTCAAAGAGCACGCCCAGCGCCGCGGCGTCCTCGATCGCGTTGACGGCGCCGAACCCGCGATGCGGCAGCATGGGGTGCGACGCGTCGCCGATGACGACGAGCTTGCCGCGCTGGCAGTTGGGCAAGGGGTCGCGCTCCGCACACCGCCACAGCGGTAGGATGGTGTTGCTGCTGCTGCTGCTGCCGCCGCCGCTGCCGCCAGCCATGTCGCAGAGGCGGAGCAGCGCCGGGTGGAATCCCGCCATGGCGGCGCGCAGGTCGGCCGGCGACACGCGCTGTTGCTGGCTCCGCTGGGCGGACTCACCCGGCGCCGGCGCCCGCTCCACGTACATGCCAAAGTTCTGCAGCGTGTTCGCCCGGCACGGGTACCGCACCAGCCACCGCTGCCGGTCCGCGTGCAGGTAGAACGAGCAGTGGCCCTCGCCGTACCGCTGGAGCAGCGGCGCCGTGAGCGGATCCGCGAGGATCTCGCGCGTCGGGATCAGGAACCGGATCACCGTGCTGTTGGTCGCGCGCGGCGCCACCGCCGGCGGGTTAGCCTCGTGGCCGCCCGGCAGCACATGCGAGGCGGCCCTCGAGTGCACGCCGTCGGCGGCGACGACGAGGTCGACCGCGGGTTCCCAGCCGTCCTCCGTCGTCGTCTCGGCGACCCTGACCCGCCCGGTCTCCGCGTCGTAGTCCACCGCGGTGCAGGACGTGCGCAGCTCGGCGGGCCTCCCGGCCCCGTCGGGACCGGTCGCCAACGCCCGCAGTGCGGCGTGCAGGTCGACGCGGTGCGCGAACAGGTACGGCGCCCCGTACTCGGCCGCGAAGTTGGTGCGGTCCGTGGGCGCCAGCTCCGCCAGCGTCGCGCTGTCGATGAACGTCTGGCCCAGGCGCGGGATGAGCCTGGCCGCGGCCTCTCTGGCGCCGTCCAGGCCCCACGACCGGAAGATCCTGACCGCGTGCGGCGCGAGCGTGATGGCCGCGCCGATCTCGTCGAGCAGCGCCGACCGTTCCAGGATCTAGAAAGGCATAAAAAGAATGAATTTGTTGCAGTTCCCCATTTTCAGTAGGTCCGCGTGCTCCCTCCCTCCTCCCCTTCCGTTTCCATCTGCTCTTGGTTTTCTTTTTCTTTGGGGGTTTCACCTGTTCGTATCGGGCGCTGGGAAAGAAATGGGGGCAATTCTTACCTTTACTCTGTGTCCGGCTCGACGGAGCGCGATCGCCGCGCAGAGGCCTGCGATTCCGGCGCCGACGACAAGGACAGATAGCTCCTTCGCCTGAGGCACAATGGCGCTCTCCATTGTTTGTCTTTTCTTTGGTGGACGTTGGGGAGATATAGCAATGGATTGCTTAGAAGTAGGATAGGAGAGCCTGGTTTTCAACACTGAAGGTCGCCTCCATTTGACGACTTTGCGTATGGTCGATAAGGAAGGGAGAAGCGTTTTACTCCGGCCAGGTCGTGCGTCTGCGTCAGCAGCCCAGACCGCAGGGCGCACATCATACGAGTTGCTCCGTACATAGAGCTGAAATAATATGGAGAAGCCAAGTGCCTGTTTGGGCAAACTGATAGACGGAAAGATGCCAAGGCCACCCACGGTGACCCCAGCATTGTGAGATGACACAAGGCTGCCGGCAGGCCTGACAGCTCGAACCTCAGCTGAGCTTTTCCACCTGTTTGTTGTTCTCGACTCCAGCGGAGCCTTCTCTTGGAGTGATCGAGCCTGACCTCAACATACGAGTACGGGACCTGGTCGAAAGCGAGGCTAGGCCTGGGTTATTGGACGATCGCATCTATTTGGAGGTCTCGCTTGTTTATTATTAATTTGCTCGCCCCACCACTCCAGCCGTGACGGCTTTGGGACGATGGATACCAATATCGCCTTGTGGTGCCCAGCGAGCCGACATCCCGTGTTCAATGTCTCACTATGAGTCCATGTGGTGACATGCTGGGTTTCCAGTCACTTGGTCGAGAACGGCGGGTAGCAAGCCTCTCCAGACTTGACTGGAACTCACACGGGATAGGTAGCTCGCAGTTCTGAAATTGATTACATAGGTCTTGCAACAAATACACGTAACACATCTGCATGGTTGCTGAAACGCATTTTATGGGAAGACATGGACAAGTTCATTTCGTAGGTTCCTTGTCGGGTGATGTCAGGAAATAAAGCCCTGTCATTGGGTGACGGCCCCCTGCGTCGATGACCTCGATAGTTGTGTACCAATCCGGCGCCGGTGATAATGAAATGCACATCCAAGAAGCATTTCCGAGTTCATACTCCACGGGTATCTTTGCCTTGCAGTTACCGTCCAAATTTCCTTCCTCCTGGTTCGTTTACAGAACCAACGCCAACCCAGCCATAGCGACAGCACCCATTCCCGCAATCTTTCCGTTGACATTAGGGACGGCGGCACCAGTGAATGCAGACGGGGCAGCAGAAGTCTTCGAGGCCTCCACGGAGGTAACGGGCGCAGAAGTCGTGAGCGCGACCGTGCTGGTGGCTTCAGTTGGCGCAGGGATCATGCTGGTGAAGTTGGAAGCCACGCTGTAGCTCACAGCTGTTGGAATGCCCCATGTCGAAGCGCCAGAGCTGTAGGTCGCAGTGTAGGATGTTGTGGATGTCCATTCGGACCAGGGGCCGCTGGACGTAGACACTTCGACGCTAGTAGTGGTTGCGTTCTCAGAGGCATAGGTGCACGACGTCCAGGTACTGTGCTCATTGGAAAACGTCCAGGTGAACCCCCATGAGTCGGCAACGGCGCCGAGGGCGAAGAGCGCGGGAATGGCGAGGAAAGACTTCATTGTTGGATAGGTCGAGATTCAGAGCACACTCCAATCGATTTGTTTTGGTCGCGAGCAAAAGGTAGACAATGAGTGAAGAGGAGGAGTTGACGGGCGGAACGAAGGAGCGTGAGCTTTTACACAAGGACAAACGAGCGACTGTGTAGACAACGATGGTGACAAACAAACAAAAGAAGAGGGTACGAAACTATAGCCGGGCGACAAACCTGATATAAAGGAGAGCCACCAAACCTTGTGTCGTCGAGTCGAGCTAGGACAGAGCCTCGCACCACTCACCAGCTCATTGCTTGTGCTGTGGTGTGCTTGTTCCACCCCAAAGTGGTCCTCGACAGGGGTCCCAGGAAATTGGTGTTGCAAACTCAACGAACCGTCGATAGCACGCAATTTCAGAGCAGGCGAGTTTCCAAGGTCTGCATTTGCCGTGCACAGAGTCTGCAACAGTGGTTGCGAGCCATCGAGAAGGTCATCGGATGCAGGAAAGCAGTGGAAGGTCTGTTCGTCTCTGGCGATGATGCCGGCTGACTGCTTTGTGGCGTCTGTTGATCATTGTTGGATTTCAAACCCTCGCCAAGTGGTTTCAGCCACCAGCGACAAAGCCACCGTCGGTTGGCGTCTCTTGGATCTGCGGGTGGGAGATCTTCTGCGCTCTTAGACTGCTTTTGAATCTGTGTATCTTTGGCTGTCGACACAATAATACGAGGCTCCAGGTGCATTTTAAAGGCATGGTTGATGTCTGACATGGTGCAGAAATGACTGGCCGCTGACAAACATCCTTGGCTGCCATGTGGGCGCAGTCACTTCAACACCCAGCGTCGACATGTAAACAACCCATTGTCATGAACTCCCAACACCAAACACGCGTGAACTGACTTTCTACTTCAGGGGCTGCAATCGCTTCAATACCGACAATGCCATTGACTCGCTGAAACCTCCCCGTTCCATTGGAAAAGGTGATATTTCCTCCATGCTTCGAACCCCCGCTCGTTCCTGATGACGATGTCCATCATGCCGTTATCTGCCTGCTCTGCGTCCTGACCCCAGCAACCTGCTCCTCTGTCTCAGACCTCGAACCTCTTTGCGCTACACGGAAACCTGGCCTCTGATGACCGACTGCAATGTCGAATCGTCCTATCGAACGATCCTCGTCTCTTCCTTGTCTTCGAGCCCTCGGTGGACAAGAAATATGTGTCCTTGGAGGGGAAGATATTTTGCAGGACACATGCCACACACCTGTAGGGAAAACATGGGGAATGAGGAAGAGGCAAGAGGATGAACACGACCGATATCAGTATCTGCTAGAGTTCGGGCTTTGACGGCGCCATTGAACCCATAGTAGATCCGTCTGCTGAGGACGAGTAGTAAGACAGCTCGAGAGGCCTTGGGTTCTGGAGGAGCAGTCGACCGTCGCTGCAAACAGGTGAGGGACAACGGGAAATGACCAAGCGCCATCCTCTCGCCTCCTGTCCGATCGTCGGTCCATACCAAGCCATATAGGATCGATTGACTTCGCCAAACTCCTCAGAGTGCCTCGTCAAGAACCGAAGGGGCGAAGCACTCCAAAGCACAGGCTAGTTACATAGTTAATGCACGACATCTCAGTCCCACGGATGGCGTATCTGGGTGCGAAATGAACTTGAACGCGCTTGGGGGGCCTGATGAGGCTTGCCGCATAGGTAGTACGGCCGCTATATTATAGGCAGCTAGCCTCACCCCTTTTGTCTTCTCGACCTGTAAACGACAACATGATTCCTAGTGAATAGAGCAACCCACGAATCTAAACATACAGTTGGTGAACATGATGTTTCATTTCCCATGTCGGGCATAATATCTACAGTTGCTGGCGTACATGCCACATCCAATCCTTGAGCCTGGCCTTGTCGACTTCGATATCCAGAGCGATCCGTAACCATAACCAACGCCGTTGTCCCACACATGGGGACAACTTTTCATTTTTAAAAGCCAGCACAGCTGTCTGATATCCTCATACCTTGCCAGTCCTGGCACCGCCTCTCTTCGGGACAGTCCAAGGTTCCGGACACACAGTCTGGTAGGTAACAATGTCAGCGAGTTCCTGGCGGGTGTGAATGGGGTCGAGTCTCTTACCTCGCCTTCTGAGTAGGCCCAGAAATATACAACCACTCCAATGATGTAGTATAATGCCGCATTTGTTGATTGATACATGATGACTGCAGCCAGAGCAGACAAGGGATACACCACCAATCTTGCTTCCATGCTCCTATGGAGACCCGGCATCAACTTGACCACCGGAGCGAGTGGCCATTCCCAAGCGAGGGCAATGAATGCCAGAATCAAATTGATGATCTGCAATACGGGAAAGGGTTTGACAGCTCCGTCGAGGTTCTTGGTAAGGAAGTCCCAAAAGATCTTGGGCCAAAAGAAGCCCTCGAGGCTGGCGAGGACTTGATATGCAGCGGCAGTGAGGACGATGAGACGGGCCCAGTGGTTCTTGATGAGTTTGCCCATGATGTCGAGGAGAAAGGACTTTGCGTTTCAAAGATATCGTGATGGTCTGTCTGTGGTTGAAAAGGTCGAATAACCAAAAGACCGAAAAGTAAAGAATGGAAGTCGTCGTCCAGGAAAGTGATCGAAAGAAATGAGCACGCAGAACACGACGACCTGCGCCTGGAGATCACCGAAGGAGCATCAGGGTCGGCGAGGTATATGAGGAGTCTTGGTCAAGCAAAGCTTGGTCAATGCTTTCCTCCCCTTTGACAGGGAGGAATAGGTGATTTCGGTGAGGGTTCAGCCGGTATCAGCGTGTGTTTGGCAGTGTCTGACCAGGTCGACGGTGAGGGATCAGCAGTCAGAGGGGGAAGTATCAGGAGTCTGGAAAGAGGTGGTCCGGCAGTGTCTGAAGGCCCGAGTACTTGAGGTCGGTGGGTTGGCGCGTAAGAGATTGGTCGCAGATGTCGTCTCGCCGCAGAGTGGTTGAGGCGGTTCGGAGACAGAAAGTGTCACAGGTGTGGAGTTTGCGACAACTCGAACCACAAGCACCACAAGGGACAACGTTGTAGGATTCACACCGATTTCTCGCGGTCCTCAGTGTTACTCACTTGAAAAGAAGTGCTGAGATGAAGAAACAATGGAAACATTCAGAGATGTAGCAGCTCGTGGGAAGATGTGCTTGTCTTCTGGTCAAGAGGCCGCGAGCTCACCGCGATCTACCGAGCACCCGACCAAAGCCAACCAGGTTTACCTTGACCGTTGACTACCAATGGGGCTATTGACTTAGTCCTAGATGCAGTGCAGCAATCGGAAACAAAATCAAGCAATAGTGCTGGCCCGTACCCGCCAGATCTGGTGATATTCCTCGCCATGAGGTTGTATGATTCGTGGAGCGGGTTGCCCAGTGCGGAGGGGAGCGCGGTGACTTGGTGATGGCGGGTGGGTTTAAGCGCCTGAAAATAGAAGTCACAGCAGCAGACCATCTGCAGGGTGCAAGGCGCTGTCGAGATCTGGAATCCAACAAACCCATTGTTGCAGCGAAAGGAACGAGGTGTTGATGTGAGGTGGTGAGAGCAGCAGCGAATCGAGGGGCAGAATTAAGCACCGACATGGATGTGATGCGGGAGCTGCGGCGGGCGCTAAGGAGCCAAGCGAGTGATTCGAGGGGGGCAGCAGCCAGTCAGAGGGGCGCCCGGGGAGGCTGATCCCTCGTCCCAGGCACGCCCAGCAGCTCTACGGTTGCCACCGGGGGCCACCGGGGCCACTGTCGGCCACTAACCTCTCCAGGCACATTCCAGGGCGCTTCGAAACGCTTCCTGATACGCTGGTCGGCTTCACTTTTCTCACTTTTCTCACTTTTCTCTCACTTTCGCTCTCACTTTGCTCTCACTTGACTTGCACCTGGCACTCGCCTTTCTCTTTCGGGCCAAAATTCCTGCCCAGGGATTCCCATCCCCAGCTCTCACTGCTGCTTTTCCCACATTCGGTTCTACAGCTTCGGGTCTTTTCTGGATGGGCTCGAGAGACGGTGTTGAGCTATATGCGTGACGGTATCCCGCCATCACCGCTCTATCAGATAGTTCATCATGCCACGCCTCTCGCAGCGGTCATGCTCGCCCACGTTTCTTGTCCCCAACCTCCTCTTCCCACCTGTCAGATCAACTTCTCACCCATCGACCATCAAGTGGCTCTCGAGCTTCATCTTGTCTCCGGCGGCCGTTTCCCTGACCTTTTCTTCCTCGCCACCCAATAACCGCCCAGGCCCCTCGATCAGGTAAGACGCCGTTTCCCGGTGCCTGACCCCAGGGTCCATCTTGTGCCATTCAGACAGCCTCGCTTTGAGACTATGACCAGGGTTTCATGCAGGTGGATGTTCCTTGGAGCTCCACCAATTCACCGACCGCCCGCAACTTACTTTTTGATCAAATCAATCTTGGATGGCTTCTATCGATTATCCCACGAGGACGGGAAACCGCTTCGTTAGTCCTGTACAACACCCCGTTCTATGGCACAATCACATCTCTTTCCAGACTTTTGTCTCTTCTCCTCTACCGCAATGTGCCGCAAAGGAAACTTCTATACCTTGAGCACAGGCCGCAAATATCCCGTCTCCTAAACCTCCTTCCACTCCTGTTACAGGTCTTGTGCCAGATCGCGTGGGTTCCACCCCCAGCCTGTTTCGACCTCAACCCTCACCCATCTGCCATACTAATTCAGTCGTATTCCCCCTCTCCGATCCTCACCACTGCTCCAGACTGTCCTGTTTGAACTCCTGCTTCACCATTGCTACTCTCTGCGACACTGCGGAGCCTTGGCCATATCGAATCTAATCGACCAATTTGCCATCAGTACCAAACCCTCGTATGATCTACCGTGTGATCGGGTAGTCAAGACACCATATCTCGGGTTGCCAGTCTCCGGACATCAGCTTTATCCTATACCTCCTATCTGATCGGTCTTCTCATAAGCCTCAACTCGCGGCTTTGGTGTAAGCTTAATCTTCTGTCACTCGCAATCTTCATTCGACGCTCTTTTGGTCCTCAGCATATCCACAGCATATCGTCCACGTTGCCACGACATACCTTTCTTGGCTCTCCTCAGACATGCAGACGAGATAGCCCTTGAGGAAGACAGGAACACTCCCCCCCCAACGATCTGATCAGTAGATCATATCCCATTCCTTTTCAAATCATTTACACTCGAGCCCAAGTCATGGCGACCCTCAAGTCTCATTTCGCTCCGAGCAAGATTGTTTTTTACATTCTATGGTGGGGATTTCACTGGGGTATATTCGCCATTGGATGGTAGGCGCCCCCAACAGCATGAGCAATATTGTCCACGACTAATACCCTTTTCAGGTGGAAGCAGGCAGAAGATCCACGTTTGGCCGGCCTCAACACTCTGACCTTCTCGGTATGGATATCGCGAGGAGCTGGTCTTGTCCTCTCTGTGGATGTCATGCTCATCTTGCTGCCCATGTGCCGGAATTTCATGCGTTTCCTGAGACCAAAATTCAGGTGGTTGCCACTTGACGAAACACAATGGTTCCACAGACAATGCGCCTACGCCCTGCTGGTGTTCACGACCGTGCATGTTACCGCCCACTACGTCAACTTCTTCAACGTCGAAAAGAACCAGATCCGACCCGAGACGGCAATTCAGATTCATTACGCTCAGGCTGGTGGCATCACCGGTCACATTATGCTGCTGTGTATGTTGCTCATGTACACTACCGCCCACCAGAGGATTCGACAACAGTCTTTTGAGACCTTCTGGTACACCCACCATCTCTTCATTCCCTTCCTTCTGGCCATGTATACACACGCTGTGGGCTGTTTCGTACGAGACACAGCCCAGCCCTTCTCCCCATTTGCTGGAAAGATATTTTGGGCTCACTGCCTCGGCTACGAGGGCTGGCGATGGGAGCTTTGGTCTGGCGGCCTCTACCTGATCGAGCGACTCTGGCGCGAAGTCCGTGCAAGACGGGAAACCAAGATCAGCAAGGTCGTCCGCCACCCTTACGATGCCATGGAAATCCAGTTCCAGAAACCCAGTATGAAGTACAAGGCGGGTCAATGGCTGTTCATCAATATCCCTGCCGTGTCGAGCCAACAGTGGCACCCTTTCACCATCACCTCGTGCCCATTTGACCCCTACATCTCGGTGCACGTCCGTCAGGTGGGTGACTGGACCAAAGCTGTGGGAGACGCATTGGGTTGCGGCCCCGCCCAGGCGAAGCAATTTGACGACCTGGACAAAGAGGGTATCTATGAGATTGCGTTGCAGCAGGGACAAGAGATGCCTGCCATCCGCATTGATGGACCTTACGGTGCACCCGCCGAAGACGTCTTTGACAATGAAATTGCTGTGCTCATCGGCACAGGTATTGGCGTCACGCCATGGGCATCCGTGCTCAAGCACATCTACAACATCCGCGCTGGACCTAACCCACCTAGACGTCTCAAGCGCGTTGAATTCCTCTGGGTCACCCGCTCCGTCGAGTCCTTCGAGTGGTTCCAAACGCTGCTCACGTCTCTCGAGCGACAATCCGCCGAAGCCGCCGAGAGTGTTGGCGGCCCCGAGTTCCTGCGCATCCACACATACCTGACGCAACGCGTCGACGCCAACACGGCAGCAAACATCTACCTCAACACGGTGGGCAATGCGGTCGATCCGCTGACCGCGCTACGCACGAAGACACAATTTGGCCGGCCCGACTTCAAGCGTCTTTTCGGCGCGATGAGGGACGGTCTCATGGACCAAACGTATCTGGACGTGGGCAAGGAATCGTCCATCACGGCGCAAATGAAGGCCACCGTGGGTGTCTACTTCTGTGGACCCAACGCCGCGGCGAGAGAGATCAAAACCGCCTGCAAAGCGACGAGCAACGATCTCGTCAAATTCCGGTTCTGGAAGGAGCATTTCTAAAGCCTTGCGACCTAGACGTCTCGAAGGGTTCAGACTGGCTCTGGGCTTTCGGGGCTTGTTCACCCCGCAAGACCTTGGGATGTTGCAACTCGTTTTCTTTGGAGCAAGGAGGGGGAAAACCAAAGAGTATGGCCAGCGCCATGTTTTGGACCTTTGCTTTTCAGCAGTCATGTGAAGACGTCACCTTGAAGTGGGGGGGCCAAGCACATCCAGCCCCCCCTTGCTCGCGCATTTCCTCTTCCGTCCTTTGGTGTTTTGGGATTCATGGGAAGAGTTGTCATGTACAGATTCAGAAGGTCTTTCTTTTACCTGGAGCTTTTTGTTTTTTTGAAGCGATCAACGATACGCCAGAGATACCACAGCATGCATCGTGGGGGTGTGCGAGACAGCAATGAAGCATCAGGCCAGACGGATCAACCCCGAAGCACTGCAATTTGGCAGGCAGACAGGGCTCCGTGCCTGGATGCATGTATGTATACTATCAGGTTTACAGCCGTCGGTCCCCTTCCCTCGACACTGAGTGGGAGGTTCAGAGGAGAGAGAGAGAGAGAGGGAGGAGCGCGCGAGAGAGCGATCCGTCAAAGAGCGAGATGGAGACATTATATCCCAGCCTACTCGGTACTTTGTAGAAAGACAGCTGCAATAACACCTAGCTTGCTGAAGGGGGGGGATTCAATGAAGATTTCTTGTTCAGCATGACCCGCCACTCGATCCTCTTCCTCTCCGTCTTCCCTCTTTTTTTTGGTCCTAGGTGTGCATCAGGGTACCGCTTTGGTAGTACGAACAAAGTACCTCGGATTCATGTACATCTGGTCTGAGACTGGCTCGTGCTGGGCATGGAGCACCCGTGAATGGCTAGCGATCATGGATTTGCTTCACGTTCGAAATGTTGGTCTGGTGTCCAACAGTGTCTTGTCTCACGGCATGGTGCGAAGCTGTGAACCACAATACAGTCTAAGAGCGCGAGAAAGGTGGCAAAGGTGCTCGGTAAGGCGTCTGAGTGGATTTCTCTCCGGCAGCTCACAACTTTGTTTGAATCTGTTGATTTTTGGCAGCTACATATACCAGTCACGAGGTGCTTGGTCTTTGATGTTTGAGCTGCTCTTTGGCCGCACGTTTCTGCGGTTCTCATCATCTCAACCCCCCATCCTGTATCATCATTTTTGTTACCCACTCATATGCTCTCCGTTGAGCTCGCCATGATCCCGCGACAGAACCTGCTCCATTCATCACTACTTCCTCTACTTGCTCGGCTGTGTCATGTTGAGACAAAAGTCAGATCAAGCAGAACACCTTCACCTCTGGGCTGGACCCAGGGCTCTATGCAGTAGGATGTCCTTGTCTGGGACCCATGCTTTCGTTGCGGTCACCTCCCCGTTCACCGGCCTGAAGGAAACGCATAGTCAGCAAACACTCGTTTTCTATGCCACAGCAAGGCAACCGGAAGGGACGTACCGTCACAGTTTGTGGCTGGCCCTCCGTGAGGATTTTCTTGATGACTTCATCTTCATTGCTCGTGCCAAACTCGTTCTCCAGACTGGCCTTACTAGCTCCGTCCATCTGACCCTGCGCACCATGCTTGTGGGTGACCATGATCTTGAAGCTATTCACCACCTGTGCGAGGGGGATCGACTTGTCGGCTTGCCATGCCTTGAGGTCCTGGGGAGATTCGATGAAGACAATGAAGTCATCGGTGCTGCCCTTGTAAAAGACTTTGGTGACTTCGGCTCCTCCGCGAGGCATGTTGTTGGCGTATGGTGGTAGCTGGGGTTGCTTTTACGCTGAGAGATATTGTTCAAGTTGGGATTGCGTGATCACACGACCTTTCTGAAGTGAAGCTTGTTGGAAGGATCACTATTGGTGGGGTGGATTGATACTGTTGTCAGTCAAACGGGGTGTGCTAGATGCAGGGGAGCTGACCTTGAGGAGATAATTGGAAGTTTTGATTCAGACCAGGAATATTGTGAGAGTGAAGTTTGTCTATGGCGTGAACAGAGTACAATTTAACTGCGGTGGTGGGATCGTGTGAGGCTGCAGAGTGAAATAGAAAGAGGCACCAGATGGCATCAGAGGCAATTAATGGCGATGACGTCAACGTGCTTGGGCCAGCACCATGGCTAACAAGGACAATCGTCAGGGGCAGCAATTGGCGTGCGGTCGACCAGGTAGCGTGACCCCCTCTTGTCACGCTCTGCCCCCGTGCAAAGATTGCCAACCACCCAGGCACCGTGCCCACAGAACCTTCCATCAACTACGTAACTTGACCTACATGCCCACCAGCCTACCTACAATCCATCTATCAGATCCGATCCTGCAGCGGACCCGACCGCAGAGCCTCCACACTTGTCGCGCGTGCCAATGCTTTCAGTTGGCCCAATGACGTCGAGAGCGCCGACAAAGCTATCTGAAGCACGAGGACACAGTGGCGCAGAGGCAGGGACACTCCGTTCTTGGATGTCACTTCAGCGGGTGCACATCACCTGAAAGAAAGAGATGACCTGTGTACAATATCAACAGGTGCCATATTTGAGCAAAAAGGATCAGCCTGCGCCCAGTGTGGTAGGACATACACAACCCTTCCAGCTCCCTGGGACTAGGCACCATCAATGTGTGACCACGAAGTGTTTCATCGTGGCCCTGCAATCCTGCAGCTGCTTGGGCTGTTGCATACCGTCGATCCTTGTACCTTGGAATAGATATCATATCTGCTGCTTGAGCTTCTGGAAGACCCTCAAGTGGCGCTTTGGGGTCCGTCGCTCGGGTTTTGGTTCCCTTCGGACTTTGAAAAAGCGTGACTGCCCACCAAAGTTCCGGCTTGAAGTAGCCTCTAGAGCGAAGCCTCGTAGACGAGACCATCTCTCATATGGGATCACTCAAGGCACCACCAACGCATGACGGGCGACAGCCGTGTTGTTCAGGGTGGCGATTGGACTTGGAATAGCTACCAATCCAGTGGTTGAGGACAAACTCCTGCTCTTTGACCGATGCTGATAATTCTTCTCGATCAAAACAATTCCCTCTCTTCCTCATGATACTCTCATCACCATGTAGTCCAACAAGCCACGACAGCGGATTGCTTCAAGGAAATAAATACCAAAAGATTTGCTACCGAAAGGATCTGGCGACAGAAGAGAAGCCAACCTGCTCTGGTTGGTGACTGGTAGACAAGTCCATCCTATTTTCTGTCTCTCAGCATGCCCTATGTCGGTGATATGGGCGCCTAGACAAGCCAACACTGTCCAAGCCTGTCCTGATGCGGTATGGCGGCGCCTCGACAGCCCTTCAAAGCTCGTGTTCAGCTTGCCGGGGATCACGGCGCGTAGGCGATGTGCAAGGCGAAGGCCTGCAGTCTACGCTTCAGGTCGGTTAAGGATGCAGGAGAGGACCCGGGTTTCTTCTCTTCGAACAGATTCAAGCCACATTGACCAGATTGGGAGTTGGTGGCAGGAGGGGGAAGGCGGACGTGAGAGAACAGGGGAAAAGTGTGTACACAGTAGACCTTGCCTTAGGCGAGGCGGCCCCGCAAGATTACCGAGTCACGAGTCAGGCCGGACGAACTTTTCTACTTGTACATCTACGACTGCACCGTGCGAATAAGGAGCTGCAGATGCGCCTTGAATGCTGGGAGACGACATCCTTGACACCAGTTTGTTCACATTCGGCGAGCACATTGATTTCCGTCGGCCTCCCCACTGACAGGTTCTGGAGCCAACGTACACGGGGCCGCTTACAAGGTTCAACCGACCGAATTTCCCCAATGACAACCTCAAGTGATGCCCCGAGTACGCAGCACTCCACCTCAAAAGATCTGCATTCCCCCTTGTTCAAGCCAACTTTACGGGCTATGCGGAATCCGACGTCTCAGAAACAGACATCAGGGGTTGTTTCAAAGAACTTTGCGGAGTTGGAGAGCCGCATTGAGCATGTCTTCGGAAGTATGGAGGGATGACGGAAGAGAGGCTGCAAGAGTGACTTACAATCTCCAAAACAAACAGCCAGCAACGCCATCCTCTCCGCCATTTCGAACAAAAGCCTTCATGCTACACTTCCTCCCCAGCTTCTGGCGACGGATAAGGGCAATGACGATAAGCCGAATGAAGGCGCCGCAACCCGTTTGCTGTCGTTGGACGACAGATATGCAGGTCAACATAATTGCCTAAGATCTTGAGAAAGGGGCACACGACGGCATTGTGGGAATTTGGCTCATTTAACGGTCAGCTTACTGCACGTCTATTGTGGTACCGACCCCTACCCACCTTATCAATTCGACAAAGTGTGAAGATAGCCAGCTTGTACGGCATTGGCGGATAGAGCCACGCCACGCACACTCAGCTTGCAACCATCCTCTTCTCTACTCGCAATGACCTCTAGTGGATGCGAGACTCGGGTCGTACGTCAATCCATCAACAAGATGCCCTTCGATTTTTGTCCTACAATGGCTTTGCTGTTCTTCTCCCTGGGACCTACTATCTCAGCCTTTCGAACATCCCCTCATCGAGATATGAGGGACAAGGTGGGTCATTCTGTTGGATGAAGGTTTGAAGATCTCCCCCGGTTCAGGCAGGCTCAGGATACGTTTGACTTTTGCTCAATCTCTGGCTGCGCCATGGCATGCCCCTTTTTCATTTGCACGATACGGTGTGGAGGCAGAACACTATCTGATCGGTGCACGAAGAAAAGGAGTTCCCAAGCTAGCTCACTCCATAACCCCCAACCGCGCAGGAACGCGTGGAAAGAAAGACGGGGAGGCTGAGGTGGCTTCGATTGGAGTGCAGGGGGGGATGGGGGACGCTTGAAACTGGACTCAATGGTGTTCATACAATTGCCATGTGCAGTTTTCGAATAGAAAGCAGAAGTGCCTTCTTACCCTTGTCGACACCTGCTCTTCCCCCATTTTCCCGCCCTCCATTCTCACTGTATATCACTGTATGATAGAGTGGTATCAGTGCCGTTCATTATAGCCACGTCGTGGTGCAGACTTCTTATCTTTCAATGCTATGGCTTTCCTGGGAACGCTTTTGCCGCGGAACCCGGCCAAATACCTCCTTGCGGCTTTCATCCTTCAGACTGTTTACATCCTATTCTTTCACCACAATGCGAGGGAACAGGCTCAGATACAGCGTACGACGCTGACGAAGCACTATTCGTTGGGAGAAACATTCGCCCACGACATGAGCAGCGAGGACCATGGCCTGATGAGCACCAAAGTCGCCGCGCTGTCCGGCCTCGCGGAGCACTATCTCGAGAACCCCTCGCTGGACACCCACGAAGTCAGTGATGTCGTTTCACAGCTGTTCCCTTGGTGGGACCCCGCCACATTGAAATACTACCCTTGGAAGAAGCTACAATCGTGGAAGTCGAGGATAATTTCCAGCATGGAGTCGACGGGACCCAGCACGGGCATCGTCATGAGCGTGATGGACTCGTTTGCTAAGGAAGCCGCACACCTGATTGGCTTCCTCCGGAACGTCCACGGGTGCCAGCTACCGATAGCCATTGCGTACGTGGGCGACGACGACCTGAGGCCCCAGACCCGAGAGTTCCTGAGGAGGCGGGCCAGGGATATTAGTTTCATCGACCTTACGACCATCTTCGATCAGCAGCTCGTGCATTTGGAAGGGTACGCCATCAAACCGTTCGCGCTGCTGGCCAGCCCTTATCCGCGAACGATCCTGGTGGACGCCGACGCCGTCTTCTTCGCCAACCCGGACAAGTTATTCGACGAGTACCCGGGCCTGCGGGACACCGGCGCTCTGTTCTTCCACGACAGAAACATCAATTCGGGATCCGAGCGGCACGACTGGCTCGGACGCCAGCTGGAGGCAGCCGGCCGATCCCCTTCGGCGTATCTGAACGAGAGTTCCCTCTTCTACCGCCGGTATTCCAGCGAAGAGGCCGACGCCGCCGTCGTTTGTGTCGACAAGTCCAGGGTGGGACTGTACATGGCGGTCTTGTTTACGTGCTGGATGAACACCAAGGAAGTGCGGGACGCGTCCACGTTCAGGATCTGGCATGGCGATAAAGAGTCGTACTGGGTGTCCACCGAGCTGATGGGGGTGCCCTACTCGTTTGAACCCTGGTACGCGGCCCGCATGTCTCAGTCGCAGGAGACGGGGATTGAGTTGCTGCTCGACGACGACAAGGAATGGGAGAAGCAGCACCCCCGACTGTCAGGGGCACCGCAGCAGGACGACGCGTCTTCCAACCACAAAGAGACGCCTCCGCCCGCGCACAGCTCTTGCACACTACACATGGCGCATGCCGACGCCTGGGGCATTGAGCCGCTGTGGGCCAACGGGGCGCTGTGGTACGACAAGGGCAACAAGGACCACGGCATCAGTAACTGGACGCACTGGTATCTTGGTGACCGCGTCCACGACGTCCTCGAAGCATATCCCGCCCCGGAATCCTTGGCGGGGTCTGGCGGCGACGTGGATGACGACGCAGCCAAGAAACGACAGGAGGAAGTGGAACAGAAGATCCTGGCCACGCAGCCCGAGTGGCTGTTTATGGATTGGCCCCGCGACTACCAGACGTGTTTCCAGCGGGACCACCCTCGGTGGAGGCAGTTATCTGACGATTTTCGGGACAGGCTGGAGCGGATGCAGGGCGAGATGAGGAGGGTTGAGGTCGACTATGAGATTGAGATAGGAGATTAATTCATTGCCTGCTTGATTGGCGGGAGGTTTGACCATCACTTTACCGAGGGAGTTTGGGGGCTATCATACTGGAGGAGCCTTGGTGGGTACCAGGCGGGAAAATGCGATGCAACATTGAACACACGGCTATATAGGAAAACAGCACGGACAGCAAAGGGCTTGGGTTTTTGCAAGAGGTGCAAATAGTGTTATCCGACGTTTGTCTTTTTGACTAAAAGGTGCCAATCTCGAGATGCCGCCGTGGATGGGGGCGGGCGAGGGTGATGCTGCCCTGTGCTCGGCCCGACAAGTGAGTACTAATAACTACTTACATCCCTTGATCTCACTGCCTTAGTCGTAGCCTCGTCAATACCACAGAGATGACACGAGTTCATCATTCGAGTGCCGCTTGCAAGTTCAGAATCATTGGCAACGATTTAGCAGGCTCATCCAAAATGTCAACTTCCCCCCATCCGTCGCTCTGGTGCGCCACTTTGATTGCTCCATGAGGTCTCGACCCAGGCACTGTGCAAGTGCTGGCAAGTGCTCGTGCCCTGCATATATTAGTGTCAAGTGAAGGGCCATGCACTTCCATGCGGCTGACGGTTGAGAACAGGCTGTTCTCGCCAATTCTCGCCCGAGTATGCATCTCCCACCACCACGACCACGACCCCGACCCCGTCCCACACCGCTGGCTTTCTCAGCCGCAGCCACTGCACGCATGGATGCACACATGCATAGCTCGGCTCTACTCCCAGATGTCGCCTTCTTCCTATCATGCAAAACGCAGATACTACTACCGTCAAGCCCGTTGAGTGGACATGGCTACAAACCCCCAATTTCGCTGGCAGCCGCTTGCGCATCCGACGAAGAGCATCCGACTCATCGAACTCTTGTCGGCCAAGTCCAAGGATGCTCCTCTTGAACTCAGTCTCTCCACCTGGTCCTTCGACGCGGGTCGCCCCAGCTATGAGGCCATCTCGTACACGCGGGGGGACGCACGCGACGAGGAAGAAATTCTCGTGAGCGGGGAACGCGAGCGACGCTCACAGACACAGACGCTTCGGATCCGCAAAAACCTCTCTCACTGTCTGAAAAGATTGCGCCAGCCCTCCGGCTCTCGATACCTGTGGGTCGACGGCATCTGCATCGACCAGAGAAACGACGAGGAAAAAGGCGCGCAGGTGTCCATCATGGGCAAGATCTTCTCGGGCGCCGAGCGCGTCCTCGTCTGGCTCGGCGAAGAAGGCGACGGCAGCAGCGACAGGGTCGTGGCGCGAGCGACCAAGCGACGATGGTGGGCGTTCGGCGCCAGTTTCTGCATCCCCATCTCGGCGCCGCCGCTCAGTGGTAAGCAGCTCTTCCCCGACTACAAGGTCAGCCCGGCCGAGCTGGTCTGCCGCGTCTGCGAACACTACCCGCCCATGATCAAGGACGGGGTCGAGATGCGGGACACGCTGGCCAAGATCCTCGACGTCGCCGAGGGCGAACTCCAGCAGTGTATCGCCGCCCGGGGTGGCGTGCGTTTGAATCGCCCGCTGCATCGGAGGGTCTACATTGCCGGCAAGACGGCCATGAGCATTACCAAACATTGCATACCGCAACCTCATCCCGGAAACGTTGTATAACTTGACCTTCTTCTTTCGGCGCAATTAGCCAGAGCCTGAGGGGGGCTGCTGTGTCGGTTCGAGATGCGGAAGCCACGTGGGTGTAAAGCGACTCATTCAAAGAGGCAGATCCGTCGCCCTCATTGCACCTGGCTATCGTCAAGGGGGTTCTTCGACGATAATCAGCCCACGTACATCCCAGCGCGTTGCTCGCTGTAATTGTAGCATGACGAACACCCGGTTGTGGCCTCCTTTCTCAGCAACACAAAAAAAAGATGGTCCCCCTCGCTCGATATTCATGCCGCTCAGCAGCCAGCCTCGAGCAGCCTCGCCTCGACTCGACTCAGCAAGCCAGAAATAAACTCGCACCAATCGAGTCCAGTCCAGCCCAGTCCAACCCACCGCCCAATGGAGATAATACTGCAATGGGCCCCCGGGACCGCTGCCATTACCCAGGTCGGTTATTTTCGTGTTGTAAGTTGTCCTATGCATCTGCCGAGCTCACATCCGATCTTCCATCCTGTACCAGGCCCGAGGCAAGGCTGAGAGATGCTTGTTTTCAACAACTCGTACTCGGCACTCGGCATTACATTCATCCCCCCCATGTTTGTTTGACTGGGAGGTTTGGTTTCGGCAGATCGTAGTTCAGCCATCCCCTGTCCTGTCCTGTCTTGTCTGACATTGTTTTCCCGCTTTTCACGCACCCAACCTTCTGAGGCTGACCCAGCCCTGAATCGCAGTGATGGGACCCTCAGTGAGCCCAGAGATTATTCCGCCCCTACATGAGCTCGCCACGCCCGTCCCTCGACCGCCGCTCGGAACTCCAAGACGCACCATACCGAGACGACGACCAGAGCCGTGGCCTCGAGTTCCGCGCTGCGTGGCCACGCCGGCAGATGGCGGATTAGTTGGATTGCGGGGGTCCAGAGTCGTAAGCTTGAGTCGTGGGAATAGAGGTAAGGCACCTGCTATGCCATGCCATGTTGAATGCCTGTATACGAGTATGTACCTATGTACCTATGTACCTATGTAGGTATCTAGGTATCTATACCGCATATACGAGGTACAACATACACACGCAAACCTACCACCCTCAAGCATGTGTCTGCCCACCAAGGTCCCTCTCGAGTACTATCCTGCACCGAGACATGAACTGGACGCCATTCCAGCGCTTGCCTTGCCTCGCCTCGGAGACGAAAGGCACACGGCGCGGCTGCGATCAATGTGCGTTGCGATCGGAGGTGCCGCTCCAGCAGAGCGGGGTGGAAGCTAGAATCGATGTACCGAGTAGGTAGCCTGGCACTCGCTCGCGTGTATGTAAGTCTGTATGCACAGGACATGCATGTACACTAGGTAGGTATGGAGACTTTGTCGGCATCTCCCCTTCCTTCTCCATCTTCCTACAGTATCCATCATCCATCCCCCTCTCCCCACGGATCTTAGGGTCACCCACGAAGTCACGAAAGATCGGCATTTGATCGAACAGGCCTCCTGCCACGCCTTACCCTACCCTACCCTGCCCACTTCTTCCTTTGTCCAATCCTGAGCGCATGAAAGCCGATCTTACACACAGACACACACAGTCTCGCAGTACGACATCATAAGAACTAAAAACAAACCCCGCCCCTTCGGACTGACCAGTATATATACATATACACACATGTACGCACACGCACTCTCACTCCCACTCCCACTCTCACACTGCTGGTCAGCTTATGAACATACAGACTGAGGAGATCCAATTTATCTTGCACAGCTCAGACTCCCACAAGGATCGCGTCGTCGCCAACTCACAAAAAAGGAACATTCCGTCCCAAAACGCACGCGAACTGACCCACGCTGAAACGGCCTGACCGAAAGACGACGTCAGATCCAGCCGTGGATAGCCGTGGTTTCATCCTCGATTACAAAGAGGAAGACTCGCTGGCCCCTTCAATTCCGGGACGAGATTGATCGATACCGACAAACGCTCAGTCGCTGAACTCACCGTCGGCATCATGGCCCTCACTGAAGTGAATGACGGCTCTGCCATCACAAGCATCCTCCTCCGCTACGCCTTTTGGGCGGTCCCAATCCTTCTCACCGCCCAGATCGCCCTTTTCCTGTACAAAACCCTGACCTCTCCACTTCGCGGTGTCCCTGGTCCCTTCGCCGCACGCTTCGGCCGCTTCTATTACTTCTGGCGCGTCGCTCAAGGCCACTGGGAACGTGATGACCTGGCCCTACACAAGCAATACGGGCCCGTCGTCCGCGTTGGCCAGGACATGTACAGCATTGACCACCCGGAAGTGGTCAAGAAGGTGTACAACATCAACTCCAAATTCCCCAAAAGTGACTGGTATTATGCATGGCAGCATCCCGACCCAAACCGCTGGACCCTGTTCCCGGACAGGGATATGAAAAGGCATGCAGACACCCGGAAGAGGTTTCAGGCAATGTACTCCATGTCGAGTTTGGTCAACTATGAGTCCTACGTAGACTCATGCGCAGAGATTTTTGGGCGGAGACTGTCCGAGTTTGCCGCCAAAGGCCAGACCATCGACATGGCACATTGGTTCCAATGCTATGCTTTCGACGTGATTGGCGACATTACGTACTCTCAAAGATTCGGCTTTTTGGATAAAGGAGAGGATATTTCGGGATTGCTGAAGGCCCTCCACAGTGTTTTGCAATACGGTGCCCTTGTGGGTGTCTACGCCAAATGGCATCCCCTCATCTTCAACCTTTCGAGTCGTCTCGGTATTGGCGGCGGTGAAGGTCGAGTGTGGCTGATGAAGTATGTCAGCGAGAGGATCAAGCAGCGCGAGGAAGAGAAGAAATCCGGAGTCGATGTCGAGAAAATTGGCGAAAGGAACGAAAATGCACCAATGGACTTTCTGGAGAAATTGCTCGTGGCGAATCAGCATGATCCGGAAAAGGTGACCCCATATCATGTATTCATGATGGGTTTATCGAATATCATAGCTGGTTCCGACACGGTGAGATTACCCAGTCATCCCCAATTCGAGGCGATCTGTTCCGTTTGGATACCATTGGAGATCGAGATGCTAACATGATTTTGTCGAGGACTCTAGACCGCGGTGAGCTTGTCATCGATCCTATATAACCTGCTCAGGTATCCCGACACGATGCGAAAGCTCCGAGAGGAAATCCAGGAATTCGAGGACCAAGGTAGATGTGGCAACCCGGCCGTCTCGTTCAAAGAAAGCCAGGAGATGCCCTATCTGCAAGCGGTGATGAAAGAAGCACTGAGAATGCACGCTGCCACGGGTTTGCCATTGTGGAGAGTGGTTCCTGAAGGTGGCGTAGAGATTTGCGGTCAATTCTTCCCGGAAGGCACCACTATTGGACTTAACAGTTGGTGCGCTCACTATAACGAGGACGTCTGGGGACCAGATGCAAAACGATTCCGACCGGAAAGATGGATCGAAGCCGAAAAAGAAGGCGGAGAAAAGTTGAGGATGATGGATGCTTATTACCTGCCAGTGAGTGATAATCTGTCCTCCAGGTTGACGCTTCCGCTAAGACTATATCAGTTTGGCCTCGGGGCGAGAACGTGCATAGGTCGTCACATTTCATTCTTGGAGATGTCCAAGTTGATCCCTCAACTCGTCAGAAGGTTCGACTTCGAACTGGAGCATCCTGAGCGAGAGTGGGATACCGTGAACTATTGGTTCGTCAAACCAGTAGATTTCCGGGTCAAGGTCATGCTTCGAAAAGAGTAATAATGCCTTGACGCCAGGAAGGGACGGATGAAAGAACCAGTGTGTGCTCGTTTCGGTATACAAGGCCTTTTATCCCTTTATATTGTCGCACACAAGCGTGGTCAAGCCACATTGAACGCCACTGATGTATCCGACGCCCTTAGTCCGCACCATTTGAAGTTCGTGGGCGAGCCTCAGGTGATGGATCCTGACAGAAAGAAACATGGAAGGCCAGGGGGCTTCTATGCAGGCCCCTCAGGCGCCCATGTGGTTGACAGGGGAAAGAACAGCATCGAGCTTGCGTCCGATGCCCCTCGGAAGGTATCCTGTGGTATGGCGAAGTCGACGGCGATTCCGTTTGTTATTTTCAAAAGACCCAAATCGAGTGCCCGATGTGGTATTTTCAAGCATCTCTTCGCTTTCCCATTGGTAGTCATGTTTCTGAAAAGCCCGTTTTGAAACACTTCACAATGGCAAGGGGAGCACCGTGGGAAAAGGGGACTGGCGGTTACACAGTAAATAGCACAGGGAATCTCGTCCATCACAAACTAGCATGCTCGGCTAGCGTGGGGAGCGGCTTGAAGGTCTCTCGAGAGCTGGCCAACCGCCGAACAACTGTCCTGAAGTGGAGGCTAGCGGTTGACAACCCACCATCTTCGAGTTCAGACCGTGCTAGCGAGTCCGAGCCGTCCGCAGGATCCAGCGGCTGCGATTCGTGGGGTTACCGAGGCGGACAATCCCCTGCTCTTGCCCAATTTCCGCCCGAGCGCAGCGCTGTGGGTAACGAGCAGTAGTCCCCGGTCAATGGCGATTGATGCCCAGCACTAGTCCGGCTGCATCGTGGAGTAGACCGAGATGCGAGCAATCATTGTAGCAAATGTCGAGACCGTGGGGAATTTCTATGGTGATGGGGATGGAGGGTGATGGAAGTTGTTCGAGTCCAGCCACGATCGGCGAGGGTCGGTAGGCGGCAAAAAAGGTCGATAGGACAGACAAGGAGGTGACAGCCGGTTGCAGACGCCATGATACTCGTATAAGGGCAGAAATGATGGCCAAAGAGGCAAAGGAGGCGCACGAGTCGAGGCCGAAAGAGGAAGGGAGCCTGGGAAGAATTCAGCAGTTGGCAACATGATCGACCAAACCCCTACCCAGCCAAAGGATGATTGGAGCTCGGGTTAGAACCGTGGACACCCTCAAGGATCCAAACAAGTCACTTGCTCACAATCTAGAGCAACGGGCCGAAAAGAAGAATGAGGTCTGGAAAGGAACCTTGTACATGGCGTCTGCAGGCGAGCATGGAGGAAGCAGGGTCGAGTGGCCATCCAACAGGCCAACAAGCAAGCGCAAAGCCGCCGGAGCTTCGTGAGAGGAGGATGGATGGATGGATGGATGGGTTGTGGACTGGGGGGGGGGGGGAAGGAGGAGGAGAACGGGGTGGACACTGGCAAAGTGCGAGTACTCGGTAGTAGAGTGGACAGCAGTTAGTAGTAGCGGACAGCGAGGCCAGTGCTTGTGCTTGTGCTTGCCCTTGGCCTTGGGGGTGCCTTGGGGTGCTTAGAGTACGAGTAGTGATGATCCCGTCCAGCCAGTCCCAGTAGATCGAATCCCGCCCATTTCACCTTCCAAGCATGACCAACTTCCCTACCGCCTGGCCTGTACGTACCACCATTACCACTGCTACCCGCTACTCGAACTTCCTTCGATCTTCAATCTACCTGCGACCTCTTCACATCCCAGCTTTGTATCGCATGTGGTCTATCTTGCGACGTCGACGCGCCTCTCCCTATCTCCATCTTTAGATGATTCCAGCTCCCTGCAACCTGCTATCCATCGTTTGAACCAGCCACCCGGCTGCCAACTCTCCGTATCTTCTCGACCGTCATCCTTTGCCCCCGTTCAGCCGCTTCGCTCTTGTCGCTCGCACGCCTGTTCACCCGCCGCTCTTTTGCGCGCGACTGCTCCTCCATTCCATCTCGAGAATCATCCTGAGCACTGCTCACGACCCTTTCGCATGATTCTAGACTTATCGGCTTCACCCATCTGCGCACACACCGAAGACCAGGCCTCTGCAGGCCAGTCCGTCGCCCCACATGAGTGGCAGCGCTGCCACTCGGCCCTCGTCAGGTATGGTCCGACCTTTCACTATCAAATCTCAAGCGGCTCTCTGATTCTGCGACCTGTTGGCCGCGATGGCGCACTCTTGTTTCTAACGTCTCTACTTTCAGGCGCCTCCCTGCAAGGACAAGAAGTCACCTCCAATGACGCCGCTTTCATTGCCACTCCTGCTGCCAGCTCTTCACTCCAAGCTGCTCCTGAAGCTTCTCAACCCACAGAAAACATGACAGAAAAGCCTAAACAGCAGCCGTCGCTTGTCAAAATCCCTTCTCGTACATCTTCCAACCCGAAATCTTCGGACCCTACTGCCGCCCCTGCACCAGCCGCACCTGAGGAGCCACCTCCGTCGCCGAGGCGTGGCTCGAAACGAAGTCTCCTCAGCAGAAGCAGGAACAATAGCAGAGGTAGTCGAAGGTCCCTTCGAGCAGCTCGGGCGGCGGAAGGCACCAAAGAGCCTGTACCGCCTCTGCCCCAAAACGCGGCTCCCAAAATCGAGAAGAAAGCTCGTAGCGGGTTGCTCGCCTTCCTGAACTGTTGCAGCCCTACCGAATATCCCGATGACACCAAATCAGACGATCCCGATGTTGCTGCGAAGAAGATCAAGATCCAACCCCAGCTACAAAGAACGGCTAGATCGCAAGAACAAAACGAGGTCGTGGAGAACGAGAAGACTTTAGAAGGGAAAACGCCCGTCGACGATGCAACTCTACACGGCAAGGCTGGAGAGGAAGGTAATGTAGAAGTAGTGGAGAAGAAGGAGCTTGATGAGTCTCGACCGAGGATGTCTCGCGAGGAAATATACCATGAAAAAGTCACACTTCCTGGCGCGAGTGGGACAACGCCATCCACAACCCTCACTGATCAAGACATGGGACCTCATGGCGATGAAGACCAGATCAAATCAACCACCGTTACCGTACCAGAACCATCGGCCAAACCGGATGTCAATGTGATAGCAGCCACACCCACCGAGGCGGAGCATCCTTCGGAGCCTCAGCGATTCGAGGGAGATGATAAGACAGCTACTGACGTGGAGATGGCAGACGCACCTCCTGCTGTTCCAGTCATTGATGAAGAACCCTTGGATGAGCCGTATCAGCCTGCCGAATTGCAACCACAAGTACCTTTACCTCCGCCACCGCCCTTGTCCAAACGACAAGAACAGTTTGCCCCCAAAGAGGCTCCCCCAGTTCCGGAAGCCTCACTAGAGAAGCAATCATGGCTTCTGCCTCCTGTGCAGCCTCATTTGAAAGGACGAAAATGTTTGATTCTCGACTTGGATGAGACCTTGGTGCACAGTAGCTTCAAAATTCTCCACCAGGCTGACTTCACCATTCCCGTCGAGATTGAGGGCCAGTATCACAATGTCTACGTAATAAAGCGACCGGGCGTGGATACCTTTATGAAGAGAGTTGGCGAACTGTACGAGGTGGTCGTCTTTACTGCTTCTGTGTCCAAATATGGCGACCCGCTACTGGACCAATTGGACATTCACCACGTTGTTCATCACAGGCTCTTCAGGGAGAGCTGTTACAACCACCAAGGAAACTATGTCAAGGTACGTTGGCTAACAAGATCCGTCCCAGGGTATTCAGAGCTAACTTTGCCCCAGGACCTATCACAAGTCGGCCGAGATTTAAAGGAAACCATCATCATCGACAACTCTCCCACCTCCTACATTTTCCATCCCCAACACGCCGTTCCAATTAGCTCTTGGTTCTCGGATGCGCACGACAACGAGCTGCTGGACCTGATCCCGGTCCTCGAAGATCTGGCAGGACCGCAAGTACAGGACGTGAGCTTGGTCCTGGACGTGGCTCTGTGAGCTCCAAAAGTCTGTTATCAAGCGTTCAGTACGGCCGCCTTCACTTCGTTTGTTCGTATTAGAACGGTATATGATTGACAAAAGTCTGTTTGGCATTTCTAGCGTGGCGTCCATTGACTTAATGCTCTTGATGCTGGGTAGAAATCACCCGAGTACGGATGGACATCTTGTGGATATGGGAGCCAGGCCTGGGGAAAACAGGATTCCAAAAATATAACCCGTCAAAGAAAAAATATCGGTCTTAATCGCTTTGGGAGGGTCTTTGCGTCTTCAGCAGCCTGGCATTCTGACGGTCTTTTTTGCAAGCCAGTGTGGAAAGGGCATGGAGATACCGGTTTGGCCGAGCTCCTATTTATTTCCTTTGTTGTGTCTTTGAGATGGAATTGCATATCGGCAGGCAGGCATGCGATTCTGCCCAGGTGGGACAGAGATGTGTGGATTGTGGCGAGCAAGCGTACAGGCGCGACAGACGCTTTTTTGTGTTCTTGGGACATATCGGTTGTACAGTCAAAGACGGCTTGTCCTTGAAGAGGTTTTTGAGAAGACGGCGGTAGAAGGGGGAAGTCGCTCCTCTTCTAAGGAAAGAGATGCAGGCTGATGGTTCTTAAAGCATGACGCCAGCTACAAGCACTGCGAGGAGTCAGTGCGAAACCTGGAGTGTTTGATGTTCATGTTAACAAATGCTCTATCAGGCGGAGTGGAACGCACAGGAGTCGTGGGACAATATAAGTACAACAGTTGACCGAATTCTCTCTTCGAAACATATTAGTTATGTCGAGAATCAAATATCTTCAGCCGGTTGTCCACTGGTCAGATGCTGCAGTGAGAGGCTAGCTTCCAATGGTAATGTTTGGAGGTAGTTTTGTTAGCAGGACTTGATCCGTATTCATCTCATCCATAGCGCGACATCGAAGTCCTTGTTTTATAATTGCTCCACGAACTCTCTGATCAACCGGCCAACCTCGTCTGGTGCCTCAACGCAATGCCAGTGCCCAATCCCCTTCAGCACCTCCAACCGCTTCCTCTCCGGAGCCGTGCCCAGTTCCTTGAAAATCATCTCACAGCCAGCCAACGGGGCGGACTTATCCTGATCCCCTGCTATAATCAACACTGGGCATTTGACCTTGGCATACTCTGGCGGGGTGGCGAGTTCGATGGCGCGACAATTCGCGCAGTATCCCTCTGGAGATTGCGCGAGGAGCATTTCCCGGATGAAGGCCTTTTGCAAGGCCGTGGTCCCCGGCCCCGTGGCGCCGTTGGGGATGGTGTTGGCCATGGCTTCCATGCCTTGGGACTGCACCGTGGGGATACGCTGTTTGAAGACGTTCGCCACGGTTTCGCTCGGGTGGACGGGCCCGATGCATATCCCTGCCACGACGCGGCCGGGGGACGTCGAGGCCAGGTACGTCGGCACCATGCCGCCCATCGAGTAGCCTAGGACGGCGGCCTTTTCGACCCCGAGATGAGAGAGGAGGCCCAGGACGTCGCTGGCAATGGACGGAATCGAGGTTTCTGTCCCAGCCTGAAAGGCCGAGCGTCCGGCGCCGTAATTATCGAAGATGATGCATCGGTAGGAGGTGAGGAAGGGGAAGACGGGGAAGTAGTAATTCTGCGTTGACCCGAGCCCGTGCACGAAGATCAGAGTGTGTGGTGACGGAGGCTGGGACGACGATGACGCTGGAGCGATATCTGTGTAGTGCAGCGAGTGCCCGTTGATGGTCGCAAATGGCATGTTGGCCTGGTTCCTGAGGGATTTCTTGTTGTGTCGATCTTTTGGTATATTGTTGGGACGAGCGGTTTCGAGACCGACCTTTGCTGCCTGTAATAACGGATGTGCCCACGTTGATGGTCCGGAGTGTATCTTACAACAACTACCTAGTATAGAGGAGCGTTCTTCTTACCTTCTCTCGCTGTGAAAGGGCGATGTTGCGATCAATGTCGTCAACTTCGGAAGACGCTGCCGGCTATTTCGCACATCAGGAGGGACCGGCCCGAACACGTTCCACACTTCTGACGCGACACAGATATACATACAAGGAATTCAGATAGGAGGGCATTCATTCGACCTCCTGTACTGCTGAGAAGGTTGGTAGGTATTCCCCAAAGACAGACCCGCTGAGATCTGGCTGTATCGAGTACCAGGCACATTGCAGGCCAGTCCCCTGGAAACTGGAATTGCACGTCGCCCTTCTCTTACAACAAAGGTGCAGGCCAGAAGTCCTTGGTCGAGGCGTCGGTCAGAGGGCGACTGGTCAACTGCGCTTGCAGGCATGTTTCAGACCAGATTGAGAGGCGAGGCTTGGCAGCGTTGAGCCTTTCATTCAATGCTCGGATCGCTTATTTTGCGGTCATGGCAAAAGAGGTGAATCTCCTACTGTCTCTGACAGGTTGATTTATGCTCCACGCTTCGCCGCAGCAAGGGAATCCCTCTTCAAACGAGATGCAAAGAATAGAATCGCAAGGTGCCTGGCTGAGTCAGAGGGCGGCCAGGCGGGCGGCTGAAGTGGTTGCCAGACAAACGCAGCCAACTTGGCCCCAATTAGTGTTGGGAATGCGCCCGGAGGATCTTCGATGCCTTCGATTGCGGGCTGCTCTTGGGGCACATTGGGCGCATTGGGCACATTTTGCCCCCCTAAAGTTTGGCCTCCAGGGCCCGGACGCTTGCCTGATGCCCGCCTATGTCGCCCATTCTGGGTGCTTGCACGGGTATAATTGAGGCCCACCGTCCCGCCAATCCCACCCTGGCGATCCCCCTCCGGACACGCGTTGACGTGATCCACTAACCACCATTGTGTCAAGGGCCCTGGTGTCCCGGGAGTTCCACCCAACGTTTCTCCTGCCTAGAAGGAGACGAAGGGAACAGGCGAGCAGAAGAGGGCGAGGACAGACGAACAACCAGACACGGAGCAAACACGCACTGCAACCTCCTCTTAGCCTCCCGCAGTCTGCATCTACGATTACATCTCTGGCGTCTTGCATTGGCATTGTGGTGTGCTCTTTGACTGCGCTTGCGAATCTCCGTCCTCTCTATTCTCCCGAAGCTTCGACGGAGCTCAGGTAGATGGGTTGCACGTAGTTACTCCCTCAGACCACCACCTTATCTCCTCTTCTTACCTCTTCTTTTGTTTCCTCTTTCTTCCCACCAGCGGGCCATTTGTGCCGATTTCACTCGCTAATTTTTAATACTGTGGTCTTCACAATGTCCCCAGACGTCCGGCTCCACGTCTCCTGGCTGAGCCGCGTGGTCCTTTTGTTCTCCTGCTTGTCACACGCCTTCTACATCCCAGGTATTGATCCATCCGCATTCGGCCTTGTCCTTGAGTTGAGCAGCCCTGACAGTGTACAGGCGTGTCAATACGGAGCTATCGAGACGAGGAGAACATACCGTTGCTTGTCAACAAGGTCTACTCGGATAAAAGTCAGCTCCAGTACGCATATTTCGACTTACCGTTCGTGTGCCCTCCCACCGGCAACAAACACCATGGCTCCTCCTTCGCCAGCGGTCACAGCGTTCCCCTCAATCTGGGCGAGGTCCTTCGGGGCGACAGGATCAAGACTTCGGATCTCGAGATCAACATGGGTCAGGACATAGATTGTCAATACCTGTGCGACCGGGTGGTGGGCCGGAAAGAGCTGGAATGGGCACAACAGCTGATTGAGGACGAATACGTTACCGAGTGGATTCTCGACAATCTTCCTGGAGCCACATCCTTTGTCACCGTTGATCGGACGCGGAAGTATTACGCCTCAGGGTTCAAAATGGGATACAAGGATTTTGATATCGCCACTGGTCGACAGATGTATTACGTCTACAATCATCATACGCTCGTGGTCCGATGGCGGCCGGCCCCTGGAAAAGCCGGGGATCACGGCGGCAAAGTCATTGTGGGATTCGAAGTGTACCCCAAAAGCATCCACGCGGGACATCGCAATGAAACAGGCTGTCCTCTCGATGTGTCGGGTGAACAGGAGGCATTGCCCCTCTATATTCCTCGCAACAGCACCAACTTGATGGAACAGTACGCGGATTCATCCTACATCCCAGAAAGCCCCATTGACATGGAAGACGGCGCCACCATGACGATCCCATACACGTATTCGGTCTACTTCTTCGAAGAAAGCGGAGTCGAGTGGTCGAATCGTTGGGATCTATATTTCAACGATCAGGCCGAGAGTTCCTTTACCCACTGGCTGGCCATTGTCAACTCCCTGATTATCTCGGGTATTCTGGGCGCAATCTGCATTGTGATCTGGGGCCGGACAATGCAGGGGGATGTCAAAGGCCGGGGCGACGGAATACTAGAAGAAGCCCGATTGAAAATCGGCAAGCGCGAGAAAAAGAAGTCGAGCAGCGGGCTGCTGGAGAAGATCTCGGACGCCGGTCCTGATGATGATCTGTCCTCGGACGAGGAACCATTGGAAGAAATCACCGGTTGGAAACTTCTCCATGGCGACGTCTTCCGGCCCCCGCCATATGGCGGGCTTCTTGCTCCCCTGATTGGATCTGGGATCCAGCTCGTCTTTGTGATTGTAGGACTGCTGGGTCTCAGCTGCGCAGGCATCCTGAACCCAAGCTGGCGCGGAGGGTTCTGGAGCGTGGGCGCCGGGCTCTTCGTGTTCGCGGGCGGATTTTCAGGGTATTTCTCTGCGCGGGTCTACAAGACGTTTGGTGGGCAGAACTGGCGCAAGAACACCATGATGGTAAGTTGTTTGCTAAGACAGGTGGTTCTCCCGTGCTGACAGAACGGAACAGACCGCACTCCTCTTCCCTGGGCTCTTGTTCACCCTCGTCTTCGTCCTCAACTTATTCTGTTGGGCACAAGCATCCTCGACCGCCCTACCATTCTCGACTCTCTTGGGATTGGCATCTTTGTGGTTGCTTATCCAACTCCCTCTCGTCCACCTAGGGTCATATTGGGGTTTCTACCGATCACCTGGCTGGGAACACCCGACAAAGACAAATGCAGTTCCTCGTCAGATCCCAACACAGGCGTGGTATATGAAACAGCAAGTCACACTCGCTCTGGGCGCCGGGCTGGTGGCTTTTGCTGTGCTGTTCATTGAACTGATATTTGTCTTCAAATCACTCTATCTGGACAAGTCATCCTACTACTATGTGTTCGGGTTTCTGAGCATCATCTCTGCTCTCCTGTCGATCACGATCGTCGAGACCGTCATCATCGCGACTTACATTCAACTTTGCGCCGAGAATTACCACTGGTGGTGGCAGTCATTCTTCGTGGGTGGAGCATCGGGCTTTTGGATCTTTGTATACTCGGTGTGGTACTATGCCACTCGACTACACATTGATGGCTTTGTGAGCAGTCTGTTATTTTTCAGCTACAGCGCCCTTGCTTGTGCTGTGTACTCCTTGGCGACCGGGACCATTGGGTTCCTCACCGCGTACATGTTTGTGCGAAGGATATACGGGGGTGTTAAGGTGGACTGAATGTCAGTCCACCTGATTCCTTTGTGACTTGTCTTTCCCCACATGGCTTTACCAGGGGAATTGATATCTTATGATAGACGGCAATACGGGGAACAGGAAGGTCTAGATTGTATAGCAATTATTTTGACCATATTCCACTAATACGAGACCATGATTTGAGACCTCCTTTTCCATGTTTGACCTCACCATCAGGGCAGGGTGTGCTCAAGGCATTGGCAAGGGCGTCGGGAAAACCCCTCCAGGACCGTAGTCAGTGTTATGGGTCATGGTGAAATCTGCTCCCTTCATGCAAGGCCATGCTGACGCGAGTACGAATCGAGCCGGAACGTGATGGGAACATGAGCACGTGGGTGGATATCACTTGAAGCTCAACAAGGAAACGCAGGCACCACAAGTGAGAATAGCTCGCACTGGCGGCAGGAAGAATTTTTTTGAGTTGACTTGGCCAAGTTGTCGTTCATTTTGACTTGAAAATGCACCAGGGAGGTGGATTCCACTGACAAAGAGAAACTGAGAAAAGAGCACGACGTCGAGCAAGAAAATCATCGCAGGGCGCAGAGGGTGGAGTTGAGGACCATGACCCGGGTCTCGGTACGCTGGGACAAGGCACCAGCGGCCAGGCACCCACTCGATTACTACAGACAGGGCCTAGCGACGCCTATAAGGGGCATGAAGGGGCTCGACGGGGCACGAAGGGGGCCACCCCAACCCACATGGAACTGTCCCCGGGGCACGGGTCGACAGGCGGGCAGCCCCCTGCAATTGGTGGTTGAGGACTAAGGTACGCGGGGCGGGGATCCATTGGTCAGTGCTTTGTGGTCCGCCCTTCGCATCACATCATTTGCATCGAGGTATACAAAACACAACTGCGCATGGCAATTGCGCTCGAATGACTCACTTTGACTGCTAGGGATATCCATTTCCCGCTCATCATACGCCTTTTGATGCGCACCCGCAATGTCGGTGAGGAGCTTACGAATCAGCCAATACGACTATCCCGTGTCAGCTGAGACGACTCTTGGGAAAGGATATACGGAGGGCCGTGACATGACATATAACCCCCCGAGGTCGGCCATGTCTGTCTAGACGTGCTTTGGTGTACCTGAACACATGCTTTTTCCGCTCTATCCTTATCTCTCCAATCACCCACCGCCTGCGGCCTTTCAGCTGATCACCCCCCGCATTCTGGAGAGCTCGTCCAAGGTCTTGGAAGCACGAATCTGGTAATCGCGTGGACGACAACCCCTCGTTCAAACGGAACGACGGCTTCACTAGAGCCGTAGTCCCAATCAGCAGCAGTCATCGGGTGTTATCACCGCCCAGCTCATCCTGCGAAACCTGATTCTCCTTCTCCTTTCTTCTTCACCATGAGCACGCCTCGACAGATAGTCTCCGGCGAAATGCCTTCGTTCCTCTCCTCCGCAGTCCCTTCCTACTCTGCTCGGTCACGGTCGTTGGCTCTGCCGTCCTCCTCGAGCTCGAGGCGAGGTTCAGCAATTGCTTCGGCGATCGGCCTGCGCAAGAAAAGCGAAATCGATATCGTGCTAAATGGCGAGGCCGACTTTGTCCACTCCTACTCCACATACGACGAGATCAAGGGTCGCGTGGACGTCAGGTTCGAGAAGGACACGTCTTTCGACGACCTCAACATCACGTTTGAGGGCAAGAGTTGCACATATGTCGAAAAGATCGCAACGACTGCCCCCACAACTGGTCGCACGACAGGGAGACACACATTCTTGAAAGTCCAGCAGCCGATACCCGATAGCCTCCTGCCTGAAAACGGCACCTTCGAGGCCGGCGTCACCTATTCCATCCCGTTCACCTTTGTGGTCCCCGACAGATTACTGCCCTTTATCTGCTCGCACAAAGCCGACAATGAAGAGATCAGGAAACAACATTTACAGCTACCTCCCAGTCTGGGTGACCCCAGCGTCTCCGGCGATGGCCGTACCCTCATGGACGACCTTGCACCGGATATGTCCAAGATTACCTACAGCATTCGTGCCAGAATCACAAAGTGGAACGCCGTCGGCAAGCTGTTAGAATTAGCCGACAAGTCAGAGCGTATCAGACTTGTGCCTGCGAGAGAAGAAGCGCCTCCGCTGAACATTGACGAGGCCGAGTCGGACCATGTCATGCGCAAGGAGAAGAGTGTCAAAAAGGGCCTCTTCAAGATCGGTAAGGTTGGCCGCCTGACGGCCGAGACCACCCAACCCAGAAGCCTGCGTCTTCCACATCCGCAGAAGCGGCAGATAGAGCCCATCTCTTCAATGGCGACCATCAATTTGCGCTTCGACCCTGCCTCTCCTGACGACGTCCCTCCGCAGCTGGACTCCATCGTCAGCAAACTGAAAGTCTATACATTCTTCGGCGCTGCTCCCTATAGACTCATCCCAGAGGCTCGCAAACATGACAACTGGTCTGTTCTGCACGGTATCTATCCAGAAACTGTCTCCTTATCATCGCGCTGTCTGTCGACTGTCTCTTGGGTCCGCCACGACCCTTCAGAACGTGGGAGCTTCTCTTCATCGGATCTCTCTAGACGACCATCGGGGTACTCAACGACGTCGACGACCTCGATACCTGAACCGTCGTGCGCCTATGAACTAGGCTCCCCTTTTTACACCGCTAGCCTACCGGTCCCGATCGCACTTCCAACTCCATCTAGCAGCGGTCGACCCAGAGTCTTTGTACCGACGTTCCATTCGTGCATCGTCTCCAGAACTTACTCTGTCGAGCTGAATATCTCATTTCGTACGCCAGGTGCCAATGTCTCAAGCAGCCATATGACCCTCAAGACGCCTATCCAAGTCTCCGCCGAAGCGGGAATTCCGCCGGCTCAAGTCCGTGAAACTGAAGCCGCCATCGCCGCGGAGATCGAACAGCAATTTGGGCTGTACGAAGCTCGCCAGCTCGAGGAATCCGGCTTGGGCCTGGAAAGCCCGATGTACGAAGAGCCTTCCCCAGCGGCGTTGATCCCTGGCACCAGACACTTGAGTCTTGCGGGCCATTCCGAAGTGGCGTCGTCGTCTTTCACCACACCAGTACTCCACTCGGGTGTCGACGCCGGTGCACCGCCCGAATACCGAGCCGGTTCTGGCTTCAACACGTTCAGCGCCAGGGACAGGCCAGGAGGACCTAGGACCCAAGCTGTGAGTCTCACTGCTTCCAAAGCATAGATTTTGTTATCTTTCCCCAGTCTCACCATTTCTTCTCTCGAAGATCGCCCCTATTTTGCCCTTCTTTGTGTGACGAAGAGGGGTAGAAGAGAGTGACCAGAAGCTGAGAGATATGTGGAGCTGCAGTCAGATGAAGAAGGGGATGAGACCGAACGAGAAGATGAGAAGCCAACGGCGAGACGAGTTCAACAACGGACGACAGAACCATGGAGTGATGATCCTTATGCGTGAGAGCAGCGGAGCTTGGCTTGGAACGCCTGAGGGCTCTATTTCAGGAAGCCTTGAACTTCGAATTCCTTCGCTTGTTCAGATGACTTACTTTGCAAGCCGTTGCAGGAATATACGTGGGTCTGGCAAAGACGGCCAGGCACGAGATACACAAGACCTCCCTTCCCGCTGGCGGGGCTAGTTATTCTCGCACTTTGAGCGACACTACTGAGTCATGGAGACGGACCATCTGTCATCGACGCAAAAGCACGGCCAGGGGGCGATCTTGATATCTTGCCGGGGTTTATGTTGTTTGAAATCCAGGTTGGATGTCGAGTTTTCCCTCCGGACCTCTGAAAGCATGGCGTTGGCGTTTTGGGGTTTGAATCTGATGGGAATCTGGCCGACGGTGTGCGATGTGGAAGAAGAATGAAACGGGCATGAATGAACGAGAAAGGAGTCAACTCTCTGAGGATGGGCTCTTTCTAGATGATGGGAAAAGAGGCAGAGGCCGAACGCGATCTAATGAATTTTGCGCAAGATACCCTCTGTTTGTCTGTGTTATATAGTCCCTTTTGGATAATGATTGTCATCCCTAGCATTGACCCTCTCTCTCTCTCTCTCTCTCTCTCGCACGTCCTTTGCTCTTTTTCTGGTGTCATATCTGAATGGCAGAAGCCATCTATAGTCAGCCATGAAGCGGAGCGTGTTAGGGATGCTTCTTGCTTGGTGCCGTCGAGAATGGTTTGGAGCTCTCTTCCCGATATAGCCATCGTATAAGCATAGCGGAGGAGCATCACATCGGCTCACGACACGCCACCAACGCTGGCCGGCCTGGCATGGCCGTGCCGGCGGAGTAGTTGTATTCGCCGAAAGCCCAGAATCATATTGACGACGCCCATGTGCCGCGTTGGATGAACTTCCAGCTCGGAACCGGAGTATCTACTGTAGCTCCGAAGCCTCTATTAAAAAAAAGGGGGGGGGGGGGAATTCTACATAGCAAAACCAGTCAACTCCTCCACTGAACGATACTGCTATTGTTATCCCTTTTCAAGAGTCTTGAGGGACTACGCGGGACTAAGTGGCAGTAGGAACGCGAGATGGTATAATTCTTAGAGCGTGAGACTCGAACGACCTACAGTCAAGAATCCTCCCCCTCCCCGCGCCAGGTGCCCTCGTCCGGATGCTCCCCACATGCCCCAGGGCTCGAGGCGGCTGTGGCCAGTTGCGAGGGCGATTCCACGACCTTAGCCACCTCGAGGCGGTAACAAATGAGACGTCCACGGTATCCGTTTTGGCTAATACTAACATACTTTAAGTCTACCTGGACGAAATCAACCTATATCTACCCGACTAGATCCGCGAGTTCGTGGGATAGGTTAGGTTCTCTACCCCTTCTTAGATATGTAGTAACCCCGTCTATAGTCTATGTGTCATAGATAGGACCTCTTGATGATAACGGGTGACGACTATGGCCTCGATTGCTTTCAACCTCTCTATAGTCGCCACCTGTTGCCAAGAAGAAGTCTTATCTATGATACATAGACCACAGACAGGGTTACTGCATATCTAAGAAGGGGTGGGAGAATTGAATTCTGGTCGACAGGAAGTAGAGTGCCGATTCTGCCGACATAAAGGGAGCAGTCCTCAGGGGGATATCGCAGCATCAGCCAGAACGGATATATGACCATCTCGGCCTGGAAATCGAGCCCCTCGCCGTCGTCATGTTCCCTCCGTTCTCTCATCCGCCTTTCCATTTCTTTCTCCCATTCTCCTTTTTCCCCTTTCCTTTTTTCCTTCGTCTTCTTTCCCTCGTTCTATCCTCCAGTCCCTCCTTTTTCTCTTCCTATTCTCCCCTTCCAAATACACGAGATCAGCATATCGTCGACGCTGATCTTCTTTTCGGATCCGCACATCCGATTTCCACGTCCCTTTTGGCCCTTTTTAGAAAGGCAATCCAATTCCGAGGCCGTAACATGGCTCTGAGAGTGGCATGGCTTCACGTCCCATGTGGGATTTTCGATAACCTCGAAGACGGACGTGAATCGCTGCAGTTGGTCCCGGAGCCTGCCGTTTTTCGCTGCCAGCCATTGTTCGAAATTCGGAGGGAAATTATCTTCTTGCAGCAGGTTTGCCTCCGGGCCCCACGGTGTGCCTGTGTCCTCCGGGTCCATTCTCTCATTCTCATTACTTCCCCTCTCCTTTTCTTTTCTTCTTTAGCTTCTTCTTCCATTTCTTCTTTAAGGCGATTCTCTTATAGAATACGCTTCTCTTCTTCCAGAGGCCCATGAAATATTTGACCCCGTGCTCGTCACAGCCACCGTGGAACGGCCCCAGGTTTCAAGTTCCCCTCTTTAATTAGGGCCGGTATCGACTTTTCCCAGTCTTCTTCCTGGGTTCCCTCCATGGGACTTTTCCCATGAACTTGTTTCTTCCGGCCGAAGACGCAAGACCCGCAGTCGAGTAGGTCGTCGATTCCGCTCGTAAGGCAGATCTACGGCGCCTACTAAGGAGAAATATATATCCCTCCTTTTTCTTTCTCCTCTTTCCTTGTAGTTTCCCCTCTGTTTTTCTGGCATCTCCTTTTTGAGGGGTATTTTCTTGTTTTTGTGTTGCTTTTTTCCTTTTTCCTTTTTATTAAGAAAACCGTCTTTTCCGCCATTTCTGACGATTTCTTGCTGGACTGTATCGAGCCCGGGGTTCTCTACCAAGACGTATGTGGTCCAGTAGTTTTGCGTCAAGCGGACAAATGGCGGCCGCCACCCGTGGAATGAGCCATCTCGTAAAGCTCATAGATGCTCCGCATTTTATGACCCAAAATATGCCCTGTGGTCCCTATGAAAGGCTTCAACAAGACCTAAACTCGCGCATTCAGCGGCCTCGTGCTTCGTCAAAGCCAGCCTCAATGCGCTCGACGGACCAAGACACAGTGAGAACCACTGCTCGGAGAGCTAGACAAATCCTCTTGCAGCATGGTTTAAAACACCAATTCTTCGGGGCATATGTTGAGGATGTTGGCATAAGCGGTCCACCTCCAGAAAATTTCCCCACATCTTCTCTTTTCTAGTAGACCTCTAGAATCTTTATACGACGGGATCGGTGCCGATGACCGCAAACATATGTCCAGTTGTGGTCCCCTCGATTGGGGTATTCGAGTGTCCAACAACAATAGGCCAGGTGGCAACTAGGGTTTGGGTTGGATCGATATTCGAAGGCGTTCCTCGGCGAGACATAACCTTTCTGTGCTCAGATACCAGTAGGTCTTCTGTGTCTTATCGTAGTTGGTCAAAGCTGGCTTGGTCGTTGGACATGTCTTGAGGCTAGAGTTCCTTAAAACTCGTTCCGTTCTTTTCGATTTGGGGTTTGTTCAACCGTGATCAGCCCAATGCTTCCGGCATTGTGGGATCAAATTCAAGCCCCATCGTCTGGTGGACCCCTCGAGTACCGCGGACATCACAGTCGCTGGTTGGGTACCGACGTCAACCACCCAAGCCTAGTAGAGGTGCATGGACTGTTACTCATCCAGGCGAGCTCAGTTGGTAGATTCAAGAGTTCGAGTATTAGGAGCCTTGGATGGGGAGAGATGCCTTCCCTTGCTCATACAGTCTATAATGTCGTTGTCCAGCTTAAGGTAGGGGGATCTCTCTGGTTGTGTAACTTGTTTCCCGCATTCGTCGAAGTGTTCTGGTTGTGCTCATCAACAATTGAGCCGAGGCAGCGTGCGTACGTTCCTAGACGGTGACAGTGTGGCACCTAGCGGTCTCGATATCAACGTCTTGGTAAAGCTGCGCCCCCATTTGTGTTTATGGAATTGTAAGCTCCTGGTGATAGATAATTCAATCAAGGCAGGGGTAAGAGGAATATGGCGTGGGTAACAACTCTCGGTTCTTGACCCAGAGCTGCGTATTTGTTGTGTAAATATGTTAGGGACGGGATTTGGTTTCACCTGATAAGGAATCAGGTTACTCACACCCTGCACCACGAGGAGGTACCCGTCCAACGCAGAGCAGAAAACGCATGAATCGAATCAATACCGACAAACATGACAATCTCGTTTGAAAGAAGGGACATATGCTAATTCCACTCCACTCCAGTCCGAATGAATGGATAGATGCCGCATTTCTCTTGTAAGGCGGGCGAGTGGCCATTGGCTCTTGGTCAAGAGAAAGCCCAAGTAACGCCGTGTCTAGTGTCAAGTCGCAACAGATGTTGTCCTCGATATGGACCAATCGTGCCCTTCAAACATCGCGGCTGGGTGGAAACGCATTCAAGCTTGTATCCGAGCTCGAGGGGCCACCTATGTAAGGCTTGCTGGGGCCGGGAAAGTTCAGATACTGTCCTGTCGTGGATGGTGGCGAGCGGGAAGTCTGATATCTTGGGTACCACGCAGGACCTTCCGAGAAACTGAGAGGGTGCTTGTCCTCCAAATTAGCTGAGCCTTGGTCACTGTTGGTTTCTTGATGCATTGCCCTGCAGGCCAGAGCTCGCAGACGCAGCCAGATGGGTTTTGGGATGGTCCGAGATTTGGGACCGATACATTTGCATTAGTTCTGGAGGCTTATCTACGAGCTGAGAGGTTGGACGAAGGTGCATGCTGTCAACATCCAAGACGCCTAACCCAGCCGCAATACCGGGCGGTGGTTTCAAATCGGTCAGGCTCTGATATAACCTGGTATCGAGGCTCGGCGAGAAGCCATCCGAAAGGATGTTCTGGCCGGGAAGATGGGGTGCGTCGTCGAATTGGACGCGGCAGGTCATGCTTTTGGACTGGGGCTGTCTCCTCGACTGGAGATTGCGAACATTGTAGGGATCTTGGAGCTTTGGATCGGGGATCTGGTGGTTCACTTTGACGGTGAAGGGATTTGCATGTTGGGCTTTCTCGAGAGTGGCACGGGACGAGAAAACGACATCCACCTCTAGCTGCTCAGGATTGCTAGAGACAGACGTGGGACGCGCCTTGAATGAGAGGACAGTGCCGAGGGACTGGAGCTTCTTTAGAACCGCGGTGGACTCACCCAGAGTCGTTGGTGCTGGGGAGATGACAAGCCGGGCGGTAAGCTGCTGGAGCGGAAGCCTTGTGATAGACATGAATCTGTTGCCTTTTCAGCCCGAGAATCGCGTGCTCGAGAGAAGAGAGGAGGGAGAGAGGGAGGAAAAGAGCGGTGGCGGTGGCAGTGGGCGGGGTAGACAGCTCGACAGCTCGACAGCTCGACAACTTGGAAACACGACAAAGGGGGGGGGAGCTTTGAGTCTTGAGGGCTGCACATGTGGACAGATTGGGCATGGCGCGGCACGCTAGCCGCAACGGCACCGGAAGAACCGCATCGTAGTTATTCCGGGTATTAATCCGAGAGTGCGCACATAACAAGTACTCCGTATACTTGGTAGAGACATGAACTTGATCCGACTGGCCGAACCCCGAAATGCCTGGGTCGGCTGAGCAAAGAGGCGCCCACTGGACCACTGCAACCAAAGTTCTGGCCCCCCAAAAATAGAGGCCACACCCAAAGACTTTTGAGCCCACTAGTCCTAGCATCGACGAGTGACCTACGAATACTACCTGACTGTGTAGGGCTTTATGAAGGAGAGAGAAAACTCTTCTTCATTGCAGCAACGTTTGCCACAAAGCCACCCGAAACAGTTGGTTGCCAGAAGTGGAAGACTCACCCTGCTTCTGGGGGCGGCCGGGGGTCCAGGCCAAGCAAGGCAAACTGCGGCCCCCACGCACCAGTGTGTCTCTGCGTGCAGGCCTTGTTGGGCGGCCCTCTGTTTCTTTTTTGCTGGGATTATTCGCTCAGCCCACTGCTGGCAAACCTCGCAGTGCCCCCCAGCGCCCCCCAGCGCCCCCCGGGGCCTCTCAAACAACGTGCCGGTGCGCCCGTGCATTGGGTGCCTGGCACCTGGGTCCCTCACGACGTACGGAGTCCCTACAGGAGTTAGAGCTGACGAGATCTACCGAGTGCTGTAACCAGCTGTCTCAATCATCATACTCCTGATCATCCAAACTCATCTCCTTACTTCCATCGTTGTATTCATTCGCTTTTTCCTCTCTCGCTCCATTGAATCTTCATCGTCCACTGTCCGAAATACTCGCCAGGTTCAAGTTGCATCCACCACACGAGTCTATACCAACCAGCTGCTACCGCCTTGGCTCGCCAGCTTCGCCCGCTCCAGACGCCCCTTGGACCAATCCTCGTCTGCCACTTCCCCCCCTCCTGAGTTTCAGCCGCACCCAGTCACCCCAACTGACAGAACTCTTGCGCTCTTTGATCCAAACCCGAACCCGAACCCTCGAGGCCCATCTCTTGACCCTCTCTGCCGCCTTCAAAGTCTTTTGCAGTCCCATACCTGTGTGTCACTGCCAGCCTTCTCGATCGACGCCGAAACGTCGCTGAGCCGGACCACGACTGAAAAGTTGTGGTAGCCCAGATCAATCAAAAAGGGATTCCACACCAGCTGCGCTGCAAGCCGTCAAAATTCGCGCTCACGAGTCTCGCGCTTCCCTCCTCGGAGGTCAGCCTGACAACTATCACCCTTTGCCCGGGGGGTATCACCATCGCGAGGGTTATGCGATGAACGACTTTGACAAGAGAAGATCAAGATCAATCATGTATCGGCCAAATTCAAAATGGACATGGGCCTTCTCCCTCATTGCCCTGATCCAGGCAATGATTATTCTCGGTTTTGAGAGGTACCGCGAGGGTCGTCTGCTCATGAACCGGGACCAATGCTAACGTATGCTTTCAGTTATGTCTTCGCCCATTTCCAGATTCACCTCGAACGGATCTCCGGCAACCAGACCTCATCTCGCACGATTCCCACTTTCTTGACCTTGTATATTTTCGGATTTCTATACCAACTAGTCCTCGTCTGGGACGCTCTGCGAATGAAAAATACCATCCAAGTCATTGGCCTGGTCATGTACAATGTCGGCCTGCTCATCTATGGCTCCGTCCAGATGGATCAGATCAGGGATGCGATTTTGCAGCTGGCCGAAGATGACTACATCCGCAAGAACGTTTGGTCAGATACCGAACCATTTCTGATCGCCATTCCCTGCATTTTGGCGGTCGGGACAGTCCTCTTGGCCGGCTGCGCCTGGAAACTGTACGACGAATTCGCCTGGACAATCTACAAACGTATCTCGGCCGATTTGAGGATGAAACGACGCTATCTCCAGTACCAGGTCTACATTGCTTTGCTGAAGTTCGACTTCTTCTTCTTCCTCGGATTTACTGTCCAATTCGTGGTCATTGTCACCCAGCGACAAATCGAGTTTGCCCTCACTATTGCAGCTATGCCTGTCACCATTTTTATTCTTCTAGCAGCGGCATGGTTCGTCCGGAAAGAGTCTCTGCTCGGCACGATTGTTGTTATTGTAAGTGTACACCTCCAATTCACAGGTTTGGCCACCTCCCTAACCTGCTACCTCACAGATACTTTACTTTGGCGGGCTCGCCTATTTCATTTTTAAGATGGTCCGCATGTACTCGCCTGGCTGGGAGATCCCTTATCTTCCAGCTCGAAAGGAACTGACCACCTTCGCTGTCTTGACAATCATCCTGATCCTTGTCACCATTGTGTACGCCTGCATTTGTGCACACAACTACAACAAGGGACTAAAACCCTATGTCAACAAACCACAGAACATCGAGGACGACGAGAAGCCCATGAGTGGCAGCGCTTATGCTCCATTCGCCACTGAGATGGAACCATCTGGCAGTGGAAAACTCCCCGCGCCAAGGCCTGTTGCCAACCGGATGGAAATTGATTAAATGAGATGCCAAAAGCAGTATCTGTTCTTTTGTTGAGGATACCATGTAGCGGGCGTTTTCAATGGATGGCTCGGGACTATCTTTCGACCATGTGCTCGAACTTTTTTTCCCTCTCTTTTTATCTCATGAGGAGTTGCAGCCCGGCATTGGCTGAATGAAGGATATACCTTGGAAACCAGGCACGAATCGGATATGGGTATGTGAATGTACTGTAAATGCGCCAGTGGGACAGGGGCAGGTGAAGGTGGGAGGCGGTTTTGTTGCGGTCTCTACAATGAGTACATGTACCGCCTTTGGTTGGCCATGTTGTATACGGAGTCCACCCAGGCGAATCCAGTACCCTGCTCCACCGCGCTGTATACCCAAATAACGTACCAGAATAACGTTTTCCTTTCGATTGGGGCAGGTCTTCTGGGGGCGGTGCTTGTTGTAGTCATTTCCTGGCGCGGAGAACGAGCCTCGATGTTTGGTATCTATAGTTTCTCCTCGATTACTACTTGCACATCAACACCTACTTCGTCCGGCGCTCCCATCTCTCCCCGGCCTTTTCCTAGGGTCGGGATTGCAACTCAGCCCCCGGCTCAGCCTTTGTAGTGGAGCGGAGAAGACACAAGCAGGGAGAATGAAGCCCGCTTACAGCACATCACAGCGCTCGGGAGAATTCTCTGATTGATCGACCGGATGAATGAAACGGGATCCGCCGCTGCAACAAGAAAAGACTGACTACCTTCCTATGGAATGTACCGACCAGCGCCGTAGGAAAGATGAGGTTCGTTCTGCCATTCATTGAACCCTCCAGCCTGAGCCTGAGCCTGAGCCTGAGCCTGAATCTGAGCCCGAGCCCGAGCCTCGCTACGTAGCACTCATCAGCCATGCCTGGCGCAGCAGAGGAGCTAGCACGCGTGTGTTGCCCGTCGTGCAGCGCTCCCAGGACGTTTCGTCATCTTCGACCATCAACCCACGCTCTCCCCTCTGTGTTCCCCTCTCGATTTCCCGAACTGCACTGCACGCGCACAGCACCGATCCCAAAGATAGCCGGAGGCAGCAAGCGTGGGGAGAAGACACCGATAAGGAGAAAAAGGGATAGAATGAGGGAAAAAAAAAACCGTCTCGTCTCTATCAGTCGGTCAGGCAGGACCCAAAACCAAACTCTCCCCGCCCCCTTTCTCTCTCGATCTACTCGGCCATGAAAATCTGCAGCATCTGCGGCAGATTGTGCCGCTTCTCCTCGATCATCTCGTCCGACACCTTCCAGAAGGCCGTCGGCCCCGCGGGCCCGTGCACGTCGTAGTCCTTGTCGAACCAGTTGCCCAAGATGCCACGGGCGCTGCGGAGGCCGCCGACCTGCACGCCCTCGGAGCGCCAGCGCTCTTCGCCGTGGAAGATGGAGAACGAGATCCAGCGGATCGCCCTGGTCGGGGTTTCGCGGACGGAGCCTGCGGCGTTGGTTGGTCAGGTAAGTCAGATTCTCGGTGACGGTGGGGAGAAGGTGGGCGTGGTTGAGGGAGAGAAAGGAGAGGGCTGGGTTTGCTTTGAGTGAGATGGAATGGGGAACTTTGAGGATTACCTCTTATCCTGGAATTCGCGTTAGGATCCCACGCCATGAAGGTGCTCCGGCTGGTGCCCTCAAAATACACCACCGGCAGCAAATCTCGCCCATCTTCCCCCTTCTCCTCTTGCTCCTCGATCCTCGTGACGTGCAACTGTAGTCGGATCAATCGAAATGCCTCTCTCGTCGTGATCGGGTCCCGTTCTTGGCTCATCGGAATGTCGACATTTCTCTCAAAGTTGAAGCGGTAGAGGTCGTTGTAGTCCAGGAAACAGACGATGCGCATCCACGTCCCCGTCACACCGTAGGGGTCTAATGCATCCAGGCTGGGGTTGGGGGCGGGCTTGATTTTGCCAGTGAGCGGGGACGTCACATAACTGTCGGGGGCGATGCCGGAGAAGAGGTTTTCCCAGGGTTTGAGGAGGTTGGACCTGGTCGACGAGATCGACCTGCTCCCTTCGCCAGTAGACCGTGGAGGAGAATTAGGGAGGCCCAGGAAGTCGGTGCCGCTCAACCCGCGCCGTTCCGTGTACATTCGGTGGTTGTAGCCAAGGACGACCATGATGGCCTGTACCTTCTCCCAGTCGATGCGTTGAGTACCGTCGTCGGTGAAGGGGCCCCACATGTTTGATTCGTTGTATCGGCGTAAATCGTAGACTCGCGATCGAGCCCAGGGGTGCACATCTCGGATGGGACGCGGACTACTTCGGAGCAGATGGCGTTCTTCTTCGCTTTGGTTGTCTTCGTCGATGTCCGGATCATCATAGTCGTCGTCGTCGTAGCTATCGTCAAATGGGCCACGAAGTCCAGCGACCGCGATGTGCGGGCACGACAGTCCGTCTGAGGCTGGCCAAGGGGAGTCTAGGTTCATGCCTGCCAGAACATGGAGTTGAGCAGAGATTTGGCGCAGCTCTTCTGTGGGTGCAGCGGGCCATTGATGGGGTCGGGCACGGGCGAAGAGGCTAGATCTGCATAGGATAGTGTTGATGTTGGCACCCTTGGTGTAGAGATTTGACAGGAAGTCCGTGATCTTGGTCGATGAGGCGGTGGCTTGGTGCGCCAGCTTTAGGGTCTGTGTAAGCACTTCTTCTAGTGACTGAGTCTGAAGTACATGGTTAGTGGGACGGGACGGCTTGGAGCAACCTAAGGTGCAGGTCATGCCTTTATCTCGTCATTATCTGATTCCAGGATCTTTTGCAGGTTCACTAGACGAGTCAGTCTCTCGCGCCAGGAGTTGGTATCGCTGTCTAGAGGAGGATCCTGATAGCACGTCCTCGTCAGCAGGCTGCCCCGTTGATATCAAATCATGGTGGAAGCAGCAGGCCTTGACTCTTACAAAGCGGGACAGATAGTGGAGTCGCCAGAGGAATTCATCGCTTCTGATGCAGTTGTTCAGGTGGTGACATGTTCTGGCCAGAGATGCAAGGTCTGTTGGTTCCACGTTCTGGAAGATATTGTGTAGGACTTCAGGGGCCAGATCAAGGAGCTGGCTGTAAGCCATAGCGAGGGATGCAGCGACACTGAGGACGAGATGGGGATAAGCTTGCGGGGAGGGGTCAACGTGGAGGTCGGCTTGCGATTCGGCTCTGCTCTATCTCTGTGCTTAGTTCTGCGAGGGCATTGACAAGGAGGTCACACTTGAATCATGATTCCGATAGACCAGATGCGATGAATCAGAGAAGGAATCGTTCAAGGTGAAGGTGAATTGATGGTGAGAAGAAGTCGGTAGAGTCGCTTGGTTGGAGGGACGAACTTGAGGCCGGTTTGTTGCCGGGCCTGTCGGAGATAAGGAATCGCCATTCTTCAAGGCTCTATTGTCCGCATGTTCTACTTGGACTTAGCATAACACATCTCCCTCACACCAACGTCCACCAGACTTATATCTCAAGCACATACTGCTGATACGATGGCACCGTCGTCCCCCGCATACTAGGCTCCAGCTCCAGCCACAGTGAATGGTATCTCGACCGGTCCGCCTGCCCCGTCCACAGAAACTCGCCCAGCGTCCATTGGTACCGATCATAGTCCAGCAACCCATGTCTGCGGCATGCCTTCCCCAGCATAAACACGAATGAGGCGTGAACTGCTGCCGGCGTACTGGTCGCCGCTCCCGTCGACAGAATCCAGATCAACATTGCTGGAGCGAAGTCTAACTCTCGCAGGTCCTCGTCCATGGTCAAGAGGGTATCGTATAGTTGCGTTGTCAAGACGTTGAAATGGCGGTACTTGAGCGGATTGCCTCGCAAGTGGTGATGGGTGAAGAGCAACGCTGCCAGAGCCACTGCCCGCCAGATGGTGGCATCCCAACGGTTGTTTCCCGGGGCAGTGTCTCCTTGGACAATGAGTCTCAATTTCCTTTCGATCCGATGGAACATATCACCACGGCGCATTCTTCCCTCTTCCCCGGTGGTGCGCAGGGGGCTGAGTTGCTCCGCATCACAAAGGTCCCGGATGTCATTCAGCAGATCGAGGACCTTGTGACGAGGAACACCAGCCGCCCTGAGCTCGGCTCGGCTCAAGCCAGGCAATGGCCTAGACAAGGTGCGCTGCTGAAAGCCTGCCCACGATTCATCCCACACTTCGATTGGCGGGAAGCGCAATTTCTCGTCAAAGACCTCCGAGTATATGAGATCGTTCCAACTAATCAAGCGCTGCAGATGTTGCTGCACGCCCGAACCGAGGGACGACATGCCGCCGCGCAACTCGACAATGGCATGCATGCCCGCCATGTGTTTGCTTGCCTCCGGATATGAATCCATCACGAGGGCAATGTTGGTTAGGGCCGCTACCGCCGCGATCGTTTCGTCACTGGCCGCCTGTTGTGAATCTGATAGACGGTCGTTGATTAACGAGATGGCCGCTAATTTATGCTGCAGTGTTTTCATTTCTTCCTGCGAATCCGGGATCGGTCGCCGATGACGGAAGTGCACTCCCCAGCTATACATTGTCGCATGAAACACCAGCTGATCGCTAATAGCGAATTCAGACCAGGTGCTCTGTCCGTTGATTGGACACCATGGGTATCTTTCATACTGGCGGAACAGGTACAGCCTTGCTTCATCCCCTTCGTCCAAGCGAACTGGTAATACGCCGAAAACATCGATATTTCGCGACCCAAGCCAAGTCACGGGCATGCCAGGTACAAATCCCGACTCCGCAGCTGCCACCCGGTGTGTGTTGTCAAGGGACTCTGTCTTGTCCTTTGGGAGCCCCGATTCGGCCTCGTGACTGGCCTCCTCCCGCGCCGGGGTGGTCATCTTCTTCTTACCTTTCCGATCTCGGTAGGGATATCTGAGTTCCAATTCACCAGATCGCATTCTGAACCTCATCTTCTGCCCGCCTGTTACAGCAGCCTTTTGTCTCTCCTTCCGCAGTCTGGGGCCTGCAAATGATATCACTGAGAAATTGTTTTGGTCCGATTCTTGTTGCTCTGCATGGCTTCGCTCCAGGTAGTTGCGCATAACATGTGCACGCAGTGTTCTGAGCTGCTTACGATCCTTCTGCGCCTTCTGCCCCGTAGACGTGACGAACAAGAAACCACCTTGTGAAGGGGCATTGTCGCTCTCTTGGGGGTGTTCACTTGCAGTCTCACCGACTGGAGTGGACACTTCGGGATCAGACCTCGAACTGGGCGAGAGTGCCATGCTGGATACCTTTGCAGATTTAATCAATCATGGTGTCTCTGATCACTCTGATAGTGCTAAAATGGTCGACTTCGGCGTGCTCAACGAGGATTACTTCTTCGGACTGCAGCAGCCGTGAGTACACATATACACATATACCTCACACCTTGGATTGAAGCCCCAATTCTGAATCAGCAGGGACATGGCAAAGATACTAACTCATCGGTCCATTCTTTTGTCGCATCGTGTTGCTGGAAACAAGAAGATTCTGCTTATGTAAAGCGGCGTCAAAGAACGATTACTCATCAAAGGATCTTGTGCCTCGTCGGGTCCCCCGAATGGAGCTGCTCGATCTCCTTCAGCCACTCCGGATAGGGTAGTAGTTCGATGCCGAGCATGACGGAAGCTTCTCTCAGTGTATCCCATGGGTCATGGCAGGCCAGTTCCATTGCGGAAGAGAAGTGAAGGATCACCGTTCATCTGGAGCCTCTATCAGTTGAAGATACGGATACTCGAGCATACCTGGTTAATGACTATGCCCGTCGATATACCCATCGGCGGCAGATTGTATCCCGAAATATGGCTAATGAGGTGACCGGATGAGAAACATGAAGGCAGCCGGTCCCATCTTTGGGAAGAAAACATGTCCTGGGTGGTTCACGCCCCTTTTTCAAGATGTCAAACACCATGTCCGATAAGAGACAAACCGGGGTCATGCGTTGCGCGTCCCATCGTGGCCATGCACAGACCAGTTCATCAGACAGCAAATAGGCTGAGTGGCACGAATTTATGCCGCGTTATGCATGCCGGAATGGGGACCTATACAATCTCGCGGTTGCACTTTTTCTGATACAACGAATGTCCAAGTCCGAATCCTTCTCGACAAGGGGGAACGAGTGGTGGTGCTCTCGCCATCCTGCCCGCATCACCATGTCTGGTGCTTATGTCATGCGCAAGGCTGTCCACTCATTCACGGCCATGTCGCAACGTGGGCAGCAAAGGAACCCAAACACTCCCCTTTCTCATGGAAGCCTGCGAGGGCCAATTTCCGGGCGACGCAAGGCGACCGACGAGACTTGTCGTCATCAGCATTGGAGTTCGGTGTTGTCGTTGTCGCCTCTATCAGTCCATGTCTGGCAAATAAGAATGTCATTGCTTTCTGACTCTGGATTTCTGCTTTGCTTTGGGCACATCAAACTGCTAAATCGTTGCAGCAATGCCGCCGGCGCCGGTCAATGACGCTCATGCCTGGCCCAGTCCTTCCCTGGGCGAAGGTGGAGTTGAGCTTGCCACTAACGATGGTGCCGCGCTCATTTCAAAGATTGGCCTCCCTTACAGACTTTCCGACCATCGCAAGAACTGGGCCATTTGGTTCGCCTGCTTCTGCTTCGACGGCTGCGTGCTCCCCATCATCTTGTTCTATGCTCTTTGGTATGGTTCTAGTTTGACGCATTGGACCAGTATGTGGCACTCCGACTTCTGCGAATCGGGATTGAGTCGTGGCTCAGAAATGGCGTTTTTAGCTGACTGCCCCTGCCAGTCTTTACACTCATTACTTCTCTGTCCTTTTGGACCTCATACCACAAATGGTACGTATGGCGAATGGGGGCTCTGTTTATCCATCCCCGGATTCTAACCTTGAGAAAGGTTCTCTCGCGGGTATCGGCTGTTGATCAAGCGCGATCCAAAGTACCGACCCATCAATGGCGGCCGCTGGTGGTTTGACTGCTCCTACTATGTCTTGTCTGTTGCGCTCTTGATCGTCATCGTTGAGCTCGTCGCGGCGACGGCGACAGAAGATGTCAAGGTCAAAGTCATCTCAATGGCTCCTCCGTCGGTCCTGTACACCGTTGGAGGCTACATGCTGCTGCAGAACACCGCCCACTGCCTACGCATTCGCGCACCTATCACGCTTTCGTCGATCAAACGAGGCTCCCTGACGCCTCCCCCGTTGTTTACCGTCATGGAGGACGTCTTCGCCGTGGACGGCTGCCACCTAGGCTTACCCGCCAGGCATGCAATGCTCACCACCTACAACGCCAGCGCGGTTTTCCGAAGAACTCTGATGTGGTGGTCATGGGGCTGGTGTCTTGCCTGTCTGGCGGTTGCAGTCGGCTTGTCTGTCGTAGTAGGACTTACTGAGGGAACAACCGGCTTCGGTATCAGTAAGTTTTTGCCTCGCAAGTTTTGTGCTCTCTTCCAAAGAGGAGTGCGACGGGAAAAGGGATCCGAATCTGACGTCTCACTTCAGCCTATGGTGTGTCTTTCCCATTCATCGTGTTCATGTCCGCGGTCACCGCTTTCTGGATGGAAGCAGAAGACGCTCGAGGTGCTTTCTCGGCACCTGTAGGCCAAGGGAAGGCCTTGCGGAATGTTTCTGTCCGGAATGACCGTCTCGGATGAGTCGCAGAGGATAGCACGATTTCAATGCAGAACACATGTGCCAGGACACAAACAATATACGACCTCCCTTGTCCCCGTTGAAGCTCTGACTTGGGCAGTGACGACTTCCCTCTGGCCTCAAGATTGTTTCTCATCGCCTCCGGGAGCCAGAATGGATGTGAACGATGCAGCTCTCGGTTCGGCTGAACTAGACGGCAAGAGGAAGTCTATGCTCTTTCCCTATCGACAATGAGCCGTCAACCAAAAGCAAAGAAGGGGCACCCTCGGCCATCGTCAAGGCCTTGAAAACGGGGACCACGCAATTCAGATCAAGCATCCTAAAAGCGGCATGCGCTTCGAACCGTATCTCTGAACCACCCATCGCTACCACCACTTTGGCACGAATTCTGACGAGAAGACTCTGTGAGCAATATTATATACGGAGTAGATACCTGAATCCGCACCCAGACGCATGAGATTAATGTCATCGTCTGGTGCATGCAAATGTGCCTCGCAACTATTCTTCGTTCGCTTCCTCTCGCTGTGTACCTTTTTGCCAGGCTCTCCTATTTTCGGTTAGTTCAAACAAAGGACCTTTGCTTTGATTGGTTCTCTTATGGACCTTTTCTCTGATTGGTCGCCTTATTGGCGAGACTTGATCCCTTGAAATCGCGACGTGCAGCACAATCAACGTCTTTCCTCCAATTTCAGTTTCTTGGAAAGTCATTTCGACCCGTGGGCAAACAAAATGACAACGATAGCCGCCGATCCGCAAATGGCCGGCATGAAGTCCAGGAAGAGACGTACAACTGAGGCTGACTGGGAAGAACACAAACCTAGTCTCTACATCGATGAGAAGAAATCAAGGAAAGAAGTCAGAGAAATCATGCGAGAGCAGGAGCACTTGGATATTACGTAGGGCTACCCTGAAGATCCATTCGATTTCTTTAGTGTTGCCAACTTCTTTCCGTATACTAACTATAATCCTGCAATCCAGGGAGAAGCAACTGAAGTATTGGTTCGAGACAAAATGGAAAATCGCCAAAAATAAGAGGCAGAAGTCAAGAGGAATGCTGCAGCAAACGAGTGAGGCTTCGACCACGGTTCGACATCTTCAAACGGAATTGTCAACAATGAGAACCGAAACCAATAAAGCAGTTTCACTTCCACAGCCTCAAGTTGGTATGGACATTGCAACAAACGGATTTGGAGTTGAAAATGCTCTTGATGCTTTTGGGGGCCGCTCGAGTCTCTCAGACATTTTCAACCCTCCTCTACCCGACCTCGAACCGCCGTTGATCACACCGGGACTAGAGCAACAGACAGAAGAGTCATACTCTGACATATTCGACTATAACATGACTGCATCGACTCCCTCTGTCGCTCTGCAAGAACTTTCATCGCACGGCAGAGTGCAATCACAGGAGCTCCTTCTTCCCAGGGAACTCCAGTAATCGGAGCCAAGCGGCCCTCCCAGCATGACAATGGACCGTTTTTCGGACATATTTGAGGCAACTGGTCTTAACACGACACAAATACCTCGGTTTAGCACAAATCCATCACGTTTTGAGGCCCCAATTTCGAAAGGTTATCTAGAGAAAGACTGTGAGGCAATGATACCGACCTTACAACGTCTCGAAAAGCGCGTTTTGGCAGGCCTCGATGGCAGAGATAGGAACTTGTTTATCAAATCCACTGGCTGCTCACGTTACAAGCTCCAAGGCGCTTTGATGAGCGATTGGCTCCAAGACGACTTGCGACACGTCATACATCAGACCTATCGGAGGGCCGCAAACAAAAGGAGCAAGCAAATATTCGAATTGACTGGCATGGCTGATATCACCCAAATGGACGACTGGCTACAGCTGTCACGGACAGCCTCTCTCAGGTGCCCTACCTTACCCTCACAAATCGAGAGGGTGAGGCACGGCAGGTGAATCAGGTGTGTGCACGAGGCTATGGTGCGAGGCTATCAGGTTAAGGCACAAGGCTCTCTTGATGCATTCGGCCTAGCGCTCATTCCACGTGACAGGAAAGGCGGGGAAGCTATAAGGATCACTCCCCTACCGAATCGTCTGGGGACTGTTTCTTTTGGTCTCCCAAGCGTTGAGTCGTTATCTATAGGAACTACAGATAGGCAATTGCATGCAGTTAACCAATCGATCAGTACCCGCTGTGTGACGTAGGTCCTGATAACAGCGTACGTCGAAAGAGATCCCAGCGATACCCGCTGGGAAGGTCAGTAGCGAGCTTGTGATCAACTCATGTCCAGCTTGCTCTGACGGAGGAATGTTTCGCGCAGAGCTTCGTGGTATTCTAAGTGAAAACGAAGAAGATAGAGTGATCGCAGACGAGGTCATTCTCTCATATATGCCGAGACCACAATGGCACAAGACTGGAATTTCAATCACTTTCAGACGAGCCTTCAACGCAGAGTCCCGCGTCTCTATTCCCCCAAGCATAAAGACTTTCAACATTATTCCGTTTGATGCTGAAATCATCCGTTTGATCGAGATGGACGACGTCAACGGTGTCAGGAGGCTCTTTGAGACCGGAAAAGCATCGCCCACAGATGTCACGCCCTTAGGTCACTCATTGCTCTCTGTGAGGTCTCCCAAGAAGAAATCCTTCCCAATCCCAATCCATAAGAACACCCTCGAGCTAAGACTTCATCTAGTACGCGATGTTTGGAGGCGCATCAGAGCTTTTTAATCTCTTGCTGACGGGAGGAGCCGACCTACAGCACTGTGACAAGTAAGATGGTCATCATCGTTTAGCTCTGCTCAAACCACTTACTTCTTCTGCAGCAGCAGAAACACATCCGATTTCCTCTCGACTATATGGGAACTTTTCTTGGATACCACCATTGCAGACAGGACCTTCCAGCTCCGCCGCCTCTCCAATGTAACAGCATGCATGCAATTAACGGATATTGCTCTGTCCAACGGATGCGAAATTGGTTCCAACGTACCATATAATGGTTCCATACCTAGCCCTTTGTTCGCAAGGGTTGAACATGATGAGGTGGGGATCGATTGGGATCACACGGAAGTTTTCAAATTCCTCATCCGCACAGGATTTGACAAGGAAGAACGGAATGACGTGGGACAAACGCCTTTACTATTCGTAGCTGCGGGCCTATCGGAGACCGTTACTCCGCGACTCGAGATTTTACTATCGTTGGGGGCAGATGCTACTGCGATTGACCGTTTTGGAAGGGGAGCACTCTATTCGGTCCTCATGGTGGACAGCTTACTATGCCGATGCGGTGAGGTGCACCACGGTCGGATCGCCAACAACAACCCCTCAGATACTGACCTTGACCTGTCTGGCGAATCCGATTTCTACTCGTTCCAAGGAACGGACGGTGACCTAGGGGAGAGGGAACAAAACAGATTCGCTGTCAATCGGGGGGATCCGAGTGAATCAGAAACTGGAGAGTCTGACGAAGGCAGCATGATGAGTCCGTCACAACAACACTGGCATGACTGCGACGGTGAAGAGAAGGATACGCACTCCCTTGAAGAATGGTATGATTCAGCGGAAGAAGGCTGTGACACCGACAGGCTTGACGCACTCGGTTATTCTCCGTGTCTGGTGCCCTTTGGAACTCCAAGACGCAAGGTCTATCCGAAATTGCTCCTGCTGTTGAAGTCGGGCTGTGACCCGAACCTGCAAGACGCAGACGGCCGCACTCCCAGCGACTACGTCTGGAGGACGCACATGTGGGCCGACTGGGAACGGGCGCTCATGGACTCTGGGTGGATCTACGACGCCAACTCCAAGCGGTGTGTCCGGCACATTGAACCGGAAGATGGATAGGGTCGACGGAAGAGAAGAGCCAGAGTGACTGTACACATGTTTTGGCGGCGCAAGTGGTATGGACGGCGTTGCTTTCTCTATCGTCTGCTTGACTGGGATAATATTACTCCGTTCCGGCGTACCTTGTACGATATGGTCTCTTTATACTATACTTAATTCAGGATAGACTCTATTAGGACTTCTACGACAAGTACGTGTAATATTCCTAAGGACTGGGGTCTAGTTCACGTACCGAGTACTTCAATCGCTTCTTAAATGCTCGTTAATTATAGCCCCTGCTAACTTAAAGCAGTAGTGGTCTAAACCAGATTAGGATAAGCACGGGAATCGATTCCTACCTACATAGGTATCAACGCTGGGTCTGGATAAGGAATACCTAGCTAGGTATATTATTGTCTGCTGCTCACCCTTTTCCTCTTTTTCCGTTTGAGGAAATGTCGCACAGCACCCACTCGATCGCCGTCGTCGAGTCTCTGTGCTCACTCACACAGGAGCCTTGTCAACCTGGGTGGGCACAGCCACGCAGGAAAGATGGTGGACACCGGGAGACTACAGCGTTCAAAACCACGTTATCACTTGTAATGTACTACAGGATACCTACACAGTAACGCCCCATTCCTTTCTTTATAAAAGCCCGTTGCTGAGCAGTTTTGAACAACGTGGAAAAGACTACCTATGTAGGTACACCTCGCACGGAGTAATTACATCTTGTAGGGAACCAAACCCGTCCTGGTGATATCTATCGATCGATAGCCTCGTACCGTTGCACAAGGTACCTCGCCGTCGTCCCAGCTCGTGACTCCAGATTTGTCCGGTCCCTTTTGCTCCCGCATGACTTTATCCTCGCCCGCCCGCCCACATGGTACCGTCTCGCCGTATCTATCTTCACCCCCAAGAACGCCCGGCGTGGAAGAACTTGGGTACATCGACACCGAATCAGTTGACCACAACAAAAGAAAAATCTCGTCCTTGAACTCCACGCTGAAAAATCAAAACCCGCAAATCCACAATGGCTCGTAAAATCTAATCCGGTCTTCGCTGAAGTCAGTCACTAATGCCTCGACCTCGGTCTCATTCGGTGGCACCAACGCCGTATCTATACGTGCCACAGAGACCAAAGACCCAGCCCGCTTCCCTCGTGCCCGGAAATTGCATCATGTACACTCGTTCCTTGCCCAGAGTCACGCCGCCTGTGTCGGCAATAACCTCGTCCTCGCTCCAGGTCTTGACCGCAATGCCTGTCTGCATCACGCGCTCGAAGCAGCTTTCACCCAGCACACTGTCCAACAGCACAACGTCGTGATTCTTGTTTTGAGTAATAAGAATGCGCTTCTCGCGACCATTGCCATGGACGCGATGTGGAGTGTGGCTAGAGCTTGGGAGGCGAGGCCCACGGTTTTGTCCTAGTTGGCCTCCTGCTGCAAGGTTCGAGGGAGATCGAGAAGGGCCGGCTGTTGGTGGTGGAGAGGCGCCTGGAGTCGCCAATGGCCGATTTGGCGTTGATTTGCCACTTTCTGCGGCGGTTGATGGTGCTGGGAGGACCGTAAGACGCGCAGCTCCCAAGTTTTCCCAATGCTGCCCCTTCCTGACGTACAATCGAATCTTCATATTGTTGACCATGCCTCCTCCTTCTGCTGCAGCCGCACTTGTCGATGGGACGTTTGGTCCATCTTTTCCTGGTACGAAGCCGAGCTGACTGGGCGGGGGTGTGCCTGAGCCCGACCCTGTCCCGGTCCCACTGCTGGAGGAATAAAGAGACTCCCCCGTGCCGCCGCCGCCACCACCATTTCTGCGTCTCACGGAAGATCGATTGAGATTGAAGGCGGTACTAACGCCAAGTCTCTTGAGTGCGGAGAAAGCGCTTGTCACAGTTCCCGAGCTCTCCACTGACAGGTCGATTGAGGCGGGTGTTGGAGCTGATGAAGCCCGGTAACTCGATTTCTTCTGACTCCCGAAGCTGAACCATGAACTCGCCCTCGAGCGACTCTGTTGAGCTTGGCCAACATTGAAAGTCACTGACGGTTGGCGACGAGGCCGTGCATTTTGCAGCTGGATATATGTAGGGTTGTTACACCGAGCCCAGTTGATCATTCCATACAGTGCTTCACACTCTTCTGGATTCCGCGAACGGAACATAACATTATTGGTCGTTCTGATCTTCGAGTTGGCTGTCGGAGGAGACCGGATCGAAATGTCCAGCGCAGTTCCCCTGCGTAGCGGAACAATTGGTGTCAACTCAAAAGCTACCAGAGGCTGCTGGGAGACGGAGTTCTTTCCCAGGCCATGACTGTCAAGTGAGCGATTGCCCAAGGGATTTTGAGCGTCGGAATGAGCCGCGGACATCTCAAAGGCTTCGATCAAACCGGGCGAGATTACGATGGAGCACTCGTCAGGATAAATCTGCTCCCACATGCCTCTGTCGGACCACGAGCATATCAACGCGATTGTCTTTGCCTGCTTGCCTGCTGGAATCGTGGTCGATGAAGGAACCTTGCGGTAAGGACCTTGAGAAGCAGAGTCCGAGGGAGCCAGCGTGCGGGTACCCGTGGATTTCATTGAAGGCGGGGGAACCGATTGTTTCAATGTTCGTCCTTCACCCGCCCTGATGGCCACGAGAGGTGTTGGTTTATCCCCATGCTCTGACAAGAAGTCTTCCGAAGTGTCAGAAGACGAACTGCTGTCACTGTCTGAATCATATCCGGAAGTGTCAGAGCTTGTGGATGGTTCATATTCATGCTTCAGAGGCGAGGAAGTCCGCCGCCTCACCGTCTTGTCCGCGGGACTCGGACTAGGTTTCAGCACAGGACTGGGCCTATTGCTTGATATTGGCTGCAGAATGCCAGAACCATGCGGTGGGGAGGTCGGCGGGGACGAAATCCCAAGACTGGGTACAAACGGGCGATCTTCACGAGTTCTGTGTGCTGGCGGAATGGGGATATCCTCAGTGAATAACTGACTTCTGGGCGAACTCTTGTGCTCTCGCTTTGGCCGCTGTTGCTGCTGATAAGGTTCAGGTGTTGATAATTGTGACCCTGGAGATTGTCTTGCTGGCAGGGATGATAACCGACTTCCTTGGGCTTGTGGGGTTCGAAGCTTGTTGACAGTCGGCAGCTCTTTCGATGGGGTGGAGGACATTGCTCGATGGTATTCTGGTCTTTGGGGGGATGTTTCCGGGGAAGGTCTGGACAAGTTTGACTCTCTGCTGGCCGTTGGCGGCGAAAGCTGTGAGTCCCATAACGCAGGCTGCGTCGTACTTGTGTCCGATTTCGGGTGTGATATCGAAGAACGATTGTAGTCACTGCTAGAATTGACAGGTCCACTGGGCTTTGGAAAGCCTGCATTGTGGTTGTTCTCAACATGATTTTTCATTCCATCGGAAGATTTGTGATATAGAGGCTGAGAAGATCGCCACGCCTCAGAAATCTTGTTGTGAGATCCATGGCTAGGGTTAGTTGATGCAGTTTTGGTTGATGATGAGGTGAGTATGGTTGCGGAATCCCGTATGGAACGATCTGAAATTGTCGATCGATCAGAAGACAAGACTGATGGGACCGAGACTGGGCGCCTTGATGGAATTTTCGACGCTGGCGGATGCTGGGGAAGAGGTTTTGATGCAAGTCCACCTCCTAGATTCAACCGCGGTGACGGTCTGTCTACCAGTGGCTTGTTAAAGTCTGGACGCCGACTCAACCCTCCACGGGCCCCAAGAACCGAGGGTTCGCCAATAGGTACATCTAGATGTTCGGTTGCAAGGGTTTTGTTGTCTGGCTGACTGGTAGTATTCGAGGCTGAAGACTCGGATTCGGCTGCTGGTGTGATGGCCAAAGGTGAAGGTCGCTTCACAAAACTGGGTGTGCGATTCAGCCTCGCGGGAAGAGGGTTCGACCCAAGCATATCCATCCATTCCGCCACGGCTTCTTTATCATCCGTCTTCAAGGCCAATAATTCGTGCCATTCCTGTCCAATACCTGCCCGACCCCGAACCATGATGACGAGATCGAACCCATCCTCACCGCGCCTGGCAGATATCGAGTTCAGCTCAATGGGAGCAAAGAGCAGCCACTTCCCTGTATCATCGATTTCACAGACCAGGACGTCTCCACCAGCTGGCTCACCGCGAGCGTTATCTCGAAAGACCAGTTCGATGCTGCAGTCCATTCTTTGTCCGCTTGAGTGATAGATGGTGAGGTTGAAGACGTCCCTTGCCTTCACGCGGCGGGATTTGTCGACAGTGATGTGCGCTGAAGCTGCCATTGTCCTGATATCTCGGGCTCTTGTTGCATCGATGTTGGCAGCTGCCTCATCTTCCAATCTGGCTTGTTCTTCTTGGTTCCGCCTCTTTGCAAGTGCTGTCAGGTCGGCATAAGTATTGGCCATCTGTGCGGCAAGGGGTCCGTCATATTCATCCTTGATTCGATTAAATGTCTTGCTCAAAGCCTTAACTCTCACGAGTGGTCTTTTCAAGAGATATGCAACGTCGACTTTCTTGCCTGCCGCGTCGACGAGGTCTCCGGCCTCGTCCCTGGCCATGCCTTGCTCCTGAGCTGATGAGCTTTCCAGGGGTGCAAGGTTGACTACCACGTCTTGAAAGCCAAGCCTCCAGGCTTGTAAATAGTCTCTATATGCTTTCTCCGAAGTTTGGCCCCAGTTGAGAAGGCTGTCCAGGTTTTGGGAAGGAATTCGATTGTGCAGGGCCTTCAACCTCTCCAGGGCAATTCCCATATCAATGATGGGCCTGGTGATGCTCGCCCCATCCTCGAGGGATGCTGATGTGAACAATCCCGCCGCGGCCGCGGCATCTGTTTTGGACAGAAGGCATTGTAGCAAAACTGGTATGACACCATCGACCAAGGTTCGTAACTCCCGTCCATACCTTTCTTCGTCAGCCACCACCGCAGCGAGTATGTCTTGTGCTGAACTTGGCTGTTGTTTTGCTTGTGTAGTTCTCGCATTGCGTCTTGATCGGCGGGCGCGGCTGCCCCTCGGCAAAGACAAAACTGACATCAAATCTTCGTGAGTGGTTAGCTTGCGTTTGAGGCCACAGACCTCTCCGGGAGCCTTTCCCTCCGCACCCGGCTCTAGATCTGTTTCTTTGAAAGTCTCCACAGACTGGATTGTCGAAAGTTGATGCGGACCTGTGGGGGGACAGGGCCGTTGAGGTAGGCTGGGAGCTCTACCAGCCGTATTCCCAGCTGGACAACCTTCTGCCAGCGACATTGTGGGCTCTGAGGAGCTTCCATCCGGCACCATATCCCTCTTGACCGGGCTTCGCTGACGGCGAACTTTTGCACCTCTCCTTCGCAGGTTGGACGGTGACCCATCAGTTCCATCGTGTGTCTCATCTGCGGCATTGCTAAGTTTTGAAGAGGACTTCTGGTTGGCATTTGGTGAAGGAACCGAGCTACCAGGCCTCGGTGGATCGCGCAGACTGGTTTCGGTCTGTTGTGGCGAAATGGAATTCCATATCTGATTGGGATCAGGCGCGATAGACTTCTCGATGGAGGAACGCTTCCGGTGCGTACGTTTCCTCAACGGCTGAGGCACCTCGACCGGTGGCGGATCATCCAAGCCGTCTGCGTCGACGAAGGGATCGGGCTGCTCGTCAAGCCATGCTTCAATACTGGGTAGTCTGTTGCCGGCGGTAGATAGAGTCTCGGCCTTGATAAACATGCCTCTGGTCTTGCCTATTAGTCCACCTTTCCTGGATTTTGGCGGGCTCCCATCCAAGGAAGCATCCCCAGTCCTTCCCAGTAACTCAGCGTATTTACTGGGTTTCCAATCCACTGGGACACCCTCCTCGGGTCCCATTGGTTCATGTGCATCTCTCCCGAAATCTCCAGACACGATAGATTCCGTAGTCAAATGTCGAGCCAGCTCTTCGTCTGCTCGGCTTTCCATGTCATAAGCAGGCGGCAACTCCCCCTCTTGCGCTTGGTCATCAACTGGAATTGGTGCCACTCTAATGCCGTCGTCGTGCGGCACAGTTTGTTCCGTTCCCTGGCCGGTGCCCGGACGTTGCTGTATTTTGGAGCGGCGTCTATCTTTGCCCTTTTCTTGGTTCGAGGTGTACGAGAGATCATACAATCGTGATTCCGGCCGTCGGCTGGCTCCAGACTTTGCTTCCTTGTTGTCTTTGGCTTGCCTCTGGGTCTTCCAGTGACCATCGCTGATAATGCGTCTTCGCGGAGCGCTGGAGCTCCTTCCCCTCTCTGGATCCTCCTCATCTTTGGCTTTGGTTCTTCCGCCGACGCGACCTCTTGACTCGTTTCCATATCCCGACTCTGGCCTCGATACAGTGGAGGGGCATTCGGAGATGGGAATCGATCGGACGCTCACTGCATCCGGCGGCGGGGCATTTGCTGCACCTTGAGCCTGCCATTGTCGAATGCGGTCTTGAACGGAAGGTGATTCGTAGAGCCCACTGGGCCGAGGTGAGTCTACATTTTGCGGTTTGGAAGAAGATCGAGTGTTAGAGCGGTGGTTCTTGGATGTTCGGCGGGTAGAGGTTGGGGTCGAGTCTGCTCGCATTGACGAATATGCGTCGTGGTGGTGTGTTGTGGTCGCGTTCTATTCCATCAATGTGTGATTATCGCTCAATCCATAGAGAGTTGTTTTCGTCAGCTGTGAAGACCCTTCTATGCGCATATTGATGTGTCGGTGTGGTGTTGTTGGTGGTCATGGATGTTCAAGGTACTTGTGGCACAGGCACCTTCTTTTGGGCAGAGAGAACTGCAGATGCCAGCGGTAAGGAAGTCCGAACTATCGCTGCATTTCACGCATGGCGCAGTTCGACCAAATGGCGGTAGCGCAGGTCAATATGCAGGTTGCGTCAAAGGTCCCAGCTTGCCGGGCCGGATCAGTCGCGGCGGTTTCCAGGGCAACCACTGAGATCGATAACCGAACACGACCCGAATATACAAATAGAAGCAATTAGTCGATCACATACTCGAAACAGAAGGATTAATCATTATCTATTGTGCAGATCGCCCGGCACTGTAAGCTACCGCGCAGCTCCTCTTGAGTTATACCTCGCTTACGATCAAGGCCATTGCAGTCCAGACCAGTACTTGCGAATGCAACCAATTCTTGGAGCCAGATGCAGGTCTGTGAGAGACCGACGAGCCTTTCACTGCGGCCCGTTCGACGACGATTATTAGACACCACCGTTTTTTGGTCGCACCCATCATGCATGTTTGATGTGGCCGTTGGCTTTCGGTCTGGCCACACTGCCGTTTCCTTGCAGCGAGTGCGACATCCGGTCAAGCGCCTTGAAAGCTTTGGCTGTGATTCTCAGGCTGCTAGCGAGTAGAACTGTGGTTATACGAGTAAGCTAGGAACTGTCATTTCGAGGCAAGGGAGGACTTACTTCCTGGAATGACAATCCAGAAGATATTCATGAGGAAATAGTAGAACCAGAAATAATATGGCTCAGGTCGGCAATAGGTCAGGTTTCTGTGGTAATGATCGAACATCGAGGTTGCGTAGTAGAGGATATCGCCATAGATCTGTCCGAGTGAAACAACTGCCTGGAGTGGATAACGCAGAGGGTGGGAGACAATGATGAAATACACCATCAAGAAGGAAAGGGGGCCCCAGAAGACCTAAATCGTGTCAATATAGTCCTCCGGCTTGCTCTTTTTGGGGAGATAGGTCCATACTGCCGTGATGGTCTCCATGCACAAGACAAAGGGATCCGAGGTCAGATATCGCGAATCTGATAATGAGTATTCCTTCCACAGTTGACCAAAAATATCTTGGAGACCGCCCATGCGAGTGTGATTGTAGGCAAAGTAGCCTTCGAAGAACAAGTGAATGAAGCCGCCTTTTCAATGTCAGTGTCCGCCTGGCGCAGTTTCATGGCTCTTCTCATACACAAGCAAAACCACAGCGCAATGGCCTTATCCCTGACTCTGAGACGTGGTGCAAGACTCGACATAAGAAACCATGTGAGAGAGAGGATGATGGTACAGCCAGTCGCAAAGGTGGCCAGTAACTGCGGCACGGTCATTTCGTTGGCGGCGAAGTTGACAATGTCAATCTCTGTGGGATAATAGGGATGGATCGGTTTGGTCACGAGGATCGTAGGCTCTGGAGGAGGTGCAGGCGGAGGAGAGGCCATCAGATTCCTGAAGAAATCCATCCTGGTGGTTGACGATTGCGAGGGAAGAGAGAAAGCCTCAGGTGGAGGACAGGGTTGAAAAGAGAAGCTCTCTGGGAAACAAGAAGGGTGATGAACTGAAGATCAACCAGACTCGACAATGCCCAGGCGCCAGACTCCCCGACCACAACAAAGAGCGGAAGATGTATGTATGATGAGTTCTTCGGTTTGGGAAACCAGATTGATGGTGTTGACGGCGGTCAATGGAATTTTCGTTCGCGACGGCACTGGCATTTCACCTCACCGGCAAAGGACACTAGTTCAGGCAGCATCAGTGCTGCGGCGGACTATTCCGCTGTTGGGAGGTCTCTAGGCACCACCTAATTACTCCAGGCAGCCTCCCTAACGAGCTGGTGCCCCCCTAACATACAGGTAGCCGTGCTCCGGGCTCTGGGCACTACTGCTGGGCCAGTAGCCACCCCATGGTGCTCCCCCAGGACTACTGCTCGTTAGCTAAGTCCAAGTGCCCGCTAGCCCTCCACACCTTTTCCAACTCAAATTGGAAGTCTCTCGAACATCAACTGCAATTTCATCGTCTTTTCCCACCTGTTCTCGACGTCACATAGTTTGCAAGTTGCAGTTCGCAGTTCCCGCCATCTCTATGATCATCCGTCATTCCTACTACTTCTGAAAGGCTCGGCGGGTCACATTATTCAGGTCCAGATGGATGACTGACATAGGTGGCTCGAGATCGTCCCAGATTTGTCCTTCTCTTTCGCAGGGCGCAGTCTCGCAAGATCCATCCCTCTCCCAATTTGCCATCCAGACGGCCATGGCCTTTTCCCTCCTCAACGTTTCCCGCAACTCAGCCGTCAACCCCATGCATGGCGTTCGCCTCCTCGCTCTCACGGGTGGCTGCTCGGGCCTTGGAGATGCCAATCACGATCGCCATCTCCCACATGTTCCTGGAAAAGTGGATTGTTACTTGGGGGTTTTTCTCGTGCTGCGGGGCCGCCCGACGATGGCAAGCGAATCGCAACCCCCTTGGCGTCATTCGAGATGCTCAACATCACTGGCACATGGAGCAATGACGAATTTTTCACCATCTCGTAAGGCCCATTGATTCGCCTCGGAAAAGGATCCCAGTTCAATGCAGGCAATGAAGACTTCTTGTCTTGAGTGACTTTTTGCCCATGTCCGTCCGAGTCCCGCGACCGAGACCCGTTATCTGATCCTGCTATAAATACCTACTCGACGATCGCCGTGAGTTGGTGGAAGCGATCAGAGGAATCTTCTTTCTCGATTGCCTGGCTGCTATTGTCCAGCTGAAATCCTATCCTTGCTGACCGAAAGGGGCTATTTTTCCTAGGTTCACCGAACCTTGACATTCTCTTTACCTGGAGTCGGCCGACTCCGTCAAATTCATCCTCTCGGTTGACTTGTAGCATTGTCGTCGAGAGGGCATTGCCATCATGGCCAAACCGATATTCTGTGCCACGCACCCACGTGCATGTAGTACAGCATTTGAACGTGTTCGCTCCATACTGCCTGCTTTGGGTCTTTGATGAGAATGCTGACCATGTTGCAAGGTGTTCATGACCAGGAAAGACTTGACCTGTGTCCATGAACCATTTGGCGACGCATTCTATTATGGGTGAGTCCGTCCAGGCAGGACGAAGGAGCAGTTATATCTAATGCCCTCTTCAGTCCGGAGAGGATGAGCGTTCGCTATGAAAACGATGAAGATGCGAGGAAAGCATCGGGATACAGCGACTCAACCTACAGAACCATCTTTGATCACCTCGAACGCGAAGGAGCCAAGGTGTGATGTTCCCCCAATGATTGTCCTTGTCATGCGGGTCTTCACACCGAATCCGACATCCGATGCTTACCTCTGAAACAGGGCAAACGTGTCTTTATCAAGGACATTCTCCATTATCTGGTTCCTCCCGACCAGCAGCCTCCGAAACTGGCTCCGTCGTTGCAGTCAGTCAAGCGAGGCATCGGAACCGAGAAGATGAGCAACGGGGCCAACGGCGTGAACGGCGTGAACGGGACTCATCATGTCAATGGCACCAACGGTGTCAATGGTGTCAACGGCGTTAACGGAACTCATCACGTCAACGGTACCAATGGTGCTAATGGTGTCAACGGTGTGAACGGTTTCAGCAAGAAAGCACCGTTCCCATTCCCCACGGAAGGCGAGCCAGGGAATCCGACAATTGTCCCCAAAGCCTTGCTTGACAAGTTTCATTTCACGTTCCTCATCCGAGACCCTCACTCCAGCATCCCGTCCTATTATCGCTGCACCATCCCACCATTGGAGGATATGACGGGATTCCACGAATTTTATCCGAATGAGGCTGGGTACGACGAGCTTCGACGCTTTTTCGACTATGCCCGGGAAGCTGGGTTGGTGCGAGACAGGAAGGATGGACTAAAGAATGGGACAGAGAATGGAGTTGTTCTAAATGGCGAGGCCAAAATGCCGGAAGTGTGTGTGGTCGATGCTGACGACTTGCTGGACGATCCCGAGGGTATTCTCCGAGCTTACTGTCAGAGCGTTGGGCTTGATTTTCACCCTGACATGTTGAACTGGGACAATGAAGAGGATCAGAAGCGGGCGAAGACTGCGTTCGAGAAATGGAAAGGGTTCCATGAGGATGCAATCGATTCGACAGACCTCAAGCCGAGGACTCACGTGGGTGATAACGCTTCCCTGTTTACGCTGTGCCGGAACTGACTGTGGGCAGAAGAAAGCACCAAAGACCGAAGAACAATGGGATGCGGAATGGAAGGAGAAATATGGAGAGAAGGCTGCCAAAGTGATTCGGAAGACCGTCGACCAAAACATGGCCGACTACTTGTACCTGAAGCAGTTTGCCTTGAAGCCATGAGTCGAGACGTCGTTGGATACCACGTATCTGACCGGCGCTGGTGCTGCTGCTCTAACGACCCCCAGAATGGACTATTCTTTCCTATGTATTAACGACTAGCAATTTGACAGACTGAACAATTCAATTACTCGTGACGAGAAATGTATCTAGTTCCGTCCAGTCGCTTGAGACTCTAGCTGAAGCGAAATCTTTGTCAGGCGGCGGACACGACGTCAGTGGTTGTCCCCCGGATGCACTAGCAACTGACAAACCATTTATCGGCTCAACATTTACCGATTGGGACATGGCGAGGAAATCACTCTGATGGAGGTATTGAAAGAGGTAGTGGTCAGTCAATAGGCAGCTAGCGGGCTCGGTTAACAAGGGAAAGTATCGAGAGTGGTTTTGGGTATACAATGGAATCAGCCCAGTACAGGACGATAGAAGACCCATACAGTACAGGTGATTTCTCGTTACCCTTTATTGCAATCTCACTTTCCCCTCGTGTATACCTGTCACTCTGTGGACCATGCTCTTTGACAATCTTGTAGTTCCTCTGCACGTGCAAGTAGAACCTTTTGTCTCAACCATTCATCCTCCTCCTCAAACAGATCCTGGACGCATCTGCGCTGTTGGCTCATAGAGATACCTTTCTTAGCTGTTCGACTCGCTTAGATGAGACACTCAAAGTCAATTCGGTGGTCTGATGAAGGGCGGATCGGGAGGGAACATGAGGTGACAATGGCGAGAGGCTGCTGGAAGACACCGGGAGGTACTGGTGATGGCTCGGTTGGTCCAGTCGGCGCAGGTTGGTGCAGGAACCTCCCCGCAGGCGCCAAGCCCTGCCAGGGTCTTCTGGAAGATGCCAGCCTATGTCATAGCACCAGCAGCCCTCGCTCCACTTTGGGCACGCTTCCCGAGTACAAGAATCACTTTATTATCATGCCTTTCACTCCTGCTGTGTCTGTTTGAACTTCTCCCACACTCTCTACACGAAATCTACACAGAATCCTAGACTCATAAAATATCACTGAACGATGGCGGGCGTGCCTCAGTTCACTGATCGTGCCGCAAAGGCACTCGGCGATGCTGCAAACCTCGCTGAACAATATGCCCATTCACAAATTCTGCCAGTCCACCTGGCAGTTTCTCTGTTTGACCCTCCCCCGGACGAGTCGAAAGACCAACAGACGACCGTCAATGCCTCACAGTCCCACGCTTCAGCTCCTCTCTTCAGACAAGTGATCGAACGAGCACATGGCGACATTCAATTACTCGACAGAGCTCTCAAGAAAGCCCTTGTGCGGCTCCCGAGTCAAGACCCTCCGCCCGAACACGTCACCATGTCACCATCCCTCTCAAAAGTGATCAGGTCCGCTCAGGAGCTGCAAAAGACTCAAAAAGATACCTATGTGGCTATTGACCACTTGATCACCGCCCTGGCGCAAGATGCGAAGATCCAAGAGGCCCTGCGGGAAGCAAACGTTCCCAACACCAAACTCATCGATGCTGCCATTCAGCAAATACGTGGCACGAAGCGGGTCGACTCGAAACAGGCCGACTCAGAGGAGGAAAATGAGAATCTCAAGAAATTCACAATTGACATGACTCAACTGGCAAGAGAAGGCAAACTCGATCCCGTGATTGGACGAGAAGAAGAGATCCGGCGGGTGATTCGGATCTTGTCCAGACGAACCAAGAACAACCCTGTCCTTATTGGTGAGCCCGGTGTCGGCAAGACCACAGTCATTGAAGGTCTGGCACAGCGGATTATCAACGCCGATGTTCCTGCCAATCTGGCCGCGTGCAAGCTTCTCTCGCTGGACGTGGGTTCTCTTGTTGCTGGCAGCAAGTACCGTGGTGAATTTGAGGAGAGAATGAAGGGTGTCCTCAAAGAGATCGAAGCCTCTAACGAGATGATCGTTCTCTTTGTGGATGAGATCCATCTCCTCATGGGCGCTGGTGCCAGTGGTGAAGGCGGAATGGACGCAGCAAACCTGCTCAAACCCATGCTTGCCCGTGGACAGCTTCACTGTATCGGCGCCACCACTCTTGCCGAGTACCGCAAATACATCGAAAAAGATGCTGCCTTCGAACGGAGGTTCCAACAGGTTTTGGTCAAGGAACCCACCGTGGCAGAGACAATCTCCATTCTCCGTGGCTTGAAAGAGCGATACGAAGTCCATCACGGTGTGACCATCCTCGACGGAGCCATTGTTGCAGCCGCCACTCTTGCCGCTCGTTACATCACATCCCGGCGTCTACCGGACTCTGCTGTTGATCTCATCGATGAAGCAGCAGCAGACGTTCGCGTCATCAGAGAATCGCAGCCCGAAGTGCTCGATAACCTTGAACGACGACTCCGGCAACTCGAGATCGAGATCCACGCCTTGCAACGGGAAACAGATCCATCCTCCGTTCAGCGCATGGAAGAGGCAAAGCTTGAAGCGGCCAATGTCAAGGAAGAGCTAGAGCCATTGAAGGAGCACTACGAACGCGAGAAAGCTCGCTCCCGAGAAATCCAGGAGGCCAAAATGAAATTGGAACAGCTGAAGAACAAGCGAGACGAAGCAGAACGTTCCAACGATCTCCAGACAGCCTCTGACCTGACGTACTACGCCATCCCCGATGTGGCTGCCAAGATCAAGGCGCTCGAGAACGCTAGAGCCCAAGCGGATGCTGAACAGCACGCCAGACTCGGTGCAATGGGCGAGGTTTCACCCACCGATGCTGTTGGCCCCGAACAAATCAATGCCATCGTTGCCAAGATGACCGGTATCCCCATCACGAGGCTACGGGCTTCAGAGAAGGAGAAGATCCTTCACATGGAACAGCATCTGCAGCGCATCGTTGTTGGCCAGAGGGAGGCTGTCCAATCTGTCTCAAACGCCATCAGACTCCAGCGTTCTGGCTTGGGCAACCCCAACCAACCCCCGAGCTTTTTGTTCTGTGGTCCTTCTGGTACTGGTAAGACGCTGCTGACCAAAGCGCTTGCCGAGTTCTTGTTCGACGACCCGAAGGCCATGATCAGATTCGACATGTCAGAATACCAAGAACGACACTCACTGTCAAGAATGATTGGTGCGCCTCCAGGATATGTTGGACACGACGCTGGTGGGCAACTAACCGAGGCATTACGACGCCGGCCATTCTCGATCCTGCTGTTCGATGAGGTCGAGAAGGCGGCCAAGGAAGTGCTCACCGTGTTGCTCCAACTCATGGACGACGGCCGGATCACCGATGGCCAAGGTCGTGTTGTGGATGCCAAGAACTGCATTGTGGTCATGACGAGCAATCTTGGTGCCGAGTATCTGTCTCGCAATACCGCACCTGATGGCAAGATTGACCCAACCACCAAGGAGCTGGTGATGAACGCTCTCCGGAACTACTTCCTGCCGGAGTTCCTGAACAGAATCAGCTCGATCGTCATCTTCAACCGTCTCACGAGGAGAGAAATCCGCAAGATCGTCGACCTGAGATTGAGCGAGATCCAAAAGAGACTCGAGAGCAACGACAAGAAGATCACCATCAATGCAAGCGAAGAGGTCAAAGACTACCTGGGTGCTGCTGGATATTCACCTGCTTATGGCGCCCGTCCTCTGCAGAGATTGATAGAGAAGGAGATCCTCAATCGCCTTGCTGTATTGATCTTGAGAGGTGCGATCAAGGATGGCGAGACAGCCAATGTCGTCTTGGAGGACGGACGGGTGGTGGTATTGCCCAACCACACCGACAGTGAGATGGAAGAGGACGAAGATATGCTCGATGACGACGACGCGATGTTGGAGTTGGAAGACGGCACGAATGGTAACATGGATCTTTACGAGTAAAAATGGTCACGGCTAGCGCACAGCAAGGCTAGGCGTTGAAAGGGGAATGAAGCTATGACACAGCATAAAAGCGGATGGCGTTTTGGCTGGGAATGCTTTATGGATACTTTCATGGAACATGAGTGATGATACTCTTAGACCTGTAGTAGATATACATGGTCTTAATGAAAAATATTATGCCTTCAATCTACGGGTTCGAGTCGTAGCTCTTGCAGTATTTGATCTATGTAGCTTCGTTAACATTGGCCCTGGCCACAACGCGCGTGAGACGCGCCGCCGGGTTATGATGTCATTTTCCGACCGCGTCACTTGTGACATGTCCGTTTGCCTCAACATACAAACACTGACGGCGACTTGCTCACAAAATACACCGAATCAACTCGCACGCCATCTCAAACCCGGACAAGCATATGCGTGCAGAAAACCGCCGGGCTCCGCGCTAAACAGCCCACAACCCGCGTATCCAGAGAACCGATTGCTCTCCCAACTGCAGTTGAAGCAGGCACTTTGAGCTCGAAGAATATGGCGCCTTCTAGCGCGTTCAGGAAACCGAAGAGTGCGTTTTCGCCGCCTCGGCCGGGCAAGTCAAAGAATGGCAAGTCGACGAAAGAGAAGGGCGCGGCGACAAAGAGCGCAGCCAGACACAGGTTGGGTGGAATGGGGAACTCGAAGGTCCACAAACAGCCGCGGAAACCCAAGGCGGGACAGAGGCCGAAGCCGCGAAAACCGGTGCAAAAGGGTGCAGCGGGAACGATGAGAGCCATACTGGGAGAGGCGAGCTCAGAGTCAGACCCGGACGTGGACGATGAAGATGGTGCCGGGTCGGAGGAGGATAACGAGAATATGGACGCCGGGGTCGACGAGGATGAGAGCCTCGAAAATGATGACGATGATAACGATGACAACGCACAAGATGACGAAGACGCAGACGAAGACGAAGCCTCCCTGGCCCACGACCACGATCTCAACCTCTCCTCCCCCGAACCCGACTTCATACTCGCCGAAGTCACCACGAAAGGCACGGGCACGGCTTCTTCCGCATCCTCCACGAACCCGTCGATCCCCCTCCCGCTCATCCACAGGATAATGCACGCCCACTTCTCCCAGCCCGACCAGACCTCCCTCTCCTCGGACGCGAGACAGCTCATGGGGAAATACACGGAGATCTTCGTCCGGGAGGCCATAAGGCGGTGCGTGGATGACAAACGAGAGCGCGTCGCGCGTGGGAGCGGGGACGGGGCACGCGACGGCGCGGTGGTCGGGGACACGGGCTGGCTTGAAGTCGAGGACCTGGAGAGGGTCGGGGTGCAGCTGTGCTTGGATTTTTGAGCCGGCAAGCTGCCGCCTATGCGGGAATGAGTTGAAATAGCGCGGCGGCAAGCGACAGCCGCCCACGCAAACAAGAGGGAGCGTCGCCCATGCGGCCTGGAAGGGAAAATGGGAAGGGGACGAGAGTCTTCACACAGCAGTACATCCCTCGACCCGCTCATTTAAGCGGAAGATGAACCCATGCGTCCGAGATACTGGAATTCTCTTGCCCGGTGTTTCTGCCCCGCTATGTACAATAGCTCTACTTTCACCCCACGAGCAGGAAACGGCCAGCCAAGGGGCCAACGGATACTCCTGCCTGTCACCGCGTCCTTGGTTCTTGCCCTGTCCTGTCCCTATTTGTAGAGACACATCAAGAGGGACCGTGTTTCGAGGCAAACGTATAGACAAGCGAGGAGATGTACCCGGTACCGAGAACCTAGTACATAACACGGAACCATAAGGTTAAAACAAGAAAAGGAGTGCTGACAAAAAGTGACGCATATCGATTTAGGTCTCTCTCTGTACCGAGTATTTTGTATCTGGACATTTTTGTATATTTCTGCGTCTTCTGGCAGTAGTTACACACGTGGCATGCAGCTGACATAGTATACATATGCAGCTAGCTTGGTATCAAAAGGTGGTATTTGAGTAAAAGAAAAGAAAAAAGGTTCTGTAAAAAAGTGTCGTCCATAGGAGAGCACTACCTCCCAACTTCCCACTGTCCTTGGGGACTTCCCAATTCAAAATAATATTCTCTCCTCCATTTCCCATGTTGCGGACTGTAAACGTTGACTCGACTCAACCTCGGGACCTTGCCGAGGGAGTTCAGAGACATTGCCCGCACCTCACAAATGACACTGGGAGCGGCGTGGGTAATGAGGGTTCCCCCCTCCCTTTTCTATTTGCGCCGGATTTTTGTTTTTTTTCTCCATTCAGGGGTATATCGGACTCGGTTCGTCGAGAAAAGGTATTACCACAGAGCCAGCAGCGCACCGAGAGCAAGACCGACCACACCTGTTGATGATTGAGGCACGAAGCCTGGAACAGCGGCACCAGTAAATGTAGCAGGAGCCACGACTGCTGAGCTCGAAGGTGGCGCAACAGTCTGTGCTGGGGCGACGGGCGAGGAGCTTGCCGGAGGCGCACCACCAAAGGCGAACGTCGATTCAGCTGGAGGCGCAGCAGGAGGCGCCGATGACTCCGAAGGTGGCGGGCCGCCATAAGCTGGAGGCGGAGCACTACCGCTGGGAGGAGGAGTGGTGACATTAACGAGTGGTATCTTGGCCGCGTTGGCAATGTAGGCGTCGATAGTGTTAGGTGACGAGTCGTTCTGGTTGATAACCATGGCCATACCCTTTTCGCAGTGGTTGGTCTGGCCGCAGTAAATCCAGATGGGCTTGGTGTCGTTGACCAGGACGTTGTAAACCGGGGTAAATGGCTCAGTGCCGGTCAGCGGAACGAAGCCAGATTTCAGCCCAGGACGTGTGGCGGAAGTGAGATTGGCGGCAATAGGTTTGCAAGGGTCAGCAAAGGACGACTCTGTGACGGTGTGGTTCTGCGCGAACGTTAGACCAGAAAGACGCGAACCACGCGCAGAAGACATACCTTTGGGTGAAACTGGAATTGGACAACAGATCCGATTGGCGCGGTGACCTTGTTGGGAAAATACTTCAGAGAGCCGTTTGCGTCCGAGACAGACACAACCTGGACAATCAATTGACCGGGTTGAGTCGACATTGGTGGTGCGCTGCCAGTCTGCATCGGCTGGCAACCAGACGGGCAGGACGCTGCAGCGAATGCTGGAGGTCCTTGACTGCTGCCGCTGCCCCAACTGCTCCAACCACCGCTACCGCTGCCGGAGCCGCTGCCGCTATAGCTGCCACCACCATAACCGCCGCTGCCATACTGCGCGAAGGCAGACGCCGCGAAAAGGGTGGAGACGAGAAGAGTCTTCAAAGACATGTTTGGCGAGATTTTGCGAGGGAAAAGTGAGGTGTCAAATAATGTTTGATATTGGAGATGGACGGCTGGGATGGTACGAGACAACGAGCGACCGGCGCAAGAACAGAAAACTGCAGTGCGTCAAGCAGCAGAAAAGGAATGAACAGGACCGGTACTAGAGAGTACACGAAGACCACTTTTGGTTGGTATAAAGATGGAATGGAGAGAGGAAAGAAACGCATTTCGAAACAGCAACACAGGAGACATATGTAGGCCCGCGAGAAAGCAGGAGGCTGTGCAAAGGACGGAACAGGAGAGAGTCCGGATCTAGGAACTGAGATTATGGATCTGGATAGGCCAGGGACATGGCACTCGTAGAGTCTCGTCACCTTGTCATGTTTGCCCCTGGAGGAGGTTGAAGACATTGTGGACGAGTCGTCACACATCCGTCTCAGGTGCAAGGGGATATCTGAGACGCGACAGGCGAGAAGAGCCTTGCGGAGAGAGCGCAAAGAAGCACGGAGGCCGGCGTCAAAATGTCGATAGCTAGGAATAGAGTCACAACGGAGGCGCGAGGAGGGAGGAGTCGAGTGTCGCAGAATGAGAGGCCAGCGGTGCATCCGAAGCGCTGGGAGGTTTTGAATGGTGTTTGAGGCAGGAGAAGGAGCGCGACTCTGAGGCACAAGACGTTTCCGACCGGCGGAGCGCCTTTCCCAGTTGGGGCTAGCGCAATATCAGGCCTTGGCACTCGGCGGACTCGCAGACTCACGGCCCTCCCTTCCATCTCGCTTCCCAGCCACGTCCCATCCCCATACAACTCGCTTCACGTAGATCTTGCACCCTCGAGGCCTCGATCTGGGCCTGGATCCCTTTGCTGGGAAAAGCTTGTCTGCGGCTCTACCCTTGTTCTTTCCTCCGGGGTTGCAGCCTCGGCTGGCAGCCTTCCGAGTTTCAAAGGGACAAATAATCACAGAGACATCGAGGCTCAGCCACTCTCACAGTCATCGCTGGGCCCAAGCCTGAAGCCGGAATGTCCCTTACCGAAAGTGCAGTTAACGGGTACTTGCGATGAAGATGATTAACTGCAGACTACCGAGTATCTTCCTCCGAATGAGGGTGGACCAGCTGCCCTCGCAGGCAAGAACCATGAACGTTGAATTTCCCTTTGATTAGCTATTTGCTATTCCGTTATGCTCTGCTACCGCGTGCTTTCACAGGTCCTTTCTGAATTGTCTCCCTTGTCGAAGCGTACGACGAAGTCAGTCTTGCACTGTCTCAAACCACAGATTTCCCACGAGGATCCTTTTCCTGCGTAATCATACATTGTTCCTCCAGTATTATCAGTAGACATACTTCCCATGGTAACTCCGTGCCTCGAGGGCGTTGATTTTGAGCGCCTGGACCGGAACCTGAGGCTTGAATACCTACCGTACACCTTACCCCTTCAGCCACTTGCGCCTTGCACGTGGGTTGCCCTTCCCATCAGAACTATCGCTGGACGTCATGAGTCAGGTAATCCGTCAAAGGACAGTTACCAACAGAACAAAGACCTCCAATGGACATTTAAGTCATAGTGTACCCACTAGGTGGTGTAGGAGCGATAAAATCCCACTGCCCGGGAGGCAGATTGCTACGATTATTGGGGGGGGTGCCGGTGTAGCTGGGACTCTGAGGCCGAGAGCCCTCCTGCATGTTGGTCAAGGCAGGGTCGACCTCGGCATCAGGCTTCCTCTTCTTGGGTGGTCGGCCGCGAGGGCGAGGTGCGCTGGGAGGATCAAGGACGTATTCTTCTTTGAGCTGCATGGAGTCACTTGGATTGTAGCCTCGTTCGCGCGCAAGTCGTCGGAGGCCAGTAATCACCTTTGGCTCCATTCCGGTGATCTCCTGGATGCGGTCGTACGCGATGCTTGCCTCTGCCAGTGCCAATGCCTGAATGCGCACAGCGGTGCTAACATCGCCCATTTTGGGAAGCTTTGGAGCCTTTGTGTCTGTGGTCTTTTGCGCCCAGTCGGTCGAGCGTTTGAAGAATGCTTGAGGATCGGCGGCTTGACGGGTAATGCTGTTCTCGATGCCTTGTTCTTTCATGGAGTCAAGGTAGTTTTGGCAGCCGAGAAGGTGGACACGCTGGCGAGAGGTATGCTGGGCCATTTCTCTGCTGCAGTACTTGCATCGTACCTGCGCAAGCTTCTGGTGGTGACATTAGTGAGAGGTTGATTTTGGGGCCGAACATGATGCGCAAGCCGTACCTGAGTGCCCTCTGGATCTTGAGGGATAATGTCCCATGCTGAGTGAGTTTCGGTGTCACCTGGTTTGTTTTTGTACCCTCCTGACTGGAGAGAGCTGATTAGCTTGCGTCGATGATGCTGAGAGTCGAATAGGAACTTACGCCTGGACCACCCATAGTGAACTGGAAGAAGACTCAGACTCAAGAATGACACTCGGTCGTGATCGTCTTAGCTGCGTAATTTTGGAGGTCTGACTGGTGATAAAGAGATGGACGGGGCTGATGTGCGGGAGATGAGGTGGGTAGAGGGGAAAGTGGTCGTCAAGTGAGAGTGAAGAGAAATGTCATTTCAGTGTCATTTGAGGGCCCGTGGTTGCCCGACTCGCCGACTGTCCCGGGCGGTGCGGCCCCAAGACCCAAAACATTGGGCGAGGCACGCGTCACACAATAAACACGACATCATACCCCCCTCAGCATTGTTGCGGTTGCGCCTCCTCTTCTTCGAAGGCTACCATCATGGCGGACTCGTCACAAGCGGCGACGTCGCTCTTGACCGAGCACCTGCAGTATACACCTTTGGTAGGTTACTGGCAATAGAATGGGACTTGCGCGACTGACGAGCCGCAGTCACTAATCGACGACATTATCAACTCGGTCAATAACTTTGTTTACCAAGGAGTCGGTAGCCTGGAAACAGGACTCCTGACGACCCCTCCTGAGAAGCTAGGCTTCAAGGCTGTCAAGACTGTGGGCGACGACTGCCTGGAAGAATTCGAGTTCGCCGAAGCCAAGAGAGAGATCGAAGAAGGCCTTCACAAACTCGAGACCCTGCTCAACTCGACGGTTGACAAGAACTTTGACAAATTTGAGATATATGTGCTCAGGAATATCCTCTCTGTGCCTGCAGAACTGGTCAACTGGGTCCAGTTGAGTCATTACGAGGTGGGCGAAACTGAGACTGCGCGGACGTGGTTTTGGGGATCGAGCTAACTGCGCGCAGAACATATCACTTCCGCCGCCGGAGAACGCGCCCACCGTCGAGAGTGTGCAACTCCTGCGGCGCAAGCTGGCCGCCTCGCGGACTGTGTCGTATGCCCTCATAGAAGAGCACAAGCGGAATGAGGCAGTCCTCCGACAACTAAGAAATCTGATTGGCAATACACATCCCGCAACAAACAGCCTCTCTTTCCTCCTAGACGGCGCCTCTGCCCAGACCCAGAATGGACCTCAGCACAATGATCACCGAGATTTGACCACCAACACGAACTTTGCTATCTCACAGCTCCCCGCACTCAAGTCGTTGCTCGCCGAACTGCGACCAAGGCTGGCATCGCTAAAAGATACTGACATGAGCATCTCGAGTGCCAAGGATGAAGTCAAAGAGGAGCGCAGAGGTTATATCGAGCAACGAACACGATCGCATCTAGAGCGCAATGGGGAAGCCTCGGCAGAAGATTCTACAGCATTGCCTGGCAAGCGGGTCGACCCGGAGGAGGTGCAAGCCCTGGAAAAGGTCGCTTCCATATTCGACCCGGTATGATGGCCAGCGATGTGAATTCCAAACACGTGAACTTACCCCACCACGAGAGCGGGCTTGGATACGAGTGCGTTCGAGACGATGAGCTCCAATCGAAGCAGAATGTGACAGGTCATATCTACCTAAGGGGTCAAGAGGTCCAAGCGTGCATAAGGTTGCGCTGGCCAAAGTTGAGAAATTCTCCGATGTCCCGAAACTGGTGAGGGAGATACTGGTTTTGGAAGGAAGGCAGAAGTTCATTCTCCAGCATCTCAGTATGTTGTGCATGAAGTGGAAGTCATGTGGGGAGTGTTGTGTCGGCGCTGGACTTGCCATGGCACGGGGCAAGGCCCAAAGTGGTTGAAAGATGGAATGGGTTTTAAGATTTTGGCGGGCCAGGAGGTACGAAGACCCATTTGGCGGCCCGTGGTGTAACCGCTTCGAGCATGGCTGGTGGGGGAGAGTTGCAGAAGACGAGGGTTTTGCCTGATGGAAGGGAAGGGCCTGGGTCATGGCAAAAGTGGCATTGACGCGGAAGCGAGCAAAAGATAGAGGAATTAGTTTCCTCATCAACCTGCTTTCAGCATGCCATGAGGTCGTGGATCGCAGGCTAGAGGTGCCTTTGCCCGGGATGATGGTGGAAAAAGACGGGCCAATGAGCGAATAGTGGTTGTCCTGCGACGCAGTCTCATCCACAGTCCAATGGGCGTTGAGGCGGTCATTGCACCGGGAAGCAGCAAGCAGCTGCGCCAGACGAGCCTGCAGCAAATGATGAGCCTGGGTGGGTGAAAGATGCTGGTGCCGATGCGCAGTTTGCAGGATTGACAGGTCGGTGAGTGTGAGCTGGCGGAGTCGATGCCAAAGATCGGCAGATGCAGTCCAATTGGCCAGTCAGAAGCCGCCGAACTGTCAGAACAGGGACCCACTCTGGCGGACCTTACTATAAATATGATTAGCGCCCTGCATGCGCCTGTCAACTAGCCAATCACCCGCCCGGAAGGTGCCAAGCTATGAGTTAAGCGCTGAACTCCCACTGGCTCCTCAATCTCTCCTCTACATTGCTTCCCCCAGATGCAGGGGGGAAATCATCCTTCCCATTCCCACCTCTCTCATTATTGTCAGTTTCATTCACCAACCGAGCCTCCTAACCGCCGACCATTGTATTACTGGTGGTGATGCTTCCATGATGATTCGCCCAGATCAGGCCGCGGAGGTCGATCAGAGACAAGCCCGATCTTTGAATAGATCAGAGACTACTGGATCCAAGATGTGGTCGGCCAGGTGAGTCTGTGAGCACGGAACAAATGGGTGGGATATAATAAAACAGAGCCTCATTTCTTTCCCTGTGCCCTCTTGTATTGCACTTGGTTCGACATTCTGGTCTGTCTGGCGCTGGTTTCGCATTCCATCATCTTCCAACGTGTCTGTGTTCTGCTGTTTCTCGCATTGCCTCACGCGAACATCTCTATCTATCATGGAGAACCGCCTTACCACCTCCCGGCCTACCTCGTCGTCAGAGACCGAGACTCGTTCCAACAGTCCACCAAGGTCCCGGTCCAGCATGAATAAACTCGAGCCACCGCCCCCGACCCCAGCCTATGATGCATCCGCTCTCTTGATCCAGCCATCGCCGCTGCTTACCTCGTCCTTACATTCCCGAAACTCGGCAACTTCAGCTCAAGAATCTGCATATCTGCGACAGGCGAAATGGCTCCGATGGACCCGAGGTGTGCTGTCGATTTTGACCATTGCCACTGCCACCGCTGCTGTGGGCTGCGAGGGACATGTCTTGCACCGTTATAACAGAACGCACACGAGTTCCAATTGGCATTTGCCACCGCTGTGGCCGACAGATGTGGATGTGAGGCCGACGTTGGCCATATTGATCTCGGCCACCCTTATCATTGTCCTCAGTCTGAGCTATTTGATCGTGTCAATCATTCCAACGGTGAGCCTCTCTCCCTAGGGCACTTCTAGACAAACTTCATCTAACATGTCGACAGCCTTACTCCCGCACGCTTTTGTACAATGTCCTCTTCCTTGCGTCTTCCCTGGCAGGCATCATCCTCACCGTCTTCGCCATCCCTTTCAACAGTCTCCTCACCAGCCCAACGTCTCACCATCAGCGAGACTCAATCCAGTCATGGACCTGCAAATTCTCCCGTGGCGCCTCGCAATTCATGGCCGATGCCCATTCCCTGCAAATTCCAGTGTACGTAACCAACGGAATCCCGATTCCCGCTGGCTTTAAGAGACTGTGCAAGGAGAGCGAGGTGAGTCAGGGGCTGATTGCCGCGCTGCTGGCCCTGGAGGCGGTGAATGTGGGAGTGGCCGTGGTGGGCGTGTTGTTGGAGAGGAACATGGCGAACAGGAGAACGCAGAGGTATGCTGAGAAAAGTGAGAAGCAGACGGTATCTTTTGAGAAGAATTAGGGATTCGCTCAGACACCAGGCGGAGCCCACTGGCTCAGATCCTTCGTCACAAGGTCCTGACCCACGGCAATATGGGTTTCGAGGAGGCGCCGCCTGTTGAACGGGACGTGCTGGCTATGGTGGTAGATTGGCAGAATGCTTTGGAGCGACACTATTAACTTTCACTTGGGAGTCCTCTGGGCGGCTGCTACAATGTATTTTCCTTCGAGGACGAAAGGTTTCTTCGTCATATGTTCTACGCATATAATCAAGACAAGCAATGACTACTATCCGCGACGGCCATCCTGTACCACGTCTCATACGGGCGGATAGAAGCCGACGGTACCATATATATCTATAGTGTGTACATGTACTTGGTACTTAGCCACAGTCCCTAACCTCTCCACCCTTTTTGGAGTCGAGCTTCAGCGCTCTTCCTACGAATCTCAACCGAGACAGTGTCCTTTAAAGCCCGACGGGAGCATCTATTGATGCGTGCGTCCTGCTCTGAGATCCCCGCACACGGTGCAAGTATCCCAACCTGATTGGCGAGCAGGCTGCGTCCTATCGCTACCTATTCTTTCGAGTCCCACCCCTCGTTACTCTGACAACATGCATGCGGGACGGCGTGATGGCCGACGATGTGCTGGCTGGCACCAAACCATATCGCCCGCCTCGGTGGGCCCAGACAAGCCAGGCTTCCCTTGCTCCTTCAAGCAGTCACCCTCTCTGCATTTGTCGATGCCGTATCCCTCGGTTAAGAACAATGGCGAGCTTCTTCCGTGTTCATTCCGAACAAGTCCGAAAACGGTCTTGACCCAGCTGTGGAATTCAGGCTTCGACAAACATGAATTCTCTGAGAAAGCAGCTCAATGGTAGCGGAAGCAAGACTCGACGGCACCACAGCACCTGGATGAAGGGACCGTGATAAGGCGATACGTTTGGAGGTTTCCTTCGGCGTTTGACGGTGTGACTTTATTGAGCCTGCGACAATGCTATCTACCAACCGAGATGTCATTCTCGTTCCTTGTCTAGTTCGCGCATTGGCGAGCATATGGTCTACTCAAGCGTGGTTTCTTATCGGCAGATGTCGTTCAAGCAAACATTCCACCCCGCAGCAGAGATGACGACCTGGACCGACCTCAGCGGGGCTCAGCTCATGGACAAGTCGCAGTGCTCGTCCTCGCTCAGAGAATCCCGACCGGATTAAAACATGCAGTTAATGACGATTCATGGTCTCCATGGGAAGGGTCGATCTGGCCGTGGATGCAAGAACGTCTTCCACCAGTGTGACCAATGCAGGGCCACGAACATTGGGAACTGCGCTTGATCGGGTGTGAGACAGAGTGCAAAGCATGCAAAAGGATGACATGCTGCTGAAGGTGGTAGCCTGGCATGGCTCTAGGGGCCACCATGGCTTCTTAAATTGTCATCCTTCGGGCTGGAGAAGCGTCTTCTCTGTGAGTGCAATGATATCCTTCCAGATAGATCTCCCGGTTCGGCACTTCAGACGACAGGACACTACAGGAATCCGGGCACTATGGCGGAGGCTACAGGATATTGAAGTCGCAACGAACCCGGGGCGGGCTTACCTTCGACAGTGTTGGCCTGCTTGTTTCGTGACCTGAGTCTCGGGGACTTCGAGTTCTAAATGCGGCCAACCAATACGTTTCATTGACACACGCTTGTCAAGTGCACGACTCGACAGTGGATGAAGCAGCCAACAACTGACCAAAGAACAAGGGAGGGCTGGCAAGCCGATATCCAGGCAGTGGTGTGGAGTCTTACGCGAGGCTCCGGAAGGGCAGGCCAGGAGCTCAGAGCTCGTCTTTTGGCCTTCATCACCCGAAAGCGTCGTCTGCCCACTGGTCTGCCCTTCTGAAGCCTCGTGGGCCTCCGAACTAATACGCTGCTTCAGGGAAGTGAAGATCTCCCGAACGGGAACCGGCTTGAGGACCATCCATATCGATCTTCCAACAGCATCGATTCCTTCAACAACCACTACTCCAAGTTGAAATCCAACGCCTTGCACCACGAGGGCCACACCACTTCTTAAGAGTGAGTTTGTCCGTAGTCGATCCTGATATCAGCCACAGGAAGCCGCAAAAGAGCGGCTTCGACAACCCTCCCCCCATCAGGCCTATGGGCTAAGAGCGTGCGACAACACGAAGCTTCATCAACATGATTTTCCGCACACGTCGTCAGTCATTATAACGCGACTGGCGTTGGCTAGACCTTCGATGAGGACGCATGAGTGGAAGTCTAGTGCATTGATGAAGGAGCTCGGCATTTGTGATGTCGATACTAGAAAACAACAGAGAATAGCTCCAATTTTGTGCGCTCTTCGCCCGAATTCACGGTCCTCTATCAGCGCCTCGGAATGACGACTCTGCATTACCGTCAAGCAATCCCATGGACGGGACAGAGAACAAGGCCAGCAGACTAATCCACGGTGAGAATGAAAGGCTACGTTCTCGCAAACCATGTTAACTTCCGAGAGACCTTGGGACGTTCTCTCACGCCAACACGTTGAGCTCTTAGCGACGCACTCACATGTTTGCACGGAAAGAGCTGTTATCCACCCATGACTGGAAATGGCTTTGTCTCCTCGCAGCTGTCCTTAAGCTGACGGCGGTGTCACCAAGTCCGCTCTCAATGCAACTCGCTGGGCTACTGGAACCATCACACATGGCGCACCGGCTGGCCCAGGACCCCCTCCTTGCGCTGTTCCAAAGTACGGATACAGCTCTCAATCTCAGATCGGGAACACCGATTACCCTCTGTGCGGGCCAAGTAAGGAAGAGCTCACCGGAAATCCAACACCCGGTCGGAGACCTTTACTGCCAATGGTCAAAGCAGGTTCGTGATCTTGAAAACACCAACCAACTCGCATGCATTCCATGCCCGCATCTCATGAGCGTCTTTGTGGGATCGGGCCGATCACAATCCTCTCTCAGATATTTCCGGGTTTGGCTCTGAGTACATCTCTTTGCACCCATCCTTGACGGATAATGGAAAACGAGTCAGGCTGGCGACGTCGAAGAGGATGCATGATTGTACGATGCTGCTCCCAAGGTACCGCCATCCCAGCGATGAGGCATCGAGCACGGACGTCATAAAGAGTTGGCAAGGACCAGACCGGCTCGCTTCTGAGCCACCACAACCCTGCGGCAGCTACATGATGCGCGCTCTTGGGATGAGGCAGTCGCGTTATCTGCATTGCCGATTCGTCTGCTCAGAATCATCAGCTTCAACATACGAAATGCGCTCACCCGACATGAAGAAACGGAAGGAATCGCCCTAATCTCGCGGTTTGTCTCCAGCCCAGCGTGAGTACCACTATCACCGCCCATGTCCATCGGCCTGGTCCCTGCTATGGACAAGCATACGGGAAGGGTTGCGGAAGCGAGTACTCCAATCTCTCCCTACCGAGCTTACAAGATACTGTGTGCCGAGAACCTGGCGAGGTTTCTCGAATGCCCGCAAAGGCTGGACGAGGCTGAACGTGAAACACCCTTCCCACCGAATTCCGGAAGCACTTCTGCTGTACAGGCTCAGGATGCAGGGACCGACCTCCTCAGCTTGAGCCAGGGGGTGGAACGGATGCCACACGCAGCCTATGTTCTGTATGTGTGTGTCCTCTCTCTTGTCTCTACGTCCCTCTCCTCGCACAAGAGATGGATCAAATTTCCCGCCGCGCCGCGTCGCACCAGATCAGGGGCAAGGTGGTACAAAAAGATCCATCGCGCAGCAGCCATGACATGCAGCTTTTGCGTGGGTGTGTAGCACAAGAGCCACAGAGCACAAACGATCCCGCCACCCACCCTCCCTCCCCTGGCAGCCAGAAGATGAGGATGGCGACACAAGATCTCGTCGGCAGGAGGTCGTGCAACGGTTCACAATCCATCCACACCAAGCCAGGACGGGACGGGACAGACCAGGACAGGCCAGCACAAGGGGCAAGTTGAGTAAGTAAGTAAGTAAGTAAGTAAGTAAGTAAGAAGGGGCCAATTTCGATCTCGACCGTGCTGTGTTCCCCCAACTGGAGCGAAAGGGGAACACAGCACCAAGGCTTGACTTGGAGTTTACTTGAACGACTGACTGACTGGCTTGAACGGATGACAGGCCGACGACGGCGGAACAGACGCCAGGATGACAGAACGACGCATGCCATATACGACGCCAAGGTGAGCTGAGATAGGGGCACCAGCGGGCTCTACCATATCAGCAACCCCTTTTCTTTCGCTGGTACATTCCTCGACCTCACTGGGTTTCTTTTCTTCAAAGACCTTGTCCTTGCCCGGGAAGTATGTAGTACCACTGGGTTTGATACATGTGTACTAGAACTGCTCCGATGAACTGCTCTGACATACTCCAGTCCGCACACGTCTTTTTATTGCTTGTCTAACCTCGTCTATGTCTATCCGACTTGGAATTCTACAATATCCCCAACCTATACCAGATGCGCTATTGATCCTCTTTCTGTTGTACAAATCCAATCAAGTCTTGCACCCGCTGCGCATTCATTAATCAATTCCCCGTCATCTTTCCACGGTAAATGTATTAGAAATAAGATTAACCATGTCCCGCACTTCACTCATCACGTAGGACAAGTCGAACGCAAGTAAGAGCTGACAATCATCGTCCGGTTAGTCTTCGCGATTGGAAATGATGAACATACTACCCAAGACTCCGACGCTATGGATTGATGATTGCATAGGTCTACGCCGAACAGAGGTCGAAAAAGTGTAAACATGAAATGCTGATGCTAACCGACAGAGAGGGAAGCAAACGAATCTGAGGCGCCGGCTCGAAGGATCGTCAGAGTCGAGTAACCTCGAAGCCTGAAGCATCAAGGCGGCGCGACCCCGTCCAGATGCAGCAGGTTAGTGGCCTTGTACATTGATTGCCGCGAATGTCGAAATTGAATTGAGTAATGAAAATGCAGGATGAGCTTTGGGATTTCCAAATCATAAGCCTTAAATGCGGGCTCGGGAAGCATGAAGGAACATTGGTAGCCAGAATCGCAGAAGAAGGCAAGAACTGTTGACTTTGCCCAAGCGGTGGAGAGATGATGGGCCGTCCTTCGGGGGGCCTTTAGAGGTTATTCGATCAGAGATGTCGGATCGTGTCATCTCGTGTCATCTCACGTGGTTATCCGAAAAAGTTTCTCGTTTGGTGGTTCCCTTAGGGCTTCCCGGTCAGAAAAGTTGAGTGACACGAAGATCTGATTTCACAAAGTCAATCTCACCCGCAAACATGGCACGGTCCCGGTGAACGGTGTGAGGATGATGAGGCGTGAACCAGTCCAAGTTGACATCACCGTGAAAGACCACTCTGCGCTGGTCAGGACTCACGTCCATACTTCCAGGGGCGTAAAGTTTTGTGCCGGACACGACATCGCCAGTCTGGAGTAGCGTGTGGTCCTTGGAGGTCTGCTGCTTCATCTTAAGGGCGTCCCAGTCACAGCCTAGTATACCAGTATGCGTGTCGACGCCGACCCTGCAGCTGACATAGTCGATACGATATTGCATACTGGTGAAACACTTGGCGTTATAGAGGAGATAGTAGGTTGAGTTGCGGTAGACCATACATGGCCGTTCGACGTTGGGGCCGTCTTCTTTGAAACTGTTGGCGTTTGAGAACAGGTAGACAGGCTTGCCGATTGGTGTGACAAGGTCTTGAGGGTCCATCAGTTGAAGATATAGCGGGGTAGGCACCACAGGGGTCTGGGTATTCCCACAGGCACCGCCATGTCCAATTGCGTTGCCATCCGTTTTGTAGACGAGGTAATTCTCATTGTTGATGGGATCGGTGAAGAGATTTGGATCGATGTTGCCGCCCCGAGGCAAATCGCAGACGATGGGATCGTCGAGAGGAGTGTAAGGCCCCGTCACGTTCGGAGAGGTGGCAGCACCAATGCAGTGCTTCCGTGGATGTGTCCGCCCTACGGCCGCAAAGTACATGACCCACGATCCATCAGGACGTTGATTCACGTCCGGAGCCCAGACACCAGCATGCGGAGACCGACGTGCCCAAGCGGGCGTCGTGGGTAGCGCATCGTAGCCTTCATGCAGCTTCCAGGTCGAAAAGTCCGGTGAGGAGGCGAGCTGGACGTTGATCTTTCCGGTCTGGGTGCTGAAGGCGTACCAAGTCTCGGAGCCACTGCTGGTGTCCAGAGCGAGGCCCGGGTCAGGAAAGTTGGAAGAGACTGCAGGACCAACCGCCGCAGCGGACACCGAAGCGCGGAAGGATTGTGACGACGAGTGCGATTGGAGCGAGGCAAGGAGGGTCAGGCACACCGCGAAGCTGCTGATGGCATTCTGGATCAGAGGGGGCAGCATGGCGGAACGGGAACTTGTGGAGGTGACAACGATGATTGGGTCCGAGCGCGACGAGGCGCGCAAGAGGCGTTGATCACGCAAGAGACAAAATTCCCAAGATGGTTGGCCCGTTACGATAACTTTGCAGATAGGATATGCATAGTCCGATGGATAGATACGAGGCTTCGCTTGCTGGCTCGGCGGATAAGGTACGAGGTGGTGGTTAGGTCGAGGGGAGGGAGAGGTGTTTTGTTAGTCGACGGGCCTGAACATGACCTTATAGGAAGGTATCGAAGTACGTAATTGGTCTAATTATAGGGGGAAGGAAAAGAAAAAAGGATTGCGTACGAGGCACCGAGTACGTATGTGTGAATGAACGACAGCGAGAGTGGTGGAAGAGTGGATGGAAGCGTGGAAATATGGAAGCATGGAAGCCATGGGCACTGGGGAAAAATTCGCTCGCATGGCCGTAGGCAGCCGGAGAGGGCGCAGTTTGGTTCTTCTGGTGGTAGCGAGTAGGGAGTGACAGCAGCGACAGCAGCAGCAAGGAGTGGCAGCGGTAACCTCAGACTGCACTTCTCTCTCACTCATCATCCCTCACTTCTCACTTCTCACGTCTCGCTTCTCACCTCGCACCTCCGGCTCACCCGTGGTGCCGTTACTTTGCAAGACAATCCTTACTCCCCTTATTCGTACTGACGTAACTGCGCAGGTGGCATGTTCTGAAACCGCCAGAAGCCCCAGAACCTCCTCTTCCACCACTACCACGTGTGAGAATCAACGATTTCCCGCAAGCCATCGGGGCCCATCGCCCGCCCATCATCAGCCATTGCTGTCATTGCAGTCACCAGCCTCCCAACTCTCCGCGGGCCTAGCTGAGATCTCCCAATAATCCTCCCCCGGCCTCCTCCCTGCATCCCAGCCTCTCTCACCGTCCTCGCATCGAGACCCTCATAACGTCCGAACAAGAATCACGCATCTTGCATCATGACGATCGCATGCTCCAGGCCAGAAAGAGCGAGGACCACTAGACCAACGACGCGTCCAAGAGGGTCTGTTTGTCTGTTTGTCTCAATCTAGAGAGATCCAGAGGGGAATGGTTGGCCCAGTGAGCACCTGGTGCCACCGTCTGCTAGGCGAACCGACAAGCCCACAAAGGTTTTTTAACCTTCTTTTTCCTGCTTCTCGGCTGTTCTTTTTCCTCATGGGTGGTGGTACTTCCCGCACTCCGGGCTGCCTTGTTTCTGTTCCTGGAGCCCATCTTTTCGCACGAACAAAACACCAAACCCACTAACCGGATGTGATTATTTTTAGGTCATCTCTCTCTCACATGCTCTGTGGGTGCCTGGTGGCCCGGCTTGGGGATTCCAATCCACCCACACCCAACGCAGAGCGGTCCGAGCACGGCTGTACCTGACTTGGCCAATACCCTGCTGCATGCAAGCTTTTTTGGAACAGTTCCAGCCTTTTGCCTGCTCCCAAGAACGCTTCTCCTTGCCACCTGTTTTAAGGGATTGCTCACATATTCCCAAAGGAATTGAAGAGATGGACCCCAATAGAATCCATCCCGTTCTTCCTACGAGCGTTAGGCCGCTTATTCTTGGAGCGAGCTGGGTTCGTACGGTGCGTCAGTCCACGGCTCACGAGTTGGTCCCCTGGATTGCTCCAAGTGGTCTGTCTCCTCGGCCGGACCGCCAGAAAAGATCCTCAGGCTATGCGGAAGACGAAAAACAAAAAAGACAGCCCAAAAACCACCCAAAAGTGGGATGGCGGGCGCAGCACCAGCTGAAGATAAACCAGCTTCTAGCCCCCGATACTTAACGGCGCTAAGCAAGCATGGTCACCTCCTAGCCTGTATGGCGGTGGAGCGCCTGCTTCTCAATGCGGCCTCCGTCACGTAACAGGGCACAAACCACATCGCAGGCCCAGTGACACCTGGGGGTTGTGGGACCCTGTGGCCTTGTGGCAGCTGGGGTTCAGCCACCGCGCATGGATCACACGGTCGCATCTGATTGAATTGCCTCTCAAACGGTCCCCTCTTTGATGCATAAGCTTGGCTGGATCCCTGCCGCCGCCAACTGACAGGTTATGGCCGGGTTGGGTGCTCCCTGTCCGCAATCTCAGCCAAATGAGCTCGCCTGATGGCATCGTTTACTGGTCCCCCCTTGGACCTGACAGGCTCTGGAGTGACCGACTCTGTGACCATTGGCTGCTCATGCAGTAATTGTCCGCTCGTGTATGCACCTCACGACGCACCTGCACTCCAAGAGGCAGTCGCCGAAGCTGACATCTTACTCTAGCATTGAGGCTGTCACCACCCAATAGCGCCTGGGGCTGGGGGATGTTTGTTGATAATTGGGGAGAGGCTGATGGGGCTCCATCCGAGTGGATAGAGAGGATCCAACTATCGTCAATCCGGTAAGCGTCCATGGCTGAAAAGGCACCAGGAGGCTCTTGCGCCCCCCAAAACACCAAAACTTTGTCGAGGCCGTATCTGTTCCAGGATGGCTGGCAGGCTGGTCCTTCCAATCTGCAGCCACCTCGGGGAAATCAGCCATGCTGGTGGGATGGATGCTTGGTGGTGCTTGCGATGGCTTGTTCGTTCATAAGACTTCTTCTTTTTCCCTTGGGCTTCGTCTCTTCTCGCTTGTCCTCTTTGTTCTACCAACCCCTCCTCGTACTATATAGTTGTCCAGCCTCAGTCTCTCTTTCTTTGCCCTCTTGTCTATACGTAATTATGGCGTTCTCACGCCTCCTCAAGGCTGTCGCCGCCCTCACACTCGTTTCCTCCATTCAGTCAGTCGCCGCCGACGGTGGCTCCAGCAGCTCCGTCTGCGCATCTTCGTCCAAATGCATTCCCTTCACTGTTGACCTCACTTGGGCTCCGACCGACCCGAGCAAAGGCATCTCCCGAAATGCCATCCTCACCAACGGCTCCCTGCCCGGTCCTCCCTTGAAGATGAAGGTTGGGGACTGCGTGGACTTTGTCGTCTACAACAACATGCCCAATGCCACGGGCATCCACTTCCACGGTATCCGTCAAAATGGGACACCGTGGGCGGACGGTGTGCCGGGCGTCAGCCAATATTCCATTCAACCAGGAACAAGCTACATGTACCAATGGACTGCGGTCGAGTCTGGCAACTACTTCTACCATGCTCACTACAAGGGACAAATGATGGACGGTCTCTATGGTGCCATTGTCATTGCTCCCGCCGATGATGCCGAGACGCCCTTCAGCCAGATCAGCAGCACCCAGTCTGACATCGATGCCATGACCAAGGCTGCGCTCGACGTTGAGCCTGTCTTCGTCACCGACTGGAACCGATACACTTTCGACGAGTTCTTCGAGGTTGAGCAGACCGCCAACGTCGACTGGGCCTGCAGTGACTCCATCACGTTGAACGGTTTCGGCTCGCAATACTGCCCGTCAGTTGCCGACCTCACTGCCTCTGCTGCGCCTCAAGAACCCCAGGTTCTGAACGGCTCTTCTTTGACCGCAAAGGGCTGCGTTCCTCCCAACAACGCTGCGATTCAAGGTGGCCAGTACCTGGCACTCCAGAACCTTGCCGCCCTGCCCGCTGATGCCTATGACACCTGCATTGGATATGGTGGCTCTAACTTCACGTATTCCGTCGACCCCAGCGATGGGTGGGCTGCTTTGTCCTTCATCAGCCCTGCTGGTGTTGCGCTGGTTAAAATCACCATTGACAGCCACAAGTTGTACGTTTATGAGATCAACGGCAACTTCATCGTTCCTCAGGTCGTCGACCAGTTCAGTCTCAGCAACGGTGATCGTGTCTCCTTCTTTGTCAAGCTGGACCAGACCCCAGGTGACTACACCATCCGTGTTGCCAACGAGGGTATCAACCAGGTCATCTCGGGCTTTGGTGTCCTGTCGTACAAGGGTGGCAACAACGCACCCGCGGGAGTGTCCGTCATGAACTATGGTGGTCAGAACACTTCTGCCATCGTTCCCCTGAACAACGCTCTCGCCGCTCCTTACCCCGCAAACACTCCAGCACCCAGCGCTGATGTCAGCTTCATCCTGGATATCCAGAAGTCTCCAGTTCAGCCTACTGAGGCGTGGGCCTGGACACTCTCGGGTACCGACTCGTACAACATGACCAGTGATGATGATACGCCCCCTCTTCTGTTCCAGAGCCCATCAAGCATTCCCACCAGCGACCTGATCTTGGAAACCCAGTCCGGCCAGTGGGTTGATTTGATCATCAAGGTTTCCGGCCCTGTTGCTGAGCCGCATCCCATTCACAAGCACGCCAACAAATTCTACGCGATCGGCTCTGGGGTCGGCGACTTCAACTTTACCAACGTCGCAGATGCCATCACTGCAGGCTACCCGTTCAACCTGGTCAACCCTCCCTACGTTGACGGCTTCACCAGCACTCCTGCTGAGGGCAACAATACCTGGATGGTCTTCCGCTACCAGGTCAACACTCCTGGTGCTTGGCTTCTCCACTGCCACGTTCAGTCGCATTTCTCTGGCGGTATGGCCGTGGCCATCCTCGATGCTATTGACCAGTTCCCTACCGTCCCCTCGGACGTTGGCAAGGTCTGCCCTGGCTCCGGCACCAGCACCTCCTCCGGCAACAGCACCTCGTCAGGCTCGGGCACCCAGGTACAGAACGAGGGTTCCAGCACCACCAGCAGTGTTTCTACATCATCCTTCACCGGTGCGGCATCATCAGTGATGGTGTCATCAGGCACCGCCGCACTTGGTCTTCTTGCGCTCGCTTTTGCTCTGTGAATGTTTTTGAAGCAAATAGTCTTGTAATGAGTTTCCTTTTATTTTTTTTGTGTCTAGCATTTGTTTCACGGGGATATAGTGTGCAATACAAAATGTCATTTGGAAAAGCAGAGCCCGCAGCACATAACGAAAGAATCATGGATTATTGGTCCTCGGAAAGACGGCCTTGTTGAAGCATATGGAACGGCGTGACAGACGAGAAATCGCATCCAATCATCATGTATGTACGCAGCAATCTGATCGCTTAGTAGATTGGACAATACACTCCCCCTAGTCTTGGAGCAAAGGGAAGATTGAACTATTCCAGATGCCTTTTCGTGACTCCTGCTCGTGTGCCTCGTTTCGCCTAACGGTTTACCTCCGCGCTGCCCACAGTAGTCTGCCTCACTAGCACCAGCCCAACGGGAGCCAAACGGTTCTCGGAAATTTGGCGCAGGGGTAGACGAGGTTCCCCCTGAGATGAGGAGGATCTGGCGCGAGGATCTGGCGAGCGCGGGATCAAGTTACCGTTTGCGCGCACCTTACTGAGATCAGGAAGACTTCTCCCACACTTCATTTACCAGTCGAGAGCCGTCCAGCACCCTGTTCGCACTACCAACGTGCTTAATTAGTCCGGCGACTCGTCGAGCTTGCCTTGCGTCACACCTGTTAGGCGCGAACATGTCCATCACCTCGTCGTGGTCAAATTGCGTCTTCCCGCCAGGCTGTTGGCCACCCAATCGCCCCCTTGTCGAAGGGCTCTGAAGCCCACCCAGGTCAATCTTCCATCTTCGCATCGTCTGGAACTCAGTCGTGGACAGCGTTGCGTCCGATCCCTCACTAGCCCCAGACTTGAGCTCCCTGCTATTTAGCTAGGCCAGCTCGGTCGACAACGCTTTTTTGGCTGGGAAAAGGTTTGGAAAACCCACCTCTGGCCATTTTCATTGCGATCAGCGCCCGCCTGGGAAGATTGCAAGATTGCAGGAGTGCCACAGATCAAACCTCTGGTTCGTTCTTTTTGCGGGACAAAGCTGGGGAAAAGCCAAGCACCTCCGTCGACGACAGGCAAAACACCCGGCCTGTTGCACCGTTCCATGGACCCAAGTTCCAAGTGCTCGTATACACCCACGAGTATTACTCGCGCAATCTGCCGGGTACGAGAATGGAGGTGGTCCCGCAAGAATCATGGTTTGATGAGCTGGAGATCTGGCTCGAACCGGCGCGCGCGTGCAGGGGGTGGTTTGGTTTCCCGCAATCTTGGAAGAGGGTGTTGACCTGCAAATTGCTCTATACCTTAGGTACCTTGGCACGAGGCATGAGGCACGAGGCAGGAGGCACACTCCGTATACGGGTGAGGTACGAGGACCACATTCCGAGATTTGTGTTGTTTGTTTTTGTTTTGTACTCCATCTCCCCGTTGTCGAGCCTGACGAATAGGTCGTATTTTGCTAGTTATATCCACCTCTAAAGCTGTACCGTGTGCTGATGATACCAGTAGCGTTGGAGAAAGCGTTGATCTGCATGCCTCCAAACTATCAACTGTTGACAAGATCTGAAAAAAAGTCTATCCGCCACAACAATGCGCTCGTGTTCAACGGTGCGGATGACTCTTCCTGGAAATCCCCGAACATGAAAGAAAATAACTCTGGTTGTCCCGGGCGACATGTGTTTTTCGTGACACATAGGAAGAGAAGGGTATTGTTTGTATCTTCCATGGCCGTGATATGTTATTTCGATGTTTCTTTTTTTGCCTTTTCCATTCGGTCGGCCGAGATTGGCTCCTTGAGTCTCCTCAATTTCGACATTACTAGCTTGCTTCTGTACGTCTGTGAGAGCAGCTGACCACATCAATCAATCAATCAACCTCATCAAGTATACCTAGGTTCGGGTAAGTTCTGATATCCAATCTGGACGTCGAGGAACTCTTTTCTGCGGAAGCTATCGCTTGGTTATTGCATATCTGGGGTTGGGTGGCTTTCAGTCATGATTGCTCGCTGCTGCAATCTCCCATCAATCGATGCTGGAGCGCTTGGAAGCTTCTCGGATTCCAGGGAGCGGCCCTGATGCAGAGTTGGAGGCTTCTCTCCTCTTACATTCGCCGTCCTTACACTCTCCCATGGGTTTACCTCTTCCTCCCGAATATGCTATGTTTGCGGATCGGTTTGAGGATGAATTCCTCTAAGAGTGACTTGCTTTGGGCGCCGAGATCTTGCAGTCCCTTGGACCAATGCCCTCCGAGAACAAAAATCCATGACGTGCGGGAAGACAAGGCGAAGATCGAGCTACAGGATCCAGCTCAAGGTTGGTGGACGAGAGTCCTAGTGATCGAGATCATTGCTGTTGGTGATTTTGCTTCCAAACCTCATCGCAGACGCTCGTCTCTTGTTATGTCCCTGAGCTTGAAGCCGTTAGATCTGTTGCGCAGATCGTTACGGTAGAACTAGGAAGGACGTGGACAATAGGTGACAGGGGTAATGTCTGCTCACTGGCGTTGGGTCTTGGTTGTCCGCTCACTCTCACACCTCTTCCGTGGACAGCCACAAAGAGATCCAGGCATATGATGGGCAGAATGCGTTCCATCGCCTCCAATTCGAGATTACGGATGCATGTACGCTGGAACCGCGTTCACGTCCATCACCGACCAGCAGCACATGCTGTACCACAAAGCTGCCCTCTGCAGAAAACTGACAGAGCGCCATCTCTGGTCTCTTGGCACCAAAGAGAAGCAACGAGAATGTGAACTCCCGGCGCTGCTGAGGCGGAATACAACCCTGCTGGCGCTCGGCAGAAATATTCGGAGTGGGAAAAGGATGAATAGATATCGGATAGAACAAATTTGAATGGCCTTCAATGGTAAGGCAGCCACGCAGTATTTCACACAGGTTTGGTCTGCAAGAATCGCCTCGAATATGATCTGGTAGTCCAGCTACCGGCCCAATGAGTGCATGGCGTCAGTTTCCTTTCGAACCTCAGTGCTTCTCATCATCCTGGTGTCCTCCTTCCTTCGTATCCCCGTACCCTCGTACCCTCCAAGCTCATCCACTCACTGCCCAACAAAGCGCCCCCTGACACCGACGATACAGACACTTCTTACCGACTCTGTCACCAATGTTGGCGCAGTTCTGGACCCGTGGCTCCTCGACACCGCCATCTGCACCCCCCTCTCGACCTCTCTTTATCATCTCAGCCATCAGAAGTGGAGAGTAAGATCCATCTCCCCACTACAACCGCTGGCATTACACGTGCCCTTGATGGTCAAGTCCCAATTGGCCTTGCGCTTCTCGAAGCCGGCACTGTCACCAGCCAGTATGGCGCGGGGGATCTTGTGCTTTGGATACCGCCCGGTGTCGTCCAGGTTGGGGAACTCGGGCGTCTGCGGCGTCGGGTCGCGCTTCTTCTCCGCGAAGGGCAAATCCCCGGCTGGGATGGGGTCGCAGGACAGAGAGCCCAGTGGGCACGGGCTGCCATCATCGGCGGCGGTTTGAAGTGGGATTCTGGGCTCTGCGGCGCGCTTCCACACGTCGCCGATGGGAGGAGGGCAGTCCGGGCCGTGCGTGCAGGGGAAGGGGTCGAGGGGTGGTAGTGGCTCTGGGTCGCGTTTGGCAACGGCCTCGCAGACGACACCTTGAGGGCAAGGGTCGATAATGGGAGGGCCCATGGGCTGGACCCCGGACGAGGCCCCGCGTTTCTCGGGGTCGAATATCGGAGGACAGTCTGTCTCGCCTGGCTGGCAGGCCGGCCAGGGTTTGATGGGCCGCTCGGGCGTGCGCTTGGCCTTGAGCACATATCTGGGAGAGAGAGGCCCGCCGTCCGGAATCGTGGGACCGGGGGTCGGACGGACGTTGAAGGCGCGTTTGGCCTTGATCTTCGCCGGTTGGGATCCCTCAACATGCGTCTCGAACTCGCCTCCCGGCCCAAAGGGATTGAAAGGCGGCGGTGTACTGCCGTGAGGTGCTTCCCGCTTGGAGTTACCTGAAGCTGAAGCCGAAGCCGTAGCGGCCGCTGCAACGATGGTGGTCGGGCCGCCTGTCCGAGCGTCGATGGTCTCGCAGAGGAACTGTGGATCTATCGAGAAGTCCAGCACATGTGTTAGTGATTGTCATTGCTGGACAAGAAGATTGAGGACATTCAGACGGCGTTCTGCACCTGCCTACTCATCCTGAGCGAGATACAGTGTTTCTGAAGGAGGAGAACGGATGGTCCTCTTGATAAGTGCATGGCTTACCACAAGTGGAGTCGCAGCCGGTAATGGAAGCATCTCCCAAGGCTTCCAGCGTGCACAGGTTCCAGCACCCGCACTGGACTTCCAAGTGCAATGGCACGACGTCGGAAGCATCGTCCGTCGTGGTCTGAGGAGAGGGAAGAGCCACAACGACCACGGCAGAAGCTGCCAGCACGGCAACGATGGTGGACTTGAGAGCAGGCATGGCTGCTGGCGTCAGGGCGGACGATATGAATGTGGAGGGGAAATGAATGAATAAGTGACCGAATTGATGGATCGTGTCTTGGGTGAGTGTGTGTGCGCGTTTTCTAAACCGTTGGTAAACCCCTGGCTTTGAATGGATTTTCATTCCCTGAGTATGGTTCTCTTTCGTGAGAGGCAATTCCAGAGATATTTATACCTCGAAGTAATTGTCCTCATGGCCAGCAACGACCTCCCTACCTCCCTTTCTCCCTTGAACATAACCTCCAACTTCGTCTCTCTGTCTGGGTCCGCCTTGTCGATAAATTAAATGTGTGTGAAGGGGGGATTAAAGCGGTCACCGCCGACGAGTGAACTGACAATAGACAATGATAGATGTCCTTCTCTGGGTCGGGAAGTGTCTCACCACCGACCGCGCGAGTCTGGCCTTCAGCCGGTAGTCCATGCCGGCGAGAGAAGTTGCAGAACGGCTTGACACATCTCTTCTGGAAGGGGGAGGGCTGTTCAAGAATGGCGAACCATACGACAACGATAACATCGAGACACGCCGACGTCGGGACGGCAGAGGCTGAAACGGATCGGGGGGGCAGCGTGCCGTCGTCGGCGTCGGCGGCATTGGGACAGGGAGCAAGAAACCACCTCAAAACGTTCAAAAAGTCCTCTGAAAGTCTCCTCGCCTGTCCCCTGTGCTTGAGGACAACGCACAGCTCAACACGAGCTGGATAGCCTTGGCCACACGTCCTGGCCCACTGATTGGGTAGGGGCCAGTCGAGAAGCTCGGACAAGCACAAGGCAACAACGGGAGTTTAGGTTCAGCCTCGCGTGTTCAGGGAGAGGCAACTGACGGGAACTTTTGGGTCTTTGGGGGGGAAAGGGTGCTGAAACGTTCCTCTCACTGGCAAGAAAAGGTTCGCGTCTCTAGCTTCTTCACCAGCCATGCACTCACTGTCCTTTGACGGTAGGAGACGTGGGTGATACGGTTGGGGGCCATTTGTCCTCCCATGTTGAATACGACGCGAGAGGGCGGAGGGCGACTCTGGCGATCAGTGGTCCGGTGCGTTCTCGACTCTGAGTGCATCGAACTATGCTGGTGCCATGGGATCTCCTGGTGGTCTTCGTCACTGCTAGAGTTGCCGGTAGAGGAGGGAGAAGGATGGCTCTCAGCCTCATGCGTCGACGGTTCGATGAAGAGTCGTTCAAATTCCGTTCTTTGGACGTTGGCATGACCGCCTAGAGTGCGACTCAAAAGTGGCGAATAGGCCCAAAACAGAACGATGCGCTGGCAGACAGTAATGTGCCTTGTGGACGGCGAAGTACATCAAAGAGGTACCAGAAAAGGGGGGTTCATGATGGGTAGCCTCGTGCATGACGCTTTGGGCAAGTGAGTCTCCGCATCCCCCGCCTTGCCCCCCTCTCGCCAATCCGGGGACAGATCGGTCGCCTACCCCTCTCCATTTCTGTATAACGGAAATGCGGACAGGGAAGCTCGAAGGCACTCCAACGACTAAATTCACTTCCGACGACGGTCTCTTCTGTCTGTGCGCGCCCATCTGACGAAACACGATGGCAGCCCTCCGGACTTGAGCCGGAACTGGCAAAAGCTTATATCCGACAAACAGTGGAAAACGGGGCCTATGTGTGAGAAAACTGTAGTCAGATTCCTGAATTGCTGACGACACTGTATTGGGTCCGTCATATGAGAGTCTGAATATAAAACTCCAGAACGAAGACGACTTCAGGTTCGGAAAAGGAGGCAAGCATCAGTTTCCAAGACCACTTAAAAGGCCAGTACATCGGTCCTTGATCAGTATGTCGTTTCCGAAGATCGACGATTGCCTCCCCAAGCACTGGGGTTTGTTCTATGGTGGGAGTTGGCACGAGCCCCAGGACGGCGATCATCGAGAGATATTCAGTCCTGGTGACGGCAAAGTCATCAGGAAAGTGGCCTTCGCTGGTGAGAAAGACACCGCTGCTGCCATAGAGGCGGCACACGCAGCGTTTCCCGCGTGGAGAGCAGTTCCTTCTTTGGAACGTGGCAAGAAGCTCAGGAAGGTGGCCGACATCCTGCGCGCCCACGCCGATGAGCTGGCCCTGCTCGATGCATTCAACACCGGCAATCCAGTCGTCATGATGAGAGGCGACGCATTCGCATCGGCCGACACCGTTGAGATGTTCGCAGGCCTCGTCCCAGCCGTTCAAGGCGAGACCACTCATCTCGACGATGCAACTTTCAACTACACACTTCGTGAGCCGTTGGGGGTCGTTACACGCATTGTTGCTTCCAACCATCCACTCATGTTCACTGCCAATCGACTCGCGGCACCCATTGCTATGGGAAATACAGTGGTGATCAAGGCCCCGGAGCAAGCACCTCTCTCCGCACTCCGTCTGGCTGAACTCCTGGAAGGCATCTTTCCCCCGGGTGTCCTCAACATCTTGTCCGGTGGCGTCGATTGCGGAAAGACTCTCTCAACACACCGCCTTGTTAGCAAGGTCACGCTCATCGGTAGTGTACCCACGGGTAAAGCGATCCAGAAAGCAGCAGCGGACACATTAAAGCTAACCTCGTTTGAACTCGGCGGAAAGAACGCCCTGATTGCGTATCCCGACGCGGACCATGACCGTTTAGTTGATGCCATCGTGGCTGGAATGAATTTCGGCTGGTGTGGGCAGTCTTGTGGTTCGACCTCGAGGGTTTTTTTGCACGGATCGCTCCACGACACGATTCTGGACCAAGTCCGTGACAAAGTAGCCAACAAGTTCCGTCCAGGAAATCCGATCGACCCAAAGACAACAATGGGGGCATTAGTGAGCCAGGCAGCACAGGCCCGTGTATTGAAATATGTCGACGTCGGCAAAAAGGATGGTGCTCGTCTTGTACTAGGCGGTAAAATCCCTGAAAGCGCCGAGACGCAGGGTGGCTACTTTGTCGAACCCACCATATTTGCCGGAGTCACCCAGAATATGCGCATCGCCAACGAAGAGGTATTCGGGCCTATCGTGTCAATCTTGAAGTGGACCGATGAAGAACAGCTCTTCAAGGACGTCAATGCTGTCGACTACGGTCTGACTGGCGCAGTTTTCACCTCTGATATCAAAACCATGCAGACCGCAGTCCGTCGTATCGAAGCTGGAACTGTCTGGGTAAACACAGTCGGAACACACTTTTTCAGCATGCCATTCGGAGGATATAAGCAATCTGGAATTGGAAGGGACGACTGCTTTGAAGAGTTGCGTGACATGACGCAGTGCAAGGCCGTCCATGTCAAACTATAGACGGGCGGTCGTGGGTCAAAAAGGGCCGGGTGACAGTTCTCAGAACCACGGGGCCATGCGCTCATTTACTGCTCACGTATCGGTCGTGGTGGCATGGTGAATCAATACAAAGCTTTCGTTCGAAGCCACTTAGGGAGGGCATTTCAGAATCGTGTCTGTACTCCGCACATGTTCTAGTGTTGTGATGGGTCCATGGATAGAACGTGTCTCATGCCACCTGTAAGTTTCCAGACCTTATGCCCTTGATTGTCGTGATCTTGAACCTGTTTGTGAAGGTGATGTCCTTGACATTTTGGTCGCGATGACCATCAAGCGAGCCAACGTGCTTCTATAGAGCAGCAAGATATTCTGGCCAAAAAAGGTAAGTGCTACCTCGAACCGCTATTATGGCAAGAAATTGCTAGGTAAGGTACCACACTCTGTAGTTCTCCTGCGCCAGCGACAGTAAAGTCCGTGGCGTCCAGATCGCGCTAGTTCTAGTATCTTGGGCTATTTTTTGGCCCTCGAGGGTCTGGTAAGGATCTAGTGCCTTATCAGCCTCTCAGGAGGTGGCAATGGCTTGGCCGGTGAAACCGCAAGGCCAGCTTGTTGTGTGACAGCAACACCAACCTCAAAAGCTTGAGACGGCAAATTACGGCGGACATGGAAGACAGCGCAACTCGCCCAGACGAGACTGGGTTGGAGGGGCATGCTATGGACCAGAGTATGAGAGCCACTGTCACTTGAACCTTCCAATACTGATTTTGCAGGCAGCTCTTTCAAGGCTCGGATGGAGCAGTTCAAATATTCCCCGCTGAAACAGGCGGATGCAAAGCGACGCTCCCCTAGACTTGCCAGTCCGCGTCCATCCGTTCTTTCCAAAGCGGCAAGCGCTTCTCCGTCTCCAAGAAAACGGTCTCGCATGCAGCAACATGTCCAGAACGAGGAGGACGATGAGAGTACTGTCAAAAAAGAGGAGGAAGACGGTCAAGAGGACGGACCCCTGACGGCCGATATGACATCTACGGCGCCCAAGTTTAAAAAGCGAAGGAGCACCACCAAAGAACGAGCGTCCAGAGATCCCTACAATCCAGTCAACAATCTGGTGGACAGCCTACGGCCTGGTCTGACCCTGGTATGCATCGGCCTCAACCCTGGGCTCATGACAGCCGCAACCGGCCATGCATATGCCCATCCCTCCAATCGGTTCTGGCACCTACTCCATACCTCTGGCATTACCCCCGAGAAGCATCTCCCCTCCGAGACGAGAGATTTGATGGATCTTTACCAGATTGGCAACACGAATATATGTGCTCGGCCTACCAGGAGTGGTGACGGTTTGAGTAAGCAAGAGATGGAGGAGGGCGCTGTCATCCTTGACAAAAAGATTGCACTGTACAAGCCCGAGGCGGTGGTCATAGTTGGAAAAGGCATCTGGGAAGCCATCTGGATGGCAAAGAAGGGCCAGAAAAGGTTCAATGATCCAGATTTCCATTGGGGTTGGCAAGACGAGGAGATGCAGTTGGGGAGGGTCTGGGAAGATGGACATCTGGCGTGGGCGGGGGCGAAGACATTCGTGGCCACCTCTACCAGTGGGCTTGCGGCAACTCTGACGCCGGCAGAGAAACTGGCCATCTGGAAGCCGTTGGGCGACTGGATGACGGTGAAGCGCAAGGAATCCGAGGCTGGTTGAAGAATAGCTCAGCCTCGCACCAATGCCAAGACCGGGATGTATAAACCCCTTTTTACGCCAGATACGAGCTTCGTTTCAGTGCGGAAGGTGAAATCGCTCACAATCCCCTCTCACAATAGCACCCCACCATTACAGCCTCGCGATATGAACCACACGGTTCAGGGGATGCCATATTGAACACTCACCGCCCAGAGAACAAGCATCGCCAAGACACGTCGGCGGTGAGATTGCTACTGTGATTGGTTCCCCGGTGGGTGGTGAAACCAGGCAGAATCAACCTCATCTGACGGACTGCAAACTGTCACTTTCGCCTCATGTTCATTGCCATTGACCCCTCTTCAGTGACATCAAATTCACCTTCGGCCTCACGAATGGTATAAAACTCTGCCCGCTATTCTAAGGTGCTCCCCAAAGGCGTCTTGCATACTCAGACTTTGTCATCACCTCCCTTTTACTTCGAGGTAACGAACGGTTGAGCCGTGAGCTTCAGCCCCCCCACCTTGACCTGAAGTCGAGTTGGTGCAGGATTCCTCGACCTGAGAAACAACGACGAAAGCATCATCTCAATAGCTGCCGCTCAGCATGGCACTCTCTTCGTCACAGATCGTCCTTCTCTGTGCCGTCGGCATTATTTTGCTGGCAAGACCTGCTCACGCTTTTGGTGCGGGCAATATCGGATCCACCTCGAAAATTGAGGGGCAAAACTGGCGACATGGTGATCTCGAAGACACCCTGCTAACCATAGTGGCCTCCCGCGCTATGGGCGGCAAGAAGTTCAGCAAGCTTGACGTGAAGAGAGTGAGTGGCCGATCACAGAAAACGGGCGTATATTAACCGCAGACAGGTTTATTTCGGCAATTGGCTGCGTGATTACAGTCAGGCGGTCGATGTCGGCACTGTCAAATATGTCAGCGCAGAAGCCATTCGCATCTTGCTTTGGGTCCTTGGGTTCATGTCTTTCGGATATGGCTCGGGCGAGTTCGAAGTCACAAGCCAGAGGCTCGGGTGCTATCGACCAGAGGAACATATCGAGTGAGCTAAATGAGCCTCCTCCCAAGGCAAAGACTAACCTATCTCAGCAATCCGAAGGATTATGCAGACAACGAAGATGCCAGGCAGTATGATCGCCGCCTTCGCGGTCCTGTTGACGAACGCCGAGAACTCTCCATCAACCCACAGACTGGGTTGAAGAACTACATTGCTTCCGAAGGCATGGGAATTGAAACTTCAGCTGGTCTGGTGAGAAGACTCTTCGGTAGGAGCATCGAACTCGGTCGACAATATGCACGGAACAAGAACAAGAAGGACCTCTATGAAGCACTCCGCCTACTCGGTACTGGATCCCACTGCCTGGAAGACTACGCGGCTCACTCCAACTATGTTGAACTTACTCTCATCGAGATGGGTGAACGGGACGTCTTTCCTCATGTCGGTCGCCGCACTGCTATCCAACTCCGAGAGGCACGTCACCCAGTCTACCCTATTGTCACGGGTACCTTCGGTGGCGTCGACTTCCTCCATTCCGTCTGCGGCGAATTTGATGACAAGACAACGCAATCTGAAATCCAAGAACTCGACGACACCTTACAACAGTACCAAAACGGCAATCAAGACAATAGCATCCTGCAAGATCTCCTCAATAAACTGCCCTCTGGGGTGTTCGGTGGAAAGGACCAAGCTGGAAAAGCCAGCGAACTGCAACAAAACGCTCTGAACCACCAAATGCAGAACTCTCGCATTACACCTCGTCAACCAGAGCAGTGGACTCGTTACCTTGAAGATGTGCAGAAACAGATCTACCCGATCATAGAATGGCACGACGAAATCATGCAGTCCATCACCGAAACGATTGAAAAGATCCCAATTCTGCCTGACCTGATTGACCAAATTCAGGACGAAATCAACAAGTTTGTCTTCAGCTTGCTAGCTCCTTTCGTGGTGCCCATCATCAACCAGGTCAAGACCGAACTTAACACTGGCTCCAACGAGATCATCCAATCCAGTGTCGCTCAGCAGCACATTGTCTTCAACGACGATAATTCCTCGGACCCAACCCATTCCATGCTTTCAAAGGACCACTTCTCCAATATCCTCAACGAACCCGCTGGGAAAGTTGCTCATCAAACTGTGAAATGGGTGGTCCCCCAGATTGTGGCGTGCTGGGATGATGAGCGAATCGATGTCGAGCGGACCCTGAATCGCATCATTCATGGCGTTCTTCACCATCCTGCGTTGCGTGACTATGGACAAGATGGCGCTACCGATGGGCGTCGTCTCATGTTTGGCGTCGTTGAGGAATGGTGGCGCGGGAAATCTGCCTCTGAGAAGGATGGTCTACGCGAACAACTCAGCCGGCGGGGCGTCGAGACAGGTAGAAACCACAAGCCAGGGGTTCAGGACCACGGGCATGGCAATAACCGACCTCTCGGCATGGCGAATCTCAACTTCAACAACCAGTCGTCCGGTATTGCAGGCAGTGCTCTCGGGGCCATCAGTTCTGCGTTGGGCGGCGATCAGAGTGGTGGCCGACCACAGAATGTCTCCAGAACCAGCGATCAACTCGGTAAAATGGCCGGCGCGGCAGTCGGCGGCGGCGTCCTGGGATCCCTGGTAGGCGGCATTACGAGCCAAATCGGTGGCCAAATTGGCGGTGACATCCTCGGCGGCGGACTCAGCCAGGGCCAAGAGACGTACAAGCGCGACTCGTACAACCGTCAAGACGGGTCTCGGACAGAGACTGTGACGCAGTTCGGTCAGTCGTCTTCAGGAGATAGGTATGGCCAGGCGCAATACTCGAGGACCACCGAACCCAGTGGCGAGAGGCGGTATGAGGAGTACAATCGTTTTGAGCAGCGCGAGACCGTTGGTGGAGGATGGCAGAGCGAAGTGCATCATCAGGAACGAACAGGCGAAGGCAGGTATCACGAGGAGACGAGGTATGTCAAATTCACCGCTTTAGCGAAGGTGGTCGGACAAGAGAATGGGAACGGGGCTAACATGCTGTCTTACAGACGCTACGGCGACAATGATAACGACAGCCCGTATGGTGAACGTCAAGAGCATCATCGTCAACAACACCACCGACACGGGCGTGATGAGGATGATCACGATCGCTACGAACAGCGCCGTGACCGCGACGAGGAGCCATATTCCGCGGGCAGCTACGGCAGCAGCGGTCGACGACAGCAGCATGAGACGGAAGGTTCTGGGTATGGCGGCTCAGAGGGCTACGGGCGCCACCAGGAGCACGAATACGGTCGACGAAACGACGACGACAACAACCAGTATGGCTCTGGTTATGGCCGTCAGGAGCAGCGCCGCGACGAGTATTCCTCCAGCGGATACGGTCGTGGGGAGGAAGAACCACGGTACGAGTCCAGTGGCTTCGGAGGCGGACGTCGTCAGGAAGAGGAGCAAAGCTACGGATCCGGTTTTGGTGGTGGCGGCGGATACGGCCGTCGTCAACAAGAACAAGAAGAGTCCTCTTACAATGACATCCCCGGCGGCTTCGGCAGCAACCGACAAGACGAGTACTCCTCTGGCGGCGGCCGCGGCGATGAGTACGGCGAGCGAGACGATGGCGGTTACGGAGGCGGCGGCGGCGGTTTTGAGAGACGAGACGAGTACGGCGGCAGTGAAGGTCGGCGTCGATATGGCGGTGGTGATGGTGACGACGGCGGTGAGAATGAGGGATATGGTGGTGGATACGGTGGCGGGTACGGGAGCTCGCGATACTGAGCACGGAGCACCGACATATTCCCACGTATCGGCGTGCTTATGTTCGTCAGTTATCCGCATCCGGCTGGATCGATCATTCAGATGATCAAGGGGATACCGTCTTACATGGCGAGACCGTGGCCCGAGGGGGTGTCTGTGAACGATGGGAAGGATTAGCTGTTTTCGTGCCCTGCGCTCACGGGACGCATTCATGGCGACCGCCGATATGAATTGCAACAGTCAATACTGCGATAGAAAATAAAATAGAAATGAATTATGTTGAAGGAGTCTGAAAAAAAGGGGGGGCCTCGTAGCCTTCCATCGCCCTGTCCAAGTGCTCCGGGAGACTCTTCGTGATTTCATGCCAGAGTCTATGATATTCTTCCAGCAGTCACGGGGAGATGTCTCAACGGATATTCACCGGCTCCATCTGTGTCCTGATCCAGGCTCCAGACGGTTCCAGTTGCGACACACTCTTCCAGGTTGTATTTCTTCGGCATCCGCGGTCCGCCCCAAATAGCGTTCAGAACGGCCTTTTGGTCGTCGGGTTAGCATGGCGAACTGTTGGAGATCCCCCATCAACTAGCATCTTTTCCCTCTGGCTGGACGGGAGCGAGCCGAGCTTGTCTCTGTGCAGACAGTCGCCATCATGTCGATGGATACAGGGCCCAAGTTAACCCACGCATTCGACCTCACCGTTATCGGGCCTCCTAGGTTCTCCGCCTCCGCCTCTGAACATTCGCCGCTAAGCGTTGCTCATGGTAAGGCAGACAGATCTCTCATTCCATCCTGCTTCTATTCCGCCCCCGTTATCCCTCGTCTATGCATACCGAACCTTTCGCTTATGTTGTCCCGACCGAGTTTGTTTCAGTATCTGATCCACAGGGTCACAGTGTTTCGGGGCTCCCTGAAGTCTGCGGATGGGTCGATCAACCTGGACCTCCGGGCTGGCAGTGACTGGATGACCATCCACCCAGACCATGCACACATTGATGCCCGCGTCTCTTGCCACTCCCCGGAGACAGCTCCGAGCCCCATCAACTGCGACATACGATACCTTGGCAAAATCCACTTCCACGGCCCCATCTTGGACGTCTTCAAAGGGGAGAAGCATTCCACGTGTAGAACTAACTTGATGAATTGATTGATTGTTCTATCTAGTGGGAACGGTCGCACGGCAGTTTGACTTGCCGGCGTGTAAAAACTAGCCGGATAACCTTCCTAATCAGGTTAGGGCAATACCACGAACTATGGTGATGGATATTACTATACGCAGCCGCTACTTGAGAGCAGAAGCCCCGAACTGGCTTGGGTGAACAAAGCCGTCTTTCTCTCCATGGGCAAAATCTCGGTACGGGAGGATGGCGACTTGGAGGTCATCTATAGAATCTTCAAAGTAGGCTGAGGTCTTTTCTAGTTGTACTACCTTGGTTGAGCGGGATTGCTCCGTCGCTGTTAAATTCGTGGGCTGTCGCTCCGTTGCCTGCCATTTTCTCTGCGCCTCGGACAGATGTTTTGAGTATCTCTTATATTTGCCAAAGTATTTCGTTGGGTGGCTTTGCCTGTCTTGTCCGGATGAGGTATCCCCGTGCCCCCGTCTGCTTTAAGCCGGTCTGCGCAAACGGACCACTGCTGGACCATAGCTGAGAAGTCTGGAACTTGAGGAACCCGGAACACATAACATCAATGGGAGTCCTTCGACGTTATTAGTACGATTCTGCTTTGGTATTTTGTCTTCTAGCGAGCATTTCGGTTAGAACCCCGACCACCGAGGGAATCGTCGAGATATGGATGTGGCACGGTGTGCCATAGCGTCTGTCGCAGAGACAGCCCTCTTGCTCAACCTCGGGCACCTAGGATCTCGCGGATTCCTCGGGCGAGCCTTTGAACTGTGCGTGATCCAATATGTCGCACTCAAACTTTATTTCGTCCTCATATGGCCATTCCTGGCATCTCCCTTACGAAATTTGCCTGGGCCGAAGGTACACACACAAGCTCCTCCATCTCATGTACTATGGCAGGGTGTGCTTACTGATCCACTAGGGAGGTAATCTGGTGCTTGGGCAAGTCGTCAACCAGGCCAAGGCTCTGCCCAGTGAACTTGAGAAGAGATGGATGGCCGACGACCCAGATTGCCCATTTATTAGATACCTGTCCTTCCTCAACACCGAGGTACTCATGGTAAACTCTGCTCGGGCCTACAAGGCGGTCTTGCAGACCAAGTGTTATTCCTTTGTCAAGCCCAAATACTATGAACGCGTCGTGGGAGAGATTGCTGGTCATGGGATCTTGTTCACGGAAGGGGAAGAGCATAAAAGGCAACGGAAGCTTCTTCTCGGTGAGTGCGCGCATTGTAACCTCGACACTGCAATCGCCTTCGAGAAGGGAGACTGACACGGTCAACGCGGCAGCTCCTTTCTCATTTAGCAACATTAAGCGACTTCTTCCCTTCTTCGAGGTCAAGGCCAGAGAAATGTCAGACATTATCAAGAACCAAATTGGCCCAGATGGATGTAACGTCTTGGAAGGTAAAGGTCTCGGAACATGGCCATCTACTTCTTTGGGCTCACCGAATCCGCAGTGTCCGAGCTCCTTTCGAAAACCACCCTTGATGTCGTCGGTCTGGCCGCCCTTGGATACGAGTTGAACAGTCTGTCAACTCCATCGCTGCTGGCGACAAGCTATGGAAAAATCTTCGAGTTCGCAACTCCTCTACAGATTCTCATCTCGGTTGTCCACCAGTTTGTACCTATTCGACAGTGGCTTCCTCTGAAGACGAATCAGAGCTTTGTTCAGGCCAACGCCACTGTGAGGAAGATACTTCGGGATCATATTCGGAAACGCAAAGGCGAATTTCGAGATGGCTTGGTCAAAGGCGAGAAGGCAAACCGTGACCTTCTCACCTTGATGATTGAAGAAAGCAAGGATACATGGTCAGAGGACGAAATGTTGGGCTACGTATGAGTTCCAGTTCCGATAGCTGACGAGGAAAGAATGTTCTCTCTAACCTTGCACAGTTACTGAATTTTATGTCTGCGTGAGTGAAAAGATCAAGGTCAACTAGAGCCCTGCCGGCTGACGTCTTGTCCAGTGGCCACGAGACTACCGCAGGTGCGCTGACCTGGACGCTGTATGCTCTCACGCTCCATCCAGAAGTGCAGGACAGACTGCGGGCAGAGGTCTTGTCAACAGTGACATCAGCCTCACCTAGTTACGAAGAGCTGGACGGCATGCACTTCATGAACAATGTCATGAAGGAAGTGCTGAGATACTACCCCCCTGGTAACTGCTTCCTACGTCTTGATAGGGAGTCCACCCATGCTGACCCTACGTACAAGCACCAAACTTTCCCCGGCAAGCTGCTGAAGAGGTCGAAATAGAAGGCGTCAGGATACCAAAGGGGACATTGATTATGATCGCGCCTGCTGCGCCGCAATATAACACCCATATCTGGGGCCCGACCGCCGAACAGTTCGACCCCGACCGCTGGGACCGCCTTCCTGAGCCGGCCAACGACCCCTACGTCTCCTTGGCTTTCTCTGCGGGTCCCAGAGTGTGCATCGGAAAGTCCTTCGCCATTTTGGAATTCAAGGCCATCATCGCGGAGCTGATTCGGAATTTCAGCTTTGAGAACACGGGGTTGGTTGAGCCGCAGAAGAGTGGGCCAAGCTTGCGGCCGCTCAACGGAATGAGGCTGAAAGTGAGGTCGGTATCTTGAGAGCTCTGTGTCGTCCCGGGTGATAGTAATCAGGTAGCGTACGTTATTGATAGCCCCGAGCGATCAGACAGTCTGAGATGGAAAGTTGCCATCATATATGTTTTCCAGGACTGACGTGCCGTAAGATGTCCTTTGCCTCCCAAGGGAGATAGTATCCGAGGCTATATATCGGTGAACCAGATAGCAAGGTCGAAAGTTTTGATATTATGTGTGATGATATGGCTTGTCCTAAACGATACGTCAGAGATTTGTTATACCGAAGCTTATATATCTGCCGTCAATGTAGGAGGTTTCTCCTGGATGGGTCATTGTCCACCATTACTTCTCGTATACCTTTGGCTCTCTGGTTCAAGCGTAGCAATGAATGAACGCCGCTCATAATGTGTTCTGCAGGCAGGTCTGATCTTTTTCATTTCGGTACGCGCTCGTCGCCTATCTGTTCGCGACTCGGTAAAAGTGCTCCTTTGCCTGCTCACGCTCCAACGACATCATCATCTCCACCGTCCAGTCTTCGTGCACATGGCCTTCTGGAGTGTTCGTGGACACGAACGGTGTTCCCTTCCTCACGCTCTCTACCGCTTCGTCGCACCGGTCGTACGCGTATTTCTCCGCGTCAAACGTGTACAACCACATAGGTTGGGGCATTTTCAAGAACTCTGGATTCGCCGCGACGGCCTCCCAGTCGGTTTGGTGCCAACGGTGTCTCGTTTCCCAGCCCATTCGCTGTGTGAGACTTGTTCTCTCGTATCTGTAGCGACGACTGTGTGAGTATGATGCGGGCTTTGTGCGAACAAAGAGGACAAGCACCTACCTGAGCTTTTCAAACGCTCGGAAAGCGTCGGGAGCGCCGTCTTTCCCCAATTTGTCGAGCAGTGCGCCGATAGTCGCCGCATCTTCAATCGCTTGGGCGGCCCCTTGCCCCGAAGTTGGCAGATGAGGATGGGCAGCGTCGCCGACCAACGTGATGCGACCAGTCCGGGACACCCACTGTCGGATGGGATCACGCCAGAGAAGTTTCCAATCGATCAGCTTCTCTGGTGGTATAGCCTTCATGGCGGCGGAAATGATCGGATCCCAGCCCTCGACGACGCCCAGCATGTCCTGAAGGTTGCCGGGATTCGTCCAGGATTCTTCCACCTCATATGTATCCTGCGCAGGAGTCAGCCATGCACCTTGAAGACAATACTTGGTTTCCTTGCTGATGTCGGCTTCGAGCTCACCTTATGAGTGCAGAAAATAACTACCGATTGAGTGGCGACTGTAATGAACAAAATGGCGTGCACGTCGGATCCGAGCCAAACGT